TAATTCACGATTTTTTATGTAAAGATTATAATTCACGATTTTTCATGCAAAAGACTATAATTCACGATTTTTCATGTAAAAGACTAAAGTTCACAATTTTCATGCAAAAGACTATAATTAACCAATTTTCATGCAAAAGACTATAGTTCACGAATTTTTATGCAAAAGACTATAATTCACGATTTTTCATGCAAAAGACTATAATTCACGATTTTCATGTAAAAGACTATAATTCACGATTTTTCATGCAAAAGACTATAATTCACGATTTTTCATGCAAAAGACTATAATTCACGATTTTTCATGTGAAAGACTATAATTCACGATTTTTCATGTAAAAGACTAAAGTTCACAAATTTTCATGCAAAAGACTATAGTTAACCAATTTTCATGCAAAAGACTATAGTTCACGAATTTTCATGCCAAAGACTATAATTCACGATTTTTCATGCAAAAGACTATAGTTCACAAATTTTCATACATAAGACTATAGTTTATGATAACTCACGAAGCTTCATGCCAAAGACAACAGTTCACGAATTTTCATGCAAAAGACTATAGTTCACGATTTTTGATGGAAAAGACTAAATTTCACGATTTTTCATGTAAAAGACTATAATTCACGATTTTTCGTGTAAAAGACTATAATTCAAGATTTTTCATGTAAAAGACTAAAGTTCACAAATTTTCATGCAAAAGACTATAGTTAACCAATTTTCATGCAAAAGACTATAGTTCACGAATTTTCATGCCAAAGACTATAGTTCACAATTTTTCATGTAAAAGACTATAATTCACGATTTTAATGTAAAAGACTATAATTCACGATTTTTCATGCAAAAGACTATAATTCACGATTTTTCATGCAAAAGACTATAATTCACGATTTTCATGTGAAAGACTATAATTCACGATTTTCATGTAAAAGACTAAGTTCAAATTTTCATGCAAAAGACTATAGTTAACCAATTTTCATGCAAAAGACTATAGTTCACGAATTTTCATGCCAAAGACTATAATTCACGATTTTTCATTTAAAAGACTATAGTTCATAAATTTTCATACATAAGACTATAGTTTTATGATAACTCACGATTTTTCATGCCAAAGACTATAGTTCACGAATTTTCATGCAAAAGACTATAGTTTACGATTTTTCATGCAAAAGACTATAGTTCACGAATTTTCATGCAAAAGACTATAGTTCACGAAATTTCATGCAAAAGACTATTGTTCACGATTTTTCATGCAAAAGACTATATTCACGATTTTTCATGTAAAAGACTATAATTCATGATTTTTCATGTAAAAGACTAAAGTTCACAAATTTTCATGCAAAAGACTATAGTTCACGATTTTCATGCAAAGACTATAGTTCACGAATTTTCATGCAAAAGACTATAATTCACGATTTTTCATGCAAAAGACTATAGTTCATAAATTTTCATACATAAGACTATAGTTTATGATAACTCACGAAGCTTCATGCCAAAGACAACAGTTCACGAATTTTCATGCAAAAGACTATAGTTTACAAATATACATGCAAAAGACTATAGTTCACGAATTTTCATGCAAAAGACAATAGTTCACGAAATTTCATGCAAAAGACTATTGTTCACGATTTTTCATGCAAAAGACTATATTCACGATTTTTCATGTAAAAGACTATAATTCATGATTTTTCATGTAAAAGACTAAAGTTCACAAATTTTCATGCAAAAGACTATAGTTAACCAATTTTCATGCAAAAGACTATAGTTCACGAATTTTCATGCCAAAGACTATAGTTCACGAATTTTCATGCAAAAGACTATAATTCACGATTTTTCATGCAAAAGACTATAGTTCACAAATTTTCATACATAAGACTTTAGTTTATGATAACTCACGAAGCTTCATGCCAAAGACAACAGTTCACGAATTTTCATGCAAAAGACTATAGTTTACAAATATACATGCAAAAGACTATAGTTCACGAAATTTCATGCAAAAGACTATAATTCACGATTTTTTATGCAAAAGACTATAATTCACAAATTTTCATGCAAAAGACTATATTTCACGAATTTTCATGCAAAAGACTATTGTTCACGATTTTTCATGCAAAAGGCTATAATTCACCAATTTTCATACAAAAGACTATAGCTCACGATTTTTCATGCAAAAGACTATAGTTCACCGGTTTTTCATGCAAAAGACTTAATTCAACAATTTTCATGAAAAAGACTTCAGTTTACCAATTTTCATGCAAAAGTTTATAGTTCACGAAATTTCAAGCGAAAGGCTATAGTTCACGAATTTTCATGCAAAAGACTATAGTTCACAAATTTTCATGCCAAAGACTATAGTTCACGAATTTTCATGCAAAAGACAATAGTTCACGAATTTTCATGCAATAGACTATAGTTAACAAATTTTTATAGTTCACTAATATTCATGCAAAAGACTATAGCTTACCAATTTTCATGCAAAAGACTATAGTTCAGTAATATTCATGCAAAAACTATAGTACACAAATTTTCATTCAACAGACTATAGTTCACTAATATTCATGCCAAAGACTATAGCTCACGAATTTTCATGCAAAAGACAATAGTTCACGAATTTTCATGCAATAGACTATAGTTAACAAATTTTTATAGTTCACTAATATTCATGCAAAAGACTATAGCTTACCAATTTTTATGCAAAAGACTATAGTTCAGTAATATTCATGCAAAAGACTATAGTACACAAATTTTCATTCAACAGACTATAGTTCACTAATATTCATGCAAAAGACTATAGCTCACTAATTTTTATGCAAAGACTATAAGTCAAGATTTTTCATGTAAAAGACTATACCTCACGATTTTTCATGTAAAAGACTATAATTCACGATTTTTCATGTAAAAGACTATAAAATTCACGATTTTTCATGTAAAAGACTATAATTCACGATTTTTCATGCAAAAGACTATAGTTCACGATAGTTCACGAATTTTTATGCAAAAGACTATAGTTCACGAATTTTCATGCAAAAGAATATAACTCACGATTTTTCATGCCAAAGACAACAGTTCACAATTTTCATGCAAAAGACTATTGTTCACAAATTTTCATGCAATAGCTCATGATAGCTCGTTAACGAGGAAGTCTTTACGAAATTTGTTGAATTTCAAGGATAGTGTGGCCCGCGCTATAGTGTTTTCTTTACTATTGCGCTTATATCAAAGCGTATTTCTATGATTCGTTGATTGCATTTGTTTCATTTATTGTTATAGCTTTTGCTTAATTCACTCGTGTGAATCAGGCTAAACATATAAGACGTGGAACATGAGACATAAGACTTAATGTCTGCCTTTATATCCACATTTGTGTTTAGCTTTATGTCTACCCTTCGTATCTACCTTCGTATCTACCTTTGTGTCTAATTTTGTGTGTACTTTTTGGAACATCTTGAAAGATATAAGTATCCATACAGTGTCATAAAAGCATCATTGATATCGGCACTTTCAGGTGCAGCAAAGTGCGGCAGACTTATATTACGCAAGTTATGGAATCCTGGAATACTAGATTTAACAACTTAGATTTAAGTTTATCTTATCTGGTTTATAGATTAAATTCTACTAAAGCTGATGCAACATTTGCATCAATGAACTTTGTTTAAAATTATATGAGAAAATCTGCTTGATGGCATGACTAAAGAGAATTTGTTTCCTCTTAACTTTATTGATGTAAGAACTTGACCCGTACTTGGGATGGTTTTTATCATTTTTTTCAACGTTAGTTTGGAAATATCAAAAAGACATTGCTATCAAGTTGACGGTTTGGGCGTCCTGTATCTTCTCAATTTCATATTATATTTTTATATAAATGACGTCAACAATAGGCAGATGATTTTAGGACAGGATGGCTGAAAATTTCTCAAGATATTGGTTTATTCTCCTGCTGTCTTTATTACTTTTGTGTCCCGGTAAGTTTGAAGTAATGGTTGAATTTTTATGGTTATAACCAATGGCAGAGTTATATACAACCCAGTCATACAGTTCTGTTATGCAAATTTTTCTTTGCTCACAGCGAAAACAATACATGGTTATAAAGAAATGAATTACGATGTCTGAAATGTAGATTGGTGAATTATAACTTGCTCCCCGCACGTTTGAATACCGAAATATCTACAGACACCAGCCAAACTTGTGTGCGGGCTACACTTCTGCAGGCACACTACTGGTTATATGAATTGCATTTAGTCAAATATTGTTATTACAGATCTGATCTAAAAACTTCAGTATTTATTCAGTTGTTTTTTTTAAACAGCAAAACTTTGAAATGCTTAACTAGGAAAATCGCTGATTTGTTACAAGTGCAAGTACGAACGAACGCTTTCCGACTGTATGTCAAACGGTGTAGAGACATGTAAGGGCGAACAGGACGCGTGCTTCCGAGAGGAGAGCGAAATCGCAAGGCGTCATGGTCCAAGAGTAGTGAGTGCGGGATGTGGACGCAGTTGGAGAAGCGCAAATGGTTGCGATGATCACACGGGAAAACTACGTTGTGTTCGATGGTGTAAACACAACTTTTGCAATGGAAAAAAAGTTAAACTATCAAAGATAAACGAGAAAATGCCACGTCAACAATACGTCGAAATGTACTAAATTACCTCAGCTCCCTATTCGTGCTTCTTATTTTAAATTTAAGGTGACAGAAATTCCAATAACCTATGGACACAGCCGTCTCCGGTCAAGTATAAACTATCTTATTGTGTAGTCAACGCTAAGAAATAGACATTGGTACACTCAATATACTGATGACGTAACAGTCTTTCCCAGTTTTCAAGTAGCGTAAATTTCCCATTTTCTTACGAAATTTCAAAAGAAAGCTTCTGTTGTCAACTGTGAAAACTTGGTACTTTTTCAAAATGTAATACATACATCTATAAATCTTAAAACATAAACTTAGGATATACTGATGACTTCGTATTGCTTGTTGACGAAGTGAAATATGCAAACGTTAAATTTTCACATTTATGACCATTGATAACAACCATTGGTATTATTATTTAACAGATTAAAAACTTTTCTGTTTGGTGATTTTACCCTGTTCTAATAAATGTTTACAACATTGGTGATTGATGACGTCATGGTAACCATAGTGAATCATGAAAATGCCACAACATATAATATTGTCAAAAAAGATGATGGTACATACACAGAAACTGTTCAGCAAAATAATAAAATTTCAGGCAAGATTGTTAATAGGTATTTTACCGTCAAAACAAGCAGTCCAATTTGCTATCTTCATTCTTTCTGACATTGGCAATAGTAATTTCCCATATTGCAACAAAAGAATCAAGCCAGCATAGCACTCATCATCCTAACATATAGAAAAAAGAACCATCACAAGGATATTAATACAACTACTTTCTACAGATTATTTGTGATGTAGTTCATATATCTCACAAGCAATTCCAGTTTGTACAAGTTTCTGGTAGTTACAAACACATATTCCCTAAAGATACTAGTTACAGCTACTTAACTAAACATGAGTACTTAATACAGCTAAACCTTAAGAGAAGGAGGTTTATTTTGAGTAATAGTATATGCTATAGTTGATGATAAGAAATGTCAGAATGATAAATCAAAAAATAGACTAAATGACTAAATGAATATTGTACAAAAGTTTTCCCAGTAGGATGGCAATGTTTGAAGACAAGGTTTGCAAGTAATTCCTACAAGTTATTAGGTATTTGCAACAGGTACTTGCAAGACACCTGCAACAGCAGAGTCAGCACTTGCAACAGATGCCTGCAACAGGCACTAGCGACAGATACCTGCAATATGTATTGGCAACAGGCCTGACTGGAAAGTTTGCATCGTGCACCAGAGATCTCGGGTGCACAAAAAATAGCAAAAACGATTTTGTAAATTTGATCTTGAGTTTGCACTGTACAAACTTTCCAGACTGGGCGACAGATGCCTGCAACAGGCACTAAATACAGATGCCTGCAACATACACTAGTGACAGGTGTCTGCAACAGGCACTAGAGACAGATGCCTGCAACATGCATTAGAGACAGATGCATGCAACAGGCACTAGCTACAGATGCCTGCAACAGGCACTAGCTACAGATGCCTACAACAGCACTTGCAATGAATACTTGCAACAGATACTTACAATAGTCATTTGCCACAGGTATTTAACAGAGAGAATGACAGAATTGTATAAGAAAAACACACTACAATTACCTGTATAAATAAAAAAAGAAACTAAAAAGATAATAAGCTAGTTTCACCCATCCTTCCTTCACACATCTAGACATTTCACTGCCATTCATAACTTCTGTAGGATCATACAGACCAGGTCTGCTCATCACAGGTCGATTAATGTACCTAAGTTAAAGAGGAAATTATTTCTGCAAAAATGCTGCACAAATGTTCTCTTTCATAGGGGGTAATTCCATCTCGTCAATAAACTGTAAAATCCCATAAATTTGTGGTGTATGCAAAATGCCTATGCTACATACAGAAACATTTCCAGTATATAAATAAATCTTGTTGTAATACAGTTTTGGAAGGACGAATATTTAAAGTAAATAAGCAAATTTTATTTTTTAGAATGATTGATTAGATATACAAACCTGTGAATATGGTAAGCTATCAATGGTGCATTCCACAGTATTGCTGTCCAATACAGGCCAATTACAAAAAGCAGACAAAGAAAGAGATGCAATCCATACTCAGGGAGCACTAACTAATAAGATAATTTAAAGTTTTATCACAAAAACGTTGAATCTAACCTGTCTTCTATACTGAAATTCATCTACTACTATTAACATTTGATTAAAAACTAAAAGTTAGTGTCCTATACTTACAGGATTCAAGCTATTGCATAGGTCAACAGGATTCTTGTAGTCTGTCTTCAAGTCATCAAAGGCTATGATCTACGTGAAAGCGAGGAAATAAAAGAGAAACGAATATAAATGACAAATTGTCATATTTGAGTTGGCAATCACTCAACAGATAATACACTATACATCTTAAATAATGCAGCAGTTATAAAATGAAATCAAAGGAAATAGTTTGTAGCCAGTTATTACTTACGTTCCATACAGCGAAGAAAATGAAAACAACACTGACCAAAACGGCAAACACAAATGTTGACAATTCAAACACCGCCATTTTGGAAAATTTCGAAACTTAATGTAAGTGCTATGTCGGATTTTGTCAGGTGGTGTTCGTTCTGAGAATGATAATTTTGTTGGATTAACCCTGGATTTACCTGGGATTACCAGAACAGCAAAAGTCAAAAGACTTTCCCAACAATAAGTGAGTAACAGTTGTCAATAAGTTGGATTTGAATTCTACAAGTCGTTAGCCATGTAGCGAAGCAATGACGTCACCGAGATGGGGTATTAGAGGGGGGTGGGTATGAGCTAACACAACTTTTCTCACAGAATTTGAGCAATTCCTCTGCTTTACAGGGAAGAGTTGTACGACTTGGGCAATTTAATGTGCGTTGCATTTATGCTTGCTAAAAGAACCTATTGAAAAATTTAAATGGGGAAGAACAACCCTATCCCCACTCCAGCCTCATTACATAAATATTCCGTCAGAAAGTATGAATTAATTTTGTAAAATATAGCGAGTAAAGACGTTAAGACAAACTATTCTTCAATTCGGGTAAAACCCTTTTATCAATGAATATTATACGTACAGTAATAATTACATACGTACAGTAATTATTACACACGTACAGTAATTATTACATACCTACAGTAATTATTACACACGTACAGTAATAATTACATACGTACAGTAATTATTACACACGTACAGTAATTATTACATACGTGCAGTAATTATTACACACGTACAGTAATTATTACACACGTGCAGTGATTATTACACACGTACAGTAATTATTACATACGTGCAGTAATTATTACACACGTACAGTAATTATTACACACGTACAGTAATTATTACATACGTGCAGTAATTATTACACACGTACAGTAATTATTACATACGTACAGTAATTATTACATACGTACAGTAATTATTACATACGTACAGTAATTATTACATACGTACAGTAATTATTACATACGTACAGTAATGTCAAATATTAAATTGTATAATTCTAACTGTACAATAGAACACCAAACAAATTGTTTATTGACGAATGCTCTTTTATCATTAAAAAAAAAACTTGATTTGTCATGCATGCATAATGTAATATTAAAGCAATCAAAATTTAACTATATACATATAATGTCGATGATACATTTCTTTTGAAGTTACTTCTATAGAAAGATAATTATTATGCTTGACTTGCAATTAAATCTCGCCCTTCAACATCATAACATTCATCATTTACTTGACTGACGACAAAACGTGAGCCATTGCCATCAATCGTTTCTACATCATTTGACACATTATTTACGATATTTGACGCGTGATTACTAACATTGTTTGACAAGTCATTACGAACGATGTTGCTCAAGTCATTCTTCACGATATTTAAAAAGTCATTACTCGTGATATCTGACACGTCATTTTTCATGTCATTCGACACGTCATTACTAACAACAATAGACACGCCATTGCTTACGCCATCTGACACGTCATTACTCAAGTCATTTGACACGTCATCATTCACGATAATAGACACGTGATTACTAACGTCACTACTCACGATCTTTGACGTATCTTCAACAGTGTCGTTTCTCCTAACTCCATCTTTTTGTTTTCCTAATTTCTTATTTCTCTCTAGATATTGATAGATATCAACCAGAAGCGATGTCTGCGTTTCTTCCATTCCCTATAAAGCATTGACCGTTCAAAACAAGCACGGCAGTAAATTCTTAGAAAATGCAATCAATACAGACCTGTTCTTTTTTCAAATCCTTATCGAGATCGATTCTAACAATGCTTTCGTTGATTTTAACAGCTAAAGTAAGAGCCATCAATCCTCCAACAAAAAGATCGTTCTCACGAAGATCCAATCTTAATAAGGACTTAGTATCAGCCACATACTCTGCAAGAGCCACAGCTCCTGTATGTAAAAATCATTAAAACAGTTAAGCATATTGGTTAAATATATAGCAGTAACATGTTTTAATATTTTAGTTTTTTAACTTAAAATTGAATTTTAACATGAAATGTGCATTCGGACAAATCTTTTTGCACTTTCAAAGTGAAAATTAAGTAAATGATTCTATAATTATCAACAATTTACTAAGCTACAGTTAATTACAATGTGAAAAAAGTGAAATATTCCATATATCCAAACAATTAAATAGAGTCGACTACCTTCTGCAGTGATCTTTGTGTTCAAGAGTCCAAGTCTTAAAAGAGTTTTGTTTTTGAGCAAACCAAGTTGTAAGTTACGAACGCCATCATTTCCCAATCTGTTATGACCAATATTTAATGTTTGGATGCTGCTGTTTAATGACTAGAAAGAAGAAAGCAAAAATAAAAGAAATGTATCAATTTAATCTACGAAACGAACGACAAGAATTTAACTAACGAGAAGGTTTGCCAAAGGTACCATTCCAAGACGAGATATCTGATTATTCCAAAGAATAAGTGTTTTTAAACCATTGGATTGTTGCTTGCTCAAACCATCAGCAAGATTTTGGACTCCTTGATCCTATGAAAAAATAACAAAAGCACCATACTCCATTATTGCTAAACTTTATTTTTCCACATCAACACACATTCATCTATGTTTATATGAAAACTATATTTCTTTATATTAATATTATATTCCAATATATCAACATTATATTCCTTTATCCTAGCTCTATCCTCCATATCAAAACTATATTCCTTTATCCTAGCTCTATCCTCCATATTAACACTATATTCCTTTATCCTAGCTCTATCCTCCATATCAACATTATATTCCTTTATCCTAGTTCTATCGTCCATATCAACACTATATTCCTTTATCCTAGCTCTATCCTCCATATCAACACTATATTCCTTTATCCTAGCTCTATCCTCCATATCAACACTATATTCCTTTATCCTAGCTCTATCCTCCATATCAACACTATATTCCTTTATCCTAGCTCTATCCTCCATATTAACACTATACTCCTTTATCCTAGCTCTATCCTCCATATCAACACTATGTTCCTTTATCCTAGCTCTATCCTCCATATCAACACTATATCCCTTTATCCTAGCTCTATCCTCCATATCAACACTATATTCCCATACAACATCTCATTCTTCTATAGAAACACAACACTACAGGGTGTATAAAAATGTATACTGTAAAATAAGGTTCTCTGGTAATGAGAAAAAACGTTTCTGGCAGAGTGGCCATTAAATTTTTTGAAAATGTATGTTTTTTTTACAACTATGAGAACAATTGTTAAAAGTCCTTCAAACAGGCCATGCACACAAAAATTAGTCAAGCAAAAAATATTTTAAATAATTACTCAAAATATGGAGTTTGTTGCACAAGGTATAACAATTTCAAAGATCTTTAAAACTTGGATTTTCACCCTTTTGTCCATTTCAAACCCGGTTTATTTATCAGATGATTTCAAATTAACTTTGAACATTATTGGATGTTAGTTTGCACAAATTACAGTAATTGCAGTATTCCTTAAGAATGTATTTGTGTACAAACATCGTTTATAAACATTGCTCTAGATCAACACAATATCCATCATTGCAGCACCATAATTCTTTACTGTAAATTTATACTTTTAAACTAAAACATTAACTATCTCTTTCTTACCTGTACTATGTTATTTCTAAGGTCCAAGAGTTGGATGGTGATATTCAGTTGCAACATAGATGAGAGTGTGCTGGCATCGGATGGAACAAGATAATTATCTCCTAAATATAATTCCCTGATGGACTCATTCAACTTGATTCCAGCACCTAAATACAATAAAAATAAACTTGTTCATGTTTGAAGAAATTCATCAACATAGTTTGAATAGGATTCAAAACAAAACTTTTGCAAGACAATAAATTATATTGTGTTGTTTTAAAAGGTCATAAATTTTCATGGTGGTCAATCGTATTCAACTCTTTTTCCATTTAACAAATTTATAATCATAATACTTGAATACAGTTTTATTTTAAAATGAATAGTTTTAGTCAGGGAGTATCGTTAAATGTTTTAAGATTTTAATCATCCAAGTAAGCGCTGTTTTGAGCAGTCTTCTAACAGTTACACTAACACGGAAAATCTTCATGTAAATACATGTATAGTTTAATTTTGGAAAACATAAAACCTTACATAAAATAAGCAATAATTTTCCTGATAGGTTGTTGCCCTCCAGATGAAGTACTTTTAATGTTGCACTCAGTTTGATTGCACGAGCCATGAATGCTGAGCAAGGATCATTTAAGCAGCAATGTCGAAGATCAACAAATTCAATAAATTTGCACTATAAAATGAGAGAATAATAAGACAATGATAGAACAAAGGAAAAACAATAAGAGAACAATAAAAACAATAAGATAACAATAAAAAACAATAAGATAACAATAAAAACAATAAGAGAACAATAAAAAACAATAAGAGAACAATAAAAAAACAAGATAACAATAAAAAACAATAAGAGAACAATAAAAAAACAATAAGAGAACAATAAAAACAATAAGAGAACAATAAAAAACAATAAGAGAACAATAAAAACAATAAGAGAACAATAAAAAAACAATAAGAGAACAATAAAAACAATAAGAGAACAATAAAAACAATAAGAGAACAAAAAAAAACAATAAGAGAACAATAAAAAACAATAAGAGAACAATAAAAAATAAGAGAACAATAAAAAACAATAAGAGAACAATAAAAACCAATAAGAGAATAAAACAATAAGAGAACAATAAAAAACAATAAGAGAACAATAAAAAAACAATAAGAGAACAATAAAAACCAATAAGAGAACAATACAAAACAATAACATAACAAAGGAAAACCATAGAAAAAAAGGAAAGACAACAATCAAACAAAGGGAAAACAGCAATAGAAAGAAAAACCAAACAAGAACAAAAAACAATGAGATACCAAGAACAATGGAAAAGGAGTATGTAAGTACGTATAGATAATACATTGGAAAAATGTACAGTAAGTAATGATTAGCATCACAAGTAATTTTTGAAAACTGTTTTAATGTAATATATTTTTCAAAAATCATGAGCAATGTTAATCATTAATCATAGAACTTTCCACAAATTTTTACAACATGATAATTTTCTATATTAATAAAGGAGGCTCATTCTTGCCAAGTCCTAAGCAAACTAGCAATGTATTTTTTGCTTTACATATCACTAAGTTAATTGTGGATTGACTTTTGTTTGCAACCTGCAACTTTAATTTCTAAAAAATAATACTGCACTCACCTTAACCGATCACAGTACAGAATTGACATAATTATGTGACAGAATTAAACAATCCGAACAAAGTTTTATCATAAGAAAAAACTTTTTTATCTACTGTGTTTTATTTCCTTACTTTTCGAATCATTTGGCAAAATGTTTGCCATCCTCTTGTCTTTATTTTAGGATTATGTCCAACAAACAGATGAAATGCCGATTGATAAAACTCTATCATCTCAATAATAGCAATGACACCCTAAAATGCCAAACAATATTCCTTTCATCAAAAAATCATTAAAAACTATGTTCATTACTTTATCTTTCAATGTGACATATCACAAATGCCATGTTTATCCCACTTCTAGTCAAAATAGATTAAAACAGTCACAAAACAAGAATTTTCTATGAATTTATTGACTTGGTGGTTTTTATGGGAATATATTTTCACATGGTTGCCAAAATGACCCAGAAGCTAGAGGCCAAGGAATATTGCTCAGAGAGAGATAGTGAAATACGAACTGATCAAATCAATAAATAACTTGTTTTTTTTTATATTCTAGTTCTTTCTGCTTCTCTAATGGGAGGTATGACATAATTGCTCATATGGCCTCATTAGCCAACCAAATTGCAGAAATAACATTGGCTTGCAAATAACTTATAAAATAGCAGTAACCAAGAGATGATTGCTATCAAATAATTTTACACAGTTTAAACACTGTAAACAACTGACCTCATCTTCTAGGCTTGTATTTTCAATAATCAATGTGTGTACTCGAACCCTCCTGAAAATTTCCTCCAAAGATTCACAGCTTTTCAAATCTAATTTGATGCCTGTTTCAATAGAAGACAAACTCATTGCAGCATTAAACCTTGTTGCAGTGATAAAAACATGCATTACCTTTTAAATCTAACATGTCGATTCTTTCCTCAAACACATCATGTTCCTAACAATACAATCAAAAAACATTTTCACCAAAACAAGTTTTAATAGAAATTAGTTATTTTTGACTATTTTATGAATTTTTTGAGAAAAATCTTATGTTTTCTTTGAGAAAAATCAAAGTATCATTGTAATATTTAAATTGACCTTCAATTGTTTCAAGATCCTATCAATGGGTTTTACTTTCAGATGAGCACATATATTCATGTAAGCTTTGATCACTTCTCTTGATGTTGTATTGCCAACTAAATTATACACAAAGATAGCACAAATACGTTAACTGATAACAACTGGTCAATACCTGCCACTGAGGTTACAATTTTTACAAACTGGACTAGGATTAAACAATTACTTTTGAATGACTGGCAATATTTTATACTGATTGTAATGTTTATAGATATGGAAACAAATTTTAATTAATTTTTAACAGTAAATGTTGCGCTGTTGACGGTCAGTTTAATAAAAAAATCTACTATAAAATATTCACATTCAAGGGCATGCCAATTACATGTTTTCCTTTGTGCATTTTTTACCATTTTTCCATGGATTTTCTGGTTCCACTGACTTCGATACAATATGAGCATCGTCAGGAAATGAAACCTTTCGCTTTTTCGTCTTTATATTGGCCTGCTTAGTTGTAGACAGGGTACTGTCCGTACTGAATGCATCTTCGTTCTCTTCCCTGCTTCCCGAACAATTTTCCTCGTTTATATCCATGAAAAGTGTTCATCCCATCTTCATACGTTCATGCTGTATTGTTTGTTCCATTTTGAAGCAGCGTTGATTGCCTTCTCAGACACAATAATTAAAAAAAAGCAATTTCGTCACTCTCTCCTCTATTCACACTTCGAAAGTGACTTCGTACTCGGCAGGGGGGAGGATTGATGAAAAAAAGAAAATCCTACCATGTGATTGTTGCAAGCAGCAGCAGGCAACAAGTTCATTATTTTTTTTGCCAGTTTATCAAATATCTGTTTTAATATAAAGATTAATTTTTTTGAAATTGCGCACGCTTCTTGTGTAAAATTATTTCAATGAAAGTACAATATAGACAATAGTCTTTCAAGATGAACAATGTTAACAAAAATTTTCTCCAGTCCAAACACTGTGAGGTAGCCTGGTAACTAATCGCCATATTGTTTCGCAATTTTATAACAATATCAACATTGAGTTTTATTAAGCGTATATACTGTGGTATATAAATGTTTTATAAACTTAATTCACTCACTGGTCGCTTACGTGTTGACGAACCTTTTACTGCTTATCAGCCGCAGGTATGATAGATCTTACTGCTTGAATGGACAATGAAATTTTTGAAATAATATAAAATAAAGTTATCTTCCTATCTTTTAACTTCACACCAGGCATTAACGGAACTTAAACAAGACATTCCTCGTCCAGTCATGGCTTCTTCTGCCTCGACGGGAACTTTTTCGATCGTCAATCGAGCAAGTAACATTTTACAGAATCAAAAATTCTTCCAGGTATTAAATTAGCAAATAATGTAATGACAATCACGATTTAATAAGGGAAAGTACACGGATACTTTGACATCTTTCTTTCCAGGGGGGTGCTTTGCCTGTGTATCTACTAGGTGGTTCTCGAGATAAGATGGTGTATAATGTTGCTATGGGTTTATCTGTCATTGGTATTGGCATAACCCTAGGTACCATATATGGAATGGCCACTGGAAAACTAAAAAAATCTTCTTGATGTCCTAACTAAATGACATTGATTTTGGAGAGTTTTGAATGATGAAGTTAAGAAATTCATATTTTGTATTTATTCAATAGTAATTGTATGAGTATTTTCCCGGTTGATTGTAATTCTTCACTTTCAATCAATGTTGCTTTTGAGACATTGATGACTTATGTATTATATAAATTTATTTCTTTGCATTTCTTTGTGGTAATGGTGGAGGTGGTTTTTGCTTGTCTGGTTGCTCGCCCTCTTCATTATCATAATAGTAGTAATCATTTTCATCATAATAGGCTTCGCCATAATATTCATCGTCATAGTAATCACCATAATAGTAGTCACCTTCACCTCCATAATAGTTGTAATAATCATCATTTTCTCTGGTTCTTGACTTTGGTTTTTTCTTCTTTTTTTGGCAACCACAACAACAACATTCTATGACCAGAAGTTTTACCAAATCCAAGATTGTAAGTTTCCGTTTGCGACGCATCTCAGTCAAACATCTTTGATCAATGACGTCTTTCTAATTAGATGATCTAATCAAGCTAATGAAGATTTGCTTAATTAAGTAAATAATTTATAAGCAAAAAAGAATGATAATTGATGCGATGTAGCTAATGCACAAAGACACTTGCAAGTTAACAAACGAAACGAGCTAAGTTGATCGAAATGAACTTTTTCCACGTAGGATAAGATAATTTATGACTAAAGTCGCAGCAGTAATGGCAATTTCCAGAAAAACACACGACTACTTTTAACAGACACGAACAAATGTTTTTTTTCCGAACGATATCCACAAATCACTGTAAAAGTATTCACACAATCTGTTGTCTAAATCATCTTGAATATCAAGAAAACAAGATGTCTATATTCGGAATCTGTTTTATTTTGTTTTACTGTAAAAGTATAAAAAACATCAGTTGATACTTTTAAGTTCTTGTAGAAAATGGTTTAGCGAGAGATGGATCACGACAGGAATGGCTGCTAGAATCTTTTCAAAGCCAAAGCTATGTACAAATAAGATCATTTATCTTTTTCCGAGATCAGAGGATCTTTACCACTTTCCGTAACGTTTACACCAACACGATTGCCATCACTGAACATTCGTTTAAGTGACTTTGAAATTGACAAATTTCATATCTTTCAAGGAATCTTCAAACCAATTATCAATTGGTTGAGATCCCTGACGAGACGAGGTAGACAAAAATATTAATCTAGTATGTTCTTGCAATATCAAATCGTCTTTTCTATTCATCAGTCTTATTCTTGTCCAATCATCCGTCTTTTTCTTGTCCAATCAACAGTCTTATTCTTGTCCAATCAACAGTCTTGTTCTTGTCCATTCATCAGTCTTATTCTTGTCCATTCATCAGTGTTATTCTTGTCCATTCATCAGTCTTATTCTTGTCCAATCAACAGTCTTATTCTTGTCCATTCATCAGTCTTATTCTTGTCCAGTCATCAGTCTTATTCTGGTCCAATCATCAGTCTTATTCTTGTCCAATCAACACTCTTATTCTTGTTCATTCATCAGTCTTATTCTTGTCCATTATCAGTCTTATTCTTGGCCAATCAACAGTCTTATTCTTGTCCATTCATCAGTCTTATTCTTGTCCAGTCATCTGTCTTATTCTTGTCCATTCATCAGTCTAGTTCATTTTTATAGTCTTGTCCATTAATCAGTTTTGTTCTATCATCATTCTTCTTGTCTATTCAGCAGTATTTTAAGAAAACTACATAGTAATGTTTGACAAATATTGCGTTTCAATCGAGATCTCTTTCTCTTGCTTAATCCATTGGGAATCAATGTTATATCTTATCAGACAGTCACTTATATGACAATGAATAAAAACACACATTGTCATTCTTCGTTGGAAAGATATGAAATAAAATAAAACATAAAACTTTCAAACCATAAATGAACTCCGTCATCTTTCCAGTCTTACAGACTTACATGATCTTGAAGAATTAAGATCATTTTAATAATGTTCCCGTCTTTCTGAAAACTGAGTGGAAACCATTGAATTGAATATAACTGGAATGCTACTTCCGCCAAAATTTGAAGCCAGAAATTCAACTAGTCCCAATCTTTCGACGTGCAACTAAAACAAAATTCATGTTGAACACGCGTGTCTAGAGTTTATGTTTGGCTTCTACAAAAATATTTTTACGGTAAAGTAAGCGTTTAGTTATAAATTCACTTCAATGGTGACGTTTTACGGCTAAATGTCAAATAAATACCACAGAATCATTCGTACTTTTCTAATTGCATCCAGTCTATATCGCGTAAGTACGCGTGAGATTTGACTGCTTGCACACCATCCAATGAGCTTCCTGTGAAAAACAAACAGAAAGGTCAACCATTATTATAAATTATGGATAATGATGTGAGCAAAACTAACAAATGAAAACTATACAGTCTCACCTAATCTCTCGCGTGGATTATGACATATTAGCTGGAAGAGAGAAAGATTGATAAGCCTTGGGCTTAGTTTCAAGCATCTACACAAGTCTTGCTACACTTTGGTACAATCACCTGCAGGTTGCACAAAAACCTGGTAATATCTTATAGAATGTAAAAAGCTACTATTCAAATTGGGCAATCAATAGAATGTAACGTTAATAAAAAGATAACAAAGTTAACATAACATTGTAATACGTTCGAAAAAGTGGCCATCCAGTAACGTCATCCGGGATTCTTGCAATCAATCATTACTCAATCTATGATAACATACCCCAGATAGAAATGATCTGGCTTCAGGCGATATATCTTGAGAAGCAGGAAATGCGAGAGGTGAATGTGGATATACACCCCAAGGTTGAGTTGATGACAGCACCTTGGTACACAAATATTCGTTCAATGCATAAAAAATACGATAAAAATAATCAATATCACATGAAGTACCTGCCCAGTGATGAGCTCATAACTAAGTACACCAAGACTCCACCAGTCTGCCGCCGTAGTAATTTTCTCACCAACACAAACCTCTGCAATATGAGGACAAGTGACACACTAAAGCTAAACATATCCATTAAACTCCCAATACATCCTCTGGTATCAAGACTTACCAGGGGCACAGTAAAGACGAGCTACTGCTTCAGGATCGACCGAATTATCGACCTCTTCCCAGACCCCAAAATACGATAACTTAACATGTCCACTTTCATCCAGTAACACATTACATGGCTTTAAATCCCTTTAAGGTTACAAAGAAGAAGGAAAGAATCGTGACAAGGAAACAAACAAAAAATACAACATTGTTCATTCTTAGTTACTTCAGGATTATTCCAAGCGAGTGTAAGCTATCTATGGCAAGAATTAACTCCGCAATCCACAGTCGTACATGTCTATTTCCAATAATATTTATGTGACATTGATCTATAAAACGAGCCACGTCGTCCTGGGAACTATTGGATGTCACGTGATGCAAGTCTGAAGTCCCGAGAGAGTAGACATTTTCTTGTGAATTTTCAAGACACGTCACATGAGACCAAAGATTGCCTCCACTGGCGTACTCAAGAAGGAGGAAAATTTTATCACTCGTCTCAAAATGACAATGTAAATGCACCATCCGTTTCAATTTTGCCTGAAAAAAGAGTTGCCTTTTAACACTCACAGTGAAATCTTCCAAAATTTTATTATGATGACTGCGATAACTACGTTCATTAGCTGCGCTTACATATTTCCTTGAAAAACTTCTATTCATCTTCTCTTGATTGTCTTGTTTATAAGCGCGGTGGATTGCATTTGTTTTATGTAACGCCTGAAAACCAAAACCCCATAAAATTGTAGTTAACGCAAACGAATTTCTACAAAAACATATTTTTCCTAAAGAAAGTTTCCCAGCATGCATATCAAATCAAATAACTATACTTGCAATCGCAACTTTCGCTCTGAAAGAAGCTTTTTTCTTTTCAAACTTATTAACATTTAGATATAAAATAAAACAGAATCCAAAAAAGGGCATCTTGTAAACTTAAACTCAAGTTAGCTATCAAACAAGGAAATTAAAAGTGCAATATTTCTGATGTTGGTTTTGAATTAAAACCGAAATATCACACCTTCAATGGTCTTGTTTGATAACTTTAATTTAAGTTTACCAGATGTCCTTTTTCAGATTATGTTTTATTTTACACCTAATGAAATTGTCGTCAGGCCAAGGATTATCAACATTTTTTAGGTATTATAAAACTCTACATTATGCTTGTATTCTAAAAGCTCGCTCATACCAACTGAGTGAGACATAAAAATTACGCTCTCTCTAATCATTTCTTTAAGTAATCAAGTAATCAGTGTGGAGAGAAAAGGCCGTCATCAAATAATTATGAGGTGATTTTGAAGCCGCACTCAGTGAGTGTTAGTGAGCTTTTAGTTTACCGAGGTAATCTCTCAACTTTCATAAACACCTTAACGACATAAACTTCTTCAAATCCCTCGCATTGTGCCAACATATTCTACAAAAAAAAAGAAGTTACCGTTTCTTTTTCAGAAAGATTAAAACACAGCGACACTATTTTATGTTTTTATCCATTAAAACTTACGTTTGATATGACACCAATTACTTTAATATGGGACAAATCAAGCTTTGAATATTTAACATCAACAAAACCATTAAATTCATGATTGAGTGACAATGCAGGCGTAATTGAAGGCGTCATGTCTCCAATATTATCCTGGTCGTGTTCCTGTTTCAAATATGTATTGTATAAAAATTCTGCTTTTACTAAATATTGAGCCGTTTTCCTGCGAACTGCTTCTCGTCGCTTAACATCACCATCAACTGCAAAAGTCAATAGTAAAAGTTAAAGTGCTATTGAAACAATGGTAAAAAAATAATGAATAGCGAAAGTAAAGATAACATTAAAATAAGACAACAATATAGTTAATAACCAGGACAATCAGACAATTTTAAATAAAACAAAATAAAACAGATTTCGAAAACAGACATCTCGTTTTCTTGATATTCAAGATGATACAAGAGTTTAGACAACAGATTGTGCAATATTTCGCCACTATTCCAAAGACATCATCAGACTAATAGTTTACAAAGCAAGCTGTGAAACTTTTATTTAATTATTTACAGCTTGCTTTGTAAACTAATAGTCTGATAATGGCATAGCTAATTAAATTTCAAAACTTTCGTTTCACTGACACTTTAAGTAAATCTCATAATTTGAATCTATTCAATCACTTACGTTGAACGCCTTTGAGTAAAATACCAACACATAATTTGTACTTCAAAAAAGCCTTTTCGTACATCTCATTTGCCTCGCAGTACAACGCTTCTTGCATGATTTGAGCAGCATTGTAAAGATAATCCTTCTTTTTTGGATCAATCCAGGACATCGCAACGTTTGACAGTTTTCTACCAATAACTTTTCGCGCGGCAGTGTGAGAAACATCTTGCAAATGTTGGTCAATAGGACCACTCAAATTGTCCTTTTCAATATCGTCTATCGTCTCCTGATTAGTGCCAGTCTTTTCAGTGTGGACCTGATCGTTCGTGTCGTTATACTCATTATCGTCCGGTAATGATAGACGATTGTCATCATTTTTATCGACAGATAAATCAAGTGATTTGTCCTTATCATCAGAATCATTTGAAGGTAATTCATTCGATAAGCGTTTTTCATCAACGGTGATAGACGAAACCTCACGATTATTGTTCGAGCCAATGACCTCGACAAATACATCGTCGTTTTCATTTTCTAGCAGCGTAGGTAATATATCCAAATTTTCATCATCATCAACAAGTTCCCAGTCCTCATGATCTTTGAACGAGCAGGAAGATTGGGATGCTAATGTTTCTATATCATCACCTTCACTACACAAGGAAATCGCATTTGACAACCATTTCTTATCATCATCAGACAAACTGGTATTTAAATGGAAAATATCTTCTCTTTGTTCATTGTCCGATCCTTCTCTGTCACTTGAGTACACCTGTGGAGTCCATTCTTGAGCATCAATGACCTCGTTAGTTTGTTCAGAATCACAAGACTTACTAGACAACGATGGTTTATGTTCCACGCCATCCTAGGAGAAAAATCACATATTCATTAACAATTTCAAATTTGCTCTTAAAAATAAATATCTTTTTCACACTAGAATATAGTGTGAGAATTAAATACAGTCAAATTGGACAGAGATTTGTGCTTAGATTAGTGGCATAACCAACTCCTTTCTTGGGTAGCTATTAACAACAGCTATACATTGCTAAAACTTCGACTAGTGTGCTAATCTACACACAGCCAAATAAAAGTTCATTATGACAGTAGTTGTAAAATATTAACAATAAAACGTGTGCATTGATTAATTAATAGCTGAGTTTGCATTAATAGGTGCAAACCGATCTGAGCTCAATCGATTAAATCAATTAAAGAAAATTTGCAAATCAATCATCAATACAAGTTAGAGGAAAAATTAAAACAATTGTTTTTCATTTGTCTGTTTTGCATTATTGTTATTTTATAAAAGAAATAAAAGATTTTTTGTGATTGCACTGGCTTATGCAAAACCTCAGAGACATTTGTGTGGATTATCAAGCCTCTAACCAAAGGTCTCCTTGATTTTCATAAGACTGTGCAATCACAGTAAACATAACTTTCATTGTTAAAATAATGAATTGATTGGATGATTTAAATTCAATCTATTTAAAAGGTCTTTTGTATTGATGAACAAAAAAGAATTTACCTCAAAAAACTTAATGAATGGTTCACTGGTGTAAAGATATGACATGTTTCCAGCAAATAAAAGCATTGACATTGTCTGCTTCTGTCTTTCTTCTATCACACCATCATCAAATCGATCTTAAAATATTTGATACAATGTATAATTATAAAATGTAATATTGTATATAGCATCCAACAAAGTAGAAGACACAATTAAAGTTATCACTGAGTTTTTAAAAGCTTACCAAAATAATGCCCTTTTGCAAACCGTGGAAACTTGTTTTACCCACATTTCTCTTTTCAGTAAATGATTCGAGCTCCTTGTATAGTGTTCAATTTCACTGTAACGCTTTAAACACAATAACCTAATAAAAATGAGAAAAAAATGAAAACAAATACTTTCAAATTGAAAGATCTCTGTTGGTTTGTGTACCTCTGATACATCATCTGGGCAACCTTTAGGATATATCTAAAGATTTATTGAGAAAAAGCACAATACATAAAAATAAAATTTCTGGACACAATAATGGCTATTGTATCCAGGGGCATGACTGTGGGAAGGGTTCGGTAGTCTGTGGGAAACCCTTTTTTTGTATTTGTAGGAAAAATAGAATTGTTAGTCATCATAGATTGGGAAGATTTACTTCATAAAGATGTTTTGAATTTAATTACAGTGGCTACTACTTAATTAGTCTAAACCTGGAATTCCTGCCATAAAAATGTATTTACTTCACAATAGTCAAATATAATCCTTGAACTTCACACACTTATAAATGTAAATTGATTTTTTTAAAATAATATATATAACATGCAATATAGCAACCAATTAATTAACTGGCTTTCATAAAATCAAAATGTTTCATTTATCAATACCTTGGAAGAAATTCGATAAACTGTGTAGCCTGCATGTGTTTTTTGAGGATTGGAAACGTCATATTCCCGTACCCAGCAGTCTTCTTTATTCATTGCAGGAGACGTGGCTAGGTTTTCCAACAGAAATAATTTTCTCTCAAGAAAATACGATTTATCCTGTCGCAACCATGTTACATTTGCTATGTCAAATTCGGTGATGATATTTGTTGAATTCTGGTCTTTTCATCGATATTATTCTATGATTCACAACGTTGGCAAGATCCTTATGAAATCCTCTACAAAAGGAAGTAGATATTAAAATAAAGCTGACCTCTGTCTAACGAACCCTATCTTGCATACAAATATACAAACTATTTTTGATTTCTCCTGGTTTATATGACCTTCATGACTAGTTTCCAGTCTTCCTCATGATAACACAACATATGTATATGGCGAATTTTTTACTGGGGAAAATCAGAGCCCTCTATAGAATAATAATTATAGAGGGCTCTGGGGAAAATATGTAAAAAAATTTATTTTATATTTTAGAGTTTTTTTAATTCAGAAAGCCAGGACGCTCAAAAAGTTGACACACCGGCGGTTGCGAGTGTTTTCTTAGCTTAAATCATTTTTTAGGAACATGAATGTAGCGGGGTATGTAAAATTAGACATGTATTTTAGCGAGAAATTCAAAGAGAAAGTAAGTTTTGTTCAATTTTCACAACATCTTTTGTAAATTATTGTATTGGAGAACAGCACGAACAAGGAGACCATCCTCCTCCCACCCACTGGATTCTTTTGTTTATTTTGAATACATAAAGTACAAATTGCGATTTTCATGCAAGCGTCTATCCAATACCACTTTTTAGCCAGACTTCAACGTTAACGATGATCATTGATCAAATAAGGTGCAAGTACGTATATGGAAACGTTTCTGGGATAGTACACAGATCTTTAACACAAGTGACTCACTAAAACTGTGTCACTGAGTTTTACAATGGTTTTATCAGTGTTGCCAGATGAAATTTTAAAATATTCATGCTCGCTTGCGTCAAAAGTTCACAAAAATGGCAAAAGTTCATATTACAGCTGATTTTTAAGATCGGAAGTTAAAGGATTAACTCGGAAATTTTCAGAAACTCTCGGAAGTATCCGGAAAACATCGGATTATCTTAAAATCGTCGAGCTATGAAGATTTTCTTTTCATTGAACTATGATTTATCAATACATTCTTTACGAAAATGATGAAAATACAAAAATGCATAATATTTAGAAAAGTTCACAAAAAGTTCACAAACTTTTAATGTTCATGAAATGTTCATGAAGAGAGCAAAAAGTTCACAAATCTGTGAACTTTGTTCACGATCTGGCAACACTGGGTTTTACGATGACTGCTAAATGCTATTCCACTCAGTGCTCAGTCCCAGTGTTCACCATTGTTAACTCATCTTTTAGCGGCCAGCTTATGTACACTCTGCGTACCGACTTTTTAAATTAGTTCACAAACTTTGATTTTTTATTCTTTTCAGTCTTTTGAGTATTGATCAGTATTGATCCAGTTAAAAATTGTTCTAGATGTTCCAGATTTTGCGTTCTACGAGAATGAACCATTTATAAGCAAACGATCCAGGTGGCATGAATAACCATAATTTATGCACTCAGTTTCTTTTCTTGTAACTTATGGAAAAATTAAAATCAGTGTTACAGTGTTCAGTGTCTGCCTGCCAGGGTAATGGTATAGTCAGACATAAAACAATATTTGTAAAAGTTGTTTTGTACTTTACTACATTCAATTTTGCAATGGCGATCAAATCTCAATACTCCGGCGATTACCGACCATATCCGAAAACCTCCGTACGTAAGGAACAAGTACACAAGTTCAAAAACTTTCTAAAATTTTATGTGGCAAAAATACCGTCAAAAATGGCACGGATTCGATTGATCACCTTTGATGCAACCAATACTTTATTTCGAGTTCGTGGGAGCGTTGGTGAAATCTATTGTCAAGTTGCTTTAAAATATGGCATCAAAATGGATGCCAAGGTGGTTGATGAGTGTTTCAAGGAAGCATTCAAACGATACAATGACGAATTTCCCAACTTTGGAGCAAAGGCTGGTTTGTCATCCCAAAAATGGTGGCAAGATGTCATTGGATGTTCCTTGAATCAACTAATTCCAACTGAAACTCTTGAAAACATGTCATCGTATTTATATGCAGAGTTTATAAATAAAGGTAACTGGGAGATATACAAAGATACTGTTCCAGTGCTGAAATTTTTTCAAAACAGGAACATTAAACTTGGTGTTGTGTCCAATTTTGATGAAAGACTTTCATTGATAATGAGAAATTTAGACTTAGATAAATATTTCGATTTCATATTACCATCAAGACAAACTAAATGGTACAAACCAATGAAACAAATTTTTAACCATGCTGCATTGATGGTTGATAAATGTCCACCTAGTCAAGTTATTCATGTCGGTGATAATTTTGAATTGGATTATCTTGCTGCATTGCATGCTGGGTTGGATGGTTATCTGTTGCTACGGCAACCCACCAATGACAAAATTGACCAACTTTTATCCAAGAAAGTTCCACGCCATAAAATCATCCATAGTTTAAAAGAACTTACTTGTTTACTTTAGCAGTGAGTGAAATTATGGCATATGTGAATACTCCAAAATTACTCTTGTGGTACTAACTAATATTGATTGTCTTAGGTGATTATTAGACTTGTACGTAACAACATTGAAACAGTGATTTCTAGTACTAAATCCAAAGTCTAATAGATTTTAAATTTCAATGTAGTCAAGATGCATGGGGCTAGTATAGTTTACCATTATATGGATAGTGAGGACTGCATATTATATGGCGTTCATTTCTAATAAAAATATGAACCAAAGTACTCAATTAAAGGTATCACATCTATTTGAAACATTAACTAGTAAATTATACTAATTTATTTGATCATGCGCTTGCATATTGGAATTATTAGTAGAAACTTAAAATCAATTGGTTTTATAGTACAATGTGCCATCTACAAGGCAGACTAAAGATCTCAGATACTTCCATCGATTTCTTCGCCTGGTTTTACATACAGATCATCATCGCTTATTAGCGCCTGAAAAAGCTGCAAAGTTTGGGGCAAACAGTAGCTTCTTATTAAATGATGACAAGCATAATTCCTCACGTCAGTTATCTCAAAGATGTTTGCCAAAAAAAGATGACCTTTGCTGGACCGCCATCCACATCAATAAAAACGTATCGAAACTTCGTGTATACTTGCCTCAAAATTAGATTACTCCGAAAATATGGACATAAAATATAATTTAGTAAAACACATTAATTCTCTCAAAAATATAATTAATTTTAAAAATTCTCTTATAATAAAAAGACCTATTTACGTAATAACATATAAACTCTACCGTTCCATGTATAAAGAAAATTTCCATTTTTGAAGCAAGTCACTTGCGCGGCAATTCACGGCAATTATTTGACGATCTGAACCGTCATTCTTCAGACACAAACCAGTTGATTTGTGGCGTAAAGTCATGTCAGCAAAATGCTCAAAAAACTGCAAAGAAGACGCTTGCTTTTAGAATAAGCACGAAGAATAAGAAGCACAATTCCCTATCATGTAGTATTATATATACCTGAGCACCATCTTCTTCACAAACGTTCATAGTCACTTTGTTTTCGGGAGTTAAAACAGTTAGGCACAAATCGCCATGTTTTATTTGGTGATGGATGGTGAAAGACCATTCCTAAGAGTATGAGATGTAAGTTTCATTTCTATTGTATAGAAGGACCAAGAGCATAAAAACCGCTTGTTTCCAGTATAAAACAATGCAATCTTAAAATTTACCTGATTGCCAGACAAACTGTGACATTTGTGAGCATGAACTGTTCCCCCAGCAACATTTCCCATTGTATCAAGACACATGTAGCCTTGCTTTAATTCTCCAAATGCAATATCTTTATCATCTGGAATGCTGAATACAAAACATTATTCAACCAGAGCACTTTACAGACAAGTGTGACGACCATAACCACTTGACAGGAATGACTGAAGGGCCCCAGATGATTATATGAGGTTTTCAAAATGAAACATGAATGAACGCACAATAGGCCTAGTAAACAATCATCATCGACAAATATAATAGTGAAATCTCAGCCAAGACTTACCTCAGTTCAGGATAAACATTTTCTAAGTACCACTTAAAAGACTTGCATTTCAATTTTTTCCGCAGTTCAATTCGAGACTGTATACTAATAAAAAAATCATAAAAAGTTGATATTATTTGTACATGTAATACTTTAAGTTGACACTTTTTAATTTGCAGTTAAAAGTTCATCTCTTACTTGCCATAGTAGTGTTGTTTTGAGCCCCTGTGAGCAGCAAAAAAATATTTCTTATAATCATCCATCCACACTTCTGCAGTCCTCCTTGTGTTTCTGAAAACGCAAGAACTTAGTTGATTGACTGGGTTAGTTCAGAAACAATGGTGTTCTCTGTTTGAACAATGAAAATTGGAGATGAAAGCAAAAAGGAAGAGAAAAATCCATTAAAGTGTCTTACCTAATGTATGTATTTGCAATCCCATCAGGAAATGAATATGGATGTTTCTTACGAAACACATGACCAACACGAGAACATGGTATTATTTCCATTCTACCATGACACATCCATGTTCGAAATGATATCTCTTTGGCAACCAAAAAATCAAGATTTAGAACTAACAAGTCATGCTGTTTATAACCTTATAACTCACCAAAATTTTCACCACCCCATATATCCATCATTGTATCATATTTTCCAATTTTCCGAAAGAAATCCTTATTTACCATAAACAATCCACCAGCAATCATTGGGGTCCTAAAAGGTGACAAGTATTGATAGGAGAAAATAAACAGATTGGAAAGATCATTTTGCTTCATTTCATCTCAATCCCACTAACTTGATTGGAGAAATTGGAGAATGATGTCGTTGATTTTTTTGATCAGGGGTCAAGTGGTCCCATTTGAAATGTAAACTCCAGTCAAAACCTAAATTTTATAGAGTGATGTTTCTAAGCCACATTATTATGAATCATCCTATTACCACAAAGGACATACCTCCTCGAATGTTTGCAGATGCTGCAATATAATGGAAATTATTCATACTTATGACATCAATGATTGGGCAAACAATTGTTGAAGGTTTCTTTAAATAATAATAAGAAATCATAAAGACGCACAATGCACAGACAAAATTTAGTCATGATTTTAAAGATATGTTACCTCAACAACTCGATGCAACATGGGCTCAAGCCATCTAACATTACACTCACAATGACTATCCAAGAATGTTAAAATTTGAGAAGTTGCAGCATCAGCTCCACGCACACGAGATCGAATTAAACCTGAAATTACCATCATATAAGTTCACTAATCTGAATAAATACTTTGAAAATACAGGTGAAAATATACCTTCTCTTTTTTCGTTACGAAGGAGGCGTATTTTAGGAATAGACAGCAGCAATGATCCATCACTTGCTGCGGCAACCATATTTAATAATAAAAGATGTCAGCAACCATGACGACAGTTGACAATGAAAAATTTTGAAATGTATTTCTACATATTGACATATACATACGATCATCGCTAAAATCATCAACAAGAATTATTTCTCTGATTAGGTTTGATGGACTGCGTAGTAAAATGCTGTAACCAAGAGATAATTTTTCATCCTGTTAGACTGGAACGTTGTTTTATGATCAAACATAAGATAATGTAAAAACCTTTTCACTGTCCTTAGCAATGTCGATCGTGCTTCATTATGAAATGTGATTATGACACTGGTTGACGGTAAGTGTTCGGGATAGCTCACGCTTGCACATCTGAAACATAAAATGACTTGAAAAGTTTGAAAAATCTCACAGAAATTCATATTGGCAATATATACCTGGCATGTCTAGTGTCTGGAATTGATCTTTCACTGGACAAATTATCACTAGCCGTACGATTAAAATTATTCTCTTTAAAAACGTCTTCGCGGTCCTTTCTCATATTCACGTATGATTTTTCATCGAAATTTTGAATGTACACGCTTTCATCAAATTTCCTCTAAAAAATTGCAATAACTCCGCACAATTTTTGAAACTGCTTGACAATCAGATTAAAAGCTACTGAAAGCAAAAATTGCATATTTTGCGCATATCAATTAACTCAATGGAACTTACCTTCGTATGTTTATATCCTGGCTTATAATACATCAACCACGTCATACAAATTGTTGAAAACAAAATATATAAAATGCGTCTTCTTCGTACAATCATTTCGAGAAAAAGGATGCATAAAAATACTTAAATCGCACGAAGAACTTCGGCATTATTATTGATTTACTTATTATGAAATTTTTTAATTCAATTCAACCAATGAATTTAACAATCAACACACGAAAAGTCCCAATAAAAGTGGAAGTTCCCCATTGGTTGAGACCATTGAGCTCTAAAAGACCTGGAGGGGCAAAGGGGCCTGGGCCTCGTGGTCAAAAACATGGCGGTAATGGCGGATTTTGGTTGTCAAAACTTCCACTTTGAGAAAAATTTTTAACATTCGCTCCCTCCCGAAACGGATCTCTATTACTGCTCATAGTAATGACAACCAGCGAAAACAACCACGATGCCGTAAGCATAAAATATTGAAAATAATGCTTAAGATTTTTGTGAAATAAACACACACATTTAAATGAGGTAAATCTACTGTAAAATAACGTATATTTTGTCAAGTAATGCTTTAGCTATATTAGAAATAAATATCAAACGGCAATCTTTACACTGTTAACGTGTTGTTGCTTTAATGCATAATCCCATGCGCATTACTTGTGTTTTGACTGTTTGTGAACAGCTTGGTGCAACTGTCTTTCTTGAATAGATGGGTAAATCTTAGTTGAAATGTCGAAAAAGGAGTTAGAAAAAGTTAGCTTACCCCTACGACTTAAGTCGACTGGAAATATATTATAAGTAGGTATGTAATTGTTTTGAGTTTTTTTTGGTAGGATTGATTCTGGGTGTCTTATAAAGTATTATGATATTCTGATAAATCTACTGAGAACTTATGAGGAAAATATCTTGAACTAGGAGAGCAAAAGAACGAAATTCAGAAATTCTATAATCATGTTGCTGATTCTGTTTTAAGCCAAGATATTAGAAACTGGATTGTTATTGACAACCATGGATCTACTACTGAACAGAACTACATAAATTTCCCATTAAAATACTATTTCTTAAATCAAGTGCATTGGTTTCTCTGACATAACACTTTTCTTATTACTGCATGAAGGCAAACCTGTTTAAATAATTATAATGTAGGTGAAGATATTTAGCATGTTGTATAATTGTTATTATACAGACATTATTTATAATATTATGGCCTTGTGTAATGTATGTCAAGAACTTATTAATTCTCAAAAATGCTAACCTTCTTGCACTACTTTTCTTTTGTGTCCTTACAAATTACAGTTACCTATACTAATTTTTTCTAGGTTCAAACAACTTGACAAATTTTTGAATTTTACATTATGCCTTTGAATTTTTCTTTTTGTCTTTTGGTAAAAATATCAGTGAATGACTTAAAATCAAGTTTATCTAAAATAGTATTTTGTACAAAGTAACTATACATAATTGAAAAGTCTCATGTTGAAGACAGATGTGGCTTCTTTACTAGATTGCTACTCTTATTCTTTTAAATGATATCGTAATTCTTCAAAAGACATAAAAAGTTCTTTGCCATCAATTTTTGCTTCTTCCACATTCAACTTCATTGCAACCAATGCATCTTATGTGAATTTTTAATCACCTGGAATTGAAAAATGTATGGATTTTGTCAGATGATGCAGTACTGTATTTAATGTTTCATGCATGTCATGATAAGCTTTTCTTGAGCAAATATTTCAAGGTAGGAGCAAAATTTGGCACATTATTGAACAAAGTAGTTTTATCTTGATTTTGATGTACTAACCTGTTTAGTACACTGTGTAACAAACAATTCATTTACAGAAACACCATATGGCATTTATAAAACTTTTAGCATAAAGCAAACCTTTACACACCATCATCATGCTTGTCCAAATCTGTCAAATTGTCCAGGCTAGCTGTTTAATACAGGTAATTTTTATTGTACGACATGTACCAAAGAGCTCATTAATTAATCCTGCACTGCATTTGATTTCAATACAGCTCTGTCCTTAATATTTGCTTCATATTTTCAGAAAAATATCATGAAAAAATCCTCCATTTCAACTCAGTTGAAACAAGGAGTTTTAAGATATGCATATCTCGATAAGAACTGGTTTCAATGCCTCGTCTAGCAATCGATTAAGTAAAGAACAAATAAGACTGGATAAACATAACTTAAATTATAACTTAGGAGTAAAAACATTCACAAAATATATGCCATCACACTTCAAGTATTGACTTAAAACAAAACACTGAACACTTTAAATAGTAAACAATCTTACGTTGCTTACCGGTGTCATGAAATGTTTTTTCTGGCATTACTTCAGCATCCGTATACCAAACAAGTTTGCAGCATGTTTTAAAGATAAAATTTCTAAAAGTTTTTGTGCTTGGCATTGATATTTTCTATAATCGCAATTGTGGTTGTCAAATCCGGGTGGGCGAAAAAAATTTTATTTTATGAGCCCGCGTCTTTCCGCTGACTTTGACAACCAAAATCCGCCATGTTTTTGACCACGCGGCCGCGCGCTAATAATTTATACTAATTTTGTTGACGTTTCCCCTCCAGGTCGTATAGAACTCAATGGTTGAGACCATTGAGTTCTATATACCTGGAGCGGCTAACTTTACTGGGGCGAGGACGCCAAAAAAATGGCGGCCAAAGGACGTATTTCCGCTGAAATGATCGCTTTGCAGAAAAATAATATTCTCGACCTCCCCCTGGTGTCTATAGTAAATTATAAAGAATTTTTCGAAAACAAACACGATATCACAGAATATGGATATCGTTAGTTCCATATTCTGTGACGATTCTTTTGGCATTTCTTTATAATGCCAACACTTCAATCGTTCAATTGTTGGATGTCGTAGTTTCCACAAAAGGAACATATCGCTTCTCAAAGGTGAGGTAGTTGTTTGTTTGTTAGTCCGTCAACGATTGAAAAGCAATTATACATGCACTTGAAAAGCCATAAAATACATATTAAAGATCGTATTTTTTTAAGACTGACTTGAACGCCAAATATACTGATGTTTTCCTGTTTTTGTTTATAAAATTCTGCATACTTTTCTGTCATTTGTTAATCCATGAAATCGTAAATTTACCCATTTATTTGCAAAATAGTTTCCCTAAAGCAAAAAAGACCCTGCACACATTTTGCTCTTTGAGTAAGTATCAAAAAAGAAATGATCAGCCCCAACAGTACCCATGATTTGGAGCAGAGCTTGTTATGTTCTATTTGCTGACAACATGCAGAGAAGATCAAGGAGTAAAGATGACTGGAAGATGTTATTGACCAGGCAGAGTCTTGAAAGATGATAATGCTGTAAAGATAATTGATTTATTTTCTGCCCTATCCAGAGTTATTTAATTTGATCGTGGTCAAATTCTATGGATGGAGACAATGGATTCACTAAGGATGCCTTGAATGCTTTGAAGTTAAAGTTCATGATCCAAAGAAAGATGGCAAGAAGGTTGTGTGTGTTTTGATGCTTAATGAAATGTCAATTCACAAACATGTAAAATGGAAGGCCATAAAGTTTGTCTATGTAAACATTTGTACTGAGATTGATGATGAGTCAGATGCTTCAAACTGTATAAGCCATAGGTTTTATGTAACTTAATGTTTAAATGATCATATCTAGCATAAGAGTACACTATAGGTATTTAATTCATTTTGATTATATTGCCTTGCTATGACATATCTACTTGCACTTCATCATTCTTGTATGAAAACACCAGATGTGGATACTCAGAGAACAAAATGCACTACCAACAGCTTATGAATTTTATTACTGAGGTGAAAAATGTGTTAATCATTCAAATTGTGTACTTATATTGCAAATATAGGAAAAACAAAACAAAGTGAAAAAGAAAGGTAGAAGTATTAAAACTACAAATGAATTATAAACACCATTGGAAGCATAAGTGTTTTGATGATTATTTGCATTTTGCCCAATTCATATATCAATACAACAAAATCAAAATGTGCTACAACTTTACAAGTATTTGATGCAGTTGCACTTCAGAACATCACAAAAAGGTTACTTAAAGTAATTTCTATGCAATATTGTTTGTTTTCATTTACCAAACCTATGCAGACTTGAGTCTTTTTGAAATTTCATATGAAACTCAATCACAGAAAATCTGTAAATATCCAGAGATTTAATATGTACTTTTTTAAAGCAACAAGTAAAAATCCTACAATTGTGGCGAAAAAAGCCATTCCCCATTGCATGAAAAGAAGCAAAATAGCAATGATAACAAATAAGCAAACTTCTCTCTCGTGAACCGTGGAGATGAACTATGATATACTTTTTTGTATAGACTAAAGAGTTTAATCGATCAAACAAGTTTGACGCTGGTAAAAAAACGACGCACATCTGCATTCATACATGTGTAGCCGACATATAGCTCTTTCGTCTATAGTTATAAATGCATCCTCGTAGGAGCACATAACTGACAACCACAGTTGACTCGTTGTTATGAATTTAAGGTTTTTACCTTGATTTTCATCAAAAAATTGCTTGCCGAATCCCAAATACACACATATATTTTCCTCACTCTTTCCTCAGGAGGGAGTGGGAAATTGTGAAATTTTCGGAAAAGCGATCAATTTCGGTAAATCTCAGCGGCAACGGACGAAATCCGCCATTTTTTTGGCGTCACCAGATATCTAAGGCCGCGCTTGAGATAGCCGCTCCAGTTATTATAGAACTCAATGGTTGAGACTTGAGATAATGGTTGAGATTATAAAATATAAAACATACTATCTTGATAGTAATCTTACTATTTTTTTCACAAAAAATAAATTAAAGACCTTTTCAAAAGACGTCTTACAAGAAATGTCATAAATCACCATTGCTTGCCATTAGTTAATATTTTTCACCCGGTTGATAAAAACTGGCACAGAATGTTTTAAACAATGTAGAAACATTGCTTGACCCTAAAAGGACTGAAGTTGAAAAACTGTGTAGTTTTTACATACTATTATACTAATGATGATGGTTGGTGATTGTTAGTATTAGTGGTAATATAATACCAATTACTAATGGTAATAGATCACTTCTTTTTTCGTGATCATGTGTTCCATCACATGAGTTGTCATTATGAGATATACTAACAGTTACAGGCAAAACATGCACTGTAGCTACATACAAGAATGTCCCGGCAGAAAAGAGCATAGCAATACCAGTGCCCTTTGTGCTTGAGAAATTTTCTTTACCACTCTAAACACAGAACATTATGGTTTCATACACACAAAGACAAACACAAACTTCAACAAACATTAACTCTAATGAATTACATGTCACTTACCCAACTAATTAGCATTATATGACAAAATAGCCAAAAGTGGTGCAGCAATAGAAAACACAAGTAAATGTTTTCTTATTTTATTCCTTGTCAATCCCTATATCAAATCCAAAAATTATAATTGATTAAACACATTATTGGATTATTTCCAAAACTAAGAAAAACATTGGGGTCAAAATTAGCCAAGTAATGACAAAATATTCCACAACAACAAACAGTGTAATAAAGTTTTAAGCAAACCTGTTGCAGTAAAAATGTAGTCAGACCAAATGCCGCAGGTGCTTTATGCAACATAATTGCCAAAAATACAATCATCTCTACTTCAGGTTTTGATGAAATTGCAGCAGCACCCATTGCTATACCATCCGCTAAATGATAAAAATATGATAGTAATTGCTTTTTGTTTTATACTTGCAAACAACTACATACAATAGCACAAAAATTTTTAAATGGAATTTGCACTTTCAGCCTTCTCAATGTTATATTTTATAATTAACAATGAAATGACATTTAAGCAATATTTTGAAATAGCAAGGTTAAACAGTTGGAATGTTATTAAGCAACACATGAAAACAACATAATGCTTTAACCAACAACTATTGACAATAACAACCTTATCTAACAACATTTGAATGTTGACCTTCCTTGTAAACAAGTCAAGTCTATTCAAAAGTAGTCTTGTGAGTGGAAGGTTAACATTCAAATGTTTCATATAAAGTCATGATTGTTTATAGTTGTTGGTTAAAGCATTGTGCTATTATCTTGTGTAATACAATCAAGGCTTGGAATGTATTTGTCAGGCTCACAAAAATGATGCACCATAGTTTCTTTTTTCTATTTTAAAGAGTTATTAAACCCACCAGCAGCATGAACAACAAGGCCAATGGTTGCTGTAAGATTCCCATTATTTTTTCGTGCATTATTTTCAACATCTAAACAAAGACAAATTTAACCAATATATTCCTTAGTTTGGATCAAGGCGAGAGGCACACATTTTATGAAAATTGGGGTTGTTCTACATTCTAGGACCAACTTTTTCAGTGTCTATATTTAATTCACTTAATAAAGCCTAAAAAATTTTGGCAAGACCAACTGTTCTGTCCTTTGTCAGTTTTTGTACAAACTTTTTAAACATATTTAATAAAAGATCACCCCTCACTGCATATTATGTAAGCCTTTGGGTCCAAAAACAACCATCACCAAGATACCTGTCGTAGAGTGAAAGTCAAAATGTCCTCCACAACAACGATCTACCATAAGCATAAAGACAAACCCAAGACATAAAGCACCACCTATGTAAACATGAGTTTCTAGTTCTGGCAGAGAAGTGAATTTAGTCAGAAAGCTTGTATCTTGAGTAGCCTCAGACATAGCAGTTGTTTTATCATGATGTTCAAGGTGATGTTCATCTGAAAGAAATGAAGTTCAATAAAACATGAAATAGCATGAAACAAGTAACAAATTTGTGATCAACAATACATACGAATATCATCGCCATCGTAGAGGGGCAGTGACTCCTTCAGGTATGATAACAGCCAGGGTACCAACCAACAAACCAGCACCAAAAACCGTTACCATGTGTAATTTATTCTGTAAAATTTTGAGAGTTACAGCTGGTATATTTGTTTGAAAGTGAACTCAATGACCCGAATGACTTACCTCTGACAAAGTTATGGACAAAGGTAACATTCCAGCTATATAACAACCCACGAAATGGCTAATGAAAGCCATATAATATCGGTAAAATGTTCCATGATTTTTTGCTAAACTTTAAGACTCACGAGTCAAAATAAAGACATCTCGTCAAATAATTGGTCAGAATAATGATTGACTATAATTGCAGCAATTATTTAAAAACGAGCTTTGTGCTTTCTCAGGTTGCAATTTCTTTGCCACGTACATCATTACCATTCTTAATTTATATTTTTGAATGATGTGTTGTAGTGAAGTTTTATCGATTAAGCCCACGGTTACCGTGATCATCGAAATCGAAATCAACATTGTATAACGATACTTGATGTAACCACAAAGGAACTTGAATCTACTATTACGTCTTTCGCTAATCTTATTTGTGTATTATTTTCATTTTGAATTTTCATTACACATTCTTCATATTTACATGTTCCAAATTATTGCATTTGTTGAAAGCATAAAAAATATGAATATTTTGAGTCTCTGTGAAAACAGCTCTGTGTGATGAGAATATCGAATTATTTTGACTTTTTTGCTAGAAACGCGACTCTATGGGTCCGATTAAACCAATGGGAAATGTTTTGACATGTCTTGACCATTGAGGCGAAAGACTGAAAAACTTCACATCGTCCCAAGTAACCCCATCAATCACAACTAAAAAAAATATCAAAAAACTTAGGAAAAAGCAAATAATTAAAGCCTAATTATAATTACAGCTTAATTGAAGTATATCAGCTTAATTAAAGTATATCAGCTTAATTAAAAGATAATCACCGTTTAAGAAATCGTTTTGACACTTGGATGTGCAAACAAGTTTGGTGACATTGGCAACTATCGTTCCTTTCGTAGATTCCAAATCTTTTTCTTTTGATTTCTTTCCTCTCATCATTGCTTCAAACGCTGACTTTGCGTGCACTGAAATTTTATTGTCATCAGAATGCGTTGAGTAATACGTACAGCAGACAGCCTCCAGGGTGCCTTAATCATATGAGCTACAACTACATTAGATGTTGCCAAAAACATTGCAGTTTCTTGTTTACCTTTGCGTACATGTTCTTTCATCGTCGCAATCATATGTAGAGTTCCTTGTTCTTCAATGTTGCTATTTCGACTAACAACCAAAGATTTGAATGCTGTCTTCAGTGTGGACTATAACATGAGTAAAGACAATATTTTTACAAACATATATAACAAATACAACAGACCTTACTATAACAACTACAACATACTTTACTACAACTACAACATAACTTACTACAGCAACTACAACACACCTTACTACAGCAACTACAACATACCTTACTACAACTACAACATACCTTACTACAGCAACTACAACATACCTTTCTACAACTACAACATAACTTACTACAGCAACTACAACATATCTTACTACAACAACTACAACATACCTTACTACAACTACAACATACTTACTACAGCAACTACAACATACCTTACTACAACTACAACATACCTTACTACAACAACTACAACATACCTTACTACAACTACAACATACCTTACTACAACTACAACATACCTTACTACAACTACAACATACCTTACTACAGCAACTACAACATACCTTACTACTACAACTACAACATACCTTACTACAACTACAACATACCTTACTACAACAACTACAACATACCTTACTACTACAACTACAACATACCTTTACTACAACTACAACATACCTACTACTACAACTACAACATACCTTACTACTACAACTACACATACCTTACTACAACTACAACATACTTACTACAGCAACTACAACATACCTTACTACAACTACAACATACCTTACTACAACTACAAACATACCTTACTACAACTACAACATACCTTACTACAACTACAACATACCTTACTACAGCAACTACAACATACCTTACTACACAACTACAACACACTTACTACAGCAACTACAACATACCTTACTACAACTACAACATACCTTACTACAGCAACTACAACATACCTTACTACAACAACAACATACCTTACTACTGTCTTTCTTTCCTCCAGCAGCCCAGTAATCAATCTGTAATTCCATCAATTCATTACAAACCGCTCCACTTGGTGGACTCCATTCTCTGTAAGGAATAATATACCATCAAATATTCTCAATTTGAACACAAATCTTAGGCGGTAATTCTCACCGACTGGTATTGTTTCCAACTTTTAAATCACTTGGTGGACTCGTCATGTTGTTGCTTGTAATAGAAGAGCTTTCTTTCACATGTTGCAATGATCCTGGTGATGTTGTGTTCGTATTCACAATTTCTTCATTTTCACCTTTAAAAAAGGAGACATGCTTTTCTTACAAAAATATACGTAGTAATCATACTGAGAGAAAATTCAGCGGCTACAAAAAAACAAGTATCTACTTTCGTTACGCCCCGCCTCCCGAGAAAGGCAATCAATTTTATTCATATAAGGGGATCCGAGTGCTTGGCTCAAGCAAAGTTACTACCAGCATTACCAACATGTAACTACGTGATAATTTACCTGCACAACCAATTCTCACCATCTAAAAGAAATATTTAAAAATCAGATAATTACAAACTACCTTAAGGTAAATGGACTCCAATGGAATGGGATATTTTCGAAGCAATTTCTTTCACACATGGTAAAAAAACTCACGCCTATAAATGGGATAAATTTTGAAGAGTCGTCATCATTCACTCCTCTTTTTATAAGTGCTTCTGCTATTGGTAGATGATGAGTAACGCTCGCTCCGTTTACATATGTCTTAATTCTTTGATTCACTGTCTCGAAATCTGGTAGAAAAAAAACGAAATATTTTTAGAAGAAACAGGCCTTTCAATGGACAACGCTTTCCTATGTAAGTAATGACAGACCAGCATTTGAATCAGGTTTTTCAAAGACATCCCTCCACACACTATCCATAAACAAGGACGTATATCTTGAGTCAATGTGTGAGATGTACTTTCCAACAGAATGATTGCAGTCTAAAAAAAATTGAAGCAAGAATAGAGGCATCAGTGATAAATTATGACATGTAGTGGAGTTTGCCCTCTAAATATTCGGTGTGATCCGACCGAATTGAATGCTGACAGGCCTTAAAACATTGCAATTGAAATTGAAACGCTTACATTAGTATTCCGCATACGTAGCGCAGATTTGGTGTGTCCCCCACAAAAAGTGTTTTTAACCTGCACCTCCCACACTAACCCACCTAGTGGCAAAGTCTTGGCGACACCAGCAATGAGTAAAGACATAAACTGATCAATCCCAACATCAGTGTTATATAACAATCTATAGCAATGATTCTAGGAAGTAAGTAACCTTGGACTTTCGACAAGTGGTATTTTTTGAGTGCTACTTTTGAGTGCTACAATATTTGACTGATTATGAACAGCAATAAACATTGCATGGTAGCTACTTGGCACTAAATGTAAATTAGATATATAATTTATCCATACATTATTTATTTTTCGTATATTAATATTATACATTAATATATTGTAATTCAATATGTGGCGATGTCTTGAGAGTTAAGACAAAACTTTACGTTTAATAGCTATATAACTATTCAACACCTAAATATTTTACGTCATTTTTGAAAGCAGTCTGTTAGGTTTTAACATCCTTTATCGAAATGGTCTGTGTTTTATTTATTAAGATACAGTGGGACAACTCATAATGCTGTAATTTCCTATATAAATATCTTTTTCTAATAAATCTTTTTATTAATGGTTTAAATTACAGTATAGTAATTTGACGGTTTCAACAAACCTAATGGAACGATGAGAAATCGTACGTAAGTCTGCCACATTGGTTTTGAAGAAAATTGTTCCACAAACGGTTTTAGAATAGCACCAATGTAGCTTTCAGTAGCAGCAACGACAATCTTCAGACACGGAGGAGATATGGAGTGTGAATGGCAGCTAATCATTAAAATATACAATAAAATGAGAAAAAATGATATATGATGAATAAAATGCAACATATACGATTAACAACAAAATTGCAACATTTACAATTTCTGATATTTCACCAAGATGGCGTCAATAACTTCTTGTACATCAGAGTCTGAACTAGTACAAATCATTCTTGATTCCTGTTTGTCCTTTAGTTTCAACGCTAACAACTGTTTTTCAAAAATGATATTAACAATGGAATGACGTCAACACGCAGGAGAGACGAATGGGTACTGAGGAGACCTATAAACCATTAAAAGACGAGAGTAATAATGCATTACCTGTCCTTGCCATTCCGCTGTATTAATCATTAAGATGCTGGAAGGAAGTTGATTGTCACATGGAAAGCACATGGCAAGTTGTTCAGATATGGAATTTGCTGGAATATCCTAGAAAATATGAATAATATATATACATTAATATGTTCCTGTGATGGTCTCAACTCCTAGTGTAAATATTTCCCAGAAAACGATGTAGGAAGACGAACTTGAATTTCTAAATCGCTTTTCCTTCTTTCCAATTTCACTTTGTTTTTATTCTTGACTTCTTTGACGGAGAAACTACGTTTTGTGTGGCTGCCAGTTTTCAGCTTACGTGGCGTTTCTGTTGTAGGAGAGTCTGAATGTGGCTCGGAGTCCGAGTGTGGAGAAGCAAACTCCTAAAAGATAGCGTCATTTCATTGCTTTTCTCACCATTGAAATTAAAATTGCATTTTTTTATAATTGGAACATTTTTAGAAGTGTGCTATTTTAAACACTAATCATTATGGCTTATTCGTAATTTTTGGTATATATTAATATTTTGTAGGAAAATTGCCACCCGTCCTGCCCCCCGCCCCCCTAAACAAAGCTAGAAGGGTGGACACCCCTATCCTAAATTCCCCATTTCTAGCTTTTTAAGGTTTACGCAAGCGCTACCTGAGTATTGTGCTCAGCTTCCGTTGACTCTTCGCTGTCAAATCTCGTCACCTTCTTAAAATTGCTCGGTTTCTGAGAATAATTTCAGTTTATGAAAAATTCGTTCATTGTACGTCAATAATGATAATAAGTTAACATACCGTCTTTTTTTCCACGTACATACTGTCCAACGACGCAGTGCGATCAAAATAAGGTCTGGAAAAACGTAAGATGTCAAATGATGAGACAATTTCTGTCTATTATATGAAAACTTGGGTGTCATCAAACGATAAAGAGGATAAAGAGGGTATTTACCAGTGCCTTAGAAGCTCTGATCGTGCTATGTAAATGTCATATCATTAGTATTTCTATATAATCTATTGTTACAGTAAGTGATCACAGAGCATACATAGCATGACCAAACTTGCAGTAATGTCCACAATGTCACATCATGATGTAATGTCCACAACGTCACATCATGATGTAATGTCCAGAAATGTCCTGCGATGTAATGCCTTAATATGGGTTTTCTGTCTTTTGAAGTAAACTGATGTTTTCAATACCTCAACTTTGGTTTGTCCTGTGATTTGATACTTGCTGTATCCCCAAGTTCAATGTCACTTTCACCATCACTATCAAAGTCTTCAGGATAAATCACATCATCTGCCATCATGTCCTCTGCACCTTCCGCTTCGCGTGGACTACTTTCACCGAACACCTGGAGAACACGTGACTTGCTTAGGTAAGCATAACATGAAGTATAACATCACGAAGTTCCATACCTCCTCCTCGGTAACTCGGAACTTCTTAAGGAGAGCGATAAACTTTTTCTTGAATTTCATTTGATTCTATGAATGAGAAAAGTGTACGTACCTAGAAAAATTTGTAGAGATAATTCAAGTTTCACATGCATAACTTACTGGTCGAAACTTAACTTTCCTTCCTTTCGTATCAGGATTAAGAATATCCTACAGAAAGATTATCCATATGAGATAAACATCTCAATAGAAATTGGATGGAAACCGTTCACCTGAACTTCTGGAGCTATTTCATTTGCACTATCAGAACCATCTGAACTGTAAAATTCATCTTCCTCGTAGCTCGAGTTCTCCTCTAGAACGCGGTCTGAAATGCAAATAAAACATCAAGACCCCCGTACATTTATTCATTCTACTTTATAACAGGAGGGGCATACCAGAAGTTTGTTGAGGTATTTCACGATCAAGATCATTCTCTACTGGTTGACTAAAACATCATAATATAACTAGTAAATGACTATAACGGAACACAAGATAGTAAATGAACATACTAAAGAATATTGCAATGTATGTCTTATACATTTGATTAGCTACAGCACTATACCACACGTTGAATAAAGAAATAAAAGGATTGAAGGATACCAGGTAGTAAATGAGGATATTTAAAGTTTCCCCATCAACAATTTTTTTTTGTTGGTGCTATTAAAATTAGGTCTGACAGACCTGTCTATCGCTAAAAAAAACGTCCGGTCAAGTCGGTCAAATCGTCCTGTTTTTATGGCGGTTTAAAGTTGCCTTTCAATGAACCTTATCCGTCGTAGCTAAAAGTCTGGGTCTAGCCATATTCTGGTGTCATATATGTCATAGTTGGTACATATATTCCGTGTTGACGAGTCCCTTGAATGACGTCACAAATATAAGTCGTTCCAGACTTTTTGACGACGGACAAGGTACATCAAAAAGAGCATTATTGCCAATTTTGAACCGCCATAAAATTGGAAAGTTTAGTCTAAATTAAAAACTTTATTCACTGGTGTGTTAGAAATCACACGTAGATTTTATATTGCGAAATAAATTTTTACATTTACCTGGTTAGGTTTGTCATGGTAACAGTAGCCACAATAGTTGATTCCTCTTTAGTGTACATATTTAGAGGACGTTTAGCACTAACAGGACATTGTAGGATCTGCGGGAATATATGCGTTCATCATGTATTAAATGGAAGGAGATAGAAAGAAGAAAACTAGAAAAGTTGATACCTCAGAAAGATTAACAAGACCAAGAGCCAAAGTTTTAAAACCAAGTATTGGTCTCGCTTTGTATCGCTTTCGTCTTTGTATCATTATCTGAACGTTGTTGCGGCTCCGCTTTAGAAAGTGAGGGTACTGGGGAGAGACAACGAGTTTTTTGAATGATGATGACATGGTTAACATGAAATCAATAATAATTGGTTTACCTGGAGGGAGAAAGAAAGATCAAGCTCAGTGTCAATCAAGCCATTTGAAGACAAAGCGATCTCGTTAGAACGGAGAACTCGTCGTGAGCCCTTTAAAAAAACGAAAAAGCTGCAGTTAAATTACCAAATGGGATACCATTAGACACGATAGGATACTATCGGGGATGCGACAGGTCACCATAGGGTCATACACACTTGCCTGCATAGATACGGAAATCACGACATGATTCAAATTGGTTTCCATTTTTTTCAAAATTTGAAGACGAGTCAACTTCACTGAAAATAATCTAAACAAATGATAAAACGAACGTCTTTATTCAACGATCTTACTGCATCAAATGATATCCATTCTCGTCTTTATAGAATGATGATAATTAGAGGAAGATATGTGGTATTATGGCCTATTTACTAGGCACAACTTTTCGCTTCAACGTCTTGAGTACACTATAACTATATGATTGTATTATGTCTATCTATTCTACAACTCCCTTAAGTCAAGTGTACGTGACCCTGAAAAAATCGTAGAGTCTCAAAACATGTTATTAAAACAAGATGCATGCGATGATTGTAGGAGAAAATTGTACAGTGAAGCTAAATCAGATCATAGTAAGTTTCTGGACCATATATCCCATGTAATTCATCATTGATGTTAATGAACATCTGATATCTTCATATCGATAAAAGCCCCAATGCTTCCTTGCACAACATTGAGGGAATGCAACTGCATTAAATTGATAGCAATTTTGGGTTCTTCTCATTACATAAAAACGGCAGCATTATAAAATCATATAAGTTCTTTCCATTCGGCTTTTACAGCAATTTTCATCGTCATCCTCACTGAGATTTTACTAATTTTCCTCACTGAACTCAACCACATTTAGTTCTATCGATCATTTTTTCAATATGATTTTCTCTCCCCACGAAGAAATCACTTATATAAGAGCGAGACAGTAGACAATAAATATAAATAAGAAATATTTGTGAATATTCAAACCTGCATTGGATAGTGTGTTCCCCTTTAATGCAATACAACTGACTACTTAGACGTTTATTATCAATGGCCATATTTAGAAATTCTTTCGTTGTAAGAATATCAAAATTTTTATATTCCAATACTGAGAATAGCGATGTTTAATATCGGCAAATCAACTGTTCCTGAATAAGAATGATCACTTAAAAGTCACTTCAACAATGTTTTCGTACTCTTATAGCGATAAACTTGGGAAAGGTCGCAAGAGAAGCACCTGTCGGAATCAACATTCATTCAATTAATGACGGTTTCAAGTGAACGAATACGCGTACATTCCTACAATCAACTTTTCTTCGCGTTTATCGATCGAGAGATCTTCATCCCTATTTTATGAATCTGTGATAAAAATTCGTGCGTTGGGAATTTCTGTTTTACATAGTTCAAACGCTTGACATCTGATTGTTAATAATTAACTATCCATTACTAATTTAAATAAAGATTGAATCTTGATTGAAAATAATCAACAATTCTAGTCCGTGTACGATTTTAGTTTTGACAGCAAACAATGTACAATTATATCACTATTGTTTTAGGGGAGTTTTGGCGTAACTTCTGAAAAAAGAATGCTATATTATCAATCATTTTCTATTACAGCAAACACAAAATACTCTTGTGTCTTTGAAATACAATGCATTACACCAAATCAACTAAATTTCTTTGGACGTATGGGGATTTATAAATACATAAGGGACTTAACAACCCATTTCATTTATCCTTGATGCTATGTCATATAATTTTTGATAAACATTGATTATCATCTCAAAACCCCAACGATCCCTTTACATAAATTATTTATATCAAAGTACATTCAAGGACATAAATATTTAAATCATATTCAGATTTTTCAATGTAGGGAGATGCATGGGAAATTTACCAATATAAGTTTTCCCCACTAAAATTAAAGAAAATGTCTAAATTTTGAAAATCATTTTAATATTAACCCTTTTAATTTTAGTCTAACATAAATCACAAAACGGAACTGTCTATTATTGCTTTACAATACTAAGAGCACTTAGTTACATACTCTTTTGATCTTTCTACAATCCTTAAATATAACTCCATACAACTGCCATGGTAGGTAGAGTCTAGACTTTCTCTACAAGTCCCCCTCCCTCCTCCCCAAAACTTACAGAACTATCCGATGTGAAAATTCATCTAACATTTTGTGAAAAAAGTCTAGGTTAGATTATGCTATATTATAAACTGCTGACTTTCATAACAACACATACTAGTAACATAGGCCTATCTTCCTGCAAATTCTAAGCACAATATAGCGCATGAATACAGTCACATATGAAGCATTTTCACTGGCTATCATGCAGAAATAAGGATTAAGTAGAACCCATTTTAGTAAATTTCATTTTCTGTTGCATTAAGTAGAAACCATTTTAGTAAATTTCATTTTCGGTTGAATCTCATAAATTTAAAGGGACATTATCATCAACATGGCCGTTTTAATAATATTTTAACTATTTTGACAAGGAGCATATCAGCAACTTGCATTGTTTGACCGCTTTCCCATGCTAAAAGCACTTTATTTTACATTGGTTGTCCAACGAAGTCACAAGTCAACGAAAAATTGCTATCTGAATGAGTAAACAAAACAAAGTGTCCGACTTTCTGACAAATTTGGGGATATATGGCTGTTGAAAGCCAGATTTGAAATGTTGACAGTACCATTTATTGATATCAATTGATAGTTCCCCATAACTCATACAACATAATAGTATCCACCCCTTTGCTTTCATGCATTATGATTTGCAAAATATACGATCACTGTACGATATGTGAATAAGATAATTTGGCGAAAATTAAAAACAATTCCTGTCATTTTACTTGATGAAAACAATGTTCTCTTCTATTTTGAAGAATAAAAACAAGCGTTAATTGCGTTTTGGATTTCAAAAAACCTCTGTAAAAGATAACAAAGACCGCGCCATTAAATGTTCATGAAGACCTTATGAAGACACACTCTCAAACCACATATTAATTAATCTTACCTTGGGACGCAACTTGCAGAGTTGCTCTCGACTTCCCAAGAAGCAAACAGTTTCATCGACAGAGGTCTAGAAGGTGTCACATTTATAGCTTGTCCACCGTCCACACGTATCTTATTGTTTGTATCCGCCATTGCTAACTCAATATCAACTGAACTGTCAATGCTCAAACTGCCATTGTTGTCAACCTTCTTGTTGCAGAAACTATTCATTTCCGGTTGAGCCATATTAATCGTTAATATCAATAAATATTACCTTCTTCTGTGAGAAGTATCGTTGCATGAATGTAACGCTGTCTTTTAAGGAACAAAAACAATGTTCGGGCTTTGTATTTATTCCAACATAAATAATAATTTGCTCTCTTTAAGCAGGCACTATAAATAAAGTTTTGCATTTATTTTTCACAAGATCTCTCTCACTAGATGAGAAAACGTCTTTTGTGAAAGACTCAAAGTCAGTTTGTAAGGAAACTAGTTGCACATGTGATCTATTATAATAACAGGTGACGCTGCTAGTTCCAACAAATTTAGCATTTTTTATTGAATTGCATACAGCTAATTAGCACACTAATAATATTTATATACGTCTTTGCTTGAAAAAAAAACATTAATTTGGCAAATGAGAATACTTAACTCGCTTCTGTTTGTACTTAATCAAATAAACAAAACGATCAAAAACACAATACAATTTGTTACGCAAATTTAAACAAGGCATTTTACCTATTTGAAACGACAAATTGAATAAATAGTGAGAGTGAAATTGGAAGTGACGAAGTGGTAGTGAATAGTGATTCATCCATTCAAGTTCAAACCAATCAAACATGTGCACGCCACGCCACAAAACCATGTGGTGTTTTTGAAACCATTGGAAAGCCAAACATTATTCATTTACATAGTTACGAAACAATTAAAATTAAAAGTTGCGACACAAAGCCAATTACATTTTATGATTTTTTTTTCAGTCGAAAAGATGGCATTTCGATTTTCAGACTGTATTTTTGTTTTCATGTTTATTTCGTGGTCGGCTACTTTGGTTTCATCGTTATGTGAAGACATAACAGGACGTTGGAGAAATCAACTCGCATCCGAAGTGGTCATAGATCATTTACCAACGGGCGAAATACGTGGCCGGTACTACACGGCTGTTAGTTCAAAAAATACAGCTCTACCTGGTCATAAGATAGTTGGTTAGTAAAAGTTTCTGTGAATATCGCCAGCACATTAAGATGCGATAGTTTACAATGTTTGTGGCTAGATTGTGTAACCCAACAAAAATGGTGTAACCCAAAATGGCAAAAATCAGTAGCGTAAAAAGACAACTTTTGGATTGACATAAAGTCAAATGGCTAAGACATGGGGGCATGCTCCACTGGGAGAATTTTAAATCTTAAGTTGCACATTCAATCTCAGTGGTAATTTCTTTGTTTTTAGAGTGATTAAGATCATAGGTAGTCAGCTAGTTACCACTCCCTCTTAATTTGTGCTCAGATTTCTTCTTTTCACAAGTTCAGGGGGCTAAGATCCCACACTAACACCAATTGAGATAAGTGCCTAAATTTTCATGTAATGTGTCCACATACAGCTCCATTTCTACATATAGGTGCTTTACCATACAACAAACCTGGTTCCTCCTTTGCATTTTCTGTCAACTGGCAAAATGGATCTTCAACCACAGTGTGGACTGGGCAATGTCTAGAGTGTAATGGTGAGGAATTGTTGGAAACATCATGGTTGTTAAGATCCAACGTTGATTCATGCATCGATTTATGGAAGTCAACACGAATTGGTGAGTATGAGTATGAGTATGATGATTAATTAATATTAAATTAGTATTAAATAATTAATAATCTAATTGTGTATAGGAAAAGATGTCTTCAAGCGGATATCACATAAATTTGAAGTTCGTATGAATAATGATATCACACCATTGGCTAAACCTGCAATGCATGCTTGTGATCTTAATGGTGTATGGTACAATGACCTCGGTTCTGAAGTTATTCTCAATCAGACTTCCAATGGTAGCATAGTTGGTGAATATCGCACTGCAGTAGAACGTGAAAAGGGAGCAGCTGGTACATCTCATTCTTTAGTATATGGTTTAAGTGCTTATGGAAACCCCAAAACAACATTTTCGCTGATGGTAGTTTGGCGAAATGGTGCATCTGTGACAGGCTGGATAGGCCAGTGTCATATATGTAATAACACTGTTGTTTTGGAGATGGGATGGTTACTGCGAAGTAAAGAAACATGTGCTAATCTTTGGAAGTCTACCCTATATGGTACAAACACCTTCACACGCCATGAACAAAAGGATGGTCCTAGAAAGTCAAAGGGTGTACACACCCCAAATAGAAATGGTGAAGATGGAGAAGGTGGAGGAGGATTGTCATGTTTTACATCTGCTAATGTTTTATTAGTTCTGTCTTTTGTAGTCATGAATCTCTGTTTGCAATACCAGGACATCTTTTAAGTAATAATCATTCATAAACATGTTTATATTCACATGATAAATTTAATCCAATCTGGAATGTTAAGATTGATTAAGATCCATAAACATGTATCCTATGAAAAAATTTACACAATAATCTTAATCTAGAAGATTGATGAAGACTGATTAAGACTCATAAACAGGTAACTTATGTAAACATTCACACGATAATTTTGAAGTAATCCGTAAAATTTAAAAACGACGATCATTTTGAAGTGTATAACGAAGTATATATGAAATATTTCGTCGAAGGAATAAATTTGAAAAATAAGTACGCTTGATATTTATTGTGACTGATGTTGAAAAACAGATTTACATGAGCGCCATTTCTTGACTGCTATTATTTTCCCGCTGAAGAAAATGTTCGCTTGCTGTCTCTTTTAATTTTTCCTCATTCTTGCTTCGTTGGTGGGTGCGGCTTTTGTGTCAAGTGTTGCGTTACAGCAGAAAATGCTGATTCCACTTTGTCATTATGTTGACGAAACAAGGGCCGAATGATGTTGAAATACACGACATATGAACCGTTGGCACCAACAGTAGACATACACCAACAGAGGAGAAGAAACTTCAACATGTAGTACATAGGAAGCCAAACAAGGAACATTTCCAAAACAATCTCCAAGATTGTGACTGTACTGTAAACAATCCAGTAGAAAAGCCAATGTTCTTGATCAAGGCCGTTCTCTAGAAAAAGATTCAGTACAAAGAATAGCAAATAAAAGAGATGACTGACAAATTAACACGATGTAAACAACAGACAACGTAAAACGTTAAGGCTTGACGACAGAAAACGTAACCCGATGAGATTTGACAACAATAGACGACGTTACACGTTAACACTAGAGTACTAGACAACGTAACACGATAGGGTTTAGGAAGGCTAGAAAACGGAACACAAGGTTTAGCAACCCCACACAACGGTTTATCTCATATGTATAACGTAACAACATTGTAGCATTTTTCATAAATATCAGTCTTCTGTACTGAACACTCTTTGTTCACAATTTGATGCCACAACAGCTGAAACACAGGTATTTGTTTTAGAGCTCTCAACTTATTACTTTGTGTCTATGTCTAAGAAAACATGGCTAATGTAGTAGCCAATGATAGCATTGTTGCATTGATGCAGTTTTTGTACTGGTAGACGTACAGTTTGTTCTTTGTGGAGTGTTACAGCTGTATATATATATAGTCATATATAAATTAGAAACTGACCTGCAGCTTTGATTGACGCGTAGATTGGATAGATCGTTCCCAGGACGTTACACATCACGGCTGCGCTACGTCCCATGCAGAGATAACAGACAGCAAAGAAAAATGCGCCAATGATTAAATAACGTCTGTTGATATGTGTAGCATTTTCAAACAAACGTAGGGTACGCGACAGGACATTGTCTTCACATTCGATCACGTCGTCGAGGCTGTGCACAATGTCTGTGATGATGCGAGTTGACTCACGACGTTGCGTTGAGAAAGTTTTACTCAAACCTGACAATGCAACCTTCCATATGCTGGATTTTGATTGTGGGACGATACTAGCTTCTTGAGATGTTTGTGACATAGGCCTATCTTCCTGCAAATTCTAAGCACAATATAGCGCATGAATACAGTCACATATGAAGCATTTTCACTGGCTATCATGCAGAAATAAGCATTAAGTAGAACCCATTTTAATAAATTTCAGTATCGGTTGAATCTCAGAAATTTAAAGTGACCATTATCATCAACATGGCCGTTTTAATAATATTTTAACTATTTTGATAAGGAGCATATCAGCAACTTGCATTGTTTGACCGCTTTCCCATGCTAAAAGCACTTTATTTTACATTGGTTGTCCAACGAAGTCACAAGTCAACGAAAAATTGCTGTCTGAATGAGTAAACAAACAAAGTGTCCGACTTTCTGACAAATTTGGGGATATATGGCTGTTGAAAGCCAGATTTGAAATGTTGACAGTGCTATTTATTGATATCAATTGATAGTTTCCCATAACTCATACAACATAATAGTATCCACCCCTTTGCTTTCATCCATTATGATTTGCAAAATATACGATCACTGTGAATAAGATAATTTGGCGAAAATTAAAAACAATTCCTGTCATTTTACTTGATGAAAACAATATTCTCTTCTATTTTGAAGAATAAAAACAATTCAGCGTTAATTGCGTTTTGGATTTCAAAAAACCTCTGTAAAAGATAACAAAGACCGCGCCATTAAATGTTCATGAAGACCTTATGAAGACACACTCTCAAACCACATATTAATTAATGTTACCTTGGGACGCAACTTGCAGAATTGCTTTCGACTTCCCAAGAAGCAAACAGTTTCATCGACAGAGGTCTAGAAGGTGTCACATTTATAGCTTGTCCACCGTCCACACGTATCTTATTGTTTATATCCGCCATTGCTAACTCAATATCAACTGAACTGTCAATGCTCAAACTGCCATTGTTGTCAACCTTCTTGTTGCAGAAACTATTCATTTCCGGTTGAGCCATATTAATCGTTAATATCAATAAATATTACCTTCTTCTGTGTGAAGTATCGTTGCATGTATGCAACGCCGTCTTTTAAGGAACAAAAACAATGCTGTAACGCAACACACTAATAATATTTATATACGTCTTTGCTTGAAAAAAAAACATTAATTTGGCAAATAAGAATACTTAACTCGTTTCTGTTTGTACTTAATCAAATAAACAAAACGATCAAAAACACAATGCAATTTGTTACGCAAACTTAAATAAGGCATTTTACCTATTTGAAACGACAAATTGAATAAATAGTGAGAGTGAAATTGGAAGTGACGAAGTGGTAGTGAATAGTGATTCATCCCTTCAAGTTCAAACCGAACAAACGTGTGCACACCACGCTACAAAACCATGCGGTGTTTTTCAAAACATTGGAACGCCAAACATTTTCATTTACATAGTTACGAAACAATTAAAATTAAAAGTTGCGACAAAAAGCCAATTATATTTTATGATTTTTTTTTCAGTCGGAAAGATGGCATTTCGATTTTCAGACTGTATTTTTGTTTTCATGTTTATTTCGTGGTCTGCTACTTTGGTTTCATCGTTATGTGAAGACATAACAGGACGTTGGAGAAATCAACTCGCATCCGAAGTGATCATCTATCATTTACCAACGGGCGAAATACATGGCCGGTATTACACGACTGTTAGTTCAAAAAATACAGCTTTACCTAGTCATAAGATAGTTGGTTAGTAAAAAGTTTCTGTGAATATCGCCAGCGCATTAAGATGAGATAGTTTGAAATGTTGGTGGCTAGATTGTGTAACCCAACTGCAATGATGTAACCCAAAATAAATGGCAAAAATCAGTAGCATATAAAGACAACTTTTGGATTGACATAATGTCAAATGGCTAAGACATGGGGTCATGCTCCACTGGGAGAACTTTTAAATCTTAAGTCGCACATTCAATCTCAGTGGTAATTTCTGTGTTTCTAGAGTGATTAAGATCATATGTAGTCAGCTAGTTACCACTCCCTCTTAATTTGTGCTCAGATTTCTTCTTTTCACAAGTGCAATCCCTTTTGCCATTTTGGGGGCTAAGATACCATGCTAACACCAATTGAGATAAGTGCCTAAATTTTTATGTAATGTGTCCACATTCAGCTCAATTTCTACATATAGGTGCTTTACCATACAACAAACCTGGTTCCTCCTTTGCATTTTCTGTCAACTGGCAAAGTGGATCTTCAACCACAGTGTGGACTGGGCAATGTCTAGAGTGTAATGGTGAGGAATTGTTGGAAACATCATGGTTGTTAAGATCCAATGTTGATTCATGCATCGATTTATGGAAGTCAACACAAATTGGTGAGTATGAGTATGATGATTAATTAATATTAAATTAGTATTAAATAATTAATAATCTAATTGTGTATAGGAAAAGATGTCTTCAAGCGGATATCACATAAATTTGAAGTTCGTATAAATAATGATATCACACCATTGGCTAAACCTGCAATGCATGCTTGTGATCTTAATGGTGTATGGTACAATGACCTTGGTTCTGAAGTTATTCTTAATCAGACTTCCAATGGTGGCATAGTTGGTGAATATCGCACTGCAGTAGAACGTGAAAAGGGAGCAGCTGGTACTTCTCATTCTTTAGTATATGGTTTAAGTGCTTATGGAAACCCCAAAACAACATTTTCGCTGATGGTAGTTTGGCGAAATGGTGCATCTGTGACAGGCTGGATAGGCCAGTGTCATATATGTAATAACACTGTTGTTTTGGAGATGGGATGGTTACTGCGAAGTAAAGAAACATGTGCTAATCTTTGGAAGTCAACCCTATATGGTACAAACACCTTCACACGCCATGAACAAAAGGATGGTCCTAGAAAGTCAAAGGGTGTACAAACCCCAAATGGAAATGGTGAAGATCTACGAGCATTGTCATGTTTTACATCCTCTAATGTTTTATTAGTTCTGTCTTTTGTAGTCATGAATCTCTGTTTGCAGTACCAGGATATCTTTTAAGTAATAATCATTCATAAACATGTTTATATTCACATGATAAACTTTATCCAATCTGGAATGTTAAGATTAAGATTCATAAACAGGTATCCTATGAAAAAATTCACACAATAATCTTAATCTAGAAGATTGATGAAGACTGATTAAGACTCATAAACAGGTAACTTATGTAAACATTCACACGATAATTTTGAAGTAATCCGTAAAATTTAAAAACGACGATCATTTTGAAGTGTATAACGAAGTATATATGAAATATTTCGTCGAAGGAATAAATTTGAAAAATAAGTCCGCTTGATATTTATTGCGACTGATGTTGAAAAACAGATTTACATGAGCGCCATTTCTTGACTGCTATTATTTTCCCGCTGAAGAAAATGTTCACTTGCTGTCTCGTTTAATTTTTCTTCATTCTTGCTTCGTTGGTGGGTGCTGCGGCTTTTGTGTCAAGTGTTGCGTTACAGCAGAAAATGCTGATTCCACTTTGTCATTATGTTGATGAAACAAGGGCCGAATGATGTTGAAATACACGACATATGAACCGTTGGCACCAACAGTAGACATACACCAACAGAGGAGAAGAAACTTCAACATGTAATACATAGGAAGCCAAACAAGGAACATTTCCAAAACAATCTCCAAGATTGTGATTGTACTGTAAACAATCCAGTAGAAAAGCCAATGTTCTTGATCAAGGCCGTTCTCTAGAAAAAGATTCAGTACAAAGAATAGCAAATAAAAGAGATGACTGACCAATTCACACAATGTAAACGACAGACGTAACACGTTTAGGCTTGATAACGTTGGACGTTAACGACAGACAACGTAACGATGAGATTTGACAACGCTAGACAACGTTACACGTTAACACTAAAGTACTAAACAACGTAACACGATAAGGTTTAGGAAGGCTAGAAAACGGAACACAAGGTTTAGCAACCCTACACAACGGTTTATCTCATATGTATAACGTAACAGCATTGTAACATTTTTCATATCAGTCTTCTGCACTGAACAATCTTTGTTCACAATTTGATGCCACAACAGCAGAAACACAGGTATTTGTTTTAGAGCTCTCAACTTATTACTTTGTGTCTATGTCTGAGAAAACATGGCTAATGTAGTAGCCAATGATAGCATTGTTGCATTGATGCAGTTTTTGTGCTGGTAGACGTACAGTTTGTTCTTTGTGGAGTGTTACAGCTCTTTATATAGTCATATATAAATTAGAAACTGACCTGCAGCTTTGATTGACGCGTATATTGGATAGATCGTTCCCAGGACGTTACACATCACGCCTGCGCTACGTCCCATGCAGAGATAACAGACAGCGAAGAAAAATGCGCCAATGATTAAATAACGTCTGCTGATATGTGTAGCATTTTCAAACAAACGTAGGGTACGCGACAGGACATTGTCTTCACATTCGATCACGTCGTCGAGGCTGTGCACAATGTCTGTGATGATGCGAGTTGACTCACGACGTTGCGTTGAGAAAGTTTGACTCAAACCTGACAATGCAACCTTCCATATACTGGATTTTGATTGTGGGACGATACTAACTTCTTGAGATGTTTGTGACATCGTGGTTCGGATGGTACTAGGTTTTTCAGATATTTGCGACATCGTGGTTTTCTCGACACTCCCACCCAGCAGACACCGTTTCTGTGACGTAACAAGTCAATATGTGCATACGTCACAACTGTTTAATTAATGCATCCTAAACGAAAGCTGTTACATGAAGTTCTCCACTAATCGCTATCGTGGGCTCTTAATACTTTCCAAATCCAATATGGGCGATGAATCTTACAAACGGTGGCGAGATAGAAGGACAAATCCTTGTTCTGAAGAAGCCAAGGCTTCATTTAAATGCTTAGATGAAAACAATTACAATAGACGACTATGTGAGGTGTATTTTGAGGCTTATAGGGAGTGCAAAAAAGCTTGGAATGCAAGAAAAGCAGAAAGAAGACGGCAAGGTATTCATCCAGACGACCCATGATGATTGACGAAGAAATGACATGCAATCCAATGCAATGTGCAAGAGAAAATGGGCAATGATGAAGACTATTATTCAGTAGATGATGATTACCGAAAGATAACATTATATTAATCCATGTCTAATATATATTTCCTTTACAGTCTTGATACAAAAAAAAATAAAGTATAAAATGAACTCTCCTAACCAAAATCAAAAAACTTATCTTTGTCTTCAAATTCAAGATGGTTTCTGCCTATGAGTGTATATCATTTTTTGAAAAGTCAACATTGTACCTGGAAGTTTGAAAATTTGTCCTTTTATTAACTAGTGAGCATCTCTCCTCCATTGCTAAATAATAGAAGAAGATTCTGTCATACAACAAAATCAACAACAACTACAAAGATAATAGTTATAACTAAAGCATAGAACTATGACAACAAAGTCATAAGTTATACAACAGAATACAAAAAATAAGAACATTCATCAAACATAATCAACCTCAAACTTGGCTTTCCAATCCTTCATTTCCAGTTGATATTGTTGCCTTAATTGAAATGCTTCATCATTTAATTTCGTTTTTTTCCCTTCATCCAACTGCTGCCATCTCTTAGCACACTCTCTGATCCAATCTTTCATATCAACGTCTTCAGTACGAGGGAATTCGTTAACACAAGACTTTACAAACAAAATATAACCATTTCCTGGATGTTTTGGTTTCGGAATCTCTTTCTCAAACGCACGAAGATCTTGTTTACTTTCTGACTTAATACTTTTCAATAAACGTTTGTCTTCAGCACTCAGATTGACTTTATATTCTTGCATTTTTTGCCTATAATCGTTTAAGGCCTCTTCGTACTTCTCTTTGTAGGGTATTTTATCAAGCTCATCGAAATTACGCCATTCCTCGCTGATTCTCTTGGACATTTCCATAAGCGAGACATCGTGATAGTCTGGACTATCTCGCAACTCTTTCAGTCGTTCCGTGAGGAACAAGAGCCATGAACTTGGAGGTCGCTTAGGCTTTTCAGGGAGACTAAAAATAGCTTGAGTCTTTGCATTCCGTACTGCTAGACAAGTACAACGTTCGTGCAAGCCTTGCAGCAAAAGACTTCGACAGGTTCTCGCAGTAAAGAAACATAATGATGCCATATTACAAAACTCTTTCTCTCACTAAGTTTTCCGCCTACAAATAACCGCGTAGTTGGGGAAATGGAATATTCAAACTGCATAATCATTGGTTGAATGATTCAATTTTGACCAATGAGAAACAGCGTTTTCAGACATCTTTCTAAAACAACATGGCGGCCTGCCCTGTTCGAATTTTGAAGTGTCGTTTTCTACGATTGTTTTACAATAAAGAGCGAGCTGAATGTATTATAGGGAGCGAACGGCCTTTAGCATGTACACAGATTAATTCGGTGAGAAGACGTTTTAGGACAACAGTAGCAGCTGATGTCGACGGACGGTACGATGACATATTTACAAATTAAAATTGAAAGCTCGTTTCTATTTACGATTAACTGTATAAGAAATGACTACATAAATATCACTTTCATGATGTCTACAATAGGAAATTGATATTTGATAGTCAAACCTTGGCGCAATTAGCTGATGGTGCTGTGACCGTTAAGGTACACCTTAATAACGCAAGATTGTTATCAATGTCAAACGGCAATAATGCTAATTAGTGTATTTTTTTTTGTCAGTTTGGTAACTCCTCGCTTTTAGCGACAGTTGTTTCCTCGAAAAAAGTGTCAGAAAAGACTTCACGAACTTAAGGGTATTTATTTCATGACCAACTACTTTAACTCTTCCACAATATTGTTCTTTGCCACCTTTTGCAGGTAGATTATCAAGAGAAATCTTCTGCAATGGGTTTTATTCCAAGCAACTACAAAAGGAGAGACCTGGGTCCCAGCGAAAGAGAAATACTTATTGGCAGATTAATTGGTAGATTTTATGTCAGGACATCCACTTTACTAAATGACAATTATTAATCTCTTACAAATTACTTTATTCTGTAGACAGATCTGTAAGATCATTGTTTTCAAAAGATTATCATAATGAAACTCAGGTAGATCATGTCATTACCAGGTACGTTATTGATCCAGTCAGAAGCTGACTGCATTCATCCATTTCCATAGGTCATCTGCACCTTGCTTGCTGCAGATGGAATGAACATTCCTGATATTCTTGGGATCAATGCTGGTAACCATGGAAATAAAAGATATCATACCATATAAAAGATCATGTAATTGAAATCCTGATATTTCTCTAGTTTCAGCATCACTATGTGTTTCTGATGTGCCATGGAATGGACCTGTTGGTTCGTAAACATTACCAATCATATGTTTGTATTCATCTTGGCTTTGATTATTTTTAGTAAGGGTAAAGATCCTTTATACTCTTCTTTTAAGGTGCCGTGCGTATTGCAGACATTGATGATGAATTTGTCATTAACCCAACCAAAGAAGAGCTGCAGCAAAGTTCCCTTGATTTAGTTGTTACCAGTAGTGAACATAGAGTTGGTAAGGCTGTTGGATTGGAGTGATTATTTTCTCAAGAAAAATAAGCTGAAATTTGTGGAGTTTTGTAGTGATGTTAGAAGGTAGTGGTGTTGAAGTGCAAGACGACAGACTAATTGAAGCGATAACTAAAGCTCATTTAGAGGTTTGAAGGCGTACTTTTGTTTGCATTCTATAATACAGCAAAACAACCCAATCTTTTTTAGTTTGCTCTCCTCTACATCTTCAATATTATCTTATTATCTTTTATAAATCTTCTCAATCACAACTCTAGTGTCAGTCAATAATAAATGTTATCAAAGATCTTCAAAGTAAAGTTGGTAAAGAAAAGATGCATGTAGAAGCCCAACCCAACGACCCAGAGGCACTCACCCGGCGAGTCCAAGAGTTAGTTTTGTGCAGCAATTTTGGAATGAATATCACACATTTTTCCTCATCATAGTTCTTTAAATCTTTCAAGGCTATCTGAAGCGTCCATACGCAACATATTTCTTGATTCAAAGCTTACAAAGGTGGATAAGATAAGCTGAAAATGTTGTATGTAGACCATTTTCATTCATATCTACGTATCATCGTATTCAGCTCCCTAGAGATAAAGAGATCAAGACATTTCAAGAGACAGTTTGGAATAGATTAAAGGGTAACATTGAATTCCATACATTAAAATAAATCACAGACTTGCTTGATGTTGATTATTTTATACACACAGAGGAATTTCCTGAGACAGAAGTTCAAGTTTTTACGAGAGTTTTCAACAAACTAGTAAAAGATGTTTTTCGTGATAATATCTTAAAAGACATGGGAAGGTAATCAAAGTCTTCTCAACGTGCATTTTATAGGGACAAGTGAGTGCCTCAATAATTTGAAAAAGACAGTTCACTTGAGAAGCTAATGAACGTCGCAAATCATAAAATGAAACACTGCCGCACTCTATATATTACACAATGAATAATTTCATTCGAAACAAGCTTAATACGTCAGGATTACGGGTTTACTTTATAAATCGTACAGCTAAAAGCATCCAGCTTCAGATGATTATCTCTTACAGATGTGACGGCAGATCTTTCGACGAATTGCGTTCAATATCATGTGATGTTGACCTATTTAAACCACTTCATGGCTCCGCCGTCTTTAAACGTGGAGAGACTCAGGTAAGGATTGTGTACAACGCATGCAATAACGTACTTATTACGTTCACCCATCAACTCTAGGTGTTTTGTACAGTAACATTTGACGCCGCTGGTGCTATGATTCAATCAAACAGACGTCGTTCAGCGTTTGGGTAAGAGACTTTCGTACATTATTGTATGTTGTGCACATGAACAGCAAAAAACTCGTCATTTAATATTCAGAGACGAAATAACAAAGAACTTCTTCCTGCATTATGAGGTAGAGTAAGAAAAAAAAGGATGGCAGGTACGTTTCACATGAAATCCAGAAATAATTAATTCTCTTTTCAACAGTTTCCACCGTTCTGTAACAACGAGATTGGTATAACCAAAACAAATTCACGTCGAGAGATTGGACATGGTTTGAGTTTGTTATAATCACAACGTTGTTATATTAGATTCCTTACAAAAAAAAACATGGATATTTAGGTTCCCTTGCAGAGAAATCTCTCGCTGCTATTGTTCCACGCGGTTTTCCTTTCACCATACGTCTGACGTCACAAGTCATGATGTCCAATGGTATGAAACTTTCACAATAACCACCTTAATTAAAGTGCGCTAATTACTGTGTACGTACAGGATCATCTTCCATGGCGTCGGTATGTGGAGGGAGTCTGGCACTAATGGACGCAGGTGCATCCAAAATTCAATGATTTGCAAGAACCTGAACAATCCTCTTTCAAGCGTTTTTTAACACGAACATTGCAGGTGTGCCAATAAGTAGACCCGTGGCTGGCGTAGCTTGTGGACTGGTGACTAAATCCACCAATGACGACATTGAAGATTATAAGTTGTTAACGGATATTTCTGTGAGTGCAAACATGATGGCAAACGATCTTTATTGTTTGGATGTAAAGAGGTTATATTATAGGGAATAGAAGATTATCTCGGGGACATGGATTTCAAAATAGCGGGCACCAAGAATGGGATCACCGCTCTACAGGTTTGTGAAAGTGTGAGAAATCGTGAGAGTTACACAACATATAGACATAGACATATGCAATATTGTAGGCGGACTTCAAGATTCCTGGATTGCCACTAAATATAATAGAGGAAGTAATTCACAAGACCACAGGTTCTGATATGTTGTGTTTGCTTCGGTGATGAGAATTTTCCATTGTATAAACCAGATGTATCTAATTCAGGCGACAGATTGAAAATATTGGACATTATGAATTCAGTGATTGCAGAAGCGAGGACAGAACGTAAAGAAAATGGTCCCGTTACTGGTAGGTATCCATGATTTCTAGCTGGAAATTGTCTTTGAAACCTCTGAAGTATCCGTGAAACCTCTGACGTATTTGTATAACCTCAGAAGTATCTGTGAAACCTCAGAAGTATCCGTGATAACCTCTGACTATCTGTGAACGCTCAGAAGTATCTGTGAAACCTCTGAAGTATCTGTGATACCTCTGAAGTATCCGTGAAACCTCTGACGTATTTGTATAACCTCAGAAGTATCTGTGATAACCTCAGAAGTATCTGTGATAACCTCTGACTATCTGTGAAACCTCTGAAGTATCTGTGAAACCTCAGAAGTATCTGTGAAACCTCAGAAGTATCTGTGATAACCTCTGACTATAATAGAAGTATATAAGAAACCACTGGACGAACTTGGCGAAATATACACATCTAATTATTATTAATTGCAGATGTTGTCGATGTCTCTTTGAAAAAACGGTCTCAGTTTCTTGGTCCTGGAGGAATTAACATTAGACAATTAGAAAATTCTACAGGTAATGAATTAGATCTCAACATGTGGAAATCTTCAGAGTTCTTACAGATGATTTCATAACTTGTTAACTTATCAAGGAGTTTCATTGAGCTTCCTGGAAGAAGAAAAATGGTCAATATTTGCACCTTCTCCATCGGCAATGAAGGAAGCAAGAACTTACATCGACCAACTTTTACAAGACAAACCAGTAAGAACTTTCATCTGTCGTTATGAATTTCAACTATTCTTTCATATTTCCTCACCATAACCAATGATCTTAACGCTGTGTCCAAAAAAACACAATGATAGATGTCATTTACTTGTTCCTAGGACCCCGAGTCTTTGTTAGAATATGGAGCGATCTACGATGGAAAAATTCTTGAGCTGAAGTAAGTTTTTTCACTAAACTGATGACCAAGTATCACAAAGAATAATGAAAATGTTTCCTTGGTAACGTTAGACCGTACGGTGTGATGGTGGAATTACTGCCTGGAGCACCTCCTGCATTGTTACATAATGCTCAATTAGATCACAGAAAGGTAAGTATATTTCGTAACATCCTGTAAGTATCACTTTCTGTTTATAATAAATCATTTTTAACACGCTGAAAACTTCCCTTAAGATATTCAGTCATGAGGTTCTTGGTCTAAAAGTTAATCAGCCAATCAGAGTGAAGTATTTCGGACGTGACCCCGCCACAGGACGCATGCGTATATCACGAAAGGCTCTACTACCAGCTCCACGGCGACAGGAATACGAGAGAGAACTGGCAACAAGTTATGACAAGTCAGTCATAGATTCTGTTCGCAAGACTTTGGATTCGTAGCGGTATTAAGAATGACATAGAAACATAACACAATCAGATGGTAAACGGTCAAGATTCTGACAGAAACAAAAGAAAGGTGTAAAGGTCTAACATTAAGTAAGTTGATCACGGGCATAATCGAGGATTCGACACTTAAAATTAAAAAAATCTAAAAATCGTCTTTAACGATAACGCAGTATTAAAAAATACATTCACGTCCAGAATCTTCTTTGAAGCTACTGCATTACTGCGCGTAATTAAATATGCTGTTTACCATTAGGTGTATCATAAAGCATTCCTTTTAATTTTTACTTTTTGTTACATATGTTTGAGAGACTCGGTGAATTGTTTCAAGACGAATAATTTAACATTTGCCATTATGCAAATGTTTATGTAACGTGAAGTTACTCGGAGCGTTCTAATCACAACCTTGCTTTGTGATCAAAACATGGCGTTTGCGAAATAGTCCAATCACAATTTCCATGATGATCAGTTCGCAACGCGGCGTTATATGGAATAGTCGCATCACAAGCTTGCCTTTCGATCAATAAGTAACGCGGCGTTATATGGAATAGTCGAATAACAAGCTTGCCTGTTGATCAATATGTAACGTAATGTTGTGTGGAACGGTCCAATCACAAGCTTGCCTGTTGATCAATATGTAACGTAATGTTGTATGGAACGGTCCAATCACAAGCTTGCCTGTTGATCAATATGTAACGTAATGTTGTATGGAACGGTCCAATCACAAGCTTGCCTGTTGATCAATATGTAACGTAATGCTGTGTGGAACGGTCCAATCACAAGCTTGCTTGTTGATCAATCTTTAACGTAATGTTATGTGGAACGGTCTAATCACAAGCTTGCCTGTTGACAAAAATGAACAAAACGAAGCTTCAAAAGCTTCATTACCGTTAAAAAATATACACGTTTGTCACAACAAAGATCGCAATTTGTGTGTTGAACACAGTGAGAAACATTGCTCGTATGAACGGAAAATGTCAGCGGTCTATTTGGAAATAAAAACCGAGCAGTCTAAACGGAAGAATGTGATTGGACTGTTCAACATCATCCAACGTTATGTCAGAAGCAGCCGGTCAACGTTTCTTGGGTAAACATTAATTAATCCTACCTTGTGCTACTCTTCATCATTATCAGAACCATCGCCTGAATTCCACTCTATCTCATCAATGTTCTCTAGATCGAGTAAATCTTGTAGCGCCACAGCTGCAACAAATAACTCATGTTAATGGATTTAATAAGTAGAGTAACCCGCTAAAAAGAACACACCTTCAAGATCTGGTATCTCAAGTTCAGAGTTGTTGAATAACATCATTGCATTGTAAATTAAGCATTTGAATTTATGCTCCACGTGGAGTTTATGATCAGGAGCGTAACTTGCATGGGAACATAATACAACGAGAATGCTTAGACCCAGACGAAAAACACGAAGGCTAAAGGGGAGAGCATTGAAAATATGGTAAATAAATGGCAGATATCACTTATCTACGCAAGCAAAGGTTTTTAAGGGTAGGGAATCTTTCATAAAACGGTGCTCAAACACTTTATTACTTAATGAAAACAATTTTTAATTGTACAAATGAAGACTATAGTCTTGGAAATATTATTGAGTGGCGATGTTCCATTTGCCTGCGCCACTGATAGCAAAGTATTGCTTCATTCTGTGAGTATGGCATTCTTTATTCCAAGTATCCCAATAATATTGCGCTATCCTATGATATAAAGTAGTCCTATAGTTATCCTATGATATAAAGTAGTCCTATAGTTATCCTATGATATAAAGTAGTCCTATAGTTATCCTATGATATCCTTACCGATCATGATTGGCAAGTTGTTCCCCATCCATATCTAGAAGATAATTAACTTCATCATATAGTATGAGAACGAGACAACGTATGATCTGAAACAGAAAACACACGTGACATACAGTGTAACTTGAATCTAAATCTGTAATCTTTAATCGTCACATACTGTAACCTTGAATCAAAATCGTCAATTGAGCAAATGATACAAACCTCAAAACTGCACTGACAGTCAGAATCCAGAAGAAACTCCATTGCATCCTCTTGGCTGAATGCATAATGGTTGAGAAGCTCAATGAACTATTGTGTGGAAATTACAACGAATCGTTGTTAGTTTTAAGTAGTCACGCTAGCATTTATACAAACTTTATAAACTGTTTTGCCTTCGTTAGTTAGCTGAATTCGTTAGTTATTTGTCTTCGTTAGATGGTTGCCTTCGTTAGTTAATTGCCTTCGTTAGTCAGCTGACTTTGTTAGTTAGTTGCCTTAGTTAGTTGCCTTAGTTAATTGCCTTCGTTAGTCAGCTGACTTTGTTAGTTAGTTGCCTTAGTTAATTGCCTTCGTTAGTTAATTGCCTTCGTTAGTCAGATGACTTTGTTAGTTAGTTGCCTTAGTTAGTTGCCTTCGTTAGTTAATTGCTATCGTTATATGGGTCCTAAACATGAAAAGCACGAATTTCAGCCTGAAAAAGCGAGCCCTTAATACCTGTAAAATAAACGTTTGTCGTTGTTCGTTGTCTTCAGGCTCCTCTTCACAAGCACATTGATAAATCTTTAGGAGAATACAATCATCTATGACGGGAAAATTATTAATGTGGAAAAATTTCCAAGAATAAAATTACCCATTTCAACATCGTCACCTGTTCCCGAGCACAACATGCAACGGATGTTCTTGCAAGGTAGCAAATTAGTTAGTAGCATCGTTATCCGTGACATTTTCGGGATATTACAGTTGTTCTTTGTAACATGTTGCATAAGAGATCCATAATGAATGTAGGAGAACAAGCTGATAAAGGAAAACAGGCATACCTGTAACATAGCTCTGTTACAACGAAACAACCAATCAAAAAAGAATTGCAAATTGTAATAATAGTGATATTACCGTTCCAGATGGAGTTGATCACATGTTGTTGTCATAGCAACTAGAACATCTAGTGTCCCAAAGCAAATGATCTGGGTTGCATCATCCTGAAAATAACATGAAATGACATCATACAGTGTCAATTCATCCAACTTATTTAAACTACATACGTACCATAAATAGAGTGAGTAAATGATTCATATTCTGTAGAAGAAGGGATTGGAATGATTTCAGTTTATTGGCATCAAAATCTGAAAAAACAGATCAGATGCAAAAACATTGAAATCAATCAAGTTTAGAACAAATTTAATTATTACAATGTTTAATCACAGTAAAAACAATAAAGTCTAAAGAAAGAAATAATGCTAATCTAAAATTTACATAGAACAAATTGACTTGAGGGGGGGGTATATGCCACTGAAATCAAGAAAAAGGAACAAAAATACTAAAATCATCATATCTTCATTCCAAAGATATTTTGTTTTCATCAAAGAAGTCTTACCTGTATTGCAAGTCACTATGTTGCATGTCTGTACAGGATCCTCCTGTATCAAAAATCAATAAAATTTATGAAAGGTTTTTGAACACAATTGAACAAGAAATTATACCTTAGTGACTTCCTTAGAATCATATGTGATTATCAAGTCATCTTGTTTGAAAAGTTCTGGTTTTGTTCGATCCAATACCCAATGCACAACAGATGATACAGAGTGAAAAAGAACCTTCAGCACTTTTAGAGTAAGAACAAGCATTTCTTCATCATCATGGCATGTGGTATCAGTAAAATTTTGCTTGCTCGTTGATGATTTATCAAACTTTTTGTGGTGTTTGTGGCTATCAGCTGATCTCTGTCTTGAGTAAATAAATGAAGTAAGGTAAAGTTCTAAAACCACCAAGATATTAATGAAACCAATATTGCTGTCTGGATTGTTATTTAAAACAAGCAACAAAGACAAGCCATGTGAGACAAGATCAAACTTTCCAGATTCATAATAAAGCTCCTTGTCTCTTTCTTGAGATTTACTTGTCTGTGTTTGTCTCATAGAAAACTGTGAAAGTTCTGTTGTAACATCAACACAATGTGAATCTAATACTTCATCAAGATATTTCATAGGATGTTTCAACAATGTCAACAAACTAAACACCTCAAAACCATTGTTGTAGCAATTGTCTGTCCATTGGGCAAGGAGTTTCTTAACAAGATAAACTTGTTTATCAAACTGCTTATAAATTTTACTAGCCCTATTTTCAACCCACAAATCTTTTGAACAATTAAAATTTTCCTCCTCTTTAACCATATTCCTAGACTTATTAAGTCTGCCTTTTCCTCTGACTGATATCTCTGAATTTAAGACATCCAAAAACTTAGATGTCACATCAGACTTCTCAAGTTTTGGTACTTTATCGATGGACATTGCACAATTGGTCTTTTGAGAACCAACAAAAGAATCAATGGCATCAAATCCAGAACTCAAACTATTTGCTTTGCGTTTCAAAGAGCCTCTTGACTGTCTCTGAGATGCGGAGAAAGAATCATGAGTGCTAAATATTTTTTGATTTTTGTTTTGAGTCTCTAACTTCATGAGTTCATGTTTTTGGAAAGAAAGTTGGGTTTTTAAAGCCTTAATTTCTTGCATCAACTGACCATCTCGTTGGGATTTTTCCTCTTCGTACTTTAATCTCATGTTGCAAATGATGTTGTCTTTATCTCTTACTTCTCGTTGACGAGTTTCTAATTTCTGACGGATAAGGGCCAACTGTCCATCTTTCAAACGCGCATTTCTTTCAAGCTCCTCTATTTTAATGTTCAAGACATGCAAGCGATTTTCAACATTCGTAATTTGCGAAGCATCATTCATTAAATCGTTTGAATCCCATTGGTTTACTGTCAGACCATAAGTTGGTTCTGGACACATGGCAGCTCCATCAGACTTACATGTCACTTTTCTCCATGCATCCATCTCCAAACGTTGTAAATCTTCAGCCGTCATTGAGTCGGTGATATCGTCATCGTCAAAACCCAAAAAATCTTCCATTCTAAACAGAAGTGATGATATAAAGATTTTGTTGAATTTGGGACAAAAAATTGACTACAAAAGAAACGGATCGTCGTGTTGTATTTTTATTTATATTTTATACTTATTAATCATTTCAATTTGCATGTAATGTACATCCATAATATAACTATTTATATAGTTCAGTGGCCATCTGTATGTATTTTAGTTCAATGAATGTACCTCAAGGAGAGGGAATCGGTCGGATGGGATCAAAGTTAGGATGGATGGAACCAGTATAGAAGGATTATTTGTTTAGTTATGTACACAACCTAGATAAACAATATTTGTTTTTATCATTTTGGTGTCTTGCTCATTGCACTATTTCACTGTTTGTTTAAATTAAGGCGGAAAACCAACAAAATTTTTGGCGAGAACTTTGTTCCAGTCACCACCATATAAACATCACATAATGCCATCTTCAAAGGATTTTTTGTGTGATGGTAAGACAATATTATCAACAACAGTGACAATGCGGGGGTAAACATGACATAGAAATAATGATTTTGAAATTTTTGTAAGTGTGACATAACTCAAATCTAACACTTTTTACCAAAAAGAAGACGAACAGACTGGTTAGAGGATGGTCTGAAACATGAACTACTCTGTTCAATCACAATGACGTGATGTTCTTGAGTTGATAGTAAGTCGTTGCCATGTTTATTTCATTAAAACTCTTGAATATATCAAGGAATCCTTTAACAATCATCTCCACCAACAAATTCAACCATTTCATTTGTACAAGCACCATAATCTCCACCTCACAAGCACGATTACCAAATATTCCTTTAGGCCCCGTCGGCACCAACACAAACTGCTAGTGCTTCGATAGTTTCCATTCAGAAGTAAAATCATTTTTATGATTCAGTTTTCCAGCTTTCTTATCGAACAAGGGGATCGTGCAACCTTATTTCTACTATACGAACCGTCATTCGCATTGTTTTTGTTTGCGCACGATATGCTTCCTCTGTCTTTTACTTATATATGTGAAAGATGTGAAAAAAGCACTCATTAAAAAGAATTTATGATTGAAATATGTTTACTTAAAAATTAGCAATTGCAACTGAAAGCATTTCAACGTGAGTTTTGGTTCAATGGCAATTGTAATAATAAAAATTAGATGTTATTCACATGCGTGTGTTTACAAGGATTTCCTTTTGTTGTCACGCGACGAAAGGATCGTCTTCAATTTATCAAATCTTCCCGTCCTGACTTGTAAATTTCCAAAAACAGGATCGAGCCATCGACTTCTGTCGTCCATTGATATATGATTGAGTTGTCCAGGAAGAATTTTTGATATCTTATGTAAAGGTAGAGGCATCAATGGAAAAGGAGGAGGATTTAGGATTTCTTTATCTTTCTTCATTTGTGGGGCAAGTGGTTCACCCAACCACCATGACAACGACAATGTATTGTTTAATCCATTAGGGTTATCAAGTATCTCGCCATCTTCAACTTCCTCCAACTTCATTTTATGACACTCTATAAAGCTTGATGTTCCAGGAGGTGCATCATCATCCTCATCCTCATCTATCTCCATTCTGGAAGCCATCTTCATCTTTTTATGAGATTGGTCAGACATGCCATCATCTGATGAAATTCTTCGTTTACTATTCTCTTGTCGCAAGTTTTCTTTTTTGTCAACAACAATCTGATCACGTGGTGATGCTGCAGGTAAATGCACCTCATGAGCAAGGTCCCTGCATCCTGTAACATTTTGTACAAAAATAGAGGCTTGTTTACTTCCATCAAGGTTTAACAAAAATTTAATACTGGCTACTAATTCATTGACCAACGTTGTGTTACTGGAAGATTATTGGATTATTAAAATAGACAGAGGTGAAATGGGATAAAGCTACCCTAAGACACAATATCCTATTTTTGGTAATATCTTAACTCTTAATTATTATTAATAACAACAGAACCATAGAGTGATTGTCACACATGGGACAAGGAAATTACCCTGTAGTGTACAAAATAAGCATGTATGCATAAAATACATTCCTAATAAGGCTTCATAATCTTTAAACTAGCATTTATACAAAGAAAGCCCTTGAGAAGTCTAGTCATCAGCCATTACCTCACACAAAAGAAAACCTTTAACTCATATTTAATCCATACCCAAGGAAAACCCTTGACAGCAAATCATCAATAGTCATAAGTGGTGACAAAGCCATCACTTCACACAAAAGAAAACCTTTAACTCATATTTAATCCATACCCAAGGAAAACCCTTGACAGCAAATCATCAGTAGTCATAAGTGGTGACAAAAGTGAACTACAAAATTAGTACCTTTTGGTATTGGCACATTAAAACCAGGAAATTGAACCATTCCCTTGACATTTTCCAGGCCTTCCTTTCCTTTTTCCTCCTTTCCCTCTTTTCCATACATCACGATACCAGAGTTCCCAGGCAACCAGCCTGGGGGGTAGCCAAGCATTCGCATACGATAAATAAAAGGAGGGAGATCTTCGTCAGCCATGCTTAATGCATCACGTAAAGTCTGACTGATTGTTCCTGGTTTCAAATGAGAATATTTATCATTTTCTGTTGATTCTTCATGATAACGAGAATCGCTATTGTATGGTTTGTTGTTTTCAAACTCTCTTCGTCTCATACTGATGCGAGCTAAGTCCCTTCTTTTATTGCAGTCCTTCAATTGATGATCTCCATCGCAATTGAAACAAGTTCTCTTCCACTTCTGCTTTATTTTTCCACCAATATTAGCAGGTAATGTATTAAAATATACTGGTTCATATGATGGGATGGAAACTTTATCAATGCTGGATTGTGACGTATCAACACAATACGAACTAAAATATTGTACATATCCTGTTGGTGTATGAGTTGTATTGTCATTTGATGTGATTCCCAGAGCTGCTGCAACATCATGCTTTAATGTGGTGTTATTTTCAAGGTTGGTTATTTCATCATGTTTCTCTGAATTTGGAGATTTTTTGGCAAGATGGATAATCATGTCTTCAAATTCCTTTTGCCTTGCTAAAGAACATTTATGGTAAACTACACAAGCAAATGGTTCATCTTCACCTTTACTAAACATCGTTCTCAGTAAGAACTTCTTCAAAAACATATTTTCTTCCCTTAGAGAGTCCAATTCGTCAGTATCCCTTTCACTTTTTGACCTTGACAACTCATCTTTAGCCTCAACATCCACCGATTCAAATGCACAAAATAATTTCTCTTCATCATATACTTGCTCTTCCATTTTCTACTGACATTATATATTCTTTAAATATGTTAAAAATTCTAAAAAATAATGTTTTTGTACAATTAAAAACAAGCATGTCTTATCCTCATGTCCGCCATGTTAACTCGAAGTGCAGTGGTAGCGCCTGGTTTCAGCGCATGCTCGGGGCCAAACGCCAATCACTGTATAAAACATGTGAAAACATGGTACAAACCAAACTCTTGGTATAAACTGAGGCCAAACTTACCAAAAGAGGTTAAATTGCCAAACTACTAGCTATGCAAGAAAGCGTGCAGGGACCATAAGAGCGATTTTATGGAAATATTTTCGAGACGATCGAAACGAACGAGGCGACCAAAGCGATTACAATCTTCTGGATAGAACTCTGCTCTGTCCAGACGATTGAAACGAATGCTTGCCATATCGTCCATGCACGCTTTCAGACGTCAGACGATCGAAACAATTATATGGAAAGGGCTTAAGACAGCAGCAAAAAGCTTGGAACTAGAATAAAAATCTTTAAATTTATGTATATATAAATAAAGTAAATACTTTATATAGTAGATATCAACTAGCAGTGGAAGCTAAGTGCGATATTGGTCCAATTATGGACCAATTAGCTCGCTCAGTCACAAATTTTCAGATAAATCATCTGCGTATGCGCAGTCTGCTTAGGCAGTCGACTTGACCAGATGCCCAAGTTCATGGTCATGGCAACGACCAACTGCATCTACTAGCACCGATTTTGAAGTAAATAGCAAGCTTAGTAACAATTTCATTGAGAAATCGTCTGCGCATGCGCTTGAGCTTACGCAGTCCCTCTATTAATTGTTCATAATCATGGCAACGAGTAACTATATGTACTTGCACTACATTTGTAGCAATTAACTCAATTAGTCTCAAATTATCAAAGAAATCAATTGGGCATGCGCAGTAGTGACATTGATTATACCACAATTTTCGTAAGCCTTTGAATTTTGGTATATAAATATAAAGCCAATACTAGGTATAGTAGATGTCAACTAGCAGTGGAAGCTGGGTGCGATATATATGCAGTGGCTTAGGAGCCCACACTTCGGTGGCGACCGCACTCTCCCTGCGTACCCCGAGCAAAGCCTATCGCAGGTGATCTCGGGGTCTGATGGGCAGAAGCTTGCTATTGCATCTCCCAAGTAGGATAGCGTGGAGGAGCCGAAATCTCCTACCGAAACGTTAACATGCGGCGTCACTAGAGTGCCTTACGTATCAGAAGGTATCGGGAAGCATGGACCGAAAAAGGGGTTTTTTGCTTTCGAATTTTATCTTTTTGTTTATTTTTTTCTCATAAAATAAAGCAAGCAATGTTTTTATTAACTTCTTATGACACTGCGCCCTTTTCTATAATATAAGACGACCTTCAACATGCTTTATTCAATTTTTATTGGTTTATATCTTTCTGATTTAACTCTCTCATTTGCTGTTTCTCATGCATCACGAGCAAACCATCGAAGTGCTTCATGGCAAACAAGGATTATCTGGTTCCCTTTAATTAACATACGACGCTATAGTGCTAAACTATCTCGAGGTATCCGGTTGCATGGACCGAAAACTGGATTTTTTGTTTTCAAAATTTGTCTTTTTTCTTCTCATAAAAGAAACTAGAACATCCGAGGATACTGCAATTGTTCAAACAACTCCTGCCCTTTTGACTTATAATTTAAAGCAACTCTAAGTATGTTTATACGCTTTTTACTTGTTACCTTTTACAATGTAACTTTCTCATAATTCTTTCGTGACGAACGAGAGCTTTCTTATACAATATGTCTCTCTCATTATGAACGAAAGTGTCCATAGGCTTCATGGAAAAAGGGATTATCTACTTTTTTATAATAGTTTCTACAAAGATAATATTTAATATACCGAGCAATTTGTATCGTCTAAATTAAACCTCACTTTCAACCCTTTATGTTATAAAATTTTGATAATATCGAGTAATCGTTATATTACAGTATTGTCAACAGTTGGGAACATAAAAAATTAAAAAGGTAAATGAAGACAAAAAATTCATTTAATTCCTACACAGATTATATTACATAATACCATTATTATCGATATATTTATATAAAACAAGACATTAGGAAGAAATATTGTCTTTTTCAAGATTACATAAAGAGACCATTTCTTTCATTAGAGTGACATCGTACATTAATTTATTTAATGGAAAGTGCTTCTCTTTCTTCATAGCCCAGTTTTCTGTAGTTGATCGACACAAGGAGCATTGAAAATCATAAGGTCTAGTCAAAACCTTACCGTTCTCCCTCAGTCCTGTGTGCGAAGTCCTTTGACGACAGCTATAGACGAAAGGCCGACGCACTGTTGGTTGCATATCGGCAACAAACTTTTCGTGTCCAGTTAAATAGACCGTTTGAAGTAGCTTGCACGATTTCTTTTTAAATTCCTCGACAAATGCCTCTACTTTGTTTAAAATCGTATCCGTAATGTGAAATTTGCTCTCCATACTCAGGTCTCTAAATTTTTCGGACGTTTTTAAATACTTCAACGAAAACGAGGCTGCCATTTCATAACACTGTTGCTTCACATCCTCCAACGAATATCTTTCGGCGAGGAGTAGAAAGTTGATACATTTCAAGCCTGGTTTTTCCATATCTAGTATAAATGAACTACAAAGAATGCGAACTTTTTCGATCTCAAACTCTTTAGCTAATTTCAACAGTAACATTATATTTTGTGAATTAATTGTGTGTAGATTGTAGATCACCAACAAAAGTTCGTAGATTTCCTTCGGTTTTTTCTTCGGGAGATAAATGATATCGTTAACGTTTTTACGCGATTTAATCAAGTCGTCAAATACAGGAGACCATAAACACAGAGTGTTCTTGTGAACATGAAATTCCTGATTTTCGACTCGAAGAACGACATCACTCCGATACCAAGGTTTTGCAAACTCACAATTTTCCATCATAAATAGATTACAAGTTTTAAATTTCTTCATTCAAATTACAAGAACAAAAAATTCTTTGATCAGTAGCGTCAACAAACAACGCGCGTTCGACGTCCGTTATTCTCACGCGCAGTTATGTACTTCATTTTTCAAATAATTTGCTGGAATCCACTGGATAGTGACTCTTCAAGAGCAATGGCGGCTACATTTTCTTTTACAAAATGAAACTTTGTGTTCTGGAAATAACCTAATGCTATATTAATTCTCCAGTTCAAATCGTACCTTTTTTTAAAGATAATTTAGGAACCTTTCAGGGAAAATTGCAATGAAAAGGATAGCGTTATCAACAACAAAAAGCTACGTACGATTCCGCGCAGTTTTTTACTACATTTTTCAAACAATTTGCTGGAATCCACTAGATTAGGGACTTTTGAAACTTTGTTTTTTTGGAAACAAGCTTATTTTAGAAACCTTTCGGGAAAAACTGCTATTCATAAAAAAGCGTTATCAAAAGCAAAAAGCTAAGTACGATTTCAAGGAAGCGAACCGAACTTTCCTTTTGAAGAAAAAATATGGCACACCAAATTTTTAACGCCACATGGCTAACAGTCTGGAAAAGTGCACTATCCAATGGATAGCAGCACACTTAAAAGTTAAAATATCGCATTAGAACGTTTTCGAAGAAATAAACTTTTTTCATTTACATTATTTACAAATAAAATATCCTAAAAAATTAATAATCACGATTTCATTTTTTTTTCAAGTGTAATTATAAGGTCAAAATTAACTAAGTTTGTTTTGCAAATTTGCGAACCAACTTGCAATTGCGTCTTCGCCTTTTCGTGACGTCATATATCCACGTGATTATCATTCATGGATCATCTGCCATTTTTCAATGGGAACGTGGGGGTTCTGTATTACTTCATTCCACTGAGCAAAAGCTGAGTCCGCCGTGAGAGAACTAAGTACTACCTGTCCAACTTTCTCGTGAAAGCCACCAGGATCTTTAACGAGAACTGTCATGATGAGAACTAAAGCGTCTAGAGAGATATAAGGACTATCCAAATCAAACGTAAACGTTTGAAGAAAACGCGGATTGCTTGTCTTCTTTTTGATTCGCGTTTTCTTTTTACAAAGTCGTTTGGCATTGAAAAAAAGCTCCACTTTAACGTATGGATCTGCATAATGAAATTAATAAATCAAAATAAATCCACAAGCAATGTAAGACAACAGATTGACAAGTTTATTTTACCGCCAATGCCATAGTTACTGATCTTCGGCAAATTCCGAGCTTGACATATGGTTACAGTTAGTTTACTTGCTAAAGGTTGATGACACACGGATATCAGAAGCTCGCCGAGAACCTGACAAATCAGACCATCAAATAAATAAAAAAAAAATATGCAATAACTGAATGATCGACAGCTGACTTACGGGTTTTGCTTTGTATTCTTTTAAACGATGACACAAATTTAATTCTTCATCTACAAATTCATATTTCACTAAAGGTAAAAGTAGCTCTCCAATGATAACATTCTTTTGTATTGGTTCGTGATGGATAACAAGAAATTGAATGGTTAACTGTAGTGTCTCCATCAACGTAAGACCACCAATGGCAAAACTCTCGTTAAAAACGGGATTAAGACATTTCGAGATGATGTTTGTGCTGTAGTTATAACGACGTGAAGGGAGAACATACAGTTTTACAAATGGTGAAGAAATATTGTTTCGTAGATCTCGCACCGGTAAATCAATGGCTCTGTTTACCTAAAACACGGACAACAATCTAACATAAGCAAGATTTGCACAGGATCAATTTATATGAAGATGTTTTTGGATTGATGATTACCTTAAGATAAAGCTCACAAGTGGTCTGTTTATACAATAAGGAAACATCAATCATGCCTAAATTTGATCTAAAGTTTGTTCGTTTTCCCTGGATTACCGACGGCGGTAAGTTTACAGGTATTTTGCTGTCATCATTGTTCAAATTATGGTTAATTTGAGCGTCTAATTTGAATAAGATATCTTTATTTTCATTCATAACTTGAATAACGGGAATGTTCCGATTTTTTGGTGCAGGTGCATGTAATCTACTGTACCCATGATTTTCGTTACATTTCTTGTAGAACGTTTTGACAGGAGACAACGATATCAGCTCGACTGCATCCCGAGACTCAGCCGAAAGACAATCAGGGCTTAATAATTCATCCTGTGCAGTCCTATAGTTGCTAAGCGACGAATTATCGTCATCATCTTCGGATAACTGATCGTCTTGAGGTGATACGCGATTAGACGTCGAGGTGCTACTCATTTGAGGCGAATCTTGAACAAATTTCGACGCAATTTTCGGGACATGTTTAGGTACGGAGAGACTTTCATGAGATGATCCAACTATTTGGTAGCTCTTCCTCCAAAGTTTTTTCCCATGTCCTAACGCAATGGTTTCTTGTCTACGATTTTTTTTACAATACAAGCGATAGAGTACACACATAAGACCAAAAATACAAACTGGTATTCCCACAGCCAAGCCAGCTATAATCGCCACTGGAAAAAAAAATCCACACTCATTTAAAATTCGCTGTGGCAAGTTTTGGAAAACGGCCTCTAATTAGAAAAGAAAACACTAGCGATATATTAACGTTATTGTCCATTTATCATCGGGGAATATGAAAACAAAACCAATTAACAGCCCCAAAAATGAACGTGTGAAAAACAACTTTTGTTAATGAATGAAATTCTGCAATTAGAATACTATTATATAAATTCGTGTGAAAAAAACTTTTGTTAATGAATGAAATTCTGCAATTAGAATACTATTATATAAATACGTTATATTTCGACAGACGACAGTGGGTGATCGTTTTTCTGATTTTTTTTAAGTTTTCCTGTTCATAGAAGCCCTAATATAATATGGATCAAGTAATGCAATAAAATATTATAAAGCAAATATTACCAACAATAAATTTAAAGCAAAAATTAAACATCAATGACAACTATCTTTGATTTTCTTGTTTCAGTTAAAAAAACAAATAAATTCATTAAGATACAAAAACATATAAGCTTTTTCCAAAGCAAAAATACTCAAGTATAATGACGACTGAAATTGACAAAATATTTATGAATTTATGTAAATGTTTTTCATTTTTAATATATTATTCCACACGCATGAGGCGGCTGTTGTAAAGATATACTGAAGTAAAGTTTTTATGTAGAATGCATATTCGTGGAAATGAACAAAGTATAATACCCACTTTAATCAATCAATACTAATCAACATGCATAGGACATGTTCTTCGCTCCTAGTAATCTCGTCAATTGACTCTTCAAGCAAAACTAAGCGCATCACAGTTAGAAATGTCACAGCATCTATCTTCTCTTTTTTTTGATATACAAAATATAGTAAATGTGACGTATTATCGATTTTTCTTTAATTTAATTACGTTTTTTGAGTATGAAACGGTCCGAGCTCGAATGCTTGACTCTGCAATTTGAAGAGTTTTACATCGATTAAAGTGATCAGTTTTGGATTTACGATGCTCTTATGTAAACATCATCTATCTAGTCAGCAGATGGTTAGGCCAGCGAAAAAGACAGTTGTACTCGTGGCGGAGTATTTCTACGCGTGATTGAATGTTCAACAAAGACGATAAGGAGAGTAAAAAAAATTCATAAATCTTGTCACTATAGTTGAAAAAACTCTTTGTTTTGATTCACGCAAAACAAAATCGAAAAAATGAAGAATTCCCAATGAAATGGGAAACACTTTTGTAGTTAGAGTGTTGAACATCTTCGGGATAAGTATAATTTGTATTGCAAGTATTTCAAGCACTGAGCACACATTGAGAATAAATTTATTCGTTTCTAAAGAAACGATCGTATTATAAATAATCACCTGTAAAATCATAACTGAAAAGTTAAATTGTTGAATTCATTTGAAAAATGAATCAACAAGAGCCCCGTGACTCAAAATGCACCAATATTTGCATAAATTTCACTTTCAAATCGCCAGTATCCAAAAATAGAGATTTTTTGCCAGACTGATAAAATTTGTGAATTATTCGTTCGCACTTGCCACTACGATTCACAATTTCATTACTACGGACGAAGTAAATACAAACGAATGCGATTTTGGAAACATGATTCGATTGTAGTATTTCACTCTTCGGAGATATTCCTCCGATTTATTTCTTTATAATTCTCGGCAGATCACGGGGATCTTTAAAGTAAACAATAAACACTCGAATAATTTAAACAAAACGTATCAACGAAGAGTGAAACAGTAAAAGGAAAATCACACAACACACAGACACAAAATAATTCATCAACCATTCCCGATATCATGTCCTAACCGCGATTACGATGGAACATATCGTCTACCTTTCATGCCGCTTTGCTTTGTGAGTGAGGAAACGATTCGTCATAGAAAATTTAGATAAATCATTGCGCCATCTTCTTCAATGTTAGTCGCTTTGTCTTCGTCCTTTGGCTCGTACACTTAATGTTTAATTTTCCTGTACAATCATCTTCAATTTCCCGCCTTAATGGCAAAATGTCGGCTGCCTTTAAGATTTTAAAACAAAAAAGTCGTCAGACAAAAATCACCAGGTGTTTTTTAAAAGTCATTTCCAGAAGAACTCGTTCGGTTGAGTAAACTCAATTTGTATCATACATATCATAATATATGCACAACACATATGATTTCAGCGAGCAGAGGTTTTTTCATTTTACCAATAAAAGCCCAAGTTTGACGACTATGAATACTTTAATTAATTCATTATAGACTCTCATTCATAAATGAAGAACGATCTTATCAATGATTGGCTGATTGCCAGGTGACTCACGTCTCGACGGTTGCGCTCATCAAATATACAACTCGAACACTTTCAAAACTTGGTGCGGGGGGTAATTAACGCCTCTTTTTTCATAACCCTTTTCCTTAGAACTGATGAATAAGGCAAAATATAATCAAGGGAAGGACAAACCAGCACAGATTTAACATATGTAGCTAGAGTGAAATACGTCGCTTTAAAACATAACATCGTCAGTAAAATGCTTACTGACGATGTTGCTCTTTCGAAAAGATTTCTTTGTAAGATTTGAGCAAAAGTATCAACATGAAATGTTGAAATCAAAAGTATCAACATGAAATGTTGAAATCAAAAGTATCAACATGAAATGTTGAAATCAATATATACAATAAAACAAATTGATTGGCTCACAAGTGAGCGTTCTAGACATCACTATGGCAGCATAAATTAACAAAAAAAACGAGACTTAAACACGAAATGCTTTATCATTGTGCTGTGAGTTGATATTATCCTATATAATATGATGATATCACAGACGGCGACACTCGCGGCCACATTCAAAAAGTCAACAAAATGAATAAACCATAGTGAAGCAGACATACACTGCTCACGTATACACACCTAGCGTAGATGACGTCATAGGGGAGTAACAGGGCACTTGTACGACAATTATTTATCTATTTAGAAGGGACATATTCATTGCAGATCGTATTAGAAATAAATGATTTCTTGGAATGCATGTTAATCAAATTAGTTAACGACGAAGTTAAGGGTTAGTGAGGATAAGTGAAAAATCAAGTCCAGTGAAGTCTAAAGTTGAAGCTGACAGCAAAAGAAGGACATATCTACATTGATTTAAAAGCCGTTAGTTTCGTAAGTTTAACTTGGACCGATGCACTATAGTCTAGTACTACAATAGATTTTCAACAGACCTAATTTTAAAAGCACATCATTTTGGTTGATGGAAAATTGGATGGAGTGCAGGTGAAGTAAAGAACAACAAACACCAGTTTTATTTGATGAGATGAATTTACGAACAATAATAGAAAGGAAATGAAAAGAATATGCAATGCGGGGCTGTTTGCATGCGGATTTCTTCTCCTAATACAAAGCAAGGATATTGTTTTTTCAAGAAAATACTCTTATAAAAGGCGAAATTTTGCCACAAAGTCAAGATACCCTGATGCTGAAGAAAAAACAACAAGCATTCCTAAGGAGTGTCGCCCAAAGTTCATTAATATGGTATTAAGACACGGCACTCGCTACCCTGGAGAGAAAGATGTGATTGGAATGAATAAGCTTGAAGACTTCATCAACCAGTTCCATGTTAACTCAACAATACAACATAATTTAACATCTTGGAGAAATCGTTTTTTAAATGGTCACAAATTGCTGGCTGCCACAGGTGCACAAGAATTGTACAACATTTCAAAGAGAATACGGCGATGGTTGCCATCACTTTTTTCACCAAAATATAATGGCGAAGAGCATATGTTTGTATCTACCATGACAGCTCGTACTAGTCAAAGTGCATCAGCCTTTGCATTTGGTCTGTTTGAGGGAACAGGAAACCTTGGCCCTTCAATGTTTCAACCTGTTGCCATAACAACCACCAATCTAACTGAACCGCAATTGAGGTTTTTTGACAATTGTCTAAAGTACCAGTTGAAAGTTTCAAAGAATAAGAAGATTTCATTGGCTGAGTACAACAAGTTTCGTGATGGACAAGAAATTCTTGATTTGAAGAGAAAGTTAGGATTTAAACTGAATATTCCTGATAACATTAGCATTACTACTGATCACATTGAACATATGTTTCTTTCATGTGCATTTGAAGTGGCAATTTATGGAAAAGGAAAATGGTGTAGCATATTTGACGATTCTGATTTGGATGTTATTGAATATATGTATGATTTGAAAAATTATTGGAAAAGAGGATATGGTTTTGAAATCAACTATCAAATGAGCTGTTTACTTCTTAAAAACATTACAGAATCAATCGAAAATGCTATCAGGTCCTCTGGCAAAACAAAAGCAATTTTCCAGTTTGCACATTCAGAAACTCTCATTCCATTGCTTTGTCTCATGGGTCTAAACAAAGATAGCGAGCCTTTATTGGCCAACAACTATCATAAACAAAAAAATCGTTTGTTCAGGACTTCAATTATTGCACCATTTTCAGCAAATATTGCAATCATTTTGTACTCATGTCAATTTGACATGGCAGACTCGTTTCATGTCCAAGTCCTTGTCAATGAAAATGTTACGCCATTGCCTTGCTGTGATGGACTGGATCTCTGTCCTTTGAAGGAATTCAGAGCATGTTTTCAAGCAATCACAAACAGCTGTGACTACAACCGTATATGTGATATGGACAAACCTTCTCATAATGACCTTTGAACAATTTTATGTATAATACTAATTTTATTGATCATACCTGATAATTGATTGATTACTTGTCACAAGCCGAAAGCTCTAGCTATTCTTTCCTAGCATTTGACTTAAATTATCACTGTTCAAAACCTCAATCCAGTAGCCATCAGGATCCTTAATAAATGCCAACCCTTTCATTTTCCCTGTAGAAAACATATAGCAATTTACATTTACAACAATGCATTTTACTTGAAAGCAACAAGAAGTACCATCGTTTGGCTTCTTGACAAATTTAACACCAAGTTTTTCAAATCTTTTGCAGGCTTTCTCGACATCTGGAACTTCAATCCCAATATGACCTAGCAATAAAAACTAGTCTTTCTCACTTTGTGATTCTGGTAGAAAATGACACAACCAAAAATTCTTACCAAAACCTTTCGGTTCAGTGTTCCCATTATGATGATTAAACTCTGGATCATTTTCTGTTCCCCAATTGCTTAACATTGAAAAAACAAAGTTAACATTGATAATACTTTTTAAATGGCCAGAGTGTACTTTAACAAAGACCATTAGCCTTCTTGCAGTGACCTTTGTGCAGTGGGAAAATGCAGATCAATTACAACATGTAAACAAATTCTTTTTCACTATATATTTCTTGGTTTTTTGCATTTATGCATAATCATTCATTTCAAATTTGCCAGGAAATCTTGCTAAGTTTTTTGTTAATTTTTATTTTGTGAGCTAGCAGCACTATTCTTTGCTCAACTTTGCATAGCATGCAGAAGCAAAACAAAGAAAGTCCTTTGGGAGAGGGGGAAACAAAGAAATTCCTTGTCAACAGTTACAGAACCAAAAATTGTATTATTTCCTAATAAAACAGTTATTAAAAAAAGGTATTAAAACACAAAATAAACTGTTAATCACTTTAAAAAATAAATTGACTAATCTGAGATTATATTTCTTACTGAGTGAGTTCAAGAATCGCTTGTCGGGAGAAAATCCACTTTGTTCTTTTATCCTCTATGTTTGGTATATCCTCCATTTTCTCATAACCAACAAAATACAAAGAAAACTTCATTTCTGGAAAGTCATATTTCCCCAAGAGTCTGTTATCAAGAAACACATAAAAATTATGCCAAGCAAAAAAGGAAAATGCACAAAATAGCCCAATATGATTGACAACTAACCGCATTCCCAGAATACGTGTGTAAAAATCAAGAGAAATTTTTGGATCCTTGACTCGTAACATTGTTTGTTGCATAATGAAATCTTTTGTTGATATATCCGGTTCATGTAGGCAGGATTTTAAATCGTTTTCATTTAGCGCCATTTCAGGTCTACAACAGGCTATAGCTACAGACTTCAGCTCTTCTGCTTCGGAAGCTTCGTACAATAAACATTAATTTTCCCTGGTGAGAGACCTGGACAGTAACAGACTGAGAGCCTCGTCAGGAGGGTTCGGGAGTTCAACATGGCGGCAGCTAAATTCCAGAGATTTGTTGTAAACAGCGCTGTAGTTGGTGGTGTGATGTTTTGCGGTTGGGTCATGATGAAAGCATTGACCCCTACCAAAGAGCAAATGATGGAAGTAAGTTTTCCTATTTATCAAATTTTGTTTAGAAAAAACACGAGTTATCATTTATTTATTAATAAATACATAGCTATCTTGGTCTCTTTCCTTCCATAGAAAATACTCTCGAGACTCCCCTAACCTCATAAAATTGATTCTAAATAAGTTTGATGTGTGATTTTTAAATAAAACACACATCAATTTTGTTGCAGAGACTTTCACTTGATCCAGACGAATACATGTCTGCTCAGAAGAAAAGAAATGCACAGCTATTTGCTACAATACAGCAACATATTGATTCTCCTGATCCAGTGTGGAAAATCAAGCCTCTGCAGCTTGAAGGACAATCAAATTTGAAAGAAGAAAACACATCAAATTAGATCAATACTAAATTGTAATTTGTCTCTCAGGAGAGGTGGAATATTGGATGGGATGTTCTAAGGAATATTTTAACTGTAAAGGAATAAGTACTATTAAGTAAAATGGCATGCATTAGTGCTGTGTAATCAGTAGTATATATAATCATTATAATGACACAATCTACAATATTTTATTTAAAAAAGTCCAACCACTTATTTTACATATCTTACATGAAGTTTTGGTTGTCATTCAAAATGGCGGAGGCAAAGCTTGTGTTGAAAGGAGGGGAAACATTTCATTTTAATGATAATAGCACTCCCTGCATGAAAATGAAAGATTGCATATCCTCAGTCAGTTGTATTCAAAAAAAGGTGAATGAAAAACTCACAGAAATAGTGAACACTGAAAAGAAAGAAAGCAATGGGAAAACTAACTATGCAGATACTATGAATGGATCAGGTAGAGTTTTACCATGTCATCAGTTATTTTTAACCATGAAAACAGGTTTGACCAGGTGCACCCCATTTTGTAGCAATCTCTCCATCTCATTACATTCTCAACATCATCTTTTTCCAAGCCAATACATAGGTTCTCCTTCCCCAATAGCTTTGTTCATGTCTTTTTTAGTAACCTCAACTGGTCTTATCCTTCATTTCAAATTCCTGGCTATACTTTTCTTAGAATGAGCCCATTGTCATAAATGTTTCAAAATGTTAATAAATTGTAAATATATTGTATTAAAGATAAGTATTTCATTTTATAAGATTTTATGCATAAGGTTTATAATACAGATGACGAAAAATGTGATGATGATAGCGATGATGAACCGAATCCAAAAAAGAAGAGAAAGGAATGAGATCACTTTCCCATGAAGGTCAACAAACAATAAACATTTGTTGTTTTATTCACAAAGTCATACGAAAAGACTGTACAATTACAAATAGAAATTTAACTTTGTTCCTATGGAAATTTAGAAATTTTGTGGTTGATATCATTCTTCCATCTCCACTTGAACATCATCGTTAATACCATTCTTCAATTTTTCCATCTTCACTTTAACGTCATTGTTAACACCATTCTTCAATTCTTCCATCTTCACTTGAACATCATTGTTAACACCATTCTTCAATTCTTCCATCTTTACTTTAACGTCATTGTTAACACCATTCTTCAATTCTTCCATCTTTACTTGAACGTCATCGTTAATACCATTCTTCAATTCTTCCACTTTGTTAACACCATTCTTCAATTCTTCCATCTTTTCTTTAACGTCATCGTTAATACCATTCTTCAATTCACTTTAACATCTTCACCATTCTTATTCTTCCATCTTTACTTTAACGTCATTGTTAACACCATTCTTCAATTCTTTCATCTTTACTTTAACGTCATCGTTAATACCATTCTTCAATTCTTCCATCTTTTCTTTAACGTCATTGTTAACACCATTCTTCAATTCTTCCATCTTTTCTTTAACGTCATTTTAACCATTCTTCAATTCTTCCATTTTCTTTAACGTCATTGTTAATACCATTCTTCAATTCTTCCATCTTTTCTTTAACGTCATTGTTAATACCATTCTTCAATTCTTCCATCTTTTCTTTAACGTCATCGTTAATACCATTCTTCAATTCTTCCATCTTCACTTTAACGTCATCGTTAATACCATTCTTCAATTCTTCCATTTAAAAATGCTATTGAAGTTTTTAAAAAGTAAACGTATCTAAGAATAAGCTATTATATATATATTTTTTGCCTAATGCCACAATCCTCGATGTCCATTCAAGTTTTCCATTGCATTTCATCATCAACATCTACTAAAAGAACAAGGTTCTGCTTATCGAACAAACTCTCAACAAGTTTTCATTGAAGCGACGAACTGTCCTTGAGCCGTTATCACCCAAAATCTTCGATTTGAAAAATGCGACTCATCAAATTTCTTATAGTAGGTTCTTGATCCGTCTGGTTCGTAACAAACATAAAATTTCTCCATAAATGTTTCAGGTCCAGTTGCACCATTCAGATCATCCGTAAACACATCCATACCATGTAAGGCTCCTTCAAACATATAATGTTCATTGGAAGGTTGCAATAACTGTGAATCCCACGTCAATGTAATACGAGTGCTACATACTATATACAAGACAAGCATACTTGTCATTGTCATACTGCGATAGCTTGCCATGAATATCTACAAAAACCCAAGAACGCATTATACTCAATGTTACATTTCTTTGGTTTTCATCGCGTTTCTTAAATCATTCATTTGGAAGATATGACGTCTAAATTAGTCAATAAGATGATAGCGACACAAAAATGTTATGCTATATCTACAAACGTCTTCAAACGTGTATAATAATAATACTGATTTTATCTTGCCAGCAATAAGTGCCGAAGACTAAATAGTAATTCGTCGTAGCCTCAACTAAATTTTTTGCAAGTTATTGATTACAGAACACAAATTAAAAAACAAAAATTGAGTGGCGAGTCTTACACGACGCCAAGAACAGTTCTAAGTTCCTCCATGACAATGAAAGCAACGATTCGGCATTTCAGAAGAAATCTACCGTATCTCTCTCATGTAGACATACCTTAGTTAATTCAGTTTGCCTAAAAGAAGCAAAATAAGTGATACGAGGATGATGTTCTACATCGTATTTTCCACTGACAGGTTATCTAAAACAATGAATAATAAAGCAGGCAAATGACTACTTTAGACAGAAGCACCTGTATTTCCATGGCTAATTCTTGCAGTAATTTATTCATGAAAGCCAAGATGTTTCCAGGCGCCATGTCCTACGTCATTATAAAATCTTCTTTCCTTGATAGACATCAATATATTTTTTCTGTTTATTATCATTTGGAAATGTTGACGACGTGGAAATGTTATGACTGCGATTTAAAAGAATTACCAGATACACTAGCTATAGTTACAAGCCTAGACTACGATGGCTTAAAGCAGTACTTCAAAAGCCGCATGTAGCTGCCTAGCAGGCTTCGCTTTCAACACGTCGAAGTTTCGCATCACCTGTTCATGGATGTATTGCAACCTCCCGAAAAATATATTTTGACAACTTTGCAAGTTTCCGGCAAATTCAAGCCAGTGAAAATTGTTTTACAATGCTCTGAGTATGAATTAAACTCCCACCAGATTTTTCTTTTTTTAATCTTGATACAAAGAACTAGAAGATAAAAAGATAGGAGTAAAAAGGAGAAAAGTTTGAACTTCTTCGACAATAATAAAAACCTGAGGCATTCTGTCTGTAACAGCCATACATCCTACAGCCATACTGCGCGTCGTATGACCCCAGGAAAAATCGATTTCTAAACTTTGCTTTTCTACAAGAAAGAAGATGTATTTTTGAAAATACTAAGATAGTCAAAACTTAACATCGTAAAACATTACCAGGTTCCTTGTTAAAGCGACTTTTCAACAATATGATTCCTGCCTGCTTATCGTCGTTTTCACAAAGAAAGGGAGATTCTATAAGTGAAAAAGTTCTTTCAGCGTTATCACGGGGCTCACCGATAAACTGAATAAAATTATATATTATGTACCAATAAACTTCTTCTTCAGTAGTTCTTGCAGTATAGAAACGCCATCTGTCTTACTAATGTACGAAATATCGAAGAATTAAGTTGATGAGAAATGAGAGTGATTTTTTAGAAAATGTTTTCCAAAATCTGAAAACTCTTACCTTGTTGTACATAGTTGCCAACATTCTTTACAAAGTGAAGTTTTGATTAACTCCTCTCCACAGCCTACACCGACGAAAAAAAACACTAGAAGATAACAATTTTAACAAAACGTTCTACGCACGAAATCTTAACCTGAAGATGAACAGGCAATTGGTGAATTCTTTATCGCATTTGACGCCCAACATCCCGAACCGTAGATAGCCGCCTGCCACAAAAATTGCAGGAGAATAAGTAAAAGACGAATTCAGATACATTAAGAATAGCAAATTAGAATAGTGCAATGCTTCAAGTCATGAAACTTTTTCCTAACTTCCTCTATAAAAATACTTTGCACAAGTATCATGATTCTTTACATAATTATTTACATAAGGGAATTACTATACATGAGCCTTCAACCTGTCCAATTCTTCCTGGGTACTTCATAAGTATTCCACCACTGGATACGCCAGCACAAATATAACCATTACTATCCAAACAAACACCACCTACAGTGTCCATTACACACTCATCTTCATGATCAATCTTAAACATTTTTGTCCCTCCTTCATTGTTTAAGTATGAAGAATACCTTCTGAAGGCTTTCATTGAAGCTTCTAGAAGAGTTTAAAAAAGTGAAATGAGGGATCTTGTCATTGAGCCATCAATAATTATACAGTCTCTTCATTTCCTGCTATATATGTCATCACAATAAAACAAAGGGGAGAAGGGAAGAAAGGGAAGAAGTGGGTTGCACTTTATTTATAGTGGTACTAACAATTTCTGAAAACTTCATTCAATACCCGAGATCATTGATTTTGGTGAAATTCCAAGAATGCCATGCTTTATTGCCCAATCATGAGCACCTTCGCCACATAAAATCCTGTGCATATGAGAAAATGATCTGGAGTAGCAGTCAAATAAGTTGATGAAAGGCAAGCCTTGCTACAAGAATCTCTTGAGGAAATTTTTAAAAGGCAACATACATTGGAGGTACCTGTCCAAAGGATCGTGAAGTGCTCTGCAACTGAAGAAGTTTCTTTGAAACAACTATTGGGTTTTTTATACCTATGGAAGAATTGATAATGTGTTGTGTAACAATAACAGAACAAGCTCATAAACAAAACAAAATAACAGTGCTTGCCTGAAACTGCTGCAACGGCACCAAAACTACTTGAACTACCATCCATAATACTAGCATCACATTCCACTTCACCATTCATAGTGAGATTAGAGCCAATACCAGCATTGGTTAAAGGACTGTTCTTGAAGGGAAATTCATATTTTTTTGCAAAAATGTAAGCGATTCAATGATTATAAAATGAAGCAGTACTTATGATATGATAGCTACATGAAGAACATGTTACCTCCAGAACCTTAATGGCAACTGTCAATGCTTCCAAGGCATTTTGTCCTAATTGTAAAGAAGCACATGCCTAAAAGATGGCAAGATTATGATATAAAGTTTCATACAAATCTAGAAATTCTTATGAAAACAACCATCTGCTAACAATACCTTTTGACATGCCATATTGCACACAATCTCATATTGTGATATATTTTGTTGTGAATGATAACCAGCACCTTTGACAGATCATTTTAAACATAAGTTTATACTTTATGGCAAACATATTTCCGCACTACTGCCTTTCATACATATAAATGAAGGAGATCACTATACCAACATGAACTGCAATAAATCCAAGAGCTTTGTCACCCATCCTTTCACCAATTTCTTCACCCAAATGTCCCAGTGACACCAGTGCTTAGCCGTTAGCTGTATATATGGGAATGGGGGGCCAGGGGGGAGTCTACATGTAATAAAATCCAAGTAATTCAACATGGCGAACGCCAAACCGATAAATGCTGCAATTCTAACAGGTTGATTTAAAATTGTTGAATTTTTTAAGACTTCATATGAAATTCAAGGCTGTCTTAATTTATCTCTTGTAATTTAGTGAGTACTAGCTGTTCGATTGGTTCTGCAATCGATAAAAGCGGTCCAAATCTGACGAAATTGTTACGAGAAAGCACAAGGTGCCAAAGAGAGGTTTATGTCTATAGATGAGCCCATCAATCTATATTGTATGATTACAGTAGTTTGTGACTTTCAGTCGGTTGTCTGAACTTGTGAATGGAACTTGTAGACTGCTGTACATACATATAGCTCTTCCCGAATTTCCTACTGAAGACAACTTGTTCTATTCTTTGTAAACACGTGATGTCCACGTGACAAGAGATCCAAATCAAATGTTTATGGTATAGTGCATTCATCCTCCATTATGTAGCATCAAAGTTGACAAAATCCTTGAGAAATGCGTCACAGACAATAAGGAAATCATTGAGGTTGCCATTTATAGTGCTTCATTCAGTTGTTTTCATTGTCATGAAGATATTTTTCTTTGCAGTCTACATTGTTGCAGTGGTGTGATGTTGATGAAGTTAATTTAATTTTAACAACTGGTGGCACTGGATTTGCACCAAGTGACGTAACACCTGAGGTCTAGCATCCACTTATCAAAAAGTTAGCAATCCTTAACTTTCCTGACTATCTCACCATTTGTTAACACATTGTAGGCTACAAGAAGTGTTATCACCAAGGAAGCACCAGGTCTTTCATACCACATGATCAATAAATCCATTGAAGTGACTAAAATGGCCATGTTATCGAGGTAAAAAGTCCTCGGATCGTCAGATACTTTAGGTCAAGGTCGCCATCTCGTGACTCGTGACGCCATTCTTTTCTTTATAGAGCTGTTTGTGGTATCAGGAACATAACAATTCTCATTAATTTACCTGGAAGTCTGAAAGGATCTCAAGAATGTTTCAACTTTATATCACCCGTCTTGCCACATGCTTTGGGTAAAGGATCATTTTCAAAATCTCGTAGCTCCAAGTGCGCATTATTTTCATGTCTAAACCTAAACGCGTTTTTTTTTAGATCTTCTTTTGGAAGATAAACAATCTGTTATTGAGGTACATAATATGTTATCACGAAGTTACGACGTTTCTAATGAAGTCATTTGGAAGGTATGTGGAGTTTGGTTTCAACAGACGACAATGGCAAACAACAGACTATATTCACTTTCGATGGAGAATTTTTTACATTTTTCACTGCAAAATTTTATTTCATTTTAAAAGATTTGTACTTTCAGAATGCGAAGGAAGAAGTTCACGTCTGTCCTCATGGAAAATTCTCGTCGATAACTAGTGAGTTAAGAATCAGTATCTAGTATTTATTGACATACTTATTCCTTCATCGACATTTTGTCATTATTTCTACAGAAAAATACGATTTAAGTAAAGTTGCAGAAAGAGATCGTCACTCGAGATTTCCATTGATGCCTATGGAAGAAGCAGTTACAACCGTCTTGAAACATGCACTATGCTGTTCAACGCAAGCGTTCAACCCTACACAAGGTCCAAACTCTTCTCTACACTTTATGTTAGGGACATGAAAGATTTACCACACACAGAAATAACCATTAATAAACAAATACAATATTTAGCTATGTAAGGTTATATATAGCAATCAAGTTCATTTACCAGTAAATTACATGAGGAATGATATCAGTGCCAATTTATAGTCTCCAATGAGAACGCAATTCATTTAATTTTAAGTCGATCTTTATGAAAAGGAATCAAGTTTTCTCATACTGTTTTCCAGATGCCTTGGGTTACATTCTATCTCGTGATGTAACGGCTAAAGAACCTTATCCACCGTTTCCTGCTTCAATTAAAGATGGATACGCCGTTGTAGGTAAAACCTGAGATCTAGTTCCACTATTCTGTTATTCTGCTATACATCGTTATCAACCACATCCGTTAATTTCAGCTTCAGATGGACCTGGTCAACGATTTGTTCTCGGACCTGTTACTGCAGGAATGACGGTATGTCTACTCACTGGCCTACTCTCGGTTGATGCTCGTTAGGGAGTGGTCACGTGTTTTAGAAGAGGTCTTCACGTGCTAAGAATTGTGCTTCCTTTAGCCTGATGTAAGTTTGCGAGCGGGTTATGTGATGAGAATAACAACTGGTGCTCCCATACCAGAGGGGTCTGATGCTGTCGTGCAAGTTGAAGATACTAAATTGATTCAAAGTGCAGCTGAGGTAACACTTGTGATGATATTTAGATGATCTATTCAAATGCTTGTACGCATGCTCTTTTCTTTCATTCTCAGGGTCAGAGTGAAGTTGTAATCGAGATATTGTCAGATCCTTGTCCTGGCCAGGATATAAGGTGCCTCGAAAACTTTTTAATTCAAAATTTTTATTCATTTCTCGATCTCTATTTGTATGGCATTGATCGTTTGTATTTAGACCGGTTGGATTCGATATTAAACAAGGCGAGAGACTTCTTTCACGTGGAGATTATCTTGGTCCTCCAGAACTCGGTCTCTTGGCAACAGCTGGCGTTCTTGAGGTCTCACTGAACATTTTACATTAACACAAACCATATACTTCTTCTTTTATATCCCTTAAGTGGACGGTTCCAATGAGTGGCATAACCAGCTTTCACGTTTTAGTTTCGCTATTTAAACTTCTGAACATTATCATTCATTTCTTTAAAAACCTTAAGTGAGCACAATTAAATAATTAAGATGATTTCCACATACATAATCGCCCGGATTGTTTCAGTCGCCTTTATCGTTTCTGTCACGCAACCTATTGAATGAAACTTTATGCAGGACGACTTGATAAGGATGACTGAAGGGATTCGGACGATAGCATGAGGACCAGTCTTTATTGTTATTATCTTTCAAGGTGGATGTTTTTAATAAACCGAGCGTTGCCGTCCTTTCTACTGGAAATGAGGTGATTTACTATCACTTGTCACAGAGAATTTAGGACCGTATTCCAATTCAACCAAGAATTCCTTTGGTTATTTTCTTCTTTTTTAGTTAGTTGAAGTCGATGCAAAAAAAATTCAATATGGACAGATCAGAGATTGTAATAGAACGACGTTAATATCCGCTTGTCGGCAGCTTGGATATACCGTTTATGATTTTGGAATATCAGAGGATAAGTAAGGCTGTCGTGGTCCATTCAAAAGGTCAGCGGATTCATCCATTCCTTTTCTTAATACAGTGTCGAAAGTTTAAAAACGAAGCTAGTCCAATGTCTTAATGCCGCTGATATCGTTATTACATCCGGTGGAGTTTCCATGGGCGAGAAGGTTGGTTCGTTACATCTTCCATCTTTTAAAAACAATCAACTTATCACCAGCGATAATTTTTTGTGTTTTGTCGTAGGACCTTCTGAAACCTTTACTTCAAGATGAGCTAAATGCATCTATTCATTTTGGTCGAGTTTTTATGAAACCAGGGTATGGATCTTTACCTGGGTCGTTTTAATATTTACCTTACATTTGTGTTTTAACGGTTCTCGTCAGAATTGCCTAAATTATAGTTATTATTCACCATGACAAGTACGCTTTTCAAGAAATCACGATCAAGTCTCTGCTGTATATAAATACTTCTATCCTTTTTCACAGAAAACCAACTACGTTTGCTACACTGGACTATTGTGATCAAAAGAAATTATTCTTTGCTTTGCCCGGAAACCCCGTATCAGCCTTAGTTACGTTCCATCTTTTTGTCCACCCGGCTTTGAGGAAGATGTCTGGATTTTGCAATCCGCAATTACCCAGAATAAAAGCTAAGGTAGGAATTATGACTCGAGGTTTTAGGTAGAGTGATTGTCATACCTACATTCCATAAATCTTCGTCAAAGCTAGAGGGGTTATCTCTGCCATGACTAGGTAGCAAGTTTTTGACCCTAGCTATATTGATTTATGTCTTACTTTATTCAATCCCAGCTATCCACTGATGTTCGTCTTGATTCGCGACCTGAATTTCATCGTGCACATTTGTCCTGGCGGCAGGAAAGTCCTTTTCCGATTGCCACAAGTACCGGTAGTCAATGCAGTAGTCGATTACTGAGCATGCGTACAGCTAGTGCCTTATTGGAACTTCCACCTAGGACAGAAAATCGAAACACGTTACCTAAAGACAGCTTGGTTGATGCTATCGTTATTGGGAACCTGTGAAATTCACAATAAAGTATTAGAGAAATTACCACAAAGAGTTGGAAATTATGATAAAACACTAATTAATGTATTTCTATTACTAAGTAGATATATTTTGGGGGTTTTTTTTGTAGTTGAGTGAATTAAGCTGTAAGCATGTGATTAACAGTGGAGGACAGCACTAAGTTTATTACTGAGGTCGTTGAGGTAGCTTCACACCTAATGGTCACACCAGACCTACCACTGACTTTATGGTTTATTCAATGGAACTCAATGATGAAGCCAGTGGATGAGACCCACTGTTCGGATCTATGGTTCGAACCATAGCACAACCATAGAATATATCTATGGTACGGACGGAGGACTTTTTGAGAGCCAACCCAGTCCCCAAAAATGACATAAGTGTCAGTCAACTTTCACAGCAAATAAAAATGACACAAAACAAAATGGTGGACGAAGCTTCAAATTCAAATAAACCATGTAAAATTCCCTTAGCTCCGGCACCGCCGGTGTTGCCTAATAAGATGCAATTACCAGAAAGGAAAAACATTTTGAAATCGGCAGCAACATTATTGGGCAATGACCTTAATGATTCAGCTACAAAGTCGGCTTTAAATACTTGCGAAGAATTCTTAAATGGACAAAGCAATGCCGAAGAGCTTTCGAAACTACGTTGGTTTTATCATAATAACGATGTTATAGCTTGCCTTCAAGATGGCCCCACGTAGGTTTAACAAATATGAAGTATTTTCAATTCCAACAACCCAAGCATTGCGCAAATTAGTGGTTATTACTAATTTACCATATCGATCAGTATAATCATAACAATCACTCGATTTGCATAACGAGTTACGTTTTTGTACAAACTGGTGTGTTAAGCAGTTTCTTAATCATTTTTAGCTGCGGATTAGTCGCCTTAAAGATTGCTGCTGATATTTTAAAAGTCAGTAAACCTTACAATGATATACCAAATCTATTGAGAGTTGCCAAAGATAATGGTTTTACTAATGATGGCGAGATGTTTTCTGCTCATGACATGGGAGTACTGGCAAAAATATTTTATAATCTTAAGTACAAAGTTATTCATAATGGGTTGGAGAAGTACAAGAGTTTAATAGAACATTTATACCAAGGTTATCCAGTCTTGGTGCCTTATGATGCTGACAGAAATCACACACCATGTTTAAAACAAGGTCACAAAGCACATTGGGCTGTTTTGACAGGTACAATTTTTCAAAATTAATAAAGTAGTTAAGCCATGGCTAATTGTTCTCAATACAAATGATGTTTTTTTAAACCTGACTTCAATGACATGATGATTTTAGGATTTCTTCTGAGCCTTCAAGAGATATCGTCAAGGAAGTGTGACAATGCTGAATTGGCAAAAATCAATGCCTTTCGATGTGAAACAACACCAATTCAGTCATTAGAAATTGGAAATGTGTATCTTATAGCTAGACAAGGGAAATCCAGACATTATTTTTTGTGTTCCTGGTTAGATTTGCATGATAGCAATAGAAACCTGTTTGAGTTCCCTCAATATGACATGGAAAAAAGGAACAAGGTAATCTTTACAGATGGTTTAGACAATGATCTTTGTTCAAAGGCAGTTTATCTTTTTCCTGCTTATGAATAATGCTGATAAATCTTTTATTTTAGTCTTTATAATATTTTGTTCAAATTTACAAATTTTAGTAATTTGAAACAATAAAACGTTAATGGCAGACTTGAAAAATTATTTTAAAGTAAGTGTCAGATTTTCAAACTCTAAATATATTATTTGCATTGTAAAATTTTCACCCTTAAGCAATTCAGGTGACTTATTTCTTAATATTAGTATTTTTATGTGGATTTATATTTTCCTTATCACCCAGTGTGTACTGATTTAGTAACTGCCTTGTCTTTGAACATTTAGCACAGCACTGAGCAGCCACTCTTGAAAGTGTTGCCTTTAAAGTTTCAGCATTTCTTCTCAATTCGTTCAGCTGTTGTGCTTTTTGTACCCTGCCATTTTTTAGGCTTTCCTCCTTGTGTTTCTGTTTCATACGAAACTGTCGACTACACTCTCGATTCTTTTCTTTCCTTCTTTTCATTCTCATCATTTTCTCCTGATCCATTTGCGGTTCATACTTGAAGGTAGTTCAAATAAAATGAATTAAATCATGGTATTTGATTAAAATGCAGTTTGCATTTTACCTGGTCAATATTCGCCCATGTGCCATTGCTTATTGCCCCGTAATAGCTCACTGGAAGTGACTTTGGATACACGCAATAGTTATGATCTATACTCCTGTTTCTTATTCCTGTGCTTGTTTCAGCATTTTTTAAATACAAAGCTTGAGAGGAGTCATCAGAGGTTGAGTTAAGCAGAGAAAGAGTGAGAGTTGAGTCTTTCATTGATGTTACGCTGCCATTTACACTTTGTTGAGCTGGAACTAGTGGGGCGCTCTCTATCTGGACGGACGGTGTAAATGATTCTGTTGCTATATTTTCATAATAACTATCGTTCCAGTTCTCTGAATGGTGCCCATGCTCTGTAATTCAAGTAAGACACGTTAATACAATTTTCAGAATTTAAACATTGGGTATTGATGAATTGAATGCGTTGAAGTATTTAATAAGAACAACCTACCAATCAAGTGTAAAATCTCTTGTCCAAATTGTTCGCCGCAATATACATCAGATGAAATCGATAGTTCACGCAGGTTTTCAACTGTTTCGTTTTTATCTGGAGCTCCACCATGTTTCGCGGTTTGGTCTTCAGTTGTTAATCTTCATGAATTTAAGCAGATGACTGAAAAAATGTTATTTTAACCCTTTGAGATGCAATCAATACTTACTCTTTTTGCGTTTCTGCCATGATTCCTTTGTTGTCATAAAACACGACTTTTACTGAATTTTCATTTTCTTTGCCATAGGCAACATCATTTTTGCTGTCTGATATTTGAAACGCAGGACTTGCTGTTAACTTACTTGCCATTTCATTTTCAACGTGAAAATGCTCCATGATCGATCTTCTTGTATCCAGCAAGAAAATTCCCTGCTTTGAGGACATTCAAAAGAACGATTAAAATTTTAGCTATGTAAAAAAATGCGAAAGATATCAAAAATTTTTCTTACCAAATCGATGTCTAAATTTTTTGCTGCCTTCCACGCACCAATATCGCGTAGTCTTGGTTTATAGGTAAACGTCCATCACCAGAATTAACTTTTCACAAAATTAAAAGTTGTTTTTGCAAGAAAAAAAGTTAAACGACCAGCGTCCAACAAATTTAAGTTTGTAGCAATATAAAAGTTCACTTCGGAAAATTTTGACGACTTTGAGAAACGTCTTTGTTCAAAAAGATGTGATGTGATTGGTCGAAAAATTTTGTCTTGTCAACCCAGTCTACTTCGAAAAAAATTCCGATTACAAAGCGACGGTTAACCAGACCAATGAAATTGCATGAAGCAATTTTTTTCGGACGAATATTCAACGACAGTTTCCGAGGGATAGTGAAAATGAATATTGATCACCGACATCTCCATGTTTTACGCGGAAAATTGGTTTTTTTTGTTATGAATAACAGTTTGAATATACACATGCGAATTCAGCATAAAAAACACAAGCAAATAGAAATGTTCAATTATCGAGCTGCTTCAAAAAATGTTGACAGTGTTCCAAACTGTTGTCACGGGTCAGCAAAAAACTGCAATGAAGAGACTGGAGTAGACGACAATCACGACATTGAGTGGTGTAGTGGATTTTGGAATGAAATGGATGGAGAAATTGCTCCAACGTGAGTAGACTTGAGATTTGACAGTCTTACAAGAACAGATAACAGAAATCTGTAATGAACAAGGCAATTTTTGCTTATCATTTTCAAGCCTTTATCCGGTGAGCCCTATTTTTTCGTCACGAGAGTCTTATTGTTATGATGATCCTTCATTTATTGAAAACCTACTCAAAAGTCCTAATGTAGAAGAGACTTTAGCAGGAACACGTTTTAATGGATGTCCTGCATTATCTGATAACAGTAAAGGTAGGTAAACCCGAACTTCGTGCACAATAAGTGAATCTTTCATGTATTAAATTTCTACACACAGAGATTAGTTCAACGTGTCCAACAACAGTATTCAGCTCAACTGGCGAAACGTTGAATAAAAAGCGTCTATCAACAAGGTCGAAGACAAAATGTGAAAAGCAGAGAAAGCCCAAGGTATTCTATGAGTGTAAATTCTGACCTACGCTTGATGATAGGTATTCAATTGCAAAAAGTAACGTCTTGGTTTTCATTTATAGACCGACGTTCCAATCAGCACTCCCATCAAAAAGCAAAAAGAAAAACGAGGCAGAAAAAAGAAGGAAATAAATTCAAATGAAGAATAGGTTTTCTTTATGAACATGAAAACAAGCGTAAATTTACAACTGTTCGCTTATTAGTTATTACATGCTTAAATTCAGTTATGGCGGATTCTATTTTAACAACATTTTTTAATCTATTTGATTATATGTACTACGACATGTTTTTTTAATAATAAATGATTTATGTACAATTTAATTAATGAGTACATGGTGGAAACACTGTTTCTAAACTTGTCCATTCAATGATTATTCCTTTTCTTTAGACGGAACTGACGTCATCATAAATATCAAAATACACTTGTTTTCTTATTCTTCATTTTCAACAGAATTTTTCTTCGCTTTTTTATTCCCTTTTCAATAGAGAAGTGATGGTGAGGATAATGAACTTAGTTTGAGCGCAATTATGAGCCAATTGAACCAATTCAATATCAGGTTGAACGTTAACTATACCTTTGAAAAACACCTGTTTAGACTGAGGTGAAGATAGGTAACCAGAAGATCCAGAATCATTTAAGTCATCACATTCCTTACAATATAAGGGACTAGATCCTGGCCCACGAGGAGTCACATCGACATCATCTATAGATATGTCGGGAAATGCTCCACCGTGATGAGGTTTTCTTGTTCGCTTCCATATTGGATGACCAGGCACTATGGACATGACCTAAAATATAGAAAAGCAGGAATTTTTATGATTTTATTTTGACTCGGTAAAGATTTAAAAATCGCAATCAATGATTTATCCTTGCCTCTTCACAAGTCCTACAACTCACAACTGCCCTGTAGTTCATTTTCTTCCACAATCTATCGCGTTTCTGTAAAAACTTGGGATATAAATCGCTCCATTTATGGCCCAATGCCCAAGGAAGGATGTCAAATTTTACATCCTCGTCGTCTTCTTCCATGTCATTTGCCAAATACCTGAGTATTTCATAAATTATTGTAAGCTGTTGAAGTTCCATAGAAGTTTGAAAATACAACATTTTTACTCACAAAGCCAGGAAAAAATTATCTCTTGTGTATTCAAATCTGGTGAGCTCGGCCCGTTTGAAATAGACGTAGACCATTGCGAGCAAATACTGAAATCAAAATTCACTTGTTGACTTTAAAGCATCATTTCGAGTAAACAACAAACTCAGATATTACTTTGTCTGATATTCTTGTGCAAGAGTCCATCCAGAGAAAATCTTGGATAAGGTCGTCATCTATATCAGAGACCATTATAATTTATTGAATATGCTAAAAATTGGCAACGAAAAAAAGTCTATTTTGACTATTTACGTACCAAACAACTTGAAGAAAGAAACCATCTCAGATCTTTTAGCAAACTCGTTTAAACGAGAAGGGTCGATAACAGCTTTGGTCAATTTTATTTTTTCAGGTTTTTCGCAGGTACTCTGCTCTTTTGTGAGCGTCTTTGTTTTTCTTCTCTTCACACCAAGATAAAGTAATCTCTTCTCTTCTTTTCTTTTTGTTTTTAAGGAATACCTTTTGTCTGAATGACCTTGTCCCATTTCGTCCACCAAATCAAGGATATCTCGTACTTTCGAAAGTTTTGTTTTCTCACTCATAGAAAATTGCTTTATTCATATAAAACGTGTTTTAAAAGTTTGTTTACTTTATTCTACAAGCGAACTTTCTCGTTTCAAAAGGTTTTTGTTGATAGGTTTTGTTTTGAAAGCCAAAAAAGACAAACAAACTTTGAAGTTCCCGCGCTTGGCGGGTTTTGTTATGGCCGAGAAAGAAAGCCAGAGACTGGTAACTAAAGATGGCGGATAGAAGTGAAATTTAGAGATGTGTGACAAAAGCTTATTATTTCCTTGTACATCTCCAACTTCGAACGAAAAAGAAAATGCTGTACAAAGTTCGTGTTTGTTTCCATCTGTATCTATTCCCTCTTTGAATTCTAAAGGTATGTTAAGTTGGTAACAACCTAGAAGCCATTATTAATTTGCTATTGGCCTATTGCTATGGTATTTGTGTATAACAAAAACAAATAATCTTTCGATTTCGTAGAGTCATTTGCCTGGCTCTCAAATGAGAGCTACAAAGACGAAGGGGCGAAGGAGGATTGTCCTAAAGTAGAGGAGGAAGGGTTTGGATTAGAATCGAGTCAATCTAGTGATGACGAAGAAACAACGAAAGCAGAAAGCTCAGAAGAAAGAAGAGCTAGGAGAAAGCGTAGAAAAAAGGAGAAATCTAGGAAAAATAAACGGAAAAAATGTAAAAAAAACAGCGATGATATTATTTCAAAGTTGAGTAAGCGTCCTTCGACCATTTGGATCGAAGAATCTGGCTTAGACATTGATGAAGCGTATCGTGTTCATAAAAAACCTGATTACAATAATATTGGATTTGGAGGTTTGTATCGACTTGATGTTGCCCTTCATTTTACAAACCCTAAACTGAAATGCCTTGGATATAATGACTGGAAATCGTTTGAAAAAAGAAAGGACAAGAAAAAATCTTCATGCAGATATTGGGAAGTTCATACTCATTCATCAGATGATGTGATTGCCCTGGATAAAACTGGAAATGTTGGATTTGGTTTCAGCAATAATTTCTCTTATGTCCCTCTTGAGCTACCTGTAAAACATGTGACTGACGATAAAGAATCCCCTATTGATCCCAATGAATCCCATGTGTCTGTACTCTTAAACAAGACGCGAGATTTGAATCAGAGAGTTAGGGAAAATGTGAATGATGTTGATGCTTGGTTAGCCTTGGCCGATCATCAAGCATTGCAGGTCAATTCTACTGCAGAATCCTTGCTTAATACGGGAGTTGAAAAATACCAAAAATTCAATAAGTTATCGTTGGAAAAGAAGTGCTCCGTTTTGGAACAGGCTGTTGAAAAGAATCCTTCGTGTAAGGAATTGATTCTTGTATTCATGGATGTTTGCTCGGAAATCATGAGTAGTGAAAAAGTGCTAGAGAAATGGAAACAGTTATTGTTTTATCAACCTCAGCGCATCTCTCTATGGAGACATTATCTTCTCTTCTCTCAGTCTTGTTTCTCCGTTTTCTCGATAACGACAACCGTAGCCATTTACACCAAGTGTTTCACGACTTTATCTGCTATTCAATCTGGCCATTTCACATCTCATCAACCTGAAAATGACATCGAAGAAGGAATGCTTCAAATAGTGCTTCAGCTTTTGTTGTTTCTAATTCATTCAGGTAAATGTTTGCTGTAATTTTTTTGCCAGTAACGATACGTTTATGGCACGTGCAACGTTAATGAGAGGTTACATTTTCATTTACTTTCAGGGCAAACTGAGAAGGCTGTTGCAGCATTTCAAGCATTGATCGAGTACAACTGTTTCCCTCCGAGTGATGTTAATGATGAAAGTCTACTGCGATCTACTTTTGAGGATTTCTGGGACAGCGAAGTACCCAGGTTCGGCGAAGATAACGCACAAGGTTGGGGATGTTGGATGGAAGGGCAGAAGAGTCGAAAAGGGGAAGTTGTCTCTCTTCGTGATATATTCCCAACGACAGCATCTGAAAATGTTTTGTCGACCTCTCAGGTAGGTATTGATCATTCTCAAAAGTCCATGTACTGGTTGGAATTGGAAACGTCACGTGACGATGAGCAATGGTATCCAAAGAAGTCTAGCGATCACGAAGATGACGATGATCCTGACAGAGTTGTTCTTTTCCATGATATAAATTTCGTTCTTTTCAAATTCTCTCGTGAAGAGATTCGTTTCCGCCTTCTTTGCTGTTTTTTGTCCTTTCTTGGTGCTTCTTTAAATGTTCTTCATCGAGAATGCGATGAAATAGTTCAGCTCTTTCTACAAGATGAGCAGCAGTTCACATCGTTCATCGACGGATACGAAAATGCGACAAAAATCAACTCCTCTCGCATACTTTTTCTTCGTAATACATTCCATCAATCTTTACGCGTTTTCGGTGGAGATATTCAGAGCAAAGTTTGTTTTCACTGGCTTAGTTTCGAAACAAAACTTCTCACAGAATCAGGAAGACCACTCAGCAAACATATTTACAAGAGTGTACGTAAACTGGCCAAGTCTTTGTTGAAGTTAGAACAGCATCGTAACAATTTAAATCTTTGGTTTGCTTACGTACAACTCGAGTTCGTGTACGGAAACTGGGACGAGGCTAGAAGCGTAGTGACGTCAGTGTTGGGGCAATCAAGAAGTGTTAATGATGAGAACGTAAGCATGAATAATTTTCGTTTTGTTCGAATGTATTGTGAACTGGAGATGGGATTAAAGAAAGAAAAAAAGATTGCTTCAGAAGCCGTAAAAAATGCAGTCATAATCGCGATAATTTCTCTTGTGAGTGGATCATCGGCTCAGCTTACCCCAGCTCAAATTTTAAAGAATAGGAAATCTCTGCAAGATAGGAACCTCCTTCTTCTCCAGGATATACGTCTGTTCGATGAAATGACAGATAAGAAAAAAGAGCTCGTGATTAATTTCACAATATGTTACTCTATATTTCAATATTGGAGTGCAGGCATCGACGAAGCCATAAAAATTTTGAGCGCCATGTTAACTGCATTACAATCAATGGAAATAACTTCATTTTTTGGTTCGAAGTACAACGAAGACGTGATGATCTTTTACAGTAGATTGTATCGTTATCATTTAGAGACCAACTTCTGTTCAATCAAACCATTGAGGGATATTCTCGACGCGTCATTGAAATCTTTTCCAGAGAACCCATTTTTTCTCCAGTCTTTCGTAAACGTTCAACTAAAGTCATTTACCTCCTACACGATCAGACGCCATTTTGATCACGTGCTCGACAAGAGTTCGACGCCGTTTCCATGGTTTTTCGCTATAAAGTATGAGCAGCACAGACATAAAACCATTCAATCTGCCTTGATGGACAGCAACGACTTTACACAGGTGTGCTGTAAAACATTGCCGTTTGATAAAAAATCGTTTGATTTTAATTTTTATGCTACTTTGAATAAACTCTTCTCCATTTTCCCGAAAAGGGAAACTATCTCATTGAAAGACATTGAAGATTTTGTGCATTTGTTTAGGCAATTTATTCAACTCAACCTTCCCCCACGGGTGTGATGCATCGTTTGAGATCAGTGTACGAGAGAGCTATCCACCATAAAAGTGCCAGACATTGTGTAGCTATATGGAGATCATACATAAAGTTTGAGGTAGACAATGGTAATTTACGTCAAGCAAAAGCAATATTTTATCAAGCGTTACAAAATTGTGCTTGGGTTAAGGTTAGTTCGAGATCTGCATTTCCTTTTAAGTGCCTATGAATCATGCTGAACTTGTAAGGAATTTCTTTTAAACAAGTTTTTGTATGCTTATCTGTCAAGTACAGAAATTTTGGTTTTGTGTTAATTAGATAATTTATGGTCAGCTGTTTGCTAATTAACGTGTATTCACATTACACAAAGTTGCTTTATCTCATGTTGGTCATCAACTAAGAGCTAGCAAACATTGTATAATTTTATTATAGTTCTTGTCGTGGTACTTTAAGAAATAATTTTTCTTTATTCAGGCTTTGTACTTGGATATAGTGAAGCTGTTTCCTGAATTGTACCAAGATGTTTACGACATGATGGTGGAAAAGGAATTGAGGATTCGAGCACCGCAGGAAGAAATAGAACTGCTTCTTGAAACTCAGTGAATTTAACGAAACACGTCGACAATTGTTATGTTATACATCTCTTTAAACGCTGAATCTATGATAACACTGTGGTTATTTACAAATTACTACAAAATACTATATACAATCGGAATGTACAAATTATTTTCTAACAATAATGTTATGTTATGTCTCGTCACAATTAAAATCGACTATCAATACTTCAAAGGCACTCTTCACGCCTTCTTTAAACATCACGCCATCTTTCCGGTTCCGCGTGCGAACGGAACAATAATGTTCCGTTATGTTTATCATGTGATTTTTTGGCAGCTCCTGAGTTCATATGAGGAAGAACTGCTTTTCGATTAAAAACAAAGAGCGGATATCGTCACCTTTCAAAAAATACATATTATTTCCTCAAATTGTTCTCAATTTTAATAGAAATCCTAAAACCATGAACACCGAGCTTTTAACACCAAATAAAAGAAATCCACGCCAAAAGACAAACAACACATGCCGTATCCTTTACGATAGATGGTTCCCACAACCAGTACATCGAACCATACAATAACACATGACTTCTTTACATCCTAACGCAATCAATTCCGCAATGGCAAGAAACGTCAATCACTAAAGACAATTACGTCAACATGACGTAATGTGTGATTGCGTTATAGAACGCAGTCGTTCTTTCTTCTGCAACAGCATGAGCAAACGACGTCATTATTTATGTGAGCCCATGTTCTTCTCCATTGCTCCTTCCGCGTGCACAGTAAGAGAACTGGGATCGACCAATCCTACCATTTCATTTGTAGAATTGTGGTTGTCATGCATCCCATTTGAATGATGCTGCAACGAATTCGAGTATTCCTGATGCACCTGTGAGGAATAAGGTTAATACTTGGTGAGAAGATATTTATTTAAAAAAAAATTATATGTACAATGACATACACAATGAGATATTTACCTGGAGTTGCGTTGGTACATGTTGTAAAGAAACAGGAATACCTTGATTGGTAACAATGTTACCATCATGCATAACAATATGTGACTGAACAGATGAATCGCCATCATTTTGAGTGGTAGGAGGTGTAGCATACAGTAAACTACCAGAGTTGTAAATCAATGGCATATTCCCACTGGTGTAGACCGCGGCATTGTTCTGACTGCTCTCGTTTCCTGGCATGGACAAAACGTTGATTGGAACGCCTGACATATGTCTGTGGTGGCCTGGACTCTCACCGCCAGCATGCTCGGGACTTCCGTGATGATTATGTGACGTCACCGTCGAGTCCATGTGTGAGTTTGCAGATGTTGTTGCTGCCTGCATTCGGTGGAGATGTGGATTAACCACCTTAAAATGGAACATGTAAAGTACGTAAGAAAGGAACGTGATATGAGATTGTAACTCTGAAATGGTACAAATCCAACATACACAAACACACGAAAAAAGAAATGCTTACCTGAGGAAGAGGTTGCTGCCCACCAGAACCCAACTGATATGCTCCATTAGGGAAAGTTGCTCCTGGAGGTGAAAATATCGTAGCGTAGCCTGCACCATGCACGGTCTGGACTGAAAGGGATTGGACACCAGACTTAGACGCGTTCAATGCTTGTGTTGTTGATGGTGGTAAATAGGTAGTCATCGGAAAAGAACCATTTCCAGCTGTTTGCAAAGTGATTCCGGTCATGGAACCGCTGCCAGCTTGATTTAAGTCGATATTCTGATTCAGGAATATGGATGCTTTCCCGTCCTAGGCAAAATATGATTGACAGACGGTTAGAATAGATACAACATCTGTTTCGTTTAATGTGCAAAAAGATCATTCAAAGGAATGTTTCACAATAAGAGATTTCACCTGTTACCACATACATAGATACATATATCATATATTTCAGGTCTCGTAAAAATCATAACGTGATTTCATTGTAGTATTTGAAAAAAGTTCATTCGACTAGAAAGAAGTAATAATTTTCCTCAATAAAATAACGAGTTTAAACCAAGTGAATGTCACGTGTCAGTGGACCAAGAGAAAAACGATTTGTTTTGGCATTGTTACGGGTATTGTTATGATAATATATGGTAATATTTGCTATGAATTTGCACTGTTAATATATATATTGCAACTTTATTACATATTCTGAACTATAATAGATTTTTACTTTGTTGTATGGGAATAACTACAGCAAAACCAGCCAATTACAGTCGAGTATCATTCCATAGCACATCATTACAGGAACACGGAATAAACAGAAGTTTTCGGCAAGAAAATATAAAATGATCAAGATATTGACACGTTCCTAAATGACTATATGTAGTCATATTGTATAGAGGCAACAGTTACTATCTTATTTTCTATTTACAACTTGAGAGTACAAATGCGATAAAAAATAAATCCCGGACTGTGGAAAAATCCACTTTGTCCGCTGAACGTTATAATGACAATCCATTGGCAACATTCTTCTGAGCTACTCCAATGAACTGATGTCAATATCTAAATGCTCGTCTCTCTTATCCTAACAAGCTTTCATTTTCTACTTCACTAAGTATGATGTGACGTATATATGTTACACAATGAAAAGAAAGATGAGAAAACTCAAAGAATCACAATAAAAAACACTTTGCGAGGGTCGAGTGTTCATGTCATCACTATGGCAACAAGCCCACAATAAAAAATTCAGATACGCCGCCCTCTTTAATTATCACACCCAGTTGAAAGTAAAAGGGCTAACAAATTGGAAATCATTTCCAAAAATAGTCTAGATCACCTTGTAAAGGTATACCGCTAAATCAAGTGTCAATATTTTCGAACAATATTGCCTTAGAAGTGGACGAGAGATCTATGGGAAAATAACAGTGAAATAGAGCAAATAATTCAAATAACAATATTAGAAGTTTTAATATTGTTACCTAAGAAACCATTGGTACATAAGAACCCAACAGAATAAAGTACAGCTTTCACATAATGTTGCGAGTATGATTGTTAAACAATAACGGGGTGTGTTTAGAGGGATGCATTGACTGTATAATAGGCTATTATTATGTATTATTACAGGCTAAAGAGCTGTATACTTTGACAGAGCAAGAGTGCACCTTGCTAAAAACTTCAGGCTAGGGTTCCATACAACCTTTTGGAAGAATACAGATGAACCTCTCAACCCTCTAGAAGAACATAGATATACCTCATTCACCTGCTATATGAGTAAGGATCTACTCACGAACATTAACTGCATTGAAGTTTCTCAAGTACTTACGTTAACGGAAGCATTTTTCAAGCCTTACATTTGTCGGTTTTTAAATTGATTTTCTCATTTTTTAAAGAATTTTTTGTAGCACTTGGACATAACTGCTTGTCCTCCTACTGTTGGACTACCAGTTACCCATTTTTTTGTAATTCTTTCATAAAGAACAAACGAGAATTTTCCGCAATTACAACGATTCTTTGTAAGATAAGCGAGGTTTCGTCAGAGTTTCTTCATTAGCAATAGTTCACTTGTTATATTAATTAAATTGTTATAATTATTTCAGACGGGTGGTCATAAGGTCCGATAACAGTTCGACAAAAAACGACAAAAAGTGTACAAATCATCAATCATGAACTAAAATGAGCTCTATCGAGAGTACTATAATGGACCAACGAGGCTCTCAAAAACATAAATATCAAATCACCACAGGTCTACTTTATGCACCAGGCAAAAATTAGAAAACATGAATACAGACAGATTCTTATTTTGTAGTGATGTAATGGTTAAACAAAGAAACTTTTATCCTGATCAGATGTACTCGCTACATCAAAGAAGAATCCACAATAATATCTCAGAAGTAAATGCAAATATCTCAACTATGTCGATATCTTTGACATATTAGCATACTTGTAATAATACACCAAAATAGCGGTATGCTAATGAACCCTAGCCAAGATCTATTTTATTGTAGAGTCAAATATGTTTTTTCGTTTGAAAATGCAATAACATGTAAAAAAGTGTAGCTATACGTGTAAAACTTAGAATTTGAAGTTTCTCGTTGAAAAAAAAGCTTAGGAAGAAGGCGATATGCGCGAAAGAAAATGAGAAAACAGGGTTTAATAACCTTTCTTTGAAGACAAAGTCAGAGTTACACATAAGGCTTCATAAATACATCTCCAACTTACTCTTGACACCCCGAACAGACATGTATGGTTAGCAAACAATTGACATAGCATGAAGCACACGCTATTCATTTATGTCCTAAACTGGACAAGAACCTTGAAATAAGAGGCCATATAAGCATTTTTATCGAAATGCTTAGTAACGAAATCATCCATTGTAGATCTTGTACATCATAAGACGATCAAGGAATACCATCAACATATATCTGGCTCAATAATCTATCAATGCTCATCAAAATATATTTCAAAGTCGTCGAAGCTATTTATAACAGCAAATGAGCCGGACAGCTGTGCTGGGAAATACCATATTAAATACATTAATGTCCTATTTTGCCCAAACAATACCCAAATTCTGACCTTAACACCGGTAAGAAGAGCCTCGTTTCAGTATGCTCACTTGAAATTGCCCAGGTTTTGGGATTTAGTACAACGTAAACTACTCATATGAAATGATAATCAAACAATTAAATCTCTTTTAAGTATTGTATTTAAGACAAAAGAGCACTCAAATGTATCGCTAGAACGCAAAGCGATGTCAAGAAATCAAGTCTGCATTCAAATAAAATACCAAAGAATTGATGCTGACATTTGATATCATTTTACTAATTAGTGTAATGCAACACAGATGTCTTATGTAGCCAAATTTATCATCATCATGCTTGCATCGGCGAGTTATGCATTCGGCTTTAAAAACAAACGTTTTTTTCGTGATAACAAGTCTCCTCTTTTTTATCGCATGAAATGTTCATTTATGCTAAGAAATTATGCTAGAACCCGAGGCAGGAGTTTCAGAATGTAGATTTTTTCATAATCTTTAAATTAAATTCAAGTTTTTTCCAAGGTTCGATCGTCTATCTTGTAATGAAACCATTAGCAAAGTTTAGTCAGACACACAAAGTTTATGAGCAAAACATTGGTCTATTCTCAACAGTTTTACGAGAAATTAGTCGTCTTTCATAGGGGAATTCATACAATGATTGATGCGCATTACAACAACATGCATAATCCTGCTAATTCCTAACACAGCGGCCAAGAGCAAAATGTTTGAAATTCCCTGAATACCTAAGCCGAAATCACCAATTTATCTCTACATAGAAACCACTGTTAGAAATATGACAATCGTGATATTACATATTATATAAATTAATGACCCGACATTATGAATTTCTCAAGGGAAAATTGAAAAGTCCCGAAATTTGTTGGATTTCCTAAAATGGGAATACTTTTGTGTTGACGTGCTCCCTTATAAAGACATGCCAGCCATATATGGCCCTTATGGCAAACTTACGCGAAATATGAATGAAGACTAAACACTTCATCACAAAAAAGAGCAACATTTACAGTAATTACAGCAAAATCACAAAAAAAAGTAAAAAACACGTCCAACATAGAAAGAGGAACTAAAGTGAAGCCGTTTACAAAATGGCGTCGTTGTTTACGTCAAAAAGAATCGTTTGTAGCCGATCTCGAAAAACCAGTAATGAGTATAAAGAACTTTTGACTTGAATACGAGTAAATTGAAAAATAGAGGTAACAAGAAATTTAATTCAATAAACAAAGCTATGTTATAAACTTTATTGTATAAGTAATAATGTTGAAAGAACAAACCTTGTCGCCATTGACTGCAGTTTCATGGGAAGAATAAGAAAGGTCCGGTTCTTCATAACCAGTTGCGGACATACGTTGGTCAAGGGCTACAGTGTTGAGAGCAGGGTCTGGAGAATTTAAGCATGTCTGTATCAAGGCTTTACCACTCTCTGAAGTTATCATTGGTTGAAGTTTCCGCGTTGCAAAAGTATAGACATGACCTGTTTCTGATGCAACAAGAAGCATCACTTGTGTGCCAGTTAAAGTACTGAGCTCGTAAGCCTACAAAATATCGACAATATTTCTTCATTATCAAAAGCTCATAAAGTCCATGCATGGTCTTGCGATGTATTTAACAATCAATGCAGAAATTTCAAGGCACAATTGCACAAAACTCAGACGTAATATTGCTATATTGACGTGTATATATACGAACGAACCTTCTTCATTATGCCGGTCTTCCGCTTGCTAAAAGTTGTATATCTTCTCAATTTATTATCAATATATTCCATTTTTATCTTCACTCGACCACGAGTTTTCTTTCCTGGTTTAATACCGATCTTACTATCCTCAATATCCTCATGATCCGATGAGCTACTGTTTATTTCGTCGACATCTCTTTTTACACCCCTATGTAAATGCTGTTGTTGTTGTGATTGCTGCATGTCGCCTTCCGTGACTGTCTCGTTGTTTTGTTGAGTCGAAGTTTCAATGTTTCCCTGAGTGATGATAGTCTCACTTATTTCATTCTGATCGTTGTCCATGTTGTAGGAAGCTTTTTATATGGCAGAAGGAATAATAACACACGTGCCGGGATACTTATTTGGGGAAATCAACGCCGTATATGGCGAAGCAATCGTTTAGATACCATATTTGGACATACGTCTTTTTAGATTCACTTCCGGCGTGTTAAACATCATTGATCTATCGATAGGTACTGTTCAAATGCGTGCCTTTGAACGCCGAAAATGCGTGCAATTACTTTCGCATTGCTAATCTTTTCAAATGAGCAAATTCTTCGTAATATAGTCCATTTCATATTTGACGAACAAAATGGCGCAATAGCTAATTCTTGTTGATATTATAGGGCGCAATCGTTTGCTATGCCAACGACGTTGGCATCAATCTAGCATCTAGGCAGCTCATGTCACTTATCCTCAATTTTGCGTAAGCAGCTCTTTTATTTGAACATGCAAATGTCACCGTGGCTAAGGGAAGATATTAGGTCATTCTTGCCAATTTTTTCTTCATTGCACAGACTTATTCGGGAAAAATGGCCCAACATGTTCACTTCGTATTTCAGCATAAAGCCCCTATACCTTTTTCGGGACAAAAAAACTATAAACACTAAGAAATGGGTACGAAAAGGTACGCCGCCAAATAATCTTCAGTATATTTGTAAAAAGATGAGCTGTCGTGGATAAATTTTATCATTTGTTGTCGTTTTGAATGGTTAAACACTCGAGTAATATCGGAATAATAGTAATGCATTTTGACAGTAATCTTGTTGGTTGTTGGAACTGTTGATTGAAGTAAAAACCTACGTTACGTGTAGAACAAAGAAATGAAAGAAATCATTTGAAAGTCACGCCTTTATCAGTAATCAATTATCAGGGTTCCGATTGTTATTTGTACTCATCTAAAAGTACACAAATTGACAAATCATAAAATATCATTGTTTTCAAATATAACACCAGCTGAAAACGTACGAAATTACGATAGAGTAAAAATGTGGCCATCACGACAAAATTCAATTTTATGACGCGAGCAAGGTTACAAAAAAATTAACATTTCCATATTTGTAGCTCATTTTCAAAACGTAACAGCCTTTCACAGGACAATTTAAAACCTAAAACTTCTTTTGTATGAATTTTGCCGTTATATTCTTGTATTTGTCAAGCAATCAATGGGGATCTAAATTCACCTAATTTATGGTCCATTTTCCCGGTCAACAGCGACAAGAAAGAATTATGTCGTAAGTCGGATGACGTAGTATTTTACTAATCAAGTTGTTCTTCCTATTGCGAAAACTTTTTAAGTCTTTACAGATATATTAACAGAGTCAACAAGATGCAATGGATGAAAATGTACTAATTTGACCATGTGACGGAAGATAACGGAAGAACAGCTTACATAATCTTTTGGGGATGCTCGGTTTCGAAAATCATCCCACTTACGTATTCCTAAAGCCCGTTCCATGACGCCGGTTTCGCATGGAGTGTATTTGAGCCTCTAATCTCACAGTCACAGCATGATGGATTTTGTAAAATTTGCCAACATACACAAGTTTGAAAAATAGAGAAACGTTACAGCAGCCGATATCTCAACCAAACAAGACCAATCTCGTGGGAACGCTGTCTCCATTGTTCAAATTCCGAGGATCTTTTTGATACATCGTAAGCATCGAAGAAAACGGGAGATTAGATGGAGGTGGTATAAACAAAACACAATGTATTTATATTTTGACATATCCAGGAAACGAGTCCGTCACATTACTTTACATTTCTTTCAAAAGGTTTATTCCAATGCTGTTATTATTCAATTAAACAGAGTCCACAGATTGTGTGGGTTGACGAAGGAGGAAAAACTTAGCATGCCGCAATTTTTTGGCTCGTCAACTTTAGTACATTGCGGTCTAATAATTGTGGGAATATAGTTAATGTTTGAGAACCTCGTTGGGAATGTTTTGATGTTCTTGAGTGCAGCACGATGGGAAAACCTGCGAATTTCGGCATTTTTTTAAAGCTCCCAACAAGCGTTATTGTGTTTTTTATTGTATTGACTGTTTCCCATCGGAATGAATATTGTTGCTAGTGTTTTTTGACTCGACAAAGACGCCCACTGAGCTGAATTACATCACGCTCGTTTTTTGATTGTCTGCAATGCAGCATAAATTATGCTAAGTGGGCCAAGACAAGATATTTCTTTGAGAGGGGGTGTAAATTTTTAACATATTACACTTGCTTGTATTTTTAAATGAATAAACGGAAAAAAATTACTAATGAATGGTAATCCCCCTCTTTCTTTGCCGGTGTCAGTGATTATGTTTGAAAAAGTTACTCACGAATAATCAGTGATCTCCACGTTCTTGTTGTTTGAAGTCAGCTTGAGTTTCTTAGCATTCTCTCTATTTGGGCAAAGATAATGAGTTGTTAGGTTTCAGCTGAATATTTCAAAATCATGTCAATTGATTAAATGTTTAAAATATTTTGCTGATGAATTATTTTTCGTATATTCATGTGTTAAATTATGTTTTGACGATAGCGTCGGAGTTTGGCCAAATCTGAAGTGCTTTGGAGAGAGTTTAATATCGTAAAATAACCAACAGGCAATAAATATTTATTGTTCATTACCAACAGGTGATTGCAAAACTGCTAAATCAACGATTGCAGCAAAAGTTGCTACGAAACTTAGTTTCCGAAAACTGCATTGAAAATTTCCCAAACTACGTTGCAAAACATTGTTAACGATGAAATATTCAGCACTGGCAATCATAAATGGCCAAACAAAACATCGAATATCTAAAATTTTTGACTTTCATAAATCGGAGCTCCAAAAATGATTTGAAAAATCAAGTCCCAGTATCAAAACCCGAGATTACACGACAGTAAAAGTACGCACAATCTCACGATAGATTACAAAACATGACGGTTGGTTTCTAAAATCTTACCGGAGAATCTCAAATTATATAGTTTTTCGTTTTAACTTTATAAAGACCTTTGACATGTCACTATATCAGCTGTATTATGTTCCAGCTCACCTTTAGTTCAATTTTGTCAATGAAATGTTGACATAGAACATAATAAACATTAAGATTTGGTTTCAAATAAAAATTATCTTATCAATATAAACAAGACAAAAAAGACAGTTGTCAAGTCAACAAAGATAAAAAGTTGTAAACTTCCGACGTTTATAAAAACGACTGTACAACAGACTTTGTTTTTTTGTTGCTAAGGTCAACTTGATGGAAATCGCTAGAAGATAACTCGCGTTTTAAGGACAGATGAGAGAAGAGTCATGTTTAATTAATACAACCTGGTTTTTATCAATTTATATAAACATTTTGTTTTGTTAATTGTAACATTAGTCGTACTGTATTTAAAATACCATATTAAAAGAGAAGCGTTGCTTTCCTGTAGATTGTATTAGTCCAGTATTTGCTTGTGTCTGCAGTCAGTGAACACAAAAATATTTGCATATAGTAGCACGAGGAGTGTGAGTAGACAACAAGAAGTAGGATGGCTAAGTAAAAGTTACTGCCCTCCAAAAAATGAACTAAGTAACTAACTAGTAATTACGTTAGGTTTCACAGAACAAATCATTTATCTGTCAACATTGGCATTCATTATGTAAATGGTTTGAACCCGGGAGTATCGTTATAATACAATGACGTAAGAACCAGATAACAAATACGGCTAACCTGACGTTTACTCCTCATTTGACTCTGAAGATGACTACCACTAAGGTTGTTGAAACGTCAGTCAACATCAACAAAAACAGTTCTTCTCAGGACTATACTAACCTGGACGATCTACATCTACAAAACTATTGGCATTCGTCTTAGCACTTTGCGTTAAGGTGAACCAAAGGATTTTGTCAAAAACATTGGCCAGGAAATCTCAAACAGTATATTAAATTATGAATTAAAACGATAAAATTTTTATCACGAAAACTTGTAAAAAACTTGCAGCCACGAGAAAATGACAGTGGTTCTTAAAAGTAATAAACTAAACTATCCTTTTAACAGTGTAACTGCTATATTTATCAATTTATTAAGCCATACCATATACGGTAAAAATTAGAAGATATCTTTCTTTTCTTGTGTCTTTTTTAATTTCACGCTCCGATTTCGATTTGCGCCTTTTCTGAAAATTACTCTTTACAAACTCTTTGTGAAAGATAATCATTTTAATAAGACCCTTTCAACATTGAATATTTAAAATGTTTAACATTTCAATAGCATTTTTTGTGTTCTTTTGCATCAAGTGCCATTGGCATGGACGGCGCGTTTGTCAACCTGACAATTTACAGGCAATACGTTCGGTAGAATTTCGGATATACTCGTAAAATCCCCGGATGTACGACGTGTTTACATTTTATTCGACTTTACATGAAATCATCCACGTATTTTGTTGATTTTCGCTCATTTTCTGGTAAAATAAAAATGTTCTCAAGTTACCACTGAACGTTTAGAAGAATAAGCCATTACCATTGTGATATATTGTCAAAATGCGAGGCTGGTTATTAAGTATTGGAAGTATTGTTCTGACATGTTTGGTATTAGGGAATGCGTACCATCAAAAAAGGCAATTTTATCCTTCAGTCGTCTACATTACCAAGTCCAACCCAAGCTTAGCGGTACGTCGATGTGCCACGGATAAGTTTGTTTTTGCTACAGTTGATATTTTACAAAAGATTGAAAACTACAAAAAAACCGTACTTGATTTCGACTGAATCATGATGGTACAATTTAGGTGCTCTATTTGCAAGCCTTCGTGTTTGTTTTACTTCTTGGACAACTGTCTCGAAAAATGTTTTTTGGTCAACTGCGAGCTGCTGAAACTGAGGTATGAACATCATTAGCTTTATCAAATACTCTGCCTTCCTCTAGAACCGCCACTGACTTTATGCCTTCATATACTGCCATACTTTCAATTGAGGTTGACATTATCATTGTTTCCATAGCATCTAATTGAACGATCATGGTATGCTGTGACAGAGACTTGCCTGGCATTCACAGTGTTTCGAGATAACTTCAGTCCTCTCTTTGTTGCCCAGTTCACCATGTTATTATTTCTCAAGTGTTTTCACTGGTTGTCTGAGGATAGAGTGGAATATGTAAGGATAAATACAAACTGTCATGATTTTGTGCTCCCCGAACATGCTCAGTACATCACTTTAACTACAGCTATTTCTCTTTTTACCACAAGATGGAGAGAAGTCCCTTGATTTCTTTTCTCTTTCATTTTCGAGTCTTAAGTAAGTAAAAATATGGTTAATTTTGTGTTCTACAACATGGAAAACTAGTCATTAATCCAATCTTTGCATCAATAATGTGATGACCATGACTTACACCATAGGATAAAAGGTTATGGTTAAGGATTAATTTTGCATGTTTGTGGAACTCGAAATTATTACTGAAAATAAAAGTCTACATATGTATGTTGTGAAGGAAGTAATCAAAACAATGTATTTATATGATAATTTTTTAGGTCTTCTGACCTTACTTGGAACTCTAGACTCTGTGCTCATTCATAAAGCTTATCACAGCATCCTCACAAGTGGAGCTTCAACACAACTTGTGTTTGGTTTTGAGGTGATTATTCTTTGTGTTTGTTATGCTTTGCTTTAGGAATTATGGATGTTGCATTCATGGAAGGGGGGTGTTCTTATTTTGTAGTATGCCATATTGTTGACAATAGTTGTTGCCGTGTTTATGAAGTATGTTCTACATACAATTGATTTGCAAAGTCCAAATCCTTGGGAAAATAAAGCTGTTTGCATTTTATACAGCGAGCTTATTATGGGTGAGAAATTGTGTTTTGTGAATGCATCTAAAATTATATTTTCTTAACATGTCAAATTCTAATATTTCAGGTTTCATTAAATCCTTGCTTTACATTATATTTATGTTGATAATGGTTCGTGTCCATACATTTCCATTGTTTGCTATCAGACCAATGTACTTAACCTTCCGGTAAGGAACAACTTTTCTTTGCCACACATATTTTTAAAAATAGTTATAGTTCTTGATTTATATTCTTAAGGTCATTCAAGAAATCTGTGAGTGATGTGATTATGTCCAGAAGAGCAATTCTCAACATGAACACACTGTAGGTTGTCTTTTGTAAACATCTTTTGGAGGATGAATTTTTTATTCGTTGTGTGTATGTGTTTATTTTTAGTTATCCTGATGCCACACCAGAAGAACTTGCGAATGGAGACAATGTATGCATCATTTGTCGTGAAGAGATGACTGGTCAAGCAAAGAAGTTACCTTGTAATCATATATTCCATGTTAGCTGTCTACGTTCATGGTTTCAACGTCAGCAAACCTGTCCAACATGTCGTATGGATGTGTTGCAACCACCTCGTGTGACACAACCTGCACCACCTGCAGGTGTTGAAGTACCTCCTCAAGCAGGTGGCGGGCCTCCTCCATTTCCCATGTTTCCGAGGGGGTTCTTTCCACCAGGTGCCCATCCTGTTGCACTCCAAGCTGGTATTCCTGTTCCCCCACCACCTGCTCCACCATTTACACCTGGGCAAGTTCCCCCACCACCATTTGCAGCTGGGCAAGTTCCCCCACCACCATTTGCAGCTGGGCAAGTTCCCCCACCACCATTTGCAGCTGGGCAAATTCCCCCACCACCATTTGCACCTGGGCAAGTTCTCCCACCACCATTTGCACCTGGGCAGGTTCCCCAACCACCATTACCTGGACAAGCTCCCCAACCAGCTGCTCCAGGTCAAGTTCCCACCTCATCTGCCTCATCTAGTTCTCAGTCACCATTCCCAAACATGGTACATTATTCCATCAATTTTTTGCATTGGTGTAACATTTCATTACATTCATCCTTTGTTATTTAGGTACCAGGCTTTCTTCCACCATTTCTCCCTCCATTTCCAATATTACCTCCTATGCTTGGTAAGTTGGCAATCTTAATTTATCAAGTGTTAGAAAATGCAGTTTGAATCTACTAATTTACTTTTTACTTTGTTAGGATTTCAAAACCCCATGAATGCATCAAACATTAATCCATGTTTATCTCTGGAAGAACTCCAATTGATGGAAGGTGTTGAAAGAAGAAATGTTGAAGCCCGTATTGCAGTTTTGAAAAATATTCATTCTTTACTTGATGCTGCGATTTCACAGCTAAATCAATATTCAAAGGTTGTGACTGGAAAACCTCCGTAAGTAGTTTGTTAGCAAAAATTACGCTATTTAAATTATGCGTTGCATTGCATTACGATCAACATTTACAAACATGTAACGAACGTTAACTTGAAAACTTGATTCATCAGTTATATTTGCTGATACTTTACTTCAACCGAACAAAGTTCTGTTTGTTTTCAAGTTTTGATGGAGTGAAATTCTGCGTGAGCATTCAATATTCAAACTTTGTCCATTGGATAGCAAAAATTTTTAAACTTGTAAAAAAAGGTGTTGATATTTTTCTGACGACAAAGAAATTTCGTAATCTTATATTTTTTTTCTTTTTGAAAGGTTTTATAAATGTTTAAAAAAAACTTGCTATCCAATGGATAACGCTATCCTGGCTTCGTGCAACCGGCCCCTGTATAACAATAGTTTAGTGTAAGTTTACTTCAAAATTTTCTTTTCATTGGCACTAAAATAACACAACAAGAAACATGTTTTTAGGAGCACTTTTACACCAGACGCTGAATGCACAGCTGGAACATCTAGTGCCAGTAATGTTGCACCTGAAGGCGAAAACCTTGTATCATCAACTGCAGATATCCCTGGACCGAGTATGACTGGTACAATAGATGACGTACTAACATCTACATCTGATGTAACACAACCTAAGCCTGAACCAATCATTGCAGAGAACGCCAATAAGGAGAACCTTGAGTCTAGCAATGATGATTTACGTCAACGAAGAATCTTGAGATTTTCATCTCGACCTGATAACGAAGACGAGTAATTTGGAAGACATTAAAGAAATTATAGAAAATTTTCCAGTGTGTTGGTGAGATGGAAGAAAAAATGTAGTACCATAGAATAATGAGATGTAATAAAACGTTTTGTACATATCGCAGTCACCAAAACCACATAATCTGACGATGTTATTAATTATAGTTTTTGTGGATAGCTTGTATTGCACGAGATCAGACCATAGAAACCATTCGCTCTTAAAGTGCCTATGCAGTGAAATTTTCATACATTGTTTTATTTGCTTATTCAAAAGTACTTGCTCTCAGCATCATTTTTATAGAAACAAAGTTAAATTTTGTCTTTTTAGATTGAATTTATAAACGTCAAAAGTGGCGGTTTTTGCTTTTTTTTTGAAACTACTAGCTAACCCAAAGCTTTCAATAATTCTGAAGTCGAAATTTTTTGAGACAACGAGAAGGAAGCGGAAGGTTTAATGGAGCATAGCAGTGAATCAACTGAATCCTCTTTCGGATTATTGTTCCTGTGACGAATATTTGATGGTATTGTTTTTCAGCAGCCAAGAATTTGGCTACATTTAGTTCAATGTCAGAATATGTTCTGAAGGGCGTGAAATCTAGAACAGATAAAGTCATGTGTTTCAAATATCTGACAATGTGATGACAAACATCACTTCAAATAAAGGAGTTGATCACGAGGCATGTGACAAATATCTCGACGATTCCTTAAAAGAAAGGAAATGTAAGAGCAAACTTCCTGTTTAAAGAGATTCTTAGAAATGATTTACCACTCCCCCACACTTTCCATTGAAGTCTCTTGACTTTGGAGAGCAAATCAGGAAAGAAAGCCTTCGTTTAAACGAAAAGTTCATATATCTGCATAAGATCCTGCCCATCCTCAATTAACTTTCAATTGTGATGACGTAACGACATGCCAAAGCTTTGATATCAGCTTTTAGTCTTACCCTGAATCGTGGCGACTATTCTGCTACTACACAATGGTATTACAGAAAAAAATAATAGTATTTATTTGGAATACTCCACAACAAAAATTTCTCGCGGTAGGTTAGTAAAAGTGAACTGTAAATCTATAACTGTACCAACTAACGTTGGTATTATAAAAATCGTCTAGGCTGGCGTTAAACACCATGCCATTTTATTATCTGCTTTTTACCATTTAAGAAATTGCGAGAGGCTGAAGCCACAAGGTTCGTCTAAAACACTTTTCGCTTTATCTATCCACACTTGCCCAGGTGTGGATAAACCAAACTGTGTTTTAGACGATTTGAAAATACATGACGCCCATCATGTTATTTTACGACTTTACAATAGCGTCGAGTAAAACAGCAAATATTCTTATGGCCTAGTTTTAAACTCAAAATTAACTACCTTGTGTTTTAAATTGCTCTGCAAGATTTGTGTTGAAATAATCAGAAAAGATGAGCACTTTATCAGTACAATAAAGTTATCGTTTGTATAAAGCTGAACCTTTCAATTTGTGGCATTTACGAAAAAACTGTGTGATTTTTTTATGATATGGCAAAAGACGTAATATATAATATTGTACCATACCCTGTAACCATAAGTTCACTTGTCATTTGTGGCTGAACAATTCTTGAAAGGACATAAATATTCTTTTTTCACAAACACTCCATGCACCTTGTATTTGTGGCGTGTTCTTGTTGCCATCATCGTACCAACTACCACGCTTAACAAAAATAAAAGACAATAAATTGCATACAGTTTAACAGTAATAATGTTTTTGCCACGCAACTATGAAAGCATAAAAGTTGCAACACATGCAAAAATAGGTACGTAATGCGTACTTGTGGGTTGTATATCAAGTATGTTGGTCCGCTACAAAATGAAGTAGATTACTGAAAATAGTTTGAGTAAAATTACATATTTAATATTTATACATCACAATTTTTCGAGATTTGAAAAAATATGCTCTTTGCTTAATGTTCAATCAAATGAATTTGTTTATGCACTTCATATGAAAAAAGAGTGGTTAATAAATAATCAAATACTGGATTTAAAAAATTGTACAATACTATATTAGAAATGCTGGAAGTCTATAATATGAATCGTAATCTCGCTTTTGTCAAGACTCGCTAGCATACATGCATTACTATAAACTATAAACACTGTAGTTTGTTGCAAAACCAGAAGGAAATGAATAATGGAGTTTTAAGTAATGTTGGGAGTAAGTAAACGGATAAAAAAATGGAATGCGTAATAAAGATGTTCATCTTTGAATTCTGGCCTTGAATTCAAGAAAGAATTTCAGTTTTTCGAAGTTTATAAATATCAGTATGAAAGCTCATGTTGAAATGGTGCAATTAGCTTGGTTTATTGAAGTGCTTCGGATTTCAAAAATCTGACAAATTAAACGTTCAATCTCTTCCAACGTGACTTAAATTACGTTTTATTGTGAAACTTACAATTTGGATGAAGCTTCCTCGAGAACTCCGTTTTAAAATCGTTCGGAAGACTACACGTTAACTGTATAATTTGCCCTCGCCGGAATAAAGAATACTGTCCGATGCTGCTCACTGCTCAAGCCAAAAGAGCAAAAGATAGCCAAGAACTCCTCAGATTTTAAACAATGTCAACATGTTGTTGTTTTCTCATAGCAATAAACGTTTACTTTAATAAATAATTTTGAAGCCTGCGCCAACAACCGTTAGTAGCATTGTAACGGTGCACATCAAGATCGACTTTGATGGCTGGCTTTACCACGTGGCAGATACGGCACGGGCACGAGTCATCTTCAACCACTTTTATTAGTATTGCCAATCTACTGTTCGATTGCAGGACTTTAAATCTTATTAGCCAATGAAACCGCAGAATATTTGCATACATGAATGTGTTAGTTTAACCTGTCTAGCTCCCAGGTTTCATTTATTCAGTGGCGGATATGACAATCAAGATTTGAGACAAACAACTATTGTTATTTCATTCAACAACAGTAAAACTTAGGCTATAAGCAGGGTTGAATAAGAACGCTAATTTATTTTGAAAGCCATTGTAATTTCCAAAGAAGTCAGTCAGGCATGGCTGAATACATGATTATCCCCTCGAATAGGTGTTCTGGATTTGACACTGGATACAAATTTCATGTTGTGATTAATATGATATATTATATATTATATATTATATATTATGTATTTGCATCTTTCATAGAATCTATCATGAACCAATATAACACTAATTACAGTGCATTCATAAACAAATTAAATTTTTTGTAGACCATGTTAGGTTCGCATGATTTCTTTAAAAAATGTGTGAAAGATTTTAAGAAGATCGAGGACAGTTTGACGATCAATATTGCTTCCATTATCACAGAATTTGTGCCAACATCCAGGAAAAGGTAGAGGGATTATATGAAGAATTGATACTCCTTCAAAATCAACACGATAATGAGAAAATTGTATCAGAGGAAACGACAAAAATAAATGGTACAAACCACTTTTACCTTTTTCCATAAATGGAATATGATCATCCTGTATTCCCAGTGGCGAAGGTTGAAGTCCACCAATAAAATATGAGTTTTCTTTTGATATTGAGCCTTGTTTTTGAAGCCGTTTCTCTGATAATTAAAATGCCCAGATTTTATAACATTTAATAATTTATCCATTTACAACTATTCCTGTATGAATAGCTGATAAAAAAAGTACTTCTACAAACCAATGTGCTGCAGACGCTCAAAATAGCGATGTGTTGCAGGAAAGCCACTGTAAAATTTTGGATTTCTCTCACCAAGAAGATCCAGCAGGACAAAAAATTCCTTGAGAATCAAATACATATCTTGGTAAATGATATGGAATTATAAAGCAAATGCAAATGTACTACTAAAGAAAATACAGTATTTCATTATTTCTACAGATAAAACTTACAATTTTTGAAAGGTGGTTAATATTATTTCCATCAGGTTGAGACCACAATTCAGCTAAATGAGTAGAACCATAGAGAGAATCTTCAGATGTCCACTGTACAAATGCTTCTTCTCCATCAAAGAATACCAATTGAATACTGTAGTCATTTTTCTATAGAACAAATGATCACAACCAATTGAATACTGTAGTCATTTTTCTAAAGAATAAATGATCACAAGAGACCAACATTATGCAGTCTCACCTTTTTCAATTGATCCAAATCCAAACTCTTGGCAATTAACATCATCATGGCAATAGGAACTGCTGAGTCTGATGCTGCAAGAAATTCTTTATTTCCTTTCATCAACTTACTGTCATAATGAGCTGTTAACAATACAAATTTCTTGGCATTGGGGTTGGCAGTCACGACGATGTTAGTGAAACGCTTTGGTCCAATCACAGTATTTTTGTCAAATTCATCTTGTGTGACTTCCCAGCCCAGGTCTGTGAAAAACTTGATGAGATACTATAGTAAACAAATATCAAATCAAAACACATTGTACAGTAGGCCAAAATAAGATAACCCAGGGATGTACTGCCAAAATTTTTACTGGGGAGACTCTTTTACCCAACAACCACTGAGGTGCTTTCTAAGATATATATATTACCACTTCCAAAAGCGAGACTGACTCCCCTTTGGATAAACAAAAAATAAGATAAACAGAGAAGCTAAATAAAACCTCTTTAACAGCATGATGACCAACAGTGCCTGGAACACGACTCTTTAAAATAGGTTGAAGCAAAATATTGAATTCTTCATAATTAATACTCTCTGTTAATTTCTTCAATCTTGTAGAAGATAGTGTCCTTGCCTTTATTACAGATGCCTTAAAAGAAAGGATTACAATGCAAAAATTAAATTATATTACTTATTTTATTTTATAGATTCCTCATTATAAACAGACAGAACAATTAATAACTAAGTATAAATAAACACAGTGGCTATAATGACCACATAGAGATAATCTCCCATAACAGCACTCCACAAAACTTAAATAAACAAAACTTATACATATATAAGCAATGTTTGCTAAGTCTAAAATAAGTATATGTTGCAATGATTAGTAAGAAAAATATAATATGGGTATTTGAAGCACATATATGGTGAAAAGTCTAAAATGTGCCACAGATTGTCTTTTTAACAACAGTAGTTAGTTGAAAAATGTTGTAGTGAACAAGTTGTCACATATAGATCTACATAATGTCAAACCTACAGTTGTTGCTACAGCTCAACATTACCCATTGTTGCAAACAAACAAATGGACATGGTCATATGCAGTGCTGTAGAAGTGGGGGCACTTGGGAGAGGAGCCCCCCTTCTACCTTTGAAATGGGTAATTTTAAAAGGGCACTGTTGACAAAAACATCAAGAGAGCCCCTCATGTGATAAATTTAGTTCTACAGCACTGGTCATATGTGTATATACTATGAAAGATAAGACAAAGACAAACATGGTTAAGTTGTCACCAGATTAATTTAAATCAAAAAAATTTCAGGAAAAAACATGGCACTACTCACAATGAATACAGTACATAAATGTTGATTGACTTACAAGATGATTCGACGGGGATTTTTCATATAAAAAAAATAATTAAATGAAAAATTAAAGATAATATGTTGATCTCTGTTGAATCATTCTGCCATTCTCATGCAATTTTAACTCAGAGATAAATTTTCTTCGACTGTCACAGAAATTATAAATATTTGTTGAGATGAACTGACATTTATTGTTTACGCTGTATCGAACAAAAAAAGTAATTTGAAAGAAAGTACTTAAAAAGCTCGTTTTAAGTACTCAACAAGATACTTTTATTGGATACTTGTAGTGACGTTGACAACAAGCTTGGCTCATTTGAAAACATTTTACCTGAAGTGAGGAGTCGGCAACCACATGAAATCGCACAAGACAAAAGACAAGAATATTTAACAAAGTGAACATTTCCCAGTCTGATGAGCTGACCTTTAATCTTTTATTTAAAGTGTTTTATAACAATACAACCATAATAATTCTTTATATATTCCGCGAGCTGCGGGACAGGTGAACGCTGTCAACATCCCGTTCCAGCTGTTCTCGTTTTCAAGTTCAGTCTACGAATTAAAATTTAGCCATTGGACTGAAATGGAGCCTGTTCGCGAGCCTTGTCTCTTCCTCTTCAATACCATTTATAGCAATTCCACCCGCGCATAGGATGACCCGACAGACGTCATGCCAGCTGTCAGCCGTTTCCATTGATTTCTATTTTCATGTCAGTGGCCGTGTCACTGTAGATTTTGGTAGGTTTGATCAGAGAACTCAATATTGAAATAATTGAAGACAGAAAGGGATGTAGAAAAAATCTTTGCCGTAATAGCAACGCTATTATAGCAATTCAAAGTAGTTTTGCAAGGGTTAACCATATGGGGTTAGCATTCAGGAGACTGGAACACTGACGTACAAACGTCACTGTTGCTGAAAAGATGTCGTTTCGAAGTCTTCTTTTCGATGATTTCAGAGATCACTTGTTATTTCTTTATACTCGATATTTCAACCAGTTGTCATTTCTTGCAATTAAGAGTCGTCATTTTAAAAAATCTTTACTTTTTGAATAGAAAACAACACGAAGACAACGAAAATTATTTATAATAACCTAGTATTGCTTTAATTAATTAGTTGACAGAAACTGCTTCTAATTTGGTAATATCATTAACTAAACTAAATTCTAAATTCTATATTGTAAGCGTGCAAAATCAGTAGTATTGTTCGTTTTCGCGTTAAAATTCTTAATTACATATTATATCTTCCCAAATTCTATAATTAATCTCTAAAATACAAATTTAAAATTCAAATTTCTTTAAAAATTGCTAATTTGCCCAAATACGACGCTAATTTACTTGAGTACCTTGGCTACCATTCGTTCTTTTGTTTCCTGTTGTATTTAAAGCTTTCCAAGCAGCAGAAAGTTTGGCGTTGTGCTTATTTCTTCCAACTCCTTTGTATTGAATTCCATTCATTGTCAAAATGCAAGAAATTCTATCAGAATCTTTGTTAACTTTGGCAGAGCTAAATATTAAAGTAATGAAAATTCATCGCAGTGTCCACATTCACATTGTTGGTTCACACAAGTAACATAAGCATGAACGAAAAGACTTTTCTTTCTTTTGCTCTAGATACCATCTTAGCAAACCATGGTAACATAAGCAAAAACTATGGTAAACAGATAGGTAAGGACCATGGTAAACAAACAGGTAAGAACCATGGTAAACAGATAGGTACGGAACCATAGTAAAGACCATTGTAAGCAGATAGGTAAGGAGTATGTTTGACTCTTAGATAAGAAATATTGTTGACAAATAGATAAAGAAAATCGGAGACAAACTACAAATCTACCTATCGTCTAGATACAATAAACAAATTACCTAAAAGTTGCATTTTCATCATGTTCTCTAACAAGTCTGATCGGATTCTTAGGTAAATTTTTTGAATATTCGTCTAAATGAAAAAAAATTAAACATGCATTTTAATTTCAAGCGAAATTCGAGCGCAACCATTGAGCGCAACCATCGAGCGCAACCATCGAGCGCAACCATCGAGCGCAACCATCGAGCGCAACCATCGAGCGCAACCATCGAGCGCAACCATCGAGCGCAACCATTGAGCGCAACCATTGAGCGCAACCGTGACAAAGTTATCACTCACCGATATATTTTTTCATCATCGGACGACATACGCTCCAGACTCTTTGTACGTCAAGACCGCTGTCCAAGAATATTGCTCCAGCAACAGATTCAAAAACATCTCCAAGAGGTTTTGGTGCTTCTATACATTCCACGTCATCCATATCATTGGGGACCTGGATGCCAAATGGATTAGGAATCACCTGAAGTAAAAATTACGAGTTCTTTAAAAATGTGACATTGCAACATCTTAAATAAGATTTCATCACCTCTTCATTGGACAAGTTACTTTTAAATTCCTCGAGACCCCGGACAAAATGACGAATGGAGTTGAATAGTACAGGTGAATATTCCTTGACAAATTTATGATAATCATTCTCCACAGCAATGGCAGCAAAGATATTGTTATTGACAAGCGCAGATCGCAAGTCAGTGAGTTGACCTGGAGTGAGATTAGCCTGACACGCGTTATAGATATGGGTTGTGATGAGGAAATCCAAAACAGCATCGCCAAGAAATTCCAGACGTTGATATGAACCAGTGATTGTGTTATCTGTAAATGTTGGATGGGTGAACGCCTCCAGTAACAATACCTGAAAACATGTAAAATAAAAATCAATTGCTAAGACTTGGATGCCGTGTTGAAAGAAAAACTAGTTTAAAAAGAATTTGAAATGAAATTGAAGCCATGAACTTAAATGGCCTCTTCCCTTCACATAATAGCATATATGGACCTTGTTCTCGAAAGCATATCCAATACTTTTTTCAAAAGAAGCCATTTCCTTCGTCTGTTGTGATAGTATGTGTTCATACTGAACTTTTTCTTCATCCAAAGGAATCTCAAGGTTTGGTAGGGGATAGTTCGCATACTTTGAACGTTTTTGAAGTACAGGCGACTTTCTACGATTCCCATTCGTCAATTGATCACTTTCCTCATTATTTTCACAAAAAGCCTCAACACCTAACCAAGTCATAAATTGAAGTGCCCCAATATATCCACAATGGACTAGATGTGCCCCAATTAGCGCCTCCATACTATCAGCAATACTTTTATCCGAGATCATCTGTTCTTCAATAATATCATCGTCGGAAAAGGAATTGCTGTTTTCTTCTTTCCGACTTGTAAAACCGGGGGGCAGCCATGTTTCTTTAGTAATCGTGCGAGATTTTACGTATTTCTGCAGACCTTTTTCACAAGCGAGTTTAAATAAATTTTTGTTTGAAATTTGCCGTGCGCGATATTTCGTCAATTTTCCCTCGTCTTTGTGATCTTTATGCCAGTAGACGTGAATACTAACGGCCATTTTAAGGAAAGAATCTCCAAGCATTTCCAACCGTTCCAAGTCAAAATCTTCCCCGGACTTTGCACACGTCACGGCCTCCAGCATAAGACGTATTGGCAAAGTATCGACGCTATAAGGATCAGAGAAATATTCTGGTAGCTTTGATTTCAATTCACCAGCGGAAAATAAAGATTCTGAAGAAATTCTCTTTCTCTTTCGTGGAGATTCCAAATAACCGACCTCACATATCGGCAACTCAGAGTATACAGTACTACGAAGCTCAAGCATCAAAATGAGACTATCCACTCGGTATAATATGACAGGTAGCAAAACTGCGCGCAAAGCTAATGACAGAGGAGTGGGTAGACAAGTTAAGATTTCTGGAATTAAAAATATCCTATATTTTTTCTTTTTCTTTTTTTCTAACATTGACCGGGTGTTGCTACCGTGAACATTTTTCCGATGATCGATCTTTCGAATGAAATGGATCACTTCAATAAGTTTCTGGAAAGGATCAGTAATAACAACATTGCGTTTTTTTTCATGGTGTTCTTGGAATGTTGAAGCCTTGTCTAGATTAGGAAACGGACTTTGGGGTGTTAAGTCTGTTTGAGATAAAACCATGAAATCATTTGATTTGTCTACGGAATCAACTTCGTTAAAAAGCGAATCCAAAAGATCAGTGTCAGAGGAATCCTTTTCCCGGCGATTTGACTCCCTCTCTTGCAACGACCTCATTCCATCAAAGTCGATGCCAATATGAGAGGGGCCTGTGTTCGACTTTTGATTCAGTAAGACTACACGACATCCAAGTTTTGTGGGAAGAAGAGAAAATTTCAGTGTTTTCTCAAAGAGGAAACGATGAAACCAATCAGTGAGTTCATGGTTTTCCTTAGTTAACGTAGCCTTGCGGTGATATTTGATGGATATTGTTAACTCACTAATATCACTGTATATAGGAAATGATGGTAACTAAAAATAAAGAAAAAACATAAACGAGACTTTTATTATTTACATGCAGAATAAACATTGTGAAAATAAACTACCTCAGGTGGAAATTTTCGACTAGTTATTATTCCAAGAGTAACATTCTTTCGATCCCAGATAGATTTTTTCGCTTTATGATAAACAGGTTGTTTCATCGACATAATAATTTCATAAACATAAACAGACTTGTTATTTGCGATCAACCTCGATTCATACACTTGAGAAGATCTCTATAAAAACACATCACAATCAGTTTAGTTAACATATAGAAGAAAATAACTCTCCTCCTTCATCATGCAACGCATTTCTCATCAAGGACGAACGACATATTCCTTGTTCAACCCCCGCCTTTATTTAAATATTCAACGCATTTCACATAATGGAGGATCACTGTATTTGTCACTAACCCTCCCCAATTCTTTTAACATTCAACGTTTCTTACATCACCGATAAATACGGTATTATAGTTATTCACACTCCTCTTATCATTCATTCCTTTGGAAATCCTTTGAAATTTTTTGTAGCAAGTGAGAGCCGTAAGATTTGCATTGTAAGGATTAATTAGAGAAATCGCTGCTGTCTACCATGATCAAAGTGTCGAAGAGCAAATGAAAAGCATTCGACATCTTGAAAAGAAATTATTGACAAACCTTAATGGGATGAGAACGTTTATTTTTTTTAGTTCCAGTCTTATGTTTTGTACTGCCATCGACGTCATCTGTTTCACTCTCGGAACTACTCTCGACAGCTGTCGGTAGGAAATGCTCATCCAAACCTCCAAGCTTATACAGTAATTTGCACGCTTCTAGGGCAACGGCTTGTCGAGCTTCTTTCTTACCTAACATTGGCTCTCCCTAAAAAACAAGTAAAAAGATTATCGAGTAGTGACTTTAAATAATTCTTTTCTAGAAAGAAATTATAATTTTCAAGATGACGTTTAAGTATAATTAACAAGACACCTATCGGACATTCACAATGGCTATTCGAGAACATAGTGTTCGGTTATAATTGCGTATTCTAATAATTGCCACGGCAATGCAATCTCACATATATTATTTACATGTTAGTAAATCATGTTTTACCTTCGGCAGCCCTAGTTATAAAATGTTGTACTTACCGTAACTATGTGAGTGATGTGACTGTTGCCAGGCATCTTTAATGTACATTGATATTTACCGTCAGGAATATCACGAATGGAAAACTTTGGTGACAATTTAGTAAATCGATCACAAGGCAGTTTGGAACAGTACCTATTAATAATTAACTGACAGTTAAGGCGACGTTCTAATTACTCCGTAGTGTTCTTATGTTGCCCGATGTGATCGGCCTTTTGTTAAATGGTCGTAATATGAAAAGGGTAACAGGGATACATACACTACACCTGTTGATTAGACACTACATCAGTTGATTGGATACAATACGGGTTGATTGAATAATTCACCTGTATAGTCGAGAAATGCTATTTCCCATATTCAGTTGAGCATTTATCTCACTCATTTCTGGTTCAATAGGATCAAAATTCATAGCATCAAAAATCTCTTCCTCAGTCGGTTCATCACGATCTTCTTGTTGACATATTTTTAATAAATACTCATCCACTTTAAGATACATCTAGGAAAAAAGAACAAAATGCTCGAGAGGAGCAAAGGACAAAAAAAATTATATAGAATACAATCGGTGAAGCATCTACATAAACTCTTCAAAAAGATACATGTTTGAGGATGTGAATCGTCCAAGTTAGTGCAGTCCTGTTAATAACTGTTGGTGTTATTGTTGACTGACATTTCCACATTCTTTGCGCCAACAGTCCTTCTCAAGACAACGCTAATATGGACAATCACTAGCTACAAACATGTGAAAGAACTTCCGACTTTAAACTATTTACTTTAATGCTCAAGATTGTATAAAACAGGCTAACAGACCTCTTGTTCTTGCTTTCGCATTTCAAATTTCTCATCGGAAACTAACATAAAATACTTTGCATTTTTCGCTCTGCCACGGCCACGTGACTGTACGAAAGCTCGGTAGTTTTGAGGAAAATCAAACATAACGACAAGATTACACTTAGGAACATCGACCCCCTCCTCAACCACACTTGTCCCCACAAGTACATTCACTTCCCCTGTGCGAAACTTTTTCAATTTCTCATTCTGCTCCTTGAAATTCATCTCGGTGTACGACATTCCAATTAAATCAGACGACCCATGGCCGGTGATGAAATCTGCACAAATTTTATCATAAACATTGGGTTGCAATTCTGCTAGTGTATTGATAAGTTTGCTGATAACACAGGCAGTGTAACGTTTTTCTACGAATATGATAAAGCAAATCGTGTCTGTATAATAAGAAAATAAAACACTTTAAGAGCAAAATAATGTTTTACCAAATGACATAAAATCTCTAAAAATGGTTACATGATATTACACAATCTCTATAATTCTACATTTTCCTACCTTGACCATGCTTGACTTCTGTCAATAATTCTAGTAAAGCTTTGACTTTTGGCTTTAAATACTCTAAGATAATTATCTGGTTTCCATGCACATTGGCCAAGCAAAACTCTTGATACAGCAAACAAAGCTCTTGCAGAATGCTGATGGTTGCTTCAAGAATGAGACATGCAAATTTGGTTCGGGACAAGCTGTTTTTGATGCGTTTACAGTGTTTCACTAAAAGAAACATAACGTGGCAATCAGACAGTTGTTTCTTTATTACTTTTTAATAGGGTGTGTAAATTATACTCTTGGCAAAAGTTTCTAAAATAAGATGCATGTTGAGTAAGAAATTCTAAGTAGTTACTTTAACGTTCTCTGGCATAACTGGCACTGAAATTTTTGCAAGCGTGAGCTTTTTTACCAGTGAAAACAACGAGAAAAAGTTTGCAAGTTCCAGAAAAACAAAAACACATACAAAACAAGAACATAGTGGTTTACACTGAACTATGTAAGTAACTCGTCCCCATATTTATAATTGCGATGTAACATTTGTGAAACCAAACTGAACCAAATTTTGGAGAAATAAAATTTCAAAGCTTTAGTTTCAACAAAAGCTTTCTTGCTAGTGAAAAATGTTGCATCTTGAAAAATTTTGGGGCCAACTGTGGCAGAGAAGTTAAAATACATAGAATCACGAAAGCTTTTAATGCAGTGGCATAGCAAACTCGTTAATTGGGGGGGAGGGGAAGAGACACAAATTCATAGATGCATGTTGTAATAATTGATATCAGAGGAACTTAATACAGCAGAACATGTGTATATGAATATGTGCCTCCCACATTTATTGAGTTTGCTACAAAGTATATTTTTCATAAATCCTTTATTCCTACATTAAGACGATAAAGCTGTCACAAACCTAAGTCATCAATAACCATCAATGAAACTTCATGAGCTGCCCAAACACCAACTTCCTCGAGGGCAGATATACAATTACGTAATGCTCCTTTAGCAAGGTCAATAGATTTTTCTAACTCAGACTCAGTAACCTCCTTAACCACTTTTATGTCACAAAGGAATTCTTCCAAAGGTTTTAAAACAGACAAAAATTCTTGTTCCAAGTAAAGAGCAACATGATCATTTTTCCCAGTTGAAGATGAGTAACGCTTCATGTATTCTTTTGGTTTTGCTCCATATTTCTCTACAACAAAAGAATCCTTTGCAGTCTTACAGATACTCCTCATTGTACACTCCAATTTCCGTATTTCATGTATAATCTGACTAGGTTTCACTTTCTTTCCAACAACTGATGCTGTCAATCCTAAGATCTTAGGATGATCCTTGCAAGGAACACAGCCAAAACAGTTCATAATCTTTTTGAAAGGATGATTTTTATCAGCATGGTGGCATTCGTCAAAAACCAGCAAGTTCACTTGAGATAATTCGAGTTTAGCAAATTCAATAAGATCCAGGAATATTTGGGCTGTCATAACTAGAACATGATTTTCTTCAAACTTTTTCAACCAATCTCCTTTTCCCCAAAAGTCTACACCCATTTCACCACAAAATTCCTCTACCTTTAAAGAAGTGCAATCTCGAATGGCTTTTGCTTGTTGCGTGACCAGTGGAACTATAAAAACACAACAATATTATTTAATGCATAGCTTAACATAAATTTAAAAAAAAAGATATATAACATGGCCATAATAAATTTGATAATTGAGGGGGGGGGGACAACATTCATTACAAATGATATATACAATTACTTTGAAATCCATTGTTTTCTACTGATTACACCATCCTTATATGAATATGAACCCACCTAATTATCCGTCCTCCAACAGTCAAGTAAAAAGATGTGATTTGAATAAATAAATCTGGTTTTTTTGTTTTTTTATTGGAAAAATAATAAATTGACTTAATTTTCTAAATATACAGATAATAATTTTGGCAGAAAATTGTGCAGTTTTGGTGGTTTTCCCCCACACCACTCTCCCCCCCCCCCTTTGAAATGTATATGTATGAAAAGCAAAAATTCTATAAGCATTTCCAGGTCAGAAAGTTTGATTGTGCCACATAAATATCAGATTATTGGCATTTTTTGAGACATTGTGCATACATACCCTTCTCGACAAGGAAGAATGTTCTCTTGGCTCCTTCAGAAAAAGGTCGTTGTATGTCATCTTTTCTAGAACAATACTCGATCAGTTTAATGCTTATAAAAGTTTTTCCTGTACCAGTACCAAGACAAATTATGATATTCTGCTTTATTGCTGCATCAAGAAGCTCTAATTGATATTCACGAGCGAATGGCACACCATCCTTCTTTGGAAATGCTTCAGCCATTTTACATCAGAATCTTAAAACAGGATTATTGTTTTCATCATGTGAGCCTACATCTAACAATATAATCAGGTTACATGTTTCTAAATGTAGATCGTCCAGGTTGGTATAGTCCTGAGAAGGACTGTTTTTGTTGTTGTTGTTGTTGAAAAAAACCATTTACCTTAATATAATCAGGGTTTATGATTGGTTTGAAATGCAATAAAGTAAAACATGCTACATAAATGATTATTATAGACTTAGTCGTGCTTTGTAAATATTTTGATCTTCACTCAGTATAAGAACAAAGTTTTCTATATAAATAACTGATTACATTCTTAAATTTACAAAGCACAACTAAACTAGCAAGTTCAGTTTGGCTATGCCACTGGTTTAGATTTGGTAGTTAAGTCACCTTAGTATCTACACATTTCCATGTCAATAACTTTACTTTCACTTTCACAGTCCATCTAGATAGTGAAAAGTAGAAATCATATGTATGAAATCAATGTAATAGACTTAAATGATGAACGCTTACATTATATAAGTTATGATCAACAAATATCAATTATAAGTTTTGCAAGACCTACCAGATTTAAACATTGATGGCTTCTGAATGAAAAACTACAAAAGATGTACAAATGAAAATTGTTATATCTCCAAATTCGCAACTGGATTTTCTCGAGGGCATTTTTATATAAATATTACTTGAATTAAACTTACCTTCGAACTTTGAGTTTCCAATTATGATTTCAAAACTTTTACATTCTCTCACGTTTTGTTGATTTCAACTTAGAAAACGCAAACTTTCAGTACTGCTAAATTTTGATGTTTTCCAGGAAAACATCACAAACGAGTTCCTGTGTATTGATGACGGCGACAGGACGTTCGACTTGTCAAACATTTGCAAATTGAGATGGCAAGCAATGCTCATAATGTCAAGTGTTTGTTTGACAATTGACATTAATCGACAATAATTGTCATTGATCGCCATTAAAATCTTTCTTCCTTTGGTTGTCAAAGTGAACAGCAGAGAGTCTATAGTGCCGCGTCCCACAAAAATATACCATTGAAATGTCAATTACATTTGAACAAAATATTTTCACTTTCATTATTAACCCTTAAATACCCGGGGTGACATATATGTCACATGTCTATTATGGGAACGTCCTTGTTTTAAAATATTTATTTTCTTTCTTTAATACCCATTGTGACATATATGGCACTCTTGGCCGCCATATTAAATCATTAAACTCAATAAACGGGGGGGACAAACACTATATATTTCGATTTAAAAATGGCTGCCATCACGCTTCGAACATTGTATTGATGTCCTTGAGTTGTTCGCGGTAGAAATTGCACTTAAAGGGCAAAGCTATAACTTTTTAGCGATTTCATATAAACAAGCTATAGTTAAGGTATAAAATATAGTTCACTACTGGCATTAAAATAAAAAATTTTCATCGTGGATTGCGTTTGAATTGAGACGTGCCAAATATGTCACATTGGTCATTTAAGTACCTTGAAAGGCATTATTGAAATGAAGTAGAAAAATTGCCATATTTTGTAATTATCATTTGTGGAGATATTATACATCTATGTGTATTCTCTGTAAATATTATTATTACAAATTAAATAATATCTATTATTACAAATTAAATAATATTTTTCATAGCTTTTCTTAGTTCATTCAGTTGACAGTTTCATATGTAAGTATGCCAAGAAGTCGACAAGCTTATGCAGTAAATGATCTACTAGAGTTGATCAACAAAAGTGATAGCGAGTTTGAATTCAGTGATGGGGATTCTGAAGAAGAATACACTCTTGAAAATGACCAGGAGGTTGAAGGCTGTAGTAATATTCAGCAAGGAGAAAATAGTAGTGATGAAAGTGACAGTGGAGATATTGACAATGTCCCTTTGGTTGAATTACAAAAGCGGAAGAATTCCTCCAGCTCCTCTCAAAAAAAATATACATACAGATGGAGGAGCCATGGTTTTGATGCACCAGAAGTGCCTTTCCTAGGTGAGAAATACATAGTGCAAGATCCAGAGCCATCACCATTGGAACACAGCCAATGGGAGTGGCGAAGAGATGGAGCAAAACAGAGAAGAAGTGTGTTGGCATTCCAAAACCCGAAATAGTTAATGAGTATAACAAATTCATGGGAGGGATTGATCTTATGAACATGCTCTGCTCTCTATCGATATTCGATCAGGTCCCGAAGATGGTATTTGTACATCTGGTACCACACCTTGACAGTTGCCTTGGTCAACTCATGGCTTGTTTATCGCAAGCATAGAGCAAAATGGTAAATTCATGAAGCTTAGCAAATTCCAAGCCTTGGTTGCAGAAGGTTTGTTAAAGGCTGGGAAAAGCAGGAAAAGAGGTCGTCCATCAGATACCACATCTCCACCGTTTAGAAAGCAACCAACCGCAGTGCCGGTAGATGATGTGAGATATGATTGTGTCGACCACATGCCAGAATGGGACAATGAAAACCGGTAACGCTGCAAGCTTTGTAAACATAATCGCTCGTATATTATGTGTAAAAAGTGCAAAGTTTACCTGTGTTTCAACAAGGAGAGAAACTGTTATCTGGAATATCATACCAGGCGATAACACCTTAGTTACTGTATATGAAGAATAATCAGTTGATACTTGACATACATTAAAAATGCCATTTTTTACTATAAATAGTTCATAGACATCTTATGGGTGCTGTTTTATTAAAAGTTTTTGGGTTTAGCATATAAATTGGTGTTATTTATAAATTCCATGTTTCAGCAAAATATTAGAGTAAAACGCACCTAAATGCCCAATGTGACAAATATGTCACAGCATAGAAATATGCTCTAACTATAAAAATCTTCAAATTTTTTTTTAAACTTTGCATGTTGGCACTATTTTCAATAAAAATTCAAAAATTCAAATTTTTTTTCCAAGTTTTTCATACTTTGGGTCTTTAAGGGTTAAAGTCCTTGAGATGAGTCATTGAAATGTCGGCTATATTTTATCATGTTTCCATTTGACTCATTAAACATCAGAAATTCTTCAACCTAATTTCAGTTTCGGTTAATTTATTCTCGAATGCCACTCGATTACGAAACAAAAAATATATTTAACTTGAATTAATTTACAATTCCTTCAAGGAGGTCAAAGCGTTTTTAAGTAGCTGAATCTGAGCCTAAAAGAGGAAAAATAGAAAAAGTAGAAAAATTACTATTACACTGGGAATCACTTGTATCTTCAATGGATGCTATTTTTGACATATTTTACAACAGTATGTCAATTCAAAACACAAAGGAAGATAACAAAGTGATAAAGACCACTGCCTCTAGTCCCTCTACAAATATAGACATATTTCATCTACCTTTGCATGTTTGATCTCAAGTTCCGTCAACTCCACCTAAATTAAAGATCAGACCTCAAATAATTATCAGTTTTTGAGCGTTAGTAGGAGATAACAAAAACTTACAAGATTTTTTCGATACTGTTGAACCCTTCGACTTTTGAAATCTTCCATTTCTATAGGAAAGATACATCATAATTAAAGTAAAAATAAAAAAATACATAACTCCTTTCAAATGACCTACCTTTTTTAGCTTCATCAGATATCGATTCATACTTGTCGCTCGCTTTCTGTTGGGCAGCCTCGGCCTTAAAACAAAAACGGGAAAATACCTCAGTACGTATTACCACATGTCTAGGCTGGAGATAGGAAGAAAAATGACTTACATTAGAAACGTCTTTATTTTTTGATCTGGCTTTTTCTAAAGCTTTCTTAGCATTATCGAATTCCGAAAGAGATTTTGCTCGTCTGTAGAGAAGAGCTTTGGCAGCGGCCGTGTCTCTCATGTAATAACGTAATAAATCCGATAATTTGAGGTCTTCATCAGAGGCGATACGTCCCTCTATTTTCTAAAACGTCGTAAGCAATAATTATGCATAAATAATTCTATTTAATTTACAGTAAAATTAAACAACAATATTCATATAAGATATATAGTTGATACTTACACGAACTTTTTCGAAAGTATCGCTGACTTTATTGAAAAACCTAAACCACACAGTTTATAAACGTTAAATATTTACTGCTACGCTTCTATTCTCATAGTAATGTTCTTTTTTCTCAACTTTTACACAACTCCCTATCGCCCACAGTAATCTTTCATTATCTCCACGATCGCACAAAATTGATGCTTCGTATATCTTCTAGAATACTGCTCTATATGTTCCCTATGATCCTTCATTACCTCCTCAAGTACACAGCTTGATATTCACCATAGTGATATTCTAAATTTTTACTAGAATGTTCCTCCACTATCCATAGTAAAACAATTTATTTACAACTAAAAAAACTAACTTTTCAAACTTTGTTTGTTCACTCGTAGCCAAAGCTGTAACACAAGTTGATATCTTGATATAACAATCCGCAACAAGTTTATGAGACCTGGTCATACGGTCCGCATTTTTTGTTGCCTCTCGTAGCCTGAAGCAAAAACCATTAAAAAATTGAATTTTTCAACTTTATTTCATTTCCTTTAATATGCTCATACTTGGAGTGATATTCAACTAAAAACTTCTTTTCTTGCTCAAAGAATTCATCTGCATCCTGTTGAAGAAACATTCGATCAAGTTTTGAATACTTCATATGCAGGAAAAATAGACCTCCCAGGAAAATAAAGACAAAGACAAACACCTTTTGACTGGATACTAAAGCTTCATCAACACCTTTAGCAAATCCTTTCAATAAACCACCAAGTCTCTCCTTTTTGTTTTTTCCTCTCACACTCAACTATATACATGGAGATATGTAACAATAATTATGAATAAATTCAACTACTAGCAACATGACACATGAATATTCAACATTACCTCTTGCTTATATTCCAAGAAAACTTTGAATTTGTCATCTTTCCTGAGCTTTGGATGAGCAGCAAGACGACATAAGAAAACTTCGTGCATGGCAACAGTCTTTTTGAAGGTTGCCAAGTATTCTCTAATCACAGTTGAGCAAATAATGTGTTAACAAAAATTACTAAAATACCAAATACCACTATTGTTATATTTAATTCCTTTTGGCTCTTGTCAATGATATTAAAGTCATGAGGGTTAAGAACCTTAACTATGACAAAGGAATGCAACCAAAGGGGGGTGTAGTCACAAGTATTTCCCTCACAGGGTAAAAAATTCTCTTTTTATTATTTCTTGTACTTACGCTTCTAATTCTGCTTTCATTTTGGAAAATTCTTCTTTTGTCATAGTCCCCTCACCTGAAAGCAAATAATATTAATGATGTTAAACTTCATACTCCATGTCCATCAAATGCGCGATAATGACCTTCTCCGAGTCGTTGTAGTTTCTCTCGAGATGAATCAAAGTCCGGTCGAGGTGGTGCTGGTGGAATCTGAAATATGGTGTTATATTGCTTTCATATTTGCCAGAAACGTCTAACATGTTATCTCTAGATACTCACAATGATCCCTCCATACTCTTCATTTTCCTCATAACGATCATGAAGCCAAATGAATTCTTCATGACCACGGACAACTGAGAAATCACTACTTTTAAATTCTGGTAGAGTTGTCTGAAGGAATGAAATTCTGTGTCAGTGAAATCGATGGCTAATGTTGTTCTTGAAGTCAAAAGATTTTTACCTTTGTATGAACTGTAAATTTTACTTTATCCCGTTCGCTGAGTGCATCAGAGATATCAATGACCAATGAAGAATCTGTCGATAAATCAACTGTCGTTGTTCTATCTTCTTTCTAAAAATGTGTGGATCTCACGTTGAAAGTTGTGTTAAAACAAACTTTTTATTCAAAATGCCCGAACTTCCTATTTTGAAATTGCCACTTATCTAGATAGAAGTACTGGGCTAACTTATAGTCACAGAATATCTTAACAAAAAGCACTATTAATCAACAACTTCAGAAGAAAACATTGTTATTCCTTCATCTTTATGAATATGTTTTAATGTGTAACATATTTCTGTAGAATCTGATTCGGAAATTTCATTGTCACTTTAACTTGTCACTTACTTTGACGGGAAGGGCAAACCCTGTTCATCCAAAAAAATATATAGAAAGAATACCTTTTCCTCCTCCAACATATCGTCTTCTGAGGTCTATATTTAAGGTAAATTTAAAGTAATACACAATGAAATACTTTGCAATGGTTTTAACACACTAGGTTTTGAAGGTTTTGAATTTTAACCACTATCAGCTCTCTATAATCGTAACTCGTAACTTTTCGTACTTCCGGGTTTTTCCGAAACACATTCTTGATAAGACGATTGAAAATTATATTGCGTATTGAATTAAGGACGTAAATATTGAGAATTACTTGAGACCTTTTTCCCCTGACTAAACTATTTGTTCTAATTAGCTCTAGGTTTTCCTTCAGGTAGTCAAATGGAAAACTGTTTTTAAAAGATGACCATTAAATTCATTAAATGACCATTGAAATATCAAGCATTGTTCCGCGATTCCGAAATCTGTCCGATACTCTCCGAGACTCCGAAATGCAATAATACCGTGGAAACAAGATGGCAGAATCGGCAGTCGTTAATGACGGTAGAAACTATCATATTTACCAATATATTTTCATAGTTTTCGAATGTTTATAAATTTCCTATTATAACATGTAATCCTTCAGCTGAAATGACTGATGCAAGCACAGTTCTCGAGGAAAAATCATCAGACAAACAACCAGAATCGTCCACTATGGACATCAGCACGGATGGCAATGAAACCGAGAAAAAAGAAACATTTATCACAGAGGTTTTTGTCAATGCTCTCAACTTGTCGCCAACAGTAATCATTTTCTGTATTTCTTGTTCAATGTATTTTCAGAGTCAAAACCAGGCCCCACAACAAGGAGTTACACCGTCTATTGAGGTAAAACGTGTTATCTCCGCTGGAAATTCATTGCAATTATTCTGTCGTGACTTATAAAAAATTGCAGGCCGCAGTAAAAAAAGAAAAAGAAGATGCAGAGAAACAAGCACGTAAAGTTGATGTTCAATCCCTTCCTACACGAGCATATCTTGACCAGACTGTTGTACCTATATTGTTGCAAGCACTATCAACTTTATCAAAAGAAAGGTTTGCAACATCATTTCAACTTTCTAATCCTCATTTATCAAGTGTTTATCACAAATCCTCATGTATCACATAAGTGTTTATCCCAAATCCTCATGTATTACATAAGTGTTTATCCCAAATCCATGTGTATCCTTTGAATGTCTCCCAAGTCCTAATTTATTCTTTTCTATTATTCTCCACAGGCCTCCAAATCCTATTGAATACCTTGCAAGTTATTTATTAAAGAATAAAAGTCAGTTTGATTTGCCAACAGTTGATACCAACCAAACATCAAATACATAATGTTGATTTTGTCAGGTTGTAACATACATTTTCATAAAAGACTACTAATCATTTACAGTTGAGCTTTTTTTGTTTTAAATTCATGTTTTTGTTCCTATATATTCATACAAGAGTCACAAGACCTATCTTGTAAATAAAAGTTGCATCACATCATTCACATGAGTTTGTTTTTGAAGATGGGATTGATTTGTTGAATTGTGAACGAAATGCTATCGTTTTCATGTCCAGTACTCTCAAATTTTGTGCTATAAAGTCCACCAATTGCAACACTTACTTGTTTTTCTGTTTTTCGTATCGTTACGTTGTAATAGTCAGTCATTGGTTGTCCTTGAGGCATCATACAAAAGGTGCCGCTAACATGAAGTATAGGCGAAAGACTAGTACGCAAGCTTCCTCTGAGCGCACACACGCGAGCAGAAACTTTCTAACTTGTGATCATTGTGATAATGCAAACTTTAATTTTCCTTTCCCTTCCATAAAAAATAAATATTTTGATACAACCTTTCCCCTATATATATATATATATATATATCTATATCTATATTGTTGCGACTAAAACACGCAAATAATTGTAACTTTATAAAAGCTCTATCTATGAACTATTTTATATCCAATTAATTCGTCATAAATGAGTATCTGTCGACGAAGAGTTTCTACGGCGAAATGATGTGCCTTGGATCTGGCAAATTGAGCCGAGGTCGTCTGAAGCACGTGAAAAAGTCTTCTTGATGAATTTTCTCTGTCCTTGCAAACGAAATCTGTTTCTCCGTACAATAGTATGATTATATTGGATATTGTTGATATTGTTCGGTGGAGAGCTGCGAATGACAAAAGGTCTTTTTATACAAAAATTCAATACAATTAAGGGGGTGTTTACATGAATCCGGAATGACTTTCGATCCGGAATGAACTCATTCCATTTTAAAAGAAATCCTATCGCATGTTTACATGAATCCGGAATGAGTCACAACTCGATCGGGATCGAGTTCATTCCTATTTTCATTCCGGATCGAAGTTTCATGCCGGATCGAAATTTAATTTTAATCTCATGTAAACGCGTATTGAGTTTCATTCTGGAATGAGATTGTGATTAATGACGAAGCACGCATGCACCATGTGTATTGTCTTCTGGGAAATTGAAGCTCGTAAGCTAAATGGGCTATAATGAGTGCGAAGAAAAGCAACAATTAGTTTCATGCAAGTATTAAGCTATATTAACTCAGAAACGAAAAAAAAGAAAAGGGTTGTTATAATGTTTAAGTTCGTTGTCTTCAAAATTGATGATTCCTGCGAAATGTCAATCCTTGTGTTGATTTTCCATGTAAACGTGGATTGTCATCACGTTTCGATTGGAATTGAAAGTCATTACGGATTCATATAAACACCCCCTAAGAGAAAATATTATAGATGACGGTAAAGGGGTAGGGCTTACCTCTTGTTATTTAGAAGAACGGAAAGTTCAACCATATCAAGCGTAGCTGCGCAACTCGTTATCTTCTCTATTTTGTTTAAATTAAATAACGCTGATCTATGGAAGTAATTGTTTGGGAAATGAATAATAACACCAATAAAAAAATAAAAATTTATTTAGGTTTAGCTCGCTGCACGTAAACGTACATTGAATATACTCACTTTAAGAGAGCACATTCTTTGCAACGCTCCAAGCCAGCCAAATACGTTATCCTCGCTTCTTCCCATTCGTTAAGCACGATTAATGCAGATGCTTTTCGAAGATAGCCCATTGGATAACTTGGAAACTTCTTGATGGCCTAGCAATGAATAAAGAAAGGAGAAAGTTAGAAAAATGCTGGGAAGTTTGTTTCAAAATTAAATAACAAAATTAAAAAACTTTAGCCCTCGTGCAAAAAAGACACTTTCAAAACATGATTCATTCATGCTGATGAATCCAATCATGCATCTAAATAACTGAGCATGACAGTAAGAAACTATTTTGATGTGGAGTATTTTGCAAGTCAAAATTATGATCACGTAAAAATAACAAGCATTATCAAAGTCTCAGAAAAAGACTTATCAATTATCTCATTTGTGGCAGATGTTGTAAGCTGGCAGACAAATTAATTGACTTTTAAAAAACGTCTTTTCCTTTATCTAATTTGCGCCAAGATGCTTTAAAGCTGTGTTGTGATTGCTCTTGAGAACGATCAGAAAGAGTGCTTTCGGCATCTTGGCTTAACGGTTCATTAGTTGAACTTCCTAAATCCTAAATGAGATTTCGCTTTAAATGACAACAACACTAAGGAAAACTACTACAATTAAAACGTGCAATAAAAATGGTCCAGAGTACATGCAAATGCTTGACGTTATGAATTGTCTTTTCAAAGAAGAACACGTATACAATACTCACAGCATTGGCATCACAAACAACTCCATTTAACGTTTCAACACCACTTTCTTTGACATCCTTCTTTTTTTTCCCATTCCTTTTCTCGCTTTTCTTATTGCTAAAACGCAAATCCATATTTAGTCACCTGTTATTTCTCAACTACAACTTATGAAAACTGAACGCAAAGAATTTCGACAGATTGGTTTACTTGGTTACTTGGTCAACAATCAACAACTCCTACGATTAGCATGTAGGAACAGTTTGAATATTTTTTAAAATCATAAACGTCAGATTTTAAAGTCTTCTTTTACAAACAGCTTACAAGAAACTTGTAGGTGTAAATTGTGACTAAAACTTCTGCTGTTTATGAAAGGTTAATAGCAGATTATAAGTTAATAACCTAATTATATACTTCAATAAGGAATGATGTGAATCCGGCAAATAAAAACGCTTTGTTTCGGGCGTGAGAATGGTGTGTTTATGTCAAGAGGCATAAGAAAAGGGCAAGAATCATCATATTGAAAGGTCTTTGTTTGTTAACATTCGTCAATCGTCAATCTATAGTTTAAAATGAAAACCTTTAGCGTTAAAATACTTTATGCGCTATAGCCTCAATCAGACAGAATCGTCGTGTCCCAATACATATAGACGTTTGGGACGGGGAGGCAGGGAGCAACTGCTCTCCTCCCCACAAGAAAGTTTAAAGATTGAAAAGTTGAACCAAATTTTAACATAAGACGGGCGAAAATACGACGGAACCTTCTTTGTGAGTTTGGGAAAATATTTACCCCCATAGCTTCCGCACGCCTATGCATATACACTCCTCTCCTATACGAGAGTAATAAAGGTACGAAGACATACAGAAAAAATGCCACCATGCGTGGGTTCTTCATTGGGGTAAAAACGCCAATAGCATAGCGTACAGTTCAAAGTGATATATTGAAGCAAGAGTTGTACGGCTAATAATGGGCTATATAATGAAGATGATTAGAAGCTGTAAGAAAGCTTCCTGTTGGGATATATCGAATAATTAGTTACTCTAGGTGTATCAATGGACAAAACGATTAACAAAAGTACTTGAATTAATCGTAAGGTCATGATTACGATGACTTTTGATGCCAACAATTACAAAAGTGTATGCAACAGCACAACAAATATTTTTAATATCAGTTTTGATAGCACACAAAACTGCAAATTAGTTATTGAACTTAGAAAGAAAAAAAAATTTTGGCAAGTTTGAAGTTGAAATGAGCGGAGGACGATGACCCCCATATCCTGCACTAATGCTGTTTGACTTTAACCCTTCTTTGTGAGTCAATAATTCATAGGAAATTCCAGTCTATCACAGCTATTGAGTACCAGCGTGAATTCGCATTTTTAGAAGAAAAGCGAAGGATATGTTTGTATTCTTTGCTTTTACAGACGTCTCATGACTTTGAATTTCTTTCCAAAACAAATATTTTAAAATCTTTTTGGGAGAACTTGCCTCCAAAAAGCTTTTTAGTATTCAAAATATTCTCTCCAAATTCGAGTAATTGGCAAGAGTTGTACAAATGATACTTGGCCAGAACCTATCCTCACAAGTCGATCATAAGACGCAGTTTAAAAACAATTATAGCCAGAGAGTATATACTACAAAGAATACAGAAGATTGCAGATATGGATAAATTCTTCTTGCAACCAACAGTAGCATATAATATTTAGACTTACTGTTTCTCAAATGTGTTGTCCTGATGCACAATTAATAACTGTTCACAGTGATTGTTGTTTAAATTTTGCAACGACTTGCTCAATGGTCTCTCGCGCGTCAGCTTCTCATGAGTCAAAGGATGGCTCTGTTTTTCCAAAGCTTGTAAGAAATATTTTGTTGCAGAATTTAGATCTCCTTGCATAAAAGCAGATCTTCCTCTTTCTTCCATCCTCTTTAACTATAATTACAAATGAAAAAAATACTCCATATGAGAAGATCAATCAACGACAACATTACACGATCTGTTGAAATGGTAAACAAGCAAAACAGATATCCGTATTGGAACAAAATGTGCGTGCTGCTTTACCATAAGCGAATCTGAATGAAGAGCTGATCGTATGTACGTGTTGGCCGTTGAAAAAACACAAAATGAGGAAGAACTGAGTCGGCGCAACAACGTCTTCGGCCTATTCTTCTTTGCCATGAAGAAATCTTTAATTTTGTTTGATAGAATCCGATCACTATTTGCCGGCATCCTTACTCAACGATCGCGAATATTGAATAAAGTTGAGTTAAAAAACATACCTTATCAGCATCCATTATTATTTATTCATTATTCATTCCGTTTCAATATTGTGTTCTAACACTCAAGGACAGGCAATTAAAACTATTAAATATATCGGACGTAAAGTTTTGCCTCTTTATACTGACTTGTGTTGTAATTTGATCACGCTTGTTCGTGGACATAAAAAAATGATCAGCCCGCACACTTTTGACGTCAAGCTTCTTATTTGCGTGGTTTAACACCTAAAGATGTTGTTGTAGGGGTCAGATAGTTCGAGCTGAGAGACAAAAAAAAAAAATATTCGAGATATTTGAAGAAAGTTCTTTCGTCACTTTTGTGAGACAGCAAAATTCGTCGCACAACGAACAGGAGTGTAATGAATTTAACGTTTCCACCACTTTTTAAGTCAAAGTTATCCTTTGATTCGCTGCATTGTTGTTATACTTTTACCACAACACATCATAACACAGCAATTCCTAAAATGTTTTTATCAATAGTTGAGCTCCCTCCCTCTTTCGAAGACCAACCAACCTTAGTGAAATGCAACTACAGAAGGATTTCTTAGTAAATTTTGTAATTGTTTTTGAACAAAAGCACGCCCCTTGTGGAAATCAACCCCAGTTGACAAGGCCAGGGTGTCAAAATAAAGATTTTCATTCATTCATTCAAGGAAGCAAAGCATTTAAATATCTATTTTGCAAACACCAATACAATTCATAGCAATATCAAGCAATGAAATGCTCAATTTTCTTATTTTCATGATCGTTTTTATGATAGACAAGGTTTTACTTTAACAAGCCACAGCTTTGTTAAAAACTCTGTTCTGTCAAAAAAACGGAAAAAATAACCATGCTATTGTTCACGAAACAGCGTGACTTCTTGCAGCTGTGAAGCCTATAATTACCATCGATAATCCATTTTCCTGCTAGGCAGGAAAAACGTAATAATAAAAGCAACTACAACAAATAGAATGACAATATAACAATATATTATGTATAAGTAAACAGAAAGACTATTTGTGACTACAGTCTACAATCGTCATAGATTAAAGATGTTTAAAAAGGTTTTTTAGCATTATTTTTCCATCGTTAAAAACAAACAGGAAAAAATGCTGCTGTTTTCAAATGTCTTATTCAGTAAACACTTCGTGATCTTTTCGAGCCAAAATATAATTTATCAATTTTTTCGAAAGCGTGCCTCTTTTCTCGAACGTCCGACATTATCACTTTGTTAAATAAACTGACTGAACTAAAAATACCTACTGTACCAACCCACACAAAAAAAACACGCATCTCTAAGACGAAATCTGCATTTTCACCACATGTCTCCATAAAATGAATGAATCTTACAATCTATATTAAAATGTAGATTGATAAAACTCTCACTTTCTATAAATTCATGAAATAAACCTGTAAATTTATTGTTTGTTCAATCCTGTATTTTTCTGTTCATATTTCTTCAAACTGTTACGTTTAATTCTTTTATTTCATTTGTCTATTTTAATTCATGTTCGCCATTTTCAAGTTTCTTATACATTACACCCCTTTCTTCAACGTGTTATTTTCTCAGCTAGAACTTTCAAACACTAAAACAATGAATATAACAAGAAATTAATAGTTTTAGGACACCAACAGACATGAATGGGAAGCAAAAAATTGTGCTCGGAAGATGGGAAAACAAAAATGGCCAACATTCATAGCAAGTACACACAATCTACACATGACATGTGAAATATTAGATAATGCGCAAGATATCAAATAAAATAACTATTGAAATTAGCAACTTTTAAGACCTTCGTCTAAAACAGGGGATAAAGAGCAGATGAGAGAGATCTGATCATATCAAAGTTTAAACTTACTCATAAGGCATAGTTGAGCTCTAATTCACTAAGAATTAATTCTAAAAATGAAAATAATAATCTTGCGAGCCTACAATGTATACGAGAGTGCCTAGTGGTAGTGCTGATTAATTTACACAAGCTAAATTCACACAATGCAAAGTAATTTTGTGCAAAACACATTGGTAAAACCAGAAATAAGTGTTTTCACCTTCGCATTCCTTCCCTGTGGGTACTAGTAATATTTCAAGGTTTTATATTTAATCAAGATTGAACTGACCCACGCTGCAATTATCTTTTTAAAAATAGTATACATAATATTTACATAATCGATAATAAATCTAGGGGAAATAAGCTCTATTTGAAATTCAACTAAGGTATTATAGGGGCAATTCTTAAAAATTAACAGAGCTCAGAATATGCCATCTTTTTATTGATTGACCGCGGGCGCTCATTACCGCCCTCCAGTGAAGATCTTCATCGTCTCCAGTACTGTCGTGTCCAATAGAAAACCAGCCCATTATCTCTTTTCGCCTCATTTTCTTGATCTGAACAACGGAAAACATGATACTGACACTAGGTAGTTCAAACTCGATAATTTGGAACACGAATGTTTCGTTAAATTCCGGATCGACCATATTGCGACGGATTGTCGTCTTACATTTTGACAATTGCTGACCAATAGAATTGAACATTGTCACTTTAACGTAGGTATCTGCAGGAAAATAAATAGCAACTACGTTAAACTATATTGAACATTTGATATAAATGAGAGGCTATATCTCCACTAAAAATTTGAAACCAGCATTATGACTTGTCCAAATATCCCAAGTCTCAAAACGCACGATCAAATAATATTTTATTTTAAGAGGTAAAACACCGAAAGAGAGTTTGCGCCAATCAATAAAAATTCAACCTTAAAGAACCAAGAAAACGAGTCTTGCAAACAGAAAAACATGATGATGTAAATCTGACTAAATGAAACACACTCCGAATAAAAAGTTTATGTTTAACTCAATATTGAGAAGGAAACAAGACAATCTTTATTTGAATAGTTGTATTTCAGAGAATGTATGATAATTGGTCTGATTGGTATCTTTTTTAAAAAAGGAACAAGCCAATTCATATAATACAATGCAGAATTTTAATAAACTATTGCATATATTACAAAACAATTATGAATAATAACGTCCATTGAACGTAGAAGCCAAGTTGAAACAAACCAACTTATCGCATTCTGAAAGTAAAGACAGAGACTTAGACAGGGCCGCACAATGACGGGGAGTGAAGAGCTTCTAAAGCCCAATTTTTTAGAAAATATGTATAAAAAGTCAATTTAGAAATTAGTAGAGGACAAAAAAATCGGCCATGCTATAAATGTGGGCTGCTCTACCAAACACCATAAAGGTAGGTCACAAAAACGTAGAACACCCTAATTCTTTTTGGGTGGGGAGGGCGTGCGACCCTGGTCATGTAGCAAATATATTTACGATCGATTTGCCACAGAATGCAATGATAATATCATTCATATGGACAACCAAATATCTGGATGGAATTATCAACGTTCGAACTATCTCATTTTTTGAATATCTTCAAACAAAACATGCCATCGACTGACACTCTTTTCGCTCGCTTGAAGCAACTCGTTCCAGTGTAATGTCTCCTCTTGACCGCTATTATTCTTGCCAAGATGAAACCATCCCACGATCTCTTTCTTCTTGCGCGTGCGCGATATAGCAACCACAGTAAACTGCAAAGTAACTTCGGCCAAATCTCTTTCGGACATTTGAAACACGAAACTCTCGTTGTATTCAGGATCAGTCATGCTACGACGTATGGTTGTCTTACTTTTTGCAACCGGTCGACCAATCGGCGATATCAACACGATTTTCACGTACGTATCTACAGAAATATTTTCATCATCATCGAAAAAAGAATTTTTTATGAGTCAATTCGAGTGAGGCCCACGTCACCGGGTTGGAGTACACCTCCCCCTTTATGAAGATATGATAAACACTTCAAAAAGCTTACCTTGCCGACGAACACGTTTTAAATACTTCAGCACATTCTTCAAAAAAATCCAAAAATTTGCAGATTTCTCATGTTTGTCCAGCAAAAAATATCATTTCCGAGAAAAATTCTCCAACATGGCAAACAATTACCCGGGATGCACCGCATTCGAATTGACAGATAGAGATTAGGCCTTTTATGATAGAATAACCATGTGCTTACCTGGAGCGCGCTGCATGGTAGGCATGCGCAGATTACTGGCTTTCAAAATTTCAACAGTCAGTCTTCCTGTCAGAGATTGGTAACATAATGCCACCAACAACTCAGGTGTCCCACCATGCACTGCAATAAGTGAGGACGATGATCCACCATGACCTGAGCCAATGCTCATAGTCTCTGTGATGTCATAAAGAGAGTCGGCTGCCTAAAATAAAAACAGCATGAAGTACCACAAAATAAAAATAAGACTGTAGATTTATCAGTTTGAATATAATTGTCCAACGTAAAAATTTTAATATGGCCATGGATTAACAATTTCATAAAATTGTCAAAGTAGATTTACTAAAATAAATTTAGTCGACTTACCGAAAGTTGGCTTCTGGGAATTATCATTCTCCAAACGGTATCTGACTCACTGTCCAGATCAAATTCCGAGAGAGGCATGTTCACCTCACCAACAAGACGATCCCGCGTAATCCTCTCGTGACCATACACACGAACCCTTAGTGAGCCATAACGAACCTCTTCATGTGTCACGTGACTAAAGGTAAATGTCTCATGAAAACTGGGGTGAGTAGAAGGTTTAGCTTTCGTTTTAAATCTTTGCTTTTTTACAGGCAGTAAGACAACTCGGACTTGTACCATACTCGGTCCTCCTCGCTCTTTCGTCGGAAGATCTTCGGCTTTCAAAATACTAACAGCCAATTTGTTGGCGGTGGGAGCATAACTGGCAGATATCTGTATCCGTCCAGCAATACTAACTAACTCCTCACCGGCAGACAGAGAGGATCCAAATCCCCGAGGTGTCATTTCTCCGCCAAATGTTTTGCGTACTGTACCAGGGCTATAACTAAGATATTCCAAACCGTCCGTACCGTCAGAATAATTTCCCGGCTTATAATAACCTCCGGTAACATAATCCCCATCGGATCTTAGACTTCCACTCGTTGTATTACAACTGGATCTTCGACTAGGAGTCTTTGAACCATAAAATTCGTCATCTGTTTCTGTTTCATAAGGCACAGATTTCAGATATTCGTACTCCTCCTCGTCCGGTCTCTCCGGAGGTTCGAGGTTACAAACTAATCCGCGCTTCACAACTTGATAAACAATGAATAATATAACGATAACTCCAGCGATAACACAAAGAAAGATCAGAGCAGGAGTTGGAACTGCAAAGAAAAATTACAAAGAGTTTTTATCAACTATAAAGTTCAAATCAGAAAAGACGAATAACATAAATGATTTGAACCTGGGAATATTGTCAAGATTTTTGAAGATCCGAGAAGGGCTTTGTTACACTACAACGCTTTCACTCTAGAACTTATTTTTTTGCCATCAAAAGGCAGAGACATTTGTAGCTACTACAATTCAAAATGCCCTAAATAACGTAGTTGACTAGTTGCGGTATCTACATATCATTTTGAATTTAAAAAATCTTTAATTGTTTTGAAAACATACATGTCCACATCACTGCCAATTCCTGTCATCCTATATGCTGCAATTCACTTAAATTCGACGAAAAAAGTCAAATATTTTTTTAGAATTTAAGACGAAGACGGAAGTCGATGTTCTGCTCTCAATAATCATAAATATTTTATCAACATCATCAATCGATGCCACTCCACTGCAGGTGCTGGCCTATGTGTTGTTTCATATAGGGCCGCCTCCCACGAGAGCTTTCAGCTGAGCTACCAGCCTCGCGAGGCAGGTATAGCTAAGCACATAATGGAAAGTAAATGTGAACAACAGTTTTACCGTGATTTATATAATCGTTGGTTCAGAAAAGAATTTCTGTTAAGAAATATGTTAGCTGGGTATAATACAAGTTATATATGACGATGAATACGCGGAAGGTACACCTGCAGTTTTTTCCATTTTCTTTCATATGCAAATATAATAAATGTAATTTTTAATTTGTACGAAAACCTTCACGATGTAACTATATATGTTGGAGAAAAAAGCAAGCAAAAACAGCAATATATAATACCAATGTAGTATTAATGTAAAAGATTTTTAAGGTTATAAAAGACAATTACATAGAGCACGGCTATTCATGGTTCTTTCTTACTTCATGTTCAATTAATAACCTTGTATTTAAAAGATGAAATTTTTAGACTTATTCTCGAGGTATTCTGTAAAATAAAACAACAAAACTTACATTTAATTTCCATTCAGCTAGGCACTAAGGAGGTTAGCAAGAGAAATAAAACCAGACGAAACGAAAACAATTGTGTAGTAAACAAGTAGAAACCCAGCTGTATCCAAACCCACTCGTTTCACTCATTTGCATATATCATGACGTGATGAGTGCTGACGATTGTCATCACTAACAAGTCAAATACGCGTGGCTAGCTCAACGAAACGATGATGTAAAATTCTCAAAAAGAGTAAAAGATTAATTTACCAAATTGGGTTATCTGTTAAAGCATTATATATACATAAATATGATAGGTATATTTTGAAGTCCAAATATTATGAACAATTTCTCCATGCGCGATGAGTTACAGTAGAGGATACGGGTTAAGCAAAATATGTTATATTCAAAGTATCTTCATAACAATGGTTATGAATTTCCAAAGAATAAAACCCTACAAACCAATTGGTTATTGTAATTTATTTTGCTTAACGCAAGACCCACCCGTAGTACGAGCTACATAACTTTATAAGCTGCATGTAAAGACACCAAGCGTAACAATGGCCAACATAGACCAGTGGGCGATAGTGCTAAATATAACGTCTTATAAATGCAGACTCCACGAAAACCATGAATCATGTTATCATAGAGTACAAGCGACAATAATGAGTTTTAAAGCTATGTAAACAATCTCTCTCTCTCTTTCTTTCGGCTTTGTACATCTCAAGGATACCCACAGCAAATTATTGACCACCATCAACTACCTTATCCTCTTGTTTCAAACTGCCTAACTTCATGTCCTCCTACCGGACATTGCATCCATATACTTTCTCTTTGGTCTTTCTCCACGCAGACCTCTTATCTGGAAGCTCTAAATTCAACATTTTTTCACCGATATACTCCGCGTTCTTTGTCAGAACATTTCCAAATAAAACTTAACTCCATCTCTCTTATTTCACAGCAATTTTGAATTAAATGAAGGAAACAAAAAAAACATATAGCCAGACACGCACACAAATATGCTCAAACTTGAACTACATATAAGTAATGAATACACAAAGCATTCGTGCCCCCATCGAAACGACAAATTTTACAACATTTAGAGTTAATCACCTACATGTAGCACTATTGTCGTCCTCTTCAAACGACTCTGTAGTCTGTTGCTGGGAGCTCACCCTCATCTTAAGGGGCCAAAAAAGCCTTCATAACTTGAAGTTTTATAAATGCGAAACATTACATTCACCCAACACCCACAAGATCTTCAAACGATGAAGGATAGTTTGTGGTAGGTCTGTCCATTTTCAAAATGAATCATTTTGTGTAAATAAACAATCACGAATGCGAATCATGTATTTTTTATCAAATGTTTTTGAACTTCACCTCGTCTGCTAAAATTCACGTTTAATTTAAACTTCGGAAAGATAGACAATATAAATTTTCCATCCTATCTCAACAATCTTAATTGGACATCACTCGCAAGGAAAGCATTCGCCAATCAAAGAAATTCGTAGTTTCGCTTGCTTTTGAAATGCAAACGAGTTCATGCATGAGTGAAAACGAAACTTTTATTGCCGGGCAACTGAGGAATTTCAATCAACAAGATACAGTTTTTTGTGAGATTACGGGGGGGGGGGAGATGTTTCAAGAAAATCCCAAAGCGATTGGCCACATATGCAGTGACATCCCTAGGGCAATGACGTAAATGTATTGATTGAAAATAACAAGAAACATCAATAAAGGAAAAGAAATTAACCCTGTTTACTAAACTTGCTCAAGTTGAATTTGCATATACATGAAAACATATGACAAGAACAGTTTTTGAATTTCAATACACTTGTCTCAACACTGCATATGAAAATCCATTGGGAAACGTTTAAGTAATTAATGTTGATCTATCATCTGTTTTGATTTTCATGAAGGTATTTCAAAGTCTGGAGGACTTAAGAAACGAGATATTTGGATTTTGTATTAAGAAAGATCTAAGAGATGTGACATTTCGTACTTAGGATGTAAGAGGTGTGATATTTTGTACTAAGGAAGGATCTAAGAGGTGTGACATTTAGTACTTAGAAGGATGTGAGTGATGTGACATTTCGTACTTAGGATGTAAGAGGTGTGATATTTTGTACTAAGGAAGGATCTAAGAGGTGTGACATTTAGTACTTAGAAGGATGTGAGAGGTGTGATATTTTGTACTTAGGATGTAAGAGGTGTGATATTTTGTACTCAGAAGGATATAAGAAGTGTGATTATTTGTACTCAGGAGGAAGTAAGAAATGTGATACTTTATATAATATTCATTATGCCAATTCTCGAGAATCCAACAAGTGTGTTAGGTTGCTTTCCCTAAAGTCTCTGTGATATATTCATAATTTTATAAGAAAAAGATCCAAGACCGTTGGCGAAAAACAAATTAAAAATTACTTTAACCTTCCTCAAACAATAATCGTCTTTAAAATGGTCCACATAAGAAAGTTCAATAATCGCACTAAACGCAACATAGTTAAGAATATGGTAGTAAACACAAGTGGCACATCATCATACTATTATCTTGGTATAGTACTGAGAAGGACTGTTTTTGTTGTTGTTGACTGACGTTTCGACAACCTAAGCGGTAGTCATCTTCAGAGTCAAATGACTCTAGTCATCAAGTCTTTGGACTCTGAAGATGACTACCGCTAAGGTTGTCGAAACGTCAGTCAACAGCAACAAAAACAGTCCTTCTCAGGACTATACCAACCTGGACGATCTACATATACAAACATGTAACGATACTCCCGGGTTCAAACCATTTACTTTATACTATTATCTACTGACTTGATTTTTTTAATGTATTTTTTGGATGAATATCGTGTCAACGCTGCTACTCTGAGTCTCACGATTCTTTTATCTGACATTCGTTACACATATTGAAGCAATGGAAAACATATACATTGACTCCTTATGTACGTAGTGGTTATTTTTTAACTTCAATCATCATAATAACAGTATATATAGCTTTTCCTAATTCTAAATAATAAATCGATAAAGATTAGCATAAAGTAAATAATTTAAACGCCAAATTCAAACATTCAAATACATTCATTTGATTTTTAGCATATACTTTTATCTGACAGTTAGTAAGTTCCAGGATGTATAAACGATATTACATTATTGGCTATATAAAAAGCCCAAACATGATGGATAAGTGGTTGAAAATATAAAAAACGTATTCTTATTTTTCATTGACTAAATGTCATTATTATAAGATGTCCTATGCTACAAAATTCGAGACTTGTGGAAGAAAAATAACAAATGCGTACTTGTTTCAATAATTTTAAATGGTCCTGAGTGAAATGATGTAGAGCCCCGGCTAAGGGGCTGTTTACATGATCCCGGCTAACCGGGATTCAGTGAGGCGTAAAATCATTTCGATGCATTGAGAAGAGTCGAAACTTCAAGCGTAAAAATTACAACTGTTTGTTAAGCGCCGCAAGTAATGCCTGTTGTAATTCTCAAATTAGGCCAAATTTGTTGTTCGATTTCTAATGTTATGTTTGTAGTTATTAAATCAGAATATTGTTAAAGTGCTGAAGAACATTCATCTGACGATAAGTATTAAATCTTTTCCATTTGCCAAAATCATTTAACGCTTGGCTGAATCCCGGCTACCCGAGATCATGTAAACAGCCCCTAATACGGCTTTATTTAACTTAGTCGTAACTTTGTCGTGGATTTTGAAATTTCGATCTTGTTTAAGTAATTAATGTTGATTTGTTTGTATTATTTGGCAAGATTGTTGTTCCCATGCTCACAATAACGTTCGAGAATCATTATTAATGAATAAAAAATAGCACATCTTTTTCTTTATACAGATTGATGTTATTCGAACATCAACAGCAAAGTTTGAAGAATGACAAATACAAGGCAATAAGCTACTTCGTAAGTTGAATGGAAAATAAAACAAAAAGTTTCGCATGACAGAAATCAAACTTACCCAGTGACTTATCAATCATTTCTTTTTCCCCAACAACTTCAACTCGAGTAAAATTCATTTCCATCACTCGCCCTTTTTTCTTCTCAATGGCGTTAGTTCCATCTTCAATTTCCTTCTTTTTTTAAAGTGGTTTGATTAAACGAAGAGTCAAAACTCGCCGTCCGTTAAAACATTCAAAATTTTTAGGACAAAATTTAAAAGCGAATCTTTGAAAGCGCGTCAGAAGGACTTTTGCCGCAATCTGCCACCAAGTCCAATGCAATATTTATTAAGGGAACTGTCGTTCGTACAAAGTTCATTTGTCCATGATTCATTAGCCTTGCACAAAATCAGATCAGACACATCGTTATGTCCTCATTTCATTGGTTGAGACGTAATCAGAGAAAATCGCGGTTAAATGAAAACCGTTTGGGGCCTAAATTATTTATAAGACAACTAAATCATCAGTCAAACAATATAGCAGCTCAACGTCGTAGCGCGTTCGAACACACACAACAATAAGAAATACTCTTTCAAATGCGCATTTTGTCTGTTTATGAATCAGTACTTATTAAGCGTCAATTTTGGTAGAATTTTATTTCTAATTACAATGCAAAACACTTGACGCCATTTTCGGTTAAATATTCCAAAATACAAACGAACTTTTCCCATTAAGTGACATTGTAAATTATACATTTTAGAACTCTCAACAATGCATGCACTTTGAACATATATTAATTTTTCACATCGCATTGAGCCCTATACATTTGTTAACATGCTAACCCTATATGATTGGATAGAACCGTCAAGTATCCCCACGTATACACAATGTTCATGCTTATCCTCTTCATCATTTTGCACAACGTGAATAGAGTTAATCCAGTCATTTGTCTGGATTTTGTGTAGCAGAATTCCACAATGGTAAATTAACAAGGAGTTAAAATAACCACAACAGAATAACATATCTAAAGTTGACGAAGGGCAGCAAGCCATATTTGTCACAGTCAATTTAATATTAGCATACAATGTTAGACCAAAATTACTCATTATAAAAATCCTACCATCCTCCATTCCTAGTGAGATTTGTTGAACACTGTCACCTTTCAACATGGAGGTATGGGAAGAGTTTGAAGTACCAGTGTCCAGTCCTTCCAAAAAGTAACCTGCACACATTGCATTCACTGTTGATGGCATATCAAGATTTCGAACAAGAACTCCATTTTGAAGGACGTGAAGGGTTTGGTTGCTATCAGCAACTAAAACATAGTTACCAATAACAGCTGAGCTTGTAGGCAATTTGATTGGTAGAAGAGATGTCACTGTTGCCATGGCAGCACCCTTGAAACAGTAAAACATATACTATGTTTTGATCATTCTAACAGGGATATGGCAGAAATTGTAATAACTACCTTGTTTGATGATGTCATTAGATCATTAAGTCGTAATCTCCATTGCATAAAGTGAGGTAAACAACCCATAATGTTGCCTTTGCTGTCTCCCGCCACTATAGACATATTTTGGGCTGAAAAGATCAATATTGAATAAGACAAGATGCAAATGTGTGAATGAAAAGAGAAAAACAGACCTGTATCAACATCAATTGCCACAGAGACTATACAACCCTCAGACATTGTCATTTTATTCAAGATTTGTTTATTGCCAAAGAATGTCAATGTTCCCCTGGAATCGGCAACAATTAAATCCACAGAGCCAAATTTTGTAATGTCATGTAAACATAATGCCTGGATTGGTCCTCCTTTTGTTTCTAGTTTTATCAACTCCTAAACATAATGGATCCTCGGTAAAACTACACAGTAGGATACTACAAGATACTACAAGATCCTACAAGATCCTACAGAATCTTTAACAAGATAAATTTTAGTATCTTAAAGGACACTACAAAGATACGATCTTGTAAGCTTTTAAGCAGGATCGCGTTTAATTTCCAACGGGAATACAGTGATGGATTCAAAGTGGTTTCTGTACACGAGGAGGGGCAGTTCAAGTTTAGATCAGATTTCGTTAAATTTCTTATTATCTTTAATGTAATTTCTTTCTGTGTGTTATACTCTACCCTTGGACAGCCCGAATCAATCCTAGTTTTCAGTGAATTGATCTTTGACAACGTATGATCAAAACAATTTCTGGAATTTTGGAAGTTTGCCATGGAATGAATGCAAAAAGTTGGCACATCAAAAAAATTGTCAGATATTTTACTGAGCTTTGACTTCCCACCTCCAGGAATAAATTTTCATCACTGAAAGCAGATCGCAATTGCTTATGCTAGGCATAATTTATTTACTTGCAAAAAAACCAATATTTCTAATGCAATCTATCCATGATGCAATCTTCACACCTTGAGAGAAACATTATATTCATCAGTCTTCTTTGGTATTTCATACACTGTAATAAGTCCATCGCTTCCTCCAACCACCAAACATTCAAAACCTTCTCTAGATGACAATAAAATTTATAATAATTTCAATTGTACAATGTTAATCTAAATTATTAAACTTTGGATTATCCAAGTGTACAACAATCATCAGCAAGAGCATGAAGCAGAGTAGAGTATTGTCAAAAAGAAGTGTTTTACCGATTTTTTACCAACCTAAATATTTTCCCCACAGTCAAGACATTGAATTCTTTGGACAAACTTCTTTCCCATTCAAGCTCAACTTCAACATGAGGCATCTTGATGAATTTTGGACCACGGACACCTCGTGACATGTTCGGCTATCTCGTAACATATTCGGAGGCCTCGTGGCATATTCGGATAAAATTGTCACTAGATTTCAAAACTGTTCTAATTGGTCGTAATTAACTGCAATATGTATAAATTTAACATGTTAATTAATGTAATAGCATCAGTAACAGTGTGTAAACAAATGTTGCTATGCAATTATACTACAGAGCTTTTACTGCAATTTATGAAAGAACTATATGTAAATGGCAAATGTAACAGTACGTATCTCTCGTAACAGATCAAAGCACTCTCAAACTCCACTATCAACGGCTAAGTCTGCGGTATGACAAAAAGCTGGTGCTAAATTATATTTCTTTGTATGATTTTTTATTTACAATTGAAATTTAAAAGTGCACGTTTCTTTCATATTCAAATAGAATGACGGTCGACATAGTCGTCGTAGTGAATTTGGGGATAATATATCTGATAGAGGTGAATGGTGGAGAGTTACTTTGAAGGTGAGTAGAATCTTTCCACAGTCTACATCTCCCTTGAAGCATGGAATGGTTTTAAAGTACCTTCGTGAGGTCACAATGTATTTACATATGTCTTCGATGGTTTTATATCCTAACAGGACACGCCTAATCCTGGAACATATGAAGTTGTTGACTTTATCAACGAACTAAACAAGAAGGTCGTTCCTCAGTCGTATACGTTCAAAGATCAGGGACGACAGAAAAATGTAGATCCATCACGAAAAGGCTCTGTGCTTATGCCAGGACAATATAAGTATCAAACGTTTGTCGATGATTTGAAAAATAAGCAATGCCATGCCAGTTTCAAAGGACCTAAAAGATTTCGTGGTCCCGGGATATCAGGTCTTATTGACAAGGTACTCTCTTGTCATCTTGCTCAGTCATTAGCACTGGCATTCATGAATGTCTTTCATCCTTTTGCGAAATGTATTCTCTAATTTCAGGATCTCTTTCAAAGTGACGTGAGCCCTTTCAGCTATGATAAAGAATACAACATTGACAAAAAACATGCTTCAAAGTACGCGATGATCAATGAAAATGAACAAAGTACTCTTTCGACATCTAAAGTTCATGTTTTCCTCATTTCAGATACGCAATTTTCAGATCCAAAGTTTCAAGATTTCCGACTGTTTACTTCAAGCCAGTAAGTAAAGTGACGTCAATGTCTAAAAATTAGCCATTTAAGATTGTAAAGAATTTTTTCAGAGATTAGGCCCAGCACCAGGAGAGTATGAAACTTCGAAGTCAAGGTGTCCTCCTCCGGCAATCACATCTTCATTCAAGTCAAGAACACCTCGTTTTCAGAAAGTTCATTACTTGGTTAGAGTGTTAATGCTAATCAAACCTTTCTTTTTCACAAATTTTTCTTTAAAATTTTTTTCTTTACTACGCAAGAATACTCCAGGCCCTGGAAGTTACGCAAAGACCTACCAAACTCCAATGCCTAACACAATCAAGAGGATGGGAAGAAATTATGGTTTGTTTTTTAGCTGTGGCGAGGATGGCAAATACTAAAGAGACAGAAACATGAAGAAAGAGGAAAGATGCGTTCATATTACTAACATATATTTTGTAAATTTATGTCGAAGTTGAATTATCTAGGAATGCAGCTAATTAAAAAAAAAAAAATTATGTGATAGTAATAATGTGGTTGTAATACTGTCGTAGTTTTCTTTGCTTTAATTGTTCATGGCATTTCATACATTTTGTAACGAGAAGTTTTCTTATTTGTCTGTAGCGTCTGACAAACCCGCAAAGGAATAAACGTGTTGAATTTCTATCGCCATTTGATTTGCTACGTGAACAACAAACACAAAATGATGAAGAGATATCGATATACATTAAAAAAAAATTTAAAAGAAAAAAACACTGAATACCGAGTTTTGTAGATAATTTGAAATGAGAGATTGAACAGGATTAGTTCTTTCCACTTGTTTTCTGTACTCCTCAAGTCTTTGTCTATCTTTCATGCTCACTATAGTCTGTAGAAATAAACAACAGTATAAATAAAAGACAATTAAAGAAAACTCTCATCAAACAGAGATGGACCATTTTACCTCAACGGCGATTTTATGGCATTTTAACCGGGTGGACAGCGTAAGTCTGAGCTCGAGGTCGTCCACAAGATTTAAATATTTTCCAATGATCTAATTTATAATTTGACACGATCAAAAACAATTTAAATGTAGATATGGATTTATTGGGAGAGGAAGGTGAAGATGAACGTCCTCCAGGCTAAGGGGTTACGGGAAGATGAACTGTCCTCCAGACCAAGGGGGGTACGGAAAGATGAACATTTCTCCGAGCTAAGGGGTTACGGGAAGATGAACTGTCCTCCAGGCTAAGGGGGCACGGGAAGATGAACATCCTTCCTCGCTAAGGGGGCACGGGAAAATGCTTGAGCATCTTTCTTGCTACCATAATTGAGCGCGAGGAGATGAACATTTTTCTTGGTCCTGGGGGTATGAATACATTCCTGTTTGATTAAGAACAAAGCGACAGAATTTACTTACATCCCTTGGCGCGTTGCTTTTCTCCAAGATTCCAACTACTTTATGAAATCCCAAGCTAGATTTTTGTTTGTTTGAACCATACCAGCTCTGAAACGACATTCAACGTCATTTATATTTTGCTCATTCTTAATTGAGCTACACGGATCTTCTCTCAATGGCTTCCCCCCATCAGCAAGTTTGATGAAACTTATTGGCGAAGTCAAAGTGTTCATGACAAGAAAAGCAGCTTTTTCATCGCATTGCGCAGAACATTTAAAATCAATCACTTTCTTTATTTAAATTGCGTTAGTTAATTTCTTTCTATAGAAACAACTTTGATCATTACGCGAAAAACGACTTTATGACATCACGTTATTTTATTAGCTTCAGGAAACTTGTGAAATTTCAACCTTTCCCCCAGAATTATTTATTAATACAAGCGTTCATTAAACTGTTATAACTGTTAATAAAACATTTAGACATACTTAAAAATAATGCTTAATAAAATGTTATTACGCAATTTGATGTCACAGTAAATATACTTGCAGATTGAAAAAGTTAGAAATCTACAGAAAGAAGTGAACAAACACAATTTAACTGCAGATGAAAAATTCCTGTCATAAAAACTTTAAAATTTTTGACAATAAAGAAATCTTGAACATCTTGCATATTGAATAATGACTAAGAACGAATCACAAACCTTCGACGTGAATAGCATGTCTAGATCCGCCCATTTCTTGAGCTCTGCTCTTGCAGCGACCATCGTCCATTCAAATTGTTTGTCCGTGAGCTGTGAGCAATTGATATGAATCATTCAAAGCATATTACAATCCACATTATGTCAACCAATTCAATTCAATCAGTTACCTTAAATTCCTTTTGCAACGAAACGGGACCTAAGATATTCTAAACAAAAATTCCTCTGTCCACAAAGATTATTCGCACTTTCATAAAACGACAATGTACACTTACGTCATCTTTGCCAAAATGATAAAAACAACAATGACGTAATGTCGTCATTAAAGGTGATGATGTAACTGGTTTAAGAGGATGGAGTCGCATGATTTCGTTCTTTCCTTCGACCTGTGTGCGTTTGTCTTTTATCTGATGGCAAAATGATAAATTTATTCTTGGTAAAAATATTGATTATATGCTTTTATGGTTTTAAGTGTTCAATCTTAAACCTCGATTTGCACTTGTCTTTTCAACAGACTTTCGTGTTGTTTCAAAATTGCAACCACATCGGTCAATTCAGGTGAAATCTCATTCATTCTGGTCGTAAAGAAAAGAAAATGGTATAACAATGAAGAAATATGCAAGATGTTGGGTGGAAGAGCGACCTCAGTTAAGATACATCAAATCATTGAGACCTTTGACAAGTGACGATTGCTTGTATTTGGGAGTCAACGTGTGAGGACGAAGACAAAGCTATCTTGTACTCCAACATCTAAATTGTAAAAAAAAACAATGATTAGACAAACAGGCTTGATATCCCATTTATGTAAAAAAATTCACAGAAATAATGTCTCCACCTACCATTGCTTCCTCTTTCCTATTCAAAATTCTAAATAATCAACAAATTAAAATGTGTTTTATGTCTTTCATTATGGTATAATGCTAACGATGATGAATTTTTAGGTACCTGAGAAGTTTGATGACTTCATCGTGATCAAAATGCGACTTCAAAAATGTGACAATGTGGTTTGCTGCAACAGGACGTCTCTTTATTTCGCGCACAAATATATCTATGAACAAGAGCTTGATGAGGCTATACCACTAGCAGGTTCGCTAGGAAGTGAATAAGGCTAGCCATTTGGCCCTGGGTTTTCAACCTAGAGCTCCCCCCTCTAAACCTAGAGCTCCCCCCCACATTTGAGCAAGGCTCCTTGAAGTTTGAAAAACATAATTGTGAAAGAACAAATAACCTGCGTATAACAGAGTTTCTTTCTAACTATTAAATACGCAATGAAGTATTTCAATATGGACTTAATTCATTGAATACTTAGCAGCAAAGAATGTCTGTTATCTGCAGTATAGTGTGTCAAAACATTTGCAGTTACAAGGCTGCTGAGCAGAAATTTCAAATCATGATGTAATATTGCTACGTGAGGAAATTTTGTGCCAAGCCTTGTAATTTCTGTCAACAGCCCTGATGACATATACAGCACAGAGTCAACTGAGCATAATTACTTGGTTTGATGGTCTTCTTGAAAAACAGCAAGATCTAAAATGAGAGATCAAAAGATGAGGGAAGAATGCAAGAGAAAAAGATGAAGAAATTCTTACTCTTGTTAACACATCTCCATCACCAAGTTGGATGGCCACATCCAACAATGCCAGCTTCTCTTCTAATGATCTATGAATCTCCAAAGCACATGGCTACAGAAATATGAAAAGGATAGAAATCTCTTCCAAAGCAAAAATAGAAAGACATGAGACACAACCTCGTTCATCATCAACTTCTTGACAGTTTCTTCTGGTAATGGAGATTTTCTATTAAGTTTACGAAGACTCTGAAATTATATGGAAAAATTTAACTGGTTTGAAATTTGAAGGGAGCAACACTTGTAAGGCAATGCTCATGAACAAGATTTTGAATGATAAAATCTTTGTCATTGTTGATCATTCAGGTTAGTATAGTCCTAAGGACTGTTGGTGTTGAATGACATTTCAACATCCTTAGCAGTAGTCACCTTCAGAGTGAACACAGTCTTTTCTCTTGAATTTGAAGATGACTAACACTAAGGATGTTGAAACTTCAGTGGTCACTCATCAACGGCCTTTTCAAGACTGCATTAACCTCATCAACATTTCCAAACTTGTAACATCAAACTGTTTTCTTTAATTTGAATAATGTTCAACATTAACACATACCTGAACAGTTTTTTGTAGTTCCCTTTTCTCCATTTCTAATCTGTTTATTTTTTCTTCCGCCATCTCTGAATTTCCTTTTTCTATGACTGCGAGAGAAACAAATGAGCATCGTAATCATTTCCCTGAACGATGCAGTCAGACATGAAAAAATTTACAACATGAAACCAAATCTCACCACTTTCAATGGATGTTGTATTCTCATTAGATAATTTGTGAGTCTGGTTGCGAAACTGCTCAACTGTACTGTATGTTGTAGTTTTACTGAAATGTGTTGCTTTGGAGTATTGAGCATGACTTTGTAGGTTATCACTTACAAAAGAAGGGCTGAACGTATCTGATTGATCTGAAATATGCAAACGCTGCTAGCAAATGCATTTACTTCTGAGGATTTTTCAATGAACAACAATATACTTTTATGCTGTGCAAATGTTGAGTTTGCCTTCACATTGCTGGATGATAGTATGGTTGTAGTAGCTGGAGCATTAACCTTCTCTAAATAAAAGAATAAATGATACAGCATTAAAAACAAAACAATAACCATGTCAACGTCAATAAATGATAAACCTTTGACAAGACTATACTCCTTCCCACCCCAAGGTTCTCCAAGTTCTTCCTTTTCATCTTCATATTCCTCTTCATCTGGTTCGCTAACCCTCATTTTAATGAAATCCTCATCATTATCAAACTTTTCAAAATCCTCTTCCTCTTCATCATCAAAGAAATTTTTTTTTACCCTGGTCATAATATACAAGTCTTAAATTCACGATGTTCAAAAGATTACTGTTATTAATCTGTATACAACTATTCATACAGGAAGCCTTAATCAGTGAATACACACCATTATGAACTACGTTGCTTCTACAATAATTAAAAAATATACTACCTATAAAGGAATAAAACATACGAAAGAAAACAAATATAAGCTATTGAAATTCATATAAGTATCTAAGAAGTTCTGTAGGATTCTAAAGATGGAAAAAAGCAACGCATAAATACCTTGGTTTTTCTTTGGTGAAGTGAACGGAGTCGGAGCTCTACATAACACGAAATTTCTACTCAAATTTAGAATGTTTGCAGCTTAAAAACGATCACAGTTCTTACCATTCCATTCAAAGCCATAGTATTTTTCCGTCATCAGAATTATCGACCGCACATGTAGTTAACGAACCAAGTTGGACCAAGTGTCAACTAGTCGTGTCAACAAACACCCTTCGATTATCACTGAGATTGTCATCTTGAGAGATAGCATCCAGTAGAATTATAAAATATTTCATTCTTTGTTGTCAGTTATCACGTGAGATGTAACACACAAAAATAACCTTTAATAAATAGTTGATGACTTCGTTGAAGTTAAAATGCGTTCTAATATTATATTACACATGTTTCACTTTATATACATAAATTTTGGGTTTATTTGAGAACATTTTCATTATTTGGGCTTGCTTTCATTTGATATTCTTCATGATGCACAAAATGAAATTTAAAAATGATTTGCTGATCGACTTGCTACTGCTCGCATGTTACCATAAACTTTAGATGGTGGGCTACCTGCAATAAGAGAAAAAATTTCATTTATAAAGACATGTCTCACACCACAAACAGGAATACCCCGATAAAGTTATTCCTTGGACATACCTAGTATTAAATTACATAATGCAGTCCTTGCAATCTTCATGTTTTGAAAAGAACCCAGTATATGTATCTTTCTAAACGTATGTAAACAAAGATTGCTACTAATGAATATGAAAAAAAATATCAACATCCATTTATGATGAAACTATCAAACTTGAATACTAATTTTTTTACATACGAGTCAGCAACGACAATCCTAGTCTTGGTGACATTTTCTATTGTGAATTTTGTCTTTCCACCTTTTCCAGCAACACGTCCAATTGCACGAGAAAGATGCTCCCCCTTCAAAGGCTTCACTGCAATTTAAATGAATAAATGTTGTGAAAAAATTAGATTATAGCCTAACTTGAAAAAAAATATTGTTGCAACACACATCAATATGTCTATGTTCATCAATTTACCCCATACAACACCATAATACTAAAAAGAAGAGACTAAACTAATGTCTAAGGAAATGGAAAAGATGACTCATCATTTCTAAATGACAATCATACAATATAACAATGTGGCCTGGATGCTGGACAAGTCAATGCAGCAGACAGCCGGTCCCAAGCCCGGATAAACACAGAGGGTGGATGTCAGGAAGAGCATCCGGTCCTTAAAAGAATATGCCACATGATAATATGCCGGAGACAATCAGAAGAGAAGACAATGCTAGGGCATACCCCGTAAGCAATGCGCAGCGGCACTACTGTCTTGACGGTGTGAAAAGAATGCAAGCGAGACAGAACAGACAGAAGAACTTGAGAGTTGCGACCCTAAACATCGGGACGCTGACTGGAAAGAGCAGAGAAATAGCAGACATGATGAAGAGGAGGAGGATCGACATTCTATGCTTACAAGAGACAAGATGGACTGGTGGGAAATCAGGAGGGAAGGCAAGAAACATCGGAGAGAGCTACAAGCTGTACTACAGCGGAGGGAGAAAGCCAAAGAATGGAGTGGCTATATGCCTGAGTGAGGAATGGCAAGATAAAGTGATAGAGACCCAAAGAAAGTCCGATAGAATCATAACTATGAAACTGGTAACACCTGACAAGATGTTCAACATCGTGACTGCCTATGCACCTCAGCAAGGTTGTGAAGAAGACGAGAAGCAGAGATTTTGGAACCAACTTGAAGAAGTGACCACCAATGTGAAGGAAACAGAACAGCTGATCGTGGCAGGAGATCTCAATGGGCACATCGGAAGAGAGAGAGTAGAGGGATTTGAGAGAGTAGAGGGATTTGAGAGATGGCATGGAGGAAAGTCAATCGGAAGAAGAAATGAAGAAGGAGATAAGATCTTAGACTATGCAAGGAGCAAGGACCTCGCAGTGGTAAACACATTCTTCACACAGAGGGATGGAAACACCTACACGTACAAAAGTGGCCTTAGCCAGACCGTGATAGATTTCATCATGATAAGGAGAGATGACCTAGGCGATGTTAAAAATTGTAAGGTTATCCCTGGTGAGGAAATTGCACTGCAGCATAGACTCGTTGTGATGGATTATAAGATCAAGAAGAGGAGAAGAATAAGAAGAGAGAGACTGAAGAAGATCAACTGGTGGAAACTACATAATGAGGAAGGAGATGAGCTGGAAAGTAAGATCACAGAAATGCTAATGGAACAAAGCATGGTGGGAGAGTGGAAATGGAATGAAACATACCCCAATATACTAGAAGCAGCAAAGGAGACACTGGGAGTTAGTAGAGGTGGGAAATACATAGAAAAAGAATCCAGGTGGTGGAATGAAGAAGTACAAGAGGCTGTGAAGAACAAGAAAGAAGCTTTTAAGAGGTGGAAGAGATCTGGTTTGGAGAAAGACAGGGAGACTCTGAGAGAAATGAACAAGATCAGTAAAGAAAAGTGTGCGATTGTTAGAGAGAAAGGTCAGGAACAACTATACAAAGATCTGGAGCAAAACAGACCGAAAAGAATCTACAAGTTAGCAAAAACTAGACAGAGAAGAGCAAAGGACATTGACAAGATCACTTTTGTCAAGGATGAGCAGGGAAAGATCGTGAGCAAAGATGAGAAAATCAAAGAGCGATGGAGGGAATATTTTGATAGACTTTTGAACACGAAGAACAACAGGAAAGAACTGGACCATCTTGAACCAGTCCATGGGCCAGTACCAGAGATTACGGAAGATGAAGTGAGAAGACAACTCAAGAAGATGAAGAACAATAAAGCAAGAGGACCGGATGAGCTCCCCATCGAACTAGTGAAGAAATTGGGAAACACAGGAACAGAGTGGATGACATCATGCTGCAGAGAAATAATGAAGACAGGAATACCAGAAGAATGGAGAACAAGCAGAATAGTGCCCCTTTACAAACAGAAAGGTGATCCCCTAAGCTGTGGAAACTATCGAGGCATTAAACTCCTCTGCCACTCACTGAAATTATTTGAGAGAATGATAGAGGCGAGACTGAGAGAAATAGTGAAGATAAAGGACAACCAATATGGATTCCAACGCGGAAAATCAACCACTGAGCCGATGTTCTGTCTGCAGATGCTGCAAGAGAAGTATAGAGAATTCAACAAAGAGCTACATATGGTTTTCGTGGACCTTGAAAAGGCATATGATACAATCCCGAGGGAGCTACTATGGTACTGTCTAAGGAAGCGTCAAGTCCCGGAGGCCTATATTGAAACCATCAAAGATATGTATAAGCGCTCTACCACTAGTGTCGCAACGAACGTTGGTGAGACTGAGAAAATTCAAGTAGAGGTCGGGTTACATCAAGGCTCGGCACTAAGCCCCCTACTCTTTATTATCATTATGGATGTAATCTCGGATGACACGACAGAGGACACACCTTGGAGTATGATGTTTGCAGATGATTTGGTCTTGTGTGATGAGAAGAGAGAACATCTGGAAGGAAGACTAGAAGATTGGAGAAGAATATTAGAAGATGTTGGCTTGAAAGTTAGTAGAGCCAAGACGGAGTACCTCCCACCGAGTGGCTGCATAGGAAACATCAAGCTAAGAGAATATGCTGGACCCGGAAATACAGATCTACCAAAGTGTGAGACATTTAAGTACCTCGGGACCACCATCCATCAGGATGGCGGTTGCAAGACCGAGGTTGAACTACGGATTAGCCGGGCATGGAATAAATGGAGAGAGTTAACGGGAGTGCTCTGTGATAGGAAGATGCCGAAGAAACTGAAGATCCTCATCTACAAAACGGTGATACGCCCAGTGCTTCTGTATGGGAATGAAACTTGGCCTGTTACAGACTACCTAGCAGAGAAGATCAGTGTATGTGAGATGAGAATGATACGCTATTGTCTTGGAGTCAGCCTGGAGGAGCGCAGAACAAATGAAAGCATAAGAGAAGAAGCGAATGTCATGAGTATACTGAAATTGATGAGAAGAAAAAGACTGCAGTGGTTCGGACATGTGTGCAGGCGTGAAGAAGATGTAGACATTCGGAGAGTTTATGAGATGCAAATGGAGGGGAGACGGAAACGAGGACGCCCAAAGCATCGGTGGAAGGATACCATCAGGAGAGATATGCAGCTATGTGGTGTCAAAGAAGAGGATACCCAGGACAGAGCAGCCTGGAGAAGTCTCATAGAACTGGGTCTCTGGCAAAGACCCGCTACCCGAGCAGGACAAAGCGGAGAAAGGTGACCAAAGGTGACCAATCATACAATATAAACAATATAACCATACCATCAGTGACATCAAATGATTCCAAAAACAAGTCATCCAATCTGATCAAAGCTAGGGCATCCTAAAGATAAGGTAAGCCAAAACTGAATTTCAAATTCCAGTTTTCATAAATTTCACTTACAACATCATCCAGTTTTCAGAAGATATGAGATTGAGCTGATGTCATAGAGACGTTGTACACTAACTTTGTACAAACATCTCTCACAATTAGCATGGCAGAACTCATCATAAAACTGGAAAACCCCTTGAATAATTCTGAAAGACATGCGTTTATATAAGACAGGACATTAATGCTGATGTTTTGAATACAAAATGCTCACCTCAACTTCAAAACCCAAGATGAATGCACGGACAAAGTCTTCAGCCTTTTGTATTGCACCAAAATCTTTTGTTTCTTTACATGTCTAAATGAAATTAAAAAACATCCCAATGACTAAAAGTCTTTAATTCCCATTGTTCAAAATTAGGATGGCTGGTGGAAATTGGCACAGTTTGAAAATCTTGAAATGTGTGCTATTTTATATCAGTGACACGAACTACCCCTTTTGGCAATACTGCTACTATGAAGAAATATACTACTAAAATTTTATCAATAAGGGCTCTCTCATATATATCACAACTACTCAGGGCTCCTTTATCTATACAATTGCTTCCAAAACATTACATACTATGATTACTATCGGCAATGGTTCATTTCTAGTCAACAAAAATGAAAAGACTACCTTTATTTCAACAGCTCTTGAGCGAAGATTGAATCGTATTTGTAAATGCAAGTGTTCAACGACTGGTTGGAATATTTTCAACCAGTTTTCTTTTAACGGCGTGTATCTGTTTGGCGGGACAGGAATCGTTCGTCTTTCAACCTGACCGTTCTAAACGATAAAACAGGAAAATCAACTTGCGAATCGCGCACGTGGTTACTGATTGCATAGAGTTTGATTAATAACACAAACCGATAAGCTCTCGCCTGACAAAGCAGGAAAATTTGGTTTTTTAGCCGTAAATGTTGTATCCATGTCTTCAACTAAATCTTTTTTACGTTTTCTTCGTGAAACCGGTTGAAAATCTTCTTTATTTTCATCCATTTGCAAAGACTTCTTCTCTGCCGTGGCATGACCATCTTCCGCCATGTTAAAAAAGACCGCTTGTCAGAATGTCAGCTGTGAACTGTCTGTGAAGTGTGAACTGCGTTAGCTGTGGGTTTGCGTTTATTCAATTCAAAATCTCCTACCGAAACGTTAACATGCGGCGTTATAGTGTCTTACATATCAGAAGGTATTGGGAAGCATGGCCCGAAAACGGTTTTTTTTGCTTTAGAAATTTTATCTTTTTGTTTATTTTTCTCATAAAATAAACCCAGCAATGTTTTAATTAACTTCTTATGACACTGTGCCTTTTTCTAACACTTACAAATTTAAAACAACCTTAAACATGTTTTATACAATTTTCATTGGTTTATATCTTTCTGGTTTGACTCTCTCATTTGCTGTTTCTCATGTATCCCGAGCAAACCATCCAAAGGCTTCATGGCCTTAATTAACGACGCTCGAGTGCTCACTTATCTTGGGGGTATCGGAGCCATGGACCGAAAACTGGATTTTTTGTTTTTAAAATTTGTCATTTTTCTTTACAAGAATTCTTCTCAAAAAAATGGCTGCATTACAAGTAGATAATTATGTTGTTAATAGGCAATTGCTAAAGAAAAAAAGCAGTTTATTACAATTAGCCAAAAAATGACTTATCGTTAAAGTATAGTTTGGAAATTGGAATGTTATTTATTGGTAACGTTATTCCTTGCTAAAACTTGTTTACACAGAATTGTGTGAAATGGCACAGAATTTATAGGTTTTCATAACAAAATCAATGATATTATTGGAGTTTGATTACAAGCTCTCAATCTATTATTTATAATGGCTTCATGCCACGTTCTTGTTAATAACTTTTCTTAAATTTTGAAAAATTTCGTGCTATCGTGAACCCTTTATTTGTTTTTTAGTGAAGAAGGAATACAATGATGGCGTCATGGCGCATTATGATTCTTTGTCGTTTATCACAATCATAGTCGAGGTCAACGTATATTATAACTCAAGACTGTGGTGCAAGAATTGCATTATGGTTGTTTTAAAATTACATTTATCGTCATGGATTTGGATACTAACGGGTACTAACGTTGCTTAGGAAGTGTCTCATCTTTCACAGGTTCGTTTTAATCAGTTTCTTGCAGCATTGTTTCTTGTAGCAGTTCGTAGGTAATTGACAAATCGGTTATTTCATGCCACTGATCGACAGGGTGCGGATGTACATTAAAAAAATAAATAGCGCAGCTGAAAGCGGCGAAAAATGGCGTACATGGATGTTTCAATTTTTTCACAATGATGCATATTGCCTAAGTATGTAAGTCACCTCTTTTAACAACCTTGTAAAGTTAACGGGAGGTCTGGTAAATTTTGTAAACATAATTAAGGCCTTAAAAATAAGCATCCTTTTTGTAACGATAAGTCGTAAAAAAAGATTATGTGATTCCAGATAATGTGCATCCACAGACTGGTTTCCGTAGCTTGTTTGATTTATGAGGGTTTTCCTGCAAAATTCTCTATTTGATTAGCATTTTTGATTAAATACCTGTCTTGTTATCTATATATGTTCAAATAAAATTAAATAATGGTAGTGGAATAATTACTTTCATTTAAATGTCATTTTCTTATACAACCAAACTTCGTCAACGACTTTATTTTCGCTATTCACAAAGTATTCAAAATGTAGAGCGGAACGATTCGCGAGCGTAACACGCCCGTAACCATACGGGTCGAAAAATCGATAGTACTCAAGCCAAGGGAATGGAAGATATGGCAGAAGGTCAGCTTCTTTTCCTGCAGTACCAATCACAATATGTACTGTGCCGTCATCTCTGCATTCCTTACGATAGACAGCGCATGTCCGTTCGTAGCTATGATAATGTGCCCAGAATGCTACATCTACATTATATTTATGAAGGAGATTTTCAAACAAACATTGAAATGCCAAAGTCACGATGAAGTTGCCTAAAATCAAACGAATGACATGTATTAGTATATCATACACTATTCGTAAAAGAGAACAATTCATCAAAAGTCCTTAAACCTGGATTTATCTCGCTCGAGTACATGGGTCGATGTCCTCCAAGGATGACCCAAGGGGTCTTTAAACGATTCACTTTTTTTAAATCTTTCTCCAACCACTTATATTGTCTTGATTCAGGACTCAAATCATGCTCTGTACTTATCATAATGAAATGCACCATGCCATAATCAAAACTATACCTGAAAAGCATATTAAAAAAAGATTATTCTAATGTTAATGTTCACCAGGAATCCAAGGATAGAGCAAAATTTTGAAAAAAATATTCCCTTTTGATTCGTAATTCAAATCATCTACAAAATGCTTCATGCATTGGCATTCATTGCATTCCTCCAAATTGAACAGACTTCAGTTAAATGTAATCTATTTGCCGAATATCATAATTAGTGCACATCTTTCGCAGTTGAACTCATAATTTACTTTTTGACCTATGTATTTTGAATATTACTGACGATGAATTATACATGAGTATATTTCAATGGAAGCTTTTCACTAAAAACAATCATGCACCACATAACTGGAACAAAAACTTACCACCAGACAAAGTTCCCATTATCAGGCATGTGAAAACGATGAAACATAGGTACGCCACATTCTCCGTTTGAATCATCACCAAAATTACCCCACCTAGGATGCCAACCATCTCCTGTTACCCCACTAGGATCCTTGCTAGAATTATCCAAATGGTCCTGTTCATGGTTACCAATACCAACCATGTATGGTACTATACTGGAGTATGGTTCAATCAATGCATGCCATTGTTCCCAGATGTACGCCTAAGTACCAACAAAGAGATTTTATGTATTCCTTTTAAGTAATAGCCGTATTCACAAATTCCTTACCATTCCCCTTGCATAGGAAATGTCACCGTTATGAAATATAAATTCGTAACCATTTTTAACTTCTCTGAGCAAATGTTTCGCTGTACTGTGAGCTGCTGGTAGTATCCCATGATCACCAAAAACAATAAACTTAAAGCCAACATCAGGGCCTGTAACGGGTGCTGTTTTGAATGTACGCACTTTGCTCATGTGCTAAATCATGGAAAGAAAATTAATTGACAAATTTACTGAGTTGTAAAATATAGAAATAAAAAATATGCTAACCCCCAAAACACCACAAGAATAATAATACAACGTCGATGGTTGTAGATCTTTAAGAAGTACATCGTGGATAAAACCTGGATGAATGAACTTTCCTTTTATAGAACAAAACTCTTTAATGGTGTACGTCTTTGATTTTCCTTTCGCAGACAAATGAAGCACAGTTTCATTTCTACCAAACTTCACTATAGGGGTCTCATCTAGTGCAAAATGAAAATATTGCATGTTTAAATATTGCATAACTTTCGCAGATAATATTGACCTCGGTCTGAATAATTCTTGATATCATTCTTAACCTCATTCAATAATTGTTTATGATTCAGCATACAAAGATAAGTTTAAAAGAAAGAGAACTATTAAGTGACGTATAAGAAAGAACAATGGAATTGTGGATAATGAAGCAGCAAGCTCATTCGTCTTATGATGATCAAGTGCAAGTCATGTGACAAGGTTAACTAAGGTGTACATTCCACGGTCAATGGTCAATTCTCACTTACCAGTCCCCGAGACCCACATCACCCTCATTTCTGTAGGATCACCAGTCAAAGCAAGGTGAATCTGTAATGGCATCTCTGGTCCACCTTCAAAAATTATTATGTTACTTTTTGCCACCAGTTCCTGTCGTTTTTCCAAAATATGATTTCGAAAGTATCTCATTTCACAATTTGTACGAACGTTGTACAACTGAACAGATCGATTTCCAAAACCTTCACGATATGTTGGCGATTCCCCGACTTCGAAATAATCATAATAATCATTATTTGCCGATGTTTCTGGACAATATAGAGCAACAAAGTCGATTGCTTGCGCGTTGACGACTCCTTCCCATGAAACAACAGCATATTGAGCATTTTTAACCAAAGACGGTTCGACCTTTAACTTGGCGACTGAACTGCGTTCAATTGACATGGAATGAAGTGAAATTTCTAGCCGATTAGATTGCATAGTGGCGTCGACATAGCTCCCATTTTTGTATTTTCTTGCAAAATACGTTGGCACAAGCTCGCTGTCGACTTTCGCCAGAATCAAAGAAAGTACGAGTTGTAATGTAAAGAACAAAGCCATGACTTGCAATCACTGCGATGACAAACAAACTGCTTCTTCCATGGGAACAATGTTATTTTAAGTTAGATCATTTGCGTACTTGCAGCAACATATGCGCTTCTTTCATGGAATCTTCACGTGAAATATTATCAAGTTGCACGTTTTGGTTAGCATTTTACACGTGAAAATGAACCAACTGTACGTGTAAACAATTTTTTTTCTGCAAGTTTCGTCGTGTTTCTCAAGGTGAGCAATGATAAAATGAACTGTGGCCCATCATGAAAAAATTCCGATGGACTGCGCACGTGCGTTCTTAGCTGTGAGAATGCACCCATAATGCGACGTCGACTTTGTATCGATGTAATATAGCTTCGAGTAAATACCGAAATCCCAGAGAGACGACGAAGTTGGCTAAAATAAGACAAACAAAATTTTACACTCTATTCGTTAAAAAAACTTCATCTTTTAATCTCTTAAACTTGGATTCATTTCACTTGTGCACATGGGTTCATGCCATCCAAGGACAACCCAAGAGGTCTTTGAACGGACTAATTTTTGGAAATCTTCCTCCAAGCACTCAAATAATCCTCCATACTGATCATAATATACCACAGCATAATCGTAAATGCATCTGAAAAAAGATCAAAGAAAAAGTTTTATACCACCGATAACATGAAAAAACATCATAAACCAACTGGAATTTATCAACAGACAAGTTGTCCTCATCAGACATGTGAAAATGATAACACATAGGCACGCATCCGTGTGTTCACCAAAATTCTCCCATCAAGGATGCCAAACATGCCCTGTTATCCCACTGAGGTCTTTATTAGAAACATCAAATCCTGTTCATAGATATCAATTCCAGTCATGTATGGTACTATACTGGAGTATCAATGCATGCTAGAGTCCATTATTTTTCTCGTTTAACATTAACGTGTAGTGCATTTCTAACCAAAGTTGGTTCAAATATTTACACAACGTCAGAAGTGCCCCAGACACACAGCAGCGAGATGTTTGTCCAAGACGTTGTTGTGTTTCCTTGCAAAACATGTCAGAACGACATCATGTGAAGTACATGTACAATACACAGTAATACCATATATAATACCTATGAAATATTAACCATCATTAGTTACAATTACATTAATTAAAGTGATAAAACTTTCAATTATATTTTATATATCAGGAGGAAGTTCGCAGTTAAAGAGGACCATTAAATTTATTAATCAAATTCCGATGTCAAGTCATTACAAAAGTATGAAAATGTTATGTTTAAACAAGATCAATAAAAGACGCTCTTCTTCTCTGATTTTTTCAACCAAACATCATCCACAACCCTTTCTTCACTATTCACAAAGTACTTCCAATGCATTGCCGATCGGTTGGCGACTGTCATCTGACCGTAGCCGTACGGATTATCTTTTCGTTGAAACAAAGACCATTCCTCCCTCTCATAGGGTTCTGTATCCCTTTCTTTCCCCGCTGTTCCTATGGTGATATGTATCACTCCGTCTTTGATACATTTTTTTTTGTAGACGGCACATGTTCGTTCGTAGCTATGATAATGTGCCCACAGTGCTAAGTCAACGCGGTATTTGTACAAGAGATCTTCAAACAAAAGTTGCATGCCCAGTGATACAAAAATGTCATCTAAACAAAGAAAAAAATGATATCAATTACGCTCCTTTAAAACATCGTGCTAGATAAGTATCAAGGTAGTCATGGCATTCAGTGCACACGTGGTCTAAATGTTCTTACATGTTTGATGCTCGCATGTGTTGCTCACGTGGCGTGCTCACGTGTTTTGCATGCAATGTGGATGAAACTGCTGTTAATACTGGAGTGACCTCATAAGGTGTCGTTAACTTCACACATGGATAATGGTAAGCACGTGAAAATTCCAAGAAGAATTGTTAGAAGGTCAGTATTATAATAACACCATACATATCACTAGTTCCTTTGATGCGGTAGTTCATCAGTATAATTACCCTATGACTAAATGAGTGGTATAGAAGTACACCAAAAACACTATAACTAGGACTAAATCACTGGTATATTAGTACATTGATAACACTCACTATACCTAGGACTAAATTACTTTCTTTGTAATAAACCAATAACATCATACCTAGAATCAGCTCACTAGTGTACATAGGTCGATGCCCTCCAAGTATGACCCAAGGGGTCTTTGAACGATTCACTTTTTTTAAATCTTTCTCCAACCACTTATATTGTCTTGATTCAGGACTCATATCATGCTCTGTGCTCATCATAATGAAATGCACCAGACCATAATCATAACTATACCTGTAAGGAAATAGTAAAGCAATTCAGCAAACACGACATGCTATTAATGTGGTGAAAATAACGTATGACAGCAACCATGATCAATGGGTAATAATATTATGTTCTACAATACGTAAAAATGATTTCTAATCCCAGTTTGAAATCCATTTCGCATATTTGAAAACAAGGAATTACTATCAAATTATGGACATTTAATTACTATCTGATATGATATGATTATATTATCAATACACGTATTTCATGATGATTTCTTACCACCAAAGATAGTTTCCGGTCTCAGGCATGTGAAAACGATGAAACATAGGTACGCCACATTCTCCGTTTGAATCATCACCGTAGTTCCCCCACCAAGGATGCCAACCACTGCCTGTTACCCCACTAGGATCCTTGCTAGAATTATCCAAATGGTCCTGTTCATGGTTACCAATACCAACCATGTATGGTACTATACTGGAGTATGGTTCAATCAATGCATGCCATTGTTCCCAGATGTACGCCTAAATCCACGAGAAACATACGAATGAAATCAGGACTTTGAGAAAACCAATGGAGAAGGTGAGCAAAATAAGATCCGTAACAAATAGTGGGGGCATCAACATAGAGTAAAACATATTACGATAATCCATCGATTGGTACGATTTTATTATCAAAAAGATCTAAGTTAACCAATAGACGTAAGCGTTGAACTTCCACTGTATATACTCACATATCCACGGGCGTAAGAAATGTCACCATTATGAAATATAAATTCATATCCATTTAGCACATCGTTTAGAACATATTTCGCCGTATCATGAGCAGGAGGCCGTAAACCCATATCACCATAGACTATAAACTTGTACGGTATGTTTGAACCGACAGGTGGAGCTGTTTTAAATGTTCGCACTTTGCTCATATGCTAAATAACAAAGCAAAGAATTGAAATGCTTCATCAGGACCGAGCTTAAAATTCTAGGATTTGAACATTACATCCAGAGTCGTGAAGAGAGAAAATGTAGCGCCAAAATTTTTTCACGGCGCTCTGCGATGTCATTATAATGTTTTACATGGCATGGAATATGTGCAGTGTGTTTTCTAAGTCAAAATAACCATGATTGTCTTAATTTTTGATCATTACTAAAACCAGGGTCCACCCTGTATGCCCAACATGCGCCCTCCCTGTATCAGCGAGCTTGATTACATTACAAGAAAGCTTACTTGATCTACACCACAAGAATAATAATATGTCGTCGAAGGATCCAACCCAGTTAAAATAACATCATGAATGAAACCAGGATCGATAAAAACTCCATTTAAGAAGCAAAGATCGGACGACCTGTACGTTTCAGTTGTTCCTTCGACAATAGTACCAAGATGTTCATCCTTGCCGAACTTAACTAATGGAGTTTCATCTACAACAGAAAAAAGAGCGCGTGTCTTAAAAGAAAGCTAGACATAGAGAAAGAAAATGACTAAGATATACTTACCAGTCCCCGAGACCCACATCACCCTCATTTCTGTAGGATCACCAGTCAAAGCAAGGTGAATCTGTAATGGCATCTCTGGTCCACCTTCAAACATTATTACGTTACTTTTTGCTACCAACCGCTGTTGTTTCTGGGTGATATTCCGAAAATATCTCATCTCACAGTTTGTACGAACGTTGTACAATTGAACCGAATGCTTCCCATAGCCATGTTTAGAAGTAGGTGATACATCAACAGCGAAAAAGTCGATATAATCACTGTCCTTCGATGTTTGAGGACAATACAACGCAATGCTATCATTTGGGGAAGCATTCTCCACGCCATCCCATGTGATGGTTACGAACTGACCATTTTTAACTAAAGACGGCGAAACCTGCAATAGCACATTATCTGAAAGAAGCGCATCTACAATAAAAAATAAATTCGTGCTTCAGCATCGGATAAAGTTACATCTCAATACCTGTCTTCATAAACATCACGTCATAAATAAGAAACGAAATACAGGAGCAAAAATACCTGACTGCCTTGTTTTGATCTCTTTCCACCAATTCAATGAGTTTATAAAATTTCCGCTCTTGTCTTTCCTTTGAAAATAAGTGAGAACTTTGCCGACATCTTTTATGTTGCTTTGCATTCGTTCGTTCTTACGCCATATTGGCGCAGGATGTAACGACGACTTGTTGAAAATATTTTTAGTAGGATGCGACAAGACATTGCAGTTTGTCATGAATAATACCAATGCAAGCGGAGCGCACGCAAACATCGTCCCGGCATTAGACGACGAAGCCATTGTTCGGTATGACGACTTCGTTCACAAAACAAAAATTAGCATAACGCATCTTATGAAGATGATTACGCAATATGTTTGTATATAAGACAACACTTCGATCTAAAAAATCTTTAATTCTTATAATATGCTTTATGGTTTTATAAATCAACTTAACATTTTCCATGCAATATATTTAAAAGAATTATGTACATTGTAGATATTTATGGCAAGAAAGTGACTGGGTGGACATTGTTGGAGCAGACCAGCTACTCCACAGGTAAAAAGGATTTATTTTCATAATTAGCAAGATTAATGTCCAATGAGTGCATAATAAAGCAGCCAAAACATCTTGTCTTCAATGAAAAATCCCTATCTTTACAATATGTAGCACAAAGTTCAGCCAAGTGACACGTGCTGTCCATGATCAACCTTGACCGACCTGGGTCAGCATTAGATTACACATTACTTCGGTGTAAGAAATCTAACTGAACAAATATAATTTCGGTTGAGATCATTACAAATGTAATCTACTTCAATGAAACCTCAATATATTTTTCATCGTCCTCTCCAACATTCAAACTGTGAAAGGTTTCCTCGTTCATTTCTTTAGTTGTGATTTTTGGAATCACTTGCCTTGGAAATATGACAAGAGTTGGATTGACTGAATGGTTCTTCGAAACAACAATATCAACATTATGACCATGTTTCATTATGTAATCTGTAATCATCGAGCCGTACGACTTTAATTTCATCACAGCATCTCTGACAATTGTCATAGCTTGTCTAACCTATTCAAGATCAATAACAAACACTTATTTACGCATAACAGAAAGTGTAATAAACATATTCAATCCCAAGTATATAGCATATGGCTTGTGCCTTTACTTGAGCCTGTAATGTTCCGATATTTAAACAAGAGTAGTACTTTATATTATCTGGATATTGTTCATAACCTGAGCAGGATCATCTAGTTTATGTAACTCTTGGTTATATGAGGATACACCATCCAATCTTTTAAAATATTCCAAAATCTTCAACAAATCTTGACATATTTCTTCTCCAACATCAATCAAAGTTTTCATGTCTTTGGTCAAAATGTGAAACATGTTTATGGCCTTTTCAAAAGTTGAATGAACATTGCCACTCAGTTTATCGACTTGTATAATAGGATCAATATCTAGACAAAAATCATAGCCTTCTCGTACACCATCACATCCAAGGCCAATCCTCATCCCTACAAAAAAGAAAATCATTATTTCTTGTGGCAAGTCATTATTCCTTATGACAAATGGCAGTAATAATTATTTTGCTTACCTGTCGGTGTAAAACAAAGTGATTCCACAAGTTTCATTTCAAGATCCAATCCCAAGACCTCTTTACATTGCCTTTCTTTAAGCTGCCAATGTTTCCAATTTTCAAGAAAGTTATTGAACCTTGGAAAAATGTCTATTGCACCAAGTTTATTGAACAAAGTTCTGCTATCTGACGAAAAGATTACAATAAAGATAAGGCAATACGATATACAAACACCTGTCCCAATGAATCTATCAAAACAAAGAACTTTTATTGCAATAGGTACCTCTACTATTGGCCCACACAAGCTTTATATCATCACCAGATATCGTTGATGCAGTACTGCAAAGACGTCGATGGCCAAATCGCGTATGACCATCCCTAACTTTGTGCTCCACTTTGTTAGACTAAATAACAACAACGTATAAATCTGCTTTAATTTCTAACCAACGTTCACACTGAGTATTCATTCTTTTCTAGTAGAAAAAAATATCTAAATTTCAAAACGGATTTAGTCGATAAATCGCTAAAAAGGCACGAAATAATAGAGGATTATTTGTTTTCCATACAAGACAATGCACACTTTGTTGAATTGTGTTTCAATTGTAAAGAATTTTCAGGATTTTAGCATGGTGCTTAAGTATAACTCTACTATGAAAAAGAAAAACTCTATTTTACGAAAAACACTTCGAAATGAATGAACTTACAATATGTCAATATGGCATAAGAGTGAAGATAAACAAGAGAAATAATTCAAATGACAACCATGTGACACACATACATTCAAAGTTACTGCGATCGGTGAAATAGAGAGATCCGCATTTTTCTTCACACAACGATTTCCCATTCTCTCCGAACGTTGCAAAATCTTCATGGCTATCAGCTACTTCTGGAATTTGCGTTTTGTTTTCATAATAACACGAAGCCACAGCCTTCGGGAAACCAAATGCCGGCGTGAATTATCTCTGCGTGTTTTTCTGACCATAAAAGACAAGGTGTTAATAACAATGAGTTTGATGACATTTGAGATACGGAAATGTCACTTGACACTTGACTAGACCAGCCAGGAGGGGAAACTTACAGAAAAAATATTGTTCATTAGTAAAGCAACATTTGACAGAAACCGACCATTGTATTGCGTAGTTTGGATATTACGGCAGTTGCCAAACATGCGCAATGACAGGAAAAAAACGTTAGTACACGTTTTCCTTTTCAACTTTCGACGAAAGCTTTATTTTAATACAAACATTAGAACTCTCGTCCTCTATCTACGATTTCGTCTTTTATTGTTTTAGCCATAGTCGATGTGATTATCGTGGGCGGAGGAATGGCTGGTCTGTCCGCCTGCGAAAGTCTTGTTAAGTCTGACTACAATGTAGTTCTTGTTGAAGCTAATAATTACTTAGGTAAGAAACCATTTTAGCAGTTTCAAAAACACCTAGTATTAATGAATTCATTGAAATGAAATAGCCTGAAAGCAGTGGTGTACCCAGAAAAAGTTTGTAGGAGCATAAATGCTGAAGACATGTGCAACAAAAATATTGCGAAGCATCCCCACTTTAAAAAATTCATCTAGAGTCCTTCAATTATAATTTACCATGTTTTTTTTGTTGAGGTTCTAAATAATTTCGTAGTAATTCAGGTATTGAACCAGTTATCACCCCCCATCCAAATTCGGGAAGTGTGGTCAGGGACCAATACCCCCCCCCCAATACTTTTGCCTCTGTTTTGATTTTTTCTCTTGGATCCAAATCTTGGAATCAACTTTTGATGCTTAGCTGAAGCTCTACCAAACTAAAATATGCTCTGTGGTACATGTAATTTCTACCCAGATTTCATTTTTTGACATCCTTTATGTTATCAACTAGACATCATTTCTTTTCTTTTAACTTATTACCTTCAGGAGGTCGTGTGTATCAAGCTGAATATGATAGCTTACCTCCAATAGATATGGGTGGTGAAATTATACATGGATGTAATACAAGAGTACATAAAATGGCAGTTGAATTTAACTGGGACATTGAAATGGTAATTTGGTAGCAATTAAGTTAATCAAGCATTTTTTTTCATCAAGAAATTTCTGTATCATTTGGTGTAGCTATTTGATTATGTACCTGAACATGGATTGGAATGGATATTTATGGATGGTGAAATGTATCCTTACCATTCAACGCAAGAAGATATCATTTCTGCATACATGTTTTGGGGTGATTTTGTGTATACCAACAAACCAAGTGAAATTGCAAAAGAGGATACAACAGCTGCAGAATATTTCAAAAAGCATGCAAAAACCAAAGTGAAATCACAACATATATTTGATATGGTCTTCTGTCAAACTGAGGCTACAACATTGGATGCATTGGGGGGTCAGGAACATAGTGATTTTCAAAATGGTTGGGAGTGTGGGGAAGGAAATTTCAGGTGGGTTTTATATTGATGGTTGTTATATATGCATAACTTGTCCAGTCTCAAACTTGAATAATTTCAATTCCCTGTTGTCTTGCTAGCTAGAACAATAAACTAGTATACCAAAGCTGCATGTCCAAATCTTGTCTGAGCCACATGTTTTTCATGTGCATATAATTGTGTTAGAATCGAATTTCTAATTCTCTGTGTCATGGTGATTGCAGTGTAATATGTCAAAGACATGAACAAGTTATTGTATTTTAGGCTTAAGCATTCACATAGGCAAGTTGTGGATTTCTTTCGGAATGAGTGTAAAGGAGCTTCCATGAAATTGAAGTGGCCAGTAAAGGCAATTAATTATTCTACATCTATTATAACTGTAACTAACGATAATGGAGAAGATCTACTTGCACACACAGTCATTGTAACTGTTCCACTAACAGTTCTTAAAGATGAAGATATAGCTTTTGTTCCTCAATTACCTCAAGACAAGTTGTTAGCTATTTCCAAACTACAGATGTTTACTGGATTAAAGATAGTGTGTTTCTTTGATGAGAAATTCTGGGACAAAAGTATCCATTTAGTATTCAATTGTATGTCTGACATAAGTCAACTGTGGATGTATGAGGTCACTGAAAAGAAGACTGGGGAGAAGCGTTATGTAGTCACAGGATTTCAAACCGCTGAATATGCAAGACAGAAAGTTCACATGACAGGAGAGGAAGTAAAGGATATATTCCTTGACAATCTAAATGAAATGTTCGGGTGGGTGAAAAAATGTTGGATAATCTTATCCAATGAAAGACATTCTCATCAATTACAATCACAAAGCTTGGGTTTAACTTATTTTTTGATTTAGGACAAAAGAAAAACCTACTCCAGCTACCAATCATTATCTTTATTATGTTTATCATCACTGGTCCTCAAATCCTTTCATTCGTGGCGCATACAGTTCGCCATCGTTACACGCTCGTGGTCAACGTCAAATACTTGCGAAACCACTGCAAAATCGCATTTTTTTCGCAGGTGAAGCAACGCGGTCACGTGGGGATTGCGCAACCGTCAGTGGCGCAATGGAAAGTGGTATTGAGGCTGCTAATGACGTCAAAACCGCACTTTCGTTTCTGAAGCGTTGTAGCTAGCTATAAGTATCCCGCCCACATATTTATAGTCGTGCTATGTTTATTAGTCTGTGTTCACTTATTTTGAAAACAATGTAACTATAGTGATTACTAAAGAAATATTAGAAGAGAGTTAAATAGTCGGAAGAATTTACATAGCAAGACCAAAACTTGTGGGTTGGCTTGACCACTATGGCACTACCTATGTGTCGTCTAATTAAAAAACGTGTAAAAAAACTATGTTGAGATGTACTGATATGAGCAAAGGATAAGGCACTCATGACAACGATTTGACATGTCGTCTTCAACCAAGTCTGTTTAACTTTAGGACATTTAGGAGCGATTAAAATAACTCACTGTTCGCTGGCTAAGCATCCGCGTGCATCCTTCCTAATCATTAGGTGTATCCTACCTTACCAAAGAGTGGTCATTCATCAACATCCGGGCATCACCTATTCATGTTCCTTGTTGATTTTCACTTTCTTCTCGTGATTTTTTATGTTCGTTTTCTTCCGTTTGTGTGCCATCATCATCGCCTCTCTCGCGTTTCTGTGATTGCAGTTTAATTGTTTCCTGTTTTGACGTTAAAGTGTCATCACTTGTCGTTGGCAACACTTCAGTTTTAAGTTTTGCTTCGTTTGGTTCTTTCGACTCTTTCTCCGTCGTCGTTTCCTCTTGTTTCGCATCTTTTTCCAAGATTTGAATAAGGGAGCGCGGAATGAGTGCCCTCTGTAATTTTTTACATTAAAATAGAAATGTTTGTTCAGTGCTTCTAATTCACGACGGGGGGGAGAGAGCTGAGCTTACCTGATGAGGTGTAAATTGTTCCACGTGAGTCCGAAGAAGATCTTTTAATTCAGGACATAACTACAACATTAAAGATGTTGATAAAATATATAATTATGACAGTATAGACACCGTAGACAAAGCATTTCACACAAACAACATTATCTCTGATCTTATCGTTGGCTCGTTTCAGTTGTCATAATTTGTTCATGTTTGTATCTACGTATTATATGTACTATCATAGCATCATAATTTGTTCAGATTCCTCACCTCGAACACACTCTCAAGCTGTCTTGATGGTAATTGCAACAGTATAGGATACGACTGTGGTTTTGTCATCTGTCAGCAATGACGAAAGTACTGTTGCAAATATTTGTTAAAAGAATTTCCCTCTCTTTGATAGACAATGTTAGACGGCACATGGATAGTGGGGGACTTGGAAAGTCGATACGTCTGCCTTACTGCATGCAACAGGTACAGATGCAGGTACAAGGTTCAACTCATAATGTGGTAGAAAAAGCCATTGGTACCGTGATTATACTAGACCATGCATTGGGAGAGAGGGGAGATAAGGGACATGTCTTACCCAGTCTATATTCGAAAAGAGTCTACAGTGTGAGTGTTGGTGAACATATTTTGGGATATGGAGTATAGATGGATATAGATGGATATAGATGGATATAGGGGTATCACCTGGCAACATTTGACGAAACCTTGCCACACTTTCGGTTGTTTCCACACCTACAGAGTGAAATGTAATGGAAAATATATAAGAACATGAAACAGAAAGCAAAGAAAATACGATGTTAGGGGATGTTGATGTATGTATATATACACCAGGGGTTGGTAATGAAGAGAAACGAGCTGACAAAACAACATAAAAAAGCACGTGACATCAAACCTGTTTGCTAATTAGTTTAGAGAGAATATTCATGGCAAAGCCAACGAGACGTGGACAGACACTCAATGATTGAATAACCTTAAAATGAACATATTGAGACAGCTATGAAGTGAAAACCATTTTTTCTACAATTTCATCGTGACAACAAAAGTGAGATTACCGTTCTCATAAACAACGTGGGCAAAGGAGTTTTCTCCATCAACTGTTGCAGTACAACAGCAAGAACCTCTTGAGTGTAAATGGTCTTTTCAGCAAAACACAAACCGACAGCTATATTTGAAATAAGATCAGGTCCATCACGTCTACATGCCAGATAACATCACAATTGGAAGATACATATTACTGACTAAAATGATTTACAAACCTTTGATTATAGATTTCATGTCAGCTTTATCTTCAATATTATGCAGGGTGATCAGCAGTTCCGAGGGTGTCAGCGGACTGGCACTGGAGATAGTCGACTCGCCTATAAATACTTCAAGTTAACAAGACTAGAAAACAAAGAGCACGAGCTAGCTCGCAGAGAATTTACACTTTCTTTCTCATTTTAAGCAAAACTAAACGTGGTACATTTAGCTACATATCGACCTGCAATGTAAAATACAACAAAAATACTTTAGTCAAGTAACACACCATGAAAACAGCCCAATAATCTGTTGAAGACTTCCTTCACCACATTCGGAGATTGTTTTATTAACTTTGGTAAAACTTCGATCACCTCCTTCTTTTCCAAACCGGTCAAAACCGGAATCAAAAGTCGCACGTCCGATGCACGCTTGTGGTACAAATCTTTCACGTGCTTCACTAAAGCTGTTGATGGCGAGGCTAAAACATTGGATGAAAAAGAGAATCGAGGTTGTCATCCTATCTCGGATATGACGATACAGGAGATGTGGATACAGCTAGGGTTACTAATGAGATAAATGGGGATAAATGTAGAATTACATTTCTCAGTAATGATATGTAATATTCGCGTGATCAATGTCTCAGCTCCGCTTGGACAAGTTTCAACAAGTTTCAGTAATTCTTCTGAATCCATACCTATGGACCGTACCTTGAAGAAGAAAAAGAACAAAAACATTAAGAACTGAAATCTAAATGAAATAAATGAGAAAATTAGTGTCGTAAAAGGGTGCATTAAGGGCTGATTACACAAAGCGAGTCGTCGCTCACTGTCAGTGAGAAAAACGCATGAAATCATAAGACCTCCATTGTTTTCCTTGATTTGTTAAAGTCTGCCAGTCGAAACAACTCGTTTTACGTACAACGAGTTCATACGCACAAGAAAATCATGTGACTTAGACGTGATAGGAACTTGTATTTTCTACATGTGCACCACTCTACCCGCCAACAAGTAAATCATGTTACTTAGACGTGATAAGAACTTGTATTTTCCACATGTGCACCACTCTACCCGCCAACAAATAAACAGGCATTGGAAACAAGACATATCATTCATGAACTGTAATTGTGGCAGTGTTTTAATGGCTTTATGGGAATTCAAATATCGTTTAAGGCACATTTTTTGTGGGCTTATAACCGTTTCGGAATTAATTTTCTGATTCTCAGTTAAAGCTTTGAATTGAATACGTACAGGATGCTCCAAATGTCGAAGAATTGTCCGTTTAACAAGAGGCAAAGCTTGGGTATAGAGACTTGCCAAACTAAAACATGAATAGTACAAAAATATATTTACCCCTGCAAACAGGGATAATAATGGATCAACTTACTCGTGCAGCAATTTATGGTTCAAAGGTAATAATGCGAGGTAAAGATATAAACACAATTTGATAGGTTCGTCAGTCCATTCCACAGCTCCTATTCAATACGGTGACGCATAAGAGGAAAATGGACGCGGTAAATAAAATCACGTGACTACATATACCTTTATTCGGAGGCTTCGGAAGCAACAGAGTCCGTAGAGATTGTAGGGCGAATTGCTTTAATAAAATGTATAGGTTAAAACAACGCACCCACGAGGTCTGAGCTATACTTCATATAACATTTACCTGAATATCAACGGCAAGATTCGGATGTGGATGAAGTTTCTTTGCTGTGTAAATCGCTTGAACACGAACCTTCATTGCAGTAATTATAAACAAGTTTTAGTCTTTAAGTACTTATGAAAATAGCTGAAGTCCAACCTGTGCATAAACTTTATTCTCCAAGCTTAGCTATGCTAAGGCCTAAAAAACCCCTTACTTGTTCCTTGTAATGAGACGTGAGTTCCAAAAGGAGATTAAGATAATCCACTTGATTGGCAGGTCTTTGGAGGATCAACTCCCGAAGCGTAGAAAATCCAACATGGCTACGTTCCTGAATTCATCAGTAAGATAAAAAACAGGCTATGTTCAAGTTTGAAGTCAATGAAATGGCGAAAATACAGAGAAAGTTACCAGATCTTCGCAATATTCCTTGAGAAATAGTTTAGATTCATCCGTCAACCTTGGCGCTTCCAAATATAAACGAGATATCAACCTGAAACAGGAAACAAATAGTACATTTTTGTGGTTGTCCCTTTTTTAAGAAAAACAAAACCAAGATAAAATTTCTTTATCATAAACATACCATAAAACATATCAAGGAAAACAACAACCCCAGTACCATAAAATAAACATACCATAAAACATATCTACCAACGAAAACAACAACCCCAGTACCATAAAATAAACACACCGTAAAACATATCTACCTACGAAAACAACAACCCCAGTACCATAAAATAAACATACCATAAAACATATCTACCAACGAAAACAACAACCCCAGTACCATAAAATAAACACACCGTAAAACATATCTACCAACGAAAACAACAGCCCCAGTACCATAAAATAAACATACCATAAAACATATCTACCGAAGAAAACAACATCCTGTGACCATAACATACAAGTACCATTAAACATACCAAAAAAATACAATATCCACAAAAGACCATAACATAAAAACTATTTCATATCCAAAGACACCTTCTTACAATACACAACTTAAGACATCGTTATTAATGATAGTTTCACCGTACTTGTCTTTTGTGTCGAGTCGTTCTTTAAAACCACGTAACAAAGCAAGAAGACTTTCGTTGTACGAATTGTTAACCATCATTTGTTCGTCGCTTAGTTCTTCCCCTTCAAGAAACTCTTGTTCAACTCTCTCTCTGTATGATTCTTCTGCAAGAAACTCGTGATAAATCCAGAGATTTGCGAGCTCGTATCTTGCGCGTGGATCCAACATTATGAAGTTCTTCAACGCTAAAAAGACAGAAGGAAGAGTAATCATCATATACATAGATCTTTCTACAATTCTAAAGTCTTCTCGTGTTAATTTTAAAGATGGAAATAATCGAACCTATTCGTAGGTGTCCACCGAACTGAGTGGCCAAACCAACGATAATGTCAAGTCTTTCCTACACCAAAAATGGATAGTATAAAGTAGAATTTATAAATAATTAACGTGTTTAAGATAATTTCGTTGCAAAGTTCGTTTTAGTCCCCATGATGTTTAGAAAGTACGGAGAAATATCGTTTTCTTTGTTAATTAGAAAGGATATAAGCATAACACATCATATATATGTTTTTAAAAATGTTTGATGACAAGTTAATGTTTTGAAACGTATCAATGTCTCATTTTATAACACAATTCTTCGTAATGGCTCTATTGAAAACTATGCGATTTTGATACGCATTCCATCTTAAGCTAAACGCAATTGGAACGCAACTGGTTCGCGTTCCGAACGCGTTTTCGGTAAACTTACTTCTGAGCAGTACTGTACATCTCGCTACAAATCTGGGGACTATATATTAAGCTAATTAGATGTAATTGCCTTACAATAATTGATAGTTTTCTATCCTAATATTTTGTTAATACCTTTGTTTTTCCACCTTGAATACAGTGCTCTAGAAAAAATACATCGGCATACATCACGATTAAAAATCTTGAGCATTTTATCTTAAATGAAAAACGTTCTCACTTTCTGCGTCGAGAATTCTTCGAAAAGCGGAAAGTATCAATTTCTCTCGTTCTTCTTGAGTAAGAACCTGTTTCACTTCGTGCAGTTTAAAAGGCTTTATCTTTCGTCTCTAAACAAGTACACCTGTGTATTTCAACGAGATGCTACAAATGCATATCAGAAACTGAAACTATAAATTTTCTTACCGTCTGAAGAGAAGACGAAGATTTCGCAGGCTAGAAGTAGAAGGAAAAATGATACGTCATAAACATCAGTTGAGGATGGAATAGAAATTTAAGAAAAATTACCAACCTTTTTAGCTTGTCCTTTTTCTTTGTTGATGTGTTCTATTGAAGGACGGCACAATTTTTAAAGATGGTTTAGTATGGTGTCAATAGCTAACTTGATATGACGAAGAATAACATAATTCTTTACAAAAATTAGATAGGTATGAATGGTAAAATTGATATTGACGATAAGATGGTTTACAATGGTGAAGCAATTTACTGGCGAAGTTAAATAAACAAAACAATAAAATAAATACATTAATCATTTTCCATTAATCTCACCCATAATCCTCAAGAATGGCGATTCTTGAACAAGATTTTCTTGCTTTGCGTGAAGAATGCTCGGATCCTCTTTTATCAAGCTCTGGCTTGCCATGGAACCCGTCGTAGAGCTACCAATAACAGGTATACTACTTGATGTCTCGTATCTGTGACTTGGTACGATCTCCATTGGTGGCTGAACTTTCTCCGCATCTCTAGCCTAAAGAAGAACAGAAAACATCAATTACAAATGACGTTATCTTTTAATGAAGAGATGGAAGGAAATACCTTTTTAAGTTGTTGCATCTTTTCAGCGCCAACACCAATGCCCGCGTTTGTCATTTGTGCGCTGATCAAGCGGGCAAGATGCGTAACCTGCGCCATACCACCAGCTGCAGCAATGGGAGTGTATGTTTCTTGGAAATTAGTCGGCATTTGGTCGGGTAATCCCAGCATGCTAACGATTACCAGTTCCGAGACTCTCTCGTTCTTCAAGCGCGGTATTAAGTCTTCCTTTGTCATTTCAATTGCTTGGATAATTGTTAATCCGACACTAGATTCAGACTAACATGAAGTAATTTTTAAGAGTGGTAAGTCCTTTCATCTTGTCATCTCGTTTTAAGATGTCTATTTGTAAAACAACTTACCTTTCCCGACTTTTGTCTTTTTGTCAATGGTGATTCAGTGTCAGCTGTTGCTTCATTTCTAAAAAAATTACAATTATTATAAATAAAAGTTGCGTTTTACTAATTTTAGTCGGTCATAAATTTAACGTTAGGAAGTGAGTGCAAGCCTTGCCTTGGTCGCTTCATAGATTCTAAATTAACTTTTGCGAGATTTTTCTGCCAGATCTTCTGCATCTGAAACGAGAGTTAGCAAGAGTGATTAGCTGCATAGCCACAAGCCGACATAAAAAACAAAACAAAAAAGACATTACTGTTTACCTCACTCTGCGAGGCTCCAAGATCAGTGAGAAGGGTAGTTATCTGTGGGTAATACTCCACTATTTGCAAAATAATTTTTTTGAATCATTAATGTGCTTAAAAGAGAGAATGAACACTTTTTGCGACCGACCTGCAGCCGTATTCTTTAGTAAATTCATAAGATGAAGCTGAAGAAAGTATCGTAAAATTATAAAATAATGAATTGACAAGATAAAGGCGATGAGAGTATCGGGAAACTATGCCATTTTGCATCAAAACTGCGAACAAACGTCGAAGAAATTTCGTGGAAAATTTTCACCAAATAGCTATTACACGTTAGATCTACCTTTAAATTCTTTCTGACGCTGCTGACTTGACTCTTAGAAAGTGCAGTTGGTAGATTGGCTGAGATAATAAACAAACATAAAAACATTCTAACTTGATTGAGTAAGAAAATTTATACAACTACTTATACCGCGACAATTGTGATAAGGAAAACATGGTAAGTCAATCACATGTTGGTTAAATTTGGCGGTAAAACTAGTTGAAGTCTGATAATCAAAATTTTGTCTCATTTCATACCGTGAAGCGATTCAAAAGCTTCAACAACCAACGACATGAAAGCAGGTCTTTGTTTTGCAATGGCTGCCAGTGTACCCATACTGGCCATTAGGTTAACACTAAAATAATTTTCAGAATATGGAATATATTCTTAGTGGTTTGGGAAGGTCGTGGTGTACGACGTTGATGGATGTCTATACATATAACAAGTTTTCATTGTGGTGTGAATGATGGTGGTGTATAGCATTGGTGTATAGTATGGTGAAACATATTATTGTAGCATATAGTAGTGTAAAAAGTTGTGGTTCACAGTGGAGATGCAAGTTATGATGAACCATGGCAGATCTGAAGCACAATGGCACAGATTTTGATGTTAAAGGTGGTGTGTTAATTGTGGCTAAAGATGTAAGTGGTGTATATTGGTGATGTATAGTGGTGGTGTATATGATGGTGGTATAGTAAGACGAAGGTAAAGTGTTGTGATGTAGCTACCTTGAAATATTTGGAGAAGCAACTAAACTGAGTAAAGCCTCAAGAGTCATTCCTGCTTCCTCACGAAGTTGAGTCATACTCAAAACTGGATGATTACGAGGTACCTAAAAACAAGATCTCAGATTGGTGGATTCATTTAGAGATGACAAATAAGAACAATGACTTGACTTTCCTACCACATCAAGAGAAATGACATCATCATCTTTGGTATCCTATATCATAATTTAAATTCATATAATCACAAATGAAAATAATCATTAAAGAAGAAGAGAAAGTCTTGAGTGACAAATTTTTTAACAAACCTGTGGTTTACATGATTGTGCAAGGACAATCATCTCCATGAACTTGATTGCATGAGTACGAATGCTGAAGAAAAGGATTTCTTATCACCATTCAATGTGATAATTGAAATTCGACAAACATGATGCTAAACAAACCCATCATTATCTGATTGAACTTTCTCCATGATTTGATTTTTTAACATACATAAAATCTTGAAATAATAAATGAAATATTATTGATACATTGTAGTTCTAAAGTGAAAGTTTGGCCTGCACAGCCTGCCTGTCACATAGGTTATGTGATTATGAAACATATATTTACATAATTATCGATAAAATTATATATAAAAATCTAGAAAAACTTTTATTTTTAAGCAATGCCTGGATTACCAATTTTGAAGCTTATATCCATATATATATATCTATATACACATAAAAGATAAAAGTTTCTCCGGATTTTAAATGACTTTTATTGAGCTTTCGACTCGTTGCTTCGAGCCTTCATCAGAACGAGGAAATTACTAGTTACATGTGCTTTTTGCTTGTAGACACTTAGAGTGTCTAATTGGATTAGCGGGTGGATTAATGTGATTGGATGGGGTGAAATGCATTGCCATGGGTTTTGGTGTATTGTTAATATGATTAGTGTTAATATTATTAGAATGTAGTGTTGAAGTTTTGGGGTTGTTTGTAGTTTTTTTGTCCTTTTTCTTTAGTTGTAAGTATATGATGGGTATGTCGATATGTCTGTTTATTGTCTCCTTGTCTTTACTGTACCAAGCTTCTCTAAATTTGCGTGCATGTTTAGTCTGCATGCGTCCGAGTACTTTAGTTTCTGCCCAACTGATGAAGGCTCAAAGCAACAAGTTGAAAGCTCAATAAAAGTCATTTAAAATCCGGAGAAACTTTTATCTTTTATTTATTAAATGCCTGAATTGGGTAAGACGCCAGCGTTTGAGGTGGTTTGGGCATGTGGAAAGGAGAGAAGAAAGTGCTGAAATTCGTAGAATGTTGCACATAAATGTTGATGGAGTCCGCAAAAGAGGTAGACCGAGAAAGAGATGGATGGATGCTGTGAACAGTGATATGAAGGCGATGGGTATAATGAGAGATATGGCAAGAGATAGAGATGTTTGGCGTGGAAAAATTCATGGACCGGTCAACCCCCCGGGCAGGGATTAATACTTGGATTAATATTTTAATTATTAATAATATAATAATATATATATATATATATTTGAAAATTGGTAACCTAGGCATATTATGATAATATTAAGGATTCTCTGGATTTTTATTTTATTTGTATATATATGTTAAGTAACATACCTCCCAAGTTGCTTTGAGATTTTCATCAATAACTTTCTGCTTGCTGATGAACTACAAAAGGTTTCATAGACTCACATGAAGATTTTAGGTCCTAAATTATGGACATGTTTTATATTTATCATCTTACCTGGAGCATGATGCGATACAATTGTGTTAAAGATAACATGACTTTTTTGATGACAATCACATTTGGATCATTGATCAACAGAACAATAGTATGGATGACTTTTGTCAAGATTTCAACATCCTTTTTACTGAAGAAGGGAAATTCATACTAATAACATAATATTACAGTTGTTTGCAGATCAATATATATCGTTGAACTAGCAATGAAGCTATTGTTTTTTGAGAAATCGAATGTTGATAAAAGTGTTTGTTGCTTTGGTGTAACACTAAAAAATATAAACATGAAAAACCAACTTTGTGCTGATAATTTGAATTCTAAAAACATTCTCATTATTTTCTATGCTATGCAAGTGCTTAGGCTTTGGAGTAATTGTCTTACCAGGCTTCCTCAATAAATTGAAGCACGTATTTTCTAACTTCAGTTGTTTTATCATGTTGAAAAATGAGAATTTCCTTGAGGATAAAATATAAAATCATTGACAAAGAAATGATTAATTTAAAACCGAATTCTGTGATTCCTTACATCCAGGAAGTTATCCAATAATGCTGGTTCCTTGTTCACGATCAATTCTTGAACCTGGAATCAAATCAATATTATTAAAAAAGATGGTAGCAGCAATGATCAAAATCCCCTAACAAACAATGCAATTATTTATACATTATTTATGCTACCTCATACCTGTTTAAGGTAATGCAGTTTGCTCTCCTTTTTTGCCAGCTGGGCTTGGTTAAGAAGATCAATTACCTAGAGCAACAAAGTTTGCTTTTAAAGATTTGATCATTGAAACATGATTTGTTTCATTGTTTATAACTAAACTTTGAACTTCACATGGAAAACGTCAGACAACAATAATAGGAAATAAATACATAAAATACCTTATCCGTTGTACTTTCTTCGCATTTTGAAGGTTCTTTCGTATCATTATCTTCGTTTTCCTGTGATGAAATCGAAGATTTTGATGCATCTGTGGACGCCATGTTTTTTAGCCCACGGGTAGACTATATTATCCCTTACATGAAGTAGACACGTCGTAGGTTGTAAAAACTCTGTAAGCAAAGTCCTCTTCAAATCTGACAGCATGAAAGGATGGGTTTATTAACGATCTTAAGGAAGATGAAGCAAAGAGAACGGGAAGTTCGCATATTGATGCTGTATCCTTGTATTACTTGTGTTTCATGTGCACATTTCGATACTTTTTGGCAAGAAACTTAACTAGAATTAAGAGGACTTGACAATGCAGGCAAAACAACGATTTTGAAGAAGTTTAACGGTGAAGATATCGATGAAATTTCTCCAACATTGGGATTCAACATTAAAACACTGGAATATAAAGAGTAATGGTGAATTATACAGCAGTAGAATAAAGTTGCAGTACGTTTACGGTATGACGGTTTGATTAAACATGCATAATTTAGTTTTAAGTTGAACATCTGGGATGTCGGTGGGCAGAAATCCTTACGTTCCTATTGGAGAAATTATTTTGAAAGTACAGATGGTTTGATTTGGGTCGTAGATAGTGCTGACTCAGCGAGATTAGAGGATTGTAAGGCAGAATTGAAGTCGTTGTTGTTGGAAGAGGTGAGTATGCAATTTATAAATCCAGCGGTTTGTAAACTTTCATGAATGTTACAGTGAAAGTAAACAAAACCACTAACTTCGATCAGTAGCATTGCCATTGTGCTATTACGTCGGGTTAAATTAGTTTTATTTCATTCAGCGTCTGACAGGAGCCACTTTACTAATTTTTGCCAACAAACAAGATCTTCCTGGAGCTTTAAAAGCAGAAGAAATCAAACAGGTACTACAAAGAAAGACGTTAAAGTTCTGATACTTTGATAACTTGTATTCTCTTCATCCCTGTAAGGTTTTAGAGTTAGATAGCATAAAGACTCATCATTGGCATATTCAGTGGTGCAGTGCCATCACCGGGGAGAATCTCTTGCTTGGCATTGATTGGCTCGTTGAAGACATCGCATCACGAGTATTTACGATGGATTGAAAACGCTGAAGACTATGGATGAAGTTGTGCATAAACTCATAGTTAATGTGTTATATTATAAAACATAAATCTACATATTTATTTTATGTCATCATCGAGATTTCCTTCCCTTTTTCTTTTTGCCAATGGAAGTAGGAGTTCCGGCTTTCGATGAAGTCGAATGAGTTTTAGCCATTATTTTTTTCACGTTCTCAGCTGCCTTTCTAAATCGTAGGGAAAGAAACGCTATTTATGCAAAAACATCACTCACTGTAATGTATAAAAATTTGTCATAGCATAGAAAAAAAGGCCTTTATTTGTTAGCACAGTTGCCCTCTATTCCCTCGGTTGTAGATGGTACAAACATGCAAGATTCAAAACGAAGTCACACTCTACAGAAAAGCAAATTTCACCCAAAATGTTACGTTTCAAGTCAACCAACATTCTAACTGGACATTGCAAACTGACGCTGTTCAAACACGTGACAATTCTTCACACTCTACAGAAAAGCAAATTTCACCCAAAATGTTACGTTTAAAGTCAATTAACATTCTAATTGGACATTGCAAACTGACTCTGTTCAAACACGTGACAATTCTTCACACTCTACAGAAAAGCAAATTTCACCCAAAATGTTACGTTTCAAGTCAACCAACATTCTAATTGGACATTGCAAACTGACGCTGTTCAAACACGTGACAATTCTTCACATTTAAAATGAACATGTTATTGTTCTCATGGCGCTTTTAACCATGAGTAAAAACAATTTTATAAGCTTGAAAATCTTCAACTATGCTGACACCAACTAAAATAATAGCGTTTCGGTTGATTGGTGATCAAACAGAGCTGCGTAGGATTATGGGGCGGTCACTTAGTTTCTTCAAGTTGTGCATTTAGTAAGAAATAATGTGTAGGAGTATGTACATTCTTTTCAATGCCTTTAGCTTTCTTGGTATATTTAACACATACTTGTAGTTAATTTGGGGTCCTCGCGATTCTTTCAACAAAATACATAACCAAGCCAAGGGACCTTTCTCGAAAGTTAAATTGATTTCCTATAATCAGGATAGATTAAAATCATTATAGTGTCCTGTCTTAATCGCAATATTTCAAATTCAATTGTAATGATTGTATTAAAGTTGTAGTGTACAGTCCCCCCGCCAAAAAGATCAATCGAAATGAAAATTAGTTGGCATTTTTTCTTTTATTATTGATAAGCTTCTTTGGGATCAATTTGTCATATCGATCACTCCACTGACCTTTAATCCTTCCCTGAACTGGAGTTGAGAAATGAAACCACTGTCATCAGGATCGTACTCTCCAAAAACTTGAAACCAACGTTCATAGTTGTGAGCGATGAACTGTTTAACAACCTGAAGTGGTGAACATTCTGATGGTCGGATGCGACCAACGACTTTCAAAGGTTTCTCTTGGTTAAGCGTTTCCAGTAAAAGGAAAAAATCATCGTCCAAATATATATTCTCAAGACACAACGTGTGCATCGCGTTGTCTGGCCTCGTTCTTAATGAGGAGAGCAGGGAATGGGCACCGGCAGTGCCGATCGGGTTATCACCAATCTAGAATTAAAAACCAGACTCAAATACCTCATTCAATAACACTTCAGAGAATAAACGTTCGACAATACCTTTAGAATCTCTATGGTAACATTCGCTTCCAGACTCTTAGCGATAAATGTCGCACCAATTGTGGAGATCCTATTGTTACTGATGTCAAGTTCAGTCAATGTATTATTTGCTTTAAGGGCATCAGATAGCGCGCGAGCACCCTCATCTTCTAAGCCATTCCACGAAAGATTGAAAACTTTTATAGTGTAATTATTCTATAGGAACCAAGTAGAGAAACTAAAGAATCATTTATAGTTTAGAATGCATTAGACATGATCATTTATAGTTTAGAATGCATTAGACATGATCATTTATAGTTTAGAATGCATTAGACATGATCATTTATAGTTTAGAATGGATTAGACATGATCATTTATAGTTTAGAATGGATTAGACATGATCATTTATAGTTTAGAATGCATTAAACCTGCTCAGCTTTACAACCTTCAGTCCTGTGGCGATACCAATAGCTCCACGTCGACGAATGTGATTCCAACTGAGATCAAGGATTTCCACCGAGTCATTTGCAGCTAATGTGACAACAAGATTACATGTTATACATCAATTGAGCAAAATGGCCCCACTAAAAATGAAAACATACATACCAATACTTGCCCCCAGGGCCACTCCTCCTTCTTCGCAAAATTTATTTCCGCTCATATTAAGCTTTATCAGTTGATCATTGTTCTGAGTAAAGTATTAAATAACGATCACGAAGATGATAGCTAAGGATAAGTAAGGATAACAATGGTTAACTCAGGATACATAACAATAGTTACGTACTTTGATAATTTCAGAAAACATGATTGCATCTTTATCATCAAAAGCATTATTTGCAATGTTTAGATCTTGAAGAATGCCACTGTTGTTCAACATGTCACAAATTGCTGCGCAGCCCACGTGACTGATCTTGTTCGAAGATAAATCCTAAGGTGAAAAAATGAGCCTTCGCAAACATCACAGCGGTATGATAATACATTAAACGTTACAGCGGTGTGATGATAATACATCAATCTATTGTCTTAAATAAAAGATCTTCAAAAACTGTAAACGACTTGAACAATAATATTTGCATGTTAAAATCTTGAGCTATTGAAGTATTTGTGATATGTCCATTTAATATTGGTGGTCAGTCGTTTCCTGATTTACAAATCCTTTATTTTCATTTATTCTCGCCAACATAAAGCAAATTTGCTCTATATCATGTATGTAATTAACTTCAGTAACAATTAAAACTTTTTGAGAAAACACAAGTAGATTTGTATCATAAAAGAAATGCATGGTATAATCCGTTGAAAATCATACATTTCAAACGAATTTAACACTATATAATGCACATTATATCTTGCTACGACCATGACCACGAGAATGTAATTGTTGAAAAAAAAGTCCTTTATAAATTTAAAAGATCGAGACAGAGTCACTTTAACTCTACTCTTAAAAAGGACATTTTCCTAAAGCTCACTTAACGAACATTTTATGACACGAAAAACTTACTAACGAAGTGATGTAACAATTTTCTTTCATCATCTCGCAAACATGGCTAGCACCTAAGTCACCAATGTTGTTGTCATGGAGATCTAATCTTAACACTGTCGTATTAGTCTGCGAAAATATAAGTAAAAATTTTGTCAGGTGATTTGCGCAAACACGCTCCAGTGAATTATATAAATATTTATGTGGAACAATAAAAATAGGTCATAAACAGTTCACAATGAATTCTTAGTCCCTCGCATAGTTTCAAGTCCTTCAAAGTTGAATATTTCATCTCAAAGTTGAATATACTTTTTTCGATTTCCTCTTTTTGTTTTCAGTTATCGTTCCAGATAGTTAAATATTGACTTCAATGCTTTAATCATGTATACCACAAGCACTATGGCGATTGCTTTAACTCCTTTAGCTCCCAGGCCGTGATGACGTAATATCAGTTCCTTATCTTGTATGTGACGGACAAAGTAGGACATCGGAATGACGCCGCTTAACGCACATGCAGAGAAATAAAGTCGTTTCCCGGTGAGATCAAACGATTTTGAACGTTCTATAAAAACACAGAGGACATAAATTAAATAACGGAAACCATAATGGACTGGCAAATTGATTTTTTCATGAAAGCATAAAAGTTGAAAATACATTGACAGGCGCTTGTGGTGACGTACGATTCACACCTTGCATTTCCAGATCAGTTTCCCAATCACTATCGTGAGATTCCGGGCTTTCTCGGCGTTTATTCGAGTCATCACCATGTTCATTGTACAGGGGATCATTTTCGGACTCTTGGTGATCTGAGACAACGAGATCATCCGAATGTGTAGCGACTTCATACGACTCCTTGCGAATAAAACGAGCGAAGATTAAACTTACAGAAAATCAAAGACAAAAAACTTATGACTAAAAACAAAGGAAAAACTACTAGCCTAATAAAACCCGGCAGTTTCTTCGCATCAGTTCGTTATTAAAAAAGTCAATTTCATTCCTACGTTCTAGAGTTTGCATAGCTAAGATACGACTCGTGAGCAAAGGTAAAAAACATTGAAAACCTTTCAAAAACATAAAGTTATCGTTTGATTTGAAAAAACAGCTGCCAACTTACTTTGTTTTCCATTTCGTCAAAAGTAACTTTTCATGGTCACCAGCAGCACATTCAGCAAGTGAGTTTGAAATCACCATGGTAACTGATGACCGTTACTTTGATTGGCCAATAACCGTCATTAATTTGGACCGTCATTACACAAGAGCCGTTTTTAATTACTTAAATTTTTTCCGACAATAATATCTTTTTCTTAATGTTTCGGCGGGGAATTTTGCAGGTAATTCAATTGATGAGAAAGCCGATAATTTTGGGGCAACTACAGCTATGTTGCATAGAAAAACCTCAGACGATGGAAGGAAAAATCACCCTTAATTATGGAAAAATAAGGTGTTAAAATTTTGAGAAATTTTAATACGGAAATGCATCAAAACACGGGCGATGGCAGAATAACAACATTAAAGTATAAACTGACAGCTGTGTAGCTCAATCCTCAGGAAAATTTTCTATTTCATAAATCCTTTGAAGCGTCACGTTTAGTAAATATCATTAAGAAAGGTTTATCTCAGGTCATTTTTGTCACGTGAACACGCAATTCCAGCTTACAATCTTGGGGCTGAAAAACATGAGATGGTTTATTGATTAGAACTGGAAAATAGGTGCTAAAAAATTCCTTGTCTTGTTTTTAAATACCTCCGTAAGCATCTGGCATTCTCTCAATAGAATATCTAAATTGTCAAAATAAGAAAAAATTTACTATGGATGTGTGGAACAGATGAGAATTCACGGATTAAATGATAATTCAGTGAAGTGTACCTATGTTGAGTAATATACATGATTGGAACTCCAGGAATCTTTCGAATTCTTCTTTTCAAATCTCTATCACAAGTTGCTACTATGTAACATTTGTGCTGGAACATAAGATGATACATTGATTAGTTATAATGTGACTTCACAGTGAATTGAGCAGCAGTGTGCCATATACCATTTCAATAGATACAGCATTTAATTTTAGTTACTGAACACAGATCACATTGAACACTGGATTATAATTGTATCGTGGTTATGCGTACAGTTATTGTTAATTACCAAAATTTAATATCAGAAAATTGGTCATGTAGTCTAAAAACTGGTTACATCATATTGGGGGAAAATCTACTGGATTCTGGATACTAAAATTTGAATAGATACCACAATAAAGGTACATGTTTTGCACATCTCCGAGATCCAGTCTTTTAATGACTTACTTGACTGACACGATTAACAAGACAATCGTCAGCATATGTTCCCTTGTGCATGCATGGCAATCTCATAAATCTTTCATCACGAGCTATTCTGAATAATACAACATTAGGAAATAACTGATCTCATATCAGAACTTATTCAACAGAATATGTCTCAAAAATTGATCTAATTTGAAAAAATGTTAGGTAGCCATAACTCAAATTGAACAAGAAACCATAAAATCAACACCTTAGCAGGTGTATTAAGCACCAAGAACATTGATCTTGTGTGTATATTAAGTAAAAATAACATAGCACCATATGATTAACCAACCTTAAAGCCACTCTATATTTCATTCCCATTTTCTCAAGCTCACCCATAACACAATCCGTAATACAAGGTATGCCTGCCAAGCCATAAATCATTAAGTTAATATTTAAGATTTATTTAAAAGCTAGAAATAAAGACTCAGAACTCACATTTAGCATAAAGACAGTCCATCATGGATTGAAACAAATCCAATTTATTTTTTATGGAAAAGTTGATGAAGTTTGTGTCGACCAGAATGTAATAAGGTGGTCCTAGTTGTGTGTTGTATTGAAAGAATAATGCTGATGACACTTGTTCTCTAACAAAATAAAAAATAATCATCTGGTTGAATTAGTAGTTTGAACAAATGATTGGAAAAAAAGTAAAGGACCATTCAGATTTTGGTGATATGCTCTCACGAAGAAGGGAAAGAAAAGATAATATGGGATTGATGAGACTTCAGGGCGCAAAAGGAAAGAAAAGATAAGAAATGGAAACTAGGCAACCTACATGTGTTTGACTTCTTCGTCGTCATTTTTCTTCTTTGTTTTCTTACGTTTTTCGTTCTCTCTATTTTTTCTGTGATGTTTAGAAAAATAGCAGCAAGAATCAAGCAACATCAATTTAACAAGATAAAAGAATCAAAACAAAATACAATCCTTGATACTATTTAAAGTCTGTGGCTTTCCTTACATTCGCGGGTCGTTTGTTGATATCATACGCTTTACGGCGGCGAATTTCCTCGTTTTTCTTGCTTTACCCTGCAGAATGAAAACAAATTCAAATTATTTTCTCTAGCCAGGCCAAACGTAAGCCAAAAAATCGACGAAAACATCACGAAACTTACCATTACTTTAACAGATTACTTCTAAACGATCGTCTAGAGAAATTTAATTGAGAACTTTCCCTTCGTTTGTCTACTACACAAAAATAGGTACGCATTGCGTACATGTGGTTAGCCTATGAATTTTATGGTCCTAGATTGTAAATGAAACTAGTTGGAATAAAATTGTACATTTCATATTATTTAGACCAAACTTGCTTGAAATTTAAAAATGCGCTTTGTGCTCACTGTTTAATGACAGACATCATGTGTAAATGATACCTTTAAAGCCGATGTGTTTTTCATCCGAGCGTATTTTCATTTTTCCGAAATATCTTAGTGTTACTATTGCTTAACTTATTTATACATAGTATAATTTATAAATTTTACGTAGGAATTATATCTTCACTGTATTTTTTATTTACACTAAATTTTTACGTGTATTTCTCAGTTTTAATACATTACGAACAGCCATAAATTTACTATAAAAGTATGTTGTGTTTTATATCAGCATTCTCTCTTGTTCAAAAACACATTTATTATAAACGAATTTCCCGAACCCAAACTCAAGCGAAAAATGAAAATTATAGATATTCAGAAAAATGTAAAAATATATACAAAATCAATTGCAAAGTATATAACTGTGTGTTTCAACGTAAAATTTTCTAAGTCATAAACAGCATAAGCTTCCCGATACTCCTTGATCAGTTTTCTCCCAGACAGAGACAGCGTAGCCTATTTTTGATTGCGAGGACAATTGACGAGCAGATGTTGGTTGCAACTAGAAGATCCAGAGATAAACTTCAAAAATTCATAATGGACACACAATATCTTCACGGTCTTTGACTGTAAATTTAGAACTCTCTCTTGCTTGTTTTTTTCGACTGGTCACTAAGCAGGCAATGGTGTTTCTTCAGCATTGTTTCAAGTTTTAATTTCTCCTTATTTAACTCTCCAATCAAAGACTCCAGATCTTCATTTGCAGACTGCAACTCCTTGGAGCTCTATAAATAACTCTATGTGTGAATCATTAACAACTATCACATTTCGAATGCAATGGTACCCAAAAAATGCTATCATATCTGAACCTGTTGGAGCTTATTTGCTTGTACTTTGCGTTTCAATCGACATTTCGATGCGGCTATTTTGTTCCTCTCCCGTCGTAGTCTTCGTTTTTCCAACTGATCTTCTGACAACTGGAGTAATGTGACGAAGATGTATGATCTTACAAAAGGTAATGAATGACATTGAAACAAAAATTGAAATGAAAAATAGTTACTTCTTCGCTAGTTTGCACGGGTTTCATTTCAATCTCTGGGATGTCCAGGCCGTTTGCAAACCTCCGAGATTCGATTGCAAAACGAAGACCTAGCTTAACCGGAATTTCAATGTTTTCGATTTCTGAAGTTGGAACCGTTGTCAGTTGATCTGTATATGGCATCTGGATAGCTTGATCATCAAATGCTTCAGTTCCCTTAAAAGAAAACAACAAACATAAATGGACAGATAATAACTTTAATATTATATCATCATCTTTAATATCTTGCGTTTTCTTTGTCTGTTCATGTCAAAGATCGCTGAAAACAAATCCTCACTCATACATGATATAATATTAAATCATTCACTTACCTGGCTGAAGATGTGAAAAGGATCCATTAGTTAGTTCACCGTGAGAACAAAGAGAGCGAGTGAAAAACTTTTTAAAATTCTTTTTTATATTTAAAATACATCTCGTTCTGTTCAATAATTTCACTGCGAAATAAAGTTCATATTGTGATGATCTTTGATACATTTTCATGACTAAAGTTTACTTCTTCTGGTGGCAAACGACAATCTTGTCCAATCATCATTGAAATAATGTAAAATGTAGGACAACGTCAGCAAGCAAATATCATGCTTCACTGAACATAAGCAAGTTGTAAATACATTTTATTGTTCATATTGAGCATTTCTTCTGTACCTCTTTTCTGATTATTTATGAATTAAAACAATAAAAGACCTATTAACTGGTTAAGATTTTATTGTTAACATTAAAATGATTTCAGAAAAAAAAATCTCATTATGTAAAAAACTATTATCTTTTACAATGCAAGATTCCTAGACACCACTAATATACAGACAGGGTTCTTCCTTGAAAAGCTAAAAATACCATTTGTTAACAGTCTATACCTGTCACATCTTTGATCCATTTCTTAAACTGTGACACTCGCGTGTATACGCCATATTTATAAGCTATCGCGCATGCGTCATGTCCAAATGAAGATATACCGTGCAGATACCATTTGTTATCCTTTTCACAAAGTAAGGGACCTTAACAAGATACGAATGAATAAAATGGATCGAAGAAGATATTCATGAACAATATGGATCTAAGAAGTTATGAATGGTCAACATATCTAAAAAGATACGAATGAACAACATGGATCTTAGAAGATATGAATGAACAACATGGATCTAAGAAGATATGAATGGTCAACATATCCAAAAAGATACGAATGAACAACATGAATCTTAGAAGATATGAATGAACAACATGGATCTAAGAAGATATGAATGGTCAACATATCCAAAAAGATACGAATGAACAACATGGATCTTAGAAGATACGAATGAACAACATGGATCTAAGAAGTTATGAATGGTCAACATATCTAAAAAGATACGAATGAACAACATGGATCTTAGAAGATACGAATGAACAACATGGATCTAAGAAGTTATGAATGGTCAACATATCTAAAAAGATACGAATGAACAACATGGATCTTAGAAGATACGAATGAACAACATGAATCTTAGAAGATATGAATGAACAACATGGATCTAAGAAGATATGAATGGTCAACATATCCAAAAAGATACGAATGAACAACATGGATCTTAGAAGATACGATTGAACAACATGGATCTAAGAAGTTATGAATGGTTAACATGTACAAAAAGATACGAATGAACAACATGGATCTAAGAAGATGCAAATGAATAAAATAATTTTTTGCAAAAAAAATGGATTGCATCTTATTCTACCTCCGCTGTCTCCTTCACACGTGTCTTTACCACCTTGCTCAAAACCTGCACAAACCATGTTGTCCGTAATTACTCCACCGTAAGATTTTTCCTTGTTGCAAGTTTCTTTGGACACAAGTGGCACGCTGACATGAAGTAACTTCGGCTCAGTTGCCGTGTGGAGTTTCTTGTTCCCCCATCCAGAAATGTAACAGTCTTTACCTGCGAGGCAATTAAAATCGTACGATATTTTTTGCATCATTGTAATTCTATTTTTCTAATCTAAGATGAAGACAAGAAGACACTTTCGAATTATGATCTCCTTCCGCTCTCAAATGCCATGGGCAATGGACATGATTTAAAAAAAGAACGTCTGAGATTACACATAATAAATTTTTGGTACAAAACTCCCAAGTAGACTTACACACACAGTAGACATCAGTCACATCACCGTTGATCTCTGTCGTTAGATCCATAAATTGGCAATTATTTGAGAGCTAAATTTGTGTTTATATTTAATCATTTAAAGTCAGTGGTTTAACATCAATTAGTTTGTAAAGATCGACTAAAACTGCATGAGTTCTCAGGTGTCTAAAATCCATGGATTTACCTTCAGCGAAGTCAGGAAATCCAGAGTCCACGCACACAGGCGAAACTCTCTCGTTGAAATACGCTGGTTTACTCAACTCCAACAAGGAAATATCGTGCTCAGCATAAAGGCCTATCTTTCCCGTGCTTAGATTTTTTGCTCCGATTCCAAACGATGGATGAATTACGACATTCTTCACTGAAATATCTTGTTCATAATTGTCTTTTACGTTAAGATCATGTTCCCCAAGTCTCACCTTTATAAAGTAAATAACACAAAGTATCGAGCTTATCCATCACTACGACAGTCGAATTTTAGTAGTTCGCACAAACTCTCTCAATCCAGCGAAACTTGTACAGTTCCTGACTTCCTTCATTCTCCCTCAAACACAAAAAGTTTCTTTATCCTTCTCCAGCCTAGTATGTCTCAACAGTCCATTGACAGTCTCACACCTTAAAAACTCTATTCACAAACTAACTGCCAAAATTCACTCGTCTTCCAAAGTACGCTCTCACCTCAAATGAATAATGATAAGTCAGTTATCTTAAATTCACGTAGAACGACTAAAACATGTTGGCTGGCGACGTTACCGTGCTATACACTGCTGAATGTATTACTATACGCTAGTCAAAGAAATTCTATTATTCGCGTACTGAGAATATTTGAGGTAAAACCAAGGTGCAGTGAGCTGCAGTGGCAACCCATTTCTCAGAGATTAAGGTGGCACCACATTTGAAATATGGAGCTTCATGATTTCCTTGACTGTGAAACAAAGCCACCATCCAGGGCCATTCTCCTGCCACAGCTTCTTCTCCTCCGACAATTCTCTTGGTCGAGTATGTTAGCGGTTTGTTGCCACAATCCGCGGTTTTCGTCAGTGCTAAGATAAATATAAAAGCAAGGAAGTCTGATGATTTGTATTTGAAAATGTGAACGATGTCATCAAATTTTACTACCGGCGAAGTTCGCTTCTGTCAAAAATACCACCAGAAAAAAAAGTTTCAGAAATCTCTCCATGATAGTTGCGATGCATTTTGAATTTTACGTTTTTGAACGATGAGCGCTTTCGAGAGAACAGGTGGCTGCACATATTTTTCCACTTCATAAGACACAAAATTCGATAATGGGACATAGTGACATGCCGTCACATACGTTGATATTATTTGACATAAATTTTACCTGTAGTATGGAGCACTGCAATAATGAAGAAGTTCATTACAGAATTACAAAAATGCTTCAGCAAGGTTTGTAATTACATGTTTGTAGAATAGATCGTCTGGGTTAGTGAAGTCATAATGACAACCGCTGAGCCTGTCAAAGTGTCAATCGACTGACACCATCGACAACGACACAAAAATATTTTTTTCAGGACTACACTAATCTGGACGATCTACATCAGAAAACATGCAATGATACCCTTGGATACAAATAATTCGCTTCAAAGATATATCTTGTCATTATATAATTGTTGAAAGAAAACATAATTTACATCTATTGTAGATTTATATACAGTTCTGTCATTGTCAGTGTCACCGTTCAATCCGAACATTGCAACCCAATAATTTTTTTCATTTTGATACATAATTGGAACTGAGTAGGGGTCAACAAAATGTCGTCAAAAAGTGACAATTTTAATAACTACCGAGAATTATCCACGTAAGAACTCTGTTGGGTTACAAAGTTCGTATGGGGGTGATGCCCTTATTCAGCCTTGATAATTTATGGTAGTGTATTTCATATATTCATGTTGTAAGCTTCAATAACAATCAAAGTTGAATATTATCACAGTCTTCCATTTAGTCTTAAATTGCTATGCAAGTATTTCTCTAGATGAAGAAGACATCGATGGTTCATCTTCTTAAATATGCTACTGCAAACAAGTTCTATCAAAAACATTGCAAAATTTGTACAATCAGTAAATATAGCACTCTTATACCGTAACAATACATTTGCTAAGCAATTTACATTCAACAGGCCAATAAAACGAATTCTTATCATAAATACAATGCCCAAACATAAACTTTTCATAAAGTCACAAATTATGTGATGTTTTTAAAAAAGTTATTAAATAGTGTGTCATTTTTTTGTCCTAAGACATCACTAGACTTAGTGATCTTCAATTTCATTAAAATTTCGTAGCATAGAAACATGAAGTGATCTTGGAACATTGGAATGGAGTTAGATAAAGTTTAGTGGAATAGACCAAACTGTCCAGGCCCGACGTTAAGACTGGGATTGAGCTTGGGGAGATGACTAGACTTTCGTGAATGAATAGTACGAATGTGTTGGAAGAGGATGACAGAATTTTGTAGTTGTCAAAATCTGCAGAGTGACTAATTCTTTACAAATAGGCAAAGACACCATAGTTGATTGGGCTGGATGTCAGTTTTCTTCTTAAAGTAAAAATTTTCAAGTGTTGTGATTCTCTGGTGTGTAAATGGCGTGTGGTCTGATTTTTGTAAGATGAAGAACAGTGTCGACTTGTAAATAAGTATACAACAACTGATTTCAGAAATTCTAGGAACTCTATGTTTGAAAGGTGAGAAAGTTGAAAACGAACATTGAGGTGAGGATGAGTAGAATTGTATAGAAAAGTGAGTTTTTTGTGTGAATCAGAAGAGATGGTGAAGTAGTGAAGGGAAGGTTAAAACTAATATAAAAAAAACATCATATAATTAATGGTCTTAATTAAAGTTTTATGATGGGCAATCATAATTCCTATATTGTTTAAAAGACAAAAAAATATAAAACATAAAATGCTACAAGAAATATGGAAATGAAATGATAACTACCTATGTTGAGTATACCAAATTATATGCAACAATATGCAACAAAACCTCATGACTATACCTAACATATATGAATTCATATTTTTTGATTTGTTTCTTACTGGTGGGACCATCGTGCTGTCATGAAAAAAGATTCTTTTCACAACAGTAGGAAACAAAGTAATAGAGAAACCATGTACTATTGCAAGTTAAATTAGATCAAGAAACAAAATTTTCCTAAAATTACTTATCATTTACACTGTTTTCTTTATTATCCTCGTGCAGTTTCTCACGGTTTGCTCTTTTCTTGCAAGAATGTTTATCTAACATCATTTCTAATTGTTGTTTTTGAACTTTTAAGTTTTCAATCTCATGTTCCAGATCATCATTACTGTTCGAGATCTGTTCTGTAACCTTAAAAAAACTTTATTGTGAGTTTTTAGAGTGCAGTTTTGTGTGAGAAAATTATCTCTTTGTTACAAACCAGCTCTAAGTCAACAATATGTTGTTTACGTCGCTGACGACAGCGAAATGCTGCAAGTTTATTTCTCTCTCTCCTCAATCTTCTTTTTTCTTCTTCTTCGGGAGTGAGCTTTGGAAGAATACAAAGAGCATCACAATTCCCAAATAAGCAGGATATCCGTTTGAATAGCATCATCATGCAAATTATTTTACCTCATCAGTCTTTGGTTTCTTTGCTTCAATTTCCGGTAGCTCATCCAGACCTTTAGCCAACCTCTTATGTCTTATTGCATCTCGAAGCTCTTTCTTTACAACATCATCTTTTGGTTGGACTACAAACGATCCGGTATCTGATACTGGACTATTTGGCGCAGAGCTTCCAGCTTCGCTTGACGACTGAATTCAAATTGTCAAAAATTAAGAAATGTCAGATAGTTAAATATATAATAGAAATAGATAATATATAAGTGTCTTATGGCACAAGAACATAACGTAATGAATACAGCGATGATTCATTGACATACCGATGATATTTCAACGTCAACAGGAGTTTTTACCATGGTATAAGGTCGCCAGGTTGCCATGTTTACAACTGTTATAATTGTTATACTTCAAGTCTGAAGCACTATTTGAAGGACGGTGTCTACGAAAGACGATCGACAACACATCGCATTTCAGTTTTATCTGTTTTGGGTATTAAACGATTACAAATATTGAACTCTTCCCTACACAAAGAATAGGATATATTTTTATGTCATCAGCCATTTAATGAGATTAGACAAAGGTGGTTATTTTCGGTGATGATTAACGATGACATGGCGTAATGAAACGAGGGCTTTCCGATTGAGTTACGAACACATATTATGTTATGTTAAAACGCAATGAAACACTATTGCTTTGTCATGAAATATTTCAATTATTCATCTAAAAAACAAAAATGTTCTAAAGACTAAATTTGCATAGTATTTTATTGTTCAGAAAGGTGCAGCTCATTAAAAACATGAAAGATTAAAGCCATTCAATGTTTGCACGAACCTGAACGTAACCTTATGAAGGATGGGAATAAATTGAAACAAATATAAAGAAAAGACCACCAATTTGATATTCTTTGTACAATTGTACTTATTATTTTTTCTCTCCAAGACAATTGACGGTATTCCCCGTGAATCCAACAAAACTTAAAGTCGTATTATTAGTAATAATCATCGATAATTGAAGAAACTTTCAAAAGTTGGGAATTTTATTCTATAAATTGCATTTGGCGACTTCCTTCCTTCATCTCGACAAAACAGCTTTCCTTTAACTGAGCAAAACCACGGGAATGATGATGATGACGGAAACGGGGATGATCGCTCGAATTAAGAACTAAGACAACAGATTTTTTTTGTAAAGCGAAGTAAAACTCTAATCAAAGTTAAAAGAGCTGTTACAAGTTAAAGCGAGAGTGCTTTTTCCGATTGAAATATGGTCGATGTTGACCCTGACACTTTGTTAGAATGGCTAAGCTCAGGCCATGGCGAAGAACGAGATATGCAATTAATTGCTTTGGAACAACTTTGTATGTTGTTGTTGATGTCTGATAATGTTGACAGATGTTTTGAAAGGTGAGCATAGTGAGATTTGTCTATAAATTTCTGATAAATGCTGACGATATCTTTTTACATATTTTTTCATCGTTGTGTTATTGTCATTCAATGTATATAAAAGTTGTCATTATTCATAAACGAAATTTTATTTTCATTTTGTGTCAGTTGCCCACCGAGAGTTTTTCTGCCTGCATTATGTCGAGTATTTCTTGATGAAAGTGCTCCTGAGAATGTACTTGAAGTAACAGCAAGAGCAATAACATATTATCTTGATGTTTCTGCTGAATGTACACGAAGAATTGTGTCTGTTGATGGTGCAGTGAAAATGCTGTGCAATCGATTGGTAGCCGTGGATTTAGAGTCTCGTACAAGCAAAGATCTAGCAGAACAATGTGTCAAGGTTCTAACCATAAACTGTTTTATTCCTGTGTGATGTCTCTTTTTGTTGATTATTCGTTATTGTTTCAAGGTTCTTGAGTTGATGTGCACTCGTGAAACCAGTGCAATATTTGATGCTGGTGGTCTTCATTGTATCTTGACATTCATCAAAGAGTTTGGTAATCATGTTCATAAAGATACCTTACATTCCTCAATGTCTGTTGTTTCAAGACTATGTAGCAGAATGGAACCACAGGATACTCAACTCGAGACATGCGTTCACTCTCTTTCAATGTTGCTTAAATATGAGGATGCTTTTGTAAGTTTCCAATGTAATAGAAGTGGGAGTATATTTTGTATTTCCCAGGGATGGATTTGATGTGGGTGATGTGGTTAGTCCCTACTAGTTTTGGGTGCAAAAAAGTGTCAATCTTTCTTCCAAATATTATATACCAAGCAATAAAACAAAAGCAATTGTGATTTGTGTTTGCTAGAGTACACTGTCAAAAAAATAACTTCCAATAATCTTAATTAAAGTGGTAGAATTTAAAAAACAACTAATACATAACATGGCTGCACCCACTTGGTAGCCATTGAAATCCAATTCAAAGTATAACACCCCTCCCCCCAAAAAATTATTATGGATCTGTGACTAATATTTCCTATTTCAATTTTTGTAGGTTTCAGACAGTGCCCTTAAATGTTTTGCATCAGTTGCAGATCGCTTTACCCGTCAAGGAATGGATCCAGCTCCTTTGGCAAAACACGGCTTGATTGAAGATCTTTTGGGAAGACTAGCCAAGGCGGGAGCTTCGGGAAGTGAACGACCAAATATAACTAGTGGTACACCAGACTCAAAGAATGTCAGTCCTCCAGTAACAACTGTTGTCAGTTTGTTATCAACTTTATGCCGTGGTTCTCCTGTCATCACAAACCTTTTGCTGCATTCCAAACTTCCAGAGGCCATTGACAAAGCTTTGCAAGGGGATGAACGCTGTATTTTGGATACACTGAGGCTTGTTAATCTTCTCTTGGTGTTGCTATTTGAGGGGCGAAAAGCACTCCCAAAGTCTGGCTTGTTGTCAACACCAGCTGGAATACCTGGATTTAAGAAACTAGAGCCAAATGCTGACAAATCACATCGTCAGCTGATTGATTGCATTCGTAGCAAAGATACGGCAGCATTTGTGGAAGCAGTAGAAGAAGGTAGGATTCAGGATGACTGTGGGGGATATGGTATATTTAAATATTATGATTTAGAGATGCTCATCATATTTCATGATTGTTTTAGGAGGATTTGAAGTGAACTTTATGGATGATGTTGGACAGACATTACTTAACTGGGCTTCTGCTTTTGGCACTTTAGAAATGGTATTGTTGTTATCATTTTAAATTTTTGAAAATCATAATTATTTGTTGTAACATTGTTTACTCTTTAAGGTGGAATATTTATGTGAGAAAGGTGCAGATGTGAACCGTGGTCATCGCTCGTCTTCTCTTCATTATGCTGCATGCTTTGGACGACCTCTTATTGCTAAAGTATGTAGTGTTTTACTTGTAAAATAATTGCAAATTTGTTTCTTCATAATGGTGGGTGTCTTTGTTACCATAACAACCTGCATATTTAGATGTTACTTCGCCATGGTGCAGATCCAGAACTCCATGACGAGGATGGTAAAACACCTGCAGATAAAGCAAGAGAAAGACATGATGAAGGACATAGGGAAGTGTTGGAAATATTGCAATCACCAAGTAAGATTATAGAACTACTTTTCTTTAATCTCAACATATTTGGATTTTTAGTTTTTGTTTAATGCTAAAGATGAAGCAGCATTTAAATTCTGTTTAGATGCTTTTTCTAAACATGACATAATGAAACGTAATTATGGTTCTCAGTTTGTATATATTTATAAAGGATTAAGCATGTCAAAAGTTTTGCCAATAATAGCTAAGATAAAAAAAAGCTTAGCATTAATTGAACATTGGTTATGAATAAAATAGCTGACCATCACTGGGGATCAAAGACTGCTGTATATATTAATTTGAAGAAATAAGTTACAACCGTTGATGACAGATGTTGATATGACCATGATTTTCAAATACTTTTATTACATATGTGGTAGAGACAAAAATAGTTCATTATTGTACCAAGGAAAGGTGTGTGTGTTAATCTTCTGGATGTTTTGACTATGTACTAAAAGGATGCCTCTCCCTACTCGTTTTTTTAGGCGACTGGATGACGCCATTTAATAACAGCGCTAATGCCGCTGGCGGAGGTAAAGGGACAAGTGATGGCAAAGTGAAAAACGCGGGGAAAAGTGACGAGGATGATGATTGTGGAGATACTGCTGACCCAGAGACTGCATCATCCTACATTGTTCACCTCCTCCCGCTGTTTATGAAGGCCTATCAGACATCGATGGTGATCTCCGTGAAGAAAGCAATACTTAGTTTAAGTAGGAAGATGGTGTTCTACAGTACTGGTGAAAATCTTCAACAACTTGCTAAAATCCCAGGTTTTGCATCAGGTCTTGTTGAAATGACTGCAGCAGTGTTTGAGAATGAGGTACTAGTCCATCATGATATCATTGATTAATAACCTCATTTTGATGTTAATGCTTTAACTGCTGTTGCTCGTGGGAAATACTTTATGTAACATTAATGATTGTTTTAAGTGACCAAGCTATGACTATCTATTATTTCTATGTAATAATTTATCCCGTATCGTATTAGGACGATGATGATGGTCACCTAGCAGCTTTGAAAATCATTCAAGATTTACTGGAGAAAGCCAACGATCCTTTTATTGAACATTTTGCTCGTCTCGGCGTCATTAGTAAAGTTTCGGAGATTGTCGGTCCTCTTCTTGAAGAAGAGGGCGAAGATGAGCGGGAGTCTGGTGTTGAAACAGGCGTTACACCAGCCGCATCTCAGGAAGATAAGGTGAAGAGAATGTTGAATGTTGAAAGTCCATTTTAGCGATTTCTAGTTCTTATTAAACATCCTTTCCAGTTAGCGTAGTCCATATCTATATCTTGCATTCAATTCTCATTAAAAAGACTGTTCAAGAAGATGCAACTGAGATCATTCAAGGAGAACCGTATCATTGGAGAGACTGGTGTATTATTCGTAGTCGTGATTGTCTTTATCTTTGGAACGACTCGTGTGCTCTTGAATTATCAAATGGAAGCAATGGATGGTTTCGGTTTATTCTTAACAATAAACTAGCGACGATGTATTCCAGTGGTAGTCCTGAGGGAGGATCTGATTCGTCCGGTAATATCATTCAGAACTCAAGTAATTTCATTGGTCTAACGCACGAGATGACGTCACATAAATTGGCTATGCTTTAAGATTTTACTGAGAATGAATTATCCCGGAAATGGGCTAAAATTTGGATGAAGATTTAGCTCGAACAGTACACCAGTTATAAAAGCAATAAGAAACAACATAAAAAGATTTTTTGTTAAAGTTGGAAAACGTCAAATATCTTTCGCATTTCTTTCACTCTCACGATTTTGTTGCTTTTCCATCCTTCCGTTCTTTCTCTGCAATATGTTTTACTATCGTCTTTTCAGTATAGAAACCCACTAACTAATCATATCCTTAGCTTTATTTCTCTGTAATATGTTTATGAACTTCTGCGATCTAAATTTTTACTTTTGATTTTACATTAGAAAGTCGAGGAGAATTCCTGGAGAAGCTTCAACGCGCAAGAAATCAAGTTAAGTCAGACGTAACAAGTCAACCGATTTTATCAAATCCTAATCCAGTGAATTTACTTGTTGGAAACTGGTCCTTTGCTTGTCAAAAGAAGAACGAACTTCATATTTACAATTCCGATGGTCAGCAAACGACAATTCTTTGCGAGGATCTTCCTGGTTTTGTTTTCGAGTCAAATCGAGGTACTCGTCACATGTTCACGGCAGAGACATCCCTTGGCGAAGAATTTGCCTCTGGTTGGGCTGGGAAACGCGGAAAGAAGTTTGTATCGAAAGCCGAAGTTCTCAAAATGAAAGTCAAGGCAACAGCGAAGGAGATTCAAGAAAAGTATTTCGAAGCTGCTTTATCAAGTCCCCGTGAAGTTGTCATTAAACTTCAAGATATTGTTCGAAACATTTACTCTTGTTGTGCCGTACATGAAAAGAATTTAGATGTGAGTCTGCATTCAATATTCATGATTTCGCCCCTTGAAATTTTGCACAATATACTTATTTCTCCCAATCATCTTTTCAGATGAATGGCGATGGTGGTTGGGAGAAAGATATGATCAAAGTATTACAGTCATTCTTGGAGTTATTGAAAGAAGATAATACAGTTTCTTCGTACGAACTACAGACCAGTGGTATTGTACGCGCTTTGCTACACTGCTTGAGTCAGGTTTGTTTGGGAAATTTATTTATAACGATGATGTTCACATAATCTATAAATTTCTAATCAGTAAATGCTCACTAAGAATTTTTCATTTTAATAATATTATAAAAGAAAGCATAAAATTAAACAGTATTTATTTCTTATTGATAAATTATCTTTTCTCATAAAGTATGAACTTGAAGTTATACGTTATTAAAATACGGTTTTTAACCACCATCGTGCAGTATTTTCTAATTCCAGATTCTTTATAAAAATGAATCATCTATGTAGTTGTTTCACAAGACTACGTCTGTATCCAAGCAGTTGTTTTTAGATATTAATTCGTGAAATTTTTCTCATGTTTAGCGGACAAGGAATACGGACGATGAAAAAACGAAACAGATAATGGCGGAGAAAGCTCATCAAAGAATTGAACTTTTTAAGAAAGCTTTTGGCGAGTCCGTGAAATCATTTGCGGAACATCTTGACAGGTAAGCCTTGCCTTAAAATATTCCTCTAAGGTACCAATATAAGATGCTGATGTGATACTGACAAGACTCAACTCACGAATTGGTTTTGTTCATAGTTTTGAAGCCGCTTCTCCGGCTGTGTCCCTGATTCGTAAACTCATTGCAGTGTTGGAGATGTCTGAACGCCTGCCTGTGTATTCATTTGAAAATATGGCGAACGGATTGCAGATACTCACTCGTCGCCTTCGTATTCGTCTCGAACGCTCATCGGGAGAAAATAGTCTCATTGACAGAACTGGCAGGAATCTAAAGATTGAACCCCTTACGACAATTGAAGCTTTGAAAAACTATCTTGGTACAATGGTAAGACAGGAGTTGTTCTCAAACTCCTAATACCAAACTACTCGGTTAAAAAAGAAGTTGGTTTAGTAAAGTTGTTTATTTTGCATATTATATTTTGGTCTACCCGGAGTGTACAGTGTTTAGTCTACCAAAGCAATTTCTCATTGGTGGTTCAGTTTTCTCAGAATTAAGGCGTCACTAGTTTTTAGCATTGTGCTAAAACAGTTGATATGTACACTGACGAGTTGTTCATAGCACCTTAACTTGAGTTTGAAGAGCCTAAAATAAAATATTCAATTCTCATTGCATACTTGCACCTTCGTTTTTGATGCTTCAGAACTTTTTGAAATTAGCTAAGGTCAAGATTTGACCTTAAATTGTCTTTTGGAATTTCGCCTGTATAATTTTGGCACAAACCAGTGTATTTTTATCGTTTAGGTGGCCAAGCAATGGTTCGACTTCGATCGAAATACGTTTACGTTCATAAAGAAAATTAATAATTCGACTAATGTGTTCACGCATTCTTCAGACTTTGATGATAATGGTATTTTATATTGGATAGGAACAAACGCAAGGTATGGTAATCACGGAAACTACAGGAAACATGCTAATTGTCCAGACAATTCCTTTAATATCCTAATCTCAAATCTCATTAGAACCACATCGGATTGGGTGAATCCAGCTTCGGTTGGGTTAGTTGTTGTTACGTCATCGGAAGGCAGAGCGCTGCCTTATGGGAAGCTTGAAGATATAGTGAGCAGAGATAGTGCAGCTCTGAATTGTCATACAAATGATGATAAGTATGTATGACTTGGCATAATTTATTTTTAATCTGCCTCATTAATAATGATGCACGGTTTGTTACAGTTTTTTGTCTCCTATAGAAATGCTTGGTTTGTTATCGATCTTGGTGTGTTTGTCATTCCGAGCTCTTATACATTACGTCATGCTAGAGGATACGGAAGGTGAACCAATATGTTCCCATTTAGTACCCTTTTATCCTTCAATCATCGTTCTTTATAATCTTCTTTCTTTACTCGTTTTATGTTTTTTTCAACAGATCAGCGTTACGTAATTGGTTTTTGGAGGTTTCTAAAGATAATAAAACATGGATAATAGTAAAAACTCATACAAATGATGCTTCACTTAGTGAACCAGGGTACGTCTTACGGTTAAATACCTTTGATTGCCATGCTATATATTCTATAAATACCTTTGATTGCCATGTTATATATTCTATAAATACCTTTGATTGCCATGTTATATATTCTATTAATACCTTTGATAACCTTGTTGTAAAATTTTCCAGATCAACAGCAACATGGAAACTTGATGTGGTACCCGAGGATAGTGAAGGATGGCGTTACATACGTATACATCAAAATGGCAAGAACGCCAGCAATCAAACGCATTATCTTTCACTGTCTGGTTTCGAACTCTACGGTACAATAGTCAGTGCCGTTGAAGAATCTCTCGGTATGTAAATAACAGGAAATTAATGTCGTTATTTATTAATCTTTAAATGGCCATAGATCATCTTATCCTTGAAACAGCCATAGATAATCTTATCCTTTAAACAATCATAGATCATCTTATCCTTGAAACAGCCACAGATCATCTTATCCTTGAAACAGCCATAGATCATCTTATCCTTGAAACAGCCATACATCATCTTATCCTTGAAACAGCCATAGATCATCTTATCCTTGAAACAGCCATACATCATCTTATCCTTGAAACAGCCATAGATCATCTTATCCTTGAAACAACCATAGATCATCTTATCCTTGAAACAGACACAGATCATCTTATCCTTGAAACAGCCATAGATCATCTTATCGTTGAAACAGCCATAGATTTGTCAATTCTTCAACAGCCACAGATGTACTAACAGCCATAGATTTACTAATCCATCGAAAAACATGCATTTACTATCCTTGATTATTTTGTGTTTTCAGGGCGACCTGTGCGCGAGCATGAGTCCGTAGTCAAACGGCAACGAAGAATGAAAACGTTATTAAAACATTTTACTGGTAAGACAGGTCGTGGTTTTGGTGGAGTTTTAAAGGAAGGTGATCTTCTTGAACCAAGTGTTGAAGCTGCCTTAGCAAAGGAATTGTCTGGTGGTGAGTATTGAATATTTGTGCCGAAATTAAACATAGAAAAATGCCACTTGTCATTATTACGCTATTGGCTTGTTTAGACTGGGTCGAGGTGGCATGGGCCGAGGGTCTACCAGCTGCATTACGTAGTGCTGCAATGAGCATGCGCGCTGGTATGAAGGAGTTAGTAGGAGAGGCGAGTAGTTCATATTCCCACGCGGTTAAACATCGATTAAAAGGATCTGGCAGGGGAAGGGAAGGAACCTCGTCGTCTGGTGTATCCATCAAAGTTGAGTCGTGCGGGGTATCAGCTGGAACTCTCTCGAGTAACGTCAAGAATCTGGAGAAGGTCTCTGCTGCAGCTGTTGAACAAAGAAAGAACGAAGAAGTAGAATGCAAAACAGCTGATGATGAGAATGGTACTACAGGGGAAACTTCGGTTGTTAGCAGTAAACAGTTGGAAACAACTTCTGAAGAATCTGAAGATAAGAATGAACGGAAAGACGTGAAATCCGCTTCTCCTAATGGTTTAAATACAGATCAGAGTATTGCAACACCTTCAGGTACCTTTGAGGACAACCTGGGTGCAACAATGGATACAAGTGTGTCCTCCTCTAGCCAGACTACAAATACTGCTGAGGATGATCGAAAGCAGACAGCGGCGGTTGATGAGCCTGTGGGATTGTTGGAGATTGTAAAAGATGGCCAAAACTCGGTAAATCAGTCTGAAAATGCGACTGAAGAGGAAACTCCAGCGACAAAAGGGGAAGAGGTTCAGATAGAAGTTAAGGGAATCACGTTAGATGAAGATGTTAGCTCTGTAACGTCACAAGAAAGTAGAACTTCTGGAATGATCTATAGAGTTACGCCAAGGTAATTATGTATATAAATTTATTTACAGTATAGTAATCAAGTAACATACCTTGATTTGGTCAAGTCAATTATTCATATAAATATGTTTACTGTATAACAACTGAGTATCGATGCTTTCAAAGACTTTATATCATTTCCAGTGCTAGTGGTAAAGTCATGAGTGTTGGTAGTACAGCAAGCACAGCAAGTAGTAATCCAACATCAGATAGCGAAGTAGAAAATATTCCTATGGACTGCACACTTCTTGCTGACTTGGAAGATGAGCCTGATGATATTCCTGATCAAGATGAAGAAGAGGAAGAAGATGACGACGATGATGAAGATAATGAGGAAAATGAAGATGAATTTGGAGAGGTACTATAACACTGAATAGTCCAAGATAAGTCATGTACATGCTAGGATTACAAGATATATTGTATTATGACCGTGGTAGAATGTATTGTTGTGATATTTTAACACATATACCTATAGGGAATAATTGAAGCATTTTTGTGTAGATGGAGGAGAATGAACTGCACAATTTGAGCATGCGCAGTCGACGTTCATGGGACGATGATTTCTGTTTGAAACGACAGTTTACCGCCTTGATTCCAGCGTTTGACCCTCGTCCAGGTCGTAGCAATGTGCAACAGATACAGGATGTTGAAGTTCCGCTTGAATGTAAGCGCTTATTTTGGTTGTTGGCCCTTCTATGTCCGCTGACTTGTAGGTCTGCAGACGGTATTGTTTACCGAAATCTTCACGATATTCGAACATGTACCAATTGCTACATCAAGTCACATGACCATTTTGCACAAGTTCAACTTCCTGTTTATCGATTGCTTGTTGTTTTCTGCATTTAGGTTTTCGATTTTTTGTAGCCTGAGCAACTTTTTTGTCTGGCACAAATACTTGTAGTTTGTAGCGCACATACTAGACATATAGAAGTAGACTGAAACTGTCGTCTTCGTTTGAAGTACCGAAGCCAAGTTTCGTACTGTTGCTGTTATTTCATTGCCTCAGAAAAACGTATTTACTAAATTTTGTTGTTACTTGATTTAGCTGAACGAGACTCATCATCAACTTCACGTGACAGCGAGATCTATTCCACTCCCGAGATTGAATTGGTCTTGAAATCTCCGAGCACTCCAGGCGTGCGTTGATGTATTTAGCTCAGTTATCTTTATGTCGACGAACATTGCGAATAAATATTTTTACTCTTTTACAGGCTCAAGAGGTTAGCATCCCTCTGGAGGATCCAAAAGCGACCATATTCTCTTACATTCATAAACTTGCGTTATTGTCAGGAAAGATGAAGGCCGAACGTCTTCGTCGTATCTGGGAGCCAACATACACGTAAGTTCGTTATAATAACAGCAACGCGTATGAAAAACAAAATCTAAATTAATTATTGAATTTTTAGTCTCATCTACAAGAGTCTCGGTAACTCACGCAAATCTTCTGGTGAACAAGGAAAAACGAATGAAATTGTAAGGAAGCGAACACGGGTTTTATTGCTCCCAGTTGTGAGGCTAGCATCTAACTTTAGTCGTACTATGTAAATTATTGTTTTTACTGTAAACATAAAAACATTTACATAACACGACAAAACTTGTTGACTGGCTATGCCACTAATTTTGCATTAACGTGATATGAAAGCATTTTCAAATGATCTCGTTATGTTTGTGTAGCCATTGAGTCTTGAAGAGGTGGAAAGTCAATTAGAAACTGACGTCTTGGAGGGGACATCACCTACACCTGGTGGGGAGGAGGTAAAATCACCTACACCTGGTGGGGAGGAGGTAACATCACCTACACCTGGTGGGGCGGAGGTAACATCACCTACACCTGGTGGGGCGGAGGTAACATCACCTACACCTGGTGGCGAAGAGGGAACATCACCTACGCCTGGTGGGGAGGAGGGAACATCATCTACACCTGGTGGCCAAGAGGGAACATCACCTACACCTGGTGGTGAGGAGGGAACATCAAAAATTGATCGGTCGTCATTGTTGAAAAGAACCAACTCCATTCAAAGAGCCGTCTTCATCAATGACAATAACTTAGATTCCATTGAAGATATATTGAAACTGATTCGTCTTCTCTACTCTATATCAACTACCTCAATGGAGGAATTTGGAGAAGATGGTAGGTGATATGTAGTTGAAACTGTAGTTGTAGTTATTGCAATACCTTTTATCACTGATAAAGAATCAAGCTTACACGATATGCCGTCTAAGACGTCGTGAAAGGAAAGAGTAAATTTTATGATTATGGGCATATCATGACGTCATATCATCTTGGTTTGTCCCGTATGCTAAATATCACTGTCTCGTTTCTTCATTTAGTTGATGAAAATTACGGCTTCATTATTTCATCTGGCGAGTTCAACAGCAAGAAAATAACTCTAAAACTCGCGCAACAAATCAAGGTTGTCCCTATTGTTGTCACCGAAAAATTCATTCTCAACTTGAGTGGCTTTTCATGGATATATTGGGTTTTTTGTCTAGGATCCATTGATATCAAGTAGTGGTTCCCTACCTCGTTGGTGTGAGAGGGTAATGAGTTCTTATCCCATGTTGTTTCCATTTGATACCCGACAAATGTATTTCAATAGCACTGCGTTTGGGTGTGCAAGGTGAGATGATTTATACTGAATCGCAAAGAAGAAACACACGAAATGTTTCTATGGCAACATTTTCTCCCATATTTCTCATGCAGGACGATCATTTGGTTGCAAACCTATCGCGATGCAGCTGTAGAACGGTCGAGAACACCGAGCTCCCGTCGAGATGATCAACACGAGTTTTCTATTGGTCGTTTAAAACACGAGAGAATCCGAATTTCACGAGATGAAAAAGTGAGAGCATTGTTCAACTTAGAGTGATGAACAACAATATGGCGATGGCCTCTTTTCATTGTTTCATAATTTTAACAAATTCATGAAGTTTGACATCTTCATTTCAGCTTCTGCAATCTGCAATCAGGGTGCTCAGCTTTCATTGTGAGAGGAAGTCCATACTTGAAGTAAGCTATAATCTATTGTGCTACATAACGCACTCTTAAGTGATGAAGCCAGTCTTTATAATCTGCAGTAACGGAATATTGCCTCCCCTTTCCCAATTATCGTGTTGTCTATACGACAGGAAGTGTGATCTGACGTTTTGTGCTATTCTTACAGTTTGAGTTTGAAGGGGAAGAAGGCACTGGTCTTGGTCCAACACTCGAGTTTTATTCTCTTGTGGCAGCCGCTTTGCAAGAAAAGAGCCTGGGAATATTTCTATGTGATGACGATATCCACAGTCATAATCAACAACAGGTCTTATGACATATATATCTGAATCTTTTTAGTATCCTGAAGTATTCTTTAGTATCTATCAAATGACAGGACGTGTTTTACTTAGGTCGACATTGGTCATGGCCTACGAGCTCCGGGGTATTACATTCAAAGACCTGGGGGGCTGTTTCCTGCACCTTTACCTCAGGAAAGTGATGATATAGAGCGTGTTTGTAAATTGTTTACATTCCTGGGAATATTTATGGCAAAGTCTCTCCAGGATAATCGTCTAGTTGATATACCCCTATCAAGATCTTTCTTGAAACTACTGTGCAATGGAGGAGGCGATAACAGTATGGTTCCCACTCTCCCTACAACACACGGCCACCCGAGTAAGATCTCACTTGCAGCGGAAGGACTTGATGATACATGTAGTTATGAAGATGAACGGCAATCACTGAGAGATCTTACTACTAATGAACTGGATGGATACAAGAAGGTATGACGTGTGAGCTGTGAACACTTGTAACGAACAATCTTTGCTTTCTCTTTTTAACCCGTATATTTTGTGCATTATAGGTAGAAGACGACGAAAACGATATAAATAAACTGAATAAACTGTCTAAAGTTTGTCTGATTGAGGAAGATCAACAAAAGGAGCAATCTAAAGAGACTGAGAACGAAACGGATTGCGAGCCTGCCCGGAAAGTTATCTGGTTCAGCGGTTTACTTGATGAAAACGATCTTTTGTTAACCAATCCTCATCATGGGTCCTTTATTCGTCAACTAAGAGAACTGGCTAGAAAGAAATGTGACATACTAAACGATAGTTCACTGACTAAAGAAGAGAAAAAAGAATCTTTACATTCTCTTAAATTCACAACAACCACTGGAGTCACGTGTTACATTGAAGATCTGGGGTAAGAGGACAGAACGAGAGAAATATTTACTAGCCAGATTTCAAGTATAAATATGTTTTTGTAGCAGTAAGGTTGTGTTTATAGAATACAAAAATACATGACATCAAATAGATATATCTTTCTTCTGTAGATTGACGTTTCAGTATCTACCAACGTCACGTGTTTACAAACACAGCGCAATGGAGTTGAAGCCTGGGGGTGAGGATGAGTCCCTATCTTTAGCCAATGTTGAAGAATACGTGCAATTGATGACGGACTTTTGTTTGTATTCTGGAATTAAGAAGCAAATGGACGCCTTTAAAGGTAAGTGTATAATTATTCCTTAAAGTTATTGACCAGATTGGTAAATGGTAAAGTTCTGTGAGAGACTTTTGGTGAAGGTTTCGACCTCTTAAGCGATTGGTTTTTTGAACTTTTGAAGATCAACTTTTGAAGAAAAGAACTGAAGTTTTCTTTTAGATGAGCTTCTCTCTCGTTTGTTTACTGATCTGGATTATCCACTTGCAAAAACTTTAACCAGGTTTATTAAAAATGTTTTTGTTTGTCATGAAGTAAATGGATGTTCGCCTCATGATACAAGAACAAAATTAAACGAGAGTTAATGGAGAAATAGGATGAATAAATGAAACATTTTATGGTTGATTTAAATTAAGATTTAAAAGGCAGTGTTTTTTTAAAACTTTGCACTATCTATTCTTGACTTTCTAGTTGCTGAATCAGATAATTCCATGTGTCAAATTACCTTTCCCGAACTGCTTGAATTAACAATATTTTTCTTTGTCCTCCAGACGGTTTTAACAAAGTTTTCCCAATGGAAAAGCTACAACCATTTTCACCTTCCGAACTACAGTTGATGATTAGTGGTGAACAAATGCCTCAATGGACGAGGGAAGATCTTCTCAACTTTACCGAACCAAAATATGGTTTCACACGAGAAAGTCCTGTTTATCAAAGATTTGTCAACGTACTTACCAATATGACTGGTGAAGAAAGAAAGGTAACTAAACATTTTTCGTCGCCATATGTCAATGAATGGTGGTTTCATGTTTGAAAAACGTCAGTGGGGGTTCATATAACTATATGACGATCTTAAAGGCATAGAAGTTTCATACTGCGAAATGTCGGATCGAGAGGAGGAAGATTGGAGTTTCATATTGATATATGTTACAGGAGGATGGAGTTTCATATTGATATATGTTACAGGGGGATGGAGTTTCATATTGATATATGTTACAGGGGGATGGAGTTTCATATTGATATATGTTACAGGGGGATGGAGTTCATATTGATATATGTTACAGGGGGATGGAGTTTCATATTGATATATGTTACAGGGGATGGAGTTTCATATTGATATATGTTACAGGGGGATGGAGTTTCATATTGATATATGTTACAGGGGATGGAGTTTCATATTGATATATGTTACAGGGGATGGAGTTTCATATTGATATATGTTACAGGAGGATGGAGTTTCATATTGATATATGTTACAGGGGATGGAGTTTCATATTGATATATGTTACAGGGGATGGAGTTTCATATTGATATATGTTACAGGGGATGGAGTTTCATATTGATATATGTTACAGGGGATGGAGTTTCATATTGATATATGTTACAGGGGGATGGAGTTTCATATTGATATATGTTACAGGGGATGGAGTTTCATATTGATATATGTTACAGGGGATGGAGTTTCATATTGATATATGTTACAGGGGATGGAGTTTCATATTGATATATGTTACAGGGGATGGAGTTTCATATTGATATATGTTACAGGGGGATGGAGTTTCATATTGATATATGTTACAGGGGGATGGAGTTTCATATTGATATATGTTAAAGGGGGATGGAGTTTCATATCAATATATATCGTTGGGGGACAGTTATTGCTGTATGACGGTTGAATAAGAGTTTAATATTGCTTTATGTTGGTGCGATATAGGTTCCAAATTTAAAATAATCTTAACCTGTATGATCTTTCTTTACAGGCATTCCTTCAGTTTACGACTGGTTGTTCATCGCTCCCCCCTGGTGGTCTAGCTAATCTTCATCCTCATCTAACAGTTGTGCGGAAAGACAAAGAAGGCGATGGATCTTATCCCTCTGTGAACACATGTGTACATTATCTCAAATTACCGGAGTACTCTTCTGAAGAAATCCTGCGCGATAAACTATTGGCTGCTACCAAAGAGAAAGGATTTCACTTAAACTAATGGTTTTTGTGTGTGTATACATGGTGTTAGGTTGCGGCAAATAAATTTTTTTCGTTGGAATTTCTGTTGCCTTTGGTTTAAGAAAAATTAGTTGAAATCAGGTGTAAGCCCATGCGGGTAACCGCTACAGTATAAGTAAATTAACTTTATGATTATGCACGGTCGAAGTTTTTGAAATCATAGTTAGAAAAAATGTTTGTTTTAAGTTTTTGATAAGTCTATATGTCTAATGCAATTCAGCATACAATCATGGAGGCTGTGCTATTTATATTGATGATCTTTATCTGAAATTATTCCTGAAACGGTATTCATGGATAGTTATTATGCACGAAATGTTTAAAATGGAGTCACGTTTCCTTTGGATATGCACAGCTAATAATGTTTCATGTGTGCATGAAGGTAATGTTTATAAGTTTCTTCGACGATAAGTTCATTTCTGTGGATTTTTAGCAGTTTAAATGGTTTTTGGATATGAAGTCAGTCGAAAGCTGATCAAATGCCATTACACAGCATTGCACTTACTCTAATAGATTTTCAAATAAATTTTGTTTAACCGTCTTTTGTATCGTTTTCTAATGCTAAAATTACATTGTTAATTGTCTATGGTTACTGCCAGTAGTTGACAGTAGGAACGATGATAACACCTCCACTCCGAAATATTGAAATTTAAAAAAGTGTACTGAAGATTTTATTAATTACACTATATCGTTACCCTATGTACCTAGCGTCTTATGAAATGGACCTTTTACATGATTACATGAAACAACGACCTTTTGACATGATTACATGATTATTATAAGAAAATGCATGCTTTCGGGCATATTAGCGATTAAACGTTCTGCAAAACTGAGGGAGGTTTAGTAAAAGTCCGAAGGCGCAGCCGTATTCTTGGATAGCAACCAATCTCCACGGAATTATGAAACAATGTGTGATTCATTACGCATCAATTGATTACACGATTACACTGTAATTGATCACACATTTTCACCCAAAGACTATAATACATACATTTTAACACATTTTCATGCAAAAATAATAATTTATGCATGTTTTCATGCTTTCATGCAGACTATAATTCACGCAATTTTTTCACATTTTTATGCAGTATAATTTCGTAGAAGCACTATGCGCATTTAATATAAACGACAAGTTTTTTTAGAAAAGACATGTTTCAACATCTCATAATGCCATCTTCAGTATAAGTGAAATAAATGATACAAGGTTTTATTAATATTTCACTTATAGGGAAGATGGCATCATGAGATGTCGAGACAGACTATAATTCACGTATTTTCACACATTTTCACGCAAAAAATATAATTTACACAATTCTTCAGATTCTCACTAAAAGATTATAATTCATGCATTTTTTACACATTTCACGCAAAAAATATAAATTTCACATTTTTTCATATTATCACCAAAAGTCGCAACTCCGTGAAAAATTGAAAAATTGTGAAAATTATATTTCTTGCGTAAAATGTGAAAAACGCATGAATTATAATCTTTTTGTGAAAATATGAAAAATGTGCGATATATATATTTTGTGTGAAAATTTTTAAAATGTGTGAATTATAGTCTTGTGGTGAAAATATTTAAATATTTACCACATGGCAATGCGTGAATTGACTTGTCATAAAAAGGCAGACGCTGTAAAAACTGCAATTTCCAGCATTTTGGAACACCTTCGAAGCCAATTTTTACAGGTTTACAAAATAAACAAAGTTGTTGTTTTTTAGTTTTTTTCCAAACTCGCAAATGTCAGGGCTCTTCAGTGTTTGTAGTGTAAAGCAATAATGTTATTTAATGTTATTAAGCACTGTCTGACATTTTTTAAACAATAAAGCATTACAGTAGCCAGTTGCGTTGTCTGATATTTTTAAAGTAACGTATCAATAAAACATAAAGCAAATTTTAAACAGATATTACCTTCAGCAAACTCATCAATAACTCGTTCTATGTCAGGAATAATTTCTGAATGAATTCACAAAAAAGCTAAGCCACTTAAACCTTCTTCTACAATAGTGTTGTTCTTTTGGTGTTTTAAGATTCCTCAGCAATGAAATTGATCTCATACATTCACATAAGTTGATTGGTAGTATACCTAAAATGTAAAGAATAACTTGAATATTAACTGTGGTTGAAACCCCTTCAGAACTTCTAAGAGACTCAATAGATGTTGCATAAGCAGATTTAGAAATGGATGCAAGAGAAGCATCAGGCACACACTTAACTGTCTGTTCTTTAAAGAAAATATCTCATTTGAGACTTTAGTAAATGGTTTTTCTTCTTTTACAAAAAAAAAATGGAAATTATACAAACTCCTTCAGGTTTTGATAAAGATAATAAACTTTGCTTTTTTAGAAACTAATGAGTGGGATTTACCTAAAGTTATTCTTTACTATGACTCATGTACTCTAAAATAAACTAAAGAAGCTTTGCCCTGATTTCACAAGTCCCTTCGTAGATTTCAAAGCAAAATATGAAGATCAACTGTTGGCTTATTCAAATTTGTTTGTAAATGAGCCAGTGAAGTTATTACAGATTTCTCCACAATCTGACGAACTGGCAGCAATATTTCTTCCAATAACTGCAGAAAGAGCTATAATACAGATACACTAGTTCTTCTCCAAGCAATTTAAAATTGCTTCATTTTAACCAAATCTTTCCCAGTCAATAATCAAGAATCTATACTCTCATGTGATGCAAAGAGAGGCAAAAGATGCCTAAAGTCAGTTTAAAACTATTCACCGTGCTGATGAGCAACACTTAAAAATACAGGATGTTCAGAATAATAGCCTGAATTCAAAACTATTTCAATAGAAGTTAGCTGCCTCAAAACATGGATGAAACTATCATAACTTACCAGGAACAATGAAATAGGTCGGTATACACAGTTTCATGTAAGATCAGATCTATAAACATAAGTACCAGCTCTGCATAAGAAGTAATATATTTATATTTCGGAATAATTTTTATATTCGAGAAGCGACTTTCTAAGAATTGTAATTTAAATACTCTTTATGTTTCATAATATGTATGATTAATATGAGCACATTTCTATCACTTCAACAACCTAAAACCTTAATGCGAAACAAAACTTATGCACGTTGGGGGCTAGAGCTATGGCACATATGAATTTCGTAGTTTTATGAAACATTGCGATAATACAAACTTCAAAAAACTATCTTGTGCCCATGGGGGGAGCATCAACAACAGCATGCTCGACATTTACGTACATATAACAACGTAAACTAATCGCAAGAAATGTGGCAAAAGCAATGCTTCGTATGGAAATTGTAAGTAAAATAATATAATTCGTACCTCAAAACCGTGAATTATAACAAAAACAGGCAAGTATATCACTTTTAGCTGTCATATTTCGGCTGACATGATCCGTTTATTCTCGTTGCCTTCGAGAAGCCATGATATAAACCTTGGCTTTCTGAGCAAGTATCAGCATATTGCTTGATCAGAAATGAATGAAGAATCGTTACATTCTCCATACTATCGTTTTTCATCGCATTCCGAACGTTTACATTCTTATGCGCAGTCTAAATGGGTCTCCCGTTTAACATGAATTTGTCGTGTTACACGTGTTTCATGAGACTTTCCACCTTACCACACTTTAAAAGTCAAGTAAGTCTAACCAATCACAGGGAAGCATAAGTCAAAGCCTATGAAGTAGTCCGACCACCCAGGCCCGATGTAAGTCCTGAGTCCTGACCAATCAAAATGCCAGAATAGATCACCCGAATCTGCGAATTTTAGTATTTAACAGTTTACAGTAATTATTCTTTCTTACATGGTAAGCGTCACTTTCGGCAAAATTGTGCGCTTTGATTGGCTCAGAAGCTCCGAAGCATTTTTGCCGGCCATTATTATCCGTAATGGACCACGGTCCAAAACGCTTAATTTTACAGTACAAAAACAACGAAATATTCTTGCACAAACGTTTGGAATTTGAACGTAAGTCCTGTGAGTTACTCGACTTACCCTAGACCGTCCCTGATTTCTAGTCATGGGATATATTCTCTCGTGAGACGTCGAAGAAAGTATGTCTGCATAATTTTTTTCTCTGTGCAATATTTCACCAAGGTTATCCGGTACAGATTTGTTTCAGCAGCTGTACAATGCGTGTTGAGAATACAATATATATCACTCAAAACAAGACGCAGATAGAAACTGTAAATTTTCGACTTTATTTCAAAGCCATTCGTCAAATAAACGTTGACCATTTTGCCACAGGAATGCCATGAATATTTGGATACATATGGGTGAAGTACACAAACGATTACATTTCTTCTTTTTTGACAGCATATTTTACGGTAGTCTTTATCCCCTGTACTCGGCCATGGCTTCTTGATGTTCAAATATTATATTCATATTCTTCTCTAAATACTGTCCATGTGGAGCGAATTATCTGTTCTTTGAAAACACTTAGAATAGTCATGACGGTGTTTTACAAGAACTGGTCAATATGATAACTTCAACATAAACAGCATGCCTTTCAAATGCTTAAATATGGTGCGGTATATTCACTGACAAATTGCTTTTTTGGTAGACGTTGTTGTAACTCTGCATTGATAGCATGCAGTGTAAAGATGTAAAGTGGATCGGTTCGTGGCCAAAGTTATCGTCAGTTTTCGAGTAATATTGAAAGCGCCAATGAATTTTTTCCCATGCAGAAATTCAGTGCTTTCTAGCTTCATACCCAACAAATTTTTTTCTACAAGGTGATTTAGAAATGCGGCAAGTTCATACCGATCAGCGAGTGCATACCGCTCCTACCATTCACCCGCAACTGGCAATCACCAATTGATCGAACAGATGCTTTCGTTTTAAATCCAGTTCTTTTCACTAGAAATAAGCTAGATAATTACTGAGGATGGATAATATTTCTAAGTAAACCATTAATAAATAGAACCATGCACATTTACAGACAATAACACATTGTTATTGTACCTTTGATTTGAATAAAATATCAATACAATGAGAAGAAGTTTGTTCATAGCTGGCATACATCTTCGTTTTATTCTACAATATTTAGTCCTGGTATAAAAGTTGCTCTATTAGTCAAGCATACCTTAATTGACAGACATAGTTTTTCACGAGAGCATAAACAATACACACATCTAAAATGTGAAATCTGCTGACACAGGGATTTTGAAATCTCTCGCGAATCTGATTAACTTAAACATTGATCTATTGGAATATTTCAAACACAACCTTTTTACAATTAAAATCTGTAAAAATGTGAATGCTGTATTATTCTCCACAGCATTTTACTAATTAAAGATTACGCTGTAATGTGCAATTAATACTATACATGGTATTTCAAAATAAGAATTTAACCCTACACTTCCCTAACCCTACAATTTCGTTTGAACATTCCTCTCTCTTTCCATAGTTACGGCAGACTTCTCTCCCGGCGTTGCCTTACGACGCCCCCTCGTATTTCTTGACGTCGTCACCAAATACGTCACCAGTTTTTAATGCAGATATCAAGTCATCGAACTCCCTCCTGTTTGATTCGCCATCTTTTTGACGGTTCGAGTTTTTTCCACGCTCTTTTGACAATCTCGCTCCTTTTGCTAAAAAAAGAAAAATCGATATTTTTATGAAGATATCATGAAACATATTATTAAAGCCCGTGAGTACCGCTATGTATTTGTAGATATAGTGAGTGTAGTTAGTGCAGTCTTTCAGAGTCAAAATGACCAGCGATGTTTAACACTAACGATATTGAAACGGAAGTCAATACCAAAATTAACAGTCCCTTTTTAGGACTGCACAAATCTGCATGTACAAAATCACAACGTCTACTGACATGTAATGAAGATGCGATAATTTCAAAGTTGTTCATTAACATTCCTAATTATTGAATCAAACCAACTCGTTGGTTGTAAGCCACAAAATACAGTATGTCAGACCTATGGCCAGCGATTATAGCTTGAAAACGCGTGACAAAATCATTTACCCTCATGGGCGTCAGTCCTGTCTTAATTGGGGAGGACCATATTCATATATTCTGCTATGCCTGGTTAATTTCTTTTGAAAACAATTTCACTTTCAAAAGAAATAAGCCTGGCATAACAGAATATATCAATATGGTCCCCCCTCCCAATTATCGCAGGATTGACGCCCATGTCTACCCTGACATCGTTATGATAGCTCCCTCTTCAATGTATAAAAGGACACTTTCATTGTTTCAAACCTGAGCTTGATCTTTCGCTCTTTTTTCTTCCTCTAGTTTCTTTTTCTTTCGTTTTTCATTCTCATTCTTCGCCTCCTGAAACGAAGATTCAGTTCTGTCAATTTACTGTTATTTTATATCTACTGCGCGTGCGTTGAACAGAACTAAAACAACAAAAAGAGACTTACTTCAAAAGATACTAAAAATGTGTTAAAAATGCCAAAGAAACCTTCCGAGGTAATGGTCTTCGGTTCTTCACCAAACGCCGCAACAGATTTCTCGTACTGAAAGTAGAAACATATTTAATGTGTCCTTTTTCATGGCCGAAGGTTAAACTAAATGAAAATTCTCACTCTTGTTTTCATCTCCTTCCAGGAATCATCAAGTTCATTGAACGACGCTCGTGCAGCTGTGAGAAAAGCTCCAGTTTCTTGAACGAAAGTATCACCAGATAATTTACCCTTCTTTTTACACTGATAATCATACTCCTGTAAGAAAAACAGAAGCAGTTGTAAGTTATAGACCTTTCCCTTTTTTTAAGGACAAATCACAAACCTTTTCAACTGTTTTGAGTTCTGTTTTAAAATTCTTTACGTCTTTTTCTAACTCTACAAGACTGGAAAAAAATGTCGTTGGAGCAAGCGATCTTTCCTATCAATGATGGTAATCCATAATTTATGATCCCATTCTATCCTCACCTGACTTTAGCAGCTGTCCTAACATCTCCAATTTCTTCCTCAAGTTGCAGTATGGCCGGAAACTGCAAGAACCCAAGACGAGACCATCAAAATTAATTTTTTAAAGTGAATCTATAAATACTTGCACACAAACCACCTTTTGCTCCAAAAGCATGACTAAGTAATCTAAAAGATTAATTTTGCTGTTCGAACTCGATTTTGTGTCCATGATCTTATTGATACTGGCAATTTTAAACCCTGTAGCGTTTCCTCTCGCTCCACGATTCATATAATTCCCAAAGGCCAAGACAACTTCAAGTAAATCACGGAATTTTCTGCTGCGGAACACTTGCTTAGATGCTTCTATCACAGCTGTAGAAATAAAGGTGTATGGTAGTCATGTACAACAGACATTTACTTCAAACAATAAAATGACATCTTTTAAAGAAATGGATTCAGAATGACTTTATAAGGGGTGTGTGCACGGGCTTGCTATCGTTCGGATAAGTTTTCAAAAGGTACTTGGAGGATGTCACCCGGTCATGTCAGATTTATTTTTTAAATTACTTTGATCTTATTTCATAATTGGAGATAATTTTTTTTGAAAGTGTGCTCCATCAAAAACAAATCTTAATTGCGTTTGCTAATATTTACGTAAGTATGGAGATGGGAATTCCTCCCAGAAAATTTCTGAGTTTTTACCTTTAACTTTTGGTTTTATATCGCCCATTCGTTCTGGGAAACGTTTAACGTAAAACAAAGTTCCCAATCGTTGTTCGTAATGGTTGATTCTAAAAGCAAAAAAACATTTGTACGTTTGATACACGAAATGAAAGCAGTCACTTCACATATACGACATACTTGGACATTTCTTATAAAAATCTGTCTGCTTTGGCAAACTGTTCTTTCTCCTTACTATGATCATTAAGCAGATTTTTTTCTTCGGGAGTGGGTACAAACTTCAAGAGCTAAACAAAGAGGATGAAGATAGATTCATTAGTAAAAACGTTTCATTCCTATGTAAGAAGTCGAAGTGAAATTTAACCTGTTCGAGCATTTCTACAGATAATTCACCATCTTTATCCATGGTGAGAACAGCTCGCGCTAACTGTTCGTTAGAAGTTTTTAGTTTTGATAACAAAATTTGACAGTTCTAAACAAAAACAAGATCTCGATGCAAATTTTAATGCAACAACCACTTCTCAACTCAACATATTGGACAGCACCATCGAACCTGGGCTTTCCTACTGTCTATTAAAGACAATTCTTTGCTTTTTGTTTGCGAAGCCAAACGATCTTCTGCACCACCGTCTTTCTAAAATAAACAATCACAATTACTCCCAACAAAGGATATAGACCATTTAAGAAAGTGTTAAAACGAACACAAAATGTACCTGGTCATTCTTAGATTTTTGACATGCTGAGAACATGCGATCAAAGTCGTTAAAATCCATGATTTCATGAATCTGATCAAGCAAAAAGTAAATAAATCGAATGAAACACCTTCAAGAAAGTACTTCTTTAAAAAACATTCGAAACTAAACAAAAAATCGATACCTTCGAGTCGTCGATTTCCGTCCAAACTGTTCCTTTTATTTTGGTCTAGAAAAGAAAATTTTGTACATAAAGAGACATGCATGACAATATACATTGTCACTGAATGACATAGCTTGTCAATACATAACATAACACTTCACTTACATCAGGCAGTTTCGACCAATTAAATGATTTCAAAGGTAGGGAAGGCTTTGGTACATTTCTCTTCACTTTTTTCTGTAATGCACCTGGTAGGCCAGGGGCACCTGGGGGTCCAGGGGGAGGCGGTGGACCTTGAAAAACAAGAGAGAGGAAATGATGGATGTTCAGTTCAGAACATCACAATAATCAAAATGATTCTACGCAAATAAAAATGTCACCTGGTATTGCACCCCCGAAAGGTTGAGGTGGTGGTGGCACCCCTCCTGGTAAGGGCGGTGGTGGAGGTGGTGCTCCGCTAGGAGGTGGTGGTGCACCGGGAGGAAGTAATCCAGCCAATGGAGGAGGGGGAGGCGGACCAGCAGGTGCTTCAAGATTAGGAATTTCCGGTGGGGCACCAGTACTATTCTTGACAAAATGCTCAACATTGCAGTCTTCAGGAATCTTCCCACCAGATTTTTCGACGATCACTTTAAGTTTTTCGATAACTTTTTTGTGAGCTTCAAGCTAGGAAATAAAAAAATCTCCACATGAAACGAGAATATGATATCATAAAACATTCACAATTGCCTTACAAGAATGGCAGCACTGTTAACTTTGCCGTCAAGCTCCCGTATTCTTTCAAATGCTTCATTCTTCTCCGCAGTCTCGCGTTCTAATTTAATTTTTTGTTTTCCCATCTCTTCATTTACTTCGTCCTTTAACAAAAAACAAGACGTTCAATGGGAATCACACAAAGACAACGCAAAACAAAAATAAAAAATTAAAAAAAGACCTTTTCTTGTGACGTCGATTCAAGACTTTTTTCAAGTTTAGCTAACTTATCTCGCATTTCTTCCAAAGCTAAAATACACGACACATTATCACCGAAGAATAACGTGAAAATGAAAATCTTCATTTCGATTTCTCAAACCTTCTTCGTCTTCAATTTTCTTGCGCTGTTCGTCTTCCGCAAGCCTTAATGATAACACGTCGACATTAGCGGTGGAATTTCAAGAATATTTAAAAGAAAACACTTTCCATTTTCTTTACTTACAGTTTACCTCCATTGAGTTTGTGTCCAACATCAATTAACCTTGCATTGAGACTATTCCATCGATCATTTATATCATCAAGTTTGGATTGAAGACCAGCAAGAACCTCTCCTGATTCAAGATCACACATTACTGTCTGACCTGTCTCGTTTAGAGAAGCAAAAATTTCGTGGTGGTTGTTAATATCCACTTCTACAACCTACAACGACAAACTTCAAATGTCAACTAAACATAACAAGTTACGCAACCTACCAAACTGCGAAATGTTCTCGATCTTATTGAAATAAAAATGTGCGAAAGTCCACACAAGTATTGTGTATTCCAACACCGTTGTCAATGTTTGAGGATAAGCAATCAACAACAATAAATGAACACAAATTACGAACTTTTAGTTCTTCTTTCAAAGATGAGCGATCGGTGTGTTCTTCAGCTGCATCGGCCGCACTATCCAATTCAGCAATTTTTGATTCTGTTGAAGTGAGCCAAGTGAGTGCTTCTGTCATGCTCTCATCAAATTGAACAAGACGGTTCATCTTGTCTGTATGCTCTGCACAACTATTGAATGATACATGTACATATATATAGTAAATAGACACACATTTCTAGGGAAAGACAGTATTAAGTACGGATGTTAAAAATATTAGTCCTAAAACGGTCCTAATTCATTCAGTAAATATTTATCTTACTTTGAAGCCAGTTTGTTGTAACGTTGTGTATCACGATGTGAAGTTAACCGAATGTCACTCGGATTATGTTCAGGGAATTCTCGTATTAATTCGTTGCCAACATCATTCAACCTATCTACAAGCGGTTGCCAACTTTCGACTTCATCTACAAAATTCTGCAGCAAATAAAAAGTCCTTATATTTAGCCAATAAAATAACACAATGGCAAATCATTCTATAATATTAAGTTCTCCAGTGATATAAATAAAATCCAATAGCATACCTTATGATTTGTCAGTAGTTCTTCCAGTTCCGCGACAGTATTTCCAGACGCCTTCCAAACTTCTACCATTTTTTCTTCTGCCCTGGTAAGCCATGCTTCCAGATCCGTTTTGATCTTTTCATATTGTCTCCACAAATTCCACATCAGATTTATCCGTGTTAACCATTCATTAGACTGCTGTTGGACCCTGTGCCAGTGATCCTTGAGAGACTGCACCTGTTGATGCAATATGTTCTTATGGGACTCATCGTCTGTCTCTTCCTCGAGTTTAAGACTCATTTCAGAAATATCATTCAGAAGATAATGTTTACCACGAAGTTCTCCCTCCACAGACTGTAACAACACAAACAGATCGTTGATTAAATAAAAATCCTAAATGCATCTTTCAAATCATTCATGATTCATTTATTCTTACCCAGCAAACTAACCTGTTTCTGTTTGTTCGTTAATCGTTCCATTTCATCAACGTTACCAAGCATGATGCGTTGACTTTTAATGACTTCTTCAACAATAGAGAGCCAGTCATGAAGCTCTGAAACAGCTTTGTCAAACTTAGGCCATGGAGTCTTATCTGTAATAAATGGTAAAAAATACAGTTAAAAGTCGAAACAGTAATGAGAGGGATATAAAAAGAAATCAAAAATACAACAGACAGTAAGAGGAACCTAAAAATATGAAAAAACATATTTGCTTACCTTCATCAAAGTGCGAGACAAGTATATCTGGCGTTGCAAACGAAACAGTATTTTTCTCAACAACAATACTCTGCCATTGGGTCTCAACTGCTTCTACAGGATTCATGACGTCTTCTTTTGACGGTTTGGATAAGATTGGTTTTGTCTGTAGACGTTGTCTTGTTTTGGGTATACCATCAACTGCATCTTCCTTTTCAACCATTTCAGATTCAATATCTTTGACATGAGCAAGTTGATGCTGCAGTCCATCAAGATCAGCGAGAGATGGATCAGGTTGAGCCAGCGATACTTCCACTTGAGTCATCCATTGAGTTGGATCTTGTGATTCATTAGCTAACTCCTCATACTCCAAATCTTCTTCATTCATGCTAAACAGAATTTTTTTGTATTTTTATTGACATTGATTTTCCAACGACAAAAAAACATCACTTAGTACTTCATAAGCCAATGAAAAAACATCATTTACGTTTTAAATGCTATTCATACCTATACTGTTTATCTGAAACTTCTGTACAAATAATCTTCCAGCGTCTATTGAGATCGTCAAGTTTATTACGAAGGATTTCTGCTTCATCTACACTGGAGTGTTTAATAATCTCATTCCCTGTCCTGTTTACAGCTGCTACGGTGGGTTCGTTGTCAGCAATTGCTTGCTCCAAAGGCTGAAGAAAGAATATGGCAATTTTTTCATGAAAATCGTTTTAAATACACAAACCCTGTACTTGGCAGGGTAGCCGATGGGCAACAATCACCACACAAAATATGGACACATTTTTCAAAAAATTCGCCATGTAAAGAATTAAATAAGAGCACAGACATTACTGGGGTGCATAACAAATTAACAAAAAAGTAGAGATTTTCACACAGATTTTAACAAGCCTAACCTCAATTATTTTTTTCTGTTCTTGTATCCTCATCTCATCGTCAGGAATTTGTTCCATACGATCAAGTTCCTGTTCAGCTTCAATAATTCTCTCCTCGAGAGTTGCAATAACCTCAATGATAGAACTGAAAGACCATTTCTTTCTTTTGTCTAGTAAACTACACAATTTCTCCCAACGAGAAGTAAAGTCTGCCAACAATTGTTCCACAGTCGTAGCGCGATAAGAAACACTCTTTGTTTCAGCAATTATCTTCTCGGCTTTGTTCATTTCATCATTAATGCTTGTCTTACGTTTCTTAACTGCGTTGTCTAATGACTACATGGAAAAAAAGATTTTTAAAACATCAACAAACTGTAAATAAGTCTATGTCCATCATTATATGAAGCAAAGGGGAAAAGATGGGATTTAAGCACAACGACTATACTTCTTTAAGGGTTGTTTCGTAGAAAGATCATATCATTTTATTCACGGTCACTCATCGGACCACTCTTAGGATGAATAAGACAACCTGAATAAGTTCTTCCTTTTCTTCAAGCTCTTTTGAAGAAACTTTAGTTGGTTCACTCATTGGTGAATTAAGTAAAGTCTGAGTATCATCCATCCACTGTACACTATCATCAATTTCTTTTTTCAATTGTATCAGCTTTATGTCAAGTCCTTTCAACTAAAAAACAAAACTAATCATTTGCTTTCGTGTTTAAAACAATACTAAGATATACATGCAGCAATTGTCTTCATACCAGTGATATACGTTGAGTGACTTGAGATGTAAGAGCTTTCCATCTTTCATTGAAATCCTCCATCTGATCTTGTATCTGTTTGATTAAAGCAGAATCTTCAGGGACATTTTCGGCAACTTTTCGAGCAGCATCATTGAAATCTTGGAAAGACGCCTGTTTTTCAGTCATTTCCACTTCTAATCTCTACAGAAACAACACAACAAAATCAATCGAGGACCCTTTTAGGGCCACCAAGACACTAGTCCTTTAACTTTAAACTAGCCCGAGCCTGTTTCCTATCACCATTTTGTTGAAAATAATGTCGACAATTAATTGAAATAAACAAAAGTTATGCCATAAGTACTTCATTCTACTACAACGATAACAAAAACAAACAGACCTGTAGCTGATCTATTGTTCTGTGAACATCATCAATGTTACTTGCGTCAATCTTGTTCATTTCGTTAACTTCTCGTTCTCTCGTCTGCAACACTAGCAATTGTTCCCATCTTCAAACAAAGAGAGAACAATATATCTCAACATGTCCATTATTATCATTCAAAGCAATTTTAGCTTCACCTTTCCTCAGTCCATGTACAAACTCTGGAAAATCTCTCCTCCATTATCCCCAACTGTTCCTCAAGTTCAGCTGTGGCATTATCATTAGCATTGTCATCAACTACGACAACCATATGGGTCAATGAATTCACTTTCTGTTGTTGTGCTTCAAGGTCTTCTTGGAAACGCTACAATATTACAAATGTGCGCATTTTCAAGAATGCCAAATTCACATGAGCCTCAATTTCACAATTACCTTGTGATCTTCAATCTGCCGTTCAACTGTTTCAGTATCAGAGCCAACAGGAGCACTGCCTTCAATTTTAGCTTCAGCAGATGTGAGCCATGACCCAAGCTCATCGATTTGTTTCTGCTGTAAATCCATCAATTGCTCGTGTAACCTAGAGAATATAAAGAAAAGAAAATAACCAACAGATAAAACAACACTTACATTGTAGAGTTAAAAAATGTCTTACTTGCTTTGTCGATCCATAGCAGCCAACCTCAATGCCTCCCAACGATCATTCAACATGATCATTTGCTCTCTAATCTGATGTTCTTCCTTCTCTCCAACTAATGCTTCACTAATCAAACCATTTCCTAACTCCAACAGGCTGCCAATGTTTGACTGATGGTTGGTCAAGTCAATCATAAACTTCTACAGAAACATTTATAAACAATTATGCAGTAAATATCTTCTACCGTAAGCGTTCCATCTCCCAAATATACCAAGTTAGTCCCTTCATTTTGATCTCTATCTATAATTACCATTTCCAAATTACCTCATGTTCATGAAACTGATCCTTCACAACATCGACATCATCTGAGATCTTTGCTTGACTGTTCAACTGTTTCTCTGCTTTCTCTAGCCATGCGAGAACGTCGTTCAATTTTTCGTTATAATCCCGCCATTCTCCAGGTGATGACGTTTTCTCCTCACCGGTTAAAGCCTGAAAGACCACGTCAAGCATTTCAAATCCACGACAATAGGAATTAATGTAGTGTAAAACCTCATACTTCGTTTTCATTTTGAGTACTTTTGGTGACAGGTAGGCTCTGAATTTTTTCCTGGTTCTCTTCGTGAGTGAGTGTATCAAACAATGATGTTAAATACATCATGATTGATTTCTTATCCGGCAGATCTCTGTCAACATCTACAAATATATTCGTTTTACGTGAAGTGATATACAGTTTTGCAACTATTTTCCTTAAAACTCTCTCAATAAATCCTAATGCAACTCTATCAACGAACCTTCCGGTTCCAGTAACATTCGTACGCCAAGATGCGTACGAGCGACTTTGAACGCATGCTCAAGATTTCCACGCGAGTTATTTCTTAGTAACGGCTTATAGTCAAACAGATCAGGTCTGAACAAAAAATCGAGAACGAGTGAGAGGATCACGAGGGATATTTAGTGGATCATTAAAACATGTAGAAAACCTGTGACGATGAATGAGAGCATTAAATGCAAGTCCATTTCTCCAACTTGTTGTTAAGTTAACTACGTTTACACCTTCGTAACTAAACAATAAAAAATCACCATGAAGCTAATGAACGACGAGTCTATGAAATGTTAATATTGATGTTGTACAGTATGGACCTAGCCATACATGAATAGAAAAAAACATTTCACCCTTTAGTTGATTGTTTGCACCAGTCAAGAAGTGTCTTTTCAACTTGAGACATATCTTGTACATTATCACCAACAACATCACGTAGAACATCACTCACCTAAAATAAAATTGAGTAAAATCAGCGATACACATGACACATCGTAATGTTAACTTGTATGATAACCATCATTCATATGAAAAAGACATTGATTTCCATCGGTAAGCCTTTACGGTTTGTTCAGGTAGATTTAAAAACTGAAGATATAAGCTGGAAGTATGAGAAGACTACATTCTTATGTTTATTAAAACATTTTATGAGAAAGAAGGGCACATTGGAAAATGGTATTTTTGACATATATTTTAAATAATCTTATACCTCTACAATGTCTCAAGTTAACGTATGTATGTTAGGAAAAAAAAGAATATGCAACAAACGACAAATAAAATTGTTGGTTGTCGATCGTGGACTAGATATAAGATAATACGTGTACAAACGAGTATAAAATAATTACCTGATAATGTAAAATAATGCACCATATCAACGCTAGAGTCAGTTTAGGATTGCCATTGACAATGTCGTCATTACGAATGTTAACAAGTTTAACCTAAAAATATACAAAGCAGAAATGTGCGGTAAATTCTAAACTGCCATAAGCAATTTACTATAGCCAGAGGTAATTTCCATTGATTTTTCATACGTACGTTTTGAGAAGTAAGGAAATTCAATGCATGACCAACATTGTTAAGATGATGAACTCTCAATCGTCCTTTTTCTCGTTTCTACAAAACAAAAAAAAATTATCACATTTTTACAATCAACTTACAAACAATGAAGTGTATTTCATTGTTACGATGACATAAACTACTACTTACAACTTTTGTTCCAGTTAAAATTTCGAGGAGAAGAATGAGTTTGGTACCATCTCGAAGATCTTTGAAAATATCCTTCACTTCAGCGTTTGCACGAGCCTGAAAGAGTGAAAGTTTATATAGTCAATAAAAAAAATCAGTGAATGTTGATTGAAAGGTCGGAGAGTGAGGCTAGGGTCAAGAATTTTTGATTTTTAAGAAGGCAACAAAAAAAAAACTGGGGTAGTCTCGGTGATGTTAGAATAACCACAATTCAGATTAGTGTCTAGAAACTAGCTACTAGGGAAGGGGTTGAGGATATTCGCCATCCTCCAATATGTTCTATACTATGATCTTTATATGTATAACTCTAAAATGTGAATAATCAAATAGTAAGTACAATATGTAAATTACATTTGAAGGTGCTTCGTCCCCCCCCCAAAAAAAACAAACACAATGCTAGTATATAAAGGTAATGTTAAAACAAGCACATGATGTCTGGGTAAATAAGTAAAGAGTGGAGAGTTGAAATAAACAAGTGCCTCGGGTACAGGGACGGCGCTAGAACACTAATTGAGGGGGGGTGTATAGTCATATATTCAGTTGTGGGCGAATGATTTCGTTTGAAAGTGATTTGGTTTTCTAAATACGTCAGTTGGGCACTAAATACATGAATACCCCTCATTAATGTTTTAGTGCCGTCCCTGCTCGGGTACGGCTAAAGGATGAAGTTACTTAGAAATTATGAACTGTCGAAAACAGGACCAGAACGTGAAACTTAAGAATGAGCAAAAGCATTTATCGCAACTATATTAGTTTGAACTAACAAAAATACAAATCATAAACCTTGCTAAACTGTATGTTCAACCATCTTGTAAACGTCTTCTTTTGAATTCCCTCTTTTTCACCTGTCAAAGATTATGTATTGTGATTTCATACCGTTTTCATAGTATTCTTCAGTTAAAATAATCTACAATGTCTAGGAAAGAATTGAATTTGTAGAAAAATAAAGCGTCATAATATCATAATTTCTGCCGACTTATCATCTGATCAACAACCTTCAAAAAGTTCTATCATAAACCCATCTTAAAGACTACGTTTCTTGGTGATATTTTGACTTCGGGTGAAATGTTGTATGGCGTAGGAATATCGGCAAGAAAAAAAGTGATAGTGAGACGATTTTGGAAATATGAAAGATGTGAGATGAATAATGTTTTCACTATTTCATATTTAGCGATAAAGTTTGACACACAATAAAACTTTTAGCTAAGCTAGCTTCCGAGATCTACAATTTTGTAACCTTAGTTAAATAAGCAGATTGCTCTAAAATTGCTCTTCGACTGTAAGCAAAGAAATACTTCGAATATTTAAAATCAACGATCCATAAACAAAACCAAAGTTTTAATCACAAAGCAATCAATAAATGGCCAAAAGTTAGCATTGCACAATTCAAATGGTTAGCTAGATTAACATTTTAAACATTAAACTCTGGTTTAGTAGACTCTGAATGAAAGAGAAATATAATTCTGATTATAGTCGGTTATAAAGTGTAGAGATATTGTTTAAGGTCAGTTGGCGGTATATTTCTTCATCACATAATTCTATATTTTAGCAACGATTTGTATTTAAATAAATTATATACAATTATTTTGAAATATTGCAAAAAAAATATCGCCGTTTACATCGTATACAATTTTTGATAGAAAAATACTGCCTCGTATAATTTATGAATGACGGGAGATAATAGGAAATTGTATTAATTTCAGAGTTCGAAAGCTCCGAAGATACGTCTATATAAGTGAGAAGGGTCCAAAAGGAACAGGAAAATGTATTGTAGTTTTTCAAGAAAACGACGCCCACTTTAACAGGTATTTGTCACATTTCATTTTGTTGACTGTAAGTCGTAATTTGTTTCGTTTGTGAAATTCATACGGTCAATAGGATGTTTAATATCCTTGAAAATAGATTGACACTCACCTGACTTTGTCTTTATTTTAAGGGCAAGTTCGTCCATTCCTGACTGTTCTTCGTTCATGTTCGTTCACTTCTCCTTTATTAAAATATATCAATGCTGTCCATAAATATTTTGTAACTTTGCCACTTTCGTTTATAACAAATTCAAACGGGCACAATTTCGCTTCTCGTCGGTACAGGAGAACCAAACGTTTCTGCTAGAAAATATTTTTAATTCCTAGCTTTGTGTACAGCCGGTCACGGACGACGAGCAGTGAACAAAGTGCTATAATAATCATACCTCGAATAACATTTTTCACGTAAACTACAAACAGATTCCAACGAAAAGAATCTAGACAAATTTGAAAAAAATTAAGTATTTCCGGCACAATTCGAGGATTCTGAATACAAAGAAAAAACAAAAGATATCATTTTAAGATGAAAACGTTAATAAAATTCGACACTTCATCAAACTGCTCATTTTATTGTTTTCAGAAGCTGGCATTGCATTGTGTGCTTGTGTAAGATTTTTCATTTCAGATGAGGTCCTTCTTTCTCTGAATCGCTACGTCACTTGTTATCAGCTGCAAGTGCTTGCAACTCTTTATCTGCACTTCTGTTAAAGAGAATTTCTCGATCTTCAAAGTATAGTGGTAAAAATATTTGACATGCAGAGTTATTATAAAAAATACTATCAGTAGTCAGACAGAAAGTTTTGTTAGTAAAATATATGTTTTTAATACAGTTTACAGACACTAAAATGTCAATATTCTTCGATGCGCTTAACTAAATAACTATTATGGGTAAAACGTTAGCAGGTTTTTTTAACATTAGCAAAGATTCGTTTGACAATAAAGACTAGAAATTGAAACATTTCTCCTATACTAGCATTTTGTCAAGCCAAAAGTTTGATAAGCCTGACAAATTTATCAAATTTCACACAGTAATACATGCATACCATTTTCACGAAATATAAAAGGAGCTCGAGAAATTATATAAGAGCGACTATATACCAAAGAAGTGTTTTGCAAAATTTTTAACAAGAGGGGGATCTCTGATATATATTATCACTGCTGAGCCCCCTAACATGACAAATAACTTTAACGAGAAGGGTGAGTCCCCGAGCGACCTCCCTTTCCCTTCAATATACCCTTCTAAAGCAACCGCCGGCACTACCGCGGGCGCAGGTCCTACGCGCATGGGTACTTCAATCTCAGCAGAAAACATCCACCACATCTGCATGCCAAGAGAATAAAATTCACAATACTCCTAAAGAATAAATTTTGTAAATATAAACGATCTAAATATTACAAGTTTCAAAGTATGAGCTACTACATCAAGGTTATATCAATACCAACATTAGAAACTAATATTTTCAAGTAGCAATGTAAAATAAAGTATTGCACCATTTAAAAAACTAAACAGTATAATCATCGTTTTTCATCACCCATCACATTTTCTTTGAACTGTCCTCAGAGGAACCTTAAAGAATATAACAATATAATAAATGAAACAAAGCAAGAGAAACGAATTGAATATTATCACGTGTTAAAGATACCTCGATCATGAGGAAAGGACGTGTTGATTTTATCCATCACCTGACGCAACTCAGGATCTTGTACACCGCCATCATTGTTGTAACCAGGTCTTTTCATTGATCCAGCGGAGGACGCACGTGTTATAGGTGACGTGGATTTTTCCGATGGCTAAACAGATAAATAAATAATGACAATTGCGCATGAAACAACATGTATTATGCGTACAAAATGGCAATTATCGATAGAAACCTGTTCCAAAAGTTGTTTCAATTTTGCTAATTGCTGTTGCAATTGTCTGTTGTGGTCTTCTAACACTTTCACACGTGATTCATGACGTGCTTTATGTTGTTGCAAAAGCTTGATCTCATCAATGACATCATTTTCACGATCTTTTTGATGACCATCACGACTTGTAGTCAATGACTTCAACTGGGAAAGTTCCTCAAGAAGAGTTCTATAACAAAAAGAAGCAAACTAAACAATTTAAAATTTTTAGCATAATTACATTTCATTGCAAAGTTTTCACAAACTAATCTCATTATATAGGCTGGTGGTACAATACTATTACCTATTTTCATCTTCAAGATCAGCACTAGTCTTATCCAAGTCCTCTTTCTCTTCTTCAGCCAGCTCTTTCAATATCTGAGCTGGACTTCGCGGTTGCTATGACAATCAAGAGAAATGTTCGTTGAATAAGTGATTGTATATGATAATTTTCAGCAACTACATATGTACTGTTGTGACTTACATTGGGAATAGAAGACGAGTCCAAACTAAAGGCGATAAGAAAAAATATGAGAAAGTACTTTTACACACTGTTTCATTACATGAATTCTCATTTAATTAACCCCGTTTTCATTTATTTTACTTTGTAGGATTTTAAAAAATTATTAAAACAAATTTAGTAGCTTTCATATTATTTAATAATAATTAGAAATATATTTTATAATTCATCGTTACTTGTGTTAGATAACCATTAGTAAATTTAATGTTTTAGCTAAAGATAAGTTCAATTGACAAACCTTCTACAAAATTTTGCTATTAGTTTATGTTCGTCATAGATATCATTGTTTGTTTTACTACATGTTAAATCAAAGCACAATGTAAGAATCTGACAATTACAATATGTATATACTTCATTTAAGTACCAACCTCTTTCCTTTCTTCTGAGGCGTGCTGTATTCTGCAGCAGCTTTAAGATCAGCCAACCTGGAAATTGGTGTAGTAATTATCGATTATTTTCTTTTAGGTTAATTCAATAGTCACCGATTGGCGTACATTCCCAGTTTATTGTATATATCCTGGTTATGCCCCGGGGGAGGGGAAGCTGGTGTCTCGAGATTAGCACCCTCCATGATTGTCTGAACAGGAAGATATCCAAGATGCTTTGGAGGTTTATTCTTGTATTTTCGAGGCTTCATTTTATTTTTGACAACTTTGAAGAAATCTTTGACATCCTCTGGTCCTGTTGTCTGAATTGAAAACAAAAACACAACACTTTTATTAATAGTTGTTGTAAAAACCTTCATAAAAAAAAGACAAATGACAAAGACTATTACCGAAAGACAATATTGATGCATTGGATGTGAGACTAAATGATCTCGTGATGTTCTCCCAGAGAAGAAACAGCTTTGGCAGAGGTCATAGTTGAAAGACTTAAGAGATCTGAAGCGAAGACCAACAATAGGATATTCTTTACATATTTGACATTTGGCAAGCGTCACTTTCGGCAAAATTGTGCGCTTTGATAGGCTCAGAAGCTCCGAAGCATTTTTGCCGGCCATTATTATCCGTAATGGACCACGGTCCAAAACGCTTAATTTTACAGTACAAAAACAAAGAAATATTCTTGCACAAACGTTTGGAATTTGAACGTAAGTCCTGTGAGTTACTCGACTTACCCTAGATCGTCCCTGATTTCTAGTCATGAGATCTATTCTCTCGTGAGACGTCGAAGAAAGTATGTCTGCACAATTTTGTTCTCTGTGCAATATTTCACCAAGGTTATCCGGTACAGATTTGTTTCAGCAGCTGTACAATGCGTGTTGAGAATACAATATATATCACTCAAAACAAGACGCAGATAGAAACTGTAAATTTTCGACTTTATTTCAAAGCCATTCGTCAAATGAACGTTGACCATTTTGCCACAGGAATGCCATGAATATTTGGATACATATGGGTGAAGTACACAAACGATTACATTTCTTCTTTTTTGACAGCATATTTTACGGTAGTCTTTATCCCCTGTACTCGGCCATGGCTTCTTGATGTTCAAATATTATATTCATATTCTTCTCTAAATACTGTCCATGTGGAGCGAATTATCTGTTCTTTGAAAACACTTAGAATAGTCATGACGGTGTTTTACAAGAACTGGTCAATATGATAACTTCAACATAAACAGCATGCCTTTCAAATGCTTAAATATGGTGCGGTATATTCACTGACAAATTGCTTTTTTGGTAGACGTTGTTGTAACTCTGCATTGATAGCATGCAGTTTAAAGGTGTAAAGTGGATCGGTTCGTGGCCAAAGTTATCGTCAGTTTTCGAGTAATATTGAAAGCGCCAATGAATTTTTTCCCATGCAGAAATTCAGTGCTTTCTAGCTTCATACCCAAAAAATTTTTTTCTACAAGGTGATTTAGAAATGCGACAAGTTCATACCGATCAGCGAGTGCATACCGCTCCTACCATTCACCCGCAACTGGCAATCACCAATTGATCGAACAGATGCTTTCGTTTTAAATCCAGTTATTTTCACTAGAAATAAGCTAGATAATTACTGAGGATGGATAATATTTCTAAGTAAACCATTAATAAATAGAACCATGCACATTTACAGACAATAACACATTGTTATTGTACCTTTGATTTGAATAAAATATCAATACACTGAGAAGAAGTTTGTTCATAGCTGGCATACATCTTCGTTTTATTCTACAATATTTAGTCCTGGTATAAAAGTTGCTCTATTAGTCAAGCATACCTTAATTGACAGACATAGTTTTTCACGAGAGCATAAACAATACACACATCTAAAATGTGAAATCTGCTGACACAGGGATTTTGAAATCTCTCGCGAATCTGATTAACTTAAACATTGATCTATTGGAATATTTCAAACACAACCTTTTTACAATTAAAATCTGTAAAAATGTGAATGCTGTATTATTCTCCACAGCATTTTACTAATTAAAGATTACGCTGTAATGTGCAATTAATACTATACATGGTATTTCAAAATGAATAAGAATTTAACCCTACACTTCCCTAACCCTACAATTTCGTTTGAACATTCCTCTCTCTTTCCATAGTTACGGCAGACTTCTCTCCCGGCTTTGCCTTACGACGCCCCCCGTATTTCTTGACGTCGTCACCAAATACGTCACCAGTTTTTAATGCAGATATCAAGTCATCGAACTCCCTCCTGTTTGATTCGCCATCTTTTTGACGGTTCGAGTTTTTGCCACTCGCTATATTCTTTGCCACGTTCTTTTGTCGATCTCGCTCCTTTTGCTGGAAAAAGGAAAATCGATATTTTTATGAAAATATCATGAAACATATTGTTTAAGCCCGTGAGTACCGCTATGTATTTTTGTAGATATAGTTAGTGTAGTTAGTGCAGTCTTTCAGAGTCAAAATGACCAGCGAAGTTTGACACTAACGATATTGAAACGGAAGTCAATACCAAAATTAACAGTCCCTTTTTAGGACTGCACAAATCTGCATGTGCAAAATCACAACGTCTACTGAGATGTAATGAAGATGTGATGTTTTCAAAGTTGTTCATTAACATTCCTAATTATTGAATCAAACCAACTTGTTGGTTGTAAGCCACAAAATACAGTATGTCAGACCTATGGCCAGCGATTATAGCTTGAAAACGCGTGACAAGATCATCTACCCTCATGGGCGTCAATCCTGTCTTAATTGGGGGGGGAGGACCATATTCATATATTCTGCTATGCCTGGTTAATTTCTTTTGAAAACAATTTCACTTTCAAAAGAAATAAACCTGGCATAACAGAATATATCAATATGGTCCCCCCTCCCAATTATCGCAGGATTGACGGCCATGTCTACCCTGACATCGTTATGATAGCTCTCTCTTCAATGTATAAAAGGACACTTTCAATGTTTCTAACCTGAGCTTGATCTTTCGCTCTTTTTTCTTCCTCTAGTTTCTTTTTCTTTCGTTTTTCATTCTCATTCTTCGCCTCCTGAAACGAAGATTCAGTTCTGTCAATTTACTGTTATTTTATATCTACTGCGCATGCGTTGAACAGAACTAAAACAACAAAAAGAGACTTACGGCAAAAGATACTAAAAATGCGTTAAAAATGCCAAAGAAACCTTCCGAGGTAATGGTCTTCGGTTCTTCACCAAACGCCGCAACAGATTTCTCGTACTGAAAGTAGAAACATATTTAATGTGTCCTTTTTCATGGCCGAAGGTTAAACTAAATGAAAATTCTCACTCTTGTTTTCATCTCCTTCCAGGAATCATCAAGTTCTTTGAACGACGCTCGTGCAGCTGTGAGAAAAGCTCCAGTTTCTTGAACGAAAGTATCACCAGATAATTTATCCTTCTTTTTACACTGATAATCATACTCCTGTAAGAAAAATTGAAGCAGTTGTAAGTTAAAGACCTTTCCCTTTTTTTTAAGGACAAATCACAAACCTTTTCAACTGTTTTGAGTTCTGTTCTAAAATTCTTTATGTCTTTTTCTAACTCTACAAGACTGGAAAAAAATGTCGTTGGAGCAAGCGATCTTTCCTATCAATGATGGTAATCCATAATTTATGATCCCATCCTATCCTCACCTGACTTTAGCAGCTGTCCTAACATCTCCCATTTCTTCCTCAAGTTGCAGTATGGCCGGAAACTGCAAGAACCCAAGACGAGAGACCATCAAAATTAATTTTTTAAAGTGAATCTATAAATATACTTCCACACAAACCTTTTGCTCCAAAAGCATGACCAAGTAATCTAAAAGATTAATTTTGCTGTTCGAACTCGATTTAGTGTCCATGATCTTATTGATACTGGCAATTTTAAACCCTGTAGCGTTTCCTCTCGCTCCACGATTCATATAATTCCCAAAGGCCAAGACAACTTCAAGTAAATCACGGAATTTTCTGCTGCGGAACACTTGCTTAGATGCTTCTATCACAGCTGTAGAAATAAAGGTGTATGGTAGTCATGTACAACAGACATTTACTTCAAACAATAAAACGACATCTTTTAAAGAAATGGATTTAGAATGACTTTATAGGGGGTGTGTGCAGGGGCTTGCTATCGTTCGGATAAGTTTTCAAAAAGTACTTGGAGGATGTCACCCGGTCATGTCAGATTTATTTTTTACATTATTTTACTCTTATTTCATAATTGGAGATAATATTTTTTGAAAGTGTGCTCCATCAAAAACAAATCTTAATTGCGTTTGCTAGTATTTACGTAAGTATGGAGATTGGAATTTCTTCCCAGAAAATCTCTGATCTTTTACCTTTAACTTTTGGTTTTATATCGCCCATTCGTTCTGGGAAACGTTTAACGTAAAACAAAGTTCCCAATCGTTGTTCGTAATGGTTGATTCTAAAAGCAAAAATAAAAGATTTGTACGTTTGGTACACGAAATTAAAGCAGTCAATTCACATATACGACATACTTGGACATTTCGTATAAAAATCTGTCTGCTTTGGCAAACTGTTCTTTCTCCTTACTATGATCATTGAGCAGATTTTTTTCTTGGGGAGTGGGTACGAACTTCAAGAGCTAAACAATGAGGATGAAGATAGATTCATTAGTAAAAATGTTTCATTCCTATGTAAGAAGTCGAAGTGAAATTTAACCTGCTCAAGCATTTCTACAGATAATTCACCATCTTTATCCATGGTGAGAACAGCTTGCGCTAACTGTTCGTTAGAAGTTTTAAGTTTCGATAACAAAATTTGACAGTTCTAAACAAAAACAAGATCTCGATGCAAATTTTAATGCAACAACCACTTCTCAACTCAACATATTGGACAGCATCATCGAACCTGGGCTTTCCTACTGTCTATTAAAGACAATTCTTTGCTTTTTGTTTGCGAAGCCAAACGATCTTCTGCAGCACCGTCTTTCTAAAATAAAAAATCACAATTGCTCTCAACAAAGGATATAGACCATTTAAGAAAGTGTTAAAACGAACACAAAATGTACCTGGTCATTCTTAGATTTTTGATATGCTGAGAACATGCGATCAAAGTCGTTAAAATCCATGATTTCATGAATCTGATCAAGCAAAAAGTAAATAAATCGAATGAAACACCTTCAAGAAAGTATTGCTTTAAAAAACATTCGAAACTAAACAAAAAATCGGTACCTTCGAGTCGTCGATTTCCGTCCAAACTGTTCCTTTTATTTTGGTCTAGAAAAGAAAATTTTGTACATAAAGAGACATGCATGACAATATACAATATACATTGTCACTGATGTCAATACATAACATAACACTTCACTTACATCAGGCAGTTTCGACCAATTAAATGATTTCAAAGGTTGTGAAGGCTTTGGTACATTTCTCTTCACTTTTTTCGGAAATGCGCCCGGTAGGCCGGGGGCACCTGGGGGTCCAGGGGGAGGTGGTGGACCTTGAAAAACAAGAGAGAGAAAATGATGGATGTTCAGTTCAGAACGTCACAATAATCAAAATGATTGTACGCAAAGAAAAATGTCACCTGGTATTGCACCCCCGAAAGGTGGAGGTGGTGGTGGCACCCCTCCTGGTAAAGGCGGTGGTGGTGGTGGTGCTCCGCTAGGTGGTGGTGCACCGGGAGGAAGTAATCCAGCCAATGGAGGAGGGGGAGGCGGACCAGCAGGTGCTTCGAGATTAGGAATTTCCGGTGGGGCACCAGTACTATTCTTCACAAAATGCTCAACATTGCAGTCTTCAGGAATCTTCCCACCAGATTTTTCGACGATCACTTTAAGTTTTTCGATAACTTTTTTGTGAGCTTCAAGCTAGGAAATAAAAAAATCTCCACATGAAACAAAAATATGATATCATAAAACATTCACAATTGCCTTACAAGAATGGCAGCACTGTTAACTTTGCCGTCAAGCTCTCGTATTCTTTCAAATGCTTCATTCTTCTCCGCAGTCTCGCGTTCTAATTTAATTTTTTGTTTTCCCATTTCTTCATTTACTTCGTCCTTTAACAAGAAACAAGACGTTTAATGTGAATCACACAAAGACAACGCAAAACAAAAAATAAAAAATAAAAAAAAGACCTTTTCTTGTGACGTCGATTCAAGACTTTTTTCAAGTTTAGCTAACTTATCTCGCATTTCTTCCAAAGCTAAAATACACGACACATTATCACCGAAGAATAACGTGAAAATGAAAATCTTCATTTCGATTTCTCAAACCTTCTTCATCTTCAATTTTCTTGCGCTGTTCGTCTTCCGCAAGCCTTAATGATAACACGACAACATTAGCGGTGGAATTTCAAGAATATTTAAAAGAAAACACTTTCCATTTTCTTTACTTACAGTTCCAACAATTCGTTCAAATTCATATTAAGTAAAGATACGTCTGGATCTTCGCCATCTTCACGTTGAATTGTCATCTGTTGGATTACTTTATCCGCCAGACCCCAAATTTTTCTTGCGTCTCTACTGTCGTCTAAATATATAGTTTACAGTGTTAAAGGTAAACTTGAAAAATCAAAAAGGCTCATTTGACTTACTAAACCATCAAAGGCAGATAGATATAATGAATCATCAACTATTTTCTTGTTAAAATATTCAACAAAGGGTCAGTGGTGAAGCGAAGAAAAAATGGGGCACTTGAACTAACAAAACTTAACATACGCTACACCACTACGACAAGATCCACATGAAATAGACAACATACTTGGAAAAAGAAGAAAATGTTGAAGAATAGACAAAAAATGAGGAAATGCTTCAGTTTGTCCAATCTTGCGTTTGATAATCTCCGTCATATTTGAAGAACTTCTTAAGTCGATCGTTTGCTAAAACAGAAACTTTCCATCATCATATCGTCAACTTGATAAAAACAAAGGTCTGTATGATAAAATATAAAACCTCGCTTTCGCCCAGACAATATGCCTTAACCGAGCTTTAATTTAAATGTCGAATTATTCAACTCAAAAAATGAGTTACCGTTGACCGTTTATTAGAAATATAATGATTACCTGTAAATAGTTACTGCAATTGTTACACGTTTAAGAAACATATTACGAGTTCGGTTAACGTAACTTGTATAGGTACGTAACATGCTTTTGTAACTAGTTACTTTTGCAACAATAACTTACAACATTTTACCACACAAACTCACTGAACAAGTCATGTTGTTGTAACTAGTCACTTTTGCAACAATAACTTACAACATTTTACCACACAAACTCACTGAACAAGTCATGTTGATAGTCGTGGTGCATTTGACGACAGTAAAGATACTTCAAAACTAACTTACAGCCCCCATTAATTTGGCCAAATCTTTCTCATCTTCCTGGCGCATCATTTCAAAAAAATCTAAATGCCTAAATAGATTGTCACGAAATAAAACTTGGTTAGAAAATAATTTTTTAATATGATAGATTTGAGCAACTCACCTGTCAAGGTTTGAGTTAGCCATAGTTCGTAACTTTTCAATGGTCGACTGAATGCCCAGCATCAGAAACTCATATCGTAAATGAATACGAAACTCCAAATGATCCTGTGCAAAGAATGTTTGATGTGAGTATAATTGCCATATTTAATAATTTCATAATTTTTACTAAGGTGGTACCATAAGTTAAAGGGCTGTGAGCTTGTAAGAAAGTTGCAGAAGACAATAGTTCATCAATATAATAATCAGACTGTGCAATAATCAGATATAATTAATAAATTACTTTGTGCATGTTATAATGCTAAGATGTAATGATTTTAATCTACTGAATTGTACGGAAAAATACAGACAACATACAACAAGAAATCATAGCAAATACTTAACATTAGCCAGAGTAATCTTTGTCAAACTCAACTATAATCTATCCCACTTCAAACATTGACAAATTTTTCATTTTAAAATCCATAACAAAAAAGTGTACTATTTCAATTTCTCTCATACTCACAGAGCCAGCTCCATATCGTAATGATGCATTCACAAAAGACATTATGACAATTTTCAAATTAAATTCTTCTTTATGACTTCCAGTGCTTCTGTCAAGGTCATGCATCACAGTCTAAAGAAACCAAAATGGCTGACAGATATTAATTACATGATAGAAAGACATGTTGCCGTGAAATAATGACTACAGACCTGAAAACGTGTTCTTTCCATTGCATATTGTTGATAATGGGTAAGTGCTTGAAGTGCTTTTTTATGACCACCAGGAACCAAGCATATTGCAGCCAAGATTTCGATCACTAAAAATGAACAAAAGAAAAATTGAACAAGAACAAAGTGAGGAGATGCAGCTATAATCAAGAGAATCAAAAAACTAATTCTGACAGATTATCAGAGATGCAGTTGTAAGTCTGTAGATATTTCAATTATCTCCAATCCCTTTTGGCTTGTAGGGCAAAAGACTAGCATTCCAGTGGGGCAAGTTTGAATCGTGTCTAAGCCCCATGTTTTTCATTAGCATAGAACTGTGTATTTATTATATTTTTAACTGTATATATCATATATAGTAATGATAAGAAGATGTCTATGAGATACATACCAGCAACTTTTGTCTTTATGTTTTCAGTTCGAAGACTTTGAGCAATAATGTTAATACATTCAGGATGAGAAATGGCATGACTTCGACCATGCTAAACATGCAACAAACCCATGCAATTATATATATGTATGAGGAAAATTTTTATTTGTGGGATAAAAATACATTTTGTAGTCCATATATAAATTGATGAAAAAAAGAGAGAATAAAATTTATAAACTCACAGAATTGTTCATCAGAGCTTTAAAACAACCAATAACTGCTGTATGTATCTTGCTTTCACTGAAATATTATAAAAAATGCTTTGGGGTAAAAAAAAAAAGTTAACATGACATAAAATGCTAAGGAATAAAACACCCATGACTTAAAGTAGTCCAGAAATTGGTGAAATATTTCAACAAATAACTTGCAGAAAACATATTGGTGGAAGACAAATATATCGAAACACAATTAAGTCACATTCTATTGTAATATTGTACATTCTAAAATACATGATGCAAGAATTTTAATAAATTCTAGTGTTGGAATGCTCATTTTCAATAGCCATTCATAAAAAATTTTCACAAAGAAATTTTTCAGTTTAGCAGGAAATTTTGATTTTTTTAGTTTGTTGCTAAGGTGTGTACAGTGGTTTATTAAGAACCTTAAAAGAATATCTTATTATGAATCAAAGTCCATTTTCTTAAAATATCAAACCATGAATTGCAGTCCATTTTTTAAAATATCTTACCATGAATCATAGTCCATTTTTTTAAGATATTCCAGAAGGCATTGCATACCATCCTTTTCAATAAAATCATTAACAAAACTAGAAAATAAAAAAATACATTTGATATACATAAATTTTACAAGAGACACATAATTACATGTTTGTAGAATTAGATCATTCAGGTTAGTAGAGTGCTGACTATTGTTGTTGTTGATGTTGGGTGTTTCAACAAGCTTAGATGACAACCCAAAGGTGGTCAAAATTTCAGTGAACATCAACAACAACAGTCCTTCTCAGGAGTCTACTAACCTGGATGAACGACATCTACAAAGATGTAACAATACTCAAGGGTGCAAACCATTTACTTTAGGCACATAATTCATATCATGGTTGGCTACACACCTTATGGGTTGTGTTCTTAATGCAGTCTTTAGGTCATCCACCAGTTTGGTCCTAGTTTCTATCTCCTCATCATTTCGAGAGAAATACAACTAAAGACAGAGCAAAGTATCATTTGTTAAAAGTCATGGAATTTCAAGATTTGGAGTTTGCTTGGGGTGTTAAACCACATGACAAAGCAAACGAAATAATATATTTTTTAAAAATCATGCAAATTTATATTACACCTACAATCTTTCTAACTGATTAAAAAGCACACCTAACTTTTGCTGTCTTATTGCAATGACATATCACATTTGGTATGTAACTAAGCCCTCATCCTGAATAAGAGATACTTTCCCAATAAAATTACTCAATCTCTTATAAGGAAAGAAGGAAAGAAGTAAAAAAAAAAAAAGGGTAGCAATGACAACTCAATGATTTCCTTACAGAGTTCAAACTTGACATACGATCAATGTAATATTCTGGATAATCAGTGGTACTTGGCTGATCCTAAGAAATGAAAGACACAAGTCAAACAAAAGTACCGGTAATGCACAATCAAAGTCATACGCATTTGGTGAAGTGGCCAGGTCTGTACATTTAGTTACAATATGCAATGATTTCTGTGTTAAACTTGCTGTGAAAAGAATAGCATTCCAAACAAATTAAAAATGCAAATGATTTAAAGTTGGCATAGCATGTGGGCGGGTTAAAATGCTTAGCATACATCAACAATAAAAATAAATTTAACTTTAGGCATTATGAGACTATGATTGCCCAGCCTGAATAACAATATGTTGTATTCATCTTATAGAAAAGTGACAATATAAAACATAAAAATGATTTCAGTGATTACAAAAACCCACAATTTAACTTGATTGTTATCATTATCACTGTTTCATACATGACAACAAACCTTCTTTTTTGATTGATAGAGCTGCCATTTCTTTTCAAGAGGAAGATCAAACATTGCTTGTTTGTTGCTACCAGTTAAATCTAACTCTTCCTACAATAAAAAAATTTAATTAATTCATAAAATATGATCAAAAATAGTCTCAATCAGAAAGTTTTCAGCTTAACTGAAGAATATTAGCTGAAATACAAAACAATATATTTCACACAGTTAATCTATACTTCTTAAATATAAAACATCATTGGAAAGACATCTTCAAAATGTTCTTTGCATTTATGATTTTGGTAATTTTCTGTAAGAAAAAACTCAAGAAATTCACATCATGTGTCATTGAAAGATAAAGTACAGGTGAAATCAGGTAGAAAAATATTCAGAGGAAGTTTTTGACCTCAACAAAAAGTCTTGCCTAGACATGCTTTACTATTCTATAACATATGGCATATCATGTTGTCTCCTGACTTGAGGATGACAAGTTTGTAAGATTTCAACTTGAAATAACCAATCTCTCAAGATTAATCTATTGAATAATCAAATATGATACGATTTTAAATATTAACTAGACGATTCGCTAGTTAACGCAAAATATTCAGTATGACATAAAAGATCTTTCAGTTCCAGCATAAAATTTGGCAAGATACAAATACTTTCATAGCTTTGTCTCGGCAAAAATAAAAATAATTAAAATATCGATGTCGTGTGCTGACACTTGACAAAATTTATATGACGAACTTTAAACTTGACATTATCGTTTTTAAAATTAATAATTTCACTCAGCACGAATTTAACGACAATTGAAAACGAAACAAAGAAAAGAAAATATTGTGAATTCCGCATGCACGAAATACGCCGGGAGACACTGAAGACTTAATACAATATTCCAATATCGTGCCATGATAAAAATGTTGCTAAGAATAAATTGCATAATTAAAAACATCAAAGACTTGTCACTTTCCATCAAATAATGTTATCAAAAAGTATCCATGAAATGACCAAAATATCTAATATACTTACAACAAGTTCAGCAAACTTGGTATTGACCTCTTGCTCATCTGGCATCGGAGTTGAACACTCCAATGTATGAACTTTACCGCCCACTTCGATTCCTTCATAACGAATCTTTCGTTTCTTCGAGTCGTTCCTTTTATTTTGGCTGCCAAAGCACCCCATGAAATTACCTGCCATTGAAATAAGATAGATTCTAAGCCATTATCCCAAAATCTTTGTTATGTTATACCTAAGCACAATCAAAATCAGCAATGAAACTCGTGCACAGGTAACAGCTTACACAGAAGAACACGTTCACAATAAGTTCAGTCTTGTACTCCTGTTGACTCTCTCGCCATGAATGGCGCGGTTAATTGTTCTTTTAGCCAATCAGAAGTACAAGATTTCCCTGCTATTTTTAGCCTGATTGTTGAGCACGTAATCTACCTCAATTCTTAATCCATTTCTTCTCTGATCACGATTTATGACAGGAAGCAATGAAATTAGTGATTACACGTGGCAACAGACCTGATAAATGATATAATTATGTGTTTATATGTTGATAGGCAAAATAAATCCTTGGCTACTGCTGAGTTCAGCTAAAATTCTTATTTATAAATAGCACGTCACGAAGAAAGGCGATTTCCAACACCAAACACACATATAGATTATCATCACCCTTAAAAATCGACTTCTTTTATGACAGGAACTGAGGCACACCATGTATTCTCAAGTAATTTGCAAAACGAAAATTTCATTGACAATCACTTATGGCGGTGAAGAGCAATTGAGTGACAATACAGGAATAGGAGCAGGAGGGGTATGACCCTCGAATTTTCCCATGGACGACATGCAAGTTATTGGGTAAAAGTCAGCTTCCGTATGACGTCCGTAGAGTGGTATTCTGTCTCCTCCCCAGTTTTGAACAGGTTCCGAAGAGCGTGGTCTTTAAAAGATGATATTGTACATGAAGGAAGTCGAAAATAAGACGAGTATTTCTCTAAGCATTCCCTACTATTTAACTGCCAAATTGAGTATGGCAAAAATACTGCCTTAGTTATGCACATTGCCCAAACTGTTATGATTTCTTGTCGTACTAATCATGTGGAAAATTGAAAACTAGGTACATAAGTTTTGTCATGGAAACATACGTGACATTGTTAAGTATCTCGAAAACGATCACAAATTTACAATGACTTGTTTTTTTATTTAACACAACAAATACATTTTTACATAACATATAATAAATATTGTTACAGTTGCATAAAAATCTATCATGTACTATTTCTTTAAAGATAAATTTTTGCATTAAGATCATGGATGAAACCAAGTCCAACCCTCGGTCCAACCAAATTTAAGATTGTTAAAGTTTAAATTTGAAGGCACATCGATGAAAATAACCAAAGAAACGAATGAGAATACTCTGCGTGCTTCACGAAATTTATTTATAGAAGAACAATGCTGAGACTTTGCAAAGTGGAGATTAACTTGAACTGTATATGACTACATGCACAGTGATAATTGAAGGGTCGTCATCAGATAAGTCATGACTACTTATTTATAAACTCTCTTTAAAAAGCCCTCCGTCTGAAAAGTGTGAAGACTGCAATTTAATGCCAAGCTATCATGGATCACCCTATCTCATCAACTATCTTCTCTACTTAGTATGTTCAACGCATCGTTAACTTAACTATTTTATTCAAAAACTATTTTGAACAATGCTATTAAATAATGATTAATTACATAAGTCAAACCGGGGCAACGGTAATGTTTACACTATATATACATCACTGAACTGTTAGAATATTCTATCTAAACTCAGTTTCGGATTTACCACATTAAAAACTGGTTGTCAAAACAGTTGTAAATCTGAAGAAATCTGTCATGACACCCAGAGAAATTGTTCAACAGATCATCGAGATCAGGCAAAGAGAAAAAGCAGTAAATCTTGCTAATGAAGTTAATATTCGTAGGAATGTAAGGCTGTATGTAAACATGGATCAATGTGAAATAGACAAAAAGATTAAAGACGTTCGACGAGAGAAATATCTGGAAGAGAAAAACGAACTAACTCCGCGGGAACAGAGAAGAATGTATCCAAGATTAGGAGAGTATCTTCAAGGAAACGCTATTTCAACAAGTAAGAACACTGGCTGGGATCCTAGTGAAACAACACAATTTTATGACTCAAACAAAGCTACGAAGAATGTTGCTGGTGTTTCATTCAAAACAATCAACACAACGTTAAAAAATGTCAAAGAGTCGCAGTCCAGAGGACGAGAGATCAACGAAATTATTTCAATGAAAGAAGATCTGACGAAAGCTGGTAGAGTTCATAAAAGTTCCGATTATTTTAAACTAACTGATGTCCAAGGCATGGCAAAGAAAATCCATGACAAGTCGACAATTACAGACAGAGTCAGCTCAAATGATAAAGACAAAGTCATTACAAAGATGAATGATAACACGATTCAAGTAATGAGAAATAAGAAAAAAATGAGCGACAATTCAAAGATTCAAAAAATCTTCGTTATGTGCACATCTATCTCCCAAAAGCTGAAATGAATCATTAATCAAAGAATCAGCGAGATCTTATTCATGTCAGAGAAAAAACAGGGGTCATAAAAATCCAGCATCCACCAAGAAAAGAGTTTCGGTCTTACTTCCTTCCAAATTTTAACTTTACATTTAAAACTTTTGGCACAAAACGTACAGTTAATGAGACTCGAGTTTCGCGCTTCAATGCGGAGTCAATACTGACATTAGAACAAGAATCTAAGTTCAAAACTTTGTTGTCTAAAGTATCAACTTTACGCTCAGAAATACCATGAAGATATTTCGTATACATATCTTGTTCAAAAACATACGCACTTCTTCTTTGTACAAGTAATGACATCACGTGACGTTTCGCTGATGACTTCGCATATTCTTGCTCGCTTTCCTTAATGAAAATCACAAAATAAGGAATGCTCATGAAGAGATAAAACTAACGCATGTTTGGTCGTGATGAATAAATTTTAAATCAGTAGCATACTGAATTATGAACATATCATATCCAAACTTGTGAGCTAGCTGCGTCACTGGAATGAATAGATGAATTATTAACTTGTTGGAGTCGTCTTTTTCTAATTTGAAACAACATAAAGTGGCTAGTAGCATGAAGCATGGATATTTTGTTGTAATGAACAAGTTTTATCATCAACTAAAGATTTTGTACTATGATTGTCCAGTTCAAACCCAAAATTTATGCCTTTTGAGATATTTGAAACGCTCAAGAACTTACGATAGCAATATCCCGGTTTTGCACAACCAACTCCCTGTGAAATACATGTACTTACTCTTGAAGAAGCAACTGGTGCATCAGTATCAACTGGATGATAAAAATCAAGAACACAATGTGATTTCAGGTTGATTGTGGCAACAACAGGATAAAATAGAGGACCATCAACATGAGGCTTTTCAAAAAATACACATAGATAAACATAAAATAACATGTAATAAACATTTAGTGTTGAAGGTAGTACTGAAACTTACCATGATTCCTTGTCCCGGAGTGTACTCGTTAACAAGAACATGGTTAGGCCTGTGATTCCCAAAAATCCCCAAAGATCCCAATTTGTCAGTATAAGTTGACAGCCACTACATAAGATATTTGTCAAGACTTATAAATACGAGAATTCTTGCAGAAAAAAAAGAAAAATCCTTTCATTACATACCTTTGGCAGTGTTTCAGGAATCATTCCCTATTAAGAACAAGAAAGTCAAAAAAGTGAGACCATTCATTAAACATTGAATATGTAATGCAACATTCAACATCCACTAGAATATTCATACAACATTTACATTAAATCAGTCATTGTATTCTTACTTTAGCATGTGGCAAACCTCCTAAAGATAAATGTACTTGGTTTAGAATTAATATCATTAGCTATGCTTCAAAATTCTGCCAATAGTTCAGTAACTACACTTAAGTTGACAAACCCCAGTTTTGTAGTCGTCTTTTGGAAAGCTGGGTCCATTTTGGTATAGGAGCAGCATAAACCTTTATGAAAGATAAATACTAAAAGAGTTTGCATCTGTTTTTGATAAGTATGACCAGCATCTTCCTTGTTCATTGGGACAGACAAGAAAGATGGCTGGGTCTGACATAGGCTCATGGAGGCATGAGGCTAAACCTTAGGGTTCCTATGTTTAATCTAGAGTTAATTTACTTTCTTTCTTTCAATTTTTTTATTTTGGGACACCATTGAGTTGAGCCAGAATGCAACTTCTGCCTCCCCCCCTGAGATGCCTTCACGAGAGTAAACAAAGATTCATTCAGACACAATTCAATTCTCATGACTTTAACCACAAGAAAATACAGCCACACCTGCTCGCAAAGACTTTTTTCTTCTTCTTCAGTTATAAAATCAGGGATATAGTACAGCTTGGGAAAGGTCTGGAATGAAAAATCAACTAGATTCATTATACAAAATTTTTAATAAACCTCACTATGATCGCATACATACCTTTGTAATGCAATATTGCTCTATATCTAAAGCCATAAAAGTTAAACTATTGCAAATGAATGATCAGCGATATGTTATTACTATGACATTTGAATAACTGTGCTATGGCTGTAAACTTTGTAAAGGGGTCCTTTGTTGAATTCTTAGGAGCTTTAAGGATATTGTAATATCACTAAGGTTTTAAAAATTTGTGTTGCTAAAGATCCCTAAGTCACAACCAGTGGTCACCACAGTCTCCACAGTCTCCCATTGTCTTCATAACTTTCCTACCACGTAACGTTGGTTCAAATTTCTTATTGCAACGGAGTCATTTTGGAAATCATTATGCAAAATTGGCAACTATTAACTATAATTTTAAAATTCATTTAATAGATGAACAACAGCAAAGAAATGTTTTTGACATAGAAACCAGATTGTCACTGACAAAAAATGATGCGTTGGCCGGGAATCGAACCCGGATCTACTGCTTGGAAGGCAGCAATGCTAGCCTTTACACCACCAACGCTTATAAATGTAATGGAATATTCTTTAATATAAAATCTTTTATAAGATAAGATTTTACAAGTAATTTTATTATGGAAACCATTGAGTTCTATTCATTGTTCTATTATAGAACAGTACAACTCAATGATGGAAACGCATGCAAAGCATTGATCAAAACAAACGTGATATAACCATTAATTTTATACAACTCTATTATTTCATTCCACTCCCACCGGCTACGCACGTCGATAGATTAATTTCTATCACAATTGACATTATAATTTGAAATAAATGTGGTAAAATGTCTGATGAATATCCACAGCGTATTTTTATTTCACATCAATGCAAAGTTAACATGTTAGTGGTAGGCAAGAAACTCATTCAACAGAGCAGAAAATAATCAGAAGTCTTTTAACTACATTGTTTGCTTCTCATAAGAGCACGATGGCCGATGGAAACACTCAAATATTTTATATTTTTACAGTACATATAAAACTGTAATATTTATTAATGTTCAAATTATGAATGTCTAAAGTGAAGTCTTCATTCATGATAAAAATATTCATACTGTAAATCTAGAAGTTGAAAATGTAACATATTAGTTCGCTGATGGATTATTGAGAAAGAATCCATCATCTGTCGAACATTCTTTGATAGTTATTGTTCCCTTAGCTGTTGTGACATCCGTAATGACAACTTTATCGACTAAAGTCAAGTTAGGACAATCACTAACTTCGGCCAATCTTTTATCCACATTTTTATTCAGTCTGGGATGTTTATTTTCTGATGCATTTGGAGTTCTATGTTTCACAAGAGTGTGTGGCAAAGTGACAGCAGGTTTCTGCTCAACCACATTGTTGTTAGGTTTCTCGCTTATAGATTCAGCAGAATGTTCAACAGTTTCGGAGGAGACAACATCTTTAGTTTGGTTGGGAGCAGGTTCTAAAATTTCAGGAGTATCAGTTGACTCCAAAGGTTCCACAGGTTTATTTGGCTGCAGTATGTCAACTTCAGAACAGACTGCATTACTTGAAGTCTCCTCAACAATCCCAGAAATCACTGAATCATTCTCACTGGAATTATCAAATATATCTTTGGGTAATTCCTCTGTAAATGTTGCTTCAATTGGCTCCTTCAAACTCAAATGATTTGGCATGGTATCAAAACTCAGTGATTTAGCCATTTCCACTGATGGCGTTTCATGATTTTGTGTCATATTGGGCGGGTGAGTTGTGGGTTGTTCTACCACCTCTGATGTTTCTTGTTGTTCTTCAATTGTTTCACTTAAGATGCTAGTTGAAGCAATATTGCTGGATTCAGTAATATTGCTGGATTCAGCAATGTTGCTGGATTCAGCAATATTGTTGGATTCGGCAACCTCACTGGATTCAGTGATATTGCTCTTCAAGACTTGATTATCATCCAGTCCACTGTCTGTTTCACCACTAGTCAATGAGTTTACTTCTTCTCGTTCTGCCTCAATGGTATCATCATCCTCAGGCTCCTATGTAAAAACAAATTCAAGTTATGCAATATTGTTACCTATGTAGAAATACTGCTGATTATACATAGATAAATATCTGTTACAATACTATGTTCTACAGTACACAAAAATTCATTCCTTATCTAATACCTTGATGAGAGCCTAGTTCTAAAGCTTGAGGGTTTGGGTTTGAGTTAGGGATTATTTTCGTGTGTTTGTAGGACAATGAATTATTATGTAAATCTCTCATTTAAGAGAATAGGCTTGGTGCAACAATTGCACAAGTCAACCTTGCTATCTAAATGATAAGAAAGATTTGCCCCATTTTATACCTCTGATTTTCGAGATTTTTTCCCAAATCCTCGTTTTCGTTTTCGATCATGCCTAACACAAAAAATAAAAATGGTATTTGAATAAACTTCCTGAAAAGTTGATGATATCCTAAAATGTTTATTAACTATTTTTGTAAATATTTCAAGTTATATTGCTCTCTTTCAGTAACAACTGCAGCAGTTTTCCTTTGAAAAATCTGAATTATGGTTTACGTTACAAGAAATTCCTAATTAAAAATGATCATGTGAAATATTCCAATTAATGATCAAAATTCCCCCACAGTGGTGTACTTAAACAAAATTTGACTCGTACGTAAGTATTTTCTACTTACGCTTCTTCAAAAGCAAGCAACAGTCGAGGATCAAGAACATTTTCCTTCGGCTCCCATGTGTTGTGCCTAATTTTTAAAACACAAAAGTTCATTTTCAACCGACTCCTTTCGAAATCAAATAAAGCGATCTGATTCTTACTTTGCCGACCAGCCTTTCCACTTTATGAGAAATTCCACTTTATTCTATACAGACAAAACAGCAATAAAAGAGCGTCAAAATACGGGAAAAAACACTATAGAATATGGAATAAACTAGAACTAGAAGTATCTGTTTTCATTTTTTACCTCTCGCTTGCGTTTTTTCAATATCTTTTCAGCGGCATAAATGCCTGTTTGTCTACCGTCTTCGTCCATTTTGTAGACAGTCAGCAAAGAAAAAGTTTATAAACGAAACAGAGAACAAAGAAATTGCTTTCTGATCTTGTGTCGTCCATCTCATTAAAATATGGCCAATGTCGTCACATATCTAGGAAACTATCTCGTATATCTTAGGAAGCATTACCCGACATTTGATCCTTATACACAACATATCTGTGTGGACAAGTTAGGTAATTTATAAGTTTTCTTAGTGCTGTTTCTTAAATATTAAAAACACAAACCTTAATATCATCTACTACAATCACTCACAAATACAGCTGTACTTTAGGATTTTTAAATATTAAACAGTTTTGTCCAATTATTTTCTCCACGAAACCAAGATGGAGTAACCCCATACTTGAAGGCACTCCACAAAGCTTCCCCTGTCTGCTTTTGAATATCCTCATCATCAATAACTTTATGCGTCACATTACGTCCAAGAGTAACTGCTTCCATAAGAAATGAAGTTGATGTCAGTATGCTTTTGAGAAATTCTGATAACATTTCTTGAACTTCAGGGTTTTGAGTTAAAGCATGAAGAAAATTGTTGCATGTTTTTCTTGTTTGTGGATCTTGTATTAAACTTTCAATAAAATTAAGAAGCAAATCTTTTGTGTCTTTGTCGTTGAGTAGAGAATTCAATGTAGTTATCACAACTTCTTGCAGTTTCTCCTGAATTTCTGGTTGATTAAGGACATCAGTGACAAACATCACTGCACTTTGCTTCACATCTTCCTTTTCTAAAACAGCTGTAAGAAACTTAGTGACAAACACAACAGTATTTTCCTCTGTGGTAAGTCTTTCCAAAACACCTTTTGTCATTTCATGTGCTTTCAACATAACATTCTCATCACCTAGACAAAAGGAAAGATTGATTATATTTTGAAAATCAATAAGTCACCCATTGTCTTTGCATACTAACCCATTGATCGGGATGCAACATCTGCAACTTCATCAGCAACATTGCTACGCAACTGGTCTCTACATGCATAAATAACCACCAAGGTAAAGACAAGAATGGATACACCCCACCTTAATGTTGAGTATCCATGAAATCGAGACGACTCTTCCAAAGTGTGCATACGGTTCATCAAATATGGTACCCAATGTTCTGGAACTATGTCTGCATCTTTCTTGCTAGCCTCTTCATTCTTAGCAACTATTGGTTCATGCTTTTGACAATGGATTGTATTATTATGTATTTTGCGTGAACAGAAAAGATAAAACTCCCTTCTTTGATAAAGTTTGATCTTTTCATGAGAAAGCCAGTAACGTCCTTTTACAGTTTCTAAGCCACGAAAAACATTACATGCGCCGTAAATCAAAGAACAGTTTGGTCGGAGAACAGAAGATCGCAGCCATTTTAGACTACACATTGTATATCCACAGTCGACAAAATTTACGAATTACGATGCAAAGCTAATCAATGTGCAAAACACGCGACATTTTACAGGGTCAGTCAAAATGTCTGCAAAAGATGAAGTGAAAAGAACAACTTGGGAAAATGATATTCAATGGCAAGCTAGGAGATTCTTTATCGAAAAACATAGAGGGAGCGTTCCCCTTGAACAATTAGATGCGATGTCAATGGTTTGGGCAAATATGAAATTTCTTGGTTGCAGGTATCCGAAAGCTACAGAAGAGAAGTTAGAAATGTTAGAGGCTACTTGCGTAGATACCTTAAATATTCCTACTGAAACGAAAAAACGAAAGAAAATCGGGGAGAAAGCCATCATTGAGGGATTTGTACTGTATGTACGGGATTCAAGTGGTTTTCCAGAAAATGCAATTAGTTTGCTTCATCGGAATGCACAACGAGCACACAAATCCATCGAATTTCTTGAGTTAGAGGCAAAAGATGACCTTTTCAGTTGTGCTGTTGTCATTGGGGGCATACAGATCGCCATGGGACAAGCAAAAACAAAAAAAGAAGCGAAACGCAACTGTGCGGATAAAGCAGTGGAAAAATTGCGAGCAAGTCAGCCAGTTGTTGATGAGATTTTGTCTCACAAGAAAGCACAAGTCATTGAGAAGGAAGAGTTATTCAAAGGTAAGGCTCCAAGGATTTCCGAAAACAGTCTTGGAAATCAAATGTTACGAAGAATGGGTTGGACAGGGGGTGGGTTAGGTCTTGAAGGTAGGGGTCGTACAGATCCTGTGTTGATGAATGAAACACAGGGTCGCCAAGGGTTAGGAAGGGATGTAACAGATGCCAGCATAAATAAAATATCGGTAAAGAATATGGTGCGTAATTTTATCATGGATCATAATAAGAAAGAGTTGCGATTTTCAAGTGATCTTTCAAGAGAAGACAGAGGTATTATTCATTCTATATGCCAGCAGCATGGAATACGACATAAGTCCTTTGGATATGGACAGGACAGATATCTTGTGATTAGTAAACCATGAAGTTATTCAATATCTCGTTGATATTTCCACGAAGATTCTGGAAACATGTACCACAAGAATATAATGTGTGTTACTTTATTATTGTGCAATAATCACAAAACATAAATAACGGTTTGCTGAGAAGTCCCCCGCCTAAAAACTATATACCATATACCCCCCTGGCATGGAAACACTTTAACCAAGATGGCTGAAAATAGTGGTAACAAGAAGGTGGGCAAAGATAAGTTTGCAAAGTGGAACTACTACAAGAGAATACTGAAAAGCGCGGTTAAACATACGACGTTCAAAGCCCGCTATAAAATATACAGACCTAAGAACGGAAAAGGAATGTGTTGTGATGGTTTTATCAATTCAAAATTAGTTGCAACGGGGACAAGCGATAGGAGCGTAAGCCGTCATCCAGGAAGACATGCCAGAGATTTATCTGCTCGAATGATGATCAGTGAAATATTAAGTAGGAAATGTAGGACAAATGATAAGATATTTAATTTTTTAGTAGAAGCGACTCCTGAATGCCTACCGTCGGCGGAAGAAGTGAAAAACGACGATTGTAAAAGGGAAGTTTTAAATAAAATACCCGACCGTATGATCAATGATAATAAGCTATCAAAGAGAAAAAGAGAAAACAAGACAGACACGTCAAATACGGATCAATCGCGCAAGAAAGTTTATGGCAAGATGGACAAGAATTATACCTTAAGAAATAAAGTTAGTTTTGTGAAAGAGAACATGACATTGGTTAAAAGAGATGGTGTTGCGACTGAGAAGATTGTAGACAATATTGATCTATCCAATCAAAATGTTGATGTCATAGTAGATCAAAATCATTCAATGAGCAAGAGAGATTGCATCAAGAATGAACTTTCAAGTATGACAGATTTTGTTACATTAGACAAGAAAAATTTATCAAACAAGAAAGGTAGCTTCACAATAGACAAGATTGACCTATCAAATCAAAAGGGTGATATTAACTCATTGCAAAAGAAAGACAACTTGGAAAATGAACATTCACATAAAAACAATACCATCACATTGAACAAGAAAAATCTATCAAATCAGAAAGATAGCTCTGTGAAGAAGACTGATCCAGTGAACACAAGAAACAGTATTGTTACTGTTAAGAACGAACATTCACAAGAGAGAGATACCTTCATATTGGACAAGAAAAATCTGTCAAATCACAAAGATAGTTTCACGGAAACTGCTGATCCACTCAACATGAAAGATAGCATCATTGCTGTGAAGAATGAATTTTCACGTAAGAAAGATATTGTTATATTGGACAAGAAAAATCTGTCAAATCACAAAGATAGTTTTACGGAAACTATTGATCCACTCAACATGAAAGATAGCATCATTACTGTGAAGAACGAATTTTCACATAAGAAAGATAATGTTATATTGGACAAGAAAAATCTGTCAAATCAGGAAAATAATTTCATGGGAAAGACTGATCCACTGAACAAAAAAGATTGCTTGCTAACTAACAAGAATAACCTGCCAATTAAGAGAGCTAGTTCATCATATAATGTCACTGAAAATAAGAAGTTATGCAAAAGAAACTCTTCCACAGATCTGCCAGAATGCATCAATCATAACATTTCAAACACCAAAGACTTAAAAGATATGAGAATGCAAGATCTGTTTCCAAGCTATATAAAACTTAAAGATGGCAATACAATGACTGAAGCCCCACTTTCAGTTCAACTAAAACTAAGTGAGGATATCATGTCCCTTATCTGTGATTTTTTAAAAAGTGATGATGTTGAAATTGAAATTGTTAAGCAGATAACAAGTCAGGAAAGAATGTATATGTTTATAATTTGTGATTGGTATGGTCTTAATTTCATGCTCATTTCTAAAGGAGACAAAAGGATTATTACTATTCGTAAATAATAAATGTAAAATGGACAAGACTTATTAGACTGTTGAAGGAATAAGATAACCATGTTTGTATTTATTATAAAGTTTATTGATAAAATAAAGTTTGTTTAAATTGTGTCCTCAATTTAGGAGTCATCATCTTCATCTAAAAATCTAATTCATCTTCATTAGTAACGTAACAAATTATGATTCTCCATAAAAAAAACTTTCTTAAATGGCCAAATTATATACAAAATACTGCTAGGAGTTAAACAAACCTATGAGTTAAGCACAATGTTATGTGTAATAGGATGATTGTAATGAAAATATACTGTGCAAAACAAAATGCATATGTTTATAGACTTCAACAATAAATATGATCAATGTTTGTGGATGTTGATCATCCAAGTCAGTAGAGTCCTGAGAAGGACTGTTGGGGTTGGCGTTGACTGACCTTTTTGACAACGTAAAAGGTACTTTTCACAAATATGAAGGCATCTACAGCTAAGGCTGTCGAAATATTAGTCAACATCAACTCCAACAGTCCTTCTCTGGACTCTACTAAACTAACGACCAACATCTACAAACATTTAACGATACCGAAGTGTTCAAATCATTCTCTTCAATAAATACTGAGATAATCAATAGAAAAAACATTAAATATATGAGTAAATAAAAACTTCCTCTACTCTTTATATTGCTAACTTAAAAACATACCCGATAAAAGCCTCATTTCTTGTAGTTTTGTTTCTTTGAGTTTGGTTCTTGTATATTCGTCTGCGTCGTTTCACTCGTCTCTTGAACGTAAGTCAACAGGACAGCTATATCCAGGTGAATGAAAAGATTCAATTGTGATGCCTCAAAAGGACTCCGACTGCTATATGAGAACCACTTCAGGCTTTAGAATAACCTTGCTAAAGGACCCCGTTGTGTCTCATACAATTAAATCATGAATGTTCTAAAACGACGTGAAAAAGCGAGATTGTTTGGTCAATCCCGAAAAGATGATTGCAAGTAAAAGTAGCGTAACTATGAACTTACTTACATCCACTCCGTTAACTTTTTCTCTTTTTTTTATCAACAAACGTCTCTTTACTCATGTTACGGATATGCAGTAAAACCTTGCGTGCAACAGCTGCTTTTGCAATCTTCGGTGTACGACCAACCGCTTCAAACTCTCCATATCCAGAACAATGTACGCGACATTTGTATGTCTTCGATAATGTTAGACGCGCAACGCTACAAGCACATACATTGAGGCGTTAAGGATGTGAAAACAACAAAGAGAAAAGTTTAGAAATTTTTATGATAAAAAAAAATTACGAAAAATTACCATCCAGCTCTCTCCTTGCATTGTAAAGAGCATTTAAAATGAATTAATAACTTCTTTAATTTCTTGTATCCTTTATTTCTTTTGAGAGATCAAAGCTTCGTTCACTGTGTAAATATCGACATCATATTGTGACATCATATTGTATAAATAGCTTTAGAAATAGCAATTTTCATCGATACTTTATAGTAAAAGTTATGAAACCTTAGAAACATATTCACCAATGCTTTCTATCGATACTTTATAGTAAAACTTATGAAACCTTAGAAACATATTCACCAATGCTGAATATGCTATGCGAATGCATGTAACCAATTACGCCAAAAGCTATGTCCCAGTAAAGATATTTAACTCGAAGAAATACAGTTAGTTGAGAGAAGTTACTAAGTCATTTCATATGATCTTTGTATTGCAATAAAAAAACTGCGTTGCAACATTCCTGTCATAAAAACTTTAATCGAGACGAACCTGAAAGACAGCTTATCTTTGCCAGGAAACGTTTCTTTTAAAATTCTCACGGGAGAGCGGGGAATGTTATCTTTGTAATAATCTACACAACAAAAATAAATTAGGGTTTGTAAGAATTAAAGAATGTACTGTCAGCGATAGAGGCAAGGGGGGGGGGAGTTGCACGAAGCCTGAATCCATGGGATAAATTTTTAACTGTATCAACAATCACAGGCAAAAAGCTTCAAACTGTGCAACCAAAAGAATAAAACGTTAATTCAAAGATGACAACGCTTCCATTGTTGTGAAGTAAATATAACAATCTTTTTGAATAAAAAAAGTTACTATGTAACGAATAGTACTATCAAGGAGCATAGGACCAGGCAACTTACCGATGAAAGGCATAAACATTGGTCGAAAAATATCCCAAACAAAATCAATATTCATGTTGGAATCAAGAAAGACGGCGCAAATGAGTGCCTCGAATACATCTCCCAGTATTTTGGGAACTTCAACGAGATTTTCTTCAAAGTCATTTGGACCCACAACGAACGAATCCACGGATGTCTTCAGAAAAGAAATCAGTAAAAATCAAAAAAATGGAAATTATTGATGATTAAAAAAGGTAAAACAGCGTTCACCTGCCAAGAATAACCTCGTCTCTCCTTTTCATTCAATAGGAACTCAACAAACTTATATATAAGTTGAAATACAACTGGAGACATGTGTCTCAGGGATTGATGTAAATTCACCTGAACAGCAAGATAGGCGAGGGTGAAATTATTGACAAGAGCTGAACGCAAATCCGTTAAATCTCCATGATCAAGATGTGCAAAATTGTCACATATATAACGCGTTACTACAAAGTCCAATATTGCGTCACCTAAATACTCCATTCGTTCATAACTTTCGTGAACGAAAGCAAAAACTCGCGGTAAGGAATCGTGAGTAACAGCGTGTAATAGTAAAAGTTTGTTTTTAAAACAATATCCAAGTGTTTTCTCAATATGTTCCAAATTGGGAATAACATTATTAGAAATGACGTTATTCAATGGCTTGAAATTGGTCTGCTCAGTTGATATAAGGTTACAACACGATCTAAAACTTTGTGTTACGTCATCAAATTCCCCAGTGTTTTCATCATAATCACTCATCGCATGATAATTCAAATTTCTATAACATTCATGAAGTTTTTCTGCAGTAAGATCGCAGACATGTAACCATATAAGAAATTTTCTCGCGGCTTCTCGACCGCTGGACAGTAATATCGCAGAAATTAGAGCCTCAACTGTGTTCGCTACGTTTTTATCTCCAAGGATTTGATGAGAGTAAAGGTTTAACGAGTACTGCTTGCTAGATGTTTGTGTCAGCACAAATCCAGGAGGAAGTAAACAGTTTGTTAAATCCGGACACGTAATCGAAATGTATGCTGGTATACCTAAACGTCTTCCCTGTGTTGATAACATATCATTAGATACAAGATGCTTACGAATAGTTGTGAGGATTCCTTCGTCTTTATGTGGTAAACGCAAAAACAACTCCAAACTCACTTCGAATTTAAGAAACGAATCACCAAGTACTTCAAGGAGTTCTGAATGAAACTGCTGACCAACAGATTTTGCTGTTAATGCTTTGAGAATCAAAACAAGACTATCTTCAAAATCATTTTCATCAATGAAGCGGTCATTTTCTCCATTTTCCTCATTAATAATAACTTCCTGACCAGACTTTACAACTGTATTTTTGTTCTTTATTTTTCGGGCCGTCGCCGTTAATCCAGCGTCCATGAAAATTTTCAGTCGCATTTCGTGCGCACGCAGAATTGTTTCCAGACGGTACGCGACGGTAGGAAGATACCGCAATAGAGCCCACGAAGAGACAGTCAGCGGCAACAGAGAACACAGTTCAGGTACAAGGTGTATTTCGAAGTTAGATTTAGAATCAAATATATTTTCATGAGCAACCTCAAGTCTTGTTTTTGGTGTGAAGAAATTCACTTGAGTAGGGAGATGTTTGACCAACAACAATGGCTGATCATTATTCAACTTTATATTGTAGCGCGTCTCGTAGTACTCGGAAAAAGTGGCAGCAACATTGAGATCTGGGAACGGAGTCAACGGTGACATAAAATGACACACTTCAACGACGTAATATCTCATGCGATTTGTCTGATTTGCAGATTCATTTGATTTTCGTATGATTCTATTGCTAAAGTAATCGTAGTCTTTGCATGGGATGCAGGATGGCAGAGTCGAGGAGTTTTGAAAGAGCCGTAAAAAATCTTGAAGATAGGAATGATGTATTTTTATTTCACCTTGTTTGTTTGGAACTAATGGTGCAACAAGATAACCGTCCTTCTCTGATAATCGCGTACATTCATCGTCAAGATTATTGAGTTGCTTGAAGATATATTGATGGAAATGACGAATGTTCTGCAACAATGTCAAGTCTATAACGATTGGACCACGTGATACAAACATTGTTTCGACGTCACTCTCTGACGTGTACGTTTTAAATGGTGGAAACTTTAAAAACAAAGTAGGCCTCAATACATCAGGAGCAAAAATGAGCAAGTGACAGAACAAAAATACAGATACCTTTGGAAGTGGTTTCTTTGAGAGAATTCCTAACTCGATCTCGGGCTCAGAAACGCACTTCATAGCACGTGACCGGGAATGGCGATGTATCATTGGATCATTGAAATGGATCTTGTAAAGATAACACTTTTCATTTGCTGTTGGCATATTGTCTTTGAAAAACGCTGGAACCTGGGCAATGAAAGTAAGAAAATAAAAGAATAACTATCCGAAAACTGGATATGAAAGAAGAAATATTTCCACAGCAAACGTACTTACCATGGAAACAGTTCTCTATAGTTCACAATACTTCCCCATAATTCACACTAGTTCCTCACAACTCACATTAATTCCTCAAAGCTCAATTTGTTCCCCATAATCCATACTGGTCCCCCATAACAAAAAACTAGTTTTCTCCACATAATTTACATTAGTTTCCCTCCATAATTTACATTAGTTTCCAACACTTTACCTTTACTTCATAAGCTCTCTTCCGTTTGTTTGTTCCAGCTCTTCCTTTGCCTTCATCCTCCAACGCAAAGTCTTCTATCAAATCAGAGTCAACACCAACATATTGTTCTCTAATCAGGTCAAGATCGCTATCAAGTTGACCGCGAGCGTGCAGCATCTTCACAGCAGCCAATGCAGTCACCATTTGGGACTTTAACTTACCTAGCTGCATATGACCTTCAATGTTTTTGCGGACGAAAACTGGAGCACCCTTAACAAAATAAACAACTTAAAGACACCATCCTAAATTTCGTTCCTATCGGTAAAGATCTCAAACCTCGATAAAGGTATAGCACCTGCTGCTACTTAAGGGAAAATAAAGATTCGAAACGAACTCGACACAGTCTCCCAATGTCTCATTTGCGCATGTCATAAACTGCGCGTTAGAATGACCAAAGGCGTTTTTGTTCATCCGCCGAGAGAAACTACAAATGAAATTAAATGGAGAAACGAAAACTGCATTTGATAAAAAATGAACATTTGATCCAACTAACCGATGAATAAGATAAATACTGGACTGCATTGTGATCGTTGGTCCAGACTCACCAAATGGTGAATACGTCAGCTCAGAAATCGTCGTCTCTGGATGATTCAGAAATTCTTTTTTGTTGGCTTGAGTTATATAATCTTGAACCTTTTCTGCAATAACACTTTCAATGTCGTGAAACTCCTAAACAAATTATTGATGGAAGTTGTCGCCAATTAGACTGAATAATTATTTATTCGGAGGAATTCGCAGCCATTTATTACGTCATAACATGTGAGGAATGGTAGTAACCCGTGTTTTGACGTCACATCAATGGCACAGACATCCACACAATGGCTTTCTCAATGCGAGCAAAATAATAGTTTTCAAAACTTGTCCATTTTTTAAATAATAAAAGTGATGCAGTACTTAATTCTTTAGATGACATGATCTTCACAAATTGAACTAAATAAATAACTGGAATGCTACCTTTATACAAACATGCCTGTCCTACCACGGAGGAGAGTCAAATCTTTATACAAACATGCCTGTACTGGCACGGAGGGGAGTCAAATCTTTATACAAACATGCCTGTCCTAGCACGGAGGGGAGTCAAATCTTTATACAAACATGCCTGTACTAGCACGGAGGGGAGTCAAATCCCGCATTCTAGTTTATCCTCGTAAATGAACTTTCTTTGGATTAGTTATGTAAATTGCTGGCTTTTATATTTCGGATGGAAATAGCCTTGCAGTTATATTTACTTCAATGGCTTCACATGAGTTATTAAAGATGAAATTCTCATTAATCCAAGGTTGACAATGAAAATTGAGACTTGTCGATTTGTCATATTCAATAACAGTAAATTGTTAAGTGTGAATAGGATTATAAAACCTGTAATTTGGAGTGCTTCTGCGGCAAGCCATCTCCTTTACTGATCAAAATCAGTTTCGGAGCTAAACCACGAACTTTTCGTTTTAAATGATAGTATTCCTCGTAACTTGACGGTAAACCAAAATACACCAAAATATTGAATGTTGTCAAAGAAATATTTGACATTAAATCCACTGTGGTAACAAGCACATTAATAGTTCCTTCATAAACGGCCTGCAAAACGCTTTCTGTTCGTTCTTCTTCATCAAGAGATGAAACAGTTTTGCGTTGAACAGCAAAACCAGCCTTGAGGAAATTAATTTTATCGTCAGTGGATGCCATCATGTTGATCATTTGACTCAAACTTCTTGCAATAACGTTGGTCCGTGTCACAACAATACAACGAAAAAGTGTTTTATCTTTGATTTTTTCAAACTGTCTCTCCAGATGAACATCCGACGAGCCGAATAACGACCAGTTCTTCGTTTTCTCGGATTTGCTTTCTTCTATTTTCGCTCTTTCATGTTGTATTTCCTCAGCATTTTTACCTTCACAACATGATTTGTGTGTAAATGACAATGTTTTATAAGGTATCAATTCCTTTAAAATGTCGTCAATTATAAAAGAATTTGCCGTTTTATACTGACGGGCGAGTTTCTCAATGTAATCAAATTGTGTTTGACAACAATGGACGGCTAGTCTTCCGTACATGTCTTTCTCTTTATCTAAGATATTAGAAAATGTGTTCTGAACAATGTCCATCATGAAAAAAAACCGTTTCAATCCTAAGGTTATGAAGACATCAATAGCCAAAAGGACAACTGATCGAAGTTCCATGATTAATTTCATTTCTCCAATAATCATGTCACATAAGATATTAAGAATATAATTCAACGTTTGAAATGTGTTCTTCTCAATTTCATGAAAATTGTTTTGGTCATTAGACAAGGTTTTCACAATTATCTCCTCACCAAAGTCATTCATAGCAAGAACATCCTTAGACATAAATATAGGCAGTTTATATATGTTCTCAATATGAACAAGCTGAGATTTGAGTTTAGATGCATTGTGAATATTACACAAACGCAGTTCTACTGTCACTATTATTCTTACATGTGGCAAACTATCGCGAAATTTTTGAAATGCATCACTATCAATGTATGAGTGATTGAAGACGGTCGTCAATATAAGAACAACTGATAAATCACAAGCATTAATGTTTCCCTGTAAGAGGCAATCAAGGAAATACTTGAAAGACATCAGCAAAACCTTTGAGTTGTTTTCAGTGGATAGCGGAGTTTTATCAAAATTTGGATTTAGAATCGTTTCAATCTTCTGCACTTTGGTCAACATGTTGTTCAAATCAGGAGCCAGCTCCATACCTTGTTATGGAAGAAAATTCATCTTATTAATTCAATAAAACAGTTAAACATACAATTTCCATATGCTAACCGTGTGCTTCATCTGTCAAAACTGCAGCACATTTTTTACTTTCATTCTTCAGGAATTCTTTGATAACTTGAAAGCAGATAAATGTGTTGGACGACTTTTCAGCTATAATTAAAGTGCTATCACGTTTTAGGGCAAGATAAAACAATTCTACTTGATGGTTTTGACGTTTAAAAGCCAAAATTGGCAAACCAACAACCTCTCCAGCATGCCCATTTTCAGCAGCCATGTTGCATGTTTAATACCATATACATTTTGTACAATATGAAGTATTCGGTCGAATATTGCCAATTCAGCAAATTTCTAATGACAAACATTGCAGAAAACGAAATGTGAACAAAATTCGAAAGAAAAAAAAATACTGAAAATATAGACATTGCTCAATTTTATATTTAATCTGTAGTAATTCTTAAACATGAATTTTTGAGGGTATTGGAATTTGGAAGCGTTAATTTGTCTTCGACTTTGAGGGAGATGGCTTCAAGTGGAAAGGAGGCAAAAAAGAAAGAAGATAATGAAAACTCTACGGCTGTTGTAGCGATAAGACGACATCATAAACATGCATATGCCTATCTTGACAAAGCTCTGAGTATCGAAGAATCTGATGGTATTATGTCATTTGATCTTGAAAGAACTTTCTACATAGCATTATGTTTATCTTATAAACGTCGTGTTTGACTTTCAAGACAAATTTTCTAGGGAAAAGTGTTATTTCTAAAGAGCAAGCAGTCGAATGCTACAAAAAGGGAATCAATGAACTCACAAAAGGAATTCAAATTGATTGTAGTGGAGAAGGTATGGGTGTAAAATTGGTGACATAAAATATTGGGATAAATATGATGGGTATGGATGTGGGTATGGATATACATGTGAATATAGGTATGGATATAGGTGTGGATATAGGTATGGACGTAAATGTTTGGGTATTTTGATTTAAAAACAAAAAATTTAATTTTTATGGAGCAAAATGTGGATGTCATAGTCTTCCATAGTTTTACCAGTGTATCAAGATGTTTTGGTACTCCCATAATGTACCTAGATTTCATAGTCTTACCATAGTTTTACCAGTGTATCAAGATGTTGTGGTACTCCCATAATGTACCTAGATGTCATAGTCTTACCATAGTTTTACCAGTGTATCAAGATGTTGTGGTACTCCCATAATGTACCTAGATTTCATAGTCTTACCATAGTTTTACCAGTGTATCAAGATGTTGTGGTACTCCCATGATGTACCTAGATTTCATAGTCTTACCATAGTTTTACCAGTATATCAAGATGTTGTGGTACTCCCATAATGTACCTAGATTTCATAGTCTTACCATAGTTTTACTGCTGTGTTAGATGTCATTGTATTACAATTATATACATTGACATTATCACGAAAATTACCATTGTGTATTTCATGTGTTTAGTGGTAAGTTGTTGAATTATCTAACTTAACTTTATCAGGTGAAGAATGGGAACGAGGCAGGGGCTTGCAGAGCAAGATGCAAAAGAATCTAACAACGTTTCAGGCAAGATTGGATGAACTTGGTAAAGTCGAGTCATAAAATTCATTACACGAAACCAAAATATAACTAAAAATCATTACTTGCAATATATTTAAGTGTCTCTCATTGCATCACAATGTAAAGTTGACAGTAAAGCAAATTCCAAAACGAATGGTGCCCAGCCAGTCTTCAAGACACCATTATCTAAAAGACCCAGCTCTTCCAAAGCACCAAGGAATAATATTCCTGGAATGAGAAATGGTGGAACAAAGGCATCAGTAGAAAAATGCAGACCATCACAAAATCCAAAGCTGAAACGACATGTTGATAAGGATCCTGAGGTTATTTATAAATTTCATTTATATTTATATGACCACTATTAAGTTGTTTCATATTTTTTAGGATAGTCCTAGAAGCTCATTTAGGCCTAGTACTGTGTCAAATGACTGGAAGATAGAATTGAAAAGAAGAGTTTCCAAAATAAAAAGTTTTGATGAAAAGATCATCAATCAAATAGTTGATGAAGTTGTTCAGAAGTTAGTGGACATGGCACAGATTTCATGAAATAAATGAAATTCCTTACATGTTTTGTTGTCATTTTTAGCTCATCCAGCATTACATTTGAGGATGTGGGTATGAAACTGCGTAATCTTTGACATGTTTTTTATCTGTTTACTGTAAAGTTTTCCAACTTTCCTATTTTGTAGCTGGAATGGACACGGCAAAACGTTTGCTTCAAGAAATTGTTATTTTACCTGCTTTGAGGCCTGAGGTTTATAATTTGATTTCAGGGCATTTGCTGAAATAGTCCTATTAATAAGAAAGGTTACTTTATGATAAACAAATCTTTATGACATTATTCCATTCACTCTTTCCTCAGTTGTTCAGGGGTCTTAGAGCGCCAGCACGAGGATTATTGCTGTATGGCCCCCCTGGTAATGGAAAGACAATGTTGGTGAGGAAACTTGACAAAAATATACCTAATGTAACTATATCACCATGACACTCGTACCAAAGAAGTGAGTAAACTTCTTTTTGTCGTCATTATAGGCGAAGGCTGTATCGCATCAAGCAAAATCAACATTCTTCAACATAAGCGCTGCGACACTTACGTCAAAATGGGTTGAGTACTTGTTTAGACCTTGTTGTTTAAAATGGTCATTCTGTTGTTCTTGTTGTTGATGTTGTTTTTGTGGTTTGTGTTGCTCTTGTGGTCGATGTTCTTGTTGTTGTTGTTTTTGTGGTTTGTGTGGTTCTTGTGGTTGATGTTGTTGTTCTTCTTTTTGATGTTTGCTCTTGCGGTCGATGTTCTTGTTGTTTTTGTTTTTGTGGTTCTTGTGGTTAATGTTGTTTTTGTCTTTGGGGTGTTGTTCGTGAGATCAGATTGGTGTCTAAAGTCACGGACGCAAAAATATTTGTTAACATTTAAACACCAAATTACATCTGTTATCCAATGAATAATCTTCAGGTTGGGGAAGGAGAAAAGTTAGTGCGAGCCTTATTTGTTATCGCTCGAGAACTCCAGCCATCTATTATATTTATTGGTATGGTACCAATTTACTTATTTTATCCCGATTGAGACAATTGTTCAATACTGTAGTGGTGTTGTCGTTGTTTTTGTTAGATGAAATTGATTCTTTACTGTGTGAGAGAAAGGAAGGCGAACAGGAATCTACTCGACGATTGAAGACGGAATTTTTGTTGGCTTTTGACGGAGTAAGTAAAAATAATGACGTACATGTCACGTGTGGTGCATTTTCATTTTCTTCTGACAATAGACAACAGTATCTTTCTCTTCACTTTGGAGTATCTACGTAGAATATCTAAACTTTTTTTAAACGAAACTTAGATTACTTCCGGTGAGAATGAAAGAATTTTAGTAATGGGAGCAACGAACAGACCTCAAGAACTTGATGATGCAGCCCTAAGGTGAGTAAGAACTGATGAACAACTTCCTACATTTATCATATTTCATTATCTTTCAAAGGAGACTTGCAGTTCACGTGAGTTTCGCGTAACTTCCTCTGCATAGTATATATTATATAATGACGCTTGTATAACGTACATATTTCTTTATATTTCAGGAGGTTTGTGAAGAGAGTTTATTTACCACTGCCAGACTGCAAGGTAAACAACGACAACATCCACTCAACATCTTTATAAAGATATCCGACATTGTCTTTTTTTCTTATGTAGACTAGAAAGATACTTCTCGTAAAGCTGCTAGAAAAACAAAACAATCCCTTGTCAAACAAGGAACTTGATAAATTAGCAAGGTACGAGTGCTAAACTAAACCTGTATCGTCCAAAACTTTAAATTCCCTTCGTTTTTTTCAAAGTTTGACCGAGAATTACTCTGGTAGTGACCTAACAGCGCTCGCTAAAGATGCTGCATTAGGACCCATTAGAGGTAAAGTGGGATCTTGTAGGTTACGGTTTTCATACGGATATACTCAATGTGATTTTTCACGTGATTTTTAAGAAATGAACCCTGATGAACTTCGAAGAGTCTCCGCCAGTAAGGTACGACAAAAAATACATCTTTTTCATGGACAGTAAGATTGACAAACGGTCTTTTGTTTTTTTTTAGGTACGAAACCTAACTTTGGATGATTTTGTCAGCTCCATGAATAATGTTCGTGCTAGTGTGTCACCCGAGACTTTAAAAATTTTCGAAAATTGGACCAAAACATACGGCACGCAATCGTAAATTGTATCAAGCACTTTTTACCCGGATCGTCTTTTCGGTAGATGGAAACCAGTTATTACACGATAGACATGCTAATAAGTATAAGCTCGTGTAAGATTTTCAGTTGTAATTATGCAGTAAGGTAAACATGACATAGTAGTACCTAGAACATCACCAATAAAACAAACAAAAATAAAATATTTATTATCTTTCCAGTTATTTGCATGACGCGTTGTATACAATCAATTTTTTTTTGTTTTTTTCCACCATAAAATCTTTTTCACGTTTGCCAGACACACGCTTCTCGGCTGCATTGTCTCTGATACAACAGTCACAGAAACGTGAGTTAAAATCTGTATATCTTCATCGTAGGTGTCTCTGATTGGGTGCAATTGTTTTGGAAAACATCTATCCCTTGCTTTGCTTGATACAAATTTTAAAAACTCGAAGACGAGATACATAAGTAGAAGTGTAAATGCCAGCAGTAAAGTTGGGCCAAAGTTATGCAAAAGTTTTATGGTAAAAAGTAGACCAGAAACAAGAATCCAGCCTAGAGTGGCATTCATGTTTTCATGACCCTTAACATCGCCCGAGAAAAAGAGGTTGACAAATTTTTCTTGGATACCTCGAATACGCGAAGTCAGATTTCCCAGCATTCTTTTCTGCACGGCCCAACACAACGTTCGTGGCAGTGATCGCTCGGCTTTATTCTTCAAATGAGGTTTGATAGACTCAAACATGAAGTTTGGTCCGTGATAAAACTGCAAGTCGATGTTTTGTATAGTCGCCTTGCATTGACTTGTGATGTTAACAAATCCTTCAATGTCAATGTATAAACGCGCAGGAGATTCGACGAACACATTATGCATTTCCAACGTCAAAGTACCATTATCGATGAATGAAGGCCACGCGTTATATGACCAACGAGCAGTGAGCTTAGCTTCGCTGTTGTTGAATGAAATTCTGACAAATATACCATTCTGCGACTCTGACCATAGATTCGACAAATCCACGTTCGAATGTGGAATATTGAACTGCCTCAATGTAATGTTTGTTATATTATAATAAACTTCACCTAGATTGAAAAATCCTTTAAAATAACCGTTATAGTCTGAAATTTTCGAGTCGCTAAGAAGCGAATGTAATGCACGCACGTCGAACGACAAAAAAGTCTCGCGTAGTCGTATTAACATTAAGGAAATGACAAGAAGCAAGGTAATTTTTTTCAAAAAACCACCACATGACACCATCATTTTGCGCATCATCAAGGCAACATTACAGATGTAATCCAATACCCAAGGAGCGATTGTCATAACAGTGACAATTACGAATGAGCAATAAATTTCTGCTATGAAACTTCTCCATTCACGCGTATTTCGGAATGTAGAATGTAGTCAAAACAAAGCATCGATACTTTATTGACTTTGACGTCAGAGATTTTACTTGAAAACTGTGAATGAAATAAACGGCATCAATGATACAACAAAACAACAAATAAAGTTTACTCATACAAGATAGATAACAGAAATTGTAACTAAATTTTGACCAACCTCGATGATCCAGTAACGATTGTCGTGCTTTGATAAACGCCATAATATCTTGGTCAACTCGGTCATCACCAGTCAAATTAAACGTCGTTTTACCACTAAAAACACTAGATTATAACCATATACAACAACATGTACACTGAACATAACGAGTTGGTTGAACTTACTTTGTTCTCTTTGCGTCTTCATAAACACCTCCGACGTCCTTTTTCTTTGTTGAACCGTGTCTTTGGTCCTTTCTCTCAATTTCAGAGGGATTTCTCCAAATATGATCCGCCCCCTTGAAAGACTTAAGTGATGTCTGTTTGCTGTCATTGTTTGACCTTGATGACCTCAAGTCATTTGATCGTGCTAGGTTCTGGTTATCCGGAAGATTGGCCAAAGAATGAGGGCGGTCGTTTACTTTAGACTCGTTTTGCTGAGCAGACTGTGAGTTCCACCAAAGTTCAAAATCCTTCTGCATCTGGACCTTAGATTTCTCGAGCAAATGCTGAAGATGTTCAATTTCTGTCTTGAGAGAACGAAGTCGAGTAAATGATTCCTTGTAACTTAAAAACACAGAAATACACGTCAAGTTCAAATGAAGATAAATGCAACTACCATCTTATACAAATATTTCTAGTACCAGGACTTTTCCTCCTCGATACCATTGCGTAATCTTTCTTCTTCACCGTCTTCGTGATCTGATACTAAGACAAGTAACTATGACGACAAAAGTAAACTTTATGCACGATATTTTTTGCCAACGTATTACCTTGCATAGATTGTCGTATCCTATGCTGTTCTATTTTCGTCTTGAGTGAATCTAAATGAAACCGTTGCACCACGCTTATTCAAAGGACAGGACAGTATTTTGAAATAAAAACGATGAACTCACTGATTTTCTTTCTGGAGCAGTTCACTTGTTCTCCAAGGGATTTTGCCTCGCCGTATCTGAGAAAAATTTCAAAATTTCCAATAAACAACGGAGGCGTAACCAGACGTGAAATTTAGGAAGGGCATTTACCCCACACACACATAGGACAGTCCTTCAGTCAATGGGGGTCCATCAAACCAAACTTCAAAACATCATCAGTAGTTTTCACAAGAGAGTACGAACCGTTTTTTAAGTATCCGTTTACTTTCTTCTATGGTTGAATTATGTGGATAATCTCGGCGAAATACTTCAAATGCTTCTCGCCTTTCTTGCGACAAGCCATCTTAACATCAAACAGTAAAAGTTTGCACATGAACAGAGAATGATAAGTATGTATTTATATGAACTGAGAATGGTAAGTATGTATTTATACAAACTGACGATGGTAATGATGTATTTATGAACAGAGAATGGCAAGTATTCATATGAACAGAGGATGGTAATGATGTATTCATATGAACAGAGGATGGTAATGATGTATTCAAATGAAAAGAGGATGTTAATGATGTATTCATGAACAGAGAATGTTTATGATGTATTCATGAACAGAGAATGATACATGAATACAACGACCATGAACAGAGAATGGTATGTGCAACATACTACATTAAAAGTCTTTATTTTTCTAACAAATACCTTTCATGTGTTGAGTCTGTGATATTCTATGAACGTCATCATTTGCTTCTTCTCTAGTTGCAACAGGTTGTTGTTGTCTCTCCTATTGGAATATTGAAGAAAAAGTAAAAAACAAGAACAAGTTCAATTCCCACTGTTTAAAATATTTCCCGATGGTACGCTAAAGTTTTGTTTTTATATTCAACCATTCAACCCAAAGAAGAAATCCATCAATAAGACAATGAAGCCATTTTCGTTCTAGGGTCACATCTCTAGAAAACAGACCACATTTTACGACAAGCCATATTTCTTAAACATCCTTCTCGCATCGACTCCCTCCTCCTATCGAAACACTATGAAACAACGCACGATTTTGTACCCACGTACCTATCACTTGACTATGAAACAACGCACGATTTTGTACCCACGTACCTCTCTATCACCTGATTGTGAAAAGGAGACGTCTCGTTTGACTGAAGACAACCGCGATGATGTTGTACTTTCAAGACTCTCTCTACTATTTTTTGAGATCTCGCTGTTTGAAAATTGACTTTTTCCTTGTGTACGCTCTCGTTCTCTTTTCAACATATTCACCAAGATATCTGACACATGACAGATCAAGGAAATAAAAAGTTCGTTTTTTATTTGTTTGTTAGATAAATAGTTGTGAAAGTAACAGGTTGTTAAACCGAAAATTGGCTGCAAGGAAGTGCAAAGTTTGAAAAGCTGATCACACGAACGAGAATTTCTCGAGGAAAGACAGATGTCTTGCATGCAACCGTTTGTTATTCAGGAAAGCTGCCATAAAAATCATTATTAAAACAAAAAAATAAATATGAGTTTTAACAAAGAAGGCAAATAAGAAGTTAGTCATTTTTCTGCATGTAATACATAAATCTTCAATATATAATATCTTCAAAATTCAACGACGACATTACAACTGGGTGTAATTGGGTGTAATATGCTGACGGACAGGTTTTATTGACGTACAAGATATAATCACACTGTCCATTTATAACTATAAGAAAAGACATTAATAAGCAGCAAAGTTTGGATCTTGAACAGCACCAGAGTCTGCAGTCGAAGTCATTTCAGTCGCTTTTTGATGCTGTGCGTCACGGTATCTTCTGTAGTGATAGAAACACTCCACACCCAACAGGGCACAACACGCAAGAGCGAAGAAAGCAGACGCGTAGCCCAAGCCAGGATTTTCGGCATACTTCGAGATACTAATTTCGACTATAGCTGCGACAAATAATGAAATGGATCCAAGAAAGCACAAGCAAACCAACACTTGTGGATATCTGCTGACAAATAACAACTTCTCCCAAACACGAACAAGATGAAGAATAATATCAAGGACAACATTAATGAACGTTGTCCACGCGACGAAACTAACAAATGAAAACCCCGCAGCATGTTCATAAACAGTCGAAGGAACGAGTGCGCCTGCCAATAACGAAGTGATGAATTCTGCGATCTTCAATTGCCCACTAAACGTCAAGTACAGGTATTTAAAGTCCAGAAACGGTCTTCGTTCGTTTTGATTCGATGTCGCTGAATTTTCGTCCATCTTGCTTCTGCAGACCGGAAACTATACAACTGCAACACAACGCCACTGCGATAGCGGAAGCAATATATATGATGACGTACTAATTTGCAAGACATATTAAGCAGGAGTCTTGCCTTTTGTAGACAATTTAACAATAGCACAGACAATAGCCAGCTGGAGTAAAATAATCCCAATGAACTGGAAAATTAACATTGTCCAGTTTACGCAACAAAAATCAGTTGACCGAAACCCGACTATGTTTTACCCTTCACAGAAACTGGAGCAATCACGGCTATACAGGTGTCTTACACTCCTATTTCAAACAGTTGTTTCATTGTCGTTGCTACTTTACTGTCCATTTTTCTTTCCTGGTTTAGTAAAAATGTTATTTCTGCTGTTGGCAATGTTATCGTTCGACAGTTTGGATATTAACACGTTCTTCGTTGACATTTCTTTAACTACAAACATTTTGACTTCATTGGATGATAGTATCTTCATTATACTCTCTCCATTACCCATGTATTCCTCATGTTGCAATAAATCCACTTTAAATGTATCAATCTGTGAGCAGGTTTAAATACGACAGGTAAAACAATGATATAAATCATCAATAGCTGCTTGTCTATATCTCAAATAAAACACAAAAGGTTTTCACCAACAGTCTTTTCATAAAATGCAAGACATCACTGAATGACTGAAACTTGATGAAGTTTTAAAGAAGCATCTGATAGACTCCTCTTTCGCCAGGGACAGACTTCTCCCTCTCCAGCGATAGAATTCTCCCCCAACAGACATAAGTTTCCATAAAATCACTGATCTTCAATCTCAAGTTTCCACGTCTATGTTCTCCACACCATTCGAAAGGAAAAGAAATGTCACAAATTATCTAGGTCATTTGAACTTATGTAATCACGTCCATGTGACTAAGTTATTTGAAAAAGGCCTTTACATATTATCTCTTGTTAGTTAATTTTTTATGACTAAGACTTGAACACACGTTCTTGCCACCATCTTGCCACCAAGGGAAAATGTTGATTCAAAAAACAACAATAGCCAGAAAATTGCCACGAAATCCGTCATACATTTATTTATTTTAAATATTTTATACAGATGTCTTCCTCTTTCTTCGAGGTTGAAACTCTCTACGAATTACATTGTGATGTTTTTTCTTCATTCTCTCCAGCTTTTCCATTGAAGATAAATGATTTTTTTCAGCTTCGAGTTTTGCTTCGGTGATATCAACAAGCTTCCTGTGGGCCGCTTGGAACTCCTTCAAAGCATCTCTGTACTCGATCAGTGTTGAAAAGCTTTTTGACGTCACGTTTTCATTTCTCGCCGCAGACTTCTCCACAACTTCGCATTCTTCGATCACACTTAAAATCTCCTCATGCACGTGACGATTGTTAGTGAGATTGACGTGGAGTAACACGCGCGATTTGCGATGCAAATCTCGCAACTGTTTCACCGTATGGTGCTCCATGGCAAATCTCAGTTGGGCGAGACTTTTAAAAGACCTGATGTCGATTTTGCGGAGAAGACTCAAATCATTCTCATGAGGTAAGTGTTCTGAGCTTACATCAACAATACTTGATATTGACGATGTCCAAGGTACGGATGAGGATATTTGTGGATCAAAACAATGCCAATTCGCATTAGAAGTTGTTTCCTTCCCAAGATTGACGTCACCATCATAAATCGACGGAATATTATAGTCACTAAGCCTAAAGAATGTCCTCATGTTGAAATTCTATAATGGCTATAGTTTATGATAGTTTTATATAACAGGGGTGGATCTGCTCTAAGTCAATTATAACAGCGTATTCTTGAACATATTTACATTTCAAAAAAAGATTCATTTGTAAGATTTTGTCAATCACCATTGCCATCAAAATAGTTTAAAACTGACCTGCTTTAATTGCATAGACTAAGGGTGGATGCGATATGATTATGCAAGTTTGGATTTAATCAATAATACTTCCCTTCACTCTCCAAATAGAGTTTATCTAACTAAAAAGGTATCAAGCAGAAACTCCCCTTCATAAAATTAAACGATTATAGTTATATCCCCTCCCCAGAATAAACTCCATTGCAGTTACATGACGAAAAAGGTAAGAAACATCCCACTTCGTTGAATAAAATGATAATAATACTCCCCCCCCCTGCAATTTAAATGGCGAACAATTTATAAATAAGAAACATTCACCTTTGTTGAATGAATCTATAAAGGATACTGATTTCGTTGTCACGTTGTTCTATCAATTCTTTGAGTTTTTTCGTTTCATTTTTATCGCTAAGATACGAATTATCTTGCAGCGACTGACTTGATCTAGGAAATTACAGTCTTGTGCAATCAATATTTAAGAAATAAAAGATGTCTACTTTGTTTGCACAGGCTTATGTAAACCGAGGAGACCTTTGGGAGAACTCAACAGCAATCATTGCAAGCCCAAAACCGAAGGTAGAGGGTCACACCAGCTCGAGAATTCTTACAAACGTCTCTGAGGTTTGCATAAGCCAGTGCAAACACGAAAAACATCTTTTATTTCTTTCATAAAATAACAACAATTCAAAACAGATAAATTTAAAGCAAATGTTTTAAGTTTCCCTCTAACCCGTATTCATGATTGATTTGCAAATTCTCTTTGATGATTTAGTAGCTCAAATTGGTTTGCAAGGGTTGATGCAAACTCAGCTATTAAACAATCAACGCACGCATTTTATTGTTTTTCTTTTACAATATAGCTATTTTTATCGTCTTAGGGGCTGATTAAATGAGCCCGGTAACGGGGATTCAGCCAAGCGTTAAATGATTTGGCAAATGGAAACGATTCAATACTTATCATCAGATAAATCTTCTCAAGCAATTTCACAATATTCACATTTAATAACTTCTCAAAACATTTAAAATTGAAACAACCAATTTGCCATGATTTGAGAATTACAACCGGAGTGATGTGCAGTGCTTCGCAAACAGTTGTAATTTTTAACTTTGAAGTTTTGGCTCCTTTCAATCCCTTGAAATCATGGGGCTAGCTCGCTATCCGGGCCAGCTCGCCTCTATATAATCAGACCCTCACAAGGCATTGTTATATTGAAGTAATATCTTACCGAGAAGTAGAACGATGATTGGCAGATTTTGCTTTCAAAACATGATCCTGTCACATGTAAAAAGACAAGCAATATCACGTGATATACAAGGTGAATTACGTAATGATCCAGTCACACGACAAAAAAGAAGCCATAACGTAACACGTCACAGGTAGCAAGAATGACGTAATGCAGTTAACGACCCAAAATTCAGTATTCACCTTGAGTAGTTTAAAAGATAAGTTGATCTTTCTCATGTCTCCACCGACTGATAAAGGTGCTTCGGGATCTGTATCTTCAATGAAAGTTTTAATCATGCATTTTAACCTAGGATTTAAAAACAGTTCATTTTTTAGTACAAAGGAGACTTGTTAATAAGCAAGTCTTATGTCACCTCTCAATATCATCAATCGTCAGTTCGTCTTTATATTCCATTCCAGTTGATAGCGAGAGCTCGTCCTTCAACTGCTGTATTTCCTCCTTTAATTTAGCTATCATCTATGTAAAAGAACCCAACAATTACAAACAGAACAAAAATAGAAGAAAGATGGTAAAAGAAAGCATCTGAAACTTCTACCAGTTTGGGATCAATCTCCTCATTAAGCACTGCGTCATTCTTAATCATAGCGACTCTTTGCGCAAATCTACAGGTTGAGATGGTCTCCTAGGAATGGAACAATACATAAACATGAAATTCAACAACAGTTCTGATCTGATATTTTTATCCTTCAAGATAATTGTAACATACGTCAATATTGCGTCGATCAACCGAAAGAGTCGCAATCATCGTTGTTCTACAGTTGCCACCCAAACTAAAAAGATTAGCAAAATCCAAATGCTTCCAATATTCTTAACATAAAGAACCGTTCATGTTCTAATATATCCATACCTATCCCTGAGGACGGACGTGAGGAGGGAGTTACGATAAGGTATGTGACTCCTGGATTTCTCCGATAAAGCCACAATGACCTGACGATATAATTTTGAATATTTAAAACATTGGTTGGAAATGGTCAGTTATAGTGTTTATTAAACGAAAATGTTATCATTTAAAACATTCAATGAACAGAACTTTTAAAATGATATTAAACAGTTCATCGTTTTTCATTCTTGAGTTATTTGAAATTTTTATGATGTCCAATTTACACAGCCATTGACGCCGCATTGTAAAATGAGAACTTGAATCATCAGGTATATTTTTTGATATATTACTTCAGCAAGACAGTTTTCCCTTTGCTGTAAATGTTAATGGTATTTTAAAATACAGCATAACACATCACTGTTTGCGTAAAAACTAAACATTAGAAAAAACTGAAGATCTCAGGAATGAAAAGAGATAAGCAGGAATTGTGTGAAAAAGTCAACCATCACTATAAAAGTTCTGTTCAATAAAAATATTCAAATGCCAAAATTATCGTTTTTTAATTAAAAACCAGAGCACACAAAAATTACAAACTTTACTCAGCTTAACCTGCTCAAGATAATGCAGAGATAAATTGATGTATTTTGCTTCAGTCAATATGGTTCCATCAACTCCCGTCTTATGAATCCTTTCCGATCTGGAAAATATTATTTCGGCGAGAGTTTAGACATAAACTTTACTCAAGTCAGCTTTTGAAATGTTTCACTTAAATCAACATTTCATGTACCCAGCAAGATCGACAAGATGTAGTTTAGCATGTTTAATCTTTGCCAAGCCTGGTTCTCGTGAAGAAATATGAATTGTGAAAATACAATGAGAGCGCGTCGAAGCCTGATTCATTGGTGTCTAAAGATGGTAAGAAAAATAACTTTTAAGAAATTAATAATTTACTGTTTTGACAACACAATTTTTAATTAAAAATTTTTTACCATTTTTTATCAGTAATATTTCTACACCACATATTTAACCAACAACATTAAATGTCTGAGAAAATGTGCCACCATATACTGATAATTAATTTCCAATTCTTCCCCACCTATCTACATCAGAAAATATACTACCAATGTCTCCAAGAAGCAACCATTTCTGCAAATGTCTGCCTCAGCAAACATCTTACTAGTGTCTCCAGAAAACAACCATTCCCCAAACTGTTTACCTCAGCAATCATCCTGTTGGTGTCTCCAAGAAACAACAAGTTAAGAGCTGTCCGAGACAAAGAAAAATGTTTAGTTCACAAAAGGAGAGTCAAGAAATAACATCATTAATCACATATACCTTCTTCTTCATTGTTTGCCGGATGTAAAGAGAGATTTTTTAAGGATATACTACCATCACCATCCTCCATTAAGGTAATTTTTCTGCAATTAGAATAAAGAGCATGAATATCACAAACAGTTGTTAGATCAAGTACTTCTCTCGTCACACATAATGAACTTACGGTAAATCCTCCAGTTTTGATGCTTCATGTTTGGGATCCAAAAGATCATATCCATTCTCATTATAAACTTCAAGATATGAAACATGTGATGTGTAAACATATTCAGGGTTCTAAAAAAACATTCATGTTATATTACGCCATTATTCATCTTCTTGATTAATAAAAGTTATAATATTTATGAATAATAACAAACCCTTTTGAAACACTCAAACATGTAAGACAATGTCCGTGGTATGATGCCCCTGTCAGCATATCTCTCTGCTCCACCAGTGATTGTAAATGTTTTACCAGAACCTGTCTAAAGTCAATACAAGAAAAGGACAGTTGCAATTGAGTTATTTCTCTGGGGAAAATCATGAACCATATCCTTGTATATCCTACAAGATCTTATCAAGACCTATAGGATCCTGCCTAGATCCTGTAAGATCCTGCTTAGATCCTACCTGCATACTATACAATCGTGCAGGAACCTAGACAACATAAATTTCGAGACATACCCAGAATCAAAGATAAGATTCTGTTTGAATCTTAAGCAGGATCTTCTACAAGATTTTAGCCAGTGGTTTCCACTGACGAAGGAATGAAAAAGAACAAAAAATTTTTACAAACCTGCCAGCTGCCCAACTATGTTGTGCAGGGCAGTTTGGCAAGTATGTTTTTGTAGTTGCTTTATTGTATTTGACTACCCTCCCCACTCCACCCCCCATTTGTCAATGGTTATGGTTGCAAAGGAAATAATTCATGAACATTGCATGGCTAGTCGCTCTTTTACTTATTTTTTGCATAAGAATAAGAACCAATAGAATTTCAGCTCAAAGTCATGTGTGAAGACTGTAAGATAATTTTTACAAAAAGAAGCTTTTCCACTCACCTGTCCATATGCAAATATAGTGCCATTGTATCCACACAGAACACTGAAATAATAATATTCCACAATGGAAATGAGGTTTTCTGATCTTCATTGTTACATTTTACATACTTATCAATGACTCCTTTCGCAACATGCTCAAATATTTCATCTTGCTTTACTTCTTTATCAAATGCTTTGTTAAACCTAAATAATTTTTGAGCATATGTTTTGTATGCACTACAAGGTTTCATCAGAAAAGAAATAATTAACTGTGCGGTGTGAAGTTCACTCATTCCCAATCTTTGACAGGAGGGGGTACATGAGAGGTGCCAAAGAAACATTAATATGCTATGCAATTAAGCAAAAGCAATTTTGGTTTGTTTTTGATGGTGCACACTTCAAATAAATATCCAACAATTATGACATAAAAGTAACAAAATTTAACAAAAAAAAGTCTGACATTGAATGATGTCATCTAAAAAGTATAATCCAAACTAAAGCACCACCTTTCAAAACTATCCTGGTCCATCCCTGGGCTTACATGTATGTAGCCAAAAATAGTATACAATTCTTATGCACAATTAGGGAAAGGACTTCGTAAAAGCACGGCTACCAGTAAGGCAGTTAAGTACAAAATCATATACGTGTTCTTTTCATGGAGAAGCCAGACCACCTGTTCAAACTTTATAATTGTACCTGAACTTATACGTCTCTTTTTTATTGTTGATAAAATCGCGAGCAAGATCTTTTGGGATGTTAAGAGATACGTAGGAATAGCCATCGTCTTCATGTTCGCAATCATATTCCTCAAAGAGAATACGTGAACACAATATCACAATCTGTGGAAACGTTTGTCCAACAATAGAATTATATATTTACACAAATATATATCTTACCCCTAACCGACCTTTTCCTGGTTTGACTCTCGCAAATATTTCAATGCCGTATTTCACCATTATAAAATGAATTTTTAACGTAATTTCTATAGCATTTTTAAATGAAAAAGTGGTTTGGTTCTTGGTTTGACGGGTCAAAAACCCTCTTCTTTTTGGACAACCTGAATCCTTGACTACAATTACTAGAATTGTTTCGCCAACTACATCAATAAACAATTGTTTTGTTGCCTGCTGTAATCTTGGTACGCGGTATGCAAGAGCTCAGTTTATCTGAATCTAATCTGATATTGTTACCAATGATTAATACTAATTGCTTCCATTTCAACTTTTGAGTCCTGCAGTTTGAAAATTTCAAAGTCAAGAGCTTCTTGCAGAGCTGAGTGATCAACTATATCGCTGTACTCAAGAGGTGCCGGAAAAAGTGATGTGGTTAGTGAAAGTTTCTTTGTTAGAAAAGGGAGGGTGAAAGCATATTCCCGGAAACTAGTGCAACAGATAAGATGACCATCTGAAACTTTATTCTGCATTGAAAGAAACATACACTCTATTATTCTATCTGGAGTGCAAAAACTCAACAATTTGAATGTCTTGGGATGTTGACCAAACCATTTATCCAATAAAAACGTCTTGCAAAGACATTGTGTCATATAAGTGTAACCATCATTGCACCATCAAAATTCAAATTCCAGGAAATTCTTGTTAGGGTAAGAAGTTGTTTTATCATTTGAGATTGGGTATCATCTTCACCGGATACGTGGGTGTCAATAACGAGCATTCATGTGAAAGTCTTGTGACTCCAAATAAATTAATCCGAACCGTGGATATTGACGTCGTGATTGTATTGTTGCAATTTACTGATCTCATTTGACCGTTTACGAAACGATGAAGGCAAACTACATTGGTTTTACTCTTTTGTTCATATGTTCAGTATTTTTGCTGGACGATGTCGAAGGCAAATCATGGGTATTGATTGTAGCCGGTTCAAATACATGGGAGAATTACCGACATCAGGTAAAGTCAGAACTTTTTGTCACCCGTGAGTCATTGTAGAAACGAAGCACATACCTAAATCTAAGACTCGCTTTTCATACGCAAAATAGGGAGATTCATAGGATCGCGATCTCTAGAGTGCTATGAGTGGTTAGTAAAGTCAAACGTTTTTATAGACCTAGAATACAATCAAAAACAAAAGATTTTGGCGAACACGCATGCTGAAAGAAATAGGGTAGTAAATGTCGTAAAAATCGAATGTGAGTCCCTAGCTTAGTTTTCATATAGGTAGCGAACTTGTTATGGTGTCGAAAATTTTGTTTAGTTTGTACTGAGTGTATACTTCTATTGCTTAGTTTCCATGTGGCAGTGAATCTATCGTGATAGTGTTTTGAAAAGGCTATATAGCCAGTGGCTCTTACACTCAAATTCCCAGATCCATGGAAAAAGCGTAAAATTCCTCAAATTTCCTTTAAATTCCTTAACTTGATTAAATGTACACGTTATGTCACGCTATCACAAAAAGTGTCTGTTTTTCAACCTTTTTTCGTGTACATGAGCACAGAACAGAATTTATGTTGTTTTGATGGTACTTTTATTGGATGATGGATCACATGATTTCATCATCAAAGAGCAATCAAGCTAGAGAGAAGTACGCATGGATTTCTTATAAACTATTTATATGTGCTATGAAGTCTGAAGTGTATAGCATATTTTCCATAGTCAATAAAGCTTGAAACTGTGTAGCCTTTTTAAGTGACATATATAAATATCTCGTTTCACTCAAAGACTTCTATTTAGGCAGATGTTTGTCACGCATACCAAATTGTCCATCGAAATAAAATTCCTGATGAAAACATTGTCGTTATGATGTACGACGATATCGCTCATAACAAAGACAACCCGACGCCGGGAAAAATCATCAACAAGGTACAATTGGGATATTTCTTGTCAATCAAAATATTCAGTTAATTGTATTTTAATATTTTAATATTCAAGCCCCACGGTCCTGATGTATATGAAGGGGTAGTAAAGGATTACACAGGAGCAGTAAGTGCAAAGACCGCTCATGTTGTAATGTAGTTCAATGAGTTCAAGCCTAGCAAAGAAATTGATTATATGTTGATCTTTCCGTCACAGGATGTGACGCCAAAGAATTTTTTAAATGTTCTGAAAGGAGAAAAGGCGGCTATGAGCGGCATTGGTAGTGGAAAAGTTATTGACAGGTTGATTATTTGTATTATCGTCACTTTCGGTGAAATATCGCGCTTTGATTGGCTTAGCAATAGCTATACATATGAGTATAATCACACATATTTTAGGTAGTCCAAAGCACTAGCAAAAGTTAAAATTCTTGATGCCAATGTTTTTAGTTCGTGCTATGTAAATTTTTCTCTGTCCACTCAATCTAAAAACGATAGATTTCTAAAGAAATGATTGATGGTAATGTTCTGTAATTTAAACAGCAGAACCAAAACTTGTGCCTTTGCTACGTCTCGGTTTTGCAATTGGTAAAACAAGCTTTCCTGACTCTCTCAAGGTTATTCGTTTAATTTTATTCGTCTGTGAAAAACTCGCTGGTTTTGTTTAAAAATTGCACTCAAAATCTGTGCCATTACTACTGTATTGTGAATATACAGTAGAGCCACTCCATTGAATTTTTTCGTGCCACGCATATCTATTGCGCATGTGATTACCATAGTGGCAGTCAGTCAATTGCTTTTTTTGACCAATAGGAATGATAAAATGGCTAACGGCACTGTATATTTCTTTTACTGTTTCATTACAGAAATAATCCATTTGTAGTATACAATTATAGTACATATTTCACTCCTTTAGTGGTCCTGATGACGACGTGTTTGTTTACTTTGCTGACCATGGTGCACCTGGATTGCTTGCTTTTCCCGATGTTGCGCCACCAGTAAGATGACGTCAACATGTTGCAAATTTTTAAAAATGTCCTACGTGTATTCAAATTCTGTCATTACGACGCAATCACAACAGTTCGCTAACACATAGAAACTAAACTCTAGTATTTGAAGTATTTAATATATTATGGTTTCTATTTACCAGTTGACAAAGAAGGAACTCCTACACGCTTTGAACTTTATGCACGAAAAGAAAAAGTACAATAAGGTCGTATTGCATTTAATGACTTGTTATTGGTTATTTGATATTAATTTGAGAGAGAAATTTTTATTTAGATGGTCTTATATGTGGAAGCATGTGAATCAGGATCAATGTTTGCAAAAAAATTACCTGATGATGTCAAAAGTTAGTTGTCATATGTTTGATTACACTCTACATAATTCATTTTAAAATGTGTTTTTGTCATCATTTAGTCTTTACAACAACCGCTGCCAATCCACATGAGTCGTCCTACGCGACGTACTGGGACGAGTATAGAGAAACATATCTTGGTGACCTCTACAGTATTTCTTGGATGGAGAATTCGGATAAGGTCTATAGCCCCAGACGCTGTTGAGATGATGTCGAAACCAAAATTTTCTTGTGATACCATCAATTCTGTAAATTATTTCAGTTCAACCTGTCGAAGGAAACGCTACAAGAGCAATTTTACAAAGTAAAAAAGAGGACGAACCTTAGTCATGTTCAGGAATATGGCGATGAGGTAGGAATAAAGTTCACAATATCTTGGTTTCAAAAATTTATTTTTGCCTCTCATTAAAGAAAGTCTTTCTATTTTTTATTAGTCAATCTCGAGTAATCCAGTCATCGACTATCAGGGTGAAGGAAAGGGGTCCTGGAAACCAGCCAAGGATACTAAAGAATATTCCACCGTGTGTTAGATTTTCACATAATATGCTCACGTTCTGTAGCATAGATTTAGATTTTCATTTCACATTCTAAGTTCTTCATTTCAAATGTTACGTTCATCATTTCAAATGTCAAGTTGTTCATTTCACATGTTAAGTTGTTCATTTCACAGGTTATGTTCTTCATTTCACATGTTAAGTTCTTCATTCCACATGTTAAGTTCTTCATTTTACATGTTAAGTTCTTCATTTCACATGTTAAGTTCTTCATTTCACAGGTTAAGTTCTTCATTCCAAATGTTAAGTTCTTCATTCCACATGTTAAGTTCTTCATTTCACATGCTAAGTTCTTCATTTCAAATGTTACGTTCTTCATTTCAAATGTTAAGTTCTTCATTTCACATGTTAAGTTCTTCATTTTACATGTTAAGTTCTTCATTTCTCATGTTAAGTTCTTCATTTCACATGTTAGTTCTTCATTTTACATGTTAAGTTCTTCATTTCACAGGTTAAGTTCTTCATTTTACATGTTAAGTTCTTCATTTCACATGTTAAGTTCTTCATTTCCACATAAGTTCTTCATTCCAGTTCTTCATTCCACATGTTCTTCATTCTTAGTTCTTCCATTCTTCCATTCCATCTTCATTTCATGTTCTTCATTTAAGTTCTTCATTTTTTCTTCATTTCACATGTTAAGTTCTTCATTTCACATGTTAAGTTCTTCATTCACATGTTAAGTTCTTCATTTCACATGTTAAGTTCATTCAGTTCTTCATTTTACATGTTAAGTTCTTCATTTCACATGTTAAGTTCTTCATTTCACATGTTAGGTTCTTCATTTTACATGTTAAGTTCTTCATTTCACAGGTTAAGTTCTTCATTTCACATGTTAAGTTCTTCATTTTACATGTTAAGTTCTTCATTTCACAGGTTAAGTTCTTCATTTCACATGTTAAGTTCTTCATTTTACATGTTAAGTTCTTCATTTCACATGTTAAGTTCTTCATATCAAATGTCTACTTTTTTATTTTAATGACGTCGTGTCCGATCTTTAGGAGGACTCCACTCCATCTCCCGAGGTACCATTTGTAATTCTCGAACGACGTTTGTTGAAAGCGACCTCGCAGAAAGAGAAGATCAAGATTGAAGAGAAAATCATGAGTCTCCTTCAGGTTGTATATCAGTTTATTAAGAACTTTCTCAAGTTGATGATAGATGAAAGTTGTAAATATTACGATCAAGTTATGGAAGAACAATTTGTTTCAACATTGTCCATCCTAGGAGCGACAAAAAGTGCGTGAAACTGTGCAGAGAATTGTTGAACGAGCAATTCAAGACAAAGGACAGAGGTTGAGAATTCTGGAAGGCCGATCAGGAGAAGTGACGCAGCTTAACTGTCACAGCGATGTTGTTCACGCATATTCTGAAAAATGCTTCCCGTTAGGAAAGGTAAAAATGACATATATATATTTATAAATAATACTGTGCGTACCATGCTTCTAATATGTATGTAAGCATTTCTAAAGTTAAGAAAATGCATGTTCTGTTTTTTTTCAAAATAAACTTTTTATTAACCTCGTTTTCTTGTCTTCCACAAAGAAATATTGAACCTCGCCCCAGGGGCTTGTTCTGTACAAATAGACATCGTTCAATATTTCTCGGTAAAGACCTCTCGTTTGGTCATAGTAAGTCCTTATTTTCTCTAGGGAAAGAAAATTAGACTTCTCTCTTTGCAAATAAAATCATGCACTGTCTTTATTCTGAAATCTGTTTCCCATATTAAATATTTGTTTGTTTAGAACGATGCGGCATTAAGGTCTGTACATGTTTTAGCCAACATGTGTGAGGAAAGAATTCCTTCGGCAAAGTAAGTACAGCAATAACTTCACACAGGAAAACAGAAAATATTTTGCTTTAATTGCATATTTATTTTACAGATTACTGTCGGCAATCGAGGAGGTGTGTTTAAAAAATAATTAAAGCGATCACGCAACTCGAACTATTGCAAGAAATACGTTGCTGAAGTGTTTTTTGCTGTGATTTTTAAAATAAAATTATCAACGCCAATTTAATAGACCTTTTAGCATTCAATATATACGACAGTAAAACCTTAAGTACAGTACATAAAAAAGTTCTAGATCGGAGTCTTCACGAGCTACGAGGAAAAAAGGTTAAAGTGGGCTTATGCAGGCTTAAGCATCTTCTTGTTTCGGGTGAAATTTCTGGCTTCGGTTAACAAATCACTTACGTCATCCACTTCATCATCGCCATTTTCATCACAGGAAGGTATCCAATCACTATCTTCAGAGACCTCGCTCTCACTTAGCTCGTCGTCATCGATAAAACTGTCACCATAGTCGTAATCATTCGGACCGTCTTCGTTATCATCTCGGATCTTTCCAGCAGCTTAAACATGAAAAACTAATGTGAATGTTATGTAATACTGCATAGATGTCAAATCGTTGAGAGAGTTGGAGATTTAGTGGAGAGGCAAATCGATAGGTCACATTTCACACTAGAAATACGAGCAGTGATAAGAAAAGTGCTCTGGGGTTTTGAATTTTTTCATTTCTCCTCCGTTAACAGCTGATCGATTTATAATTTCTCACATCATAAACAGTATTACATAGTAGAACAATAAATTACATGATAAATGTAATTGTATTAGAAAATCTGTCGAGATTTGGCTAGCTGGGCAGACGATTTGGAGATTGAGTCTCAAAACTGTAAGAATTTGAATTCATACCTTTCTTTTTTGCTGTTCTTTCACGTGTTTTTTGGTCTGTTGATCAAGAGCGAAAAAATTAACAAAGTTTGGTAGCAGTCAGATTCAAGCTTGACTCTAAAGTTACAGATCTTACGTGAAATATGTTTATATTCCTTTCTGTGTTTGTGGTTTTTTCTGTAACAACTTTCACCGTAAGGGCATTCAGGTAAGTCGTTTCCACTCCTATCGTCACTATCATCTTCGAATTCAACGTCACAATTATTTGAGTGGGAATATTCTTGAAAATGAAGGGGATTTTTCCTAAAATAAGTTCAATAAAACGACATTATCAATCAGTGTACTCCAAGCTCCTCACATGTAGCAAAAGGTTGAAGATGTGCAAACGTAAGACCTGTAGCAACGACTTCCATATGGACATCGTGTCAAATCTTTCTTGTGCTTGGCATTCTTTTCTTCTTCATTGTCATCACATTTTCTTTTCACACTAACCTAAAATCATGCACTGCATTAAGTTGAGCTATATAAATGGCTGAAGGCCTGGTAACAAAACATGAAACTGTGGGATGCTTACCACAGATGGAGATTGTACAGCTTCCACTTTATACTTCAAGTTATCAGCATCACAAGATTTGACAAATCTTTCTTCAACCACTTCGTCGTCATATTGTTCATTTGGCAAATTATTTTCATACCTACATGACGGTGATTTCAATAAACTTTTCTTTATCTTTTCTAGCATTGTCATCTCATCTTTATTCTTCCTGTTGATTGGTCCTTTCAGTTTAACGATTATCAATGATGAAAGTGATCTGATTCATCAGAAACAAGAGAATACTTTATTCTTACCTTGCGTCATCCAAGTTGGTAAAACTCTAGCTTTATTTAAAGGTGAGACAGTCTCTTCTGGCATTCTCTTTTTCTCAACATCATTCACTCTATTGCTATTTTCACTTGTTCCATTATGACTATCTCTCAAGCTGTCAGCACTGTAAAAGTTATCTCCCTTCATATTGTTCATCATTTCATTCCTCCCTCTAAAATCATCACTCTTTAACAAGAGCTCCTGTGTCAAAATTTTCACTTTAAATTTGAGGTCATTTGGTAAGAATGAAATACAATCACCATCATGAAGCTCTTTTGAAACATCTTTGTCTAATGCTTCAAAGTGTGCTTCTCCCAGAGCTTGATAAAATGTAGGGTTGGTGTGGGTCTAAAATTTTTAAAATAGGTACTTGGTTATGTAATAATGACAACTTACGACAAAAACCTTCCTCAAATGCCAAGAAAATTTTCTCAGAATACTGACTAATGAAATATTGCAGTTGCCATTAAGACTGGTGTTATTTGAATATTGGTTTTTGTTGATGGGCAACTTCCTTCTAGGCAAGTGGATGGCAATGAAAGACACATTACAACACTAGTTTCCCACATGTTTATGAGTGGTATATGGTAAAAATATCGACATACAGGAAGTATGGAAAGTGCATTATCTTTCACTTCGATCATGGCATGATTTCTTGAGACGCGTTTATCAGTTATCTAAAGAAAAAAAAATAGAGTAATCAAACAGAGATGAAACATACATGTGAAATCAAATTGTAAATACCTTCATTAAGGGCCCACGTCCAATACTTACTTTTCCTTGTAACAAGTTGACTTCAAAATCAACTTCAAAATCATTTTGCATAGATACTAGAGCAAAATTTGGCATTTCTTTACCATCTGTAGCAGCCATATTATTAGAGCCCACGGTAGGAAATTGTCCACTAATATGATATAATATATAATCGTACAGCGGTATATACCTACCATTTGGTAGCGTTATTTATATCAATGCAGAAATGGAGTCCTGTTTAAGAAAAGAAAGAAAAAGAAAGAAAGAAAACGACAGCACTGACAAAATGTGTAGTGCCGTAGAGCAAGAGATATTATCAACCAATATTCAACAGTTTCAGGTTTTTCAAAAAGAACTAGACGCACGTTATGACAAATACGAGAGGATTGTGAAGTTAAGCAGAGACATTACGATCCGAAGTAAACGGGTTATATTTCTGCTCCACCGATGCACTGAAGAGGAATCTCGAGAAAAATTGCTTGCGGAAGCAATGGAAAAAATTGGCGAAGTTAAAAGAATATTCGAAAAAATTGCACTCGAGCTTCGAAATGAAGACTCTTTTCAGTTTCAGAAAGCATATTCTCCAGGTCTGCAAGAGTTTATCGAAGCATATGGATTTTGGTATTTTTTAAAGCATGGCCGTGTAGTTTCATTGGAAGAAGTTCGTTATCAACTTTCTTTTAAGAACAAATATGAAGAGGCTGGTCTTATAAAGCTTACTTCCACTAATGATAAATTAACTACTGGTGAACAAAATTACAACTCGTCTGTTGCAGAACCAACTACTAAAAAGGTTTGCAGCTTCACCCCTCCTGTTGAAGAGGATCTTGAAATAAGCTCACCATCGGATAAATTAATTGTTGTCAGTCCCCATGATGAAGATTGCATCAATGTTGATGAGGGGATTGCTGTGATTGTTCCTTCCACCGATCAAATTACAGTTCTCAGGAGCCCTGCAGATTACATATTGGGTATTTGCGATTTGACAGGTGAACTGATGCGTTTAGCAATAAACAGTATTGGTCAGGGAAACATTAAAAGCATATGGAAAATATGTAAAGTGTTACGTCAAATCCATGATGAAATTGTAAAGTTGGAAAACAAACTTGTTCATCGAGGTCTAGCTAAGAAGCTAGAAGTCCTAAAAAACAATATGAGAAAAGTAGAAAATGCTTGCTACACTCTACAGATCCGTGGTGCCGAATTGCCAGTAGCAATGTTGATTGATCTAGTAACACCTGACAAAGAACTTAAAGAATAAAAAACTCTCAAACATTGAAAAATATCGCTAACTTTATAGTTATACAATGTTGCACTATATTTCAATAAATTTTGCTATAATACATTATTACTCTATAATATATATATGTATCATGAAACACATTTCTCCAAATGGATTCATGTAACAGTTTAAGTTGTGTTTGAAACATCACTATATAAATGTGAAAAGTTGCATACAACCTACATACCAACATCAATTTTAGGAAGGGTTTTAAAAAATCCTTGAGGCAAGGAGAGTTGACAGCATTTCAGAAATTTCTTTGGCTCTGGCAACTGGGAAAATACACTCCAAGTATTGGTCACATAATCATAACACTCAATGCTACTATGGTATCTAGTACCATTTCCTTCTCCACCGAATATCAAAACCTTATCACCATGTCTACCAATACCAGCAAAGGCTCTTGGTACACTCATATCTGCAACAGGAAACCAGACACCTACACTTGGATTAAACATTTCACAACTGCGGATGTATGTCCTTATCACAACCACATGATCAATGGTATCCAATTCACCAACTTCATTGATACCCCCAACAACGAGAATGTTACCATTAGCAACAACCGTAGCAACAGCATAAGCACGTTTATGTGTCATCTGAGGCATTACCTCCCATGAATTTTTGGTAACAGAATATCGTTCCATTGATGATAACATCTGGTTATCGCTTGCCTTTCCACCAATGGCATACAAGTAATCATCAGTAGCAACAAGACAGGCACCACTACGTGAAGTGTGCAAGGGAGCTTTCACTTCCCATCTTTGTGTTTTTGAGTGATAACATTTTAAAATTCCAAGACGTACACCATTCTCAACAATACCACCAGCAACATACAATGAATCACCAACTGATGCAACAGCCATGCCCTTCATTGGTGTAGGCATAGCCGGAATTGTCAACCATCTCTTTTTCCTCACATTAAAAATCTCAACTTCAGCTGTGAACCCATTCTTTGAATATCCACCCAAGATGTGAATATTTTCACCAATAGCAGCTACACCATGGCTATAACGAACTATGCTCATGGATGGTAGAACATACCACTTGTTCTGAGATGGCACATAGAGATACGATGATGCTGTCGCTCCCACAGGTTCACGACCACCGTTCACGAAGATGCAGTCAAGAAACCGCGATGGCCAAATATTTGAAGCATCATTAGTAACATAGCAGTCCAGTATCCCCTTCATTAAGAGTTCATAACAGTTGGGATTATTCGCGACAAGAGGTTCCGTGGCAACTGTGTCCGCTAAAAAAGTCCTATCGATATCCCTTATCCGTAAAAATGAAAATAACTCGGGGAAAACTCCCTGTCTGTTCGTCAAGTCGTGTTTTACCCACCTGACAATACCTTTGTATAAATCTTCTTCGCTAAAGACGACTATATTATCGTGGGAAACGATTTCTAAAAGCTGCTGTGAGTCCGTTAATAAAAATTCATCAGTTTGAGATAGCTCTGTGAAGTTTTCCATGAGAAAATCTCGAGTCGTTTCACGCAACGGTTCACAGTGGTATTTCCCAGCAAAACAATGCAAAGCAATACCGTTTGACAAGTTCAATTTCTTTTGCAAAAATTGACAACCAAGCTCTTTCAATTCGACAACATTAAAGTAATCTGCAGCGACTATCAGGGCTTCGACATTATCTTGCGTGAATTGAACTTTAGTAGTGTATAAAAACGTTAGGAAATCATCCATACTATGAAAAATGTCCGGAGGACATTTTAAGTCGATGACGTTTTGATTTCGTTCTTTCATATTCGCAGTAAACAGCGTACGAAAGTAAGGACAGTTCGAAGACAATACGACTTTATGCACGGGAAATTCGCCCACCTCTAATCGCAATTTAGCGTCACAAAGTGTATCTTCTTGTCGAAATGTGTTAAGCTGATGCAGCATTTTCGTCGACATATTCTTGCTCTTCGATTCAGTGCAGTCGGAACATTGACCGTTATCCAAACTCTCCATAGAGCAGCTGACATCACTGATCATTATTTCACGACTCATGTCTTGTGCCACAAACTTATCACTCAACAGCGAGAGAAAAACGAGAATGTGAACGACGGGGATGCTGTCATAATAAATAAATTTTTCCCCGCCGGAAATAAAGTAAAAACATCTGATGCGCACGTGAACAAACCGGGAACACTGCGCACATACTTGATACTCAATCAATAATTTGTATTGTGTATCCTGTCATGTTGTCAAATCCGCTAAGGACGTGATCTGTCTTAAGTACTTATATTGTCCAAGGCTCCCAAAAGATGGGCAGGACTTTTATACAATATGAATATTCTGTTGTACTGCTCACATAATCACATATCAAATACTCCCTCTACAATTCTCACAATACCCTGTTGTGTCACCTTTCGAAAATATGTCGTGACCTTGTAAGTTGTCAAATTTGTTTGATTTAGGTCTACTTTTGTCTATACATTGACCATGCATAAATGAAAAATATGGTTGTGGAGAAAATTATACTTCAATAGCAACTGAAGGGGTAATTGGGTTGGGCAGCAGTCAACACGTATCTAGGAATAAAAAAAATTAAGCATTTGCGTCAAAAATTGCGTCAATGGCCTTTTAAAATGCGTCCCCTTTATGCGCATCACGTATTTTTCTAGAAAGTTGAAAAGAATCTTTTGAATAGACAATGCTTTGGAATTCATTTCTGATAAAGGCATGTGAAATATTTATATTATTTCAAAATTATTAGCATTTTTTCAACTAAACATCAACATTCAGTAATAAACATTCCAAGATTCCATTGAACCAAACAATGTTAGGTAATGGATGATTTTCATTGCACTCGCGTTTTTTTACTTAAAGAAAACAATCGATTTTTAGAATGTTTAATAAACTGAAAAACAGCAATACAAAAGACAATCTGTGATGCTATAATATATGATATTTTAATGTCTAAACATTTTTATTCATCATTATTGCTTACGGTCTCATTACCCTCCTCACTGACCTCTTCATCACTGCTTGAGTCTGAATGCATTATCAATGTTTGAGCATGGTTTGGATTAACAAACAATTCATCATCAGTAGATGAATCTGTACCTGAGTCATCAACATTCAGTTCAAGTTTTTTTCCACCATCATTCTGGTGTGATGTCACACAGAAGTTGTCCTCATTCAAAAACTCTTGGGGCCTAAAATAATGAAAACAATTTTAAATTAAGTAACAACTAGAATTTTGCCAAGATTCTGAATTCAGGTTGGCAACAACAAATTGCCGATGTCTGTATATCTATTTGGCTTTTTATGCAGATAGTTGGAAAAAAATTTGTGTTTAGCCTTGCACAGTCTTAAGTCATGGTGCAAACCATCTGTGTTTGCTTTTATCATATTCATTTAAACTCAATTGCACAATCATTATGGTTGGTTAATATTTCAAAATGTAATGGGAAAAATTATGGCAACCTAGGATCCCAACATCTGAAACACATGCAAATTTTGATTATATTGCCACTTTGTAATGATGTTAGGACATCTGGCAAAAAAAATTGCAAATCTATAACTTTTTATTAAAATTCTTCAGAAATCTAATTAGAATTTATTATTGTTCAAAGTCTTTGATGAATGGTAATTTTGTTATTTGTAATATATTAATCCTAACACAGTTTTTAATATGCACATGAAAAACATGTGACTTGGACGAGATTTGAACTTGCACCTTCGGGATACTAGTCTGCCGCTCTACCTGTTGAGCTACCAAGCCCACAGGGATTGGAAACGAGTCAAATCTCTATATATTATATATTCTCTGATGATGGCTTTGGAATAAAGTCGAAACACAGTGCCATCCAGTAAACTGCTAAAGTGGCAAGAATCTCTCGTCCATACGCAGTTTAAAAGAGATTTGACTCGTCTCCAATCCCTGTGGGCTTGGTAGCTCAACAGGTAGAGCGGCGGAATAGTATCCCGAAGGTGCGAGTTCAAATCTCGTCACATGTTTTTCATGTCCATATTAAAAACTGTGTTAGGATTAATATATTATATATTCTCTGATGATGGCTTAGTTATTTGTAGTAAGTTAATTGACTCTACAGCAGACTACAGTAAATATTGTTTAAATGTTTATGATATGTTTCTATGATATGTAAATGATACATTTCATTGAAATATTGCAATTGCCAACATGTTCCACTTTCAAGTTGGCAAAAATTTAGTTAATTCAGAGCCCTTTACTTCAATTGTCCAGTCAATGTTTATTAATATCATACCAAAGGCCTTCTCTTTTGAGGTACTTCACTTGCTCTTTGTATAAAATATGAGCTATTTCTCCACAAACTTTTTGTCCTTCTTTTATGGGATCAACAATTACAAAATTACCTAAAGATGAAGGATGATTGAAGAACAAATCTTTATTTTTAACATAATTTCAATACACATCAATCATACCTCGCTTAATCCATACATTTTTCCTGAACTTAGATGGCATACTGATAAGAAACTTTTTTCCATCTGCAGTCTCTGCCTCATGGAGATTATTACCTCTACTCCCAATTATCTATTAAAATAAAAAATGGCTATTTAACAGGAAAACAAATAAATCACAGAGTAAGCATGTTTGATCATTGATGATATTTGGGATCCATACATAATGCCTAGCATCACACAAGAAAACTACAAAATGTTTGAAGAATATAAATTCTTTATTCATTACTGAATTCAATTATAACAACAGTTTCAATTTTTTAACTTAATGTCACTAAGAGATTCAAGGGTGCTGCAGTGTGGACAATTTGCATCAGCAAATTTCAAAGTTGGAAACTGTGGTAACTATTCTCAACTTAGAGATCACATTAGTTTGTTTCGTGCAGTGAGGAACTAGACTATTAGAAGCTCGCCCTTATTGGGGGGGGTGCCTAAACAAGCAGAAACAGAGCCAAAGCCTTATAGCTCCTTTTGCTTTCTTCTTTAAACTTCTTGCTGAAATTAATGAAAATTCAAAATAAATTGATATTTTTTCACTTTTCATAAATAAATGTTAGCAGATTTCAAAGCTACTTTTCTTGTTCTTTAGTGTGCTTTACCTATACATATGAAAACTACCATAGGGGTCAAGCCTCCCAGTTCTTCACTTCTCCTGATATCCTGCTACCAAAAGGCAAAAATCTTTGTGGCATGCAAGCTGCAGCTAGAAATCTCAAATTTCTTTGGATTATGCATTGCAAAATTTTTAAAACTCGAACTTGAAATGAGTGAATACCTTAACAATAATTTGCTTTGGATCTGGTTTAACGAATTCGTCGAGGACTTCGCGAGTGACGTGCTTTCTTTTTGTAGCTTTAGACATTGTTTTTGGTCTCAAAAATAATTGCTGCTAATGAACACTTTTTCAGGTCCCAGAAGGACAAAGAAATGCGTTATGAGAATTTTTAGTTAGCCATGATTGATTCTTTCCTATATGACTAGTAATAATCCATGAAATTCGGTGTGGCAGAAGAGAAAATGATCTGATAAATTAACGATTGTTGAATTCCGGCGGCCATTTTTGAACTGTATAACATTAACTATGGTTTAATGAAGGTGAAGGAATGCTGCCAAGATCCTGTAAGCATTAGCATTTACCTTTTCACGTGGCTTACTAAACGTGAGATATTAATTAAATTTTCTTTTAAGATGGTCATATTACATATGTATGCAAGAAAAAAATGACTAAACATGAAATGAATGGCCACTTGCTTTGCTATGGAAGAAAAAGACATTAAATTTGTCCATTGATTGCAGATTGCATTCTCTTTCACATCCTAATTTACCCAAGTCCATCAGATTTGAAGATAAGAGTTTTGCAGTCAAACATAGTATAAGAACTGGGCTGCAACTATGAAATGTGCAGTAAAAGGAGCCAAGTTTTTCCTTGATATTTTTTTCCTAAGAAAGAATATGCCACTGCCTCACTGGTGTGTGGCAGCAGGAAATCTGGTAAGTCATATTTCAGTCTTTCAGAAGGATTGCGCATGTCTCGCATACATTAATAGAGTTCAACGATCATCATTGGTCAGTCCGTTCGTAATGTTCGTGCTGGTTCGTGGTCGGGCGGTCGTCTGTCGTTAAGTCGTCAATGGTGTACAAATATGAAATATGGAAAATTTTATATGACTAATTTAGGATGTTTTAAATCTGACTGATTAGATTTCTGGCAGAAACTTGTCCTAAAATGCCTGAGATCGATGGGGAAGAAAGTGGTGATGAGGAAATGACAAGAAATGTTGCTGCGGATGAAAACATGAGCGAAGACGATGACAGTTCTTCGGGGTCAGAGGAATCATCAAGTTCTGGTGAGAATTAATATTAGTTTGTAAGATTTTTTCCGTTGAATTGTCCAAAGTAAATTTTTATCACACAATTCTAATTTTCCTGGTAATATCTGTTGTTAGTATTACAGTTAGTATTTTAGTAACATCAATAGTAATTATTTAGTAAAACTGTTCTCTACTATAACTGGAGTGTTCTCGAGACTTTGAAGTTTGAACTGTAATCCTTCCCAAAATCAATATATTGGAAGTTTTCATCCTGTTTATTTATGCATGTAATGAAATATTGTATTTTGCAGGGGATGAGATTGAGAATGAGAAACGACGGCTACAATGTGTGCAGGAAATGAATGAACTTGAGAAGCAGTTTGCCAACATTAAAGAGCAGTATGTTTTGAACAAGACAAAGTTGAAGTTGTTTGTGTTATGATTGTTCAAATTTCATCCTACAGGCTGTATAAGGAAAGAATCAGTCAGATTGAGAAGAAACTGCTCACAGTTCAAGATGGTGAGTTTTTTGTCAATTTTGTAGATGACATGATGTTTAAATTTTATTTTTTTAGACACAGCTGAGGAATATCTAGACCCTCTTTGTAAACTCCAAGATATGTGTCAAGTAAGACAAGAAGTTGCAGGTATCTATGGCTTTTGGTTCTTTTCTACAATAAACATTGTTTATAAATTTATGTTTATGTCTTTTTCAGATGTACTCAAAGGATGTAAAGTAAGTACAAGTTTATTTTCACTGCTTAAGGCATGTGTTTTTATCAATCATATTCAATTTTGAATAAGTTGATAATTTTTGTCAATTTCTCTGTTTCCTACTTTAAAGTTACAAAATGTAGAAAATAAATATGTTGCCGAAGGGTTGGCGACATCACAATATTTCGAGGTTAGATGATGTTCATTCTTAATTAATCTTGGCATTTGCACAGCACATTATTTCCTCATCTTCTTTAGAGTGAGAAAAATGTGCTCATGGAAAAAATGAGAGTTGATCTGGAGGAAAAAATACGTAAGTTGGAGGAAGATCGACACAATTCAGACATCAGTGCAGGTGATTTGAAACATCATCATTGTCTCTGTTGACTGTTAGAAAAGCAAGGAACCATTGGATTTTTGTTTGTAATTATAGATTTATGGTTGGAGTCACAAAATCTGAAGAAACACAAGAAAGCTGATGGCTTCTTCAATGACAAACGAAGAAAGCCAGTTACTGTGTCTGATATCCTTTCAATAAAAATGAAAGTTTTATTTCCCTTTTTTTTGTGAGGATTACCTTAACTGCATTCTACGTCCATATATTGTTTACATGCTTCATGATATGGATATTTATGAAGATTGGGCTGCTATCAGAAGGGTGAGAAGGCTTTTAAGTATTTTTCATTGATGAAAACATTGTGTGAATATTTTGTCTTTCAGGCAAAAGGAGCCTTATCAAGACGAAAATCTGAAAGTATGCAAAATAAATTTTTCAGTTCATTGTCTGGGCAAATAATAAGATTTTCTTTTTTTCTTTTTAGGTAACAGTGGAAACCAAGGTGCAATTTAACCATGCAGATATGATAATTAATTTTGGTAGCTAAATTCAACATCTTTGCTTACAGGAAATACCTTTGATGAGAGTAAATGTCCAGTGCACGATATGAAGATGGAAAGCTGTTTTATGAAGGAGAATGGTTAGTTGGAGATTTTAATTTGTCCTAAATGGTTACCTGTAAATGATTGACTTTAATATTATCTTATATTCACCAGGTTTGTTAAAGGGAATCATGTAAAGGTTGAAAGTAAAGGAGGAGCACCTGTTGAGTATGTGGACATATTTTGATAAGCACTAATAGTACTTGTAAGGGTAGTGCTGCCAGGAATTCCCTGACACAGGGACTAAGTCTTATGACAGAGGGACTCAATCTAGGTTCTCCTAACAAGCCCTACAAAGTTTTAAAATAATTGAGACACAGGCAAAGCACATGCACACTTTTTAGAAATTTCTAATGCCTGAGATAATAATTGGTTAAAAATTTTTTGAATCATATATTCGAAGAGCATATTTTTCAAAAGACCAAATTTCAGTTTTGAGATATGTTGGTTGGCATGTAGATATTTAATTAGATTGTTGTCGTTTGTTGCGCTTTGATGTGGTATGATCAAAGCACAACTATTGAAATTTCAAACTTTCATATTAATTTCCCTGTTAATTCCCTGACAACTTGTTGAATTTTTCTTGTCAGGTGATTGAGTTCTCCATTGGTGGGTTATAGTTTCCCCTTTGCCCTGCTTAGGCTCCATTCCAACATTTTCATCAGTTCTAAAAACTCAAGTCTCTTTTACATTTTCTTTAGTGCAACCATTACTGCCATCAACACAGGGGAGGTATGACATTTTGTTTTGTTGTAATCATATTTTCATTGCATAATTGTTATGTACATATACAGGTTTGGATAAAAAAACCTCATGGCGACAGATTCAAGTTATACATTGCTCAACTGCAAAAGGAAATTTAAATTAAGAAAAACAAAGTAATCTATGATCACTGTCATTTTTGTGTATATTGTATGATATTACTAAATAACAAGGCAATATTTTCTACTTTTTCTTTGTCAGTCATTACTGCATATTACAATGTAAAGGCCAATTTATGATGGGTCATTTGCTTTTTAGTCAAATATATTTATTAAGGAGTTATCTGTAGTCGTTTCCTATTTCATAGTGACAGTGACAGGTCCAGACAGGACTGCAATTGTTCTTAATTGTACATACTTTTAACCAAAACACTTTAACTTTCTTCGTTCCTTAATCTCCGTTCTGATTCAATTGTACAACATTACTGATGCGACACCTTATTGCCTGCTGCCATTTTAGTACTAAATAATTTTTAATAATTAATAATTTATGAAACCTAAAGTTCGGTTTGAAATAAAGAGTACAATACAAGCACTATAACTACTTCCGAAAATAAAATATAACTAACATATCAATTACATTAAAGTGAATACTGAATCGTAACTGCATCAACTTCGCCAATATGCAATTCAAAGGAACGCGTCGCACCATTCTTTTAAACATCTATAACAGTCGCCTCCTTGTTTAGCGTTCGCACCTGCGGTTGTCTTTATCCAGTCAAGAAACATTTCTTCGTCTTTGCGAAGGACCAGAAATTGACCAAGAACGATGCTTGCTTTATCAAAACCAGCGTCTATCAACTTCTTACCAAGAACCTTTCCGATTCCGGCAAGCTCAAACACTTCTTTGTCGCCCATTGGTTCACTAACAAAATCTCTGTGTTTCTGTGAAGTTGACATCTTTGATATTTGAACGAGAGAAGGTGGCGGAATCTAACATAAATTTCAAGAAGTGCAAACTGAATTTAACGTTACAGAATAAAACCATCAAAAGTAAATTTACCTGGCGTACGTGCAAAGCTGAGAAAAAGCAACTGGTTGTTGAAGATATTCGCACGATTTATTTGAATATGTTTCTTTGTTGTGTAATAGTCCTTTTGAATAATACGGATTATACGCTTCGCGCTACACCGGAAGTAGTACGACAGCAACGATGCATGTTTTACGTTGCATGTTTTCCCCTTGCTTTTCTCATAAGATTATTGTCTTTTTTCATCATTATCACGACATGTTGTTTAAAATTAAGCCTTGAAATTTGATTGAATTTTAAATTTTCCATTTGTTTAAAACCTTTTAATAGAAATTTTCACAAAAAGACTTCACAAAAAAATTGCGGGCATGCAATGTACATGCAGGTTTAATGTAGCGGGAGATTAAAATTTTAAATTGGAAAATTAAAGACAGACCACATAATAACATTTCGTCATTTTTCTTGTATGGAAAACGGTTTGAGATGAGCAGTACGACAGGAAAACGTAGAAAGAGAAAAGCGCCGAGTAATGATCAGAAAAATACCAAAACAGTGGCAAAAAAGCCTCGCAAACCAAAAGGAATGCCCGATTTCAAGCCTGGTGAAGTTGTTGTAGATTTGTTAAAGAAATCATGGCGCTTAGGAGAACTTATAGGCTGGGGAGGTTTTGGAGCTTTGTATTATGGTAAGAATGTTCAATCTTGGCAATTCCATGAATTAACATTATAGGAAATATGAAATAATAAGATGATAATTGTATGGGACCTGTAGTGATGACAATTGTCTTTTGAGTTATGCCAATTGTCCATCCACCTTTTTTTCCCCAGCGTCTTCCAACACTGACGATGCAGTTGATAGCAATGCAGTGTTTGTTGCAAAAGTTGTAAGTAAGGCTCTCATAAATTACACAGGACTCTCAGTTCTAATTGATGATTTTTCAGCTTCTAATGTTGTAGGAGCCGCATTCTAATGGTCCTTTGTTTGGAGAACTAGCTTTTTATCAAAGAGCAGCCAAAGAAGACACAAGTAACAGCCTGAAATTTTATTGTTTAAGGAAGGTTGTGAGCATGTCAAAGTAATATGTGCACTTGTGTTGTTATCATTATAGTTAATACCTGGGTATCATCACACAAGTTGAAATTTCTTGGTGTGCCTGCGTATATTGGTTCAGGTTGCCATGAAAGTAATGGTTCAAAGTACAGATTTATGATCATGGAGAGATTTGGCGAAGATGTTGATCAAGTATTTAAAAGATGTGGTCATGTGTTCCATGTTCAAACAGTTTTCACTTTGGCAATAAGAATTGTAAGATTACTTTGAATGAGTACATTTGATAATTGAGTTAAGTGTGATGTTTGCTTCTTTAGCTAGATATTCTGGAGTACATACATACCCAAGGCTATGTTCATGCGGACATCAAAGGTTCAAACTTGATGTTAGGATATAAAGCAAACAGGAAAAACAAGGTTTGTGTTGAATATTTTTAGCTGTATGTTCAGACTAAATGATGTATTTGAGTTTCATTGTAAATTAAATTTAGATATTTTTGGTCGATTATGGCCTTGCATGTCGTTATGTGTCTGATAATAATCACAAAGAGTACAAAGAAGATCCCAAACGACGGCATGATGGAACCATTGAGTTTACAAGTCGTGATGCTCATAAAGGTGTTGCTCCTTCACGTCGAACAGATCTTGAGATTCTTGGCTACGTTATGCTTAAGTGGCTTTGTAATGTGTTGCCTTGGGAAAACAAACTAAATGATAAAGAATATGTTATGAATGCAAAGACAAGGCATGTAAAATAAGACTTCAATCTTATAGTGTTAAATATTTTTTCCAACATAGCTTTCTCTTCAGGTTCATGGAAACAATACCTGGCTCTATTAGGAAATGTTTAGAAGATCAATCAACTGGTGCGATAGGTGAGGCTTAAAGAAGTCAAGGATATTGGAAATATTATAAGCATAGCCATGGAGGAGGGAAACATATGTGTAGCAAATACTGTTGTATTGGGCTTGCTAAAAAATGAATGCATCAATATGTTAATTAAGCAGGAACATTGCCTTTCTTCTGAAAAATGTTTTAGATGAGTTGGAGAAGTATTTCAAGTACGTGGTTCACCTCGATTACGAAGCGACACCAGATTACGGTAACATAAGGAAGATATTTCACAATGGATTGCGGAAGAGAAAGTTGGAAGACGACGGTCAGACCGTGACATTTAAAACAGCCGACAGTCTTTCCCATGATGCAGTGAAGAAATCTGCTGACAGTAGTGACACAGTGAGTTTGGAATTAGAGAGAATATCGCATGACGTATTATGGTTGAGTATCTCAATGTTAATGTTACAGGAAGAAAGTAAGATGATATCAAAGTCAAGGGAAGAAATACACGAGGACGAAAACCACAATCTAAATCGTCAAACAAAGAACAAGCAAGCCACTCAAAAGCCATGTTGCATCAATTAAACGGCGACAATACGGCATCTTCCAGGCATTCTGTCAGGCAAAATGCCCGCAAGTCAGATGAGACACCTGCTAATATGACGTCGGGTGACGAAGTTATCATGACGAGGTCTGCAAGGACAAGAAAACGGGTTACTGACGAGAATGATGGAATCAAACCACGAAAACGAGGCCGTCCAAAGAAGGTAGAAGCAGAGTGATTGTATGTGAACAGATAAGAGACACCTTAAGAGATTAATTTTCTTTACTCTTCTCGTGGCTATAGACCTCTTAAAACGAAATCTAAGGATTTAGTACTCATATTTCTATATTCTTCTCTTGGCTATAGAAGAGAAAGGAACAGTATCTTAGAGGAATATACAGATAATTGTTTGCTGTTCTTTAGGCTATAGATATACAGAATTACTTACTTTATTTAACAATACATAAAGTGCACAGTTTGTGAACTGTTAATCATTTTGATAAGGTTAAGAAGTTTTTATTATCACGTTGATAAGTATTCGTAGGAAATCTTAGTTTGTTATTTACTTAAAAATCATTCATGAATAAAACAGTTTCAACTCTTCTGGTTGCTAAACAACTGAAATATTTTAACACGTTGCTTTACATCACTGCCTCCGAGGGCCATTTCAACACTTTGAGAATATCGTTCTTTCTTCGTGCATCTTCCTGAAGTCTTGCAACATTTTTGTTTATCGCTGAAGAAACGGTACAATCTGTCAAACCTTTACTTTCATGTATTTTAACATCAATATTATGGTCATGTTTGCTATTGTCCAGCGAGATTGGGTCAATCCCCAAATGATGACCGTCCAATTCTTCCATATCTTCACAACCAATATTCAATGAATTTTCTTGAAGCTGTGAAAATCGTTAGCGATTAAAAATTTGTATTAACCATAGAGTAGAATCCGGGAAGTGCGCAATTTAATGCTGTTACCTTTTGGTATTCGTCAAGCAAGTAGCCCCATTTCTCTTGCCATTTTTTATTTGACTGATGCTCACGAACAACGTGGTCTTTCCTGTCAAAAGAATGTTTTATAAGTTCGGAAAATAAAAAAATGACTTCATCCATACTTCCTTGTACCATATTTCATCTTTATGGACAAAATTGTAAACTTTCCCTTTTGAGCTTGAGCCAAACATGATCCCAGAATCTCTAACAAACACAGACGTTCTAATTGATATTAGAAGCCTACGTAATCATTCGATGAGAACATTAAATGACGTCATAAAGAAAGCGCAATTAGGCAGAATTACGCTTCAACCTCTAACTTACTGATAAATTTCGGTGAACTAAAATATCGGAACATTAAAAGTGGGGCACATTAACTTTCCATGGCAGCCACAGGGGTTACATTACTAATTAAAAAAGCGCATAATCATCACGTGCTTTTGCATTTTCCCACATTTTAGATAAGATTTGAATAAGAAGGGAAATAAAGACAAAACATACATGATTGTTTTTAAATCATATTACAGTTTAAGAAGAAGTTGATAGAGAGATAGGGAGATATATATAGAGAGAGAGAAGGTAACAAGAAAATACAAACTGCACGTCGTAATGAAAAGAAGAGTTGAGATCATTTTCGTCGACAAGCTACGAAAACCGTAACATCACACTTAGCTAAGAAGCATTTCACGACAATGAAAGTGCTTTTCAAATGTTGTGAAAAACAAAAAATTCCCTTCTTATTTTCTATGATATTTGTTTTGTATATTAAATGTTTTTTTTTCAGAATTGTGACCAGGGCTATATAATATATTTTTATTAAAACTATTGAATGGCTCTTTTAAAAGCACTTTGCTGGGCTTTAATATTTAAATGGTTTCGGCGAAGACGTTTTCACGGCAAGTAGCTACATTTTTGTCCAAGTCAGGGCTAGTTCAAACGTCGAACTTTACATGAACCGAACGCATATAAAACAAAAGATAATGAGGAAGTTAATCTCATTTTCTTTTGTCTTTAATGCGTTCGATGTATGTAAAGTTCGACGTTTGAAACAGGCCTCAACGCAACGAAACAACACAATGTTTTACTTTAGGGTTTCAGCACGCTTTGGCTCATCCTTACTAGGAGAAATTTTCAAACAACAAAAAGATGTGTTTTACATGTTCGAACTACTGCACACTTGCGCTATGTTAAAGAGACTTTGTGTTTTACGAGATCACATGTTATCAACAGAATATTCCGAACTTATCTCTCGCTGTGTTGCAACTTGCGAGACATACTTAACTGCAACTTCATTAAATCATAAATTGTTGCTGTATTTTATATCCAGTCTATACTTTACTTCCTCATTATTTTGAGAATCGAGCAGAGTTATGCGGTTACTCCACCCTATTGTCAAGAAAAAAGACCAGAGAAACAGTTTTATGAAAAACAGAGAAGGGCATGTAAGGTTCGTTTAGAACCGCATATGTTTATGGTCGTAGACTGAATCAAGTGACTGAAAAGATAAAAATTACCACATCGACTAAAGATATCAGAAGTCTTGACATGCAGCAAATTAGTTGATCTAAACATCATTCATTTGATTCGCGATCCAAGTGCCATCGGCCTTGCTCCTTCACACATTCGACACAGCTGACAATCTCTTTTATCTCAAACTTGTCACCTTTCACAAAGATAATAAGTAATCCTTCAATGCGTTTATAGATAAAAAAAATTCTTTAGAGAATAGAATCTTTTGATTTTTCAGCGTTTTAAAGTGGTTATGAAAAGTAACGATACATGATGTTGTAGGTTAGAACTCATGACACGATAATGAATTTAGAAAGTAGACTTTAATTTTGTCCAAACATTCATTGAATCTTGCAGTCATATCTTGCTAGGTTAAGGTTAGGAGATGGTTTAAGGGCGTTGTGGTTAACGTCACCAACCAACATCTTAATGCCCAAAATCATAATTTCAAATGATTTACGTAATGTCACAGAAAAATGGTCAATAGTTATTTGCAATTTACGTATACTAATGAAGGGAGAGCATGGTTCTTTTGTTCGGCAACAATAGGTTTTGTTTTTAAAAATTAGTTTAGATACCAAAAATGAATGTTAAAACATATAATGACATGCTTAACACCATGCATAAAGATACTACTCACTTCAAGTTTTCTCACATATAAACCACGAGGCGTCATGGAAAGTAGATATCGTTCGCATGAGATGGAACAAGACTATACACATAGGTGACAGGTATAAGGATTTGTGAATGTGCAAAGCAAAATTAAGATGTTGCCTTCAACTGTTATCGATGACAAGTTACCGAAAGACGTCTCATTTGATTGCAGATATATGTGAACGTGTTGAAGAAAGACCGCCAACATCAGTGAAGGCAGCAGAACAAGAATTGGAAAGTATTTTGTATGACTTTGAACAAACGTTTTGAAAACATGGAAAAATACAGTTCAAAATACGTTCATAGGACTGAAGTAGCTACAAGAAAAGAAAGGAGAAGATTGATTGTAGCCGATAATTTGGGCATAATCCGATCAACAGCAAGAGACGGCTAGAAATTAAAAATGTAAGTGACTACACTGACGATAAATTATTATTTGCTTCTTGATTTATCTCTATTGTTTTTCTGAAAATCGATAATCTTATAATCAAATAGCCTTATTTGGAGTCCTTGTAATATGCTTTAACCATGATGTTAAGCCTTTGATCGTTCGGAAGTTCATGTAGAACTCAATTGACTATAGTTATTCGTGCAATGTAGGTGAATGTTCTACCATTTCGAAAGTCAAACAGAAAATATATTATAATTTGCTCATTCTATATATATCTGTTTCATATTTTTTTAGATGGTAGATCCCACATGGATGGAGTTGTTAAAGTCCCTTTACCACCTGTGTCATTCACTTCGATCACTCTTACTAGTTTGTCATTACTCATGTGTCATGGTGATTCATGGCCAAGAATGTTTATTTGTAGTTTGGATTCTTTGTTGATGTCAGTTGTTTGTTCATATAATGATGATGGGCCCCATTGTTATATGAGCCCACCTAAAGGTGGTCAGCTGATACTCATAGAAGATCAACTCTGCATTAAGCATTCTTTGAGTGATGATATAACTGGGGTATTGAAGTGATCCCTTTCCCTTCGTTTGAAGTTACCCAAAGAGTACATTGGTTGATGACGCCCGTTACTTGAAGTAGGAAATTGTATACACATATTAAATGGACATCGCATAACGGCATCTGTACGTATGAACATTATGGAATGATTGGACTTTGAAAACGGACGATAATCTACGAAGATGGAAAACAAGCAAGTGGAAAAACACGATCCAAGTCTTGTGGTTTGTAAGTTGAGTAGATAAGTGTTAAAGGATATGAATAACTGCATGAGATAGTTAGCTAAAAAAGGATCCTGATGGTCTATTTTCATAATTTGAGCCTGAATCATGAAAAACACATAAATTAAAAAAATTTCAATAAAAGATGTCACTTGCCGTGAGAAAATAGCTGGCTTTCACTCGCTACTTTTTACTAATTTCATTCAACGTTTATAAAAAAATTGCAATGCTGCAAGTAGGGTTCATTCATTTTCGAAGATAAAAATGTTAAAATAAATTTTAACGATATATGCGTAAAAACTGCGCGGTGAAAGAAAACGACGAGACCGACCAAGTCGCCTGGATCAAACTGACCAGGACTACGCTTAGAAATCAGGTATTAAAGTTTTGTTCTTTTCAATATATTTAACTCTGACGAACATTTTTAGCTAATTTCATTGCTTTTTGAAATGCTAATTTTCATTGCAATGTTTATTTGCAAAACGTAGGCTGAGTAATGATCGAATCTAAATGTCAATTCATGTTAATCTAATTATTTTACGATATACGATGAAAAACTGCGCGGTTGAAATGCTGCAAAACGTTACGAGACGATCTGAACGCCTGGTGACTGATCAGACTGACGCAACAAAATGAAAGTTAGAAATCATTTTATCAATTAAACTTTTTTCTTTTCATTTATGTTTTGTTTGTGTTCTTTCATGCTGATGTCATTTGACATTGTATTTATAAAGTAGCTATGTGCCTGTAGGCAATCTTATGAAATGGACAAGAGAACCAAGACAGAGCGTCTTTATTGAAAGATTCAGACTTTAAGTTATGCATAATGTTCTATTGACTTATTGTCTCTAATTATGCACACCATTTTCAAATTCAACCGTCAAAAATTTCCGTAAAACTAAGTTTTCACAATTGTTAAATATTTTGACAAAACACATGAATGAATGAAAGCCAGCTATTAACGAAGGTTTTAATGACGCATAATCGAAATTTTGAATCGAATGAAGTTTTGTAAACATTAAAATTGATATTTATGCAAGTCATGACGTCACTTTGGTCATTCTATTTTTCATTGTTATTGGCAGGTGAATGGTCAGGTCGTACGTACTGAATAATTTTTTCATATGATTTATACATGACTGCTATTCGTTTTCGTTTTTTTGCCTATTAATAAAATTTTTGTTAACACACTGCGCTCTTTCTACCAAAGTTTGCGTTTCTTTTTGTTCGAGCACAAAATATTTGCTGTGTCAATTGGTTAGTCAGCCTATTTATTGTCGCTCTGTAAATTTAAATTTTTTATACGACAGTAATGCACGATCTGACTACGCTGCATGTTAAAGTAGATCATCGGGATCATTGAAAGCAACAAAAATATGAAAAATCTTAAAACTACAAAAATTTGATGAAATTTTTCTAAATTTTTCATCTTTTCTTTTATTGGAGGGTTTTTTACCGGATCCTCCGGTTTTCCCTCCCATTTCGTTTTGTTTCGGAAAAAAAAACAGTGTCCACATTTGGGGCCAAGGAAGTCACTTGTCATAACATTATTTATTGCAGCTTTCATGAAAATTCACGTTTCTTTCTCATTTCTTGGCCTTTGGGTGAATCTCCCAAAACACTGCGTTTATTGAAGGCAGATTTCCATTCAGTGAAAATTGTTGCGAAATCGACTTTTGGCGATTACTTTCTTTTGAATTGTGCGCAGCAATGTGTCGAGGTGGTCGAGAGCTTACAATTGAAAAAAAATTGATCTCAAAAAGTCGATCGCGCGACAATTTTCACTGGATGGAAATCGGCCTTAAATATAACGGCATACATTTTAAAAAAATTGGTACGCATTGCATACATGTTGGTAGCCTGCAAGTATAAAGTTACTGAAAGAAGTAGATTTAATCAACATAGTTAAAATAAAGTTATATATTTAATTAGTATTATTTACTTCAAACTTTTTCAAGATTTGAAAATGCTCTTTAGTTATATGACCAAGTAATTTCCTAACCCTGGAATCCAATACTACCAAGTAATTACAACTGCCGGAATCTTATACTACCGTCGTTGAAGATCGAAGGGGCAGAACTCAAGAATATCTCAAACATTTTTTTTCTTATGACGAAAAAAGCCTACACGAAAGAAAGTTATTAAAATGCTCGATGCATCTCCGAGCACGTAACTTTAGACCACTTGATCTAATTCATTAAATCTCTTGGAAGAAACGTCATGGCATTTCTTCAGTTCGCTACTGGAGCCAGTTTGGTTCTACGAGGAATGAAGCTGAAGATCACGTTCACTGACGGTTTAGCCCGTCGACCTGTTGCGCATACTTGTGGTCCTTTACTTGAAGTTCCAAGCACCTATCAGTGATTCAACGAATTAGTTGAAGAGTTTTCATCCATTCTTTACGAGAAAAGTTCATGGACGTTTGATGTTGTCTAGTGGGGACGTCAAAGTCATATCTTCACATCTAAATATAGTATGACATGCCAATATTGTATTTGTTGTTTGTGGTGAAATTTATAATATATACTGTTGATTGATTCATTAATTGTATTATGTAGAAACTATAAATACCTGCTTTAGTTTAGCATTCAGTCTGCGTTTTTTTTTGTAACAACCATGTAGGATTTTTTCATTGCTTCCTTGATAGTATGTAACTAATGTAACGTATAAGAGTGCTTGTGGTTTTGTTTTGATAATTCTTACTAAAGTAATATTGTATTGCTTCTTCGATCTTGAGAATGTAAGCTCAGAATATTAAACTGCTAGCAATTGTGATGTAAACTCTGTACTTATTGTTTCGTCATTGTTAAAGTAAGCAGAATATGGACTGGCGTTAATGTATCTCGATTTGTGTTCGTGTACTTCTATTTGTGTTCGTGTACTTCTATTTGTCTTCGCTAAGTTCGCTTACTTCCATTTATGTTCGTGTACTTCTATTTGTGTTCGTGTACTTCTATTTGTGTTCGTGTACTTCTATTTGTGTTCGTGTACTTCTATTTGTGTTCGTGTACTTATATTTACGTTCGTGTACTTCGGTTTGTGTTCATGTACTTCTGTTTGTGGTCTTAGTGTACTTCTATTTGCGTTCGTGTATTTCTATTTGTGTTCGTGTACTGCCATTTGTGTTCAGTTCAGTTACTTCTATTTGCATTCGTTTACTTCTATTTGCATTCGTTTACTTCTATTTGTATTCGTTTACTTCTATTTGTGTTCGTGTACTTCTATTAGTGTTCAGTTCAGTTACTTCTATTTGTCTTCGCTTACTTCTATTTATGTTTGTTTACTTCTATTTGTGTTCATGTAATTCTATGTGCGTTCGTGTGCTTCTGTTTGTGTTCATTTATTTTTGTTTGTGGTCTTAGTGTACTTCTATTTGCGTTCGTGTATTTCTATTTGTCTTCGTGTACTGCTATTAGTGTTCAGTTCAGTTACTTCTATTTGTATTCGTGTTCGTATACTTCTTTTAGTGTTCGTTTACTTCTGTTTGTGTTCGTGTGCTTCTATTTGTGGTCTTAGTGTACTTCTATTTGTGTTCGTTTACTTCTATTTGTGTTCGTAAACTGACCAAAACTCTCTTTCTCTTTCTCTCTTTGAAACAATTTAAATATGCAAAGAAAACCTTCATGCATCGTAGTTTACCACCCATTACCCATTGTTTTCTAACTTACATTATTTCTGCTTCTCATATTCTCGTCGAATCTTACATTGGGTATTTGTCTTAAATTGACACTAAATTAACATATTCTTTAGAAAGTTAATACTATTTTGAATTTCGATTTTCTATTTTTCAACAACTCTCAGTCCGCTCGTTCATATATTACATCGGTACGTTTAAATAGTGGTCCTTGTCTTCATATTATCATACAGCACTCGCAGCTTGCTTCCGTTGCATTTGCAAAGCAGACGCAGTAAGATAAGGAACGCTTTATTTATCTCATTTTATTGCTAGTATCTAAGTAAATTTCCAGGTAAGTCAATGGCCGCGCCGATGAACGTTTCAGCAAGTTACTTCGACAAAAGCGTTCCAAACGTAGTTCTTCGGAGTTTGTTTATGAAGTATGACGTTGACGGTAGTGGAGTATTAAATCGTCAAGAACTACAAACATTGTTTGAAGGCGATCTTGGTTTCACACATGAACAAGCAGAAGCTTATAGTATGATGTTGGATAAAGATGGAAATCAGGCTGTCAGCTTTGAGGAGTTAAGTCACTGGCTGGCAAGTGGAGAGAAATTTAAAAATATTAATGACAAATGCAGGTACACCAGACTGTTATCCAACTGTCAAAATATGTGTTCATTTGTGTTTGATATCAATGACAGAAGTAATGACCTAAGATGTTCGTTGTTTTATCAATGAGTTTGATACTGTAAATTTTTATGATATCCACACAAACTCAAATTGAGCATCTTTTAGGTTTCACAGGTTGAAGAAAGCTGTTGAACTATTTAAAAAATTTGATGCTGACGGTAATGGGGCAATTGAAAAAGATGAGTTCACCAATCTCATGATCGCCATTAATTGTCCAAGAAATAAAATCCCTGAGGCATTAAAATCATTGGATAGCGATGGAGATGGAAAAATATCATTCCCTGAGTTTCTTAACTGGCTCAACTGGTTGCCAAATTAATTGACATTTCAAGAGGAATTCAACCCATGTTAAAATAGAACGTCAGTATTTAGTAACGTAAATCAAGGAACATCACCCACGTATTGTAATGCAAACGATGTAGCAGATCCTGCAGAATAATTCACCCAATATTTTTCATGATTATTTGTGTTATCTACAACTCAATCTTTTTGTATAAATTACAATTCATTTCATTGCAGTGTATTCAAATTCAAATCCATCATTGTTGATTTTGCTGCTATTGTTATTTTGTCAGTGTTAATATTGAATTATGCAAGTAAATTAAAATGTGAAAGTACGAAGAATAGAAACATATATGTTGGTGAATGGTGCAGTGGAGATGCATGTAACTATGTTGGTTTACCTTTTATCCCTCATTATACTTTCACTGCATCTTTTTGGTGTGGCTTGCCACCAGATTTTTCATCAATCATTTTATGTTCTTTGACCATTAGCTGTTCAAGCTCATCCTTAAATAAAAAAACTGTACTCAAACATCAACATTTTAACATGAGTCAATTAGTTCTTACATCACTGCAATGTTGACTCATTTGTGATAAATGAGCATTCTATATATTCCTTTGATGATTCCCCTTAGTCTGTTTTCATTATTTTACATACTTTCCATCCAAGTAAGTCAGCCAATGCCAGACAGCCATCATCACAGGAACCTAGCCATGCCACATCTCTATAATGTTTTGCAATTAATTTGTCATTAAAAACATTATTATAGTAAAATTTTAAAGAGGAAACGCCAACAATAATTGGTTTCTTTACCTGTAATTTTTTGGGCTGTCAAAGTCGAGTCCTTTGCCAGAAAAAAAAGAAAAACGTTGTCCACTTTTCTCACGGTTAATCAAAAGGCGTGGTGTGGTGTCTGGCACATGATCAGGAATAGATGCAAAGGGTTGTACAGTTAGTGATGTACCCATAATTATCAAAAGATCACACCTCTTCATGTCCTGGTTAGAAAGGAAATATCACATGTACAAGGATGTATCACTTAGACATGGTCAGATTAGACAGGGAGGATTACCTTGCCATGTCTATATTAGAAAGGGCAATCACATGAACATGTCCAGGTGAGAAAGGCACCTAGCCATGGCCTAGTTGGACAAGGAAGATCACCTAGACATAGCCTTGTTAAACAGGAGAATCACCTAGACATGTCCAAGTTAGAAAGAAACTCAAAAACATGACAATAATAGCAGGGATGAATGGGGTGGCTGGGTCTAGTTTGAAGGAGGTGTCAGTTGGTATAAAATTGAAGGTATTTGTGGGTATTAGAATGTTGTTACGTAGCACAATTGCAATAAGTATAGTCAAAACAAATGGTGCAAGCAAATCGGCCTACTATCTTATTAAACCCAATCACAAGATGCATGACAAAAATATATTAGAATACCTTAGATAGACATGCTGAGAATTTATCAGGAAGATTTTCACCAAAAAACACAATATCTATAGAATACAACAACTTTGTGTGAGTTAACAAAAAACATAACAAATCAATAGCAGTAAATACATCTGCAATTGACAACAACATCAATACAACGTGATATATGTCACAATCTAACAGATATAAAAAAATCATTGCATGTTCATTCATTAATTACAACAGTACCAGGTTTCACAATACCACTGCAACTGTCTTTAACACAAGATGGAACTTTGTCATCAAATATCTCTTCTAAAAGACAAGAAATTTTTCATTTACATGTCTGCTAACAAGCTTGAAATCTGAAACTTTGCTACCAACTTTTTATCCACTGCTGAGAATAGGCCTTTCTGCAATGTAAACAATGGGCTTCATGGAATGTACCATGAGCTTCAACAAGCTTCTCTCCTGGAATTCCGGCAACCCTCTCCAATGTATCAATATTCTAAACCAACATGCAAAATTATCCTGATAAAATTTTTAAGTAGGATGAAGTAAAATCCTACCAACATCCTGAAGGATTATGCACAGATTTTCAACAGGGAGCAATTAAACAAACCAGAAATTACTCCAAAAGCTTTGTCATTCAACATCAACACACCTGTGTATAATGTCGAAGAAGCAGTCCTTTTTCATACAGTAAGCGAATAAAGTAATGTGACATGGTTGGCTAAAAAGGAATCGTGGTCTTGTCAGCATAAACCATTTTTTCCAACAATCATATCCATAACTAAAAATTACCTTGAATGTTCCAGGATAGAGTTCCTTGGCAAGTTTAAAAAAAGGCTCTGGACTTTCCTAAGAATAAATACCAAAAGTAAAAAAACAATGTGTCAGAGTTTACCGAAAAAAAATGAGAAATGAAGACAAGTTCATGTTTACCTTGAAAAACTCTAGCTCAAATATAGCCTCAGGATAAGGTAGTTTGTACTGTTGAAGATTGTCATATAGACCACTTCCTGGTGACCTGAAGTCAGGTATCCCTGCTGCTGTAGAAATGCCTGCACCGGACATTGTTATGATGTTTTTACCTAAGGAAGGAAAGAATAGTAATAAAGTTGATGACACAGTTAGACACCCCATTAATCATACATTTCTAGTCACCACAATTAATCATACATTTCTCAGTCTTTATGTAGTTTGCAATGCCCTCAAATGAAACACTATCCAAGACTTGCTCATGATCGGACTCTTGCTCTTCATTTGTGCAAATCCCCAATCGGCGAGCATAGCTCTAAGAAAGTCTGGACTATCTAAAGCAAAGTGAAGCATGGAAAGTAAAATAAGAATTCAGAATATTTGAAACAGTTATAAAGAAACTAAAGAATAGATGAAATATAATATTGGAGAGAGAACAAGGTATATGGGCTTTAAAACAGTGAGATTTGAAACATGGAGAATTGAATTCTATAAGAAGTCTAAAAAATAATAATAGTATCAAAATTGATGACATTCTCCAAACTCATCTCTTCCAATGCAACTTATCTTACATTAATTTATTGTCTTAGCAAAATAGATCCTTACAATTGTGAAGAAACATAATTATCATGCTTAGTCACCAGCTTTTGACCATGCACAAACTAATATTTGAAGCTATGGTAGAAGGATATACTCAAATTGCTTTAAACTTGTCACCATGTAGATGCAATATCATTACATTGCACACCATATTTCATGTGACATGTGAATAATTTTCACTTAAAATGGTCATTTTTTGGTAAAAAAAAAACTCCCTCCTCTGCGCTGACTTTTCTCAGCAAAAATAATACTGCATTTGAAATAATCAGATTCCATCACTCTTATTAGCATCATCAGATTTATCAGTTGCTGTAGCTGTTTCTTCTTCCGTGTTCTTCGTTTCTTCTTCCGTGTTCTTCGTTTCTTCTTCCGTGTTCTTCGTCCCTTTAACTGTAAAAATTTCACCTTAACCATCCAGACTAGAAAAATTTCTCAGAATTATTGCTCATTAATAATACCATTATTGTTTTCAGCCGACATTACTTTCGGAAGAAAAAAGTCCAGCAAGCTGAAACTCTAAAAATATATACTTCTGTTTAACTTGGAACCATTGATTGGAATCGCGATTGGAATACGGAAATTACAGTACAATAGATAGATGACGTATAGTGTCTAACAGCTGATGAAAAAACTGGTAACTAATATAGTACGTCATTTCTTCAAGTTTTCAAGGATAAGAAAAATCTATGAAAAGCAACGAGAGTTCTATTGGGCAACTTCATACACATGAATTGACTGATATGTATATAAAAATCTGTACTGAATCTTGCCGCCGGTGTACAAGATTTTGATTTTGGTCATAATCACACAACTTTGAATGAGACGGTTATTCGGCGAAAAATAGAGACATCCATTGATAGCTAATGAGTTCCTTAGCATCGTCAATTTGCAGGTAGTCAATGCTTCTTTTTTTGTAGTTTGTCTGATTTCCGCGAAAGGTTTACCTGTCCAAAGCTCCCTAGGAGTGTTAAAAATCTACCGTTTGGCAAAATTGTACCGAATTATAAAGCAAGACTTAAAAAAAAACATGAACCAATTAGAAATTGTACCACAATTCTCTAGTCTCTTCTTTGGTAAGGAAATTTAACCAGTGAAGAGCCTTGTTGAAGATTGCAAACTCTTTAAAAAAAACCATTCAAATATTTCCCACTCGCCAGTCTGACTTTTCTCAAAAGCTAGCTCAGTAAAGTAAAAATAGATGCTAAAATTCATGATGTGCCAAGAAAGAAGCCATAAATCCAGAATATCCAAGCTGGAGGTCTGTACTTACATATCTTTTTCCCAAGAGTCTGACTCCCAACATCAAGCTCTTTTACAAGATTGGTCTCAGAGCCGGAACAATGCTTGCCAGCTATTCTTCCTAATCACGGATTCTATGGCCAAGCCATTGCATGTGTCAGGAAGGATTTTAATCCTATCACGAACGAATATTTGGTCAACACAACAATTGTGTCAATCAAGAAAAGAAAAGTTTGAAATCAGACGATAAGTATTTATAGGTTTGCTATTTTTGAAACCAATTAATTAATTTTTTTTAGTTTAATCTTTATGTAGAATGTTGATCTTCAAAACGTAACCTAATGTCTTGGTTGTCTCGGACTTGGAGACTGTCGCACACTGATGCTCAAAATGTTTTAATTAAGTTAAATTGGTGTTGTTTAAAATCCCAAGATTACGCTCGACGTCCGTGCTTTCTAGGATGGTCATCTCATAAACTTAGATTTTTCTGCATTTAACGAAGAATTCACGTTGATCTATATTTTCTCGAAATAGGACAAGTCATTTACTAGGACAGTGGAAGAGTTTTCAAAATCCTCTTATCATCAGCAAATATGCTAATCCTTGAGTTACTCACGGCGATGGAGAGATGATTTTCCGGTGTTAACCAAAAATAACCACTGGCGAAGAATTGATCCCTGTGCCACTCCTAATGTCACTTGCAGTGGCCTTGACGTCGCTTCAAGAACGGTCGTTTCCTGGTGTCAGTTTTTTAGGTAGAAATAAAACAATTTGATAACACTAAATACTTCCTTCAAACCAAAATTTACGATGACGACGCAATAAACCAGGTTTAAAGTTTTCTTGGGACAGACAAAATATTTTCTATCCAGTGACGTAGCCAGAGCGAGATTTTAGTGCTGTAAATTTTAGAAAAATTATTCTTTTTAGAAATAGTTCAAGTTGAAAATTAGGCAGTTCTATCCAGTGGCGTAGCTAGGAAAATAGTCACTTTGCCATTCCATTGCGGAAGTTTACCTCTATGCGGCATTCTTTGAAAATTTTGCCTTGGAAACAGCCTGCGATTTCGACAAGATTTGTTGTACAATAATTTATAAAACCCATTTTGTTAGCTGCATTTTAATGTGGCAATCGTTGAAACTGCAACTAGTTAAAGGTACTAAAGGTGGCTCAGGAAACGTTACAAGACAATTGTTGTTAAAACATAATTTACCATCATTTTACATAATTTGAATAAATTTGTATTGCAAAAAATAGATAAAATATCAGTACTACTTATTAGCTTAAATTTTAGAAGCAAAGACACGAAAGTTTAAACTTGTTATGATTGGGGCTCTCAATGGCTATATTTAAAGTTATGTAATTCTCAATAAAGATCCATTTGAAATTTCAACAAATTTTAATCAATTATAAAGAAAGGCCAGCCTTTTTTTTAAAATTTTTCAATAGATTTACCTCTGATTCCTTCATTCTTTTCAATGAATCTTTGAAATAGATATTCTTGTTATGGCCTTGCCATTATGACAATTGTCTTTTAAGTTATGTCAATTGTCCATCCACCTTTTTGCGTCTTCCAACACTGACGATGCAGTTGATAGCAATGCAGTGTTTGTTGCAAAAGCTAAGTAAGGCTCTCAAATTACACAGGACTCTCAGTTCTAATTGATGATTTTCAGCTTCTAATGTTGTAGGAGCCGCATTCTAATGGTCCTTTGTTTGGAGAACTAGCTTTTTATCAAAGAGCAGCCAAAGAAGACACAAGTAACAGCCTGAAATTTTATTTTTTAAGGAAGGTTGTGAGCATGTCAAAGTAATATGTGCACTTATTGTTATCATTATAGTTAATACGTGGGTATCATCACACAAGTTGAAATTTCTTGGTGTGCCTGCGTATATTGGTTCAGGTTGCCATGAAAGTAATGGTTCAAAATACAGATTTATGATCATGGAGAGATTTGGCGAAGATGTTGATCAAGTATTTAAAAGATGTGGTCATGTGTTCCATGTTCAAACAGTTTTCACTTTGGCAATAAGAATTGTAAGATTACTTTGAATGAGTACATTTGATAATTGAGTTAAGTGTGATGTTTGCTTCTTTAGCTAGATATTCTGGAGTACATACATACCCAAGGCTATGTTCATGCGGACATCAAAGGTTCAAACTTGATGTTAGGATATAAAGCAAACAGGAAAACAAGGTTTGTGTTGAATATTTGCTGTATGTTCAGACTAAATGATGTATTTGAGTTTCATTGTAAATTAAATTTAGATATTTTGGTCGATTATGGCCTTGCATGTCGTTATGTGTCTGATAATAATCACAAAGAGTACAAAGAAGATCCCAAACGACGGCATGATGGAACCATTGAGTTTACAAGTCGTGATGCTCATAAAGGTGTTGCTCCTTCACGTCGAACAGATCTTGAGATTCTTGGCTACGCTATTAAGTGGCTTTGTAATGTGTTGCCTTGGGAAAACAAACTAAATGATAAAGAATATGTTATGAATGCAAAGACAAGGCATGTAAAATAAGACTTCAATCTTATAGTGTTAAATATTTTTTCCAACATAGCTTTCTCTTCAGGTTCATGGAAACAATACCTGGCTCTATTAGGAAATGTTTAGAAGATCAATCAACTGGTGCGATAGGTGAGGCTTAAAGAAGTCAAGGATATTGGAAATATTATAAGCATAGCCATGGAGGAGGGAAACATATGTGTAGCAAATACTGTTGTATTGGTCTTGCTAAAAATGAATGCATCAATATGTTAATTAAGCAGGAACATTGCCTTTCTTCTGAAAAATGTTTTAGATGAGTTGGAGAAGTATTTCAAGTACGTGGTTCACCTCGATTACGAAGCGACACCAGATTACGGTAACATAAGGAAGATATTTCACAATGGATTGCGGAAGAGAAAGTTGGAAGACGACGGTCAGACCGTGACATTTAAAACAGCCGACAGTCTTTCCCATGATGCAGTGAAGAAATCTGCTGACAGTAGTGACACAGTGAGTTTGGAATTAGAGAGAATATCGCATGACGTATTATGGTTGAGTATCTCAATGTTAATGTTACAGGAAGAAAGTAAGATGATATCAAAGTCAAGGGGAAGAAATACACGAGGACGAAAACCACAATCTAAATCGTCAAACAAAGAACAAGCAAGCCACTCAAAAGCCATGTTGCATCAATTAAACGGCGACAATACGGCATCTTCCAGGCATTCTGTCAGGCAAAATGCCCGCAAGTCAGATGAGACACCTGCTAATATGACGTCGGGTGACGAAGTTATCATGACGAGGTCTGCAAGGACAAGAAAACGGGTTACTGACGAGAATGATGGAATCAAACCACGAAAACGAGGCCGTCCAAAGAAGGTAGAAGCAGAGTGATTGTATGTGAACAGATAAGAGACACCTTAAGAGATTAATTTTCTTTACTCTTCTCGTGGCTATAGACCTCTTAAAAACGAAATCTAAGGATTTAGTACTCATATTTCTATATTCTTCTCTTGGCTATAGAAGAGAAAGGAACAGTATCTTAGAGGAATATACAGATAATTGTTTGCTGTTCTTTAGGCTATAGATATACAGAATTACTTACTTTATTTAACAATACATAAAGTGCACAGTTTGTGAACTGTTAATCATTTTGATAAGGTTAAGAAGTTTTTATTATCACGTTGATAAGTATTCGTAGGAAATCTTAGTTTGTTATTTACTTAAAAATCATTCATGAATAAAACAGTTTCAACTCTTCTGGTTGCTAAACAACTGAAATATTTTAACACGTTGCTTTACATCACTGCCTCCGAGGGCCATTTCAACACTTTGAGAATATCGTTCTTTCTTCGTGCATCTTCCTGAAGTCTTGCAACATTTTTGTTTATCGCTGAAGAAACGGTACAATCTGTCAAACCTTTACTTTCATGTATTTTAACATCAATATTATGGTCATGTTTGCTATTGTCCAGCGAGATTGGGTCAATCCCCAAATGATGACCGTCCAATTCTTCCATATCTTCACAACCAATATTCAATGAATTTTCTTGAAGCTGTGAAAATCGTTAGCGATTAAAAATTTGTATTAACCATAGAGTAGAATCCGGGAAGTGCGCAATTTAATGCTGTTACCTTTTGGTATTCGTCAAGCAAGTAGCCCCATTTCTCTTGCCATTTTTTATTTGACTGATGCTCACGAACAACGTGGTCTTTCCTGTCAAAAGAATGTTTTATAAGTTCGGAAAATAAAAAAATGACTTCATCCATACTTCCTTGTACCATATTTCATCTTTATGGACAAAATTGTAAACTTTCCCTTTTGAGCTTGAGCCAAACATGATCCCAGAATCTCTAACAAACACAGACGTTCTAATTGATATTAGAAGCCTACGTAATCATTCGATGAGAACATTAAATGACGTCATAAAGAAAGCGCAATTAGGCAGAATTACGCTTCAACCTCTAACTTACTGATAAATTTCGGTGAACTAAAATATCGGAACATTAAAAGTGGGGCACATTAACTTTCCATGGCAGCCACAGGGGTTACATTACTAATTAAAAAAGCGCATAATCATCACGTGCTTTTGCATTTTCCCACATTTTAGATAAGATTTGAATAAGAAGGGAAATAAAGACAAAACATACATGATTGTTTTTAAATCATATTACAGTTTAAGAAGAAGTTGATAGAGAGATAGGGAGAGATATATATAGAGAGAGAAGGTAACAAGAAAATACAAACTGCACGTCGTAATGAAAAGAAGAGTTGAGATCATTTTCGTCGACAAGCTACGAAAACCGTAACATCACACTTAGCTAAGAAGCATTTCACGACAATGAAAGTGCTTTTCAAATGTTGTGAAAAACAAAAAATTCCCTTCGTTTTTGCAGAATTGTGACCAGGGCTATATAAGATATTCTTATTACAACTATTAAATGGTTCTTTTAAAAGCACTTTGCTGGGCTTTAATATTTAAATGGTTTCGGCAAAGACGTTTTCACGGCAAGTAGCTACATTTTTGTCCAAGTCAGGCCTAGTTCAAACGTGAACTTTACATGAACCGAACGCATATAAAACAAAAGATAATGAGGAAGTTAATCTCATTTTCTTTTGTCTTTAATGCGTTCGATGCATGTAAAGTTCGACGTTTGAAACAGGCCTCAACGCAACGAAACAACACAATGTTTTAATTTAGAGTTTCAGCACGCTTCGGCTCATCCTTACCAGGAGAAATTTTCAAACAACAAAAAGATGTGTTTTACATCTTCCAACTTATCTCTCGCTTTGTTGCAACTTGCGAGACATACTTAACTGCAACTTCATTAAATCATAAATTGTTGCTGTATTTTATATCCAGTCTATGCTTTACTTCCTCGTTATTTTGAGAATCGAGCAGAGTTATGCGGTTACTCCACCCTATTGTAAAGAAAAATGACCAGAGAAACAGTTTTATGAAAAACAGAGAAGGGCATGTAAGGTTCGTTTAGAACCGCATATGTTTATGGTCGTAGACTGAATCAAGTGACTGAAAAGATAAAAATTACCACACCGACTAAAGATATCAGAAGTCTTGACATGCAGCAAATTGGTTGATCTAAACATCATTCATTTAATTTGCGATCCAAGTGCCATCGGCCTTACTCCTTCACAAATTCGACACTGCTGACACTCTCCTTTATCTCAAATCTGTCACCTTTCACAAAAATAATAAGTAATCCTTCAATGCGCTTATAGATAAAAAAATTCTTTAGAGAATAGAATCTTTTGATTTTTCAGCGTTTTAAAGTTGTTATGAAAAGTAACGAAACATGATGTTGTAGATTAGAACCTATGACACGATAATGAATTTAGAAAGTATACTTTAATTTTGTCCAAACATTCATTGAGTCTTGCAGTCATATCTTGCTAGGTTAAGGTTAGGAGATGGTTTAAGGGCGTTAAGGTTAACGTCACCAACCAACATCTTAATGCCCAAAATCATAATATCAAATGATTTACGTAATATCACAGAAAAATGATCAATAGTTATTTGCAATTTACGTATACTAATGAAGGGAGAGCATGGTTCTTTTGTTTGGCAACAATAGGTTTTGTTTTTAAAAATTAGTTTAGATACCAAAAATGAATGTTAAAACATATTATGACATGCTTAACACCATGCATAAAGATACTACTCACTTCAAGTTTTCTCACATATAAACCACGAGGCGTCATGGAAAGTAGATATCGTTCACATGAGATGGAACAAGACTATACAGATAGGTGACAGGTATAAAGATTTGTGATTGTGCAAAGCAAAATTAAGATGCTGCCTTCAACTGTTATCGATGTAAAGTTACCGAAAGACGTCTCATTTGATTGCAGATATATTTGAACGTGTTGAAGAAAGACCGCCAACATCAGTGAAGGCAGCAGAACAAGAATTGGAAAATATTTTGTATGACTTTGAACAAACATTTTGAAAACATGGAAAAATACAGCTCCAAATACGTTCATAGGACTGAAGTAGCTACAAGAAAAGAAAGGAGAAGATTGATTGTAGCCGATAATTTGGGCATAATCCGATCAACAGCAAGAGACAGCTAGAAATTAAAAATGTAAGTGACTACACTGACGATTATTTGCTTCTTGAATCTCTATTATTAATATGCTTTAACCATGATGTTAAGCCTTTGATCGTTCGGAAGTTCAGAACTCAATTGACTATAGTTATTCGTGCAATGTAGGTGAATGTTCTACCATTTCGAAAGTCAAACAGAAAATATATTATAATTTGCTCATTCTATATATATCTGTTTCATATTTTTTTAGATGGTAGATCCCACATGGATGGAGTTGTTAAAGTCCCTTTACCACCTCTGTCATTCACTTCGATCACTCTTACTAGTTTGTCATTACTCATGTGTCATGGTGATTCATGGCCAAGAATGTTTATTTGTAGTTTGGATTCTTTGTTGATGTCAGTTGTTTGTGCATATAATGATGATGGGCCCCATTGTTATATGAGCCCACCTAAAGGTGGTCAGCTGATACTCATAGAAGATCAACTCTGCATTAAGCATTCTTTGAGTGATGATATAACTGTATTGAAGTGATCCCTTTCCTTCGTTTGAAGTTACCCAAAGAGTACATGGTTGATGAACTTGAAGTAGGAAATTGTATACACATATTAAATGGACATCGCATAACGGCATCTGTACGTATGAACATTATGGAATGATTGGACTTTGAAAACGGACGATAATCTACGAAGATGGAAAACAAGCAAGTGGAAAAACACGATCCAAGTCTTGTGGTTTGTAAGTTGAGTAGATAAGTGTTAAAGGATATGAGTAACTGCATGAGATAGTTAGCTAAAAAAGGATCCTGATGGTCTATTTTCATGATTTGAGCCTGAATCATGAAAACACATAAAATTTCAAAAAGATGTCACTTGCCGTGAGAAAATAGCTGGCTTTCACTCGCTACTTTTTACTAATTTTATTCAACGTTTATAAAAAAATTCCAATGCTGCAAGTAGGGTTCATTAATTTTCGAAGATAAAAATGTTGAAATAAATTTTAACGATATATGCGTAAAATGACGAGACCGACCAAGTCGCCTGTATCAAACTGACCAGGACAACGCTTAGAAATCAGGTATTAAAGTTTTGTTCTTTTCAATATATTTAAGTGGTACTCACTAGAAAATCAATTTTAGCATTATAGCATATCTTTGAGTGATAATATATAACGAGGGAGTATTTGAAATGTTCCCTTTCCAAATCGTTTGAAATTTATCCCAAAGACGTCATTTTAACACGCAAGAAGACTTGAAAGTATACAAAGTTATATAAACAGGAAAATGTATTCAAGATCGGGAGTCTTCGATACGCATCTTTCATGGAATTCATGATTCGACGAATCTAATGAAATTTTTCATTTGGATAATTTGAATGGGATGAAATGCTACGAAGCAGTCGGAAGAACAAGGACATGTGCAAGATCAAACATGTCTGGTAAGATGTATTTTGTTAATCTTCGTCTGGTTAGTATGATAACTTTATGAAACATAAATTTGGATATTAAAGTAACATTGTTCATCTTGTTGTCTATGCTGAAATTAATTGGAAATGAATCAGTTCGAAGTCATGAAAAATTTTGATCATGAAGTTTCCTGAAAATTTGTTCTTCACTTAAAAGACCAAATCATCGCAAAGATGGTCACTTTTTCTTTGTGCTTGTTGCGTCTTTAAGCCTCGTCATTGGAAAACGCTTCATTGAGAACAAATCATAATCATTTCGAAGATTAAATCAACAAATTTAAAAATTTTTAAAGAATATGTAATGAAATACTTCTATCAGACGTAAACTGCAATCTTCGTGTTGAAATGTTAAAAATTGAGTTATACAACCTTTATATCTCTATTTGTATATAGTGTTATATTGTAAACAGCCGCGAGTTAAGAATATGACGTCACAAGCACCTTCCTTCTTGAAAATTCAAAAGGCGCATTTTAATGGCTCTTAAAGTACAAGTTTTATCGCTAGTAACTCGAGCAGCATTAAATAATTGCGCTAAAATTTAAGAGTTTTTTTACACTATTAATCAACGGTAGGCAAAATTTTCGTTTTAGTACCACTTTAAGTTTGGTTTGTGTTCATTCATTATGCTGACATTTTTAACATGTTTTTTATAGAGTAGCTATGTCTGCAGGCCTATTGACTGGACAATGAATGAAGACCAAGTCAGACAGAAGCACCAAGACACAAGCGTCTTTATTGAAAGATTCAGATTTTAATTATGCATAATGTTCACCATTATAGCACATTTTCAAATTCAACCGTCAAAAATTTCCGTAAAACTAAGTTTTCACAATTGTTAAATATTTTGACAAAACACATGAATGAATGAAAGCCAGCTATTAACGAAGGTTTTAATGACGCATTATCGAAATTTTGAATCGAATGAAGTTTTGTAAACATCAAAATTGATATTTATGCAAGTCATGACGTCACTTTCGTCATTCTATTTTTCATTGTTATTGGCAGGTGAATGGTCAGGTCGTACGTACTGAATAATTTTTTCATATGATTTATACATGGCTGCTATTCGTTTTCGTTTTTGTCTATTAATAAAATTTTTGTTAACACACTGCGCTCTTTCTACCAAAGTTTGCGTTTCTTTTTGTTCCAGCACAAAATATTTGCTGTGTCAATTGGTTAGCCAGCTTATTTAATGTCGCTCTGTAAATTTAAATTTTTTATACGACAGTAATGCACGATCTGACTACGCTGCATGTTAAAGTAGATCATCGGGATCATTCGGAAAAAAAAACAAAAATATAAAACATTTTAAAACTCCAAAAATTTGAGGAAAATTTTTCTAAATTTTTGATCTTTTCTTTTATCGGAGGGTTTTTTACCGGATCCTCCGGTTTTCCCTCCCATTTCGTTTTGTTTCGGAAAAAAAACAGTGTCCACATTTGGGGCCAAGGAAGTCATTTGTCATAACATTATTTATTGTAGCTTTCATGAAATTTCACGTTTCTTTCTCATTTCTTGGCCTTTGGGTGAATCTCCCAAAACACTGCGTTTATTAAAAACTGATTTCCATTCAGTGAAAATTGTTGCGAAATCGACTTTTGGCGATCACTTCCTTTTGAATCGTGCGCAGCAATGTGTCGAGGTGGTCGAGAGCTTACAATTGAAAAAAAATTGATCTCAAAAAGTCGATCGCGCGACAATTTGCACTGGATGGAAATCGGCCTTAAATACAACGGCATACATTAAAAAATTGGTACGCATTGCATACATGTTGGTAGCCTGCAAGTATAAAAAGTTACTGAACGAAGTAGATTTAATCAACATAGTTAAAATAAAGTTATATATTTAATTAGTATTATTTACTTCAAACTTTTCAAGATTTGAAAATGCTCTTTAGTTATATGACCAAGTAATTTCCTAACCCTGGAATCCAATACTACCAAGTAATTACAACTGCCGGAATCTTATACTACCGTCGTTGAAGATCGAAGGGGCAGAATTCCACAATATCTGAAACATTTTTTTCCTTATGATGAAAAAAGCCTACGCGGAAGAAAGTTGACAAAATGCTTAATGCATCTCCGCAAAATGATAACGAGCACGTAACTTTAGACCACTTGACCTAATTCATTAAATCTCTTGGAAGAAACGTCATGGCATTCCTTCAGTTCGTTATTGGAGCCAGTGTGGTTCTGCCAGAAAAGAAGTCGAAGATCACGTTCACCGACGGTTTAGCCTGTCGACCTGTTGCGCATACTTGTGGTCCTTTACTTGAAGTTCCAAGCACCTATCAGTGATACAATGAATTAGTTGAAGAGTTTTCATCCATTCTTACGAGAAAAGTTCATGGACGTTTGACGTTGTCTAGTGGGGACGTCAAAGTCATATCTTCACATCTAAATATAGTATGACATGCCAATATTGTATTTGTTGTTTGTGGTGAAATTTATAATATACTGTTGATTGATTCATTAATTGTATTATGTAGAAACTATAAATACCTGCTTTAGTTTAGCATTCAGTCTGCGTTGTTTTTTTGTAACAACCATGTAGGATTTTTTCATTACTTCCTTGATAGTATGTAACTAATGCAACGTATAAGAGTGCTTGTGGTTTTGTTTTGATAATTCTTACTAAAGTAATATTGTATTGCTTCTTCGATCTTGAGAATGTAAGCTCAGAATATTAAACCGCTAGCAATTGTGATGTAAACTCTGTACTTATTGTTTCGTCATTGTTAAAGTAAGCAGAATATGGACTGGCGTTAATGTATCTCGATTTGTGTTCGTGTACTTCTATTTGTCTTCGCTAAGTTCGCTTACTTCCATTTATGTTCGTGTACTTCTATTTGTGTTCGTGTACTTCTATTTGTGTTCGTGTACTTATATTTACGTTCGTGTACTTATATTTACGTTCGTGTACTTCGGTTTGTGTTCATGTACTTCTGTTTGTGGTCTTAGTGTACTTCTATTTGCGTTCGTGTATTTCTATGTACTGTGTGTTCAGTTACTTCTATTTGTGTTTACTTCTATTTGTACTTCTATTTGTGTTCGTGTACTTCTATTTGTGTTCGTGTACTTATATTTATTCGTGTACTTCATTTGTGTTCATGTATTGTTCAGTGTACTTCTATTTATTCGTGTATTTCTATGTTTACTGCCATTTGTGTTCAGTTCAGTTACTTCTATTTGCATTCGTTTACTTCTATTTGTTCTTACTTCTATTTGTATTCGTTTACTTCTATTTGTGTTCGTGTACTTCTATTAGTGTTCAGTTCAGTTACTTCTATTTGTCTTCGCTTACTTCTATTTATGTTTGTTTACTTCTATTTGTGTTCATGTAATTCTATGTGCGTTCGTGTGCTTCTGTTTGTGTTCATTTATTTTTGTTTGTGGTCTTAGTGTACTTCTATTTGCGTTCGTGTATTTCCATTTGTCCTCGTGTACTGCTATTAGTGTTCAGTTCAGTTACTTCTATTTGTATTCGTGTTCGTATACTTCTTTTAGTGTTCGTTTACTTCTGTTTGTGTTCGTGTGCTTCTATTTGTGATCTTAGTGTACTTCTATTTGTGTTCGTTTACTTCTATTTGTGTTCGTAAACTGACCAAAACTCTCTTTCTCTTTCTCTCTTTGAAACAATTTAAATATGCAAAGAAAACCTTCATGCATCGTAGTTTACCACCCATTACCAATTGTTTTCTAACTTACATTATTTCTGCTTCTCATATTCTCGTCGAATCTTACATTGGGTATTTGTCTTAAATTGACACTAAATTAACATATTCTTTAGAAAGTTAATACTATTTTGAATTTCGATTTTCTATTTTTCAACAACTCTCAGTCCGCTCGTTCATATATTACATCGGTACGTTTAAATAGTGGTCCTTGTCTTCATATTATCATACAGCACTCGCAGCTTGCTTCCGTTGCATTTGCAAAGCAGACGCAGTAAGATAAGGAACGCTTTATTTATCTCATTTTATTGCTAGTATCTAAGTAAATTTCCAGGTAAGTCAATGGCCGCGCCGATGAACGTTTCAGCAAGTTACTTCGACAAAAGCGTTCCAAACGTAGTTCTTCGGAGTTTGTTTATGAAGTATGACGTTGACGGTAGTGGAGTATTAAATCGTCAAGAACTACAAACATTGTTTGAAGGCGATCTTGGTTTCACACATGAACAAGCAGAAGCTTATAGTATGATGTTGGATAAAGATGGAAATCAGGCTGTCAGCTTTGAGGAGTTAAGTCACTGGCTGGCAAGTGGAGAGAAATTTAAAAATATTAATGACAAATGCAGGTACACCAGACTGTTATCCAACTGTCAAAATATGTGTTCATTTGTGTTTGATATCAATGACAGAAGTAATGACCTAAGATGTTCGTTGTTTTATCAATGAGTTTGATACTGTAAATTTTTATGATATCCACACAAACTCAAATTGAGCATCTTTTAGGTTTCACAGGTTGAAGAAAGCTGTTGAACTATTTAAAAAATTTGATGCTGACGGTAATGGGGCAATTGAAAAAGATGAGTTCACCAATCTCATGATCGCCATTAATTGTCCAAGAAATAAAATCCCTGAGGCATTAAAATCATTGGATAGCGATGGAGATGGAAAAATATCATTCCCTGAGTTTCTTAACTGGCTCAACTGGTTGCCAAATTAATTGACATTTCAAGAGGAATTCAACCCATGTTAAAATAGAACGTCAGTATTTAGTAACGTAAATCAAGGAACATCACCCACGTATTGTAATGCAAACGATGTAGCAGATCCTGCAGAATAATTCACCCAATATTTTTCATGATTATTTGTGTTATCTACAACTCAATCTTTTTGTATAAATTACAATTCATTTCATTGCAGTGTATTCAAATTCAAATCCATCATTGTTGATTTTGCTGCTATTGTTATTTTGTCAGTGTTAATATTGAATTATGCAAGTAAATTAAAATGTGAAAGTACAAAGAATAGAAACATATATGTTGGTGAATGGTGCAGTGGAGATGCATGTAACTATGTTGGTTTACCTTTTATCCCTCATTATACTTTCACTGCATCTTTTTGGTGTGGCTTGCCACCAGATTTTTCATCAATCATTTTATGTTCTTTGACCATTAGCTGTTCAAGCTCATCCTTAAATAAAAAAACTGTACTCAAACATCAACATTTTAACATGAGTCAATTAGTTCTTACATCACTGCAATGTTGACTCATTTGTGATAAATGAGCATTCTATATATTCCTTTGATGATTCCCCTTAGTCTGTTTTCATTATTTTACATACTTTCCATCCAAGTAAGTCAGCCAATGCCAGACAGCCATCATCACAGGAACCTAGCCATGCCACATCTCTATAATGTTTTGCAATTAATTTGTCATTAAAAACATTATTATAGTAAAATTTTAAAGAGGAAACGCCAACAATAATTGGTTTCTTTACCTGTAATTTTTTGGGCTGTCAAAGTCGAGTCCTTTGCCAGAAAAAAAAGAAAAACGTTGTCCACTTTTCTCACGGTTAATCAAAAGACGTGGTGTGGTGTCTGGCACATGATCAGGAATAGATGCAAAGGGTTGTACAGTTAGTGATGTACCCATAATTATCAAAAGATCACACCTCTTCATGTCCTGGTTAGAAAGGAAATATCACATGTACAAGGATGTATCACTTAGACATGGTCAGATTAGACAGGGAGGATTACCTTGCCATGTCTATATTAGAAAGGGCAATCACATGAACATGTCCAGGTGAGAAAGGCACCTAGCCATGGCCTAGTTGGACAAGGAAGATCACCTAGACATAGCCTTGTTAAACAGGAGAATCACCTAGACATGTCCAAGTTAGAAAGAAACTCAAAAACATGACAATAATAGCAGGGATGAATGGGGTGGCTGGGTCTAGTTTGAAGGAGGTGTCAGTTGGTATAAAATTGAAGGTATTTGTGGGTATTAGAATGTTGTTACGTAGCACAAATTGCAATAAGTATAGTCAAAACAAATGGTGCAAGCAAATCGGCCTACTATCTTATTAAACCCAATCACAAGATGCATGACAAAAATATATTAGAATACCTTAGATAGACATGCTGAGAATTTATCAGGAAGATTTTCACCAAAAAACACAATATCTATAGAATACAACAACTTTGTGTGAGTTAACAAAAAACATAACAAATCAATAGCAGTAAATACATCTGCAATTGACAACAACATCAATACAACGTGATATATGTCACAATCTAACAGATATAAAAAAATCATTGCATGTTCATTCATTAATTACAACAGTACCAGGTTTCACAATACCACTGCAACTGTCTTTAACACAAGATGGAACTTTGTCATCAAATATCTCTTCTAAAAGACAAGAAATTTTTCATTTACATGTCTGCGCAACAAGCTTGAAATCTGAAACTTTGCTACCAACTTTTTATCCACTGCTGAGAATAGGCCTTTCTGCAATGTAAACAATGGGCTTCATGGAATGTACCATGAGCTTCAACAAGCTTCTCTCCTGGAATTCCGGCAACCCTCTCCAATGTATCAATATTCTAAACCAACATGCAAAATTATCCTGATAAAATTTTTAAGTAGGATGAAGTAAAATCCTACCAACATCCTGAAGGATTATGCACAGATTTTCAACAGGGAGCAATTAAACAAACCAGAAATTACTCCAAAAGCTTTGTCATTCAACATCAACACACCTGTGTATAATGTCGAAGAAGCAGTCCTTTTTCATACAGTAAGCGAATAAAGTAATGTGACATGGTTGGCTAAAAGGATTCGTGGTCTTGTCAGCATAAACCATTTTTTCCAACAATCATATCCATAACTAAAAATTACCTTGAATGTTCCAGGATAGAGTTCCTTGGCAAGTTTAAAAAAAGGCTCTGGACTTTCCTAAGAATAAATACCAAAAGTAAAAAAACAATGTGTCAGAGTTTACCGAAAAAAAATGAGAAATGAAGACAAGTTCATGTTTACCTTGAAAAACTCTAGCTCAAATATAGCCTCAGGATAAGGTAGTTTGTACTGTTGAAGATTGTCATATAGACCACTTCCTGGTGACCTGAAGTCAGGTATCCCTGCTGCTGTAGAAATGCCTGCACCGGACATTGTTATGATGTTTTTACCTAAGGAAGGAAAGAATAGTAATAAAGTTGATGACACAGTTAGACACCACCATTAATCATACATTTCTAGTCACCACAATTAATCATACATTTCTCAGTCTTTATGTAGTTTGCAATGCCCTCAAATGAAACACTATCCAAGACTTGCTCATGATCGGACTCTTGCTCTTCATTTGTGCAAATCCCCAATCGAGCGAGCATAGCTCTAAGAAAGTCTGGACTATCTAAAGCAAAGTGAAGCATGGAAAGTAAAATAAGAATTCAGAATATTTGAAACAGTTATAAAGAAACTAAAGAATAGATGAAATATAATATTGGAAGAGAGAACAAGGTATATGGGCTTTAAAACAGTGAGATTTGAAACATGGAGAATTGAATTCTATAAGAAGTCTAAAAAATAATAATAGTATCAAAATTGATGACATTCTCCAAACTCATCTCTTCCAATGCAACTTATCTTACATTAATTTACTGTCTTAGCAAAATAGATCCTTACAATTGTGAAGAAACATAATTATCATGCTTAGTCACCAGCTTTTGACCATGCACAAACTAATATTTGAAGCTGTGGTAGAAGGATATACTCAAATTGCTTTAAACTTGTCACCATGTAGATGCAATATCATTACATTGCACACCATATTTCATGTGACATGTGGATCATTTTCAATTAAATGGTCATTTTTTGGTAAAAAACTTCCTCCTCTGCGCTGACTTTCCTCAACAAAATAATACTGCATTTGAGATAATCAGATACCATCACTCTCATTTGCATCATCAGATTTATCAGTTGCTGTAGCCGTTTCTTCTTCCGTGTTCTTCGTTTCTTCTTCCGTGTTCTTCGTTTCTTCTTCCGTGTTCTTCGTCCCTTTAACTGTAAAAATTTCACCTTAGCCATCCAGACTATAAAAATTTCTCAAAATTATTGCTCATTAATAATACCATTATTCTTTTCCACCGACATTACTTTCGGAAGAAAAAGTCCAGCAAGCTGAAACTCTAAAAATATATACTTCTGTTTAACTTGGAACCATTGATTGGAATCCGCGATTGGAACACGGAAATTACAGTACAATAGATAAATAACGTACAGTTTGTCTAACAGCTGATGAAAAAACTGGTAACTAATATAATACGTCATTTCTTCAAGTTTTCAAGGATAAGAAAAATCTATGAAAAGCAACGAGAGTTCTATTGGGCAACTTCATACACACGAGTTGACTGATATGTATATAAAAATCTGTACTGAATCTTGCCGCCGGTGTACAAGATTTTGATTTTGGTTCATAATTACACAACTTTGAGTGAGACGGTTATTCGGCGAAAAATAGAGACATCCATTGATAGCTAGTGAGTTCCTTAGCATCATCAAATTGCAGGTAGTCAATGCTTCTTTTTTTGTAGTTTGTCTGATTTCCGCGAAAGGTTTACCTGTCCAAAGCTCCCTAGGAGAGTTAAAAATCTACCGTTTGGCAAAATTGTACCGAATTATAAAGCAAAACTTAAAAAAAACATGAACCAATTAGAAATTGTACCACAATTCTCTAGTCTCTTCTTTCGTAAGGAAATTTAACCAGCGAAAAGCCTTGTTGAAGATTGCAAACTCTTTAAAAAAACCCCATTCAAATATTCCCCACCCGCCAGTCTAACTTTTCTTAAAAGCTAGCTCAGTAAAGTAAAAATAGACGCTAAAATTCATGATGTGCCAAGAAAGAAGCCATAAATCCCGTCGCGGAATATCCAAGCTGGAGGTCTGCACTTACATATCTTTTTCCCAAGAGTCTGACTCCCAACATCAAGCTGTCCAAAGTTTTCAGCTAGAAACCAAGCGACAGACGCTCTTTTACAAGATTGGTCTCAGAGCCGGAACAATGCTTGCCAGCTCTTCTTCCTAATCACGGATTCTATGGCCAAGCCATGCATGTGTCAGGAATGACGCTAATCCTATCACGAACGAATATTTGGTCAACACAACAACTGTGTCAATCAAGAAAAGTTTGAAATAATATAGGTTTGCTATTTCTGAAACCAATTAATTAATTTTTTTTAGTTTAATCTTTATGTAGAATGTTGATCTTCAAAACGTAACCTAATGTCTTGGTTGTCTCGGACTTGGAGACTGTCGCACACTGATGCTCAAAATGTTTTAATTAAGTTAAGTTGGTGTTGTTTAATATCCCAAGATTACGCTCGACGTCCGTGCTTTCTAGGATGGTCATCTCATAAGCTTAAATTTTTCTGCATTTAACGAAGAATTCACGTTGATCTGTATTTTCTCGAAATAGGACAAGTCATTTACTAGGACAGTGGAAGAGTTTTCAAAATCCTCTTATCATAAGCAAATATGCTAATCCTTGAGTTACTCACGGCGATGGAGAGATGATTTTCCGGTGTTAACCAAAAATAACCACTGGCGAAGAATTGATCCCTGTGCCACTCCTAATGTCACTTGCAGTGGCCTTGACGTCGCTTCAAGAACGGTCGTTTCCAGGTGTCAATTTTTTAGGTAGAAATAAAACCATTTGATAACACTAAATACTTCCTTCAAACCAAAATTTACGATGACGACGCAATAAACCAGGTTTAAAGTTTTCTTGGGACAGACAAAATATTTTCTATCCAGTGACGTACCAGAGCGAGATTTTAGTGCTGCATCATGAACGGAATTATTCTTGCCCCAAATGCAGGTCATATTGCCCTAAAAAGCAGGCGATTCTCGGGCGAAGCACTGGACTGGAGCGAGCTTTTGCGACATTCCGATTGTGAGAATTGTTTACCTTTATGAGCGGAATTCTTTGTAAAACTATTTGCTATTGGAAAAGCCAGCCAAACGACAAGAAGAAGTACGTACATTGAAATATTTTAGTTATATTTAAACTCAGAAGGTAGTACTCTGAGTTAAATTCTAAATGATTCATTGGTCAGTACATATTTTATATCTTGATTGAGAATGGAATTTACCATCGAATTCTTACATGTAATGTGTTTAATATCTTTCGTATTGTAAGAAATCGATAAAATATCAGTACGAGTTATTGGCTTGTATTTTAGAAGAAATACACGAAAGTTTTAAAATCCAGTTATGGTTGACGCTCGTCGTTGGCTCCAGTATTTCATCAGTTTGGAAGGTCTGATAAAGATCGCCGAGTTTGTAAGTTTTGGCAAGAAATTCATTAATGAATTACATCAGCAAAAGTTAAAATTTTACATTTAAAATTTTTTCAATCTAGATTTTTTCTCTGGTGGCCTTCATTCTGATCCTGAACTTTGACAACTGGGGTGTTTTTTCCCGTTATGGCTTTTACATTATCGTCACGGGATTATCTTGGACGTCCTTACTAATCATCCTTTTTCTCCATTTGCTTGGAATTTGTGCTGGTCAAGTTTATGGCAGATGGCAACGTGAATACTCTCTGTTTGTCTTCATGTTGAGTTACTCTCTTTCATTCTTCTTTTTGTTCTTTTTTGGCTCGGCACTTCTTGCACAATGGGCATATGACTTGGCAGATGGTTTTCTTATTCTTTCAGTGGTTTGTGAATTATTTTATATGAACATGAAGTATAAAAGGATGTATACTTTGAAGAAAAGTCCATCTTGAACTCAATGTTTAAAAAACAGAGACAAGATTACTTTAAAAGAGTTCTTTTTCTAATTCATTCCATATGCATCATCAGTGGCTAAGTTTATATGAATGACGATAATATTTCAACTTTAGTCTTTGCAAGGAATTGAAAATAGAACAATTTAAAAATTGTCTTGTCTTTCCTTTCTCAATTATTGAGTTCAAGATGGACCTTTTCATAAGAATTAGTATCCTTCTCTACTTCATAAAATTCTTGGTTAGTAGTGGATATTGCTGTTTTAATATTACAAATGTAAACTCAATTATTTTGTTTAGATCCTCGGATTTGTACTGGTCATCTTGTTCTTCATTGACTGTATCATCTATTACAAACGTGTTCGCCTTATTCGGTGGAGGAAGTAACATGGAAACCAAAACGTACAGGCACATCATACACATGAACATTATGACCCAAGAACTTTTTTTTTGTGTATAATTCTTGAAATTTACTTACCTTGTATATTTGCTTCTCAAGAATGTTTACATTAGCTATTATTTTAGGCATGATACAATTTGTGGATATATTAGGATTTCAAGTACCTAGATGAGTAGTTTCTAACATCGTAACTAAACCTTGACATGTGCTATTGAGAATAACATACTATTATGATATCAATAAATGTTGGTAATTCTCTAAAATCCTAGTTCTTTCAATAATCTCACAATGTCTTCCTTATGATAACCTTTGACTTTCACCTGACTTGTAAGTTCATTTTTTTGAAAATGTAAATGGTTACCAAGATGCTTCTTGAGAACATTAACCATTTCCTATCAATAATAGAAAAACTTGGTAAAATTGGGTAACACCATAGGTACTAAAGCAAAAAATTTGAAGTCTTTCTCATGCATAACAGACACACTAAGAATAAATATCAGAGATGTTACTCACATCCAAACTTCCTGAAATATTCCTAATTACTGTAAGTACCAAACTCCCTCCACGTTTCTTATCAATATAAACTGGAAGATTGTTGGTCTTTGATCGTCGAACTTGAAATGGCAGGGATGGCACAGGATCTAATAAGATGTAGTATAATTATTGAAAAAATTTAGAAATGTTTATCTGACAAACACTAAATTTAATTTTCACGTGCATACATTGTGGAGATACCCAGCCACTTGGGGATTTTGATATTTCTTCAATTCTTGCAGCCTTAACTTTGTCCAATGAAAAATCACTCTGTAAGTTTTAGAAAGCATTGATACTTAGCATGTCAAAATAACTGTTGACAAACAACCTAGACTACCTGTGCTGGCCTATACTGCCATTGACAACGACAAAGTTTCTATTCTACAGACTACGGTGAGAAAAGGCAAACGTATAAATAAATAAATTCAACATACTTTTAGCGTTCTCACTCTGAATAGTGAACAATGCTTCCGAGTAAAATATTTAAAACCTCTCCAAAAGATTGTCTGTTGGGCCAACATATTGAAGAAAAGATATTGTTTTTATATGAAGTATTGCGTTTAGAAGTACAACTAACACGCAGGCGTCAAAATAGCTTACTACATTTATTAAAAACAATATTTTAAAAATTTAAAAGAAAGCTTCCAAAAATGTTTAAATACTTTTTGATATTAACAAAAGACGGTCGTACACGTTTTGCAAGATATTATATTGACATTAAGAGAGAAGAAAAAGTCTTAATCGAAGCGGAAATTGGACGAAAATGTCTACAACGTGGAGTAGATCAGGTTGACACTTGACACTTGATTGACAAAACCCCGTTAAGTTGTTATGATTGACTTTTCTCAATTTTGGGCCAAAAATTATTTATAGTGCACTTTCATGGAGTACAAAGATCATAAAATAGTCTACAGAAGATACGCTTCTCTTTATTTTGTAGCGGGGGTGGACGAAGATGAGGTATAATAAGCAAAAGTTCCTGATTTCCATTTGCCTAAATTGTCCAATGATATTCTAAGTTCGAAGATAATTAATAAAAAAGCCTTTCTTTCAGAATGATTTGTCTATTTATGAATTCATCCAAAATATAGTTGAAGTTCTCAACAGCTATTTTAAGAATGTTGTAAGTAAATAGCTCGAGAGTCGAGAATGTTCGATGTTTGTTCTTTCGAAAGGCTCAAAAACTAAATTATTTCTCATTTATTTTGCAGACAGAAATGCATGTATCTTTTACTCAAAGGTCTTTATTATTCTTTTTCTGTTTATCATATTTTGTGAAAATTTTGTTCAACCTGTCAAGAATACAATTTGTGTAGCCATCCTTCAAGTTAGATCATGGTCAAGGGCACACATTCTTGTTTAAGGGAGTTCTGAAACCAACTTTTCTATTGTTCATGTTTGATAAATTAGCTCACATTTTAGCAGAACCTATTTTTTCGTCCCTCTGCAATACACCCTAATATGCAACCCAATTCAGTTATGTAAATTTTAGAACATCCTCATCATTCCTTTATTTAGAAATTTATTGTGAAAAGTGAAAAAGTTTGTATAGCATTATAAATTATTAGTTTACCACTGCTAATATTTGATGTTTGTCTTTTATGTCAGAAGTTTTCCTTCACTCCAATAGATATTGGGTAATCTTGACAGGGTGTATATGATCCTGGATGAGATGATTATGAATGGGGACATTGTTGAACCCAGGAAGAAATATGTTCTTGCCACAATGAAACTCATCGATGAAAAATCGAGATAGACACGCATTTGTAAGGTTAAGGTTATGCAACTTATTACGACGAATGTTCATTCTTATTATCAATGTAGGAGACATGAGCGACAACCACATCAATATAAAGCGCGGATGCTTGAATGCCATAGATCGGCGTTGTCGTGCAATCTAATTAGCATATAATGCGCGCGCTTCAATTAGCAGACTTGTTCTCTAGAGGGGGCTATACAAGCACGGCGTCTATCGAAGGAATAGGAGAATAACAGTTAAATAAACTTTGTCTCTATTATTAATTAATGACTTGACGCTGTAATCCGCCTATTAAGAAGAGGCTAGTTATCAGATTAAACGGTCTTCGCTGATTGACGTTCTGATGTCAATTTTTTTTGATAAACTTTACTCTAATTGTACAGTTGCTCACTGCGACACATTCTGTTAAAATTCGTAGCTTACGTGCCATGAAAATCATATCGTGACATTATTTTTGTTTGTTTCAAAACCACATGATATCAAGTTTGTGGACATCATTGATAATGTGGGGCTCCCAGCGAAAACATCATCTTAACCACTTGCATCTCTCATTATGAAGTAATTGGTAATTATCCAAACCATTTGGCCTTTGGCATCGCTTGCTTCCATGACAAAACAACAAACAAACAATTTGTTTTTCTTATCAGCATTTTTCCATAAATAAGACAATAAATGCGTCTCTTCAGTGTACAAAATAAGACGTTAAAATGTGTGGCAATGCGGCCAGCCGATGAAAACCGGGGCGTTATGAGCTGTGGTTGCATTTGCTAAAAACATTATTTGAACACCCACGCGTTGTCCTTCTGTTTGTCAGACTTTGCGGTTGACGGGGTATTTTTATAAATAATTTGTGGCGTTTGAAAAAAAACAAAACACGCTGTTAACTGGGACGATTTTTGTTTAAAACGGTAAATTGACTAGCAGTAGGAGTCGTCTAACATCGAAAATTTCATCAAACGAGTTTGTGTTGAAGATTTTCATTTTTTATTCATTGAGAGTAATGGGACCAATGGGACACGTCTGACATGCGAGTCTCTAAGAGACTGGGAATGAGGTCGTATGACACCTGCTATTTACACTTATGGGCACTTGACAGAGGCTAGTGAACTATTTCTAAAGGAATTAAACATTCAAATTTTCCTCGAGTGAGCCGTACTCGAGAACAGCAAAAATACACCATGACTCATGAAGGCCTCTCTGAGATAGCAAATCGATGATTTGCTGCGTGCGTCTAGGACACCGGAACAAATATTAACTACATGTTCATTTTATGTAATGAATGACATTTTTTTTCATAAGTAAAAAATTCCAATGATGTGTGGTTCAAAGTGAAGAAACTTGATTCAAATAACTTGCGCAATACAAATATTACAATTTTAACGGTTTCTTATATTACTGACAGCTTTGTGATATTTTTCTCAGTAACTTTGTGTCCAGGTTGTCCGTAAGACTCAAAAACACTTCAATGCCAGAGGAAATAACTGTCAGAAAATGTGGTGAATGTGGTTGTCATATCTATATTTATACATTATGTGCATTTTGGTAGCAAACTTCTATGAATTAGTAATTCCGTAATTGAGTAATTGGGGCAAGTTGCCATAAAATTAGGTTTCAAACTTGTTATAATATTCATTGGTTTGGCGATTTTCAATTTTCACGACATACAAAGTATCGCGATGTTAGGGCTTGGTCATGCAAAGAATTAAGGTTTGGTCATGATCAGAATTAGGGTTAGGTCAGTATGCATAGAACTTAAAAATGTTACTTTCCTCAGACAAGATAAACATTTGCTTTTCCGAAAGTCATAGAATTAGATGATTTCTGTCATTAATTTTTAATGATGTGATCACTGGTGAAAAATTTGTTTACTTATCTCAAACATTCTAAAGTCATTTGAAGTATTCGTTAATTCGAAACAATTCTAAACATTATAGAGCACAAATTTTTTTTGAGAATAGTGGAGCAAAACTATAAAAATTATGTTAATTCAGTAGAATATTACTTAAAGAACCCTCAAAAATCCCAAGCAACTTGTCTTTTCTTGCGACTTGTGCGTGAACTGATGTTTAGCGCAAACTCGTCGCTCTTGACGCTCATTTGCATATCGTGCGTTTCATTCGAGGTTTCACAAGGCTTGGTTGCTTCAAATGCAAATAATCGCTCGTAAAAGAGCATCAAGCATAAGAGGCTTAAACTTTACAATCACAAATCTTTAAATTGTTTTGCTTTGCAGCGCCTGGTAAAATAATATATTTTGTTGTCACAGGTCAAGTCAGGAAGTTGTGTTATTGCATGTGTTCATGGCGGTCTGGAGCGGGGTGTGTAGCATTACTAATAATGACAAGCCAAAAAACTATCAAAAATATATTCTCGAAATAGTGTGTAAGTGTAATCTCAGGAAATTTAATAGTCAAGAAGATCTCGTGTCAGTTCCCAGGATTGAAAAGTTTAAAATCACGAAATCTCGACAAATAAATAAGCGTGAGAAAATTTGATTAGTTCAAGTCTGGTTTTCTGTTTTATCTGCAATTTCGGACAATAAGTCGTCATTATTAAGCGGTGTTCTCGTTCTATCTCTCACACGGTGCCCACCCGTGGTTCTCTATTTAACTAACCCTTCCTGATTTGAATTGAACGTAATTTATTCCGCTGTTTGCGCATCTATAAATGCGGCGTACGACAGTAGTTGCTGATTATATGTGCAAGAGAAAACGACCAGCTTACTTCACTTAAATTTTGGATGAAAATTATTTTGCCCAGACGACACGATGATGATCATTGGATTGTTGATTCTTCTACGACAACTTACGTAAGTTCGAGGGAATTTCTTAAACATGCAAATCAACTTTCGCTTGGTATGAGCAAATCTTTTGTTTGCGAATTGAAAGTGGTAACAAGATGTTTTTGTTGTGCTGTTACGTTTATGTAATATACGGTAACATTTGATGAAGTTAAGTCTGGAATAGCAGAAGATTGTCGTTTTGAATCAACAGGTGTAAGGCTTGACATAGCGTGACTTTTATATGTTTGAAATTTCACTCAAATTAAGATAAGATATAATTGAAGGTATTAGTAACACTTATTTTCTCATTCGCTCATTAGAATCAATTACCTCAACATGTAAAATTTCAATTTGATTTGCCGTTTCAATTTGATTTCTAATATTACGTCTAGTCCACCAAACGATATTTTCGCATAGTTTCTGAAATTTGCGCCACCTGGAAACTCGTGGACAACTGTAATGTTGAACCGATATTCACTAATACATTTTTCTCCATAGGAAAGTGCAAACAATTCCACTTAATGTGCAAAGAACTGTTGTAAAGGTAAGAAATTGTCTTTCATTTTACGTGTGAGCAATATCAATAAAATATATTAAGCCTACTAAAAAACGATTTGTCTGAAAAAAGTCAACTGCAAAACAAACTTTATCAATGTAATTTTGTCGCTGCTATGTGCTTACAATTTTCTTTCATTGAAATAAGTAATAGCCGTTTTAGCAATTTTCCATTACAGTGTGAAAATCTAATTAAGAAACACTTGTATAATATGAAGTATAACTTAGATGTTGACCACACGCAGTGGGATTTCTAGTACTAAATATTAGATTCCCAAGCATTTCAAAGATTTATATTTCCTGTGAAAATATACTTACAAAGATACACAAAATGAGGTTATGAAGCAATTTGACTCTTCAAAAATGCACAATTTTTAGAAAAAGTTGAATTGCATCAATTTTTTGTTAAAGTTTACCTTATGCGGGGTTAAACTTTGTTAAACATGTACTTTGTTGTTGATAGAAATAACTGATTGTTTACATACAGGTGCCATCTAGGGACAAACACTAGGCATATCGTAACCGTACTCTAACTGTTGCCAAATTGTTTAAAAAAATCCCTCAAAGATGCAGGGAACGTTAATCTCAAATGACGCTCATTAAGAGATTAACAAAAAAGAATAGAGGCTTGACGTTATCTTTGATTTTATTTAGACGTCTCCATCAAAAGAAGATATAGGTGCAAGATTAAAACGTGCAAATATTCCACGCACTAGTTTACTCTATTCTCGACATACATCGAAATTTGTGAAAGTAAATGGAAGTAAAATCCACGCCAACGCAAACAGAAACGACGCTTATGGTATGTAATATTCTAAAGTGTATTTTATGTAAAAAAAAGGGACAGAGATATCTCCAAAAGCGCTTCTGCAAAATCTTTAGTTCCAATTTTTTATCATATATTTAAAAAAACATCCATATGCAGACGAAATTTCTGGAATATGTAAAAAAAAATTGTATATCCTCTTATTGCAAGATTAATAACCCTTGTAGTTCTTCCTTGGCGACAAGTGTTCTTGAAATATCACTCACTGTAATATTCAAAACTAAAAAAATGAAGAACACGAAAAATTGCCCAAGGCGAAGTCAGCATGATCTTGTATGTTCATAAGATAATTGTCTCGCGATTGCCGATTGAACGTTAAATTAATGAGGGATATTACAATGAAATACTGTGATGTCCGCCGCGTGATAAATGAAAATATTATCAGTTTTAATTACATTGCTTGGCAATACCAATAATTTCATAACATTAACTGTTAACAGCCGAACTCATTCTGACGACACGAGGTATTAATGGCGAGCAATCTATTCAAGGAAAAAAGAGCAAAATGTTTATATGCATGGATAAAAAAGGAAAAATTATAAGCATGGTAAGTCAATTATTGAGTGCAACCTTAGGAAATCTGTTGTCAATACTCATTTTCTCTCTTTCAGGGAACTTTCAAAGCTCAAAGATGTACTTTTTTACACCGAATCAACGACGACGGCTACCACACGTTTCGATTGCTCAGTAATCAACGATGGTTTCTCGGTTTTAAACAAAACGGTAGACTAAAGCATGGAAATAAGACAAGCCACGACCACAAGGCCGCTTGGTTGATGATGGAAACATCTTGACGTCAAACTGACAGAAATAAATGTGTGTATAGATGTATAAAATATTTTTGTCGACAAGATAATTATTTATTTATTTAACTTATTTCAAAATAAAATATTCAAGTAAGATCTTGTCCATCAGTTTGTATCGTAATATTACTTGACCGTGTTCCTTTTATGACTTTTTACATTTCGTGAATAGCGATACACTGCACCATCATTTTTATTCTGTTGTCATGGTTACATTGCTTCTCAATCACCACGTAATATGTGAGGAGAACACCAATATTTATCTAAGACCAAAGGATTGTAATCAGATTAGGCTGCTGGATAAACTTCTGAACATGTTGTGAGCAAGAACGTGTTTATTTTGTCGTTCAAAAGCCGATTACAGGATCCGCACATCATGTTGCCTCACAAAACAGGATCAAAACGCGAAGAAATTAACAAGAGCAGATATGACAAGACTATGCGCCATGAAATTTGGGACAAAATGATGATAGGCAGCGAGCAATTTATCTCAGCATGAATTGACACATTTTAGCAAGTTCTAATTGGATCAGACATTTAATAATGGTTGCGAAAAGACGAGCAGTTAATGCAAGGAGAACGACTTATCATTTAAGGAAGCATACTAATCAAAGTCATTCAATCCTCATATCAATATTTCACATCAGCAACAAATCAACGTATGACGTCTGTTTCTATAGTCCATCCTTCCTATGATGGTGTCATTACCTAAGAGGAAGAGTTTGGGATGTCGTTTGATCGCAATGATCTTTGATTTTCTGACGTAATTGGAATTCCAAAATGATGTTTATCAAAAAAGTCAAAGAAGAACAAAAAGTTACAGTTTAAGTTATACAAAAGTTTACTTGAACAAATGAGAGTTTTTTCATTTCAGCTTGTTCAAGTTGATGCAAGCAATTCTTTGTGCACTTTTCCCCACTTTCCTCCTTATCGTCAAGAAGACTTGTCGTCATGAAAACACAATCAATATCATTTGCCTTGGGCTACATTATTGTTCACTGAGGCTTTTAAAATTTCTTAATCGATATTTGCTCAATGATCTCTTCAAATGCATATGTGTTTTGCTGTACTGAGTTGACCTCTTGGTGAGAGGATTGTTCGTCGTTCGTCACAATGACGACCAGCCTACGTCAATTAAAACATGCACAAATCAAGAGCAAAATACGAAAGACATGACTAAGCATAGAAAATTATATTTCTAAATGAATTCTTACAAGCAACAAATAGCAGTTAAAAACTGCGATCCATGTCTATCAAGTAAAACATGAAACGCAATTTTGTTTATTGATTTGGTGTTTTTAGATCATAAAATCGTCGTTGAAGGGTACTCTCTAAAAGTGGAATTATCGCAGTGTGACTGACTGTGAACGACAAATGGATGTTTTAATTAACTTGCTCCATGTCTAATGTATCTAAAAATATAATTAATCACAACATCTTAATTGTAACCTGTTCGAAACACATTCGAGAAATAGAATAAATCAAAGCAATAAAACTTTACCATATTACGAAGAATTACTAACGCATTCGTGACATTCTTTTTCAGCGAACTCTCTCAAATATTCAGCTCTGTGAAAAGGTACTCGTTCAATCACTGTGTGGCACTCGCTGATAACTCGATCTTATCGATGAAAAAGAAATAACCATATCCCCAAATTATGAAATGATCGAAAAGTTTTTGTGAAGCATTTAATGTCACCAAAAAACCAAATCCCCCCAAAACACATTTGCATTAAAAAGTTTAGTGAAGCAAGGGACTATAGTAACTGGAATATCGTAGTTTGACAAATGATGATCTTTTGGACATTTCATTCGGTCTGATCGAAAAGGCCTCAGGCCTTTAAACTCTGTACATAGTGTGCCATTCAGACGACGATTTTCAGAAAATCGTAGCGCAATCGACGGTTGTTGTTGCATTGTTGGACTTCCTTTCAATAATAATAAGACTATCTCACTTCATGTGCGCAATGCACGCTGCGATTTTAGTTCCCCTACATCTGAACCAGAAAAAATACAGTTCTGCTAAATCTTTATGAGTCTGGCTTCCGTCCGTTCTCATGCAAAGAAACGTCCGGAGTGATGAAGTTACAGGCATGGACAAGATCTCTGTAAGGGGCTTGAATTTTCTTTTTTGACGTACGTAAGTGGTTTCGGAATAGTTTGTCCCACTGTCCGGTCAGAAAATCGTTCATGCTGTATAGGAACACATTCTTTCAATGCTCATCAGGGATTTTGATCATTATAAATAAACGAAATTATTGTAAAATAAATAAAATTAACGAAGGATCAGAAAACGGTATGGTTCAAAATGTGCTAGGTTGGTATCTTTCAAGAAAAACAAAACGTCATTTCGTTTCGGTGAAATTCAGTTGGACAGTAGAGAGCTTTCCTGCCATCAATGCAAATGTTTCAGACAAATATAGCACTCTCCTGGTGTGAAATAACTTTAATAACTGAGAGGAATAAGCAAATGTGAAAGTACGTTGTCACGTTCAGCACTTTGCTCAGAACGGGCCTTTGCCTTCACGACCATCAACATTATTTCCATTTTAAGCTCAAGTAATAAATATTCTACAATTTTCCATACTATTTAAGATAGTTTGAACGCCGACTCATCTCTCACGCAACACCATTAGGGGGCAACCAAGCGTTGTTTTATTGTGAAGTAATCAAGCAAATCCTATATTTTTATCACTCTTTGATGTTTCACCGAAATTTAAATGTTCAACAGTATTTTGACTTTGAATTCTTCCCGTATTCGAAACGTTTCGCTTCATTCTTGCCACAATGCAATTTATAGTCGTAAACATTTCATACAGCTAAGCGTGACACGCATTTTGGCAAAAATAATCTTGCGAACAAAAAGTCTAAAAGCCTTTTATTGTCGACGTAATTATTTCAATTCGACTTGTAAACGTTTGTCGATTGAATTTAAGTGCTTATTTGAATAAATTTAAATTAATCAATGGGTGTATCGAATGCACAACGTTACCTAAAGCTAATGATATCAAAACTAAATGCTTATATAGACCACCTTAGTTTGTTGGAAAGACCGAACTGAGACAGTATTAAAAGAAACCCATAAAAAGTTGTTGGTATTCTATCTACCTGTCGACCTAAACGACTTCCTTTGGATAAATCTTATCAAGTAAGCCTCCTGCGTTCCTTGTTTTATGCGAAGCAAATTTACATGAGGAATGTTTCATTTTGGACTTGCATATTTGTGAATAACATAGGATGAAATATTGATAGATATAATATTGCGCGCATTCCTTGTCAATTTTATTGAAACGGCATCCTGCTTTCTTGGCAACTGCACGTAGGGTTGAAGTGACGTTTATCATTGTCTGTTTCTTCTGCAACAAGAAAATTTACAAACTATATATTTTCACTTATACGTAAGACAATATCTTAGAGCATTATCTGACGCCTATCTCAAGGACCGCATATAGTGCTCATATGACGAGGTAAAAACGGTAATCATGGGTGAGGTATTAGAAGTTCTTGTTTTTAATAAAATAACTTTGGATTCATGAGTTCAATTTCCATTTTTTGAGCTTAGTAGCTCAAATGGTAGGGAAGTAATATTATGTTTTTGTCTCAGTTGTCGAAGTGCTTAAAATACTTGAACATTATGTATAGGAATTGAGATGTTTCAAACATGTCGCAGCATGCCTAAATAAGGGAGGAATGATAGTGTTTGCGACATTAACAGAAAATCACAATGATCACCAGAATAATTGCTCAAATCAGCAAAAAATCTCAAATTAACGCGATTAAAATGAAACAAACTTTTCAAATTCTTTTTTCAGAGCACTGCAGAGGACTGTTTGTCGAGAGTGATAGTGACACGTGATCTGATATTCTTTAGAAATAAAATCTGATCGGCTCTTCGCCAATATCCGCTATATGACTTCACAGTGACTTCATCACCAGTGATCGACACTACAGTTATTGAGTCTGATAGTTGGAGGATCAACATAGCAATTGGCGTGACAGTCTATATATATATTACCTACTTCCATTTCAAATGTCGCTTGACGTAATGTGATTGGAAAAATTTATAAAAGATCATCTACATATAATAACTTCACAAGTCTGTACTCGGAAACCTGTGAGCGCACAGTATACGGAGTATTCATAAACAAGCAGCGCGCGTTATGCGTCTTCTGTAAGCCGTCAAGGTTCAATTAATGGTATTATTGTCAATTGTGGATTTAAAGCAAAGAAAAACAATATTATGGCATTCTATGATGAAGCACCAAAGTTCATCTTCATCATTTTGGCTTCCACCGTGTAAGTGCTTGCCAATCAATAGCTAATAGCGATCTGTTCGACATCTATCTTCCTCTAATTGCGCTCTTTAAAGTTGTCTTTTACATAGGGGAGGCAAATATTTATAATGTAGGAGACTTTGTGTCTGTAACATAGTCATGCTTCGACGCTTGGAATCTTCCACCGTTTCGTTTCATGTTGATAGGAAGACGTCTTTCTTTCGACGTTTTGTTCTAAGTTCTGTAACATAACGTCTTCAAAAAATATGCGTACGACAAAACTTCTGCATAACACGAATTTTAAGTTGAATTTTGTTACCTTAAACTATTTGATTGCTATGCATTAGAAATCGATAAATTCCAGCGTCATTTGAACACATTTGCTTTAAAAGATAACAGTAGATTTATGAATGCGTGCAAGTTGATAGAATACACATTGTCACTCACTCAAATGTGCGTTGGTGTCTTGTTGTGGAAGAAAAGTATTGCTTATCTGCCTGATAAACATTTAACAACAGCATTCCAGCATAGATGTGCCGAATAAATAATTTCGAAAATGTTTCTTCATTTTCAATTGAAAAAAATCTGCAAAGTAGGTTATTCTAAAAAAGATTATCTGCATCTGAAAAGGAAAGTGATTTTCCGTATCACTTTGCTTTGTATTTCACACGTACCCGAAAGGATCAGAATAAACTTGAGGTCTTAAAATTAAAATTTACATTAACTAAAAGTGAGATGAAGAAATCTTAATGAACTTTGATAAGATCGAAGATACTGACAAAAATAAGCTTTACTGACATTCCTTTATCCACATGTATATGCCCTAGTATGTTTAGTGACGATTTCGATCAAGTAATAGCAACAAACAGCAAAAGAGGAAACGAGTTTAGTATAAGATCCACGGGAAAACAAGCTCTCCAAGAAGAGCCATTCATACAGGGTTTGAAAGCGCTGCAAGATATCTGTTCTTTTTTGAAAACGTGAGTCATTTCCTAGACGCAGGAGATATATTTTAAGTTTTAAAACATTTCTTTTGATGTGACTGACTTAGGCCATTTATGTTATATTAGCTTTGAAATCTCTGGCTCGTTTTTCTTTTTAAATGACTCGCGCTTAAACGAGACATCTAAGTTAGCCAACATAACATACTTCTAACAATCGTTGACATTGACCTCCGTCACTAATACCCACTGTTGTATATCAAGTTTAAAGAATGCCTATCGTTTTTGGAGGTATTAAATATGTTTTAGATTTGCTCTGTTATTCTGCGTTGACAGAAGGGCGGCTGTTTGTCGTTAGTGTTTAACTTTTAAGTCTGTGAATACCGCTTGTGTCATTTGTAAACACTGTGTGAATAAAATTTATTGTCTTCTTCGACAATTTGAGTGTAAACAGTGAGGTATAAAGCTCACCCTTGATACTTGAACTTGACATAAATTGATTGTTTTATAGTCTATTTTTACCTTAATTACAATACTGAACAGACGCATTGACAACTTATTTTGAGTTTTACTATATACTATTCACATCATTTATATGTTTAAGTTACTGAACAACTCCATCATCCTTGGTTTAACGGATGCACTAAACAAAAGTAATTTCAGTTTACAAACACCCTACATGAAGCCCTAAATGACCTCTGACTTAGTGCAAGTTTAAGAATAGTCTGTAAATCGTCAAAATGCCCCTTCAATGTCAATTTTATTTGCTTTGTGCAGCAAAGGTTTGGGGTTCTTGTAAGATGTTAAAATGATAAATATTTTAGAGCGCAATGAGAGACGATTAAGGAATGAGCAACAATTTAGTTCTTGTGAACGTCAGCGAGTAGAAATGTCGATAATTGACGACAAAAACGGGCAGTTTATTTTAGTAGAAAAGAACCGGAAGGTTTTGATGGAAATAGTTGACAAAATTAATCGCCTGATGTCTAGTAAACTGTTTATAACATACATATTATCATTTCCGTTATTTTGACGTCTTAAAAACTGTCGATGTTTATAAATCATGAAAAGTTATTATCACATTACGTCAGTAATAGCTTAGTTTAGCTATAACTGAGATGGCGTTTATTGCTTCCGCAGCGAGTGAGCTTTAAGCGAGCGAGCAAGGCAGCAAACCTAAAACATACAGCTGGTCAAATTTTAGATTTAGCATGTATGTCAATCGTATAACTTGCAAATTAAAGAAAAAAATCGATTATTTTATGTTGAATATATGATCAGAGAAAGGTGAAATCAATGTTATGTTTTTACGTCTTAGCCAATAAACGCAAAGAGAGTCTTGCCCTCGACCAATTAGGTAGCGAAGCGGTGAATAAAACACATTAATACAAGATGCTAGAGGATGCATTCCTTACCAAAACATTATAGATTTGGGGAGATAGTAACCATCGACAAACATATCATTCTTCAGTTTGCAAAAAAATTGTGGATTACAGAGATTGAGCATTTGTTGTAGGAAATGAAGCTGTGTGCATGTGACAGTGATATTGAAATCTGTTCTCATTGGTTTTCAGTCTCAGGACAATGCAAATTTTAAGCCTGTGCACTCACACAGGCAGCACTTAGTACCTTTTAGGTATTTTAGTAATATAATGAATCATATCACTAACAATGTTAAATTGTTTTTCTTGTCAAAAACCTTTGATACTGTACAGGTTTGTGTGAAGAATGACACACACAGATAAAATATTTTCAATCTGATCAGCAATTTGTGTATATTTAGAAAGGTACATTGCGTTAGTAAAGTTCTAAATAAATTTCTTCTTTTTTTATAGGATCATGGCTAATGCCGATGCAAATGCCACGGGAAACACGTCGTTTGTACGTACTCTTACTTATTACTTTTTATGTTTCTTACTGCACAGACAAGCCTTTCCCCTCAGTATCTTAAATACTTCTTTTGCAGAAATACAATAAAAAGATTTCAAGAAATTTTTCAATTTCATTTTTGTTTAGAATTGCTCTACTGCTGGTCGTAGAGTTAAAGTTCATGTTCAACTGATCAACTTGGGTACTCGAAAGCTTATTAGGATAAAAAACAAAAAACTCGTACCTGTCAGTTTAGGCAATGATCGTCATAGTAAGTAGTGAACTCAAACGATTGTCTTATAGCCAGAGCTTTTTTGAGAAGTGAGCAAAAAGCGAGCAAAAATAATCAAGTATCTATATTTTAAAATATCATGATACATAAATGTACTTGTTGTGGCCTTGATAATCTGAAAATAATTTTCAAAAGAGTATACACTAAATATATAGGTAGGAATAAAAAATATGATTTTGACGAAATGGCGTAGCCAGCCCACAAGTTTAGTCATGCTCTTGTAAATGTTTCGGCGTTAACTTACTGTAAAAGTAATAGATTCCTAAAGAAACGAGTTTTGCTAATGATCTGAGATTTACATAACATGACTAAACATGTGAGAGCTGACTACGACACTGTTCAGCTCCGGCAAAATACAAGACGAGCTTTTATAAAGTATTTAACGGAGATTTGTTACAGGATAACTCTGCATGTTTTTTTTGTATGAAAAAGGACGATGAATTTTAAAATTATGCATTGCAACTTATTGATATTATCATTGTTCTATGGTAACTTTTTCTTGTTGTTAATAGCGTTTTTCATAATGACGAGATATGGCAAGAATGTCGTCTCTTTACAAAGCTACCATACACAGGAATACGTTTGTTTTGATAAAAAAGGAGTTCTGGAAGTCAAAGTAAGGATCTACTTATACTTTTAACATAATAAATTGGTTTAATTCCTTTTTGACAACAAAAAAAACAAAAATCTTTTACGTTCTCTTTGCTGCAATTACTTTACAACATCATCTCTCTTTTTCTTGTAGACTGTGTCAAACTTTGAGAAATCCTTTGGATGTCATTTTTATAAAAATTTAATTAATACGACCCGTTTTTTCTCTTGCCTCAATCAGCAGTGGAAAATAGCTTTTCATAAAAAACTCGGGACTTCAATAAAAGGAAACAAAAGTTCAAAAACTCTAACTGAATCAACATTTTTCGTTGTTTTTCGAACTCCACCGTCCAAAAGGAAGGCGGGTTAACGATGTATCTATCGTGCATGAGGAATATTTAAATGTGATATAATTTATTTATTTAAGGAGTAAAATAATTAAAGTATTTATATCTTCAAAAATATGGGCGATCAGCGAATCGTCAAGTGAAGAAGAATATAGTCGAAGAGAAGACTTATAGACGACAAAGCATTTAAACTTGTGTGCAAAGATGAAAGACACAGTACAACTAAGTTTTATAAATTCATGTGGATTTTTTTATCTTGACAAAATATGCCGCATTATTTTTCTCCTTTTTTACGGCATTTTTTGCTCTGCCACATAAAATGAAGATTTAAATTTGACAATATTATTAAAAGTTATAACGACTTGCTCATTCAAAGTACATTTTTCTTTAATGGAAGATTGCACTTTACAGCGGCGATGTCACAGTGATGTGATTGTGTAGCACCGTGAAATCAGTTACCTCTGATAAAACTTGCTTCTCCAACGCATCGTTAGGAGAAGAGCCATATTTTTTTACCAGCAACACTGTCTTGCATTTTAGTTTATATAATAATGATGAAAGTTAATCTTTAAAATTTTTTCAGAAATTTAAATTTACTGGAGATTTGCGGGTTCAGTGTTACAGGAAAAATATATTCAAACAAACCATTGACTGGCAAGATTTGTTTTTTAAATTCATTGGCTGGAGCCGTTTAGAGAAATTAGGGTGCGTGGGGTGAAGTCAAACTTTTGGGACTCTTGTCCCTTGCAATGGACACATGTTACAATTTTCTTTTGCCTTCGTTTTGCCTTCTCCCCCTCTCTTAAGCCGTTGGTCCGACTTCGAATTGCCCCTCTTCTTTATGAACGGCTCTTGTAATAGCATTGTTGTAAGGGTATGAAGTCAAAATATGTAGCTATAATCTGTTTGCCTAACCCTGAATCTTTTACTTAAAAGATCACAAAAAAAATGTGACAATTATTTATAAGGAAAATAATGATTTCTACTTAAATATTGGAACAATATATTTGCAGCCAATTTTACAAAACGTCCCCGGACATCATGAAATTAGCCTAGCAATAAGGTGATCAAACCCTCTCGATTACTTTAAGTTTTTAAGTTAAAAATTACGTTCTTTTCAAGAAAAGAGAAATATTTTGGGAAGCCAGTCCGCTTATTTCGTCTTTCTTTTGAAACTTTTTCTTCGTTTGAAAAAGAAAATAATAGATTTCTAAATAAATGACCAATGCTGTTCTTCTAAAATTTACATGGCTGGACCACTAGGAGTACAACAAGCAGGCTGACAACTCTTTGCTTCATGAGGCCAAGATTAATTTCTCATTAAAACCTTCAAGTAGTAGTGCAGCAAATCTGCAGCAATCACCAAACGAAATGAGAACCAACTTTTTGACAGAAATTTACCACCAACTGCAATAAACTTTGTTATGTCTCAGGTAATTCGAGAGAAATTATTATATTCACTGGTCTTGCTGTGACGAGTATAGGTGTTTTTTAAATAATTGGATTACATGAAAGATTTATCAATTACTATGCTTTAAATCAATGAGTGAATTTATTAAACAATAAACATCTGTGGTATATAGTGAAGTGGAATCATGGTACTACGTCGTAGGTACATTCTCTTAGTTTAACATAATGAACACGGAATGATGCTATCCAATTGAAACGCTGTATTTTTTTATTATAGACATTCCTGCTCCTTTCAAAATGTTTTGTAAAAATCAAAGGACAATAACCTAGACACATTGACTTTGAATGAAGTCCAGATCTACCAGTGATGGGCAAGACGAAAAAAATCGAGCCTCGTTTCAAGGCCCATTCCTTCGTCTCGGAGATGATCGGAATGGTATTATATTACATAAAACGACATATAAGGTTAAATTGTAATTGTTATGTAAATGATTATCGTAATTTCCTAACATTGTAATTTATTTATCCACATCGTTCCTAACATTTGTCTTCTTTTGATTTATCAAAGACGCGAAAGGAGAGAGGCTCTTTCACGAGATAAGATTTCGTATGTACTGAACGACTGCTTTTAATATCAGATATATGGTTTGCTAGAAATAACAATGTGTTTATTAAACTTTCGACAAATTCAGACGTCAAGTGCATTAACTTTTTTAGCTATAAACTGCTTCGTTTTGATTCGTAAATTTTTCACTGTTGGAGTTCTAACTTATATTGGCGTCGTATAAGGTACTAATGATAAAATGTGAAACAGTGTGTTGTTCTTTGAAAAATTTTTGTAGGATTTATTGAAAGACGTGGCGTATAAAGACATTTGTGGAATTTTCGTGGGTTCAGTGATGTCAGGGACCTTTGCACAGCTCTGAAACTTGCCATATCATGGGTCCAAGATTGTCTTGTAAATCATATGACTGTACTTGTCATGGATAAATCATGCATTTGCAATATTTTTATGTATCAGGCTACTCTTCATGCATTGACTGAGTCCACATCAAAAACTTAAATGAGTTTATGATTTGTGCATCCTTTTTCCCTTTTCACAAAATACTGCCACATCGAAGCAAGAAACAATAGTTATACATTATCATGTTTTTTTTATATCTCCAGCAAGAATATAGAGAAGAGATGCACCCCCTGTCCTTTGCCTAGCCATCTACTTTTTCTATATATATCTAGAAATAGTTTATTGTTTAAAGAATTTCACTTTGTTATGCTTCAATCTGTAAATGTATGAAATTGAGATTAATCCTAAATTATTCTTTCATATTACTGATTAATGTCATCACAACATTGTTTTGATTTTAATATTGTAGAATTGACCGTAATGAATGGTATGCATGAAAACCAATGGATTATTGCTGAGGCGCCAGGTGATTGTCATCAATATGCTAAAGAATTTGACTGTATAGTTTAGAGATAATGATTTTGTTTTGTAGCACGCATTGATCTCTCAGGTGGCTGGAGTGATACACCACCAATTACCTATGAATCTGGAGGTGAAGTGACTAATGTTGCCGTGAAAGTGGATGGAATTGTGAGTTATAGATGTTCAGATTTCAACATCATGTTTATGCCATAAAACCAGATGTTCTTTTATAGAAACCTATTGGAGCAAAAATACGTAAAATTCCAAAGTGAGTTTATGGTGTATACAAATTAGAAATGACAAAGAATGGAAAGTTATAAGAAACTCAACTGGTAAATGGGGTCTGTCAATATATATTTGTAGATATGAGTTGATTCTTGTCATGTGTGACAAAAGAACCAATCATCAAGAAATTCTAGAATGTAAAAAATTGGAAGATCTTAAAGATTATTGTGAGCCTAGTGCATCAGGTAATCACTGGTTGTTTTATGTAAAGATTATGAGGATATTATGGTTAGGCAAATTGAGTATTGAAAAAACCATTATATCTTGTGAATGAAAATAAATGTGCGCATACTGTTTAAGAAAGTCTACAATCATTTTAGATTTGTTGTTCGATAAAGATACTATGTGAACATAAAACTTTTCAGGTACCCCTCCTACCCCCATGTGTAAATAATTTGGAAGGATATTCATACATTTGAGTTCAATTACATGAATTTATGAGCATTGAAATCAATTGTTTTTACGAGCTGTGATCATAAAATATATGAATACCTCCCCCTACCTCTAATTAACAATGTCCTGGCCTCTCTGATAGCTTAGTTCTGTTAGTACTTTAAAAATAAGTGAATTCAAGCAGATAGTTGCACTTGAATTTGTTCTTTCTAGGTGCGCTGCTCAAGACTGCATTTTTGTGTACTGAAGTTGTGGATATGAAATCAGAATTAACTTTAGCCGAACAGCTTAAGACTAAGTTCGGTTGTGGATTTGAAATCCACTCTTGGTCCTATTTACCCTTTGGCTCGGGTATGGGGACAAGTAGCATTCTAGCTGGCACAATTTGTGCCGCAATTTGGCGAATCACGAAACGCGAATATAGTGAAAGAGATCTGATTCATCTTGTGGTAGAACTGGAACAAATGTTAACAACAGGGGGTGGTTGGCAGGATCAGGTCGGAGGTCTTATACCGGGGGTGAAATACACTAAGTCGCCAGCTGTTGTACCAATTCAAGTATATCCAGAAAAGTTGACCATAAGTAAAGATACGTTGAAGAATGTTTCTAGTAATATGGTGTTAATCTACACTGGAAAAACAAGATTGGCTAAAAATCTTTTACAGGTTCCCGAGGCTAGCTCTCCGACTGGCATTTCGAATATTGCTTTATAATGACGATTTTTTTCTCTGTTCTTACAGAATGTAATAAGACGATGGCGCGATGGAACTGAAGAAATCATAAACAATGTGAATGATCTTAAGGAAAATGCTCGAACTTGTGCTAAAGCCTGGAGTGATGGTAGGAAAACTGTTGTCGAAATTTAGTCAGGAATAGTTTTTTATTGTCGTAAAATCATGTTGGCGAGAATAAATGAAAGGGAAAGAATAGTGTAAATCAGGAAACGACTCACCACATATTTTGTAATTGACATATCACAATTACTTCAATAGCTCAAGAAGTAAACATGCAAATATTATTGTTGAAAAGAAAGTCCGCGAGCGGACGGACAAATGCTCAATTCACAGAAAGGGTGCGGATTTTCCAAGGGGAATGCACCGTTCTTCTAGCTAAAGTTGCAAGGGCCTTGGGCGATTGTGGATTTATAGGCGTACAGATGTGTTAACCTTGGGTAATGAAAATGTTATTACGTTTAAAAAACTTTTTATTTCTGTTAAGGATGCGCATTTAGTAATTTATTTAAACTTTATTACTATCCCCTATGTAAGCGATATCGGTTTTGATTGGTCAACTGCCTGTAAATAATTCTCGATATCTGTAATTATGACGTCATATCTTCTATGATATCTACAAATAATAGTTTCTACAATTATTGACCTATTTAAAAGCCGGTTTTGAAAAAATCAAATAATTGAGAGGTTTGACACAGTTTCTAAAAACGATATGCGAAAGCTTTTGAGTAAAAAGGATGTGGAAAACACTAAAAAAGCGATGAAGCTGGTTTTGAACATATTTTACAGCACATTTAAACGAGAAGAACTTGAAAAAAGCGTTTGGCGAAGGTTTGAAAGTGTTCTACATTGATTAGTTTTAATAATATTTCAGATAGTTTAAGTTCGCTTCGGCAGAAAACATTGACATCGGTTTGAATCATTGTTGATATCATGCTCAACTTCCGTTAGAAAGTTGGTATACCAACTTTGAACAAACTCCCCTAAACAAAATCACAACAATTAACGGCACCTTACAAACGACTTATTCACAATACAAACAAACGAGCAACTAAACACGTTACTTTAGACAAACCCACGATGACAATACACAATTGACACCCACACACACGCTAAGGTTGTCGAAACGTCAGTCAACGTCAACAACAACATTCCTTCTCAGGACACTACTAACCTGGACGATCTACATCCACAAACATGCTCAACCTCATCCAATAATTGTTTGATATTTCATTGAAAATGCGCACGGCAATACTCTATTGCAAATGGTGGTAGTATGAAATATGTAATTGTCTTTGAAATGAGAAGTTCTACCTTTACTTAGTCTTATTGTACAATTTCATACCTTCTAATACGGTTATATTAATCGTCACAGTGTGAAATACTCTTTTATGAATTTTTCTCGGGGGTGTGCCAGAGAAGTTTTTTAAGATAAGTGCGTACCTCCCAGAACATCTGCCCCCTAAGTCCATCACACTTTAAAAGATAATTTATTTGAGACAATGAAACTTTATCCTTCATTTAAGTGGTGTAATCCCAACGTCTTAAAACGCCGCGGGCGTTCATACGGGGATTCGTTGTTTCTACGGAGATTCTTTGTTCTATTTTTTTGACAGCAGGTTTAGTCAGTTTTGTAATTTTTTCCAATAAAAGCTGTCGTCTTTCACAGGTGATTTGATAGCTATGGGCAAATGTCTGAACGTGTACAGGAAGCAGAAAAAGATCATGGCACCAGGTTTGTAGTTAGGCTGTTAACAACTGCAAGCAGTAACATAACCAAGAACCAGACTACAAGTTTTACTTCTGCTATGTAATTTTCAGAACATTGTTATGATATGTTTCTTGAGAAACGTATCGTTTGATTACTCTATTGTTTTATTTCTCTATTGTTTAATTACTCTATTGTTTGACTGCTCTGAGAAATCTATTGACCATGTATGGGCATTTGTCTAGGGCACTTGCAAATTGCTGATTAATCGATCTTTTTAATTAACATTTTTAGATTCTGAACCAGATGATATTCGTGAAATAATAAACAGCGTTCTTAGTTATTCATATGGTAAGCTGGTTTGCTGAATGTAATTTTGTGAAAATGCCATATAACCTCCAAAATATACCGAGATTCCTTAACAGTACGTTTCACGATGAAGTTATTTTCAAGTTTAGAAAGATTAAGCTGAAAAAGTGACGATTTTATTATTTTTTACATAAAACCCAATATAAAATCAGCCCAAATTGCTGAGATTGCAAGAGATCGTGTTTCCTTGAAAGTTCCTGAGAAAATTTAACTTGTTATTTTCTCTCCTAACTTCTTGAGACACAGTCATCTAATCGCATTCCATGCCCCCACGGCAGTCGTAGTTTGCTTTAGTTAAGTAATGCCCTGTAACACGATGCTATCTTTTTAAATGTGAGCACATTCACAGTTAGTCATTATCGTGATTTTACATGCATATTATAACATTATAACTAGGTTGTTGTTTTGCTGGAGCTGGCGGTGGTGGTTATCTATTAGCGATAACAAAGGAACCGGATATGCACAAGCAACTTGAAGGGATATTGAAAAAACTTTCTTATGAGGTTATATCTGTTTTAAGTATACTTATTCATACAGTATTAATTTTATCCTATAAATAAATTTTTTGTTCGTTTATAGACAAATGGTTCATATACAGTACATCGAATAGAAGTGGACAACGAGGGTTTGATTGTTCACACCAGCCAGTGAATAGAACATGTCACATATTAATACGTTTTAAAGCACTGAAATGTCGTTTCTAGCTAAGTTTAAGCCATCCACATTGCTTAAAAAACAGCAGAAGGCGTTTACGTTGCAATTTTCCAATGCAGGAAGGGTAACGGGTTTTTACGGTATTGCCGCGTCTTCGTAACGAATGATCCTAAAATATTTTTATATAAAGATGAATATAAGTCGCAACAATTTTTAAAATTATGGTATTACTAACACACACTAACACAGTTTAACGAACTTTAAATATATATGGAGCAATTTTCTCTGAGGTAATCACTCGCTTTCCTCTGTGTTTTATCGAAAACGATGTCGAAGTTTGATATTATTCTATATTAGATTCATAGCTGACCTTTAAAACAATTCCTTTCATTGTGATATAAAACATCGGCTTTATTTGCAGCGAGTTGCAAAGCTGAAAGAAAAGGATAATGCAATGTTACTACATTTCTTCATGTGAACCATTAGCAATAGCATAGCCAGTCCGCAAGTTTGATGTGCTATGTGAATATTTATTACCGCACAAAGAAATCTAAAGTAAGTGAATTGAACCTGAAATTATAGTCGAAAGAAGACCTATATTTGATTTTATGGCGGCAAATTTCAAAAATACATAAATGATCAAACCTGTTTCTCTCTCAACGACAGGAGTTCAATCCCTAGGCAAGAGTTGGCAAGTTCAGGACAGGTAATAGGACCTTAAACGTAAAGAAAAATGAGATTAAAACGAAGAGGAATCGGCACTGGTTTGCAGTGGAACGTTCATTACCTTTTCTTTCGATCTTTTTTCTATCGACTTTCGTCCTAAAAAAATGGAAAAAGTGAGAAAGCGCAAACGAGATTGTTTCAACGACATTTTCCCTTCAATAAACGTACTCTTTTCTTCCAATTGCGTTCGTGCGTCTTTGTGAGGAAGTATCCTTCAATAATATGATAAATTTTTGCTTCAGTATCAGCAGAAACGGTCGAGACACACGGAAAAGACAATACCTGCTTTTTGCGATTTTCCTTTTCTTTGTCCCGTCTCAACTTCAGCTCGTCGTATTCTCGACAAGCTTCAAATATTTGCATTATTACATCAACAAAAAAATGAAGACAATTTCCTGGCGTTTTCAAAGCAATTCTAACTTACCAGACAACTTTGTAACACCGTTCTTTCTGTACTGCATCAATTCTTTGATTTGACATTGTAATTCTCTTTGTCCTAGGAAAAGTAAAACGTTATACAATGACAGGGTTGTTGAAAAAACTAACGAGCTTTCCATGTCTGACTTGAATGATTGTTCAGAAATCTCTCCCAATCTTCAGCTGGCTGAAGACGACCAAACACTCTGGTTGCATCACGAAATTCTCTACAAACATTAAAGGACAAGCATAAATAATATTCTACTTCCACATTCCTGTAAATGACGAGAAATTCTCAGATCAATATAAAGATTTGCATAAATAAAAAACTGAGATTTTCAGTCTTTATACAGAATGTCAAATACACGAAACACTTTCATTTCAATTGAACTTTATCAACATTCTTCACGCCATCTTTTCTTAAAAATATTATTCTTTACGACAATAGTTCTCAGAAACTTAAGTAAAAACCACGATACCTATCGCTCTTGGTAAGCTTTCGTCTTGATGCTAAAATAACGTTTAAAATGAGCACAAAAAATAACAAGCTGTGACTAATACAGAAAATATCCTTGACAACCTGTGATTTTATGTTTACTAGCAATCAAACCATGTTCCCTCGCGATAGTTTTTCTATGCTGTCTTTCTTTTAATCTCTCGATATACATATCAACCATGGCTTCCTTCATTGCTAAACCAAAAATAATGTTTTTCTCGTAAAATATTCTTCATTAGGTCTCAAAACAGAAAAAAATATGACCCCACGTTTTCATTACTAAAAAAATGAGGCTGACCAAGAGAACTTTTTCCTGAAAATTTCATATTTAAACTTCATAATAAATATTTTTTCATAATATATCTGATTACCCAGCTCTAAATCATCGTCCTCTGAAGATTGTTGTATATTGCTAATTAACGTCTCTGCATCATTATCATGTTCCTACAGAAGTGACAATCACCAAACTGAAATTGTTGTTTTATGTGACTGGGGATTTTTTTGAATACTTTATTTACAAAATACCTTATCAAAATCATCTCGAAGTGCCATATATCCAAGATCCTGCTGTTCAACTAAACTAATGTCGAGTATTTCTGGAGGATGTGTTAAAGTGGGAGAAAGTTCACCTGAAATAAATGTTTTACAAGATCACTGTCCCAAATTTCATTTGCAACCAAAGCAAAGCGATGAAAAGTGGCAAACAAACCTGTCGAAGTTGATGTATGGTCTGTTATTTTGCAAACAAACTCAGGAATGGTTGCTAAGAAAAGGAAATATAATTTTAGCACATTATATACAACTCATTCGAATGAACTACTTTTCAAAACCTTTTCCAACATGTCCATCTATATAAACTCCATTGTAATGGGCTTTTGTCTCTAAAAAACATTAAACATTTCACAATATGCAATGGTAAGGACAAACAAACTTCTATTTGCATTACCACTAAGAGTCTTTGTGCCAATATGATCTGCAATATCAACCCTGTAGATTTTAAAAATTAACACTTTAATATATTGACATATATGTTACAGTATCATGATTTGCATATCTTACCAGTTGCCAAGACCATGTTGTTCTACAGCATCAAGAAGCAACATTTCTTCCTCTGCACTCCATGTTTCAATAAACAGAGGAAATGTTCCATTGTCCTAAAAATGTACATTCTCAAATTAGTAAAATTATTATAAAAGTGCCAATTTTACTTCAAAGAGTGAAACCCAACTTTACCCGAACTTTCGAGTTAAGAAGTGATGACTTCCACAAGAAAAGCTTAGCTTACATAAAAATTATAGCAAAGAGATAACTTACAAGGTAATTGAGCTATCAAAAAGTCAGGGGAGAGGTCACTGGGCAAACAACACACTCCTCGAGCAGTGGATTAGCCAGCGTGCATGTTTTAGTCTCGCAAAAGAAATGTGTGCACAAGGGAAATAAAGTATGTACAAGTAGAAGGAAGAACTCGCACAAGGTGAAGGGTTAGGATAATCACCCAAGTTTATTATTGGGTGATTTTTTGCAAACATAGTCACATAGTACTTCATATGAGACTGCTTTGTTAAATGGATTGATGGTACACGACAGCCCAGGTATCTGAACTGTCCATTCATGTCATGAGAAATAGATTGTAATCATACAATCGCTAATCACTGTAGCCCAACACCTCTGGTAGCTTTCGCAAAAGCTATTCTACAAATGTATACAACGTCCAGTCGCTTCTTTTGCAAGACTTACAATTAATTGATAATTATGATCTCGAACATGGTTTCCCATCTCTGCCCCAGATGAAAAACACTGAAAAAGATTAACATTAAAACAAATATAGAGCATCATTCAACACAGACTTTACATGACGTTATCAAACCTGGACACAAAGATCAAAATCTTGACATTCTGCGCATTTCACACGCAAGGTAGTGCAGTCTGATTGACAGTAGTTACAATGATACTGGCCAAAACCATTCGCTATAGGTACATGAAAATAAAAGAAAATCACTCGATACAAACATGATAAAAGGAGCCTAAAATAAATTGAAAATAAAATAGGAAAAAATATCGATGAATCTTATGATGAGTTCGTGAATTTTACGATGAATTATGAATTATTATACCTCCTGGTTGCGCCATATTGAAATTCGTCATTGAAGTTTTACCTTTTGATGGATGGAAAAAAGACTTGCTTCGTGGAAAAGATGGCGGATTGATGAAGATTTTAAAAAATAGTTTAGGAGAATTAAAGCACGTTTAAAACTGACCCGCCGAAAAGATTTGAAGATTAAAGGTTTACAGCGTGGCTTAGAGCAGATATGCTTTTAGTTTTTTGGAATTTTTAAAATGCCAGATTGCTGCAACGATATTCTCGCGACATTGGAAAAGAGTAAGCTCTCCCTGATGCGTTTTTTATATTATTGTTTGTAGAAATGTGGTTGCCATTTATATCAACGCTTAATGTTCTCTTCATTTTGTTTAGCGCATAAATCTGGAAGAAAAGAGTTCGACCGTGAAGATCTTGGAAACCTTATTGCTTTTATTTTGACATGGCCCCAGCGGTAGGTCAAGCAATATGTGGAATTTTGAGAAACTTTCTATAATTTAGCGGAAAACGGTCCTTTGTGATAAACGTTCTTTCCTCTTTCAAAAAACGAGTTTATTATATTACGGATAGATTAGGTGTTTTTTTCCAAACAAATAGATTTTGTGAATCCAAAGGTTAAGGCCAGTAGATCTTTGAAAGATTTACCAAGTTTTTCTAAATCAACGATAAACCAACACACAACAATCTAATCATACTGTATTTACCATTCTAAATCAATGTTATAGTGAAAAATAACTGAGATGAACAATGCCTGCAGACAATTTGCAGCTGGGATTTGCTCTACTATTACAGTTTTTATCCATTTGTGATATATTTTTTCCAGCTGTTACAGGTTTTTCCACAACCTTTTGCTATAATAAATAGGCCACAATTTTACCATTTATTCAATTGTTTATTGTTACTCTCATAAAATAATTCTTTTTTCTAATTGTGAAGCAAATGTAATCAAGTATCATGTTTTAATGTCTTAATGTCATTTGTAAATCAAAGTTTCCACAGTTCGTTATTAAGTATTTGGTAGACTATTTGTTCATATGTGCAATGTATAACTGCTTATGCCAAAGAATTTCATCTTCATTCTTGATGCTGACATTGAAGTTTGCCATCTTCATCCCTGATAACACGCAAGCTTAACATATTGAGTTTAAGTTGGTATGTGCATTTGAAGCAAATATATTTGCTTAACATACATTGACTTACATTTTGGAACAATCTAGTTTGATGAAAATTTGTCTAATACATATTCCTTTGTTTACAATTATTCATTAAATAAATAGACCACTTCATTCCTTGCAACTTGCACTCTCTTGGGAAGGATTAATTTACAAGTATAAGAGTGATTTACTTATTGGTTTTAAGGTTTAACTATATTCCACTTTGTAGACAATGTAAATGCATCTTCCGAGAAAATGCCTATCTTGTTGAGCTAAGAGAAGCTGTTAAACTGCTTATCGATGTTGCTGTGGAATATCTAAAGAAGCGTGTGAGATCACTTAAGTTAAAAGCAGGGAAAGTTTGTGAACAGAGCAGTCATTATGATGAAACGACAGACGATGAAAACTGGAGTGATGATGAAGCAATGAAAATATTTTTATCCATTGGGAAAGTGTTACAGATAAATTTTCCACTTTATAAAGTTCACAAAATATATGCTGGAGTAAGTTAGAGCTCTGTTGTTGTGCTATTCTAATAAATAAATTTAGAGTTCTCTTACAAACTATGATAGTTTAAATCTCAGGGAGAAACATTGGAGTCTTACTTGCATTGTCAGTTAAAATATGTCAAACCATAGTTTGAAGTCGTCTTACTATGCTGTTGTTATTTTAATTTACATGTTCGTAAATGTAGATCGTCCAGGTTGGTATAGTCCTGGGAAGGACTGTTTTTGTTGTTGTTGACTGACGTTTTGACAACCTTAGCGGTAGTCATCTTCAGAGTCAAAAGCGGTAGTCATCTTTTGACTCTGAAGATGACTACTGCTAAGGTTGTCGAAATGTCAGTCAACAACAGCAAAAACAGTCCTTCTCAGGACTATACCAAACTGGCGATCTACATTTACAAACATGTAACGATACTCCCGGGTTCAAACCATTTACTTTATTTACTTTAATTTGTAATTTTTATCTTCAAGAAAGTTTGTGCATTTACAGCTATATGTAGCTACTAAAACAACTTCTCAATTTTTGTTCTCCAACAGGGACAAATTCGAATAGAAAAGAGTTTGACAAGCAAATATTGTGATATAAATGTGAGTAAAAATTTGTGATAAGATCTTTTTGTCTGTTCTTAATGACTTAGCATGTGTATCAGTAGCATCATTATACCACAAGTTTTGTTGTGCAGTTTAAATATTTCAATGTTCAGTCCCTTAAAAGGCAATAAATTTCTATCAAAATAAATGATGATAATAATCTAAAATTTACATTTCACAACCAAACTTGCAGGCAGCTCACACCACTGACATATACATCCTGTATGAAATTTTAGGAAGGTGAAATATCCGACATTTTATTGTACAACATTGTTTTCTTCTGCGAAAATCATGGTCTCAATTTGATACAAGCATGTTTTCGTGATATGGAACCATCCAATTTCCCACTTCCTTTGGCACATAGTTTCATCTCTGTTGTACAACAGGTTTGTTCATTTCATTGTTGGGAAGATGTTAAGTCAACTATGGAAACTTTATGATATCTTCTAAATTATTTTCAATCAACTTCTCATCTAGCTTCGTGTTTGGTTTCATGTCAAAGCAATAGTTCAACACATTATGCCTTTGCGATGTCCAGTGATTAGGTAAGCTGTGATGTAACATTTAGGTACCTAAAACACCTATATTTATTTGCCATTCTTTTCAATGGAGTTTTTTGAAATGTTCAAGGTATCTCTGTAAATTGACGGATAAAGAACTGAGATTATCAGAGAGAAGATTGATGGCTGATACAATGTGGACAACTGTCAAAAGTCCACCACAGTATAACCTATTGTTTGACAGGTATGTATAATGATGACCACAGCATAATCCCAACCAAAGATCAATGACAACCCTAGACCAACAATGTCAATCTACTATATGTCAATGCTACCAATGTCAACCATAGCCCAGTGCTGCCAATATCAATGGTCTTGAGCTTGCACTGACCAGCTCTCAAGTTCTCCCATCATTTTAATTTATTTGCAGGGACAGCATGGAATTGGCATTTCGCTATTTTACATCGTCCACATTGACTGTAAGGTTGACTGGTCTCAATCAAATTACGGTATGTTCGACAATATCTTTTGAAGAGAATACGGAATTTCTCACTTTGTGATGTTAGCTAATTGTCTTTTTTTTTGTCGTGAAATTAATTTTTTATTTTGTTTCAATGTTTAGAACCAAGTTCATACTTTCATCGAAATTTTTCATAGCGACACACAAGTGTCTGGGGATGTCGACGAGTAAGTTAGAACAGTGAGTGATATTACGGGTACATGATAGTTAACTCGTTGTGTCTCTATTATTTAGAATGTGTGCTGGTCTTGCTTCGTGGTTGGTTGACATGAATATCATTGAACACTTGTTTGGACCCAACCTACATGTCGAGGTGGGAATGACGTGATTGGTTGTTTAAAACGTCACATGTTGTTTGCAAGCAATCATGTTTAAGATTTCAAGAATACGTGTTTGTTTTATTGTAGTTGCTTAAACAATCTCAAGTTATTTTAAACTTTCTGGCGCAAGAGGCGAAAATAACTAACGAGGATTTGCAGTGTATCTGGGCTGCTGCCCAGGTAAAGATCAGCTCTTTTAATTTGGTATACAAAAGGGAGAAGAAAATGTTCAAAAACTTTCTTTTTTTATTGCATTTTGTGTCCGTCTACAGCTTAAACATGCCAGTCGTTATGTTCACGATCTGCTCACGACACTTGCCAAATATCTCAACACCGAGTTAATCCAATATCTTTTGGGACTGGTGTCAAGTTTACCTGTACCTTCACACAACAAACAGACGTTATGTTTGGCTTTGGTTCTGACGAGAGTAGTGTGGAGTAAAGCTTTTAGTTCTCAAGCTGGTCGCATGACCACACAAAATAATGATACATCTGGCACTCATGTTGTTGGAGGTAAATACACGAGCAGTTTATGATATTATTATACACACCCGCATTACCAGTACTCCATTATCCTTTCTAACCCTATCAGTCCTTAGAAATTTTGCTGGTTTTGCCATTGGACGATGTGAATGTTCTGTTTATTTTTACTAGCGAACACAGCTGCTGCCGTGGTTGCGTCTCTTAACTCTAACTTAATTCAAAGACGTCATCTCACCATTGGTAGTCCCAGTAGCACAAGTACAATCAGTGATGCGAGTCTTGACACAGCTCTTCCTGAAGCAAGGTATGCATCCAATTCTTCTCATGTATAATGTCCCCAACTCTGCCTGAAGTAAGATATTCCTACCAACTCTGTCTGAAGTAAGATATGCCTACCAACTCTGTCTGAAGTAAGTTACGCCTACGGACTCTGCCTGAAGTAAGATATGCCTACCAACTCTGCCTGAAGTAAGATATGCCTACCGACTCTGCCTGAAGTAAGATATGCCTACCAACTCTGCCTGAAGTAAGATATGCCTACCAACTCTGTCTGAAGTAAGATATGCCTACCAACTCTGTCTGAAGTAAGATATGCCTACCAACTCTGTCTGAAGTAAGATATGCCTACCAACTCTGTCTGAAGTAAGATATGCCTACCAGCTCTGCCTGAAGTAAGATATGCCTACCAACTCTGTCTGAAGTAAGATATGCCTACCAACTCTGTCTGAAGTAAGATATGCCTACCAACTCTGTCTGAAGTGAGATATGCCTACCAACTCTGTCTGAAGTAAGATATGCCTACCAACTCTGTCTGAAGTAAGATATGCCTACCAACTCTGCCTGAAGTAAGATATGCCTACCAACTCTGTCTGAAGTAAGATATGCCTACCAACTCTGCCTGAAGTAAGATATGCCTACCAACTCTGTCTGAAGTAAGATATGCCTACCAACTCTGCCTGAAGTAAGATATGCCTACCAACTCTGCCTGAAGTAAGATATGCTTACCAACTCTGTCTGAAGTAAGATATGCCTACCAACTCTGCCCAGTAAGATATGCCTACCAACTCTGTCTGAAGTAAGATATGCCTACCAACTCTGTCTGAAGTAAGTATGCCTACCAACTCTGCCTGAAGTAAGATATGCCTACCAACTCTGCCTGAAGTAAGATATGCTTACCAACTCTGTCTGAAGTAAGATATGCCTACCAACTCTGTCTGAAGTAAGATATGCTTACCAACTCTGTCTGAAGTAAGATATGCCTACCAACTCTGTCTGAAGTAAGATATGCCTACCAACTCTGCCCGAAGTAAGATATGCCTACCAACTCTGTCTGAAGTAAGATATGCCTACCAACTCTGTCTGAAGTAAGGTATGCTCCTCAAATTTGCTTGAAGTAAGGTATGCCTTTTGTTCTGCCTGAAGTAAGCTAAGTTTCCGACCTCTGAAATTAGGTAAACCCCCTTAAATCTGTGTAAAACAAAGGTTTTCTTCCAAGTTTCTCGGAATAGAGGTACCTCGCCCCTCTCTAAGTGAGGGGGTATGCTAGCAAGTTTCTCGGAATATAGGTACCCCGCCCCTCTCTAATGAAGGTATGCTCGTATGCTCTAAAGTTATATATTTTGTTCTGTCTGTTTGTTTAAGAGCAAAGCATTATCTTTTAGAAAAAAACGTTGTATGATTAATGTTTAGCGATTCCCAACAAGAAATGGCTCCAGCAGTTAAACGAGAGTTCAGTGGCTCGACCATCGTTTATAGCCAAGATGAGAATGTAAAGGAAATGTCCGGTAGCAGTACTAGTGATAGTCACGAGTCATTCACGTGCTCGGACCGAGCTGTCCTTGACGATTTCGATGATGAAGAGTGCAGTGCGTGCAAACATCACGAGGTTGTAACGAATACAAATGACGAAAGTAAGAAAGTTGATTTGAGATTAGAAGATGTCTGTGTCGAAGGAAATACTTTGTTGTGGGATATTGTTCAGTGGAAAAACGCCGTAAGTTCATTTCATTTTCTTTCTACTCTTCTATTACATCATTTGAACCAATGAAATTTGTTATTTAATCTGTGTGTCAATAATCCCCACTCTTGTTTAATTGAGCCAATCAAAGAGCTTTTTTCATGTATATGAGATTGATGTTTAATTAAGCCAATCAGATAGCTTTTTATATACGTGAGATTGATGTTTAATTAAGCCAATCAGAGAGCTTTTTTCGTAAATATTTGTTAGATTTTTAATTAAGCCAATGGTTGATTACATACTGAATTAAAGGATAACTTTGAACTGCAAAACCTTAAGACCTTATTTCATATGATTACGTTACATCGGTTGGCGAGTTTTGGTTATATTATATATTAAAATAAATAATGCAAAATATTTGCAAGTTAAAGAATGAGTATCACCGTCATGCTTTGCGCGCTTGGTTGGTCATTTTAAGGGACCCCGAAAATGGCCGCTGTAATATGTTTGATTTGACTGCATTAGTACAGCATATAAATACGGCGTGAATATTGTAGAAGCAGTCAAACTATCAACCATAAATGCTTTCTATAAATAAATATGATCACATAAGTTAATAAACGAAACAAAACCTCTACTGAATACACATCGGATGTTTAAACGCACAGATGTTCCCGTACATGAAAACATAAACATTAAGCGCGCAAAGTATGACCCTGATACTCATTCTTTAAATAATACGTAAAAACACATTTGGCGCCCAATACTTGAATGTCCTTGAATTTGTCAAAAAGAATTTAGTTTTGATTTTGTGTTTCATAATTTTTTGCGTTAGTTGTGCTTTTCATGCAACATAAGCTTTTACTCGTTATTAAAGTTCTTTAAAAATGCTGGAATTTCATCACTTTTGGTTTGTACGAACCCTTTAATAAGAAATGATGATCGATTATCGATGGATACTAAGTTTGCATTTCATTTATTGAACTTTTTCAGTGTCAACTTGAAGATGGTTTACTACAAGAAGCTGAAAAACTGCTGTGTCAGTTGATTTGTTGTGCTGGAGATAAGAAGTTACGTCTTCAATTTGTGAAAGGATGTATTGACAATCTTGCTCGAAATATGTAAGATCTGATTAGATTATTGGTTCATTAGATCTGATTAGATTATTGATTCATTAGACCTGATTAGATTATTGATTCATTAGATCTGATTAGATTATTGATTCATTAGACCTGATTAGATTATTGGTTCATTAGATCTGATTAGATTATTGATTCATTAGACTTGATTAGATTATTGATTCATGAGACCTGATTAGATTGTTGATTCATTAGATCTGATTAGATTGTTGGTTCATTAGATCTGATTAAATTATAGGTTCATTATATCTGATTAGATTATTGGTTCATTAGATCTGATTAAATTATTGGCTCATTAGATCTGACTAGATTATTGGTTCAATAGATGTGATTAAATTAGGTCTGTACACCTGTTCATTGCAAAACCGAATTTTTATTGTTGTTTCCAGGTCAGTGGTGTTGTCGTTGAGCCTTCTTCCAAAATTGTTCTGCTCCTTTCAACAATTCAACGAGACAAGCACTTACGAAGTTGTCGACAACGCCAACAAGAAACTTAACATGATGAAATTATTTTTTGAGAACCTTGTTTACTACTGTCAACAAAGAACTATTTCTCCTGAGATGTTTTATAATCATTACGAGGAGGTTCAAGCAAGACTACAATTCCTAACTTCCGTTTACTCGACTGAGCTCTCGCCTTCTAAATTCAGTGAGTTCGCGTTTTTTTTATTTTGGATGTTTTGTTGTGCTTTTTTGTATGCAGCAAGAGTTTCGATGTCGGTTGCTTTGAGGTTGTGTACGAGTTACAAATGTTGATGGAGACTCAAGCTCTTCTTTGCATTCCACAGGACTGACTTCTCATCAAGTGGATCTTTTATGGTCAAGTTTGGTGGAGAATGACGAATGCTGTGACGATACTCTCGAATGGTTTGTTAATCAAGCTCGAAATAAAGACTTACATGCTTTGGATATACCTACATTCAAGTATATCTTCAAAGAAAAGGTAAAGGATACAGTGTGTTTGCAGATGTTTTTTGTAGTATAACTGAGCATTTTTATACTGTATTACAATGGAAAGTAAAGGATGCAAAGTGTTTGTAATTGTTGCTGTAGTATAACTGAGCATTTTTATACTTTATTACAATGGAAAGTAAAGGATGCAAAGTGTTTGTAATTGTTGCTGTAGTACAACTGAGCATTTTTATACTGTATGACAATGGAAATTAAAGGATGCAAAGTGTTTGTAATTGTTGCTGTAGTACAACAGAGCATTGTTATACTGTATTACAATGGAAAGTAAAGGATGCAAAGTGTTTGTAATTGTTGCTGTAGTATAACTGAGCATTGCTATACTGTATTACAATGGAAAGTAAAGGATGCAAAGTGTCTGTAATTGTTGCTGTAGTATTACTGAGCATTTTTATACTGTATTACAATGGAAAGTAAAGGATGCAAAGTGTTTGTAATTGTTGCTGTAGTATAACTGAGCATTGCTATACTGTATTACAATGGAAAGTAAAGGATGCAAAGTGTCTGTAATTGTTGCTGTAGTATTACTGAGCATTTTTATACTGTATTACAATGGAAAGTAAAGGATGCAAAGTGTCTGTATTTGTTGCTGTAGTATTACTGAGCATTGCTTTACTGTATGACTATGGAAAGCCATCTTGCTATTTTTGCGAGTGCCTTATGAGAACTTTAGCAGTCATTTACACATAGTTGATTATTTGGGTTTTTTTTTGCAGATGTCAGCATTAAAACCTGAAACGGTTTCCATGACCGGTTTGAACTTGTTTCAACAACTTTTTTCACTCTTTCTTCACGAAGAACAAAATAAATGCAATAAGGTTTGTTTATCACAAACTACTAAAGATGTAGATGTTGCATGGACACTTAAGAATACTTTATATGATTTAGGTAGCTGGTATGGATCAGTTGTGGAGTATTGCGTTGACAGCTGAATCAAGTGAAGTCAGTCAAGCGGCGATTACATTTTTGAATTCTTTCTACATAAATGGTAAAAAATTCCTTCAAACATGTTTTGATTAAAATAACATTTTTTGAAAGATTGACAACTTTTTGTTGGCTAATAGACATGCGTGAAATCGTTATATCCAATGAGTGACGCCATAACGTGATTTAGCACTTTTTTTATGACGTCATTCCAATGGCGAAGACACCAATTTAGCCTTCCTCTTCGGTTGATAGCGACAAACTTTGGCTCGATAATTAATCATTATTATATTAATCCTCAATAATTGTTACTTATGTATGGCTGGTGTTAATAATTTAGAAGAATGTTATGTTTTATAATGTTATTTATTAAAAGCAGGATTTGATTTTGTTTCAGACGAAAAGGGAAGTCTTCGACGAGAGAAAGAATATGTTCATAAGTGCATGGAGAGTTTGGAAAACGCTTCAAGAAAATTTACCGAGGTATGATTGTAAAAATAGCATTAAAATTCATATAGGAACAACACATGTTTATTGTATTTATCTTCGAATTTGTTGAGGTTATTTAATTTCATAACATATTTCCACGAATTTAAGACTGCTCCTCACTTGTAACATAAGCATAAACACAAGCATAAGCATAAATATAAGCACAGACTTTCATGCTTATGTTTATTTCGCAAGAGAGGACCAGGCTTTACTATACATAGTAATAATGCAAGATTGAACTATTGTTTTAAAATGTAATGCAGTAAATCGAGTATTATACCGCGATAACATTATCTCTATAATAATTTGTATTGTGTATGATTTTAGAATGTCGATGTTAGTTTAAAAGTGATGAAACGCGCTCTCACTTTGTTAAAGGAACATCTCAAACTTTTTAAACAAAGGTGAGTGAAGTAGTTAGTTGCTTTAATCGCGTGATGAAACATAAGATGACTTTATATATTTTTTTTCAGGTTTGCGTACCATTTAAAACTACGTTCCTTAGCTGGCCAAGGAATTCAGCCACATAAATTGAAAGTTTATAATAACGAAAAAATTTATCCGATTCGTGTGATATGTCAGCCTGCCGGAAGGACGGACAAGGTAATACATTTCTATTGCATTCCTAACTTTATCGTTCTGTTGAATTTTCGTTACTAACGTTTACATCTGAAACAGGCAACATTTAAAATGTCTTCTACTGATTTGGTTGCCGAACTACGGGCTGAGGTCACCTACTGGTGTAAGAAATTACAAGACAAACACGATCAAATGAGGAAGTGTGAAAACGATCTAATCAAACTTGGTCCGCCTGTCTACTCGTCTTTAGCATCTTCGTTTTCAGGTGAACTACCTCCGTTTCGTTTGATATCACAAGGTCACGAATTAACACCGGAATTAGATGAAAAATCCCTGGGTGAAGTTGGTTTTAAAGATCTTCAGGTATTTTCTTCTAATTATTTTTACCTTACATAGAGAAGTTACCTTTTTTTCAACTCCACGTATCTTGTAGCTGGTGTTTGTATCAGTTGGTGCTGGCAGAAGAGAGTCTGGTAGCGAAATACATTTGCGTGGCTCCTCTCAACTTCCTGCTCCGAGTGAGGAGTCCATACCGTTGTTCATAATGCAACAACAAGACAATTTCAATCAACTTTTTCATCTGATTCAATTACTTCGAGAGTTTATTTGCGAGGAGAGAAAGACATCAAATATCGTTCATCTAACGTCGTTTAGTAAACTTGATGCCGACGAAATTAACAACGAGAATTACGAAAACGAAACAGTCAACTCCACAGTGATTTATGATGATTCGGCGACCCTTTCAAAGGTCCAAAATTTATCTCACATGATTTGGGATCTGCTCATGTTTTTGCCGACAAATTTTTGTATTCGCAATAACCTGGAAACGTTTGGACTTCCTGAGGTAAATGAGAAATATTTGACAACTTGGGCAGGATTAATAATTTATTGCAGAAATTATGGATGAAATTACCGGGGAGGAGTTTTCGCAAATCTTCTAGCTCGAGCTAGAGAAAGTGAGGGGAGGTGAATTTACTACGAAATATTAATGTACCAAACAATTAAGCAAAAGCAATTATTGTCTTTAATGGGGAGCACACTTTTCAAACTACCTCCCAAATATGATATAAATTTTACCTGTCCATCGTATAGGCGACACCCACAAAGCTCCTAACGAAATCTAATAAAAAACCTAAGTTAACCCTTTAAAGAGATCATTCTTGATCCATCTCTGTTTGAAGTACATTGCATTTTGTTTATTGTGCTCATTTGTTATTCAGGACTCTCAAGAGATAACGAATGTTGACTGGACTTTATTACTCGATCCATCATGTCCAAACAAACTGCTTTATGCCTTGGAAATAGTTCATTCTCTTGCAAAGCGATCTTTCGAAGAAGATCTCTCGAAAGACGATGAAAAAAATGTTTTCAGTAGTGACTCCGATATGTCTGATGATGAGGATCAAGCGGCTAAAACACCCCCCGTATCACAACGGAAGTCCCGACATGAACAGGAGGTGGAAAAGTCGCATATGTGGAGTCGACGCTTCGTCGAATCAGGGGGTTTGGGTCACTTGCTTGACATTTTCCTCAGTGGATGTCTTTTGATGCAGGTATAGTATGACTAGGGACATCCTTATACTTTAGGGATTTTAATCCTTTCATTTCTATTCCTTAACATATTCTTTCAGGACAATCCGTCTTGGACTCATTCTCATCAGGAATGTCTTGTGGCCCTGTTGAATTTGATAAAAAAATTTGGAACACTCAAGTTGTGTGAAGAGGATATGGAGGATAACGAAGAATTATTTGTAATCACTTTGGGATCGCCTGGACGTACGAGAATGTCAACTGCATATAAAGAGTTCAGAATAAGAAACAAAAGTACCGATAAAGATGAGATTATTGAAGTAGATTGTTTATCAAAGGTTCGATCATTCTTATAAAATATATTCACTTAAAAACCAATGCATCTTGTGTTTGACCATTTTGTTTTTTTATCTTAGAATACGATACAATTAATAGACAAAAAGCGATGTCTGGAAGCTATCATGACGTCATTGTATGAATCTACGGTGACGTCACTTCGAGATCCAATAAAATCGAATCCTGTTCGAGCTGAAGGTACATTATGCTTCAGTGGTTTAGCCAGCCCACAAGTTTGGTCATGATTTCAGATCACAAGCCTTAGTCGTTTCGTTAGAAATCTATTGTTTTTACATTGAATGAACACGAAAATTTCTACATACCACGATCAAACTTTAGTGCTGGCTACGCAAGTGTTATTACTCCTTCACCGATATGGAAAATTGCTCTGCTGAATTTATTCTTTTGAAGAATTAAAGTAACTACGTTTTTATTGACATTTTAGCTCTTTACCAAGCTGTTCAATTATTGGTTTCCTGGACCCACACCGATAACTCAGTCTTTAATAGTTTAGTGAATCATCCCAAACTAAAACCATGGTTACAACGTCTTGTTCTTTTAGCTCCCGAGGTACGTGATTTTTACTGTATTGTGACTAGAGGGGGTTTTGATGTTGTGAATGTCGTGTATATAGCTCTACATTTTCGTACATTTTTGTACTACTTTCGTATATTTGATATTTTGTATTGTTTCTTTAGCATTCAGTTCGTTACGAAGCAAGTCGTGGTCTTTTTAATTTGTGTCTAATCATTGTTTCTTTAGCATTCAGTTCGTTACGAAGCAAGTCGTGGTCTTTTTAATTTGTGTCTAATCAAAGAAAACTCCAATGTTAATATGTTGCTTGAAGCATTGCTCAATTTTCTTCCACTTGCGAGAAAAATGAAATGTGTGAAAATTCCTGGTACTCGAACTGTTGGTCCCAGTTCTCGCGAGTATTTCATTCTTCTATTGAGGCTTGTCGACACATTACCCTCAAAGAGAACTGAGAAAGAGGTCGGCCGGGAAACATAAGTCGATTGATTTTTGAAATATTGATGACATAGTTTGGATGTGCTATTTTTGTTTTATTTACTGTTACCCGATTTTGTTTTGTATATTAAGGTTTTGCAAAGTAGTCTTGATTCTTTGGCATCTTATCTTGCTGAGTCTATAATATGGTACGTACCAACACACTCAATCATTATATGTACACCAATATACCTCTTTATTCCTCACTTCTATTTTTATTTTTCAAACCACCCTCCCGTCCCTCTCAATTTTTCCTCAATCGTCATTTCTTTCTCATTCTTTTATTGGTTGTTACTTTTCAAATTTTCTCGTCGTTCATGCTCTTCTCCTATTTTATGAATTCACAGTCATGAAAGCCTCGAGAAAGGACGAAATTCCTACGAAGACGAAACTTTAAGTGGAATGCTTAAACTTTGTGCTGCAGTTGTGCGACAGAATCCCTCATTTAAGGAGTCAAACCAAAGCATCGTAAGACTCTCTATAATTATTTTTTTATTTCACATCACATGACCTTTTCATCGTCTTTTGTTTTGTAGCGATTTCTCAAAAATCTATTCCAGCAATGTTTGTTTGACTTGCCCAAAGATTCGAACGAAATTCATGATGTCCCAAAGTGTCGATCGAAAGTAAAACCCTTTTTTGAGGATTTAGTGTTTATTGCTGTGTTGTTGTCGATTTGTGTTGATGTTGAACGATTTGATTGTTGTGATTTAGGCATCTCGCTTGGCTTCGTTTGATCTATTGCTTGAGCTGAGTCGTGAGTGCGAGAAGAACTTCACGGAGCTTCAGAGTTTACTTCTGGAACATCATTCACCAGGTTTGATATCAATTTAATTCGCATTTGTACAAGAAGTAGGAACATAAATGTTTGAAGATGTTGATCTTCCAGGTAAGTACAGTTTCTGTTGACTGTTGGAGTTGAAATATGTGTTGGTAGGCATCCTTCAGAGTCAAGATGAATTGCCGTTAAGGATGTAAAAACGTCAGTTCAACATGACTACCAACAGTCCTTTTCAACACTACATTTACATGGACAATTTACATCTACCAATAAATAACGATATTCCCGGGCTCGAACTATTCACTATAAAGTAACATGTTATTTTCTCACTTGAACCTAAAATATTTACCGTAAAATACTTATAGTCATAGCTTTGTTTCTTTCCTTTCTATATTCTCTATTGACGTTTCATTGTCTAGATGCAGAGACTGGTCACCATGTTTCTCACGGTTGGCATTATTGGCCTCACGACAATTGTCGATCACCTTGTGGTCTCGCGGGTATGATCAACCTTGGTGCAACATGTTATATGGCCTCATGTATGCAGCAATTGTACATGATGCCTGAAGCAAGAGCGTCTATTCTTAACGTCCAGGTTAGATTGAGATCAGAGATTATACTAACATCCAACACTGGAAAGAAGTATTGCAGTTTTCAGAAGAGAAATTTGTGACGTTGAAAAACTTGATATTGATATTGATGATAGGACAATTTCTTTCCTCCTTAGCCAACTGGTGACCAGAAACTTGACACGTCATTAAAAGAAATGCAGAAAATGTTTTGTTTTTTAATGGTAAGTTAATGAATTAATCTCCAATCTTATGCTGCGACCGATCTTAAATTGATGATTTCTCCATAGGAAAGTGAAAGAAAAGCGTACAACCCAAGATCCTTCTGTAAGACTTACATTATGGATAGAAAACCATTGAATACTGGAGAGCAAAAAGACATGAATGAGTTTTTTACAGATCTTATCACGAAACTTGAAGATATGTCACCAGATATGGTAAAAATATGTCATCAGATATGATATAATGTCAATAAACTAGATGTCTATGCTTCTACTTTTTATACCTTACATTGTGAAATATTTATTTCTAGCGAGAACTGGTTCGAGATTTATTCTGTGGGGAAATCAGCAACAATGTTGTATCATTGGTAACTAACATTTGACAACTAACATTTCTTGCATGTGGAAATGTTCTGTATGATTCGACAAACATTTGTCACGACTGTCATCTCTCTTGTTAGGACTGTTCTCACGTCAGTCAAACCAAAGAGGAATTCTTTTCTATTCGTTGTACTGTTGCCGACATGAAAGATCTCTATGTAAGCACAAGAAGAACTATTTTTTTTAAAATGGTCATCCATCATGAAAGTCGAGATATTTTATATTTCAGGAATCGTTGGATGAAGTGACGATCAAAGACACTTTGGAAGGAGACAATATGTACACTTGTTCTCAATGTGGTAAGAAAGTAAGAGCAGAAAAACGAGCTTGCTTTAAAGTTCTTCCTCGAATTCTATGTTTTAACACGATGAGATACACATTCAATATGGTCACTATGATGAAAGAGAAAGTGAACACTCATTTTTCATTTCCACGTCAACTAAACATGGCACCGTATACGGAGGAATACCTCATGGGAGAGAAAAAAGATCAAGGTATAATATGTTCACACTAACTGACAGCGGAAAATTTGACTTTATCAACAAGTGAAACAACATAGTCAGATTTATTTCTAAACGGAAACCATAACTCTAATCCCAATCCCAATCTTAATCCTAACCTTGAACCCACTGCTTTTGCTTTTGTATTTTTATATTCTTTCGTTTAAAGACTTTAAAAAGTGAAAAGAAACTAGTCATCGTTTCATTTGCATTTTCCCGCCATTTTTTGTCATGCCAAACCACTTTCCTTTCTATCATCACAAGATGGCCACGTTGTCTTCTAAACTATTGTCTATAGTTTGCAAATTTAGAACTTTTTTATGAAACAACTTCTTTAAATTCAGATCCAGAGAAAGATACCACTTACATTTACAACTTAATTGGAGTTGTGGTGCATACTGGGACGGCTGAAGGTGGACATTATTACAGTTTTATAAGAGATCGCACGTCTGGTCAGAAAGATTGCTGGTTTTTGTTTAACGATGCCGAAGTTAAACCGTTTGATCCGCAACAGATAGCGTCTGAATGTTTTGGTGGAGAGATGATGGTAAGATCAAATGTAAAACCAATTTCTGTTAAAAAAAATATAATGGAGTTTTTAAATGACATATCGTACTTTATTTTCCATTAATATACTGCTGTCATAAGTCTTAGTAACCAATTAAAAATCAACATCTCGTTGTTATTGTGTTTAGTTGAAAGAAGAATTTTTGTTATTTATTATATATGTTATTCTAAATCTACAAAAAACTCATTCCTTGCTTTGGCAAACACAGTTGCTACTAGGCAGAACGATGTCATCATTATGAAAATAGTTTGTGTTTCTTCATACAGCTAACCTACGCTCAGTCGAATACATTTTTAGTTATATTTTACATGTTTGGTATGATTTAGTCTTGCTATGATATTTCTCGAGAGTCTAATCTTCAGCAATGTATTTTTCTTTTTATCAGACTAAGACATACGATGCAGTGACGGAGAAGTTTCTCGACTTTTCGTTCGAGAAGACCCACAGTGCTTATATGTTATTTTACGAACGCGAGGAGACAACCCATAGTAAAACAGAATCGAACATTGCAAAAATGGACCCAGAACTGGCTTCTTGGATATGGAAAGACAACATTCAATTTATACGAGATCAACAGATCTTTGACTTGACGTACTATAATTTCATGTGGTTTTTATGCAGTAGAGTAGCGTCTACGTTTACAGATTCGTCGCAGACGACTCTATCGAATGTAAAACTTGCCACTTCTTTCCTACTGGAAACATTTATTCACTCAAAAGAAAAACCTGGTTTAAAAGGATGGAGCGACTTGCTTAATGTTCATTTTGACAACAGTCGTGACGCCTGCGAATGGTTTCTTAATCATATGGCTGAGGACTCCTGGTGGTTGCATCAGATCTTCTTAAAGTGTCCTGTTCAAGCAACAAGACAGGTTAGGAAAGATTCTGTGAGATCCTCAAAATTCATCATAATGCCTCTCAGTAATGGCAAAGCTAGACCAAACTTTGCCTTATACAATGCAAAATCGTTAGTCATTTGGAAAGTCAATTTCATTCTCTGTTAAATCTTTCACCTTAACATAGCGGGCTGTCTTCGTTACTCCCTATCAGTGATTCTTTACCAATCCCGAACAGAATGACTATTAATTCGTTTTTTATGTTTCATTTTAGGTGTTTTCTCGGCTTTGCCTTCATGTTATTCAGATTGTTCGACCGTACCAAGTGGCACTCTACTCTCAAAAAGAGTAAGAAATATTTAGAGCAATGCTCATTATTTCAATTATTTTCTGACATTATGTTATTTTCAGTGTTGAGAAAAGCGGACAAAAACCCGTCACATCTTGTTCAGTGAGAAACTTCGTGCAAGCTGTTTTAAAATTGGTGAGATTACTGCATCATGTCAACTATTTAAAATTTTTCTATGTGATTAATTACAGAAGCATCCTTACTTTTTTTATGCTTTTCTTCTTTTGTCGTAGCTGTCAACAAATGTGAAAAATAACATGAAAAATATGAACGAACTATTCTTGTTTCTTCATCAATTTTGTGAATTTGGAAGTGAAGAGGTTTGCGGTTTAAAAACATTTATAATGCTTTTGAAATGTAATTTTTCTCATTGTCGCGTTATCTTTTTTCATCCAGAGACGATATTTACTGTCTGTCAATGTTATTTCAACGCTGGTTGGTTTTTTCTTCAAACTCAAGTGTAATGATCCAGTACGTACGAGTTTTATTGTATGTTTTTATAATGAACTCTAACAAATACTTGTTATCACTCCTCTTCCTCTTCTCCAGTTCCCTCTCAACCCCCAACGACGACATTTGTACTGGATGCCGTTGAGTTCTTGTACGAATTTCAAATTCCATGACATCCGTTATATTTTATTTTCCAGACGGAGTCAAGCGATGAAGATGACGTCGATGATGATGATGACGACATGGTTCCAATCTTTCCTGAAGAAAAATTCCGACCTTTTGCCCTGGAGAAGATGGTGACAGTGATAGCATTTTTATTGGAAGAATCTAATGGGTATTAAATTTATGGTCCACAGTATTACATAAATAACCATTCATTGATGTGTTTATATGTTTTGTCGGTGGGCATTGCACATTTTGCAAAAACTGTTCTTTGTAACCTCCCCACGTCTTTATTCTCTTGCTTTCGACACCTTTGGTGGCAGATATATGTATGCATGGCAGTATGATTAAATTAGTCTTTATGAAATTGTCTGACAAATTTTGGCAATATTTACAGGCAACTGTCTGAAGTAGACGAGAAATCATTACTTGGTGGAAAGGTATGGTTAACTTGAATGAAATGTGTTTGTAAAATGCTTCATTTCTTTGTTTAACGGTCAATACTTTGCTCGTAGGATTTCCCTTTCATGAAATGTGTTTGTAAAATGCTTTATTCCTTTGATTAACGGTCACTACATTTTGCTCGTAGGATTTCCCTTTCATCTTCGAGATTGTAAAGGACACGGTTAACTTAAAACATACAGGAAATCTTGTTTTCACACTAACTGTGCACAATCAAGAGCTCGCTGAAAAGGTTAATCTCAAAGTCATATATCATTTTTTTATTCCATTTTTTTTCATTACCATTTCATCTCATGTCCCTTCAGATTATTACAACATTAATGTCGTCAGTGAAGAGACTCACAATCGAGGTAAGAAAGTGAAAATCCTTTCCAATTGATATTTTCTCTCTTGACTTGCGTTGTTCTCATTCCAGCAAACTCAGCCATTCTTTAAACTTCTCAATCATCTAACTGAACTCAGTCTCGGATCACCTGGACCGTTCTCATTTACACAGCTCATCTTGGCAAGAATTTGGGAGGTAAAGTTTGTAGTTTTGGAGGAGAGAATGTTCCAATGAACATTTACAAGTTAACAACAGAACAGTCAACGAATGTTGTTCTCATTTAGCGATACTCCCGAGTTCAAACTCTTCACTTTAGTTTTTGTAGTATATCATTGTTCATTTTTTTAATGTAAATACAATGAAACACTTAATGTCGTGAATTTAGTGCCATATGTGTACGAATTAGTTAACTGTAGCCTCTTTCACAAAAATGTCATTTATCAAGCATTTAAACACTAACATATATTGACATACATTAACATATATTAACATAAACAGAAATTGCGTCACGACAGATGTTTCATCTTTATAGGATTTATTTACTATTTTAAGTAGTAAATATTTAAAGATAAATTAGGTTTATTCATTTAATTATGTGTAGAAAGCGTAGAACATTTCGTCGACTTAATTCAGCCCAACCATAATTATACGAGAACAATCATCAACAACTCTTTTTGTTAAATGAAATGTGATAATTTTTTGTTTGTTTACTTCAGGCAGCAGATTACAATGCTTGTGTTTGCTTGGAATGGTTACAGAATGTCGTATCAAAAAATAAAATGGTACTGTGGGTGATTTGTTTACAAAACATTTAAATTGCACATTTTAAAGGAGGTTTTATTTTTCTTGAAGGCTCGACATTTTGTTTTTGATCATATGGATCAATGGGTGGAAAAATTTCTTGTTGCAGACAACAACATTAGAATACGAAATGGTAAGCATCAGAAATACGTAATTTATCCCCTCCCTCACATCATCAGACATAGTTTATATCCTCTCCCTCACATCATCAGATTTAGTTTATATCCCCTCTCTTACATCATCAGCTATAGTTTAAATCCCCTCCCTCACATCATAAGGTGTAGTTTATCCTCTCTCTCACATCATAAGGTGTAGTTTATCCTCTCCCTCACATCTTCCGGCATAGTTCTCATTTCCTTCGCATCATCAGGTATATTTATCCTCTCCCTCTCTTAAAGTATATATTTTTTATTTTAGACTCAGCTTATCTTCTTGTGGCTCTTATTCCTAACAATGCATTCAAACAAGGCTTTCGGTAAGCAATCTATTACATTATAGTGTACATTCTCTCTTTTAAGGCCTCCTCACATCCTCTAACAATCTCTGCGATCCTTCTTTTATAGAACAAAGTCATTTATAACTGCGCAGAAAGATCTCCAGGTTAATATCAATTATCAAATGACATCATCACAACTTACGTCATCATCAGAAATTTTAGTCATAGCGACGGTTATGCATAGGCTGGATAATGCCATTTACTGTATAGTAATTTTCTCAATCGTATCCAAAATCTATGACGTGCAAAAACTTTCATGTTTGTAGATGTAGATCGTCCAGGTTGGTAAAGTCCTGAGAAGGACTGTTGTTGTTGATGTTGACTGACGTTTTGAGAACCTTAGCTGTAGTTATCTTCAAGTGACTCTGAAGTCTAGCTCGACAGTCCTCATGACTTTAATAAGCTGGACGATCTTCATCGACAAACATGTAACGATCATCAAATTATGCACTTTAATGTGAAAACTTGTTGTTTAAGTCGCTCAATCAACACAATACAAAGCTAATTTAAATTCAACAAAGTCTAACAAGAAAAAGTCATTATCCTATAGACAATGTTATATCGCTCATTACTACTTAAATTTAAAATTAATTTTATTTTTATTTAGCTCTCTCCTGACGCTGAAGCTGTCTTGAACAAGGTCGATTACACAACTTTAAGATGCATGAATATTTTCAAAGCAAATGAAATAGTTTCCCTTGCAGGAATTTCTCATGCATTTCTTGATCTGTTATTATAAATACGGTTTTTTTGACATTGTATTTTGTTTTAGGTCTATGTGACGCTGTTAAATCTCATGAGAAAATTTAAAACTTATGCTGGTGAGTGAACGAGTTTGTCATGTTCATTTGATAGTTTTTATTGTTCAATATTGATATTTTTGTTTTATTCAGATCGAAGTCTTCATGGCACGACAAAACTCACCAGTTATTTTGCAATCTTGAATTACTGTCTTATTTCAAACAAACAGAAGGAGTTGGTAAGATAACTCACATTGTTTTCGAAACATCTATTTTTTCAGCAACCGAGATCTTGTTTGTAGATGCTGATCGTCTCTGTTGGGTCGTCAAGAAGACTGTTGGTGTAGTTGTTGATGTTGATTGACTTTTCAGCTTCCTTAGCGGTAGTCAGCTTCATTGTCGAAACGTCATTCAACACCAACATCAACAGCAATAGTCCTTCTGAAGACTGAACTAACATGGACGACCAACATCTAAAAACATGTAATGTTACTCTCAAGTTGAAACTATTTACTTTGTAGTTACCATTTTCAGGATGCTCTTTGTTTTGTGCTTGTTAACATCTAAAAACATGTAATGTTACTCTCAAGTTGAAACTCTTTACTTTGTAATTACCATTTTCAGGATGTTCTTTGTTTTGTGCTTGTTAACATCTAAAAACATGTAATGTTACTCTTAAGTTGAAACTCTTTACTTTGTAATTACCATTTTCAGCATGTTCTTTGTTTTGTGCTTGTTGAAATTATCAGCTGAATATTGATTCAAGGATTGATTTTTTTTTAATTGCTAGTTTACTCCATATTCTCTTCATCTCTGGGAACTATTTCATCCGTTGATGTCCGAACCAAACATCTCAGTGTTCCCAAATAAACAGGTAATAACTTCTACTACCATTTCAAATTAAACATTTTATTAGAAGTACTCATTAAGCATGTGTTTCTCGATCATTTTTAGGCGTTGTTGACATTTTGGTTTCATGTTTGCAATGGTTGTGAAAGGAATGTTGCTTTTATTACTGGAACACATTGTGTTGTTGAAAGTATTCCCTACAATTATATATTGTAAGTGTATGTAGAAAGCACAGACCTGTATTATTATCTTTTCGAGTATCAACCACTCCATCCTTTTCATTGTGTTAATCCTAGTGAATTTATTCCAAATTCCAATTGCATATTTCTCCTCAGTTTTGTCCACTATTGTCTTCTTCTAATGACATGAATCCTACATTTAGATCAAATGATGATCCAGAGGTTATAGCATTCAACAGAAGCGTTCTTCCGGTGTATTACGGTCTGTTACGACTTGGCTGCGAACATTCTCCTCATTTTTCTCGGGAACTCGCGAAACATGCGAACATGTCTTGGGCATTTGAATATCTTACTACAAAAATAAACCAATATCCTAAGGTGAGCTATTTGTATTTTCCAATAAAAATCATTTCATATAATCATTCCTAAAATGAAGCTGTACTCTCAGGCCATCGAGGAACTATTCAACCTCATGAGCTTTTTCTCTGGCAATACACAAAATTTGACCAAACCCTCGGAAATTGCCGCAGCGGCGTCGTTTCGCGAAAAGACAATTAAAATGTATATGACATCATTAGACGGTGGATCCCAGTGGACGACGCTTATTTAGTAAGAAAAGTGGATGTAACTTTTTTTTATCATAACTATGGATGGTTAACGTGAATAATCTTTGTTATATTTTAGTGCATTGAAAATCTTACTACATACAGAAGAAGATAAACTAGCCCTTATAAAGAACAATGGGTTGATGTGCCTAGCAGATGTAAGAATTTTCAGTTTTAGCGAAAGAGCACGCTCGAGCAAATCATCATGTCGAAGAATTTTTTTTTCGTTCATCTCATAAAATATGTGATCGTTTACAGGCATTCACTACTCTACATTTGATGTATCATGAAGCGACTGCATGTCATGTTACTGGTGATCTGATTGAAGTGCTATCTGTAATACTTGATATTTTTAATTGTTGTCGATCAAACATGAATGCCCAAGGTACGTTTGATTGGATTTATTTGCCATTTTTTCTGATTGACGTCGAATAATTTCTATTGTTAATAGTTTTAATTTACATTATCATTATTGTAACATATTTAATTCAAATTATTGATATCGTTATTATTAATTCGTAGACGTTAAAAGTTACATTTTTGGTTGGACAGAAAGGATAGACATGGCGCAGAAGTTGCTGTCGCTTTTAAACTTTTATACTCCTCGAGATATTCGCAACAGTTGTATTGGTATGTTTATAGATACTTCATGTAGAGCTGTGTGTTATGGCACATTCTTAACTTATGCAAGACGAAATATGTGTTGCAAGAAGACAAGAAATTTACTTTAACTGTTCTTATTTACCACAAAAGCTCTTGTTGTTTGAAACTTTCCTTTGAGTAACGGTTATTTATTTTTCATTCATTAAGATGTTCTCGTCACGCTAATATCGATTTATCAAGACGATTGTATTATTTCACTTATTCCTATCGTCTATCAATCGCACAAAACTCGAAAAGATAACCCAGACAAAAGTAAGTGTTTATTACCTGTGTCTGGAAGGTTCTGAGGGGGTGCTTAGGCAACCATATCTATTAACTTTCATTTTTTTACAGTTCCCCTAGGGCCTTTTTTCCCTCGACGTCAAGTGAAGATTTCCATCAGCAGTAAATCGGCCAGACAAATGGCAGTGCCAGAGTTAAATATGGCTCTACATCGTACTTACATCGATTGTGTCAAGGTTCAAGTTTATCTTTTTCATTTTTATTTATTTTTGACATCTTTTGTTGATGATTTCATTAATATTCATTCCCATTATGTCATCAATGATGTCATTGATACTCATTCCCATTATGTCATCAATGATGTCATTGATACTCATTCCCATTATGTCATCAATGATGTCATTGATACTCATTCCCATTATGTCATCAATGATGTCATTGATACTCCTTCTCAATCATCATTGATGTCATTGATACTCCTTCTCAATCATCATTGATACTCCTTCTCAATCATCAATGATGTCATTGATACTCCTTCTCAATCATCATTGATGTCATTGATACTCCTTCTCAATCATCAATGATGTCATTGATACTCCTTCTCAATCATCATTGATGTCATTGATACTCCTTCTCAATCATCAATGATGTCATTGATACTCCTTCTCAATCATCATTGATGTCATTGATACTCCTTCTCAATCATCATTGATGTCATTGATACTCAATCATCAATGATGTCATTGATACTCCTTCTCAATCATCATTGATGTCATTGATACTCCTTCTCAATCATCATTGATGTCATTGATACTCCTTCTCAATCATCATTGATGTCATTTTCTATATGTATTTCAGGGGACTGATGTGACCTACGACAAAGAATTGTCAGAGTTTTTTTCTCCGTATCACCAGTTTGTTGATAAACTTGTCCGTGCTGCTTTAACACGTGATAAATTCAATGAAAACGCCGTAAAATTGAGTAGTTACTTTTATTCTTTCACTGTTTTTTCTACCAATTTTCCAACAAGTCTTCAAATAAAACTTTCTTTCCTCAGGCTGTCTCTTGGCTATGGAAGGCGCTCCGTTACATTTCACGATTTTTACCAAGTTGTGGTTGGAAACATACAACAAATCTCAAGAGGTAGTGATATATTAATATAATTTTTATAAAACCTTATATACAACAGTATATAATAATAATGCAATAACATAATATTACCGTTTGCTATTTAGTTATTATTAGATTAATTATTAAATTATTTATTGATTGTTAGCCAATCAGATAGCTGACAACATTCAAATATGAAGTCAGGCTTGAAATGGAAAAATGAAATGTAATATTTATGGAATAGAAGCAATAAAAGAAATAGATTAGAAAGCAATAGGATGCAAATGACTCTATTCCAACAAAATATAATCATGTATGAGTTAACATGATCAGTCTATATCATGATATGACAGATTCTTATCGTCAAGCAGGCAACATGCAAAAAACTTTTCTCTTTTTTTAAGCTGTCCAAATATAAAACATTCTTGAAAGAACTCTGTCAACAAAATGAATTTATCGAGGTAAAGGAAGCCTTTCATTCTCAAACTAGTTCTGTCTTTATTGATATACACATTCACTTGCGTTTTTAGTACGTCGATCTCATTTTGTTTGAAGAAAGAGCATTAATAAACGTCAGTCCTTCGTATTCCTTTCTATGCTGTATTTTTCCCAGGGTAAAGATTTCAAAATAATGTTTTATATCAACTTTTGTAATAATATGTGATATTTGAACGACTCTCTCGAATTCAGATCTGTTCACGTGTTGCCCACGAGCAATGGAATGCTCTTGTCAATACATTAGTGACGTCAGTGATAGCCGATCAGAATCAGTTCGACTCGTTACAAGCATCTCAAATGGAGGATCTCGCGCGACGTTTAACTGCTGTAAGTGTTTTGTCTTCTTTAACTCGAGTACAACGATGTCAATGTTTATTCATACGATTAATGCAATCTCCTCATTGTGATGGAATTTATTGTTTAGGACTTGCGCGTTTTATCACTTCTCTTCACGGCAAACGCCCCGCAAAAAGATGACGTCAGTGATCTGCTTCTGCCGTGTTTAAGTAAACTTTTAGCAGTTTGTAAAAAACATCAAAAAGTTAAACAGGAGAGACAGAGTGACCTGAGTGAAGGTGGGAAATCAGACAGTGAAAAGAATCGAGCCCAAGCTGACGATGACGCCACTTTGCGACCTCCACCTTGTAAACGACAACGTAGCGAGGAGAGAAAGTTGAGCCCTGAAACGGGTGAATCAAGTTCGAACATTTCGAAAGAAAACGAAGAAAAAATTGAGATGACAAAAGAAAGGAAAAATAATTTGCCCTGTGCTAGCAAAACGAAAGCTCTGGGACAGTTATTCAAGAGAGCAAATCTTGATTGGATGGACACGTTAGCAAAAATTATTGAATCTATGATGAATAAACTACCTCAGTAAAAACATGTGATGTGGTCATGTTGTACCACTGGTCATGTATACCACTTCACTTTTAATTGTTCCATCTCTTGCGGTTTGAACGGTCATCCGGCGCGTGGACTGGGAAGGATACTTAGAAATGTACAATTGAATCGATTATTCAAACGGTAACGCTGTAATTTATTTAAAATATACGTTTTTGAGAGGTTTGATGATCAGTTTATTGAAACAGAACTTCGTCAGATTCAATGATAGAATAAAAGTTTATTAAATTTTGATCATTGATTTTACATCATTGCTTTGATAACATCTCTTATTAATTTTATTAAAATACTTAAACAAATCTTAATTATATATATGTATAACTTTCATGCGTCAGTTACAAACATGTTCACTATAAAGTCGGCAGATCTCTGCTTTGTCATCAAATCGTCAACTGTCTAGCAAACGTGCGGCCACTTATTGCTAATGAGCCCGCGGTCAACAAACTTTTTTTGGTTATTGTCCCATGTGTAATATTTTTCTTTGCTAAAGAAGAACCACTTATTCGTTTTGCGATCAAACCAGGATGCATCAGGATTTCTTGGTGCACCAGGGAAATGAATACTCATGTCTTGGATGAATCGGACATTGTGGTTGTGCATTGAAACCTTCAAAAAAACCCGATGTCGTGAACATTTATTCAAAATATTAAAAATCAAATTGATTTCAATTTATAGATTATTCGAGTTGTGTAAAAAAAGGCAACACTCATTATTCATGAATATCTGCTTTGTTCTACTACCCAAAACATGTTTGGCTTTCGAGATTCAAGAAACTTGTAGTATTAGAAGCTCGACCGTACAATTAGAAGCCATTTTATTTTCCCAGATGCTGAAATTCTTTTGTGCTTTAGAGCAATATGCATTAAGTAGCAATTAGACTATTACATAGTTGCCTTTCAAATATTTATACATTCTGTATAAAGTAAATTATCAGAATTTCACACAAGTATTAAACTTACTTTATAATGTGTGCCATTAACGAAAAAATGTGACCAACTTTCTCCATTTTGCCAATATTGCCCATTTTGCCCATCTTGATAAGCAGATCCAAATTTTTCATTGCTTTTCAAAAAATCTGTAAAGAACGTGGGAATAGCGTAGTGGCTTGTGTACCCATAGAACAATGGTCCCTCTATTCCATGCCAGGTACTAAAGTCATCGAAATTGTAGGGACGTTGTAAATTTGGTATCTTCCGAACCAGATGTTTTTGTCCAAAAAGATGTACTTCACCATAGTTCTTAACATGAGAAAAAACACCGGAAGATTAGTTATGTTTGTTGAAGCTCACATTTCATATTTTCCAAAGCCACTATGAATCACATAAATTTGCCAACAGTTCAAAGGTATTATACAACACACTTTAAACGTATAGAGGATTCCAATTGTTTTAATTTATTAAATTCAAACGCGTTTACCTCAATAAAATGAGCAGCTCGCAAAGGAAACACTTTATCGAACATACCATCCCACATTCCATAGAATGTTCGAATATGCTTTGGCCAAATGTCGTAATAATTAGTGGCTGGATAGGTTTTATATACTGTTCCCGAGTCTCGATAAATTCTCCAAACATGATCGTTATTTATGACCAACAGGGTATCATGGTAATCTCCGAATCTATCGTGCAGTACAGCAGTCACATCTCGTACTAGACATTTGCCTACAGGTGAAATTAATTGTACGTTTTCAATGATTCAAAGAATACAAGCTTTGGAAAAATTAAGATGGACAGAACAAAAGAACAACGAAAGGCTTCGTCGTGGTTATGATCAACACAAAATGTTAACGAAACAACAACAAAAAAATGAAACTGAACTTTCGACTTATAAAATTTAAGCCTTTGAGGCTTTTACCATTTAGTGAACTTTTACTTAGGTGAAATGACGTTTTTTGAGTTGGCAATGAAAGGAGTTACGTCAGCTCGAGTTAAACGGAGTAAATAGTGATAAAATGTGCAATCAAATCCAAGGAAAATTGAATTTATTTCGAGTTATCGAGTTTGAGTTGTTAGGATTTAACTAGAAAAAAGTTCATCCAAATTGTGATTTTTCATTCATTCCCATAAAGAGAGGATAATAAGGTAATCTTACCACATAGTTGGCGCACTTTCACTATGTCGTTCCATGTTAACGTCAATTTTGTATTCTTTACTGCTGGATACATGATATCGTTTGGATTAGTCGAATATTTAACTCCAAGAACGACACCAATTTTGTGCAAGGCCCAGGCGTTGAGGTTTGCACCTCCCACTGTATTTGTCACCCAAGTTTTATCGTCATTTAAATACATTTCACCCTCATTCGCCCAATTGTACGTTTCCACAAAGATGTTATCTTTAGGGTTAAAATGGTCTAAATGGGCAAGAAAGAGTTCTATTATACCAGTTCACTGTTAATTACTGTACGTACTATTTAAATTGTATACTGTTGCTCCTAAGATCTAATCTTTTTCATACTTTTTTTGAAGTAAATCTTGAATTTTGCAACATTCACGTCGCTTGTGTAGTAAAAGATCAATTTAGCAACAGATTCCCACTTGTGCAAGGCATCAGTGAACACTTGTTTTTGAACTTCTTTAGTTAGCTGTGTTGAATATTCCACGATTGTCCAGTGTACAGCAATGGTGCCAAAGTTATTAGTAAGTCGAACAAATCTTTTCCCTCTGTAGTGACGATCTATCGTATCGTTTGATTTTTCTCTCTAAGAACACAAATACTGTCAATACTCTGCATTTCATCATGTTCTCTACGATTTGCTTAGGATTTGGTGCTTCACTGGAGAAGTATCTTTAAATGTCGAGTACATTTTTTAAAATGATTAACAATTTCTTCATTACGAACCATGCGATGATTGATCAAGGTTCTTTTTTCCCTTTGTACCTCCTCCCCCCCTCTGCGGAGCTTTTCTTCGTTAAATATAACCTAATTTTGATAGAACATTTATCTGTTGCATTTCAATGTCGAGTGTCTAATGAAAAAACTAACCCCTAGGCAAGCTTAAGGCATTGGAATCTTTGGAATGCAATCTTGTGCATTTACGTTGATAGAATACTGTCTTCCCAGAACGGAGTACCTTTGAATTTGTTGTATTATTATCAAGTTTACAATAGTTTACTCACAAGCATGGCTTAAACCAGTCACCGATATCATATAATACTTCATGCAATCTGTCAACTCATTGTCGACTTCATAACATTCTGCTTTGACAGATAATTGCATCACATAATTAGGATAAGAACTGTAATGACTTGGAAAAATTGTCCATTTAATAGTTAGTGCGCAGTAGATACGACAGAAGTGTTTCATAAAGGTGTGTTAAAAAGGAGACACCGTTTTTCGTCATAGTATTCAAAAATCAAAAAAACAATAATTCTGTTCTTTTTTGTGTTCTTTTTAATAAAAGCACCACTCGTTCTCTATTTAAAGATGTTAAAGATCAAAGCAAATCTACATAAAATCTTATTTTTTGACTTGATCGAAAGCAGAAAATGAATCTCTCGTAAGAATGAGCAGCGCGTGTGTTTTACAAAGTTTGAAATCAACCAAATAAAAGATTTTTCAATTTACCATTGTTGATTATCTGTACCTGTAAAGATTATAATGCACCTACAGCGTTGTTGCATGCAAGAAGCCAGTCAGGATTTAAAAAACTTAAGGATTTATTCTCTTAAATTGTAATTATTATTAAAAGGAAACATCACCGGCTTTAACGTTTAATCCGACAACTAAAATGATTCAATTCTTTCAGCACGAAATGCTTTTTGTGAATATTTTTTGACGCATTTTTTACCTCGACGTTGTCCAATAGATTCGTTTCTTTATTAAACGACGTAGATCGCGCGTCTGTGGAAATAACATTCCCAAATATGATCATTAGTAGAGGAACGAAGACCCTCATTGTCGCGAACATTGTTTGCATCTTGCTCACACTTGTTGCCTGTGCTTGTCACCAATAACCAAAATCGAGTTACTAGCAAGCATTTTATACCCTGCAAGACATTGCGTAACGGAAATGCAAACATCAGCCAATAGGAATGATCAAAATTATAACAAGTGTTTATACACGGGGCTCAATAACCCTACGGAGAATGAAACCTCGGGATTTATTTCCATGTAATATGGCGGATGATTTGAACATTAATTTATGAAATATTGAAGTAAAATCGTATAAAACCTATGGACGATAGACATTTCCAGCACGCAACAATGAAAGAATCTGTAATTAAATCAAGCAACGCAAGATCCCGTTATAGACAAACTCGTAGACGTCGAAATTGTCCTCGTAATAGTTTAAAGAGAAATTTTAATGACGTTGAAAACTCAACCGGCGACGAAAGTGCATACTCAAATTCAGAAGGTGTATAGTTCAGTGTACCTATTTGAAAACTTCTATTTGAAAATTTATAATCCTATAAAAATTCATTAAATAGTGTTAAGGCGTGCTGGATATGTTTTGATCCAGTGAAGAAGCGATATTTTAAAATACCAAATGGTTCAGATCCTGCCTGCTTTTTAAACAAGATATCTGTTGAGAAAGTTGAAAGAAGTACGAAGCATAAGGTGAATTAAATTTGCTGTTCTTTACAATGGTTATTGCTATGTTTTAGTGATTTTTGTCGACTGTGGACTGTCACACGGTGGTCGGTGTAGACTAAACCGTACTGTGAAAATTTTGATTAGATATACGTTTTTCAGAATGGATCAAGCTTACGGAATTTGATCAAACGACATTATTTTCCTTACAACAACGCTATGAAACGGTAAATAGTGAATTACTTCTTCAGGTAACTTTATTCAGTGAAAAAAATTCACTGAAATAATCTTTATAGTTTGAACATGGAAGATTGGGCAAGGAATGTTTTTGAAAGAAAATCAGTTGAATTATATTCACCTCATCCTGATCCAAGATTTAAAAAAACTCTGACAAACATGGCTGTAAGTCTGTAAATGTTTTATGAAACGTTAAAAAATTATGACACTTTTATTTATATTTGGTTGTCACTTGTCAGTTATCAGAGTATTATGGAAAGCTTGCTACAATATCAAAACTTTCTTGTCTTGGCTGCACTACGTATGTTGCTTGAGTATTTCTGCTATTTTGACCTATGTTTGGTATTCTTAATTTTATTATGTGATTGATATAGGGTTCAAATCCATGATATCAAGTATGATTGCAAAAAGTTCATTAAACCTACAATTAATGCTTCAATAGTTTGCAGTGAGGTACACAATTTAGCTGATGAAATATTTCTAAATGCTAAATTTTTTATGAAAGTGTTTGTAACTTTCTCATTCTTCAGGCAACACATATTGAATGGAGTCCTCATTGTAATTTTAAAAATTACTTTTTGTATCCTTTAAAAAAATTACCCACACTAACATTTTTTAAAAAGTGTTTATATCATTGTCTTGAATTTTCTTGACTTGTCTTAAGACTAAATAGTCTGGGTTGCTCATCATCCAAAGGCAGTGCAATTGTTTGTAAATTTAACGAGTCTTTACAATCGTGTGAGTTACTTTATTTTGTTTCTTATAAATTACTGATCACTTTCATTTGTAGTTGTATTGATAAAAAAGCTATAGTTTTGATTTTATGTCCATATCAATGTAAACCTAGGTGAATTGACCAGTTATCCTCTATCACATGGTACTGCCTGGTATAGCACCTGGTGTAGGAATCCTTTCTTTTCTTCTTTTATTGGCATAGGTATGACAGATCAATAATAGTAGTTTTCAAAGAAATAAAGCATGCCAATCTCCCTACATTGTTTAAAAACCATTTGTTCTACAGCTGGAAGCAAGGAAGCTAGATTGGTGGACTCTGAAAAGAAATGCACTGTATTTAATATAAAATCATCCAGTGATGTTTTGTGTTTAGGGTTTTCTAAGATGGTGAGCTTTGACTGTTTTTTTATCCACTACTTTAAAACCAACATTTTTGTTCATGTTTTTTACTATTTTTCAGACCTCCCTAGGTTATTTAGGATGTCGCAATGGTTACATTATGTGTGTCGATATAAGAGCAGGAGACAAGAACCAGAAGAAATCGTTTTTTGTTTCACAAAGAACCTCACCAACTGCCGTTACATCAATAAAAGTCATGACAGACGAAAATTATTTGATGGCAAGCAATATTAATGGATTGGTTAGTATGGCATTTTAGTAGTAGAATTTTTTTGTCTAGAGATGTTTTGATTGTGAGATCATAAGTGTTTACTTTTCTAAACTCAATATGTTTATAAAAACATTTGGCGAGACTGTAAAATTAGCATGAGTTTAGTTTGAACTTGGCAACCTTTTAATATTTTAATACTTTAATTTAAAGGATTAGTTGGATTTGTTTATATGGAACACCTACTGAGCACTTAAAGTGTTTTTTTTTCATTGCTCGATGAAAACCCAGATTTCATTCATATAAACTATACACCCCATATTCATCATAAATTACTTTGTAAAATTAAAATACATCATCGAAGATCGTTGGCGTATTCTTACATGGAATGCAATCTAGGTAAAAACGTATTTTTCAAATGCAAATTACAAATACTTAAGCGTTAAAAGATACATCCAGAAAGTGTTATTGCTGTGACTGAGAACTTGCATCTATTGAGAAGATTATAAAGTGCATTTGTTTCTATCCATAATCCTCTGTCATAAAAACCTTTTGTCATAAAAGATAGTGTACAAAAAAACCCTTTTAAGGTTGTTTACCTTTGATGAAAATCTACTACGAATTTTTTATCTTTGTAGATTCAAATGTGGGATGTCCGTGTTACTAATCCTGTGAAGAAATACTCCGGAAATGTCAATGAATCAAAACAGATTCCATTTGTGTTAGATTCTTACGAAAATCTACTTGCATCCGGTAGGTATTTCTGTCATCGATATCATCCCCGCTAGAGGACTTATGTGAAGCTCCCAGATTTTCTGAGTCTTGGCCGGATTTCGCGTCGGCGTCATTTTTGTAGCGTTCAAAACAGATACTACTTAAGTTATATTCTTCGGAAAATCTAATTGCATCTGTTAGATATTGCTATCCTCAATACCATCCTTTTTTACAGAATAGTACGAAACTCGTGTATTTTTGTTGAGGGTTACAGTTTTGGGTTTTTGTGAGTCTTGGCCGAAGTTTTTGTCGGCGTAATGTCATGTTTTTACGTTTCAAAAGTGTTTCATTTATGTTAGATTCTTTCAATAGTCTTTATTTGCATCCATTACCATCATCTGTCTCAATCTTTGTTGGAGAAGTTATGCGAAACTTGTACATTTTTCTGGAGGGTTGAAGTTTTGGGTTTGTGCGAGTCTTGGTCGGATTTCCTGTCTTCTTTTCTCATTTTTTTAGCGTTTCAGTTCTTTTCAACGTTAAGCAGTTCAATTCAATAATGCTACCATTTTTAGTCCCTTCTTATAATGCACAGATATAGAAAAAATCGGTTAAATCATTTAAGTGTTGCACATAAGAATGCATACCTAATTGAAGCTCAGCCGTAAGTCGATAAAAAATAATTCCTTTATCGCAGAATAGCTACCATAAACCGCGAACTATGCAATAATCTCTTTTAAATTGTATTTTACTCACGATTTACTTGAGGTTCTTTAATAAAGATTAATTTCGCAATCATGGTTTTTGATTGAAAATACCCACCACGTTGAGCCACCTTTTAAGTTCTTGTGAAACAAAAATCTTGCTGTTTATATATTATCATTGAACAGAACATTTAAAGTGATTGTTGACTTTTTCAAACAATTTGTGCATATCGCTCTTCATTCACGAGATCTTAAGGTTTTTGTATTGTTCAGTTTACACAAACAGTGATGTTTCATTGCATGTATATAGAATCGCCTCAAATTTTCAAATAATCTTCAGTTTCCTGGAAACATTTGGTGGGATTTTATACCATTAACAGTTCACGAGTAATACATAGCCTGGCTGTAGTTAATGCAAATATACATGATAACTTTGTGTCAATGAAAATAAAATTCAAATAGCAAAATTTTCATTTCTTAAGCACTTGACTCAAATCTTCACGAAAACATACATGCTTCATCCTTTTAAAGAAGGCGAATATGGCCGAACTGTTAACTCTTACAATAAATGAAGCCATTCTATTGTAAGAAAAACTTTAAATGCCAATAATTACATTTAGTTTAACCACATGTAAATGTTAATAAATTATTTAATATGTTGTAGCTGGACAAGATGGAAAAGTAAGAATTTGGAGTGCTCAAACATGTGAACTGCTCAAAACCATTGACACAACAGGAACCACAAACGATGATGTCATAAATATTCCACCTGTGTGTCTGGGAGAGAACTGGGCACAATGTAATGGTAGACTTGCATTTGGATTAGGTATTGATGATAAGTTACAGATGTATTTTTGAATCAAAGAATTATAATCATTGATTTAATACAGTAAACACATAAATGAAAATGTTCCCCAAAGTGATTTCTTCATTGCTCTTATGAGAAGCCAACAGCAAACAAAACATTGTTCATAAATGGTGGTAAGTAAACATAGGTGGAGTATGTTGACATGCCAATCAATAACACTGCAGTAGAATCTACATCGCTATGGTTAAGGATTAATAAAATGATCCTTTACTACCCTTACCTATCATATGAAAACCACATCATGAATTCATGATCATATCATATGACAAAACAAGTTAACAAAATATAGACTGAAAAGGATACTGAAAAGAACTTTCTCCCAGGGTTCCAACATGTACAACGCCGTAGTGACTTCGTATCGATAAACAGCCCGGGAAATCCAATTTTTCAAGGCACCTAACATTGTTTCAATTTTCGATTAGACCAGAGTGCAGAAGGCCTTGATCGATTTTTGCAGCCAGTATTCTTACTAAGAAAGGTAGAAACTTGTGTATTCAAATATTGTTAATCACCAATATTGACGTTTCGTTGTCCTCGAAGATCAAATATTTCCAAATCTGGTTGACTATTCTATCGAAAGTGGAATGAAGTGTATATATGAGTGTATGAGTATGGTTTGTTGAACACTTGCATACGTAAAATAACTTTTTTTCAAAATCGGGCAATAGAAATTTGGGTGTGAAATTCGGGCGGTAAGGACCATCTGCGGACAATAACAATGACATCACTGATGACATCATAGGAAAATAAATGGCGGAAGAAATTGGGAAAGAAATAGTTGTTTATCATGATGGATTTTGTCCGTTATGCTCCAGGAAAAGAAGAGTTTTCACCTGCCCAAAATGCATAACGCTTGGTTTATTTTCTAAGAGCAACGAAGCCAGAAGTGAAAGGTATATAAATTCTGCATAGACAACGACTGGCCTTTGTGTAACATTTGAGTGTGGAATTATTGGAATATTTCTATGTTGAAAGGAGCAAATGTTGTTGTTGCATTAGATGCCCATATAATGTCACCTATATGTGGTGCTCAAAAACATCGTAAAAGCTTAAATAAATTTTCAGGAATGAGTAGTTTTACTTTAAATATCAGATTTTAAACCTTTAATTTCATGTTTTTGTTACTCTTTGTTGCAGTTACGAGAAAAAACGACAGAGATTAGAGTCAACAAAAAAATTAAAGCTTGAGTCTTCCGATAGGTACGTTACAGCATTAGTAATAATAGTGAATACATGGTGTGATTTTGAAATTACTTGAACAGCTAGCATTTTGTCTTCATTCAGAGTTTTGCAATTAATAAAGAATTGTGAATCAAAAAATGACATAGTAAGTAAGAATAGTGGATACTTTTTGTTTGATAATTTTCTCAGGGCCTCAACATGTAGTGCAGAGGTATTTACAATGAGTTGTGTTGCTGCATAAATATATGAAGTTATGATTGGTAACATCAGTTTTTGAAAACCTATTAATTGCTGACCGTTGTTAAAAGTTATTGAATAGTTTTCAATGCATATTCCAAAGCATTGTAGCATGTCATCCTAGTGAACAAAAGCATTGAGGAATTTAAAGGTCTCTCTGAGCCTGTACATAAACTTTTTTATTCTTTTGTAGAAGTGTAAACTGCTATTATTACGTTGCAAAGTTTCAGCCATACACGAAGCCATAGATAAATTGAAGTGGAAGCACAGTGAAGGTGAAATTTTCTGTTTTTTATTAAGTGAAACATTTACTGGAAATGTATTGCGTATTCAATTGCTTCTATGTATAGATGAGCCAATTAATCGGAAAATAATTGGTATAGCCAGTTAATGCCTAGTTTTAAAATAGTCGGCTGGTTACTGATTATTAAATAAATCTACATGCAAAATGCAAGCAGAAATAAAAATGCAAGGAAATACAGATTACGGAAGTTCAAAAAATAGTTCTTTATGTTTAACAGTTAAACACCACAGAAACGGTGAACTTGGAAACAATTACACTTAATTTAATTTGATTTGTGTAAAACATATTCTGGAATGACTCGACTATATTGGAATTTGCTACATGGTGAAAGTGAGTGCTTCAAATGGCAATTTTATAGAAATTTTAAAACAAAAATAGAAAGTAGAAAGTTTCAATCCTTTCAATTTGAAAAGTTTTTTTAATGCCAACCTTATCAATTTGGGCCAAAATTTCTAACTATTAGTGACTAACTAATGATTTTTTAAATTATTCTGCTGTATTAGTCTTATAAAAGCTTGCTTGGCTAAGTTAGCAAAATTAATTTGTCAAAATGAATTTCAAAACTGCCCAGGGCTCAGGGACTATTTACTAGTAACATAAAAATTAATCATTGAAACCGATTAACTGGCCAATTATATTGAATATAATATCGAAGAATTGGCCTCCAAATAATTTCTAATCTGCTATCTCTTGTGTTGTTCTGCTCTCTCTTGTGTTGTTCTGCTCTCTCTTGTGTTGTTCTGCTCTCTCTTGTGTAGTTCTGCTATCTCTTGTGTAGTTCTGCTATCTCTTGTGTAGTTCTGCTATCTCTTGTGTAGTTCTGTTATCTCTTGTGTAGTTCTACTATCTCTTGTGTAGTTCTGTGATCTCTTGTGTAGCTCTGCTATCTCTTGTGTAGTTCTGCTATCTCTTGTGTAGTTCTGCTATCTCTTGTGTAGTTCTGCTATCTTTGTATAGTTCAGCTATCTCTTGTGTAGTTCTGTGATCTCTTGTGTAGTTCTGCTATCTCTTGTGTAGTTCTGCTATCTCTTGTGTAGTTCTGCTATCTCTTGTGTAGTTCTGCTATCTCTTGTGTTGTTCTGCTATCTCTTGTGTAGTTCTGCTATCTCTTGTGTAGTTCTGCTATCTCTTGTGTAGTTCTACTATCTCTTGTGTAGTTCTGCTATCTCTTGTATAGTTCTGCTATCTCTTGTGTAGTCTGCTTTATCTTGTGTAGTTCTGCTATCTCTTGTATAGTTCAGCTATCTCTTGTGTAGTTCTGCTATCTCTTGTGTAGTTCTACTATCTCTTGTGTAGTTCTGCTATCTCTTGTGTAGTTCTGTGATCTCTTGTGTAGCTCTGCTATCTCTTGTGTAGCTCTGCTATCTCTTGTATAGTTGGGCTATCTCTTGTATAGTTGGGCTATCTCTTGTGTAGTTCTGCTATCTCTTGCATAGTTCAGCTATCTCTTGTGTTGTTCTGCTATCTCTTGTGTAGTTCTGCTATCTCTTGTATAATATGTGATCTCTTGTGTAGTTCTGTGATGTCTTGTGTAGTTCTGCTATCTCTTGTATAATATGTGATCTCTTGTGTAGTTCTGCTATCTCTTGTATAATATGTGATCTCTTGTGTAGTTCTGTGATCTCTTGTGTAGTTCTACTATATCTTGTGTAGTTCTGTGATCTCTTGTGTAGTTCTACTATCTCTTGTATAATATGTGATCTCTTATGTAGTTCTGCTATCTCTTGTATAGTTGGGCTATCTCATGTATGCTGTTATTATTCATGCTTCTAAAAAGATTACCTTGTTTCATATTAACCTACAGACAAAGGCATTTTGAGTAAAACTACAGAAGAAAACAAGAGAAGAAGGTCGAGGCTGGACCTTTTGAAGCAGCAAATAAAAACACAAGAAAAACAACTTCACAGCAAGAACGTAATGCACTCTTTCTTTTTTCTGAGCCCATAAAAAGATCTAAATTTATTTACGTATTTTGTGCCGTGTAACCTGCCTCTTGATTTTGACAAAAATCATCTCTACTCTTGGTTCTACTGTGGTGCGTGTAATCTTTTCAATTCTTTAGACAATGTGAAATTTGATGTTATTGGGAATAAAACCAATGTTATTTATGAATTTTAACTCAAATCTGAGTTACACGCTGAATTTCTTTTCGCTCTTTTTTTGTTTCTGTGCAAGTCATATATATACACCGAAAAATGTAGTATTCCTTGATTCAACTTGTTTTTAGGTCAAGATACAACAAAGACTAACTGATCTAGCTGATCAACAACAACAGGTTGTAACATTACGAAGAATTTATATTGATCAAGTGCAAAAATATCTATTTCCAATTGAAAAGAGAAGCATATTTCCCGAACCTGAGACCCCGCCTGGTATCGCGGCAACACATTGTAATGGTGAGATTTTCTTCAGTACATTGGATACGGAGTTGGTGATGTATGTGTGACTCTCACTGAATTGAATAATAATTCACTTATATGACGTAGCTAAAAATCGTGATTACTATTTAGAAACACAGACGTCTGTCACTATCAATAGCGAAGCCAGCTTATTTTTTACTCCTACAGTGCAAATTTTTTTGTGTTCATTCGCAGTAAAGAACCTATTTAATTTTCTAAAGAAATGAATAATAATTTTGCAGAAAAATTTGCATTTTAGGAGTAAAAGATCGTGTTGGTTTTGCTACTAGTCACTATACTTTTTATACAATCAAAACGTGTCGTTAGCAAATCAGAATTCGAATCACAAAAAGTAGTACCTTCGTGAAAAGATTATGGCTCAGGGCTCTGTGACTTTCAAAGAAGTTAAATTGCCATGGAAATTTTGCTAGAAAATGTGTTTTGATTACTTTAGCCAGTGACGTTGCCCTTGAAGGCAGTGACAGTTATGAGAAGGCTTTAAGCGAAGCAACAAGAACATCTTATGTTGAAGGAAAATGGCTAACTTACGACGAAACTCAATACAAAATACTCGAAACATTTCTTCCTGTAAATGGAAACTATTCCTCTTATTCTCAATGGTGTAAGTTATCATTCTATAGCGAAGGCTAGTCCGCGATTTTAGTCATGTTATCTTAATTTCCCAACATTTTTACTCATTTCTTCACGTGTCAGTGGTTTTCACAGTGAGTAAAGAAAGAAAAAAATACTTAATATGATTTGATAAACGGGCTTGCTACGCTGTATTGAGTCATGCAATATTTTTTTGCATTTTTCTCCCCAATAGCTACTTCACAAAATTTATAAATTTGACATTTTAGTGAGATCCAGAAAAAACTTACAGAATGAATCAGGTGATTTACAAAACTCCTATGTCAACTTGTAGTTTTATAACTCTTTGACTTGTTATTTTCTTTCTAGTGCGAACCTGTGAATTGAAAAGCTCAGGATTTTGTTATACTGCCGGTTTGAGTTATGCTTGTCAATTGCTCGATCTAAGCGCTTTTTTCCTTGACGTGACGTTACCTAGAAACGTCACTTTCGGGTAAGAGAAATTATCTTTCATGTTTTTTCTGTTTGTTTTATTGTTCATAGCGAACAAAATGATTCGTTATATCTTATATTTGATGTAAATATAAGAAATTTTTATTATTACCAGTGATTTTTGTCTCCGTGATTTGAGCGCTTCTGAGTTGAAGTCAGCGGTAGTTCGTCTAAATACCAACGTAATGTATTTATGTATGTCTCAGGTAAGCTATGAGCCTTTATATTCTCGTTGAGAAACTTTATAACAGGTTGACTTTCTTTGTTAGAATGTAAACCCGCAGATGCTACATCCCGCACATACTCTTCAGAATCTTCGTGTTTGTCTTAACCCCGATAACATGGATCTGGGAAGGTGAGAAACGACTTTCATTGCGTGGGATTTCAAAGTATAATGCTCTTTACAACGGCAAGCTGTTTTTACTTGTCGAAATATCATTCCAATATTTTTTGACACCAGCCCCTCCAAAAATTTACCTTTTCCATTTATTAAATTGTTCAGTAAGACTAAGGAAGAATGCAACTTATAACTTTAATCTACAACTTGATCCCCTGAGCAAAATTACCTCATAAAGATGTCCATACTTATGGTAAATGATAAAAACATCTGTTTACCGCGTTAACGAAAAATATTTTTCACTAGGTTCACAGCTCACTGCACGGACGGTTCAAACGATCATGTATTGTTGAACGATGCTGACGTCGATAGTTCCGATGAAGATCTTCCTGATGGAAACGAGACACATAACTTAGAGCTTTATGCAACAGATACCGAATGGGAAACAATAACTATAGATTCACCAGTGCCATCGGCTGTTACACAGAACGCGACTTCTAGAGAGTCTGAGAACGAAACTATACAATCGTCTGCATCTAGCTTCGTCTCGTCGGTGACGTCATTATGGCCTTGGAAAAGTTAGGAAACAACGCTTTTCTTACTTGTTGCTTACTTTTGCAAACTTGTGCACTTTGTCGGGTTTCAAAGATGTTGGGGGTAGAATTGAAAATGTTATTTATATATGTGCATATAATAGTGACAATTCCCAATTCATCTAACTTCACCATAAAATAAAGACAATATGCAATATAAGTTTAATACATTAGGTCAACAACATATAATGCACAGATTATTTATAAATAAAGGCCTTCCGGTGTTCCTTCTGATTTTCTATATAGAACATTTTCTTTTGATTTCTTGAAATCTTCATTAGCCACTTTCATTCGTCGCTCCCGTAAGGCAAGTAGACCAGCCTCAGTACATATTGCCTAGAAAACAAAACATCCATACTTTAGTACTAAAATAAACAGATTATTGTCATGAACGTGGCAACCTTTATAAAAGTGGAGAACACGTTCTACTAACTTTAATATCTGCTCCTGATAGATCATCTTTTGCCATAATGTATTCCGTTAGGTTGACATCGTCTGCTAAAGTCATTCGACTAGTGTGGATATTGAAGATACGACGCTTTGTTTTTTCATCCGGAAGAGGGAACTCAATCTTCCTATCAATGCGACCTACAATTGCCAATTGCAATGAATTGCTACACAAATCATTAATCTTGTTATTTCAAGTTTTTGTAGTCGTACCAGGCCTAATAAGTGCAGGGTCCAGAGAGTCTATCCTGTTTGTGGCCATGATCACCTATGATTATTGAACAGAAAGAAATTAAAGGAAACCTGTCACAATGTTAGGAATATGTATCGTCTTTCACCTTGACGTCACCTCTTGAGTCAAAACCGTCGAGCTGATTTAATAATTCCAACATGGTCCTTTGTATTTCACGTTCACCACCGGAGTTAGAATCATATCTGGAAGGCAATAATTAATGAATTTTTTCAACAAATACATACATGCTATTTTCCATTCATGTATCCCCTGTATGTGTGTGCACCTTTTGGTGCCAATGGCATCAATCTCATCGATAAATACAATTGATGGCGCATGTTCTTCAGCCACACGAAATAATTCACGAACCAATTTAGGACCATCACCCTGTAGGACATTAAATGAACATAGTGATAAGTCCTTCAATGAAATGCCAAATCATTTTCCCAATAAATTTTATAAAATAAACATGCTAGCAATGTCATATGATTTACCAAGTATTTTTGAATCAACTCTGATCCAACAACTCTAAGAAATGTTGCAGATGTTTGATTAGCAACTGCCTTAGCAAGCAAAGTCTTTCCTAAGAATGTAAACATATGGTGTGAGGTTGGTCAAACTGGAAAATGATCAAGGGGAAATCATGTATTAGTACTTGCCTGTTCCAGGAGGGCCATACAATATGACTCCTTTGGGGGGTCGAATACCCATCTCTTCATATAATTCTGGGTGTGTAAGTGGAAGTTCAACAGATTCCTTGGGGAAATCAAACATTCTTCTTAATAATATGTGCTAGGAGCAAATGTTGTTTTCTATTCTGAGAACATATATGAGATTTGTATGTTTTTGGAACCTTGATTTCCATGATCTGTTTATCAAGACCACCGATATCTGCATATGATTCTTGTGGGGCTTTTTCCAGTTTCATAACAGTAACCATTGGATCTGTATCATCAATCAAAACTCCTATCACAGCATGAACCTTAAAAGATAAAACACATCAAATAAACAGATGACACAAGGAATGATCAAGCAGGTTATATTAAATGATACTTTGTGATTTAGAAGGACAGTACATCCAGGTTCAAGAAGATCTTTGTCAACAAAAGATAAAATATTGACATAATGTTCAGATCCAACAGATGTTGATACAATTGCATGATTATCATCAATAATCTCTTCAAGAGTTCCCACTGACATTGGTGTTCCACGCAGATCATCAACTTTTGATCTCTCTTCCTAAGAAACAAAATTATCAATGATTATCCTTTTTTGTCCACATTTGTTTCACTTTGGTTACAAGTCATACTGTTCTTTTCTTCTTGTGGCTTCAACCGTTCTTGATTTTGAATGAACTCGTCCTCCATAAGTAAGAAATCTTTGATTCTCTCCATTTTAAAAGTTTTAGTCGACAATTCTTGTGTGGTGTAACTAGAGCACAAAAGTTATAATGTTACATTGTTCAACTAAAAAGTTTTTTACAATATCACAAAAAAGTAATAATAAACAGAAAGTTATGAGTCCCATTATTTTTGTAAAAGTGCTGAATGCCATTTGTTCATAACTCAACAAGTGCAAAGGCAATCATCCCCCTGGTTACATTCAAACAGGGAAAAAATATTGTAACAAAAAATTTACCCAGGGAGGTAATGGCCTTAGTTTCCTGCATGGGTTAAGTGGTAAATCAATGGCATATACTACTTCTACAAAAAATAAATGGAAATCACCTTTGCATGTAAATATTCTATAATGTTGCAACATAGCACCACTAACCTTGAGGTAGTTTATTAGCAGCCTCAGGTCCCTTGAGTTTTTTCTGTTTTTTACCCACCCTAGTTGGTACTGGTGGTTCATACTTTTTACGCTTGCTCTTTGATTATAGAAAATAAAATTTAACCATGCCAGTATATTAATCACTTTAACATACAGTAGAAAAAAAATACTGAAATTCCAAAGTTGACTCCACTGTTAACACAGGCACAATTTCAAACTCTCAAAGTAAATTTTACTAAGAAATTTATCAATATGACTCAAATGGAAGACTCACCAAACAAATTGTGTAAGTCAATAATATTGACAAATACCAAAAAAAATGTATGAAAAGTTCGAAAACGGATGTATTTTGATAGATATATCTTTACATCTTTTAAAATTCTGCTAAAGATGGTTTAGAGTTGAACCGAAACAATAGTTTCCAAGATTTTTTGTGCATTTGTAAATAATATTGATTTCCTTGCGCAAAATCTATAAAATTATTTTTCGTTTCACTTTTGTTGAAACACTAAGCAGTGAAAAAATTAAGGTTATTATTCTGCTAAAGATTAATTTAAGCAATTGTGCAGAAGTTTATTAACAAGCCCCTCATCTACCTTGTCTTCTTTTTATCACCTTGACCTGAGCCTCCACTGCCAGATTGATTTTGTCCCTAGGGTTAAAAAACAACATGAAGATAAAAATATCTTAATGCGTTGTAAAAAAAGGTCTACTTTTTAACAGTACTAACCATTTTTGCTGAGTAAAAATTGTATAATGACGAAATACGCCGATAATAACAAACACTATTATACAATGATTTCAAGTTGAAGTGCCTGGCCTGCCTGTAGGGGAAACATTACATCCCGGGCGGAGAGGGTGCGTCTGCGATGCATTATGGTCAGTGTAGTGGATAAAATGGTATTATTCAACTAATCCCATTTATCCCAATGATTTATATTCAGTGAACTGTAATTACAACAACAATGTTGTAATTACAGTTCACTGTTTATAATTGAAAATGATAAAAGATAAGATTAGAGGGTCAGCAAAAAACGATGTACATGTTGTATGAGTTCATGCTACGTAATTGATCGCTGAATACGAAAACTTTTTTCTGCACTCGTCAAAAGCAGGTATGTTACGTATGTATTCTCCTTTTCGTATTTACTGTTTTTGTATTTAAACTGTAATCACTTTTTGACTTTTAAGTTAAGCAACTGAATTAAGAAACTACAACGATGCTTTTAGAGTGTATAATGCAAAAGGTTTGTAAGCAGAATACAGGAAATGGATAGGACGTTATGACAAAGTTGTGCTAAGCTTTAAGTGCTACCTATTCAAGTTCACTTCTTCTAAATCCAGCACAATCATTGAAGCACTTATGACTGTTCACCTGTTTCCTTGGAAACTTATTTAATGTAAAGATGATAAATGTACACATGTGTATGATATCAATGCCAAGAATTTTAGCATGGACAAACAAAATAGTTGGAGGGCAGCAGAAAAGTCTTTAAACAGCTTGAATGGAAAAACTGAAAGCATTTGTGCATCCAAGCAGTCTTCACCATCATTATCTTTGCAGATTTTGCAAACACCAGTATTAGTCTACAGCAAAACAAAGAAATGAATTTAAAATGAATTTAAGTTTCTCATCCACTGTATAATGCTTTAAAGACTTTGGTTAAAACATACTCATGAATATCATCATAGCAAGAGCCAAATATGAGTGATATTAGTTTCTCTCTCTAATTCCATTTTAAAATTTCTGTTTAGGCTTGAATTTTCACAAATACACCTTGCAAACTGTGAAAGGAAATTGTTAAAATTAATGTACAGGAATAACCATATATATATAATTATATATATTTATATGCATTGATTTGTAGGCATGGTTTGCATTTTGTAGAAATCTAGTGCCATAACTACAAGAAATGAGCAATGTATAAATTAATAGAATGGATTGTAAAATCTCTGTGGGAGTGCTCACTTACAAGGCAAATGAGTACACCACAATTAAAGCTGTCCTGCTGTGAGAAATGTAATGGCTCGATACATGACCAAAATTGAGAATGCCAACCAGTTTTCATGTCAGCAATTTCACTAAAAAAAATACAGTAGCAGTACTTTAAGTATTGCTTTTCATCAAACTTGATACTTAAGATATCTCTCTGCTCTGCATAATGTAAAACTTCAAACTTACTTCCCTATTTATATTAGACCAATTACATTCACATGTCTTAGGTAATGATTCTAATTTGTACTTAATGCCATGCAAGGAAGCAAGTAATTTGCCTCTTACCCCCCTCAAAGAAAATCCTGTTATGCCTTGTAAACACCTTTACAATATTTTTTTAAATCTTTGTTTAAGTAATCAAACCTTATCTTGTCTATAAGGTCCATAAGATGCCCGTGTGTTTGAAAATCAATTGTTCTTTCCTTTTGTCCATTCATGGGGTCAATGAAGTATCGTATTTTCTTAGATTTGTCAATTACCTATTGGCAAAGTCAGAAATAAGTGGAAAATTCTTTCTTTATATAAATTGTCATAAATAATTCATATGATGGTAGAAAAAATTTCCTTCAGTCTTGAAGAGTAAAAGAGTAAATCTTTCAGTGTTCTTATGCAAGGACCACAGAGCACATTTTTCATTAAGGGGGGGGGTATGTATCCATCCACCACTAAAGATGCAAAAGTTAATAGTTGCAAGATTTGGATCCAAAGACAAATCTAAAATTTTCAAAATTGAGGGCCATAGTCCCACCTCCACCCTCCCTGACTCTGCATTCCCTGTTACATGTAGTAGTTACTACATTTGCTCACCAGCAATGTCCAATGAATACCATACTCGTTAATAGGAACAAATATTTTTTGACACAGAGAAAAAAACATTGGCCAGACCACAGTGCTAGTGTGGGCAGGGACATCTGCACCACTTAGTCACACACCATCCTACACTCTATCATGTTCGCATATTTTATACCTTCCTCACAGAGCAGTCAGAAACTCCAATAGGGAAGAAAAATTTGGCAATAACATCATGTTTTTACATATTGTGTACATTAGATTCAATCGCAAATTCAAAGTATGGTGCGCTGCAGCAAATGACGAGCAGGTTAATTTTTCAGAAATAACCGCGTTAGTGTAGTTTGTTACGAGCAATACCTAATACGAGACAGAAAACGATTCTATTACAGCCCATTTTGTTTTACTACCTAATGGTGATGAAATTATTCCTAGTAAGATTCATTATGTTATTTTGTTTTCTTAAAGTAGGGGTGCCCTACTATGAAAACAGGGGATTAAATATAAAGGGACGAAAGCCCCCATAGCTACCATTTTCTAACTCCCCTCTTCACTGGTTATTTAGCCCTAGGCAACACCAACCTTAAAAATGTTTGCAAGGGTAACGAGTCTTCTTCAAGCTTTAAGAACACTCTGGTTTGCTCAAATTTACAAGATGCCTTTCACGTGGGTTGGCTAAACCTGATATGAAACTCCCCCTTTTGGAAATTAACTGCTGAAATGTCAGAGGTATTGTACTCTGTGGCGGCATAACGACTTTTAAGGCAATGTTTTACGAATTGTGGAGGTCTGTCTCTTAAATAAATTGGAACGCTTTTTGTTATATTTGCATATGCACTACTAAACATAAGGTTTTTGCATATAGCCCTGAGAGTCAGGAATGAAACACTCTAGTGTGATTGCAATGCCATACACAGATTTATCCACTGATCTTGGTAAATATTCGTATTTAAATAGCTTGTTCATTGCCTCTGTGCCATTGTTAGTGTTGACGACGTTCACTGCTTGTTGTGTTCGAAACGCATGGACCCAACGTGCCGAACACGAAAGCCATGTGTTTTCAGTATATTCTTTAACTTTTTCATAGAATCAAGACTTCCGTAAGTTGGTGACTTCGGCATCATACTCACTTTGCTCTGCGGATACTCTATCACTGTCGTTATTTCTCTTTGTCGTTTCCTCTCGCATCCTATAAAAAAAATTCGAAGTGGGATCTTTTGCTTTCCACTCGTCAACTTTCCTTGCCAGTGCTTACTGGTCATCGTCGCAAGATTTGAAAGAAGAAATGGCTCTACCAATGTGATTTCGAATGTCTTGCCGGGATGGATAGTATCGTCGATTTGCTTTTTTGGGAACCTGTGTTTTTGGAACATCTCGAAATAGATCGTTCTCTACGAAATTGTCCAGCCATCGCTTTACTTCAGCAACGCTGGTAATATTTTGTTTGACCAAATCATAGATTTTTCACGACACGTGAATCGACGTATTGGGTTGATAGCTCAGTTCCCACTGGGTGTTTTTGGTGAGCAGAGCTTAGCGGTATCCTTAGGTAAAATCGCGTGGACCTACGGACTTTTGCGTTCTCTTTATTAAGGGCCTCGTTTAGTTTAGTTAGAAGCGTACGTTTGGCAACTTTTATGGCGTTGTTGGATTGACAAGCGTTTTGTCCATGAAGTAATCATCAAAATCTCGATGCAGCAGATTTTTAAAGTTGCAGGGCACTGGAGTTTTCGACTGTTTTGTAGTCTAACTCGCTGTTTCTTTTCATATTCGTGGTCTCCACTGACTGTACACTATAACCTCCTCTTCCATCCTGGATGTGTAATAAAAGCAACGCAATTTTACCCGCTATATATATGTAAAAGCCCAAATATTTCTTCTTTAATGTATAGCGAATGTAATTCTCTTTCTTACTGAATAAGATTTTTTAATAGTTAACTCTACAAACATTTTTATAGGTAGTGTTAATAACTAGAAATTTTTGATAAAAAGACTGTTTTTTATATCTTTGATGTTGTTGTCTGGTGATTGATCATTGATGTTGATTACCTTATTAGGTCCATGGAGACAATGCCGCGTTTCTGTGCTTTTTATAGAGAATGGCTTGCCAAAAAACGAAATTGGAAGATATCCTCTTTTGTCTTCAAAAACTGCATGATCTACGAGAACATGTGTAATTCATTCTATAGCTGAGTTACAACATCTGCGCGATCATTGTTTTCATGTTTTCCAATTAACCCATTTTTGGAAAAAACGATATTTTCAATTAACTGTGTTAAGTGGGATTATTCAAGCGTATTTGCGTCGTCGGGATCTTATTTCAAGCAACACATGTATTTGTCCAAAAACACTGACCAGCCAACAATTTAAAAAAATATAATATAAAACAAATTCTGAAAAAACAGGACATCTTGAGATTGCAAATTATCAATCAAAACAAGACGAGAAGTGAACTGTAAATTTTCGACTATATTTCAAAGTCATCCTCAGACACGTATTTGTAAACCTTGCTGACCTAACTAACATTAGCATGATTGGTTTCATGTTATCCGTGTTCATTTAAGTTGCTTGGATGTAAGATTGACGAAGTCAAACATACAGTTACGGCTTTTGGCGTACGCACTTACTTGCTTGAGTAAATCTCTTATTACTCATCTCTTTCGTATGATTTTCGACGGTAACAAAGCTAATAGAATTAATTGCTTGAAGTTTCTGCAAAACAGCCTCCAATTGTTCATTTTTCCCATCAAAGTACGATAAACAATAATCATTTTCAATGTTCACGCCATCGAAATGTTCATTAATGAAACAAATCTCAAATTTTCATTGCATTTATCTCATCCATGATTTTATTCGAAGGGAAAAGCAAGCAAATAAGGGAAAAGCCAATATTCATATCAATTATTAATCGTGAAAGATGCTTAGGGTTTTCAAAGATTATCAATAATTATCAACTATGATCCACTACACTGACCATAATGCATCGCAGACGCACCCTCTCTCTCCGCCCGGGATGTAATGTTTCCCTGCCTGTAGGTGCCAAGCCTGGTTACAA